AGTTTCTGTTTTTAATCTATGTTCAATTAATTCAATATGCAATTGTTCATTTATTTACTTTTAGAATCATCTTGTAATATATTTATTTTAAATTTAATGTATAACTACAAAATAGCTCAAATAGTCTTGTAAAATCATACCATAGCATTAGATTCATATATTTTTTTTTGGTAATATAATTGTCTAGAGAACTTGAATTAAGGCTTCTAATCATGAATATGTTCTTTTGTATTAAACCTTAAATATTTTGAAAATCTTAGTTAAGTACTTTTTCAAAATGCTTTTTCTTAAACCCTCAAAAATTGCAAAATTATCATAAATTTTGATATAATAATCAATTCAGATTATGTTAGATATTTAAGAATAGAAAATGTTTTCTCTAGAAGTAGATATTTTTATTTATAATCTTTGTAATCATTAGTATGCAATTTACGACTAATTTTCAAGTAAAAATCTTTATGGTAATACTTAAAATTTTACTAGTTTTTTAAATTTAAAAATAAACTTTTAGAAAATAAAATGCAAAAAAATAAAAAATATCTGAAATATATATTTTTTAATACAAGATATTTTATGTAAATAAGAAAGTAAACTTAAAAATTCCTATTCATTATAATTTATATAAAAAAATTATTTTTAAAAGCAACTTTTCTAAAAACAATATTAATCTTCATAATTTATAAAAATATTAAAAACACTGCTTTATTATTTTTTATCAAATAAATTTTTAATTTTATTAATATATCTTTATTTTACAACGAAAAATAATTTATCAATAAAATCATTTTTATTAACTATTTTTCAGATTATATAAGTTATATTTTCTATAATCTAACAACAAAAATGTGTTTGCACTTTGTTTTAGTTTCTAATAATTAAATTCACATTTATTCTCTTTGAAGCAGATTTATATATCCAATATTATATGCATTTTATTAAATGTATTCTTAAAAATTTTTTTTAAATTGTCTTATTAAAGATAAAAAAATAATTAATTTTTTTAATATTATTACCAAAATTAAGATTATATAGTTCATTAAAATACAATTAAATAAATTACATTCTACTTAAAAAATATAGTTTAAAATTCAAACATAAACTAATTTAATTCTAGAGCCAAGTTATTTAATAGACTCAAGCTCCTCAAAATCATTTTTAAGATCATATTTATAACATAAATCTTTTAACTTTTCACATAAACCGTTAGGATCACCAAAAACAGCAATTAAAAGATCACATTCCTCAGTATAATACATACATTCTGATACAGAAGGTTTTTGAGTCACTTCTGGCAGGTCTTGAATTAAACCCTTATATCCTAGTGATAAATAATGATCAAGTCTCTCAGCAAACTTAGGGGGGTATAAACACCATCTATATAATATTTCATTAAATCCTCCTAATTCAGCACATACTGTTAGAATATGATGTAAATTAGATTCATGTGACAACTGATGTTTAATATTAGATGCACTAAAAGTATCAAGTAACAAGCTTTTCTTAAGTTCTTTCCAAAAAAGACCTAAGCTATATTTTTGTACACCTAATTCTTGGCATACAACCTTCAATTCTTCACATAGATGTCGAATACCAGAACATACATGTGAAAGGTAGACACACTCTTGTATAAGTGCTACACATTGAGCCACAGTGACATGACTATCTATTCTATTGCTTAATAGCATAATGGGTGACCCGTTTTCTGAAAATCCTAAATCCTCTAATCTATCTTTCAAACGAGTACACGTTTTATGTGCTTTAGCATCCAAGTTGCTACATTCATCAGTCTGCCTTGTACTACAATACCCGTCAAGATTAAAAAACATAGATTTGTAATAATCGCAATGTTGTTCTAAGAATATTTCACACCTCCCCTTTAAGTTGGTGGAATGTGCCATTGAAGATGTTATAAAGGTTATAAGAAGAAAGAGATATGGAGGTTTATAAGGAAATAAACCACCACTTTCTCTTTCTCTAGAAAAAAACGCACTCAAATCCACTTCTCTGAATTCGTGTGCACATTGGCCTAATAGATGTATTCCTGTAGAATACATATTCGAAATACTTCCAGCGCATCCTTGTTCCAATTTATTACAAAGATCCGTTATTTCTGATTCACCACAAAAATGCGTGTAATAATTACAAGTACTGGTCAATGAACATCTACTTTCTAGTGTTTCATACATGTAACCTGAAGGATATTTTGAATTCCTTGAAAATGATCTTTCGATAAGAGAGCCAAATTGTGGACAAATCTCGTTACTAGTATGGGCAGCGGTTTTACATGTTCCCCATACTTGAAGACATGCTTCCACCATATCAGGACCTAAACCAACTAGACAATGACATTTTGTAAGAAGGCTGGTAACACACTCTTCTCGGCTTTGAAGAGTATCTTTTACTAGTGTCAATACGAGTGCCTTTTTAAGATCTTCACGCTGTTTTGAATAACACATAGATTTAAACCTAGTACATAAATCACGAGTAGAATCGCCGCAAATTCTATGAAAAATATTACACAATGTGTCATAGTTTTCACAATCTCCAATAGTTAGTTTTTTATTTCGACTTTCTAAAAGTAATTCATCATTTGAACCAAAAAACATAGAAAGCTCATTTTTTAAATCATTACATTTCCTTTGAACAGGAGTAAATCCTGATTTTTTCAACTTAGTTAAACGTGTGCAAAGATCATCTGCTTCAGCCAATTCACAAAATGTTTTTAATAAACTAGTAAAGCCTCCTCGAGGCAGCTTAGGTAAGAGGCCTTCACATAGTTCTCTTACGAGTAATAGACATTCTTCTTCATTTTTTATAGAAGCGTCTAAATTAAGAGCAGATAAAACAAGAGGATCATGTCTAATATTAGACCATAGTGATGAAAATAGTGATCGTTTTGATAGTACATTAAGTAATGGATATTCTGCTGATGAATTGCAATCCCCTGATTTACATAAATTTAAGTTTTCTTTTAATTCTAAAAGATAAAAATTAAAAAACAACAAAAAGAAGTAAAAATACCAAGAATCCTAATGCCTTTCGAGAAAACATATGATATGATGCTTAAAATTGTAAGGACAAAGGCTTTCATTTAAGAGAAATGGTAACTTTTAATTCTTTTCATGAATTCAGCAGTATTATTATTTAGGTTGGCTTTAAAATTTAAACTAAAAACACAAGTTATGGAATGGTAAATTCATTAACATTATCTTTTTAATACTAATTTTAATTATTCTATTTATTTTGTTTCTAAAAAGGTTAAGCTTTTTCTATAATTAATTAATCTTTTATGAAATTAGGATATGAAAAAAAGATATTAAATCTAACATATAATGTATTTTATTTAGATATGTTTTCTTTAGTTTTTTTATTATATATTGTTTATTTTTTCTTTATTTTATAAACTTTTTTATATTAATTATCAACAATTAAATCATCTTTTCTTTTTAATCTTTGAGAATTCTAAAAAAATAGAACCATTTCGCTAAAAACAAAAATTAATTATAATTAATTAAAAATATAGTACAGATATTCAAAGGTTTAAATAAAAATTTTTAAATTGTTTTATTAAAATAATAAATATTATTAAAATTAATTTATTTGTATCCACTTGGATGTATTTATGTTTGCATATATTTTATTATATCTATTTTTTTATTTTTTTTTTTAATATTTTTAATTCTTGAGGTTATATTTTAAGTACATCGTTTTAATAAGAAATTTATTAGTTCTTTTAAATTATTTTAGATATTAGATAATGTAATAAGTAATTATTTTTTTATGAATTTTTTTTTTTATTTTTTCAATTAATATTGTTTTTTTCTTTTTTAAAAAATACATTGTACATTAATATAAAAAAGCATACCCATAATTGTTTTAAGTGATGATTATAAAAATAAACTTATTTTAAGAATATTCGAAAATATTTTAATAGTTTAAATTAAAAATAATTTATTAATATTAAAGAAATAAGTACAAAGTTTAATTTTGATATTAAAACTAGTTTTAAAATATTTTTTATTTAATATCTAATAATTTTAAAAAAAACTTACAAATATAAAATATTAATTTTTTTCTTTAATGTATAATATCATAATAAATTTATTAATTAAAAGTTAATTGGAAAATCAAAATTGTAAATTTTAGTTAATTTTTTATAAAAATACTTAGAATTATTAATTCTTTTAAAGTTTTAAAATTATAAAAATATATATATTATTTTTAAAAAATGCGTTTTGAAAACTTTAAAAAATAAAACAATATTTAAAAACATTAATATTTTTCAAAAATGTAATGTTTTTCTTTATAATCAAACATATTTATATTTTTTATATTTAATGTTTATAATCTTAAAGAAAAAAATATAGAAAATATACATTCTTTATCAATAATAAATTGCTAGGTAGTAATTTAATGCTTTTGAAATTATAATGAATTTATATTTTTGGCTTTTTATTCCTTTATATTTTTTTAAATTTTCAAAATGTTTTATTTTTGTAAACCACTTATCAGATTAATATTAATAAAATATAACTATTGTAAAGTTTATTTCTGCATAAATTTACATGCTGTATATTTCCATTAATAAAATACAAAAAAATTATACTTTTTTAAACAATAATTCATATTAGTATTTTACTAATGATTGTGTAAATTAATCCATTTTTATAAAACTTAAATAATTGTATTCCAACATTATTAATAAAAGTTTTCTTATAACCCGGATCTTTTATTAAATTTGGCGTAATTGTTAGTGTTTTTGAAACAGTATAATTTTCCTTGGTTATAATAGTTTAACTTAATTTTTCCGATTCAGATAAATTTACTAACTTAGACGACTTATCTCGTTTATTTGATTCAACTGATTTATCTGATTCATTTAGTTTATCCGAATCTTCTGATTCTAATGATTCATTTGATTTTGCGTTTGTTGACTCATTTGATTCATCTAATTCTTCCAGTTTATCTTGTTCCTCTCACTCTGATAATTCATCTAGACCACTTGGTCTATCTAAACTAAGCAATTTTATTGACTCTAAAGGAAGATCAGGTGATAATAGGTCATCTGAATTGGTTGATGTTGATTCTGAAAAGTATAGCATATTTATATGTCTATATTATTCAGGAGGACAATAATACTTACAAAGTGCTATAGTTAAAGTTACTATTTTTAGCACAGTACATATCTTAGAAGCATCTTAGTAACAGTTGTAACATGAGTAATAATAATATCTGTTCCGGTATATATTTCTATAGGTATAGCCACAGTTAAATTTGCTATTATGGTATTTTTTGAAGTTTCACTCTTTTCTGAATCAGTAGATGATGTATCATCATTATGTTCATCAGATAGTTTTTGTACTGAAATAAGTATCTTGAAATAGAATAGTAACATTCAATTCTTCACACTCTTTTTTCACTTTTGTGCATGTAGCTTCTAAAATACTTCCATAAATTTTTCTCATTTCATTAAATTCTTTAAAACATTCTAGACAAAGTTTCTCTATTAATGAATTAATCCCATCTTGTCTATTTTTAATTAATATACAACTTTCATTTAAATATTTTTTTACATAAATCTTTTTAAGCACTAATTTTTCAATTCATTTAAGTCTTTATTTCCCCATTTATTAATAACAGAATAATAAACCATTAAAATTTTCATGCATCCTATATCAAAAGTATTTTTAATATAAATTGCAAGTACTCGAATAATCTATTCTTTTTCTATTAAACAGTTAAACTTATAAACGGAAAAATATAAATTTTATACTCTCTTTTAGAGTCAATGTTGATACTAGTATTTGAACTTTTTCCACTAGTTTTAAAATATTTCGTTTTTAAATGGTTCCAAGAACTTTCAAGGGTTATAAAAAAATGTATGATAGAAATTTAAGAGTTTCAAGTTTTTCGAATTTAAGTTTTTTTGATGAAATCAAAGTTTTCTTTAACCAATTTTAATAACAAATTCTAAATCATAAAGTTGAAATAAAAATTACCTGAAATTCTTATATCTTTCAAAAAAAAATATTTTACATAATAATATACCAATAATAAATAAATAACTAGGTTCTGCATTTCTTTATAAACTTTAAACATTTTCTAAAAAGCTTTTTATTTTTCTCAATTTTGTTTAAAATTTTATATAAAATTAATATTTTAAAAGTAAAAATTGTTTTAAATGATGTATATTCAAACTCCTATTTGTTTCTTTAATAATATTTTTAATAATATTTTTATTTCCTAACAATTTTTAATCATTAATTTTAAAAGGATATAATTAAATAACAGATAAGTTTTAAATTTAGAAATAAATTTAATCGAAATTAATAAACATTTATAATTTATAAATTAAGATTTTAATTAAGTTTTAATTTTACATATTTAAGTATTATATTAAAATGTCCTTTGAAAAAAAGTATAGAGTAGAAATACAACAAATGATGTTTGGTACTCTTTTATAAAAATAATTAAACAACGCTAATTTTTAAGTTTTGGGTGAAGTCCCAGATTCATTACCTGAAACAATTGCACTTGTAGAAGATATTGTTCGAGGACAAGTAGTGGAAATGATAATTCAGGCTGCACAGCATGCTATGAAACGCGGTTCTCGCTGTATTTGTATTGAAGATTTAATATTTTTGATTCGGCATGATAAACCAAAAGTCAATCGTCTTAAAACATATCTTTCATGGAAAGATGTGAGAAAAAATGCCAAAGAACATGATGGAGTTGAATCTTCCGAAATTGTTGATGATTCAGGTATTAGTAGTAATATTATTTTTAATTTTTTAAGATATTAGATACAAAAATGAGAATAAGAAGATCAAGAATAGATCTTCCTTGGGATTTGTATTCTATGTTCAGTGAACCTATTCCATTTAACCATGAAGAAAAAGAAGATTGTAATTCAGATGAACAAGAATCAAATCTCGATACTCTTCTTCGTCTTAGATTTGCTGATCTTAGAACACGTACAATGACAAAAGATGAATACGTTCATTATAGTGAATGCCGACAAGCAAGTTTTACGTACCGTAAATCAAAAAGATTTAGAGAATGGAGTCGAATGAACCAGTTAATAGATTCTCGCCCTAATGATGATATAATAGATATTCTTGGGTTTTTAACGTTTGAAATAGTCGCCACTATTACAGAAGAGTCATTACGTGTAAAGGCACAAATGGATAGCTTAGAGGAAAATAACATCTTGAAGGAAAGAGGAGAAAAATATTTATTTGATGATCCTGAAGAAAGTCGTACACCTTTACAAATAAAACATATACAAGAAGGGTTTCGAAGACTCCAGAAAGCACAACAAAAACATATTGTTATGAGAGGGTTTGATGGAGGTCTTGTCAAAAGTCGCGTTAATTTAATTTAAAAAAATGTATATAATGTTAATATATAATTTTTAAATTGCATACATATGTATATATATTAGTAGTACAGATGTAAATTATTTTTAAAAAATTATTTAGAATTGATTAGTCTTTTAAAATTGTAAAATCTGATTATTAAAGTTAATTTTAAATTTTGCAATGTTATATAATGTTGCGATTTGATTTTTAATTTTCGACGAGGCTTAGATTAAAATCATATTTTATGACGTTTTATAAAATATATAAATTCTATACGTTTTTTAAAAGTTTTTAATAATCAAATTATCTATGGAAAATAAAGATGCATATATTGTTAATAATAACTTTAAATTTTATTTAAATTAAAAAATATAAATAATATGAATAATTATAAAAAAATTGATAATTACAAAATTGAAAAAGAAAAAACAAAAAAATCAAAGGTATTAACAGAGTCTATAATTTCGCCAAACTCTGCATTGGATAGAATTTCTAGTCAAAAACTTATATTTAATCTTTCAAGAGATTTCAATTATGAACAAAAGGACTCTTGTATTAAAAAAGATAAAAAAATATATACATCACCATTCATTAAAAATATTATGAATCAAAAAAATAAAAATTTATGGGAAGCAGTTAGTAGAGATTCAAATGGTAGGTTAATTGGAGAAGAAAATAAATTGACTTTAGAAAAAAATGAAGATTACCGAAATTTAACACAGTATATAGGATTTTCAAATATTTCTGAATTTAACATAAATCAAAATATTCTTTTTACTTGTAATAATATAAAGAAAATACATACAGATCATTTTCATAATCATAATTTTATTATTAATCCTGGGTTTGAAGATAAACTATTATCAAGTTATGATGATAATTTGGTGAGTAATTATTATAAAAAAGTATGCAAGTCACCGTCTATTATTAAATTGAACAAAACAAATAATTCTTCATTATTAATAAAGAATTCTAATATAGTTGAAGATCATAAAACTAAAGAATTCTATACAAAAGAATTTTGTTCAAGGAAAGATTTAAAAAACGAAGAAAATATTTTTCCTGAAGACTTATCAAAAAAGAATTATATTCTTAATAAAGAAGAACTAACTAAAATATTTGAAACTAATCAAGACTTTAATTCTCAAGAAGAAACAATGCCCAATTTTCAAGAGTATACGCTTTCCCAATTGCAGGTAATATTCCATATAGGTAAAAAATTATGATAATTTATTATTTTAGTCTGAAGTTTCAAAATATGGTTTTAAAATAATGCATTCAAAAAAAGCAATGGTTAGCTTATTAACTAAATGTTGGAAAATGTCGAATTTATTGGAACAAGAACAATTAATTAAGAATAATAAAGAATTTAATGATTTTGAATCTTCTCAAATATTTAACAATAAATTATTGGAACAAAGTATTAAAGATGATTTACAAAATTACTCATTGTTAACACATTCAAATAATAATTTAGAATATATTTTTTCATCCATTACAAAAGTTCTGAAAAGTGCAGCAGGCGAGGTTTATTGGTTTAAAATATTGCGTTATGAACCTATTATTCTTGAAATGTTTACTAGATGGTTACATGAACATAATATAATTATTGCATTTGATATAGTTAAACAATACTGTAATATACATAGTATATGTTTTGTACATTTCAAAACAAATCATGGTTCCTCAAAAAAGTATTTATAAAAATTACTAATAACAAACATTATATTAATATATAAATTATGTTTTGGTTTTTTTTTTTATTTTTATAAAATTATTTTTCAAATTACATTTTATGAAATTAAAACTTTTAAGATATTTAAAAATTAGTTCTAAAGAATATAAAAAAAATTATATTAATTAATTATCATTTTTTATACTTTTAAATACTTTTAAAACCAATGATAAACTCTTTTTAAATTTAAAATATTTAAAAAAAAATTAAATAAAACTTTAAAATTTAAAAATAATTTGTTGATTTTTAAACAAAAATTATTACAATTTATTAATTAAAAAAGATAACTAGATAAAATTTTTAAATATTTTTTATAAATAAAATTATAAAAAAATGATTATCTAAGAATTTTCAATAATTAAAATTACAAAAATAAAATATAATTTAAAAGTATCTATTTAATATTTTTTTCAAACGTTTAAATATTAAGTATATTCAAAAAATAGTGAAAATTTAAAAGAAAAATAAATAAAAATGAATTTAATAAAATTATTGTCTTTTTTTTTTTAAAAAAACTTTAAAAATTCAAAATTTCATTATTTTTGTAAAACAAATAATCAATTTTATAAAAAAGTAAAAATTCATTTATAATTAAAATATATATAATTTAAAGTCAAAAAAAATTCTTTAAATTCTCTAATAAACTTAAAATATATTTTTATTTACTAAAAATTCTTCAATCAAAAAAATATTTTTGAAATTTAGAATTAACAATATAACTTTTAAGCTTGATAAAAAAGTACTTAATAGTTATATTTGAAAAATGAATATCCTTAAAATATAATACAGTTTAATACTTGAGTACTATAAATCAAGTATAATACTTGAGTACTATAAATCAAGTATAATACTTGAGTACTATAAATCAAGTATAATATATTTTACGAATAAATAAAAAATCAGATGAATATAATGTACCAAATAAACTAATTATATAAAGAATATCTATCTTTTTTTTTAAGGCTTCGAGTTTTACAAGCATCACTACAAAACCACTTTCCATTAGGCGGAGCTTTCAAACCAACACAACCATAATGGAACCACTCAAATACACATTCACTATCATCACATGCTATCATTTCCCCATAACTCACTTGTTGACAAAAACAATATACTTGAGAATCATCATTATCATTACTAATAGAATCAGGATCTGAATCTGACATACGAACAGATAATGCACGTCTTTTCCTAGGCAAAACCAATGTTCTAGACTCAGGACATAACGTAGAAAATGAAGGATAAGTATTCTTAGTTATTTCTGAAGCTGTTTGACCGTCCAAGTGCAAACGCCTTATTTCATCATCTAGTCGACGAAGATGTCTTTGTAACTAAAAAATCCTTAACAAATATACAAAAATATTTTCTTATACAAGCTCTAGGCTCTTTCGTGAAAGTGATAGCTTTTCATCTTGAATCTTAATAGCATATGTAAAATCTGCTTGAATTTTAGGAATATATTGAGCTTCTTTCGGATTAACAACTAAAGAACCATAAGCACGTATATGCTTATGAATAGAATTGTCGCGTGTGCAAATACGTCTATGAATTTTTTGAAATTTAACCTCTTTAGATTTTAATTCATCATAAATATGTGCTATCTCAGAAGGAAGATTATCTAAATCTATAAAAATTCAAAAATTAGTAAATAAATAAAAAAGAAAATTCTAAGTTTCTTTTCATACTGCTAATATACTCTGAAAGAACAGATGCAGCATCTTCCATATGATTAATTTTTTTTTTAATATTTCTAAATATTTTGACGTTCAAACGACCGGTAAAGACTTTTTAATGTTGGTGTAAAAATGTAAAAAAGTTAAAAAATACATAAAATCAATAGAAATATATGTTTAGAAAATAAATAACATATTTTTTATATTATTAGATTCTTTATATCTTAAAAAGTGACTGAAATATGTTTAATACAGCTACATTTACAACAAAGTCTTTGGAGAAACCTCAAATTAGTTTTAAAACAGGTCGACCTAAATTAAAAGTAAGTAAGTTTATTTTTATTTTTTTGCTTATTTGATAGGGTATATATATTAAATATTCTTAAAAAACAAGTTTTTAATAATAAATAGTATCTTATCATCATGAAGAAGAAGTAGGGAATTTTCATTTTGTAAATTTATTTTTTATATTATTTTTCTATTAATTTCATCAGGGAGAGGGCCACCCAATGAAGCCACATCGGCTTACTTTAACAAACCATCTTATTCTTGGTTATGGTTTACATAAATATATGGACATTTATCGTCCTCGAAGAGCTACAGATGAAGAATTAGAACAATTTCATTCTTCTGAATATATTGACTTTTTGAAACGGTAGTGACTTTGTAACTGATTTTTATAAACTCTTGAATAATAATTTAGAGTAACACCAGAAAATGCGTCATCTTTTTCTGATGTTTCTATGAAATTTAATATGGGCCAAGATTGTCCTATTTTTGATGGTGTTTATGATTTTTGTAGTATTTATGCAGGTGCAAGTTTAGATGCTGCACGGAAATTAAGTCAGAACCAAACAGATATTGCAATCAATTGGAGTGGAGGTTTACATCATGCAAAAAAATTCGAAGCCAGTGGATTTTGTTATGTAAATGACATTGTTTTAGCAATTTTATCCCTATTAAGGTAAAAAGGCTTTAAATTAAATAAAACTTGACCAATAAAACTATAAAGATATCATCCTCGAGTGCTATATATTGATATTGATATTCATCATGGAGATGGAGTACAGGAGGCGTTTTATTTAACTGACAGAGTCATGACAGTATCTTTTCACAAATATAACGCAAATGTTGTGTCACCGGATAAAAGTTTTTTTCCAGGGACTGGATATTACAATGAAATAGGTTCAGGAAAAGGAAAGTACCATTCACTTAATATTCCGTTAAAAGATGGGATTGATGATCAAAGCTATATAATGCTTTTTCGAGCAATATTAGAGCCTGTAATAAATTCATATAGACCAACAGGTAATATTAAATATGCTTTTATCGTTTTTATAAAAAGGTAACCTTAGAAAGCGGTCGTTTTACAGTGTGGAGCAGACTCCTTGGGTTGCGATCGCTTAGGGCAGTTTAATTTAAGTATCAAAGGCCATGGTGAATGCGTAAAATTCATTAAATCATTCGGGCTGCCTTTACTTGTATTGGGAGGTGGAGGATATACTGTACGAAATGTTGCACGATGCTGGGCTTACGAAACAGGAATATGTTTGGATGCAGAGCTTCCAGACACTTTACCATCTGAAACACCATATATTGATTATTTTGCTCCAGATTATACACTTCATCCTAAAATCACTAGTCGTGTAGAGAACAAAAATAACCGCAAATATCTAGAAAATTTACGTATGCATGTTGTCGAACAACTTCGTTATCTCAATGGTGCGCCTTCAGTCATGATGCAGGAAATTCCTAATCCATTACTAACCGAAGACGGCGATAATATTGATACTAACCATTAAAATTTAAATCATCAAACTTCATTCAATTTACATTTTGTGTATAATTAAATATTTTCTCTTACACTTTTTGATGCAATTATACAACATTTGTTCTCTACATGTTTATTTCTTTAGTTTTTCATTAAACTATCATTACTACATAATATAATAATTTTGTTATTTATAAATTATTTAACATGAAAATATATTATTTTATACACACTTGTAAAAATCTAGATAAAAATGTATATCTCAATCATTTTACTAACTAGTTAAGGAAAAGAGAATTTTATAAATTCTTCCAATTTAAATAAAGTTAATAATACTAGTCTATTTAGTTGATAAAACATATTTAGCATGTCAGATACATATGTATTTATACTCCTTTTTACTGGTCTAAAATAGATTTAGATTTCCATCTAAAATTTATTTTCTTCAACGCGAAATTATCGAATTAACTTTTTATAAAGTCTACAAATTTTCAATATAATTAAATAATAGTAAATAATAGTACAATGATTTTAAAATACTGGATTGTCCTTCTTTTCACGAATCTATGTTATGTTTTAGCATTGTCAGATAAATCTTACGTGCGGTTAATTAAATGTGGCGAGGGACTTTTTGATCCCAATCATGTGCGTAATTACGCGACATAACGCGTTTTTCACTAAAATATTGTAGTATACATGCTTTGGTACCTTAGCATGTCCAATTTTAGACGGAGTTGCATATCTAAGATGCGGTGAAGCCTGTTATTCTCCTAAATTATATCACTGTGTAAGCGGCGTACTTCATCAAGGACCAGAACCTCCTGAAAAACAAAGTAAAGAAAAAGCTTTTATTGTTTTTAATTTACTCATTATAGCCCCACAACGCACAACAACACCATATTATCCTCCTAGTATTTTTGGATGGTTTAAAATATATCAATTATTTTAATAATACTATAGATAAAATAACACCACAGCCAACGCCGACAACGTCTCGGCATCCGACTTTTACTGTTCCACCACCGTCACCGAAACCTAGTGCCAAAGGGAAGCCTGGTAAAGGAGATGCAAGTAGCAACGTTATGAGTTTCAGTGTTTTCAGTATTGTTAGCATTGCATTCCTTATATTAGTTCTTTGAATGTACACTTATTAACTCATTGGTTATATAAATGTTGTTAAGGTGTGCTTATTTCTATATATTTACGGCAACTTTGCAATGTATATGTATACATGTATATGCATGATACGTATATTTGCTTATTTTTTATTATTTTATAGTTTATATTTTAGCGATTATCATTTAAATAATTTTATTAAAATTGAATTGGGGTATTATATAAATAGATATATTTTAATATATTTTTACAGATGCTATAAAAATATAGTAGTTAAATTTATAAAAAATCTGAAGTATTTATATTTGTTAAGACCTATAATTAGAGTCATGTTTAATGAGTCAGTAATATTTCATTATTTTTATAAGGGTTTTTATAAAAAGATGATTTAATCAAAACATAAAATACTTTCAAAAGTTATATATTCTAATATTCTACCCAACAATAATTATCAATGAAATAATACACATTTAAAAACACTAAATTTATTTTTTAATAAAAATTAAGTTTTAAACGCTTATGATTATATGTTTTTAATTTATAAATAATTTTAAAAAGTATAATTATAACAATTCAAAAATTAAACATATGCAAGTAACAACAATTGATTACTTTTAAAAATCACTATGACGATACTGCATTTCGAATACTATTATCCATAATTTTATAAATTTGTTGACAACCATGTAGAGCTAAAGAAAGCATATGTTCAAATTTTTCCATATGAATACGTGTTTCTGTCTAGTAATTTCAAGATTTTTTTCAAAAATACAAAAACAATTTACCTGTAAAAGAATAATATCTTCAGATTTACCAAGAATAGCAACAGTATACCATGAAATACTATTTTCCTCTACAGCATTGAGATCTATAATATATATAATTTTTCGATCATTATAAAATATCTGCTACCTAAAAGAGGATCTGTATCTGTAGATCCAACCGTACTTGCAGAAACATAGTCATACATAGGAATACCCGCATTAATCAAAGCCAATGAAACTGCATTAATACATGTCTGCAATATCCCTTGAAATATTACAAAAAATATAACACCAAACTATTAAACATGCCTCCATCTTGTGCTAATACTTGAATACATATATTGATCTCACTACGAGGATGAAGTCCTGTTTGAATAGCTTTTTCAAACACCTTTTGTATACATGCAACATATTCTTGAATTCGTCTATATAAACCCAAAATTACTCCAGAAAAAAAGCAAAAAAAAACCCTTTACTTGTCTGATTTAGTTCTTTTCTTCCTTTCAACTGAACTAAACGCTGCAATACTGATATCTATCGTAATACGCTCTCGATCAAGAGACACCTTACTTTTTGTGTTCGGCTCAATTGGCCCGTGAACCATACATATTACTTTAGTATTTCCTTGTTCAACATATGAACTGCCATCTGCAAAATTGTCAATATCTACTTTAGCTGTAAAGTGTCTCAATTCATTCCACCGTCGTCCATCTTAAACACTGTTATTATGTTAACTTTATTTGTTCTTTACCTATACGAAACCCCTCTATTGACAAAATTTCTAAAGACATTAATTTTAACAGATTAATCGTAAAAATCAATATTTTTTAAAAAAATATTTATATTAAAAACTTGCAAAATATCTATGATTCGCGGCATTGGAGTAGATATTATCTGTACAAGTCGTATTATTAAGATTTTTGAAAGAAGAAAAACGTTTGTAGAAAGGTTCTGCAAAAGAATATTAAGAATAGATGAGCAGGATACGAGACCAGATTTGAATGACAAAAATAAACTTATTTTTTGGATTTCTGTAAGGTTTTTAAGCAGAATATTAGTTGTAGAAGAGCAAGTAATTTTAATAGATGGGCTGCAAAGGAAGCAGCTTTTAAAGCAGTAAATTTTGAACAAAAATTAAGATGGAAAGATATTCAGATATGCAAATATAAAAACAGTAATAGTGTTATTTTTGTGAATATTTGTTTTAAATATTTCTAGACCAGCCCTATATTCAGTTATGGAGTCAGGGAAAACAAACAGAACAAATGAAATTGTCGATTAGTCATGATGGAAAGTATATTATTGCATTTGTTGCATGGTAAATAGTATAAGTACGTAATGGGTTTGTGAAATTTCCGACTTTATGTATTTTTGATACTTGATACCCATTAGCCAAGCACCACGTCTAATGATTATCATTAAATTCGAGTGACGTGAACATAATTTTAGTTCTAAATCATTTTGTAAAAAGATTTAGTGTGTTGCAAAATATGGGTTAAAGAAATAAAAAAAACTCTTTGGAGTTTAGAGTAAAAACAGGATCGATTGTCTTGAGAGGCTCATTCGAGACTTAATTTCGATAGTATAATACTCTTACATTCTTAAACAGTTTGAGACAAAACAACTAAATACGTTTCTTTATACATTTTTATCTTATTGTTTTTAAATATATTCATATATTTTTATGAAATTTTTCTAAAATTATTGATTCTGTTTTTTTATGTATACAAATAATCATATGTTATAAACAATATTTTACCAATTGGTTTTGGAAAAGTCATCAATTTCTGCTTTGCTGGCAAATTTCATTGGCAGAAATGTAACTTTATCATTCCAAATGGTAGCTAATAATGCCCCTCCAACATATTTTGGCGCAAATTGCATATCAATCAGGCTAATATCATTATTTTTATTTGTATTGGGCCCAAATATAAAGCCAATTGGCGAAACTATTGAAAGAGTATTCGTTATTAAAACAGCATCCAAGTATACCTGAAAAGAGGCTAAATATGGTGCTTTCTTGAATGAAAGAACAAGACGTTCAGATGACGGATTAAGTACAAAATTAGATATCGGTTCAGGACGATTGGATTCAAATTGCAGACTAACAACTGCAGGAATTTTTCTACTAGTAGGAGGTGTATCTGCTAGTATTGCAGGTGATATATATATAATTAAAATATTAGGTGACCCTGCAGTGTGATAAAATAATGTTCTATTATCAGATGCCCAAATTAATTTATTAACTTCAGAAGTAGAAATATAAAGTGGAGGTGAAAATCTTAAACCTGGTCCAGAATTTAAACATGAAAATATTTCTATAGAGTTTTCTGTTCCAAATGCTACAAAACAATGTGATTCTGAATTAGTAAGTGCTATCTTAAAACATCTTGAAAAGCTTATTCTTTGAGCTTCAGAAAATATTAAATCATATACCCATGCACCTTTTGATGTAGCAATGAAAATTTGCCTGCCTGTCTGAGAAAATGCAAGATCAGCTATAGACCCACATGGAAAATCTGAAAAACAAGATGGTTTTACAAGAATAAGTTGTTTACAATAAGCCTTAGTCTTATTTGAAGTTGATCCTACACTTAAATCCATCGTCCATAATAACAGTTGCCCGTTATCATAGCCTACAACTAATCTATTTTGTTTTGAAAATGCTAAACAAGTAATTGATGCAAGTGGAGGACTAGAAAGATGATATTTAAGATAAGAACAAATTCTAAAATCATAAATAAAAATAGCCCCTTTGACATGAGAAAGTGCAATAATCGGTATTATTTTATGCCATGAAATATGAGATATAAGAGTTTGTGCATTATTTTTCGGTCTTCTATCAGATCGAATCAACAAATCAAGTGGAGTTTGAGGAATCATTCGAAATGTTTGAAAAACTAATTTAAACAACTGAAGTATCTCATTATAATATAAACTGCTTTTTTTTGTCTGTGTATTATCATCTTTAGATACATGATTAATTTCAAGAAATGATGGTAAAGATAAAACAGGAAACAATGTAATCTATAATTCATAAACTAAAACATTTAATTTACAGTAATAAATTTACCTCAGATTTGTCCAATTCTTGCATTCCTTTGGCATCATTGGATGATCTTAAAGTAACTAGTTAATATTAATTACTGTATTATTTTAAAGTTTATATACTTAATTTTCCATTCAATTCTGCTACTGTTATTCCAGAAAAATGAAAAGGCCCTTTAAATACGTCTTTCATTCTTTAAAATTTCTTAAAATGTAAAACCTTTATACAACTTAATTATTTTTATTATTTAAACGAATTCATATTTCTATGAATACGGATTTAAAATAACTTAAAAGACAAAAAAATTGAATATTTTTATATTAATTTTAATTTACAAGCAAAAGATTTATTAATAAAATTAATAATCATAAAATTATAAAAAATATTTTAAATTTAATATATATCTCAGAACAATAAAAACAAAATATACTTTTTTGAAACTTTTTATTTCTAAATCTGTTTTTTAAAAATTAACAATATTAACTAGGCAATACTAAAAACAGATTTTATGTTATTTTTAAATACAATATTCATAAGAATTAAAATTAGCAATTTTTTTGACCAAAATATTTTTATCTAAAAACATAAAATAAAATATACTGATAATAATAAACGGTATTAGGAAACATTAAATTATTGACCTCATAGCCATAGAACTTATTATTATATTAGTAACCTTTCCTAAATCATTGTATCTCTCTTTATCTAATTTATAATTCTTGAAAATATTAATTAAAAATTTTAAAAATGATATCTTTTAACCATTCGAATTTTCGTCATATTACATATTCTTTTAATATTAAAGTCATTAGGTTCTAGTTCAGTTCCATTTACTATTTTTTCAAGTTCTTTTTTAATCTTTAATTTTTAATAAAAATCAAGTATAAAAAACAATTTTACTTGCTCTTCTTCACCATTAATTTTAACAATAATGAGACTTTCAGTTTTATCCGTTATCCCAAATCTGTCAAAGGCATCTATAATCTAAATATTATTAATACTATTTTTATATTAGATTATTTTACAGTTGAAGTAGGCGATAGTGAATAAACTATCTCAGAATTAATGTTCTTAGTTTGTAATTCATTTTCTTTATAATTCCTAATAGAATTATGTACTGCTGCTAATACTTGATAGAGTGAAACTATCTAATGAAAGGTTATTATAGTTTATTTTTTATTTCTAAACTTGCAGTTGATGCATCAATAAACGCATAATTAAAATCAGAATTTTGAGATAAAAGCTGATCTTTTATATGATTCAAATTTTTAATATTTATATAAAGCGCTATATATATTCTTTCAAATGGATAATTAGGCAGTTTAAATGTTTGCATCAAAAATCCAACGACAAGATTTTAGTAAGTTTATTATTAATTATATTATAAATAAAATATAAAATTAAAGTAAATACGTTAGTTAGCATTACAATTTTTAGATCTATAATATTAAAATTTCAAATTTTTAATCCTAATAATATAAAACTAAGCATATGAATATTTTAAGAATTAGCATCAATAGAAAATGAATCTATAGCATCATAAAAATCATCTTCATCAGAGGCTTTCTGAGTAAAAAATGAAGGTGAAGATGATATATGTGTATATGAATTATGAATTACTCTATCAGAATGAAAAGGTTCATTATGATCACATACTGATTTTCCTCTTGCAGATATTCTAACGATAGCCTCAATTTGCTGCTTAATATCCTCAGGTGTTGTCCAATTTCTAAAATAATTAAATAAACTAATATTTATTATAATAGTATGGGTAGATACATCGTCGTTTTTAAAATATAATCATCCGTTTCTGTTTTTTCAAAAAACCTTGGAATCCATTTTTTCCCAGTAGCGTCACGTAATTTTTGCTCTTCACGCTGAATGTCTTCAATAGAAGACTTAGCTTCTGTTGCAGTATCTTGGTCGTTTTTAATAATCGCATTAGTAACTTTACTCCACAATCTTCGAGACTCTCGATCTTCTTGTTCACATTCTGGTCTAACAATTGGAGAAGTATATGCAGAATTAGTAGCATCAAATAATACGGAACTTTCTCCTGTCTTTTTTCTATAAGTAGATAAAAAGTTAAGTATGAAAGTATATAACCTTTACATTTTTAATTAACATTTCTTCATCCCATTTTCCAGAAATCTCATATAAAATTTCACCACTATTTTCACGTTTAATTTTCCCTAAAATTACATTATAAGAACCCGATATAAAACCTTTTGTTTTAAATTCAATATCAGCGACAAGATTATTTTTTCGACATTTAATATAACTATGATCACCAAGTTCAAATCTCAATCGTCCAAACAATATTCCTCTATTAAAATCTAAATAATAGTATGAAAATATAGAAAAAGAAACCTTGCATACATATTCGGTTGCGTAAGAATATATTTTTCATTTTTATTAATGAATGTTAAAATAGCTCGTCCTTCCATAATAGTTGCAGCACTTCATACAGTTAAGATATCAGCCAACAAATAATAATTACTAATACCTATTCCCTAAAAATTTTGATTTTGGTCTTAAAACACCATCTATTCTAACATTATTTTCAGGACTCATGTAAAAATATGCAGAAATAGGTGGATGATGGCTAACTTGTTCCGCAATATAAAAAGCTTCAGACTTATCTGGAAATTCCCATTTACATGTAAAATGCTCGCCAAGAATAGGATTTAATGGCTTTTTAACAGATCTTGGTCGAATATGCCATCCACTAAGATAAAATCTACATATTCCAATAAAACGTTCAACAGGATCATCAATAAGAGGAAGATCCATAAGAAGCTCTGGATGACACATAAAACTAAAAAATAAATCACAAAAATAAAAAAAAAAAAACAAATATACTTTGTAATTCGTTCAAGCATACTTTTTGGCTCAAGAACAAACGTTGGCAAAGTTATCCTTGAAAGATCCATCCCAGGCCTAATAACTATTTAAGGATCTCTCTTATTAAAAAATATAAGAAAATACTTTAGCTGAGTAATAATCCCGAGTATAATATTCTATAAATTAGCATATGTTTAGAAATAAAATATACACACAGTTCCTTCACGCCCTAAATTTTCAGTATCATGATCTTCCTTATCTATAAAAAATTAGTTTTCTTGTTTAAAAACGAGCAAAAAAACGCTTGAATACCTTTTTTCTTATGTTTAAATAATGTGTTTTTTAACGACGTAGGATCACCCATCCTTTTCTTTCAAACTAAAGTTAGTACAAAAGAGTTAAAAAGCCCAGTAAACAATAAAAATAAGCTTGTTTTTATATAAAGTAATCAAATTAAATTTTATTTATTATCAAAAACCTTATAAAAGAATAATTTCAATTACTAAAATAGTATATCGAATCAGTTGTTTTAAAATACGTTAGATTAAAACAGAAAAAATCAATGTTCAAAGAACAATTTATTAAAAAATAATACTTTTTTCAGAAATTTATAATAAAATTCCATTTCTTTTATGAAACAGAAAATCTAACAATTCAATAAAAACATATTTATAAATATATAGTCATTAAATATTCGATATCATAAATTATTATCAAGCCATGAACGGAAATAAATACAGAAATTATTAGATGTATTTTTCTCCTTAGAAAAAAGATTATTTATTAAACATGATTCACATGCAGTTTCTGTAAAATCATGAATGTTTTTATGATTAACTCTACGTAAAGCCTTAAATGCAGTTCCATTTTGACAATATTCAATTTTTCTATCATAAACAAGAACATTCAATAAGTTTACAACATCAGACAACTCAAGATCTACTTGAGTTATCCCACTATTTTTAAGCCAAGAGTGAATTTGCTCGGCAGTTAAATATCCAGAATATGACGGAGAGAATAAAGTATCCTGTGATTTTGGATATGAATGAGACAAAATGTATTTATACAAGGCTCCCTGCAATCGTTCTATAAATTCTAGATCCATCTCTTGATCAGTAAACCAAGGCCCGCCTGTAAGTTCTATAGAAGGGACTAAATCATAAATCATAAATATTTTACGTGTAGGATTCTGTGCAAAAATTAGAGAATATTTAATCAAAAAACATAAAATTCACTTTAACTGATTTAACTGCTTTAATTAATTGTTTCGATTCTAAGCTTTTTAAAGCTCTATTTAAAACAGTTGTATGAAGATTTGTTTTTATTTTTATAGTCCTACTCCATATTCCTAATAAAGATAAATCAAGAGCTTTTATAGTAACAATATAACCTTCATTACTTGCATCTTTTATATAATTAAATACCATTGCTTCATCTCCATCCATTGACGAAATCCTAGATCAATAAGCTGCTTCCAAAAAAGAAAAAAGTACTTTTTTGCTTCATCTTTTTGAACCGCTTTATATATTAATTGGTTTCCTTGTACAAATGCATCTATCAACCTCTGTTTTTTAAGAAACTTCTGCCAATTATTAAATCAGATACCTTTCCAAGAAGTTCATTAATTATTTTTTCCAAGTCTTCAACACTTTTATTCTTAAGCATATTCTGAATATCATCTTGTGTCACACAATTAGGCAAAAATTCAAGACAACATTTATAGACATGTTTAGCTAGAGGTGAAAGTTCAAAATGATCTAATGTTTCTACTAAACAAATCTTCTTATCTACCATACTACTTCTCACTTAATATTAAATATGTTAAAAATATTAACTTTTATTTCCATTAAACTTAAATCGTTAGATTTTTCAAATACTTTTTCGAAAAATCTAAAAATTAGTTAAATATAAAAAAACTAAGATATTATATAAATAGAACGCCATTTGCAAGAAAATAACAAAATATGTCAGAAGAAATACGCCAAGAGGCAAATTCTCTTTTTTCAGCAAAAAAATATGAAGAAGCAATCAAAATGTATACTGAAGTAAGATATAAAAAATAAATGGAAATAAAATTGAATACAGCTAGGCAATTACTCTAGAGCCAGGAAACCATGTACTTTATTCAAATCGTTCAGCATGCTATGCTTCTCTTAAAAACTTTGATGAAGCATTAAAAGATGCACTTAAATGTATAGAAATTAATCCAAACTGGTATATTTAGTTTTAAGTAGAAAAAATATTGGTTTACAAAGGATAGGGCAAAGGGATGGTCCAGGAAAGGTGTTGCATTACATGGGAAAGGAAATTTGGGTTAATTTCAATATTTAAATTGGATGAATTCTTATTTATATATAGAGGAATCTAAACATGCTTACGAAAAAGGATTGGAATTAGAGCCTGAAAATCAGCAGATTAAAGCAGCGTTAAAAACTGTTGAAGAATCTATTTCTAGAGATTTTTCGAAAAATTTTCAGAAAAATGACCCATTTACACAGATAGCTATGGTTTAATTAATAATTTTATTTGATTTATACTAACTTTATTTTAGAAATTAAATAGTCCTGATTTTCTTTCAAAAGTAGCATCGAATCCAAAAACTTCAGGACTTCTGTCTAACCCTCAATTTATGGAAAAACTTAAAAAAATACAAGAAAATCCTAGAATTATCTTTCAGGAATTGAATGACCCAAATATGGCATCAATTCTTCCATTGCTTCTTGGGTTAGACACAGATGTAATTTTCATTATAAAATTATTTTTTTCTAACAATTTAAAGACATCTAATCATATTAATGGAGATTCTAAAGAAACACATTCTCCGCCTTCAGAAAAGTCTTCAGAGTCAGAAGTAGAAGCCGATCAGGAGCTTATGGAAGAAGACGAAGATACCAAAGCTCAAAGGGAAAATAAAGAAAAAGCTGAAAAAGAAAAGGCTCTTGGAAATGAATGTTATAAAAAACGACAATTTGAAAAATCTGTTCAACACTATCTTTCAGCATGGGAAATCTACAAAGATATTACATATTTAACGAATTGTTCAGCAGCATATTATGAAGATGGCAAATATGAAGAATGTATTAAATGTTGTGAAGAAGCCATTACATATGGAAGAGAAGTTCTTGCCGATTTTAAGTTGATCGCTAGGTTTTATTATAATTTTTTTTTAAAGATCTATATTTTTAATATTTCTAGAGCTTTTGGAAGAATCGGAACAGCATATATGAAACAAGAGAATTATGAGTTAGCTATTAAGAATTTTAACTCTTCTCTTACAGAGCACCGAACTCCTGATATCCTTAAAAAATTAAGAGAGGTTTCTTTAAAGACTTAAATTTAATATTTCTAAATATATTAGGCAGAAAAAATAAAAGAAGAAAAAGATAGACTGGCATATATTGATCATAATAAGGCAGACGAAGCAAGGGAACAAGGAAATAAACTTTTCAAAGAAGGAGATTTTGGTGGTGCAATTAAAATGTATTCTGAAATGATAAAAAGATCACCAGATGATCCTAGAGGTTATGGAAATAGAGGTAAAGATTTCGCTTATTTTATTTTTTGGATTAATCATCCCAAGCTGCTGCGTACATTAAAGTTATGAGCATGGTTGAAGCACTTAAGGTACTTTAATTAGCATCCTAAATTTATAAATAATTAAAGAAAAAAGGACTGCGAAAAAGCAATTTCACTTGATCCTAATTTCACAAAGGCTTATATTCGTAAAGCTTCTTGTTATTTTACTATGAAAGAATATAATAAATGCATTGATGCGTGTCATTCAGCAACTAAAGCAGACGAAAATAGTAATAATAAGGGTATGCATGCGAAAGAAATTGAGGCCCAATTACAAAAATGTATGTCCGCTATGTATGCTCAACGCGAAAATGAAACAGAAGAACAAACATTACAGCGAATTCAAAATGATCCTGAAGTAAGTTTAGTAATATTTGATTTGTGCTAGTCTTATTTGTTTTTTAGATTCTTTCAATTTTACAAGATCCTGTAATGCAAAGTATTTTAAATCAAGCTCGTGAAAATCCAGCAGCTTTAGAGGAACACATGAAAAATGCTCAAGTTGCCAGTAAAATACAAAAACTTATTCATTCAGGCGTTATTAAACTTTCAAGAAGATAATTCTTCAAAACAATGTTTTTATATACTTTAATAAAATTTTATATATAATATATATTTGTTATTATATTAGTTAAATATAATATAACAATTTTATTTACTATTTATTATATTTTAATAATATTTTAGTTCATGAATATAATTTTATATTAGTTAAAATTTTATGTTTAAATTAGCTTTTATTTTCAAAATTTTTAAAATTAATATTTAAGTAGATTTTATAAATAAATATATTTTTAAAAATTTATATATATAATAGTTTAAAAATTAAATTTTAAAATATATAAAATTACATTAAAAATATTAACAAATAAAAAGCATAATAAATGGTTTGCTATTATTTTAGTCATAATTAAGATAGAAAATATATTTATTACGTTCTTATATAGTCATAAATAACATTAAATAAAATAATATTGTGTTAATTTTTTACAGTTTTTTAAAAATTAATACAGTTATAAAAGAATTATTCCAAAAAGCTCAAAAAATAATCATATTAAAATTGTATTTTATTATAAAACATATTAGATACAATATTTCATAATTATTTTATGATTTAAAAGATATTTTAGATTATATTTTTATAAAAATAATTAACTAAAACATTTAAGATCTAATGAAGTATTAATAATATCATTTTGATTCGAAACATGTGTAAGGTTATTTGAAGATGTTTGCCCAAAAAGACTTGAAAATAATTTACTTTTTATTTTAGTTTATATAGACAAAAAAATATAATAATACTCTGTCTGTTCATCACTCCATAAACTAATAGGATTCGGCGCCATAAAATTTTGCAATTTATCATGTACATGATATCGTAATCTACGTCCCTTTGATGCTTTAGTATCTACATTGTTTTTTTGTTTTTTTTGTTTCAATATCGACCAACGTATTCCTCGTGTATTTCCTAACTTAGATTAAATACTCATTTTAATTTTGTAAGTACAACCTGAGTCTACCATTCGTCTGTCAATTAAGTCTAATAATAATGCTTGATAAAAATCAGTATCATCAAATCTCTCTTTATTTTTTGGTTCATTTTTTTCACTTTTGTCAACATAAGTTTTTTCTAAGAATTTTTCTTTATTTCTGATATTTTCTTGAATTAAATCCAAAACATTTTGATGAAATGAGTTAAATTTATTTAAAGAAAAAGAAGATGCAGTTTTTACTTTGTCAGACCATTTAAGTAAAGTTTCATTTTGCCATGTTAAAATCCTATATCATATAAATTATATAATTTTAGTTTATGCTATTTACTGTTTATCTAAATTTAAAATATCGTTATAAAAAAAGTCAAGTGAAAGATTATTAAGATAATTTTCTTGTTTTAAAGCAGAATCATCAACATTAATTTTTTCTGCTTCGATTAATGTCTATATAAGTTAAACATAATTCTTTTTTTTAGTTATTACTTTTCGTATATCTGTTAAAAAATTAATTAATAAAATAGACTCATTTTCTGCATCTTCTATAAATAATTTATTTCCATCCAATTCATTAATTTTATGATTCTATCGTAAATTAATTTAATTTTAAAATATATTATATATACTATAGTAAGAGAATTTGCAGACACAAGAGCCTTTTGCAACCTTATACGCGCATCAAGAAGACAATCATAAATTTTCTTTAAATTAATCTATAATATATCATTAAATAGTGTTCTTACTAATTGTGCTTGAATGTGTTTTCCTTTTTCAATCTCTATTTGATTTGTTTTTGCTATTTCTTGGACTAAATCCCTAATAACATAAACAAATTTATAAAGAAAAATACTTGCTTACTTTTGTTCATTTTCAATAAAAGATTTTAGTTCTTCACGTCTCTTTTTTTCAGCATCATCAGCAATATCAGAAAATTCATCAAAATCCATATTAGAATACGTTTCATCATTATCTATGGATAACGAGCTCAAAATCTCATCATCTTCTGAAAAATCTTTATATTTATTTGTTTTATCTTCCAACATATCATAATCATCATACAAATCTTTTAAATTTGTTTTTTTTCCAAAATACTTCTTATCTTGCAAAACTATACCATCATCTCTTATTTTACTCTTTCTATTAAATATATATAATCAACTTTATTTTATAATTTATTTAAATAATACCCTACTGTTAAATAATGTTCACGACCTGTATATATATCACTAGAATCTGAAGAACTCTCGAAAAAATGACTCTCATCAATAATGTCTTCAGGATCATATGTTTCTACATACTTAATTACGAAAACCTCAAATATATATTTAAAGTTATATACCAACAGGTGCTGGATTTTCAAGATCAATTAATTCATTTATCCAGTTATTTTTTTTCCGATTTTCTATAAAAGCTTAGTTTATAAAATATAAAACTGCTTAAAAACTATATAAAACCTTTTTTTTCTAACACTTCTACCATTTTCTTTATTTTTTAATTTTTGGATTTTTTTAAAACATTTATGATAAGCTCGAATAAAAATGACAAGTTCTATTAAGAAACATGAAAAATTTACATAAAAATATTATAATAAATATGTTTAATAAACTACAAAATATTTCAAAAAAGAGATATTTTTCTTTGAATAAATCAATATATAAAAATATACCAGTATAATATTTTTTAATAAAATTAAATAATATTGATATTTTTTAGAAAATCCCAGAAAATGAAATTTTAAGAATGCGCTATGGGCTTCCAAAGAAATCTAAAATCAATGGAATTAATAAAGTTATTGCAGTTGCATCAGCAAAAGGAGGCGTTGGAAAATCGACAATTTCAAGTATTTTATAAGAATATACAATAAAATTTAACTTTTAAAATATAGCAAATTTAGCTGTTGCAATGTCTCTTTCTGGAAGAAAAGTAGGTCTTTTGGATGCTGATATATTTGGTCCCTCCATACCAAAAATGTTTAATTTATTTGAAAAACCTTATTTATCAGAAAGTAATTTAAACGGATTATAAATTTCAATTAAAGATAATAGAAAAGCATTTTGTTCCTTTGACAAATTATGGTGTTAAAATAATGTCAATGGGACTTCTTATAAACAAAGATTCACCTATAGTTTGGAGAGGATTGATGGTAATGAAAGCTTTACAGCAATTAATACATGATGTAGACTGGGGAACATTAGATTTATTAGTTATTGATATGCCTCCAGGAACAGGTGATACACAACTTACAATCACTCAACAAATTATTCTAGATGGTATATTTTACATTATTAACTTCATATTTATCTAAAATTTAGGCGTGGTTATTGTTTCTACACCTCAGGACATTGCTTTAATGGATGCAATTAGAGGAATTAATATGTTTCGGAAAATGGATATTAAAGTATGTATAAAATACATATATATAATATATATTAAAGTATTCTTCAAATAATAGATTCTTGGAGTTGTTGAAAATATGAGCGTATTCGTATGCCCAAATTGTAACTACAATACACATATTTTTGGAATTGATGGACTTAAACGTACTGCAAAGAACATGAATATTGAAGTTCTTGCTAATATTCCACTACATGAAGACATTGTACAAGATTGCGAAAAAGGTTATCCAACTGTTATTGCTGATCCTAGTAGTTCTCAATCTTTATCATTTAAAACATTGGCCAATATTATTTGGGAGAAATTATAATATATATATATATATTCTTTTGTATTTATGATGTTATTATATATTTTCCTTAATAATATATATATATATAAATCTTATCTGAATTTATTTGATAAATTATCGAAATTTAAAATATACGATTTTTTTAAAAAAATATCTATATTTCTAATATTATTTCTATGGAAATTTTTATTTTAAAGCGAATTCTTCTATTTTTCTATGATTCAAATTTATCTAATAAAAAGATTATTTAAAGAAAAATTAAATAAGTCTTTTTTAAAATTTATTAAATCAAATCATAAAATTTCATATATACACATTACTAAAAAATATTATTCATACTTTAAAGAAAATATAAAACAGAAAAATGCATTTGAGAAATATGACCAATCTAAAAGTCAAGAATTATTTTATGGAGAGATTCAAAAGAATGATATATCTAAAAAACTACAAGTCGGAATACGTCAAAAAATGATTGAAAAATATCGCTTAATAAAACAAAATGAAAAACATGAAGATGAAAATAATTCAAATATTTTAGAAAATGAAAAAAATACTAATTCAGATAATATAATTAATTTAGGTAATATTTTTGATGGTGGTTATTTAAATAATATTTCTCCTTGTGATCTCGTTGAAGTAAGAAAATCTGAGTATGGTGTTGTTGGTGTGGTAATTCAAGGCGCTATTTCAACAAGCGATAAAATTCATGTTCTTCTTGATAACAGAAAAGTTATTTATTGTAAACCGGGTGATATATTATTTTTAATACCATCATTTTTAAAAAATATTTCTAGTGAAGAACTCTCAAATTTAAATATAAAAAATGGTTATTTGTTCTCTGATAATATGATTTCTCGAAATATAATACAATCTCTTCGTGATTTCAAATTAAAGTCACATTATTTTTATAAAGATTTTTTAATTAAATCTGACAATCTTTATCAACGATTACATCATCCAGACCCAGATCAACATACTTATGTTGATCTTATGGATCTTTGTCTTTCAGAGTATGGAATATCAAAACCTAATCCTACACATTTATACGCATTACACACTTTATTAGCGAATGATCCTTATCATTATGTTATGGATTCCCGTAACCATTTATATTTAAATAAATACGAAGTTCGTCCAAAGAATGAAGTTGAAATGATAGAGACAGTTTCTCGTTGGATTCGAATTAAATCATCTGAATTTATACATTTTACACAAAAAATGACAGAAATTATTAAAGTATATCGTAAAAAAAAAAAATCCATTACACAAGCTACACAAAATATAATACTTTTAGAAGAATATGTTTTTTCAGAAACAGATTTACTATTTATTAAATTTATGAAACAGTATTTTTTAGAAAAAAGACAATTTCAGAACTCTATATATCTTTCATTTGTTCCGCAAATTCTTAAAGCCACAGGGATGTATAGCAATATTTTAGATAGGGATAGTGCTTTGTTGTTTATGCAAGAAATTGGCGTTTGGGCGCCTTGGGAAAATTATAGTAGTTTTGATCGAAGCCTTTCACTTCCTGGTTTCGGTACTTCTAAAGTTATAGATACATTACTTGAGAAAATGACATATAAATCAAATCTGTCACCAAACCAATTACAAAATTTTGAATTACAAGATAATCTTGAAAACTTAAGATATGATTTTGGTCAACTCCCGGTATATGTAATGGATGATTCCGAAGCTACTGAATTAGATGATGGAATTTCAATAGAAAAAAAATCAAATAATGAGATATGGTTACATATTCATATAGCTGATCCGGGTGCATTTGTTTTACCGAATTCTGATATTTCAAATTTTGCTTCAAAATTAGTTACAACGGTTTTTACTCCTGAAAAAAGATACCATATGTTGCCACATTCTTTAACTTCTTCTTCTTTTTGTTTAGGTTCGCCATTAGAGAAACATTCAGTTCTTACATTTAGTGCAAAACTTGATAAAAATGGTGGTATTTTAGACTTTAAAATATCACCTGCATGGATTTCAAATATCAAAAAATTTTCTTATGATGAAGTAGATAATAATGTTTTTAATGTTTCATTAAAAGATATATCCTATTGTTTTTCGACAGAATTTCCTAATAACTCAATTGTTAAATCAAATAAACGGCAAATGGATCAAACAAATTTTTTGGATAAAAAGAATTTAGATGATATTTACAAAATTTCAACACTTCGTTTACGATATAGAATTTCAAATGGTTTTTGGCAATATTCTACAACATCTGCCAATGTCAAATTACAATATACAGGGTCTTACTTTACTTCCATAACAAATAAACCTCAATTTTTTCAGAATTATCCAAATATTAAAAATGTTGTATTTGATCTATTGGACTCTCCAACACGAGTAATGGTGGCTGAAATGATGATTCTAGCAGGAGAAATTGCTGCTAAGTATTGTGTTGAAAAAAAGTTACCTGTTCCTTTTCGATCTCAAAGTATAATTTTAAAACATCAATATCTCAATAAATATAATAAAATTCTTGAAAAAAGAAATTTCGAAACAGGAAGAGTAAATCTTGAAGATGGATTAAAGTTAGCTAATTATACAGGACCAACTATAATTTCAACATCTCCAAATTCTCACTCATCATTAGCTTTGAATCATTATGTTCAAGCGACATCACCCTTGAGACGTTATTCTGATTTAATTACTCATTGGCAAATTCAAGCATCTCTTAAAGGAAAAGAAAACAAAAATTTACCATTTTCTAAAGAGTATTTAGATTCTGTCTTACCATTATGGTATTTTAAAGAAAAAACTTTAAAAAATTTTGGAAAAAGCTCAACAAAATTATGGGTTTGTTTATTATTATTAAAAATAGGTTTAGAAACTCTTTCTCCTTTTCATGCATGGGTATGGTCTATACAAGATAGAAAATTATTAGTAACTGGAATAATTAAAGAGCTTGGTATCAATTGTAAAATTAGTAACAACAACGGTTATTTTCATAACAATTTAGGGGATTTAATACAAATAAAAATTACACGAATAGATTTAGTAGATCGAGTAATTTATGCATGTCAAATATAAAATTTAAGTCTATAAAAATATTTAATTTTTTAAAATAATATGTACAATAGCTGATGAATAAATGTATAACTATTTTAAATTGCATAATACAGTCAATGTTCCAAAAGTCTTAAATTTCTATAATCTTATCAATGAAATAAATAATAAACAAATATTTCTAACCCTGTAACTACAGTATTCTCAAGTATAGATCCATTTGGAATATCTATACTTTGACCATCACTTGCTACTATAATAACTGTACCTATTTTTATATTAGATAGACTTTATATGTTATTTTTTAATTCCCTTTTAATACAACGTTCTTTCCTAAGTTAACTGCGCCAGTCATAGTAAGATGGTCTAATTCTAAAATTTTTGGAATATATGGAATTCGTTTTTGAAAATCACTAACTTTTTTAAAATGACTTCCTAATTTTATAAGCGGAACCCCCCCAAAACGAACCTGATCCATAATAAGTTGACCATTATGTAAAGAATAAAGATCTGATTTAACCAGGAAAAGATCTGAACATGTTTTGACAGGAAGAAAACGACTCCGAGGAACATTGATACCACATGCACGTTTAAAATAATGAATTGCTGATCCAACAGCAGTTTCAAGCTGGATGATACTTATATCAGTATTTCCTTTTGCATCTGAAAGAGTTTTATAATTTGGAATAATTTCTAATGCTAACTCATTATTTTCAACAACACGTTTAACAGATGATAAGTTAAGCCAAATATTATTAGTATTAAAATATTTAAACTTTTCTATAGACTTAAATTCCTCTACATGCTCCGGAGGTACTTGAGCTATTTCAAGAAGACGAACTTTACCCTCATAATCAATAATTGTTCCACCTTTAACATCTGCTTTCGTTTTATCTGTCAATTCCATTATATATTCAGAGTCACTATCAATCATATATTGCAAAATATTCAAATCAACAACTGCCCCAAGATTATCAATATTAGATACAAATAATATTTCTTTTCCTTGGGAAAGCAATTTATCAAGTAAACCTGTATTAGAAATGGCTTCAAACAAGTCTCCATGACCAGGAGGATACCTTAAATATTAATATAGATATAAGTATGAAGTAGTAGTAACCATTCAGAAATAGAAGAATTGTACATTCGAGGAATAGGAAGAAGAGATTCTTTACTTATTCGAGGGTATCTAGATTGATTAAAGGTAATAATATCAACATTATGTCCTTCATATTTTTTAATAATTCTACTGGTATCATCGTCTGTATTAAATGAATTCATAAGGACAAATGGTACATTAACATTATATTTTTTATTAAGATACTATATTTTTGTTAAAAAAATAAAAATATTATGAAAAATACTTCTATTTGTTTAACAGTAAGGTCAAGAAAAGTATGTCCTTCACGGACCTCGATAATACTTTTAGGTCCAACACACCCCATAGTAGTTCCAAGACCACCATTAAGCTTTAAAACCACCAATCTATCAAGAAGAACTCTTACAGAACTTTTATCAGCCTCCTTAATACTACTGTATTCAAGCACTTGTTCACTATTAGGTATTTTGATTCTATCCCATTGTCTAATAATAAATATAAACTCAAAATAAGAAAAAAAAAATACATACAATGTTTTTTCTTCTATTTTATTCATTAAATATCTGTTAAAAAGAGAAAAAAAATTGTCAATTTCCATTTTAAAAAACTATAACTTTTCAGATATTCATCCAATAATGTTTATGCCGCAATTGACAAAAAACATAAAAGTATTATACCTTCAAACGCTCCTCATCTTTAACTGTACTTAAAAGCTTATCAAGTTCGTTCTTCATTGCTATAGATGAAATATTCATTGATGCATCTTTAAACGTCTGTTCTATCAGATTAAATTCTATTTTTTTATAAAACTCACCATTATTGTTGGTGTTTTTTCAAAAAACAATTGCTTATCTTCATTAGAAGTATATATTCCATTTGTTTTTACTTCATTCATTGCGTTTATTTCTTAATACTATTGAGAATTGTGTAATTTTTGTATTCCGCACGTTTTAAGGGCACGTTAAATGTCTCTAAAGTATAAAATATAAAATGTCTGCTTTAAAATAAGTATTTTTTAAAAATATAAATAAAATTGATTCATAATAAAAAAACCTTAATAAATATATAAGAAAAAAATAAAAGATTTAATTTAAAAGATAATAATTAAAGTATAATTTGATAAACATTATGAAAAAATATATCAAGCGAGATGAAAAACTACAATATATGTTAAAATGACTGTTATTTTTATGTATGTGTATATTTAAGAGTGTTATAATTTTTATTTATGAAAATATAATGACAATAAACATATTAGGAATCAAACAAGTCAAAAATGCCAATCTATGCAAAGATTATCTAATGAAGAAAGTGTAAATATTGATGTTAAGCTCATAAATTATCGATGATGTGACGAAAACATGTTAAAAAGGTTATATTTAAATAGTTAAAAGTCGATTATTTGGTTTAGCACTCTGTTGGAACAGTAGGTAATTTTGGTGTGTTCGAACAAGTAGATGTAGGTGTATTTAATGTACTACGATTGTACTGCATATGACTTCTTACAAGATGACCTATTGATGTTATTAAATAGAATAAAATATAAAATACAAAAATTTACCAGCTGCAAGAGCAGAACAAAGACTAAGTTCACCAGCAAGAACAGCAGCAGCAACGATTCTGGCAAGTCGTTTTGCATTATCACCAGGTGATGTTGGATGAGGCCCACGGACTCCAAGTAAATCTAATAATGCACCTTGTGGTTCTAATATAGTTCCGCCACCAATAGTTCCAACTTCAATTGAGGGCATTGAAACAGTTATAAGAAGATTACCATTTATACTATTAATATTAATATTTTTTTTTTTTTTTTAAATGTATACTTTTTCATTAGAGTTATGCAATTAGCTGACTCTACAACTTGTGCTGGATCCTGTCCTAAAGCAATAAAGAGAGCAGCAACAATATTAGCAGCATGTGCATTGAATCCTCCAATACTTCCTGCCATAGAACTTCCAACTAAATTTTTTGAAATATTTAATTCTACGAGATCATCAACATTAGATTTAAGAACTGATTTAACAATGTCTTTTAAGATTACAGCTTCTGCAATAACACTTTTTCCGCGGCCCTCAATCCAATTTATAGCAGCAGGTTTTTTGTCAGTACAATAGTTCCCTGAAATTGAAATTATTTTCATATCATCAAATCCCAAATCTTCCGTCATTGTCCTTAAAACATTTTCGACTCCTTTTGACACCATATTCATTCCCATAGCATCACCTGTAGTTGTAGAAAACCTTATATATAAATTAGTGCCAGCTATAGCTGTTTTTGTGCCAACAAGACGAGCAAATCTACTAGTTGAATTAAATGCCTTTTTAATAGCTTTTTGACCTGTTTCACTATCTAACCATAGTTTTGCCATGCCTGTCCGTGAAACAGTAGGAAATGAAACACAAGGGCCTCGTGTCATTTGATCTTGAACTAAAATAGTTGTAACTCCTCCGCTAGCATTAATAGCTTTACATCCTCTAGCAGTACTTGCCACAAGTACGCCTTCAGTTGTTGCCATTGGTATGTATAGATTAACTCCATCAATCAATAATGGTCCAGCTACTCCAACAGGAATCGGCATATAACCAATAACATTTTCACAACATGCACCCAGAATACGTGCATAATTATAATTCTTAAAGGGTAGTGCAGACGTTTCTAAAGTCTTTGTATGAGATTTCCGTGAAATAAATGATCTTCGAATTTTAACAGCTCTTTCTGGATCATTAAGGACTTTTTCTAATGCATGACCTGGAATTTTAGAATTCAAAGCTAAATGTACAACTTCCTCATCCGTAAGTAGATGAGAAAGACCCTGTTTTAATAATTGCTCGCATTTATCAATAGATCTTAATTTTCCGTCATTAATGTCATTATCTATATTTTTCTCTAAATAATTAAAACTATTATTAACATTCTCAATGTTATCAACTACATAAGATGATTTCTGAGTTTCTGGTAATGTTTGAACCGGAGTAATCCAGCGAGTCACATTAAATAAATATGCATTAAATATGATACTTAAGACCAATATAATCATAATCCATTTACTCATCACAGGGTCTGAAATACATTTTGCCCACAATTCAAGAACCTGAAGTAGAAACTCAATATAAGAAGGCCTATTTATAGCTTTAAGAGTGAATACAGGTAACACATTCAATAAGATCTTTTGAACTGATGGATCAATATCATTAATCAACTTTTTAAGAAGACCCTGAATTTCATAAACTTCAAGAGGATTAATCTTAATTATTCTGAACTCTTGATTTGACGACGATTTCAAATGATTAACAGTTTGAAATGGAAATGTGCATAAATTAAGAAAATTAATAAGAAAAAAGCAAATAGTCATTACTAATTTAAATCTGCTTATGTTTAATTCTTTAACATTATGGTATCCAAAAACACTGTATATGCCAATATTCGTAAATTTTTTTCCATTCATAGTACTATTTTGTTTATAAGAACTAATTTCTGATGTATTATATATAGTATCATGTAATATCATATTTTTTTCAAAAATTCGTTTAATACCAGCTCGTTGTTTAATACGATTTATCTAAAATATCTTAAATACAAGAAAAATATTTAAAATCTAAAGCAAACCTCTAACTTTATAGTTAAAACAGCTATATAAAATGTAAATAAAAGTAGACAATCAAATCCCAATATCCATGCAGCAACTTTGCAAAACTGATTTAAGCCATCTACACGACTCATTGCACCTAATACCAATATCCCTATTTCAAATAAATAATCACGAACAATTATCCATCCTTTATCTTTAACAGCGTTTATTACGTTTTCCCTTATAGGATTTGTATCAATATTCGAGGATGAATGTATTACAGCTCTAGTTAATAAACTTGGCTTTTCAAACCCAACAGTAACAGCCAAAAAAGGAATTTTTTTTGATAAAAGTAATGGATTTATATGATCTCCAAAGTAATTAACTATATTAAGTGCAAACAGAAATGCAAATGTGCCAGAAGTCAAAACTACTGCTGCAAGCCAGAAATCAGATCCCAACGTTCTCATATTAAGAAAAAGTGAGACAAATAAAAGATTCATAGACATATACCCAATAAGTAACACTACAATATCAATTATATCAGTATCCTAATACCCCATTAAAATTAAACAGTAAATGAGTAAATAAACAACTTTAATATGTCTCCATATTTTCTCAATGATAGTATAAGTATTGTTACGTAACCAATAAAACAATATACTAGGACCATTTATATTTTGCTGTAAACGGTGCTTTGTTTTTGAATAAATTAAATCTTCTGTTCTTATGTTTTGAATACGCTGTTCTAACTCAAATACCATCAATGGTGAAAGATCTTTTAATATAATCTTAGAAGATGTTTCATTTCCATAAAAAAGACAGTTATTAGCATTGGTTTTTTTAAAACACATATCATAGAATAAATCTATAAACTCTTCCCGTTTATCCGAGCGAGGATGAACAAATTGAAGAACATTTAGAACTAATGAATTTGTATCACTATTATATGACTATATTAAAAACTAATTAGTATAATCCCATAAATTAATCTTTCTCATTCAATTTACTAACATTTTGACTATATTCCCAATTCCATTCTCCATTTTGAGTTTTAGTTCCTGCTAAAACTCCTTCTATACTTCGAAAATCAAGATTAAGATTATTCGTAAAAGATGCTCCGAAATCAATACCACCTTGTCTGACAATTTCAAAGAGACGAATATACGCAGTCGTAGCAAGTAATGAAATAACAACAACTGTATGAATGGGATATCTTGATGACTGCGATGCTAATCTTGTTAAAACCATCTGTATCTTATCGTGATGGTTCAAAAATTAAGCTAAGTTTTAGTAAAAATCTATAATTTAGAGTTTATATTAGTGTTTAATAATAAAAAAAAGTATCTAAATACGTTAAAAAAAGGGAAAATTCCAAGATAATATTGTGCTTTTAAATAATAAATAATATATTTGATTTTGTTATTTTTTTATTTTTTTTGAAAAAACAAGCTTTCGAAGCATCTTAAATTTATTTTTAAAATTTAAGTATAAAATTTATAGTTTGTAAATGATTTGTCTAGAATAATGATTCTTTTTATTTGTAAAAAAGTAAGATTAATTATAATACGGACAATATAGTCTGTTAAAAGAGCAAATTTATACAAATATAACAAAAGTCCTAGAAAAAGTAATGAAATATCGTAAATGGAAGAGTAAAAAGAACATGATTTAAATGGATTATGTCAAAAATGAATAAAAATGAAGGCTAGGATCGTAGCATATGAATAGGACATCCTCCATTACCAATAGTCATAGAAATCCATTGTTTTATACATATCTAGTAATAGATTAGAAGCAAAATAAACCTTTCATGGCATAATACCGCATGATAATTACAAAAACATTCAAGGCGTGCTATTTTTTCCCCAGGTTGCATTTCTTCAAAACAAATTATACATTCAGTACCTACAAGAGAACTAGATGGAGGAAGGGTATAAGACAAGAATCGTCGTTTAAGAGTTAAATCAAATACAAAACGGTTGTTTTCCAAGCATTCAGCAATATGTGTTTCTCGAGCAAGTAATGTTGGTATCAATGAAAAAGACTCTAAACATACAGGGCACTCTGACATATCGTCATTATTAATCTGTGTTTGTTCAAGTATTGGTGAACAAGATCCTTCTTTTTTCCCCGATTGTTCTTCAAATAACTGCAGAAAGCATTTATCACAGACACGGACAAGTTTAGACCCGTTATGTTTGTTCACATTTTTTACTCCACTAAATGACCCTGAAAATTCCTAAATACATTAACTTTTGACACAAATACAAAAATATTTTCAAAAAAACCCAGTTATTAGATGAACAGTTTGAACAAACTACACATCCACATTTTCTGCAATGATGTCTTCGGTGAAAAAAAGAAAATGCTCTATAATGAATAGTTAGTTGTCTTTTATACTAACAGTGTATTTTAACAACTTTCTGCAAAATGGACATAACAAAACATCTGAATCTGGTTGCCATATTCTTGAAGTATTTGAAAATGTGTTTGACTGTTGTTGAATAACATTAGAATGACAAAATAGTGGTGCCATATAAGAATATAAATTAAAAAGCCTTAGTTCTTATGTATTTTTGCAGCAATTTTCTTAAAAATAAGCCAACTTTTGATTTTTATTATATTTATAGGGTGATTATTTTATATCCTAAAAGTGTCACTCGATAAGATGTTTTAAAATATAAAGCTAAAAATGAATAATGATAATTTATGTATAATCATAAAACTTTTATCTTTGGAAAAGTTCTATAAACACAAAAGAGATGCTTTTCTAAAGTTATTTTTATGAATTTAAAAAAAATGTCAAATAATAGTATAAAGTAGAAATAGATGCATTTTAAAAAATAGTTGAATTTAAAAAGCATAAAACGGAAACATTTAAAAAAATATACATAAAAGAATATTTGAATACCTATTAATGGTTTATTAAAGAAAACTGATATCATTTCTTGTACTCTGATAATTTTAAATTTAGATTATAAATGAAGAGATATGCTTAAAATGTCTTTATAGATGCATAAAATCACTATTTATACAAACTTTCATCAATATATGCAAAAAACCCACAATGATGAGAACATCCAGTAGCAGGACAGGCACCATAGGGACTGTATCCATCCATAAACCAGGTCCTAATACATGTAGCATGCCCCCCATGGCTACAATTCTGACACCATAAATACTGTCCTTTTACTGGTATATTACAAATTATACAACCATCTGGTATCTTCTGACAGCGCTCACAATATGAAAAATTTTTATTTATTTTCTGGTTCGTAATTGGTTTATGACAATGATTACAATTTATATAGACAGATGTTTCTGTTTGACTTAATGCTTTTATTGATAATGATGATGATGTGTTTATAACTTCAGTCATAGTTATAAACATTTTATATCTTTGCAAAAGTTCAATATATTCTGTAAGCCATTTTTCTACTTTTAGAGCATCAAAATTCGTATATTTACCCATTAACAAAACAATAGTAGCACACATTTGAACATCTCCTTTTTCACTATAATAGTCGGCAACAGCCTGAATAACTGATTCCGTAACCCATGGACAAGTATTGCTTTCTGCTATATCAGTATTAAAGGATTTAGGTTCGGAATCAAATGCATTATCTTTAGTGTCAGAATATTTCGGTAATTGTTTTTCTTGATCATTACTTCCAAAAGAACTAATACTATGGTCTGAATTAAAACTTTGAGAAACCATTTCAGAATCAGCGGAAAAATTCTGTAATCCATATATATTATTATTTGAAAATATTTTCGTTTCGTTTTGGTCAAATATATTTTTCTTATTAAAACTATTTTGTCTTAAAAGTATGGATTCTGTATTATTCCTAAAATGCTTACTAATGCGATCGCTTTTTAATGATATACTTTTGGAAGTTACGCCTACTTTTTTCAACACTTGATTTTTAGTTTCATCCATGATATCTTGTGAAGATACTTTGAAACATTTTTTGCCAATCTTTTTATGATCTTGCTTGTTAGAAGTATCATTAACAATAACGTCGGATACAGCATTTGTATAAACATTTGTTGAGTCTTTATTTTCTATAAAATATTTAAGTATTCTCCATGTTTGACTAGTACGATATTTCTGTACAGCTAATGCAAAATTGGCATTGTTTTCACATGCTTGAGAAATTGAAACACTAGGTGATGTAGTAATACTATAATGCTGAGCAAGATAAACAAAACAATAATACTCGAATCCAGAAATAATAACGGTTCCAGAAACTTGCAACGGTTTATAAAGCTGACCTGCAATATTATTGAGAGTTTTGTTACTTCGATAATCATATAAACGAGGATATTTCTTATTAAACGCAGTTTCATCTTCTATTGGATTCATATATTCAGTTTTGATGGAATTCATTTCATCATAACGATTCTGAAATACAATACTTAGATTTCCTAGTGGACTCCAACCCATACCGATAACAGAAATAGAGTCTAGTGGAATTCTTGCTTCAGAAACAGAATACTGTATGAATGTCTTGTCTTTAGAACACGACCATAAATAATTTTCATCTTTCCATACAATTCCTAAAACAAATAAGGAAAATCATTACCAAGATGAAAACAAATATAAACCTGTTGTTACATTCTCATGCTTATCAAGAATTCTTGAAGCAATATATGGACGTCGTATATCCCAAATATATATTTTATAATCGGAAACTAAAGAACAGCTCGCTATTTCTGTCCCCCAAATATTCCCATTCCTTTTATTAGAAATAGGTTTCCATGCAATCTTGCTAACTGGAGCAGTAGTTTGTATTACTGATATGGGTTTAGACGTTTCCGAAAACATATCCCAAATTTTAATCATCTTATCCCTTCCACCTGTAGCAATATGCTGTCCATCTGGGTGCCAATCAAGTGTAAGCGTTAACCCACTATGTGCGTTGATTTTACGTTCATACATATTCGGTTTTCGAATATCCCAGCGCTGAACCGTCCCATTTTCAAATGCTGCTGCAAATTCGCTCATAGAATTAGGATTAAACTGAATATCCCTCACTGATTCTGCTCTTCCTTGCATCGTATGTTTCGATGACCCATTTCTATCCCTCAAATCCTATTCCTGTCACATTTTTCCCATCCATACTATTTATTTATACCCATAACTTTATCGTCCCATCTTGAGACGCACTTAAAAGCCAATATCCCGTTAACTGATTAAACGCAAGTCTATTTACTGACCGAAAATGCTCCGTAATCACCCGATCCACATGATAATCGTATGCTTTTACTAAATCCCATAGAACAATCGATCCATTTGTTGATGCTGTTGCTAAAATATTACGTGTGCCTTATAAACAGTCAAATAAGTCCAATGAAAACACTGCAATGCCATTATAATTATACTGAGCCCTTGCAGCACTAATTTATTCACCTGCACACCCCCATTTAACATCACACGAGGAAAAAGTAGGGCTCCATCGGTTTCCTGAACATAATTGTGTTTCATTTATAACTCCATTGGTATCAAGATCCAGAATCTTAAGAACTGTTTCAAATTAATAAAAAATCAAAATCCAGCTTAAATAACATTCAAAGTAACGTTGAAACAAAGTAACTGTGAAACGCAGCCCAATGGCTAAAGACGTTTCCTCCATTACAACCAAAACCCACCTTCACGCCCAACTACTGCTACACGATCTCGTGATGAATTTGCTGCAAGAGATAGCAGACTCCCTTCAAATTTCCATGAAAATGTGCCTCCCTGGTCACTCCGATCCAGTATTTCGTCTCTTTGCTGCTGCATATATACTGGCTCCAGCTATATCTGCAAAAACTGCGTATGTATGCACCAAATTCCTTTATATATGCGCACTATTACGTGCTGTATATGTGCTATATGCGTGCTATATGCACTGAAATCTCTACTAATGTATTCTCAAACACTTTCAAGCTTATACCCTACTACACCCTATTATACTGTATATATGCGTCCTTAAATTTATATATATCCTATATATGCGCACAAAATCTATATATATTCTGTATATATGCGTCTTAAAACACGCTATTTCGTCTAAAAAAGCTCAAAATTGCTTTTTCCGCCCCTTCAAAGCATATAATAAGACTCATCTATATAGATATTTATAGATGCTCATACGCTGCTTATATCTCTACTTGTATGTATTGTAGAAATGCCTTTTACCGCTGCTTAATCTCCATCGTTTTTCCAGATGGTCCCGTAAGACTGTTTTTCAGCGTTATTATAAAGTGCCGCTGAAACGTAAAAGTATTACAAAATTAGCGTTGTATCTAGAAAGGCCCTCAAAAACCACAGAAAAACATAAAAGCCTCTTTTGGGCTCTTATTTTGCTTTTATAGGATCTTTTTTCCTCATTTTTAGTTCTATTTACTGCTATTTTCTTTACACAATGGCCGGCGGCGTTACTGTACGTGATGTCGATGCTAATGTATTTATTGGTCACTATGCCCAATATCTTAAGAAGTCTGGAAAGCTCAGTGTCCCCCAGTGGGTTGATGTTGTTAAAACAGGCCATTCAAAGGAAATGGCACCTTATGATCCTGATTGGTATTCAGTTTTAAATTATCATTATTATTTAATGTATATTATGTATAGGTTTTATATTAGAGTTGCTGCTATTGCACGGCATATATATTTAAGAAAGCATACCGGTGTAGGTGCACTTTCGAAGCTTTATGGTGGATCGAAGAACCGTGGTTCAAGGTGCGTTAAATGAAATGCATAGTATATATAGTGTGTATACAATGCGCATATAGTGCGTATTTAGTGCGCATATATAAAGAGAAAGCACGCATATAGTGCCTCTTCTGATCTATAGAGGGCGTTTTATGTGCATATAGTGTATAGAAGACGACTTACCTATTTTCCAGGCCTTGTCACCACTATGACGGCTCGAGATCGATCCAGCGTAAAGCGCTACAGTCACTTGAAGCACTTGGTGTTCTTGAAAAAGATGCACGTGGAGGACGGCATATTACTCAGCAAGGACAGCGTGATCTTGATCATATTGCGCTTTTTGCTGTAGAAAACAAAGTTTAGCTGTATATATATATATCTATGTGCGTCTAGATGTATATATCTGGAAAGATATAGGATGGGTGTGTCTGCAAGAGTAGGAACAAGGAATATCTATAACATGTATATATTGTGTACAGCATGTATATTATGTATATATAACATATATAACCTGTATATAATATACATAACGTATACACACTATACACACTAAACTACTATATATACTATATAGCCCTATACATGCCTACATACTATATTATACATCATGCTATACGTTATACTATATATGCTGTAGTATACACTATACTATACGTTATACTGTTATTATGTTGCACGTTGTACTATAATATATACTATACTTGTATATTATACTATACACCATACTATATAGCATGGCTATACATATAATACGTATTATACACACCATGTAGACGTCTATGGATGGGGTATAATTATATTATATATGTTGTACATGTTTAAAGCCTATAAAAGCCTATGATAGATTATATAATGTGTCTATGTGTCGGTGGATTCGGGATAAGGTTCTATATAGAATGGTATCCATTGACCGTGTCGCCGAGGAGCAAACTCAAAAACAGCGCCGTCTCCAAGACCAGCGTCAGAAAGAGTTTGTGTATAATCAGTATGTACTATGCCAGAGATTTTAAGACGAATATCTATATTATATTTAATTATATTTAAATGAGTATCAGAATATACCGTCATCATTAGGATCATCGAAATGTGTATCGCGTAATGCGGTGAATAATTGTTGTTTGAGGGATTCAAGAGAGTCATCGGGAGCAGCAGTAAGAAAAATTGTTATTCGAGAGTGTTTTGCACGTAAAATCCACATTTGCAGGATAAAACAGTAATAAAAACAGTAATATAGGGTTTATATGTGTTTACAGACTCATAAAATGTTGATAGCGTTTTTACATAATATTAATTGTTATAATTTGATCTTTTTCTCGGTATTTCTTGATTGCAGGTTTATAGTTTGCGATTTCGAAATTTGTTAGGTTTCGGAGATATTTTTAGTATTTGGAGTAAATATTTGGGTAAATATTGGGATATTTTAGTATTTGCTTAATTACTTTAATTTTGGGTTTTGGTTTTACCCTTAAACTTTGTATTTTGGTTAATGAATAACGAACGATTGGGAGTTCCACTGGCTTCACGGCTTATTTTGTATGTATCAGCAACGTCTCTTGTATGTTTCACTTTAGGATCAGTCCTGGGTGGCAAAAAGAGTGGACTACGTGTAAGCTTTATTATAGGCTAAGGGTGTTTTTAATGGTAAATAGTTTTTTGCAGAAAATGCACATAGACTGCCAACTACGATTGATGGATGGTATTTCTATCATAAAACGAAGAATTACAAGTATGTTTATGTATTTTTATTGAATATATAAATTTAGGTTAGAAAGTGTTATGCTAGGTGCCATAAAAACAGGTGTTAAATATGCACTACGTACGTCTTTTTGGGTAGCAACATATGTATGTATAGAAGCAGGAATGGACCACATTCGTAGGTGTATAGATGTAGCGAACACAATGTTTGGGACAGTACTAAGTGGAATGACATTTTCATATATAAACCGACTTTCTCGTACAATGGTTCTTCGTATATTTTATTTAACAAATTGTTTTGGATTTGCTAGTGGGATTTTACAAGATCTTATAAGATATCGAAATGGACAATACGTTTGGTATCTTGAATCATAAGTTGATATAGTATTTATAGGATATTGGTATAACGTGGTGCAATGCAAATATGGCACTAGTTCGATATTATTCATCATTTACATCAATGTTTATTGGAAAAGTTAAAATGGCTGCAATGCCGCTTAACTGGTTTAATTGATGGCCGGATTCATGCAAACTTGAAAAAATTAATACTTTGCCTCCATTTTGTTTTACTGTTTCAACAAGTTTTACATAACGTCGTCTTTCATTGACATCATTACTTCTATTCCTATATCAATTTTTAAATTCATTATATAATATGCAATATACCTAAAAAGCATATCAGAAATTAATAGGGTTTCTATTGCTCCACGTTCTGCAGCTAAAAATACTTCTTTTATTCCATACCATGCTTTCGTTTCATTATTATGTAATGTTTTATAAAATCTATTCAACGCCATTGTTTCTTGAGCAAATTTTGTATCTATTAATTTTGCTGATACACTCGGTGAATTCAAAACTTCATTTAATGAATGCATATGTCCGCTAGAACAATGAAGCTGAAGAAATTTCGGACGTGACTGCAAAAGTCCTTTATTATCCACTTTAATCGCTTCATTAAATATATATTTAATCAATCCTTCACCAACAAATCCAGAAGATGCTATTAATATTACTTTTAAATTTTTAAAATCAAATGATCGTAACATTGCTTGCATTACTGTTTCATAAAATTTATTTATACCCTTATTCTTATTATAATTCAAGTTTTTTTGGTATTTAAAAGTTACCTTTTGATAATCTGTTACATTCTCCTTGCGTTTTCGAGGTATATGAATCTCAATTCGCTGTTGTAAACTAGTCATATAGTCTGTAATTAAACATACATTTGCAAGTCCTAATCAAGACCTATGTCATTATTGATAATATGTGTTATATTTATACCCTCTTGCAATACAACTGCGCCTATTTCTGCTCTTTTGGTAGGATTACAAGCTTTATCTAGTCTTTCTAATGATATACTATCCCATTCTTGTTTCGTCAATGTAAAGTTTCTATGTAGTTCTAAATCCAATGTATGATAAGAACCTATTTTAACATGTTTATTTTCTTCAGAAACTGTGCCATTTATATGTAACTGAGATACTTGAGGATCAAAATCTATTTTTTTTACAGACAACGTCAATGTCATTTTCACTAAAGAAATAAGTTATAAATACATATGAATATTATATAATTTTCCTCTTTGAGATGTTATTCCTGTAGAAGATTCATTTTGTACTCGTCTATATATTATTGGTCATATTTCAAATTACTTCATTAGATATACCTTATTGTAGATGCTTTAACAAGATCTCCCTCTTGTATCAAATTATATGAATGCCTTGTAAAGTTTTAACTTTTAATACCTTAATATATACCTTACCATATATCTTCAGGTTCTTCGGGGTATAAAACAATAGTTCCTGAAGAATCTCGCTCAATATTCTTTCTAATAATTTTCATATAGAATATTTTTAAATATTTATTTTAAAATATAGTTGTTTTTATTGATTATATGAATATTTTTTGGGATTTTGGCAAGTTTTAGTTTTTCGATTATCTTTTAATTAAACACTTAAAAATCATAAATTTATAAACCCATTCAAAAAAAAAGTAAATAATATATTGTAATATTTCATTATAACCAAACAAATAAATATAATAATTTAACATTCAACTCCAGAGTTTCTTTTTATAAGAATGCAGCCCTAGTATAAATTAAATTAGGTTTAATTAAAAGTTGATAAATACCGTGGACATTCCCTTCTAATTGACTTGCAACAGTCCGAAGCTCAAAACGTACATTTTTTTTCCGTACCTGTCTTCTTAGTTCCGTTAAATTTCGTACACCGATATCTTGTAATGAATGTTGAAGCCCGGTTCGTAAATAAGGAAGATATACATGTAATGATCCTTTATCCACAACACTTCCTGAAACACCTTGGGCAACACGAATAGTATCTGTTTCACCAAAATAACGACTAGATGCGGCATTTTCTCCTTTGCCTTTTCCCGATAAATGTTCCATAGCATCAATGGAGCCCATTCCACGATATGATTTTAAACGTTGACCATCTCTGTAATAATATTGACCAGGAGATTCTGCTGTTCCAGCTAAAAGATTGCCCATCATAACAGCAGATGCTCCTAATGCTAGTGCTTTTGTTATATGACTATTTAGATAAATCTATGAATTATATATTATGTTTTTATTTACCCAATGTTTTCGATTCCTCCATCTGCAATAGTTGGTACTCCGAATTTAGATGCAAATTCTGATACAGCATAAACAGCTGTTGCCTATAATATTGAAATTAGTAATAATATCTACTTATTAAGTAATAAATACTTGAGGCCGCCCAACTGCCATTACTTCTCTACAAAAAATCAATTTTAATAATTAAACGAAAAAAATTATTACTGTGTTATACAAATTGAACTAGACAATATTAATTTATAAGCTCAAAAAATATAGATTAATATACCCTGATCCCATACCTATTCGCAATGCGTCTGCTCCAGCTGATATTAAATTAGCAGCTTGTTCTCTAGTTACAACGTTTCCAGCTATAATTTCTAAACCAGGAAATTCCTTTTTTATCCATTTAATCATATTAATTTGATAGATAGAATTCCCCTGACTTGAATCTAGAACAACAATGTCTAATCCCGCGTCAACTAAATATTTTAATCTAATTCTATCTTCAGGTCGTGTTCCAACTGCTGCTGCACAAATTAATTGTTTAGAGTCGGGTAATTTAGATGATAATGGGAAATGAAGATTTTTCATTAAATCAGAGCGAGAAAGAAGAGCTGTAAGATTCCCATTCTTATCAACTATAGGCAATTTCCCTTTTTTAGAAGAACGGAGGATTTCATTTGCCTCTTCAAGGGTAATACCCTCTGATCCTGTTACTAAATCTTTTGTCATGACTTCCGAAAGTAATGAAGAATCGTTAACATGAAACTGAATATCTCTAAACGTAACAATCCCCAAAAGCTTCCCGTTGAGTTTTCCTGTATCTAGACACATTATTATTATCCATGCATATAAATGATATATATTTAAACCAAATCAGATAAATGTTTCCACACAACTAATAAGTGATATACGGTAGAACGAAAGTTTAAAAAATAAATTCATCATATTTTCAGTCTATATTTTTATATGTTACCTGTTATTGGAATCCCACTAAATCCAAGCTCTTCTTTTATTTTACGAACATCAACCACTCTGTGGTTTGGTGACAATACAATAGGTGATGTTATAAATCCATTTTCAAATTTTTTAACTTTTCTAACCATTTCCGTCTGTTCTTCTATTGTACAATTATGGTGAATAACTCCAATGCCCCCTAGGAGTGCCATGTTAATCGCCATATCCGATTCAGTAACAGTATCCATTGGAGAACTATACATTAATACTCTAGCAATAAAAATAACATGAAAACCTCATAAATGGCGTTTTTATAACTATATTTCTCGTAATACGACTTTCAAGAGATACTGAGCTTGCATCAAAATCAATATATCCCGGAAGAATAATTATATCATTATATGTTAATCCTCCATTGACCCGGCTAAGAATAAGAGTATTCACGTCTAATCCATCCTTTTATTTTTGTTAATTTTCAATAAAAATACTCTGATTTTACATACTTTTTCTGCATATTCTTTAAGTTTTTCCTTTGCTTCTTCAGCTTTACATTCACTTAAATATTCTTCTGTTTCTAATTCCTCCATTTATACGCTTTCACTTTTTTTCCAAATTTACATTATAATTGATAATGTTTCAATAATGTTAATCGATGGTGTTGCCATAACAACGAATATTTATTTTTCTAGACGTTCAACCTCAAACCATAAAAAATAAACCAATATTTAAAGATGCATGGCACTGGATCATTGCCTTCTACACCTTCAAAAGGATTGACAGAAGTATCTACTAATTGTTCATCATATAAAGAGAATCTTCCGCCACGAATGTCTTTGTCGCCGTATAAAATACAATCACCTAATCATTTGATGGAGAGAGCATCATTAGATGATCTTAAAAAGTTAAATAGAAGTACTGTTAGCCATCTTCAAACACTTTCTAAGTTGACATCTGGAAATGGCACGGAAGGCCTTTGTATCCCGGGAGTTACTAAAGGAGCAGAAGATGTTACTGGTATATGTATATAAATTACTTGGGAAAGAAGGTTAATGGGTATTTTAAGGTATGCAAGGAAGGATACGTTTGCAGAAGGCAATGGGGAATAGGCTTTTTTCATGGTCGAAAACTTGGGTGAGTTTTATGTTTGTTAAAGTGTATCGATTGAATTTTCTAAGATGGATAAACAACGTGCTAATATACAGGCGTATGAGTATTTATGCCATATAGGGGAAGCAAAGGAGTATGGCTTGTTATTATGGATGCATAAAGACTAAATTACTATGATTAGATGGATAGAATCATGCATTGGAGAAAAAATTCCAGCTATATTAGAATTGGAAGAGTCTTTACGTGATGGTATTATTTTAGCAAGACTTGTTAAGGTATTTGCACCGGACTTGGTCCCAAGGATTTTTGAAGCTACTAGGCTACAATTTCGACATAGTGATAATATCAATCGTTTTTTTCAATTTATTGAAAAAATGAATTTGCCAAATGTATATTATTTTTTGATTTGTGTTGAAGATACTTATTTTTTTAGATTTTTAGATTTGAACTTACAGATCTTTATGAAAAGAAGAATATTCCGAAAGTTATTTATTGTATTCATGCTCTTTCGTTTTTACTTTCGCATGCTGGGCTTGCTGTATCAATTGGGAATTTAATTGGAAAACTTGAATTTACTGATGAAGAAATAAAAAATACACAACGTGATCTAGACATAGCTGGAGTAAGTCTCCCTAACTTTAAAAATATTGGGAATGCATTTGCTGGTGAAATAGATGTATCTAAAGAAAAAATAAACAAATGTAATTGTATCCATATCTTTAATGCAGTTATAACACTTATTAGCTAATGAATACTCTCATTTTGAGAAGGATGCTTTTGCTTTAAAATTTCAAACTGTTTGTAGAGGGTTTCTTTTCCGTAAAAAATTATTGGAAAAATTTCAAGATCTTTTGTATGAAGAAGATATGATTTTAGCCTTACAAGCATGTATAAGAGGCTTTTTTGTGCGAAAAGTATTTTCTAAAAAAGTTATTGAGTATCGTAGATTTAAAGAATGGACAAGAAAAGTATATTTCATAATTGCCGTAATTATTATATTAAAGTAAATTTTAGATACAGGCTGTATCAAAGGGTTATCTTATAAGAAAATTTTATTTAAGATGGAAAAGTTCAATTCATTATTATGAGGATTTTGTTATTAAAATTCAAACAATTATTCGGGGAAATTTTGCACGGAAACAATATTGTTTTTTAGTAGATAGTCTTGTGTTCAATACTGAATCGGTTATTAAATTGCAATCATATTCTCGAGGTATGCTTACTCGACGTGCTTTTGATAAAATCATTATGCGTTTTCAATTAATGAAGCAATATTCTGTTCCTTTACAAGCACAATGTCGTGGAGTTTTAATTCGAAAGAAACTTGAAGATATCCTTATATCTTTGCATTCCGGAAATGATACAATTGTGCTTTTTCAAAGTCATATTCGAGGAATGTTAGCTCGTAGTAAATTTAATAGTAAAATGGAATATTATAAGGAGAATATGCAGAAAATAATTAAAATTCAAAGTTTTGTTCGTGGAAAGCTTCAAGGTCGAGCTTATAAAAGTCTTAGTATGTTCAAAAATGAATTTCTTATTTTATTAATATTTCTAGTTGTTGGGAAAAATCCTCCAGTTGGAACTATTAAAAACTTTGTTCATTTGTTAAATGATAATAATTTTGATTTTGAAGAAGAAATAGGTAATTTTTGTTTATCAATTTATTATGTCTAAAAATTATAGAAATGGAATCTCTTAGAAAATTAATTGTTCAGTGTGTTCGAGCTAATGAAGATGCTGAGGAGCATATTGCTCAATTAGATCTTAAAATTGCTTTATTAGTTAAAAATATGGTCACTCTTGATGACGTTATTCGTCATCAGAAGCGATTTTCTTCGGGAAATTTGTTTCATTCTTATTTTGAAAGGTCTTCAGAAAATTCATTTGATTTAAAAGCGCTTAACAAATCTTCTCGAGAAAAATTAGAACTTTATCAAGGGTTCTTTTTTCTTTTACAAACTTGTCCTGAATATTTTGCTCGTTTATTCTCTAGTTACTGTGATAGAGGAGTACCTGAAAAAAATATTAAGCAGCTTGAAAGTTTTGTAATGTGTATTTTTAGCTATGCTCAACAACGAAGAGAAGAATATTTTTTGTTAAAATTGCTTCGAAGATGTATCATTGAAGAGCTTATTAGAGTTGAAAATATACAGGAGTTTTTCAAACGCAATTCTTTATGGATAAAAATTGTTGTTTCATATAATAGGTTTTTTGTTTTTTATTTAAATTATTTTTAATATATTATAGAAATGTTAAAGAAAGAAAATATTTAAAAAATCTTTTTAAACCTTTAATCAAAAAAATGATTGAAAATAACCATCTTGACCTTGAAAGTGATCCTGTAATGGTAAATTTAGTCATTGTTTTGTTAAAGCTGATTTTTAGATATATTATTCAATAATTAATAAGGAAGAGCTTATGACCGGTGAAAGAACTAAACGTTCAGTTAATCTTGAAAGAACTGAAGCAATTCAAGATCCAGAAACTAGAGATCTTTTCATCAAACATCTTCAAGATCTAAGGGATTGGACGGAAAAGTTTATCGATGCTATTGAAGCTAGTGTACATGAGATGCCATATGGGCTAAGATATATAGCAAGAGAAACTTATCGTACATTATTGGTACTTGTTTCATTTTATTATCTGAATTAATTTAAATGTAAACAGACAAGATTTTCTGATCAATCTCCATCGGAAATCCTCAAATTTATTGGATATATAATACATTATCGTTATCTTAATCCAGTTATATTGGCACCAGATTCATTTGATATTATCGAAAGCACTATTCCAACTTTGCAGCGAAAAAACTTAGCAGAAATTTCTAAAATACTCGTTCAAATTACAACAGGGAAACTATTTGATAAAAATGATGTATTTCTTCAACCTCTTAATGTATATGTTGAAACAGCAATTCAAAGGATGATTAAAGTTTTAAAAACTGGTAAATATGATGACTAATCAAAATATAATCTAACATATTTACAAAGTAATTGATGTACAAGATGCTGAACGATATTTTGAAATGGATGAATTTGATGATCTTACTTCTACACAAAAACCAATTTTATATATTAAAACTTCTGAAATATTTCTTATCCATTCTTTAGTTTATAATGAGATTGATATAATGGTATGTTTTTCTCTACTATGATTGCTTTGATATAATATATTAATAGGCGCCGAATCAAGACGATCAGTTACGAGATATTGTTAAGCAACTTGGATCATTGTCAAATAATGAAGAATTTGTTAAAATATCAAGTAGCGAGATTGATCTTATATTAAGTCCTAGACTTGTTCATGTAGAAAGTATGAGTAATTTTTAGAATACTTATTTTCTTTTAACGTTTAAATCAGATTCTAATTCTGAAATTCGTTCTTTATTTGTTGAAACAAAGCATTATATTCTTTATATTATTCGAGTTCAAACAGGGTCAAATTTAATGGAAATACTTATTAAACCAGTGCATCCAGATGATGAGATAAAATGGAAACAAATTTTAAGTGAAGAAAATAAGGATACTACTTATTTGAATAGATATTCTAAGAATGGCATATGTAATATTAAAGAGTAAAATATTCCTTTCTAAATCATGTTTCTAAATTATCTTAGAATGTTATTTTCTGATGTTAAGGCTGTTGCTCTTGAAAATATTTTGAAGCTTGAATCCGAAGGTATAATTACTAGATCTAATAACTATCAAAGTTTCTTAAATGCAATTGCTACGGATATTCGTACAAAGCATCGTCGTCGTGTACAGCGACAGGCAGAACTTGAAAGTGCTAGGCAAACATTAGCTCATTTATATGAGAAAGCATCATATTTAAAATCTCAATTAGAAAGTTATAATGACTATATAGAAAAATCATTAATTTCACTACAAACTAAAAAAGGGTAATAGTGTTTTTTTGTTAGTTTGTCTTATTTTGTATTAGAAGGAGAAAATCTGTTATTCCTTTTACTAAGCAATATTTTCATCTAAGGGATTTAAAAAGATCTGGTCAAATGCCAAAATTTGGGTCTCATAAATATTCTGGTCGGCAACTTTTTGATAAAGGAGTAATTATTTCAATAGCTGGACAAGATGAAAAAGATTATGGAAAATTTGACTTTACCATTTCCTCTGATAACATTGGTATTTTTATTATTGAAGCTGCTTTTGGTCCTCTTCACACCCCAACAACTAGTATAGAATTAAAACTAGATGATTTACTTCAGGCGCAGTATGATTAAGATTCATAGGAGAAAAGTTTATTAATATTTGTAGATATAATAAGATTCAAATTTTGCCTTTATTTGAAGGATTAGTAAAAATTAATGTCAATTTAATGTTGCATATGATTTTTAAAAAATTTTATTCCAGTTCGTAAAAATAAAGCATTTGGTTATTTTTGGGATGAGTTATATATTTTTTAAAACAATTCTTGCTTGTGTATTTTTAAAGGCATGACTATATTTGCATTAATGGGATTATTTTTTTAAAAAAAAGTGTTTTATCTTTTGTTTAGTTCTAAACAATATTTCAATGTTTCTGTACATTACTTAAAATATAGCATTCTGAATATGTATTCGAATTTTAAATTGTTTTTAATTTCATTATCTTCTATATAATATTTATTTTAAATAACTATTTTTGGCTGTTATAGATTTAATATTTTTGAAATTTAATTTAGAAATAAATTCAGAAATATTTTAGATAAATCTTATTAAATAACTTAGATAATTTTTAATGTTTATTAATTTTATATGAAAAAATTATAAAAAAAATTTAAAAATTTGAAGTAAAATGCAGAATTAATACTAGTTTTATTTTTAAATTTACAATGCTTTTTAATTTAAGCTCTGATAGTAATTACTCTTTCAAATTATTTTAAATTAAGCAGTAATGCATTATGTGCAAAAATCTACATTAACCAAGTATAATGGCCTTAAAAGACTTTTAAAAAACATCTTATTTATTACATTATATATTATCTCCATGGTTTATTAATAATCTGCGGTTTATTTAAGTCTGTTTTTTCCGTTTTAGATGCAAATGAAGTGTCTTTTGTTTCTTTAAAAGAGGCCATAGAATTAGAAACTCTAATAGAATTTCCAATTCCCATTGTAGAAGCTTGATTCCGTGGAGATTCTTGTATAGGACTAGATTTCTGATTTTCTTTATCGAATTTTAATCGTCTAGTTATAGATTTTGTAGAAATTTCAGATATATTAGTAGACAATAAGCGATTCCTTTTGTAAATTTGAGAAATTGTTTTGTCTGTTTTTTTTAGTACACTTTTCAGTTTTGATGAATTAGAATTTTCAATTGTATTATCATTTTCAGATCCTGATTCCATAAATGAATTTTCTTGTTCATCTTTATTAATTTGAGAAAATACATCATCTCCTTTTGATGATACTTGCTCATGATTTTTAGAAGTATGTAATAATACCGCTTTAGGTGTAATATTAATTTTTAAATCAGACAGAACAGGTAAATCTGATTCAGTAGAATCATTTTTTATAATGCTTATTTCAGCATCACTTGATTGGTCATCCCATCTAACCTTTTTTTTTTTAGAAATATTTTTACTTTTGTGAAACATAATATTCTTTTTTGGGGTGTGTACTTTAAATGTTTTTGGAGATTTAATTTGAAACGGTGATGAAGTATGAAGATATTGTTTTCTAAAACATGAACTTAAAAATGGACTAGTAAGATGCTTTTTAAAAGTTTTTGTGTCGTTATCATAATTCGAAGAATTTGTTTCGGATGAAAATTGATGAATTATATCTGTAAGTGTTTTACATGATGATTTAAATGCTTCTTCTCTAGACATTTGAGTTATAAGGGTGTTCTCTTCATTTTTTAACATCAACATAGAGGTACTTAATCCTTCAAAACTTGCCCTAGCAAATTGTTGCATCATTGAATATGTTTTTTCCAATGAATTTTGAAGATTTAATCGTTCTTTAGAAAGAAAATCTCTTTCTGATGTTATTTTCATCATCTTTGCTTCTTTAAGAAATAAATTCATTGATGTTTCATTAAGACCATCTTCTCTTAAATCTTTTAAAATACTATCGCATGCAGTATCAAAATCTTTATTTATAGTAATTCTTGAAATTTCTCTAAGAATAACCTGTCGTTTATTTTCCAAATCATCTAGTAATTTTTTAGCTAAGTCTCTTGTTGGTTTAAGCATTAAGACAGTTTCATTATCAAGATCTATATCAGATAAAATATCAAAAGCTATGATCCATGAATTTATTGTATGAAACTGATTTTCTAAAGAAAGTAAGGAATTTACATTTAAATAATATTGCTCTTTAAGTAATGATAATTTTTCGAATATCATGTGTAATCTATGAATACCTTCATTTAATTTAACATCATAGAATGCTTGCTTTTTAGCCATTTTGTCAATTTCTTCTGATTTTTTATCATCTAACTTTCTTTTTAATTCAGAAACTTGTTGCCGTAATTCATAGATTGCTTTAACATATTGACTAACATGTCTATCTACTGTAATCATATTACGAGATACTTTAGTTTTTATATTTTTAGCACGGTTCCCATATTTTAGCGTATTATGAGTTTCGTCATAATGACTACTAGAAGGACTTACACAAACAATCATTACAGTTTTACAATTTCCTCCTAAAGAAAATTTTAAAAGTCTAGTAAGTTTAGAGTCTCTATAAGGGACATGATTATGTCGATGAGGATCACAAAGAGCATTTATGCAATTACCCAATGCTATTTTTATTAATTTTTATTAGTCATAATTTTATGTAATACCTAATAAAGATTTATTAATATTTGCGCCCTCAAGAAGACGTTCTCCTCTATTTTTTGTAACAGATGCTCTCTCACTTCCTGCTAAATCAATAATAGAAAGAGTAGCACCAAAATGATCTTCCGAAATGTTAGCAGTTCGTGATTTTTGAATAACATTAATTTGTAAAACTGCATGTGATCTAGATGAAACAGAATTTGCTTCGGTAGGAGACATTGTTCTATTCGCATTGCCTTTCAAAATAATATCCATAACTTCATCTACCTTTTTTATGTTAATTTAGAAAAAAATAAAAATAATTTACATTTTGTGGACGATATATTGTTAATCCAGGTACCGCAATTTTTTGATCTGAATCTTCTCTCAATGAAAGTGACTTAGCATTTATAGATGGAACTAAAAGATCTCGAATAGTTTCGTTATATATCTCCAAATAAGATAAGCTAATTTCAATGATTTTTTCATCAGCTAATGAAGTCATTTTATCAAAAAGTTCCTTCATAGTCAAAAAAATAATTCCAGGATCTTCTTGCGATCCACTAAATTCTTCATTAAACTTCCAAAATTTTATTAAAATCTATATACCTTATAGTATGAGTTTTACCACAGCCTGTTGCCTAAAAATTATTAGTTAAAATTAATTGTAAAAAAACATACCCCATATGCAAAAACAGTAGCATTATATCCTTCTAGTATTCCATCCAATAAAGGTTTAACTGTACTTTCATAAACCTATCATAAATTATAGGCTATCTTGTATAAAAATACATAATTTATACCATTTCTTGCGTTGAATCTTCATCAAAGACCCTATCAAAAGCATATCTTATATCCTTTACTCTTTTTCCTACTGGCAATAATGTTTTTTGAAATCGTGCCATTGGATTTGTATCTGCTGGATCAAATATTAAGACACGTTCATCTAAAACTTGAACAATTCGCCTTAATCCTTTTGACGGATTTTTTTGCATAGGTGTTCCTGTAAACGATCCATCTCCTACAAATGTCAACGCCTCATTATTATTTATCTGAAGTTGAGATGTTTCTTTAGAATTTAATGGTCGAACTCTCACTTAAAATATTAAAAGTAATTTATATTTTCAAATTTATACCTGCAACTGAAATTGAAGAACTAGACATTAATATACGTAAGAGCTATGGCTCTTGCCAAAGCTTATTTCTTTCCAAATTATAATTGTAGGTTTTAGAAAATAATTTGCTTGAGATTATCGAAAACTTTAAACAGGTTGTTTTGACAACAATGTTGTCATGGTGATTCTCACGTGATTTCTGAACAAAAGATGAGTATTTGATTGAAGAGTTATGAAATCATTATAAAGTTCTTGTTTTTAAGGCTATTTTATTGCTTTTTGTGTTTTTTGTAATAAAAAATATTATGAAAAATGTTTTAATGGCTTTTAACTTTTATTAAATGTTGATAGATATATGTTTTTTTGTATACAATTTATTAAAATATATAATTGATTATTATGAAATATATGTAAATATACTGAATAATAGACATTGAAACATATGAATGTTAAAAAGTGATTAGAAAATTCGAAATGAATGGTTTTTTATGCATGTTGCATAAATAATAAAATAAAATTGTTCCTATTTAAAGTTTTCTTTTTAATATTATTCAGATTAATTCGGCATTTAATAAAGTATTATGTGATATACTTTAAAATTATAATCCGTTTAAATCAGATAAAACGATATACTGTTTTTGATTTTTTGAATATGAAATACAGTATACTTTTAAAAAATAGAAAATATTTAAAGATTCGTAAAACTTAAGCACCTCTTAAAAGATCATAATGCCAATTATTAATCTACAAAAGAATAAAATCGATATTTTCATCAAGGTCAATATTTTTAAAAATGTTCCATTGTAAATTTTATAATTAATATAAATTGCATTATTATTCATCTTTATCTTCTAAATTTAGTTGAGAATACTGGAAATTTAACATAGAAGTATCATTCTTTATGATATTATTTATGTTTTGATTTTCACTAAAATTATTTTGATTTTTTGTTTCATTTTTTTGGGAATCATCTTCCATAATAGATTCTTTACTTTGCTCAATAGATATAGGTCTTCCTATATTTTCATAACCAAAAATATTATTAGAATCATATATTCGTACATATTCTTCAGGAACGAGTCCTGTATCACCTATTCAATAAGTACGTGAATTTGTTTTTTTAAAACGAAACCTGTTAAAGGGTCAACTGCAACTAGCCATCCCTGCTCATGTCTATATGAAATCCATATTTGTTGTCCTCTTACTAATGCAAATTCGTTTTCATGTTCTGGTATAAAATCAAATAATGCAACCGCTTTACCATATATTTCATCTATTGGTGCATTCATAGATTTATATGAATTCATATCATCAATGATTTTTCCATCTTCTATTCCAGGATATAAATAATCATCTTCTAAAAACGTATCTTCACCAAAATCAAAGTTTTGGTTTGCAGATAACTGCATACATGAATCCAACGTACTTTTCAAAAAATCGTATTCTAATGGTGACCTATAGAACCGAATATCATGATCCGGATAGGCATAATCCCTATAAATTGTACGATAAATATCTGTTTGCAGCCATTCTGACGGTAAACTTTGTCTTTTTTCATATGAATTTCTCCAAGATTTTTTGATATCTTTATTTCTCATAATATACTTATATTTTTAACAATATTAAACCTTTTTATCACAAAAACAAAATATTTTTCTGTATTATTTCTCCAAAATACGTAATATACAATAATTGATCAAAAACGTTGATTTTTTAAATGTAAAATATTAAAAAACGACGTTGGGTTTTTTTTAATATTTTTGTGTGTAAAAATGGAATTTAATTGAAGAAATTATGTCTTTTTAGAAAACAGTATATGTCAATATAGAAGATAAGTTGTTTAATTATTCTTACTTTTTTATAAACTTTTTGTTAAAATTACATATAATACATAAAGTAATTATCAATATAAATTTATTGATTTTTATATTAAACATGTTTGACATTTCTAACCGGTTTTATAGAAACATTTAAATATATAGAAAAATATTATATTTTAACATGAAATTTGCAATTAGTGTAATATGCGCATCTAATCAAAATAGGTAGTTATATTTTTAAATAATGATGTAGTAACTAAATCTTTATATATAGAAGCATGGAAGCTCATTGTGTACTTAAGTAAGAAGATGTAATATTTAAAATATTTATGTTTAATCGTTGTAGAAACGCAGGTTATAATGTAAGATCGTTTGGTACGAGTTCTGCTGTAAGACTTCCTGGTCCTTCTATAGATAAGCCAAATATTTATCCATTTGGAACACCTTATGATCAAATATATAATGAGTTAAAGACTAAAGATATAAAACTGTATTAAATTTGTATTAAAATGAACTATGTTTATTATAAATAGATATACAGCGAATGGATTATTAAATATGTTGGATAGAAATAGAAAAATAAAAAATTATCCTGAAAGATGGCAAGATAACCGTGATCTTTTTGATATTGTTATTACATGTGAAGAAAGATGTTTTGATACTGTATGCGAAGGTACATCTTTATTTTTTGATATACATGTATATATTAACTAATTAAGACTTAATTAATCGTGGAGAACTCATGAATCGAATAGTCCATGTTATAAACATAGACATCAAAGATAATCATGAAGAAGCTGTTATTGGTGGACAAGCTATTTTGAAATTAATTGATGCACTCTCTTCATCGAATGCAATAGACGACGATATTTATAATATTTTTTCTGCATGGCAAAAAGATCATCCCAAGCTTTCATTACTTCATTCTGTTCATTATCAATAGTTTATAGAAATAAATCTTTGATATATTTTTCTATTTATTTTTTTGAAAAAATATTAAAAATATATTTAGTAATAATATATATATATGTATATGGGTATCTATGTATGTAATAATCTTTTATATTTTTATAATAATGTTTTTATTTGATTCATTATTTTTTTGAACCTTATAAAGTTTGTACTGATCGGACCCGATTAACGTGAGACAACCTGAATTTCTTTTCCAGAAAGCTTTTTTGACTATAAAAAAAGCATTGGGCAACATATAAATATATCTATAAAAAGTTTTAGTTAAAAACTTATTTATTTAATATTCTGTTAATTAATTCAATGAAATGACCTACCAAAGTAATTCTAGAACAAAAAACTTTGACCGTTCTATGGTAAATAATCTTGAAGAAAAAACAAACATTATATACTATACAGCATTTAAACAATTCCTTCATACAAGTTGTAGAAAAGGTAGAAATAAGCTAAATATGAATATTTTTATGATTAATGTTCTTGTAGAACTTGATTCTCGAAATACAAAAGCACGGGAAAAACTTACATATCTTTCTAAACAACAATTTTATGAGTTATCCACTGATGTCTATGATGAACTTATGCGTAGGCAAGCAAAAACTCTTGATGGTAACTGATTTATACGTTTTTTATTGCATAATTGATTTTTTTTTCTTTTTATCAGCATCTTTTTTAATGCCAAATGAAACATTTCATCCCAAACGGAATCAGGCGCGACAGAAGTTGTCTACTTTATCTATATCTCGATTTGTAGATTTGTTGGGGGATGTATCATTTGAACTTGAACGGAGGTTTCCCGCATTAGTAAAGATAGATAATATTTGGTGTTTTATTTCTAAATATAAAAGGCAGAGAATGTTACTGTTTTGAAGCACGATGAGCTGCATACTGGTCCGTATTCTCATTCTTTATCTGATACTACAAATACATTGTTAAATTCAGGACTTCCAGCTCCAAAAACGTTTCGTTCGGATACAATTGTCCCAAATAAATCAACCATGATCGAAGAAGGTTCTGATTTAGACGTTTCGCCTATCAAGACTCCTACATCGTTGAATTCATTTCGTATCGATAATTCAACATCTCAAGAATTATCGAGTTTAGATAAAAAAATTGAAAATTATAATTTTAGATTGAAGGAAATAGACCATCAAGGTTGTTCAGTCGTTTGTTCATTAAAGGAATTTAATTTTTATGTTTAGAAAGTAAAATAAATATCAAAAAATCTGATAACGATAAAAGTGAATTTATAGACGTATGATTTTAAAAAGATAAATAATATATATATATATACTAAAAAATTTCAGAATGTACGAAAGAACGTGGTTCCAACGGATTACGAATATCGCATAGTTTCGTTGCAAAATAAAATTTTTTCTTTAGAATGTCAACTTAATGTTGTTAATTCAAAGTTGTCCGAGTCAGAACAAGAACTTTTAGTTATTAAAGTAATAATATCCATATATATCTATATGTATAAATTTGATAAAATAACAGAAAACATATGAGAAAAGTATTGATGATGAAATACAATTAAGAAAAACACTTGAAGTTAACTTGAAAGAACTTCAACAGGTATTATTAATGTTTTTGTTTATCTTTGTTTTTTAAAGAGTTTAGTCTAATAAAGTTTTAAATGAAGAAATACAAATTCTTAATAAAAAGCAAGATAACTTAAATAAAAGCAATGAAAAATATCAATTGTTGCTTTCCAATTATGAAAAACTTAAATTAGAAATGGAAGAGCAACAACGGGTTTGCATAGCTTATTATATTTAAACTCTAATATGTTTTCATAGGTTACAAATAATGTCAAACGTGAAGCTAAAGAATTTCTTGAAGAAATGAGATCGTTATCAGAGAAAGAAACAAGTTCTTGGCAGCAGATCGGGACGCTGTCTAAACAAATATCTTTTCTTCAAGATGAAGTCAACGAATGGAAAAGTCAGGTATATAATTATATTGACTATTTAGAAAATGTTGATGCTTTTAGTATTCAAAAGCTAAATCACAGCTTCAGAACTTAAAAGGTATTTAGCTTTTATATATTTACATATATATGTATAGAATAACAATATTAGCAACATCGTTATTTTCTACTCAGTCTTTAAAACTTAAAGCAGATTATGAAAATTATATTGAAGATGACGGAATAATTAATGATACTTCTTTAGCTAATTTTCAAGTTGCGATAGATGATCTTTTACATGCTGGAAGGTTATTTTTCGCCTTAATTTATACACAAGCTAATGAGAAATAGGTCATCCGAACAAAAAGGCGTGCTTGAGGCCATGAAAGATGTAATTTTGTCAGTAAAATCGATAAATACAAACTTGGAGGATAACAAAGACATGGGCATATTTAACGATCCGCAAAAGGGTCCACTTATTACAAAGTTAAAATTACGGATGTCTTCTACCGCCAATAACTTAATGGTCGCTTCTAAAAATCATGCTCTCAATAAAGGATTAAGCCCTATTAGTCTGCTGGATGCCGCTGCATTTCACCTTACAGCCACTATTATTGAATTGGTTAAAATTGTGAAATTAAAAGCTTCGGATGCCACAGACACATTAGAAAATATGAATGGAAAATTTAGTGACATTAAGGAGCCCGCTACAGACACATCCTCACCAGTACAATGTAATTTAAATACTTTAAAAGATAAACACACAGAAATACCACCACAAAATACAGATTTCTCCAATACCTATTTAATGAAGCTAGATACTTCAAAAATGTCAAAAACCACTGTTTTAAAAACACTACTGGATTCTGATTTTGATGACAACTTGCAAGACTTTAAGGTCTAAAAAGTCTTTTAATATATATTTCATAACAATAAAGTAGAACTTTTTAGAAAAACAGACGGAAGACATTGTTGAGCTAATACAGGGTCTTCTTTCATCAATAAGGGCTGATGCTCAAATAAAAAAATTAAAAGAACACATGACAAAAGTGATAACAATCGTTCAAAGTGTCGTTTCCAAAACTTTTCAAGTCATAGCAATAGAAAAAGATGAAAATCTGCGGGAAAAAATATCAAGAATCGTAAACGGATTGATGAATTGTTGCTCTCGATTCGAAGAACTCCTCAGCGATAAAATCGAAAATATCAGCATCGACAAATCGTTCAAACAAAACTTGGCCGGAATAGCTTTCGACATTGCTAAACAAACAAAGGTAACCCCCCTTCCTTCCCCCCTCCCTTTATTTTCCCCGCTCCCCTCTACTCTGCTTCCCTCTACTCTGTTTCCCTCTGCTCTGCTCCCTCCCCTTCCTCTAACCCTCACAGGAGCTTGTAAGAACAATCAACGGCGAAAACGAGAACACATAAAACTCGAAACCCATGTATTGATTTATATTTATGAATGATTGTAGATATCACAGTTACTATTCCAAGCAAACAGTACATATTTTATGTATAATTATCAATTAAATGCTAAAATACTGTAAATACACTACATCTCCGCATCCCCCTCTGTCCCTTATCTTTACGATCGGTTCTGGGCCCGCTTTCCACTTCCTACTGCACTCTGCCCCTTACTATGTTTTGCATCCCTGCACTACTCTCCATCCCCACAGCTTGGCGGCTTCTTGTTGTCTTTAAGAGCAAGTGTCCACAGATTGCTGAATACATCCTTTGATTGCTCTCTCTGCTGCTTCACTTGCCCTGAACGCCCCAAATGCCTTTCTGAGCCCTCGGCCTTTTCCTGCTCCTCCCATAAATACCTGCAAACACCCGTGCTCTTCCTCACCTGGCTCCCTGCCCGCTCTTTCCCTCTCCCCCCCTTCGTCTCCCCGGTATACACCTCCGCCCAGTCGAAACACCCCTTTCTTGTTCCTTCCACGGATCCTGCGCTCTGGAACTCGTCAAAGCCCTCATCTGCCCCCATTCCCTCTGTTTCCCCTGTTTTTTCGCCCTCCCTCGTCTTTTTTGCCTCGACGGACCCTACCGGCCTCGCCGACCCCCTTCCTTCCACCGACCCAAAAAAATCCCCCAATTCCTCCTCGAATCTAAGCAGATCGCCTGTACTCATGCTCCCACTGCCTCCCCTCGTTTCTTTCCCCCAACTCGTGTATTTTTCTCCTTTCCCCCCCGCCTCCTCTATATACCCCCGACACCCGGCTTCTTCAAATTCATCGTACTCCTCGAACGGATGCTCCCTGAGGCTTCCCCCCTGACTATACGTGGCGCTGTGCCTTCTTGCCCTCCTTTCACTGTTTTTTTCTTCACCTCTCGTCTCCCCATACTCCTCGGAAAACCGTCCCCGCTCACCCCGCAGACCCTCGTATCTCTGCTCGCCTCCTCTGTATGCCCCGTCTTCCGCCCCCGTCCCTGTATATTTCTCCCGGTTTATCCTCGCCTTTTTCCTCTCCTGCTTCAACACCTCGCCGTCCGAGACCAACTCCACCAGCTCCCGCGCCCTCGTGCTCACTGTCCCGTCAGCCGCTCCCTCCACACTGCACACACTGTATGCACGCATACAACACGCATATAACACGCATATAACACGCATACACTGCGCATATATAACGCATACATAACGCATATATAACGCATATATAACGCATACACGCGTTCATACGCATGCAAAAACCCTCACATACCGCTTGCACCGCGGTCCCTCCCGCGAGCGTCCACATGCTCAAAGCCCCGCAGCACCTTCACTAGCGAGATGTGCGCCCGCACATCCTCCGCCACCCGCTCCGACCCGTGTTTCACCAGGTATTCCAACAGCTGTAGCGCCTTATACACCTGCCGCCATTCGTTCCCCGTCTTCTCCGTCAGTCGCCGGTAGATGACCGGCCTGCGCCGTCAGCCCTCCGTCCCTGCCACTGCTGACCCACATGATCTCGTTGAACGCCGTGCTGCCTCGTCAGCCCTGCCGCCCGCACCGCAGACCTACTAGCTGTGCGTCGCCGCCGCAATCTCTTGCATCTCCGTCGAGCTTGCACCCCACGGGTCGCCACTCGTGGCGGCGCGGACCTTTGCCTCGATCTCGTTGTAGTTCATGAGCACTGCACGTAAGCCTCGCACACAGCGCATATAATGCTGTGCACTGCACAGCACATGCACACTGCATACAGTGCGCATACACACGCATACACTGCACAGTGCATTATGCATACACCCCCAGTGCTGCTGCGCATATATGACGCATATAGCACACTGGCACGGTGTATGCATAGAGCGCAGCGACTCACCGTTGTGTGCGCGCCGCAGCGCGCTCTTAACGTCGTAGAGCTGGCCGCGTAAGCCCAGTGCATGTAACGCGTAGGGACGTACACTAAGTGCCGAGACGCGGGCGAGCGCCCGCTCAATCCCCGGGAACAGGAGCCGCTGCTCGCCGTGCATCGCCGGGTGCGCGCGCTGCTGCGCGGATAACCCCGCAGCGCGCGCCGCGGGAGCACACAGCATGGCGAACGTCTTTTTCGATGTCTCTATTGGGGGCGCGGCAGCCGGCCGCATTGTGTTTAGGTTGTATGATGATATCGTCCCGAAGACGGCAGCAAACTTCCGCGCACTGTGCACGGGGGAGAAGGGCTTTGGTTATTCGGTGGGTGGCGGCAACAGCAGTGCGACGCCAGCTGACAACGCAGGGATCGACGTTTCACCGGATCATCCCGCAGTTCATGGTGCAGGGCGGAGACTTTACGCGGCACAATGGGTAAGCGTGCAGCACAGCGGGGGACAGAGAGCTGATGGCTGACGGGTCAGGACGGGGGGGAAGTCGATCTATGGGGAGCGGTTCCCGGATGAGAACTTTGTCGTGAAGCACGCAAAGCCAGGACTGCTATCGATGGCAAATGCAGGGCCAAACACGAATGGGTCGCAGTTCTTTATCACGACAGTGGTGACGTCGTGGCTGGACGGGAAGCACGTGGTGTTTGGGGAGGTGACGGAGGGGATGGATGTGGTGAAGGTAAGGCGGAGTGCAGGTGGGGCGTGGGTGACGGAGGGTAGAAAATTGAGTCGCATGGGAGTTCGAGCGGGACGCCGGCAGCAAAGATTGTGATCGAGCGGTGCGGGACAGTGTAACGTGCCTTTCCGTTGCCAAGGGAACAGTGTCCGGGGGAACCGTTGCCATGGCATTGCTATGGGAACTGTCGCCAGGGGGACCATTGGCAGGGGAACTGTTGCCGGGAGAACTGTTGGCAAGGGGACTGTTGGCATGGATATGGTTGGCAGGGTAACCGTTGCCGGGAAACGGTAGAAGGGCAGCGGTTGCCGGGAGGTTCCCGGGCCTGTACGTAGAGAATAGAACGGTGTAGAGTGTCCAATGTGTGCGCAGCTGCCTGCTGGGCAGTGAGATTGCCATGGCAACACGCAGAATATAAATTTGCTCAGCGCAGCACCCAGCCAGGAGCCGCAGCTGGGAGTAGCAGGATGGGGCTGACGAGGAGGCCGATGGGGGAGGGCGTGCGCCAGCGTGAGTGTTGCAGCACAGGAGATGCAGTGCCCTGATTTTGTAGATTTCCATGATGCACAGACATCCACGGCGGTGCACCGGAAGTTGGTGAATTCTCTGAGACATATCCACGAAGAAGAGGTGGAGAGGGGTGAGGAGAGAGAAAAGGAGTTTATCGGGGAGTTTCTGGCGAATATCTTTAGAATTCTGCCTTTGAAGAAGAATGAGTTGACGGCAGACCGTGTGATCAAGTTTTGCGGGCATTATATTCAACATATCCGGGAAAAAAGTATGGAAAACAATGAGTGGGTTTTAAAAGGGTAAACTAAGGCGGTGAAGTGAAGGAGAAGCAGCCAGCACAGTCAGAGTGCAGTGGAGAGGAAGTGGAGGAAACAATGGACAGCCGGCTGATAAGAAGGCTGCTGGACGAGCTACTGGTGGGGTTGGAATCGAAAGATAAATGTGTTCGGCTTAGGGTGTGTCAAATGATTACGCTGATTGTTAACTGTATGGATGAAATCGAGTAAGGTTTGTGTATATATTGATTCATGGTCTGTTGAGCATGCAAGCGATGATTTATTCGAGCAACTGAAAAAGGCGCTTGCAAAGAGATTGAGGGACAAGGAAGCGTCGATCAGGGTTCAAGCGGTGATAGCAGCGTCTCGTCTTCAAAATGCAGAAGAAGACATCAACGATGATATTATTAAAAAGACTTTTTTGCAGCTTATACAGCATGATCCGAATGCGTACGTTATTGCTTGATGGATGTCGTCCTGGCTTTAACTCTGTGGAATAGGGAAGTGAGGCGTTCGGTGATTTTGAACCTTGAGAAAAACGAAAAGACACTGCCTTTTATCATTGAAAGAGCTCGTGATACGGATAGTATAAACCGCCGGACTATTTTTTCCAGGACTCTCCCGGAAATGGGCGATTTCAGGCTCCTTAGTATAAGTAAACGAGAAAAAATTTTGAAATGGGGAATAAAGGATCGAAATGATCAAGTAAGGAAAGCCGCTGTAAAAATGTTTTCTACAATTTGGATCGAACACGTCAATAATAATCTCCTTGAAGTATCTACTTGAAACATTTTAATACACTGTTCTTATTTTGAAAAGTTATTAGAAAGACTGGATGTTATAAACAGTAAAATTGCCGAAGATGCTATGAACCATTTCTTTTCCATGAGAACCGATGTTGTTAAAACTATAATTTTCGACAGTAAGTATTTATTGTTTGTTTTTACAAAGCAAACATTATATTAGACAATTTTTGGGAAAACATTACGCCTGAATCGGCTTTCTTAGTCAGATGTTGGAATGATTTTTGTTTTAAAGAAGGTTATTCTTATCTTATTGAAGAAAGGATTCCCGAAATATCGCAACAAGCATTGTATATAGAAAAAATATTAGAAAATTTTCAACATGATACTGAGGAATCTAAACAAGAGTTAGAGTTTATATTTAAGCAGTTTTTACTTATTATAAAAACAACAGATTTGAGTGATGAAATGGGTAGGAAAAAAATATTTAATATTCTTCGTAATATATACATGTTTTTTCATAGATTAGATTGATGTTTTGTAGGGAATAATATTCCTAATCATGTTTTTTCCGAAAATCTTATTACTCATATGGTAGAAGTTTTTCGGAAAATAACATCTGACGAAAAGACTTTTGTCAAACTTTTAGCGGAAATGATAGTGAATCTTTTGGATTCCCTGAACGAGCAAACAAATAAAGTTAAAAAATATGCCGAAGATGACACTAAATCCGATGACTCATTTGTTTCAGTGGTATCGAATCAAGAAAATATTCCACTTTTTAAATCCGTCGACTCTATAATTAAAGAAGAAATGGAAAATCCTAATGGAGGCCATAAGACATTTGTTATTTTCAGATGTCTTTGTCTTACTCAAGCTATGCTCGAAAATATTGAAAAAGTATGTATAGAGTTTTTTAAATAATGTTATAAATTTACAATTAAAGAATTTCCGGAATAATTTCGAGTTCATAGAAATACTTAATAATTTGATTGTGCCATCTGTCAGGAGTCATAATGCATCGATTAGGGAAAAAGGTCTTCGGTGTTTAGGTTTATGTTGTTTATTGGATAAAGTATGTAAATTCTTTTATACTACGTATCTGAATACTTTAGCAATTTGCTAGAGAGAATTTGATTTTATTCTGTCACTGTTTAGTAAAGGGACATGATTCTTTGCAGGTTGAAGCATTAAAAATTATTACAGATATTTTTATGTGTTATAAATATGATGTTTTTGATGGTTCATCGATAAATTTGCAGTCGATTCAGTCGTTATTCGAACAGATATTGCAAAATACTTTAAATATCGATATGACAGCTACTGCTGTAGAGGCTGTTTCTAAACTAATGTTAACGTCATTTTTCGATGATCCTAAAGTAACAAAGACTTGAATAATTATTTAAAACTAACTGCTTAAGCTGCTTAAAATCCTTATTATCTTATATTTTGATCCAAAAACATCCTCCAATTTAAATTTACGTCAAATTCTTACATATTTCATTCCTGTTTATTGTTATTCTTCACCTAAAAATCAATTTTATCTTCAAGAGGTAAATCATTCATACTCTTTTCATTCTTAACAGTATAAAGATATTCGTTTCTACTTTGCATAAATTATTACAAATCTTTGATGATTTAGACGATGATATCGAACCTATTCCTTTTTCACAAATAGTTCTTCAAATGATGGATTGGGTCGATCCAAAAAAACAAATTAACCCCGATATTTCTAAAAATCAATCAGGGCATACGAAAGAAAATAAAGATATTCATCTATATTTAGCAAAAGATATCTGCACTCAAATAAGTGAATCTTATAATAGTAATTTTTTTATCATGTGAGCTGGCAATCGCTGAATATAAATAGAAGAAGAAAGACGGACATTATGCACCTTACTCAACAAACTTCATATTACATCAACATCTAATCACGAACTTACAGATTCACTTCAAAAAATTGTTCTTAAACTTCTCAAAGTACTATATACAATAAATATACGTATTTCTAACATTTTTAAGGAAAATAATTCTTTAGATTCTTTTGCTAAAAATTCATTAAATAAATTTTTTACTACATTATGTAAATTACTTGAATTCAAAGAAACTAATTATACATCTATTGAAACGTTTAAATAATACTGTTTATTTATACATATTATAATATTCTTAAATTCTATTCTTTGTTGATAAATTATATAAAAACTATCTTTTTTACTCTCGTTTTGTAAAAAGTTTAATTTCGATAACCATTAAAAATTATAATCACTTATAAATTTAAAAAAAAAAAAATAATTTTTTGCTCGTTTAAATCCTTATTTAGGCCCTATTTCTTATGTTATGCCTCTTCCAGAGTCATTAGATGCTATTCTAGTTAAGATATACTTTTTTTTGAAAAAAAATTGACATTTTAAGATTGTTCATGGATTAACATGTCATGAATATGGAATTGGCGGGTCAAAAGAAACTTCTGAATTAATTGAATTATCATGGATTTTAGTAGATTTAAGAACTCTTGAAGAAGTATGAATTCTTAATTGAATATTTGTAATAACAAATAATCTAGCAATATAAAGAAGATCTTTTAGTAAGGCCTATTAATACACCACTGACGAATTTTTCTGGTTAGAGATTTCAAATTTAGAAATACTATTCTTATATTTTTATAGGTTTTGTTACTTTGAGTTGGGAACATATTCAATCAGCTGGAACTTTTCATGATGCTATTCATCAATTTGTTACATTTATTCAGGAAAAGCTTATTTTTAACAACAAGGATTTTGTGTTTGCAGCATTTGATGCTAAAAAGTTGACTGTTCAGTTTCCAAGAGAAGCTAGGGATAAATCAATCGTTCTTCCATCATATTTGCTACATCCTAGAGTATATGATTTGTATTCAGAATACCGTCGCTGGCAATCGTATCATCCTGAGGTTCCGTTGTATAGTTCATCAAGTATTGTGAATATTCGAAAAATCCTAGAAACAGATATAAATGGACCGTCTCAGCCTCTTCAACAAACGTTTCATGCTCCTCATGAAAATCCATCTAGACGTGCAAAAGACGAATGCTTAGATTTATTATATATATTGAAAAGTCTTGTCAAGAAATCAAAAATTATAGATAAATATCCGAATATTTTTTCTCGTTTATTAGATGTTAGATCTAACATTAAAGCATTTCTTGCTGAAAGGTCATGTATTCTTTATATGATTGGATTACCTCATGATACTACTCAGTCTGAATTAGAAAGTTGGTTTACACAACATGGAGGTCATCCTATAGCATTTTGGACTTTGAGAACACCTGATTATTATAAGCCAACCGGTACTGGATTTGTGGTTTTTTCTTCACATGAAGAAGCTATAAAAAATCTTATGATGAATGGAAAAACTTTAAATGATAAAGTTATTGAAATTTCACCTAGCAGCAGTCGTGTATTAGAGCGTGCTGCAGAAATACTTATACCTTTCCCGGTATATTTTTTCTTTTTTTTGTTTATATTGGCTAATTATTAAACAGTCTAGTAAAAATAAACCAAGACCAGGTGATTGGAACTGTCCTTTTTGTGGGTTCAGTAATTTTCAAAGAAGAACTGCATGTTTTCGTTGCTCTTTTTCTACTTATTCAGTAAATATGAATAATGATCCTATGATAACATATTCATATCCCTCATATGGGGGAAATATGTCTTTAACATCGTCAGTTTCGAATCCAGATACGTTACTTCACTCATATCCTTTGACTCTTAGAACTTCTACACAAGGAGGAAATGTTCCCTTTCGTGCAGGTGATTGGAAATGTAGAACAGAAGGATGTGGATATCATAATTTTGCAAAAAATACAATTTGTTTGAAATGTGGTGCAAATAAAAATATTTCTGTTGCTACTACGGATCATAATAATTCATTACCTACTGTTACATCACAAGCATCACAACAACCTATTACAAATCCATTAAATTTTCACTTTCCAAATCCTAAGCATTTTACACATTTGCCTCCTATACAAAAAATTCCATTGAACACGATACATGGGAACTTTAACGGACCGTCTATTCCAACATCCTTTTCCTTAAAACAGCCACAGGTTTCTACAAATAATGAAACCGTTATTCAAAATAATGAAAATATTATAAATAAAGAAAAAATAATTGCTAATACGAATAATGAGAAACAGACGAATGATTGGCATTGTACATCTTGTTTTTTTGTTAATTTTAAACATCGTAGTACTTGTTTATTATGTGGCTCTGCTGTTTTAAATCTTTCTACTCCAGTGTCCAATATAAATAGTACAGCAAGTAATATTCAAGAACGGAATCAAAATACACTTGAATGTTTTAATGAAAATATGGCATCTGGGTTACTTCACGAAGATCTTAAGGCATTAATAATAGATGATGATAAAAGCGTAATGGAAATAAAAAAAGATGCGCCTTCTAAATTAGCTTTGTTGTCTTTAGATTCTTAACCGGAAAAATGTTTTCATGTTAATTCTAATAAAAATAGGGAAAATAGATAAAATTTTGAGAATTAGAACAAATAAAAAACAATGTTGTAAAATATCACGAAAAAGAACATTTTTTGAATATTTTTTAAATTTATGAGATATGATGTAATGTAGGAGTATTAATATATTTTTTGGGAGCATAGTTTTTATATATTATATGTTTGATGCATTATGGAATGTGTTTGTTAGAAACATGTAGATTATTTCCTAATTTTTACAAGTGTTTGAGATATAAATTAATAGCTTGCTGTAGATATATTAAGGGAATTAAATCTATACGAATTACTAAAAGTAGTTACTATTTATATCTCTTGTATATTTTATTAAGAAATGTTATAAAGATATCTTTTTTTAGCCCACGAGATTCATCAACCTTGGAAATTAATTCCTTAATATATGAAACAGATTCCTTTTCATATAATTCGAATTCTTCACGAAGACCCATTTCTTCGTACAATTTTTTAACAATTATTTCAGAATCCATGTTTTTTTTCCCATAATTTTCCTATAAATGATTAATTGATGAAAACATTTTCTAGAAAAAATACTTCTAAAATTTTGCGTTGCTTAGGAGTTGCTTTTTCCAATGCTTTGTTAATTAACCAGGTACATTTATTTTCAACTATATCAGTTCCAATTTTACCTGTAATATTGGGATCACCAAAGCAATCAAGGAAATCGTCCTTTAAAATATTAAAATGGAAAATATAAAACAAAATGATACTTGAATTTGGAAATACTTCCCTAAAGGAACCAAAATATCCCTCGCTTGGTTGAAATCTTTTTCATCTGTTATTCCTGCCATATTCATAGCTAGAACAACAGGCAAGTAGAAAGAATAAAAAGTTGTTTTATACTCTATAATAAACGAGTGTTTTTCTAACGAAAATCTTGATAGATCTATATCGTTTTCCGGAGCTATTAAAAGATCCAAAAGTTGGCCAAATTCGGTTTTAAATGTTGCCTAAAAATATTACTTTCTAAAATACTATATTTATTGTTAAACTTCATGAAAATTTTCAATTAGTAAAATATAATACGATTCATTTTGAAAATATTTTTTAAGTAGGAAGAAAATAGATGATTTTAACATAAATGAGTCATTAATTGCAACCATCCCAACGTTTGGCTATTTTAATTTAGTATCTCAAATATTTTTTTTTTTAAATTACCATTAAATACCAACATGGTTGTCCACGTCGTGTTTTTGATTGATCCATCATGTCATCTACCACCAAAAAAAATGCCTGAAGCTATATATTTGTCAGTAACTTTATATCTCTTTGTTTAAACGATAAAATCCTACCAACTCAACTGACCATCCGAGTACTGCTGCTCTTTTATATTCATATTCTGTCAGGGGCCGTTCAAGAAAGATCTCATACGAATCTACAACTGATAGCCCTCGACTTAGCTTCCCTCCAAGACAATTGTAATGGATATTCTAGATATTATATCAAACATGCAAAACACTTTATTGATGCACAGAAACATATTAAAATTTTTAAAAATATACTGAAATACTTCCAAGACCTCCCTTATAGGCTTTTTTGTGTCTTTTCATTCTAAAATTTATCAAAATATCTATTTAATAGATATATGTATATATTGAAATTTATACAAAAAAAAAACCAAAAACTTATCATTTTTTGTCCCCTAAGTGATTTGAATGTTTCCTGATATATGACATTTAAATATTTTTTACAATATCCTGTAAAAAGGTGCATCTTTTTCCTTTCTGTGCATTTTCATCGTTTTAAAACCCACCTTTTTAAACCAATCAATTCCGATAGTTGGAATTCCGATACTTTGAAAATAATCTTCAAGATCCTTTACAATCTCTGGAAAAACTTTAATAAATCGCTCTTTTGCCATTATTTCCTTCTTATTCTTCTTATTCTATCCAAATTATGTACAAATTTTATACAAATTTTTTTATAATATTTGCTGTAGAAATGTTTTACGGTAATTTCGTGAACTACTTTAAATTAAGAATATAACGATAAGAGAAATTAGAAGGGTGATTTGAGGTGATTTTGGGCAGAAAAAGGCGTATAAAAACCCATAAAAACACATAAAAACGTATATAAACATATATATATATATATATAAACACATACACAATAAACATATAGGAATATACTCTGTATACACAGCAAATAGTGTGTATAAAGTGATTGTTGTGTATATATAACACATACAATACGAAACACAGCATATATATTTTACGTATATCCTACATATACAGTGTATATAGTCTGCAGACGGCTTAATTTCAGGTGCATCCATTTATTTGATCAATATGCTTGTATTTTACACGTATATAGTTTGACAATTGCAGATATACTTAATATTTCTTCGAATGGATGATAAGGGGCTTAAACGTACAATTCATATGCAGCTGAAGGAGGCAATACATCAGTGTTCAGAGAGAGGGCTTTATTTGAGCGCAAGATGGTTATTTTTTCTATAAAAAGGTTTTTTTCTGATAATTCAGGGCAGCAGAGCTCTTGAATGGGATGGAGTCAATTGAATCGGTAAATGACTATGATTCTTTGTGTATAAAAATGGATGGTCATATTGAAGATGAGAGGGATTTTGCACCGGAAGGACAGGATATGAAAGAAAAGCAACGGGTTAAGATGTTGCTTGAAGAGAAGGAAAATAACAGATATGCATTAGCAAAATGTTATTTTGATTGCAAGGAATATGATCGTTGTGCGTATTTTCTGAAAACATGTCAAAGTACGAAATCTATATTTCTTCGTTTATACGCAAAATTTCTTGCAGGAGAAAAGAGAGGAGATGAGGATAGTGAGTCAATTCTTGGTATATTTGTGTGTTTTGATCTTCCATTTTTAATATTTAATGAGGTCCTCTGGATGGTAGTAGTGTTAAAAATCGTGAAATTGCTTCTATATGTCAAGAACTTGAAAAGATTGTTGAGGTTCAAAAGGATGCATTTTTATTATATCTGTAGTATTGGTTTTTGTGTTTTATTTAATAATTCTTTTTAGTTTAGGGTTTCTTCAAAGGAAACAGAAACAAGAATCTTTGTCGATCAAAACGTTGATACAGTCAATTAACTTGTATCCATATAATTGGGGTAGTTGGCAAGAGTTATCTATGTCTTTGACTGGTATAAATATGGTGTTTTGTTGAAAAGGCTGTTATCGTTATCGTTAATATAATTAGCTAAATTCAATTACGTCTGCTTTACCAGATTGTTTTATGAAAAAGCTATTCCTGATTTATGCTATTCTTGAACTTCATCAATCCGGCGAGCCTCTTTATCGTCAAATTGTTGAACTTGAAGCATTGTTTCCTAATAGTTTATTCTTAAAAACACAAAGAGCCTTAATACCGTATAATGGAAGAGGTATATTTTATCAAGATTATATAGTTATTTTTAAAATGTAAAGATTTTGAGGAAGCAGAAAAACAGTTTGAAGAAATTGCAAAACTTGATCCATATCGACTTGATGATATGGATATATATTCGAATATTTTGTTTGTGATGTCTAAGCGTTCAAAGCTTGGATTTCTAGCTCAAATAGCATCTTCTACCGACAAGTTCCGTCCTGAAACATGTTGTATTATAGGTAATTGTTTCTAAAAAAAGAAAAAGGAAAATAATAAATACTTAGGGAATTATTATAGTTTACTTTCAGAGCATGAAAAAGCTGTTATTTATTTTAGACGTGCTTTAAAATTAAATAGAAATTGGTTATCTGCTTGGACTTTAATGGGTCACGAATATGTTGAAATGAAAAATACTCATGCAGCAATAGAAGCATATCGTCGTGCAGTAGGTATGATGTCTATGTATTAGCTTTAAGTTATTCATGTTAAAGACGTTAATCGCAAGGATTATAGAGCCTGGTATGGTCTTGGGCAAACTTACGAAGTTTTAGAAATGCATTATTATGCTCTTTATTACTATCAACGAGCAGCTGCTTTAAAGTATCCTTTATTTTTATTATATTGTCGATGTTTTAATAGCGTTAGGCCATATGATCAACGGATGTGGCAAGCTCTTGGGAATTGTTATGAAAAACTTGATAGACCTGGTGAAGCAATAAAATCATACAAACGAGCGTTATTAGGTTCTGCTGCTGATCCTGTAATTTTATTAAAGCTTGGAGGGATATTTGAAAGAATTGGAGATACAGATACTGCAGCGATGTATTATAAGCAATGTATTACAGCAGAAGATGATGATGTAATCACTTTAGAAAGTAGTAAGGCACATATGTGGTTAGCAAAGTGGGAAATGAGTCGAGGAAATTTACGTAAGGCTGAAAAGTATGCTACTGAAATTATGAATGGATCATTTGTAAGATCGTTTTTTAAAAATATAAAAATATAATGATTTAAAATATAGGATTTAGAAGAAGCTAAAGCCCTTGTAAGAGACTTACGAAGTAGAATGGATCAAGATGGAGTTTAATATGTTGAATCAAAGAATAGTTATATTATTTAATGCAAGGCGAAAGTGGTACTTTTATTATGAATATATTGTAATTTGGTTACAATTTTTGTTATTGAAAATGTTAAATTTAATTATTCGTTTTTATTTATTATACATAGAGAATATGTTAATCTTAATATATATAAGCATTCCTAAAACTATCTTTTTCTTTAGTATACACAATTTCAAAAATAAATGATTTATTCTTTCCCAAGTTAAATACAAACCTAAAATTGTAATTAAGATACGAATTGTAGAAAAAACATGTTTATCTTACCGATAGTATTTAAAAAAAAAACATATTCTATGTTTAAAAACAACAGTTTTACTTCTATTTAGTTTAAAACCAATGTTACTTATAACTTTATAATATTTAGAGTTTACAGATATTATAAATGTTATTTAACGTCTAAAATCAACCATTGGTAGATACTAATTTGTTAATTAGTATTCACAAAATATTTTTATATCTGTACCAATAATATTGTCATCTTCTGAAGATGCGTCTTGTATAGTTACACCAACTTCAAAAGGGATATGAGAATTTTCCTCTAAGGCACGTCGTAACAAATCAGTTGCAATTGGATCAGAGGGTGCAAGACTCAGAGCCTTTAAAGGTCTTAGAAGAGTATTATAAAATAAAAAAAATACTTCATGCAAACATTGAACAGCATCTCCTGCTTTATGAGTACTCAAATAAACCATTGCAATAGCTGCATAGATGCATGGATCTCTAGGTGATAATCTTTTTACTTCTGAAAAATACCGTAAAGCATCATCATACATTCTGCTTTTTTGATTAAATTATACTTATAGAAATATGAAAAAAAAACCTAAGTTTTCTATAAGCATGTCCAAGATTTGCCTATTAATATCAAAATTTGTATTTGAATAATATCAATAACTGCAAACCCATGTAGCAATCCAGGCTCTTTCTTCGCTATTTATTTCTTTAGCTAACGTGAGAGCACTTCTAAAAAGATTTATCGCTTCTGGAAGCTGTAATTTATGAAAAGCAACAACACCCAATTCGTTTAAAAGTAAAGGATCCGTTTTACATAAGCCATAAGCAGTATTAAAATATTCATTGGCCAAAACCAAATTATTTAAATGAAGATGCTGCATACCCAAAAAAAGACAGGGTAAATGTGTACTATAATGAACAATTACAAATTTGATTGTAAATAAAAAATCCTTGTACCCTTGAAACAATCTAGCTGCTGTTGTATAGGCAGAGATAGCTTGATCATGTTCACCTTCAACTGCAAATGAATGAGCAAATCCTATCCAAGCGGGACCAAAATGCGGATTCATGATTGATGCTTTACTAAAATATCGACGAGCCTCCGCTACTTTTCCTATACAAAGATAGTATATGCCTACAGAAAGCCATGATACAGGTTCTTCAGGATGTCTTTCTGTCATATCATGAGAAATAAGAAAAAGTTTGTTTTTTTCATTTAATTCATGAAGACATGCTAAATGAATAGGAAGGGTATTGAATTTATACTGATCAATAGAGAGTATTCTTTTAGAAAGTTAGATTATAAAGAAAAAAATCAGAAATACTTTTCTGTGATTTCGAGACACTGTCTAAATCGGTTTTGTACGAATAGTAACTCTGCTTTACTCAGAAGTAAGTCTGTATTGTCATATAAATTATATGTATTTTTTAATTTTGTTTCTGCTTCAATAAACCGTGATGCATTCTTATACTAAAAAAGTTAATCAATACGAATTCCCAATCTACCAAATAAACTTTATTTAGCTTTGTAATGTATAAACTTTTGACAAAATCCACATCTTCTTCAATAAGACCATTGAAATTCAAGGATTGAATAAAAGTCCATTCTAAAAACATTTAGTTTGCAAAAAACACAATTAATCTTTCATGCCCTCTTCCGCCGTCATCAAATTATTGCTTATTAATTGCTCAAATGCTTCATAACACTTTGCATCAATTACAAGTGCTTCTTTATAACATTCTTTTGCTTTATCAAACTTATTCAAATTTGTATATAAAACACCCCGAAGATAACAGATAGATGCCTCAAACTAACTCATATATAAGCCGCCCCATTTTATACATCTTTATATACTTTAACTCCACCGTCTGGATTCTTAGCCACTGTTTCTGATAGAACTATCCAAAATAAACATTTATCTTCAAAAAATACATCATTTAAACCCTCTTGACGATATGGATTTTGCTCTTCAAGTAAATCAAGTGCTTCTTGCCATTTAGAAAGTTTAAACTAGTATATATAAACAAAAATACGGCATATATACGTTTATTTGACCAAACAAAGTGCCGCTAAATACCGACATGCAACACTAATTTCCAGTAAATAACGGTTCATCAGTAAACCCCGTGCCCTTGCATAGTGTCCCGTATGATAATATACTTGTGCTAGCCAAAATGCGTCATTTGGGTCCTCTATCCCCATCAACCCACGCATATAATACGCATATAACACGCATATATACCAGTCAATGCTAAAATTTTATCTCCAATATATGCTGCTGTCTCATATTGATGCTGAATAAGTGCATCATGTCTCCATAATCTCATTCTTTCAATTTTTGAGTGCATATGTAGTGTTCCTCCATATCCTGTTAATCCCCCTACTGCTGGGCTTCCGTCATATATATGAATACTTGTTAAAGGACTAATTGTTAATGTTGATTGATGAGGATCTTGAAAACGCCCAAATGACGTGCATTCAGCCTGAAGCGGTGTACAATGGTTGATAGGCGTTGTAGAATTGCTTGCACGACTTGTTTTATGACGCATTAAATGTGTAGTAAAAAGGTGTTTTTCGATAAATATAAAAAAGATGGAGAATATAGAAGGGTGTAGAAAAGAGAGAAATATACATGAAAGAAGAATGTGAAAGGAAAGATAGAATGAGTGGAATAGGGGGGAGAAGTTTGAGAAAGGAGAGTGCTATTATTTTATGGTAAGTTGTGAGGTAGTAAGATTAGAGATAGAGAGAAGTGCTAAAGACGATATCACCTATTAATGAGTGAGAGATGGTAAAGAAGGATGGAAGAATGTATACGTTTGATAAGAGTGATGGCATTGTTCATTTTTGCCTCGAGTTCGAGGTTGCCAATGACTTTAGCAGCAGAAGACATCTATTAGATTAATGAATGTATAAAAAGAGACGGGAAGAGGAGAACCTGTCTTAAAAGTTCTTCTAGCCTTCGGAAGGCACGTATAATCGAGCCTTCATAAACGTCGGTCATTTTGCTGGGAAGGATTAGAAGAGAAACGAAAAAAGAGGAATGTTACCAGATTTGAAAGAAGGATTTTCCTTGAGCCCAAGTGTAGACGACATCCATTAATGTAGGTTTGAACTGGTTAACATATTCTTCTTCGACAATGTCTAGTTTGCTTTCACGAGAGACTTTAGCGATACGTCGTACTATTTCTTGCATTGCACGTAGTGGAGATGCCAATTCTTCTTTAAGTTTTAGAGCTTCCTCACTTTTTTCTTGAAAAACAAAGCAACTTAGCAATGCAGCACATTGCTCGGATGTAAGATTATTAAAAACTCCGTTAAAGATCATTTCTGTCAAGATTAACTCATCTCCTGTGCTAATTTCGCATGCAACTCTAAAAATATAATTAGCGTATGCATAGAAAAAGAAGGAACTTACCGTCCTTTCATTTCGATGATGTCTTCAGATGTTGTAAAGCCTAATCTTCTAAGAACTCTTTTTCTGCATTTAAGTTCATTCATTTGTATGATAGATTGAGTTTCAGATATTCTCTTTTTTGTAGCCTTAATTTGAGATTTAATTGCCATTTTCCTAGTATATTTTTCATATAATTCAGGAAGTTGTTGTGAATTAAAGAAAGGATTTGTTAATATTTTGTGTTCTAAAATTTCTATTTTCTAAAAAAATAAATTAAAGATTTAATTTTTAAATTAAATACTTACACGTAAAAGGTTTTTCAATGATTCGTCTTTAATATTCATATTTTCAATTGGATCAAGTAAAGCAATCCCATCAGGGAATCTACGTTTTACTTCTTCTATAGACTTATATACTGTAAGACGTTGATCTAGTGGGTTAAGGTCTTTTGGAAGGAATATACGTATATGACCGATTCCGTCAATAGAAGATAATAATACTGGTATAACCTCCATTTTTCCTATTAATATAAATACTGTTTATTTGTTGATGATATGGACAATACCAGCATCTCCCTTTGGAGGACGAATTCCTTGTGTAAAATTCTGATTAGCTTTTGTAACTTGTGAGTCTGCTGCGACCCATAAAAGAACATCAATAATATATGATTCATGAGGTGGGTATTCTTGAGAAGATCCCTTAATAAAGTTAAGTGTAATTTTTAGAAAAAAATGTATATACTTTAGGGGAAACTCGTTTACAATAATTTACAACTGCACCCCAGCCAAAATCTGAAAGTTTATCTTTTACTCTTACAAGTCTTCCAGGTTGCATAAATCGAAGACAATGATCTGGATGATTTATAATATTACGCATTTCATTAGAATATGCTTCTAATTGTTGCCTTAATTCATAATAATTTGCCACATTAAATTCATCGTCAATTACAATATTATCTCTTTCTCTTTCTAATTTTAAAAGTTCTAATAATATATGTTAATTGCATAATAATTGTAACAATTGTACTTACCGCTCTCAATTTTTGGGACTTCTGCGTTATTTTGGAATTGATAAAAAGAGCGTTCAAGCATAAATTCTGGAGAAATACCTTCTACTCGCATAAGATTTAAAATCATATTGTAGCCCAAATGAAATGCTGATTCTAAGCGATCGGCTTCTCCTTTGAGCATATTTTTTGCAATAGGAGGTTCCATTTTTTCATCAATCATAAGAATTACAATGCCACGATCATCGAGTCCTCTTCTTCCTGCTCTTCCTGACATCTTAATTTGGTTAGAAATTTAAAAATTGCACTTAAAAAATACTTGGATATATTCTCCTGACGAAATCCATCTGAAATCTTTTCCATCAAATTTTCTAACATTAGTAAAAACAACCGTTTTAGCAGGCATGTTTAGACCAATAGAAAATGTTTCTGTTGCAAAAAGAACTTTAATAAGGCCTTCTTGAAAAAGTATTTCAATGACTTCTTTTAAAATAGGTAATAGACCAGAGTGATGAATGCCAATACCGCGACGCAATAATGGAAGTATATATTGGATTTGTGGTAATTGTCGATCTACTTCTGAAAGTGAATTAATAGCATTATTAAATACGGATGAGATTAAATCTCGTTCAGAATCTATAATGTTAAATAATATGCAATAGGTTCAAAGACAATACCATCATTCATGTCAAGTTTACTCATTTGTAAAGCTAAATTTTCACAATCGCGCTTACTAAAACTAAAAACAATGACGGGATTATAGTTTTTAATCATTATCATTTTTATAATTTTATATATATCAGACGGTCCTAATAAAATATGCGATCAATTTTATTCATAAATAAATATAGAATATTTCAACCTTTTTGACTACTTTTTCCTGTCTTTTTTTTTTTTCCTGATTTCTTAGAAAAAGTATCAAGATCTTCGAATTTTTCTGTAAGAACACTTATAGCCTTTTGAAAATTATCTTCGCGAAAAACACCTTTTTCGTCAACAACTAGATGAATTCCGTCACCATCTGCTGGAAATATATAATGTTGTAAAGGTGTTGGACGAAAATCAGTATACACAACGTGACACGGTTGAACATGTGTTTTGCAAATCCATTCTGCAAATTGCATAGCGTTAGGGATAGTAGCAGAAAGAAAAACGTAATGCACTTTGTCAGGAAGAAGAATAATTGTTTCTTCCCAAACAACTCCTCGTTCTAAATAGGTTAACTTTTATAAAAAAATATTTATTAATACACCTTTATCACGCATATAGTGAATTTCATCAAAAATAACCCATGCCATTTCACGCATCACTTCAGAACCTCTATATAACATTGATCGAAGAATCTGCATTAATAATTATTAGTAATCAAATAAACATGTTATTCAAACTTCTGTAGTCATTACTAAGCAGCTAGAATTAGGACTAATTGTCACATCTCCTGTCATAAGTCCAACATCTCCAAATTCAGATAACAATTCTCGATATTTTTGATTACTGAGTGCCTAAATATTATAGTTAAAATAGACAGATTTATTTACAATAATGATGTTCAATACTTTAATCGGACTTGTATAAATGACACGTTGTTTGTCGCGCAAGCTTTGTGCAATTGCATATTCTGCTATTACTGTTTTCCCTGCACTTGTATGTGCACTAACAAGAACGCTTTCATTCTTCTCAATAGATGCAATAGCAACTTTTTGAAACGGATCTAGTTCAAATTCATATTTTCGTGCTGGTTCTGCTGGTGGTACATGTTGAGATATTGGGATATAGTTATAATTTACTGGTAAAGCAACCTGATGTCTAACCTGATGACTTAATGTCACTGATCCAGATTTTACGTCATTTCCTGTATTTTCTTCATTATCTACAAGTCCACGAGACTCAGGAACCTCAAATGTTCCCTGTGTTTCAAAACTATCTGTTACAATTAAATGATTTTCTTCTTTATCCTCTAGTTTAATTCTCTTATGCTTAGATGCTTCATCTGTATTTTCAGATTCTGTATTATTTACAATAGATAGGTCTTTTAATGGATTCGGATTTTCTTTCTGCCATTTTGTACAATTCTGTTCATTAAATATAGTAAACACTTCGTCTGAAAACATAGCACACTGCAAAAAACTCTTTTCTATAAATTTATGTTCTTAGTTCTATAATAATATTTTTTGTCAAAATGTTAATTCTTTTATTTTTGATGAATGTTTTTAAACTGTCAAAAAATATTTAAAATAATAATATTTAAAACAAGATATTTTTGCTTATTTTGAAGGTAAAGACCTTTTAGAAAGTATTTTAGCAAAATTCAAGTTTATTCATATTTTTTTGTCCTAAGTTTCTTTTAAGGTAATTTTTGTTCAGTTAATCTTGAACGTCGAGTATCGAAGATTGTTCTAAGTGTTAAACGTTATAGATTTATATTTCTAGGAGAAAATCAATTTAAGGTTTAAGAAACAATAAAAATGAGCATTAGAAGCATAGAACCTTTGAAAACATATAGAAATGATAGAGGTCATTTTTTTCGTGGAGTTTATACGACATATATTACTCGAATGATGCATTTTGAAGATGGTAAGAAATATTATATATATAATATTTATGGCGTGATTTTGAAAAGTATATCACTTTTATAAATCTTAAGTGGTTATATATATATATTGAAAATATGCCATTTTGCATAAATTTGTTAGATTAATTGTGTAAAAATAGACTAATATATTTAGGCCCGGGAAAGTGTGTAAATTCTTGTTTTTTGAAGAGTATTTATATTTTTAGGAATTTACCATTTAAAATTACATCTCCATCTTCATTAGCGATTAAAATGGTGCTTTTTTTTGGTAAGTTTGATGGATAGTTTAATATTAAAAAAAACCAGATATGGTCTAATACATAGTATAGGGATTGGCTTTTCTATTCCTTTTGTTTGTGAGTATTTGTTTTGAACATATTTATTGTTTTTAATAGAAAATAGCTTGTTATTGGCAACTGTTTTTGCATTTATCGTTTGTATATAAAAACTAATATTGGCGTAGACGTAAAGCTAAAGGATAGTTTATTTCTATCTATATTAGGCAGTATTTTTAAGTGTTCTTTTTTTTATGTATTGAATACTTATTTTTACATGTACTTAAGGTATTCTTAATAAGATTTATGATATATTCTATTTTAATTATAAAAGCAATTAAATTGGTTATAGAAATATCTTATTTATGGAAAATTAACTTTAATTGGTTTTTGTGTCTTTTCATATAATTTTCTATCTTTTAAATAGATTGTTTTGCATGTCTTTTTTTTAATTTTTAAGTTTCAATTTTTGTTAGGAAAGTGTTTACAAAATTGTATATTTTGTTCTTGAAAGTTTAATATTCATTTTTCATTTAAAATTTGTTAAAAACATTAAAAAAAATAATCGATTAATACTTATAATTATAAATTTTATTTAAGTTTGATAAAAATGGAAATTTATTTTAGATTTTAAAGCTAAATGTTATTTATATTTAATTGTAAATAATAGATTTAAAATAATTATAACATCAAAATAAATATTATAAAAAATATACTTGAATATTTTATAAATCCAATATTTAATTAAATTAATAATTACAGTTATCATTTTGAATTAAGTTTAATATATTTTAAAAATAACATGTATATTTCTATATTTTAAAATTAAGATTGTTAATTATTATAATTTCTAGATATTTTTTAATTTTTGTATTAAAATATTCTAGTTATTTATTATTGATATGAAATATTATATTTGAAGTTTTTAGATTATAATAGTTTTGATAATTTTCTAAATTATATTATTTATTTTTTTCTGAACATAGATCTACAAATAATTAAATTTATTTAATAGAAAATATAATACAATTATACTTACTCAAATTGTCTTTAAAAGATAAACTGGGCTGTATTTTTTGAGATACTTCATTGTTTTCTAAATTTAAATCTTCAATATCATTAAAAGAAAATGAGTCTGTATCGCATCCATTAAGCGATATTCTTGGTGATTCAGTAAACTCTAAAGCAGAAGCTTCAAAAAAATTATTTTTTTTTTCATTAGATAATATATCTTCATTAATTCGTTTTTTAATATTAGAAAAAAAAACAGACATCTTAGCTTTTGCATTATCAAAACCTTGTTTTAAATTTTCACGAATAATTGGTAATTCATCTTAATAATTAGTAAAATATTATATATTTTAGGTCTAAACCATTAATAAAAGTACGTTCTTTTTTAGCATTATGGTATAAATATCTCGTGTTTTTTGCATTTTCTATATTTAAAAGAAATATATTTAAATACTTTAAAATATTTAAATACTGAAAAACTAACCATTTTCTTGTAATCCTATTTGAGATAAGTTATAAGCATATTTAAAATCATTTTCAATTTGATGCTGCACATCATTAGGAATATCTGCATTGTTCTAAGATAACGTTAAAATATACTCTATCAATAGGCCCTTGATACATAAGATATTTGTTTCAATGGTCCTGGTTTGTAATTTGAATCTGTAATACCTTGTATATATTAATTGGATTCAAAACGTATATAAAAATATACTCAAAAGAGCATCAAATGCTGATTCAATTGACCCTTGACTAGCTATAAGAATAGCATTAAGCATTTTTTCCTCAATTCCAGGAAATGCATCTTTTAATATATTGATAGCTGTTTCTTGATCTTTTTCTTGAGTATTAAAGTTCTGTTCATTAGGATTTTCGTTTTCCATAGCAGAATATATTCAAATATTTAATATTTTGAGAAGAAAATACGTATTTTTATTAATATTCTATAAAATTCTTTTTTGAAAATATTTAGTGTAAAGTTGATATTCGGTTCAACAGTTAATAAATTAAAAAAAAATGGTATCTCAAATTTGTCTAAATTTGATGAAAGATAATGCAAGAAAAATAATAAATTCGAATTCACTTCTTCAAAAGAATTACAATTGTTTTTTTTTGGGCTTTAAGAGGCGTTTTTTAAGCAAAATATCACCTTTATATGTTCAAGATATACCTTTGCCTTCATTTGTGCTTTCTAAGAAGATAAAACAAAAACAAATCCCGGAAAGACCTGGTCTTTTAGCGTGTAAAAAAGGTAGATTTATGGATATTATCAGATATTTTCTTATTGTCTTAGGTATGACTTCTGTATGGACAGAAGATGGAAAACGAATTCCTGTGACAGTGCTTCAAGTAGATCGTCTTCAAGTTATAGATATACGTACAAAAAAGAAGAATGGATATGATGCTATTCAAGTAGGAGTAGGTTCAAGGAATCCTCGGAATATTTCAAGAGCTATGCTTGGTCATTTTGCAAGAGCAAAAGTACCGCCAAAGTCAAAAGTTGTAGAATTTAGAATAAAAGAGCCTTTGAAGTCTTTAGAACTTGGTATTTTCTATATTTTGTATGATAATTTTTATTAATTTTTCAAAAGGTACTCAATTATTTGTAAATCATTTTCAAGAAGGAGCTTTTGTTGATATACGCGGGAAAAGTATTGGAAAAGGGTTTTCAGGTGTTATGAAAAGGTATCTTATTTACCTATTGTGAATTTTATGGTTTACAATACTTTAAGATGGAACTTTCATGGTCTTCCTGCTTCACATGGAGTATCAATTTCTCATAGGTCACCGGGTTCAACAGGGCAATCACAAGACGTATATAGCTTTTTTTAACTTTAAGTATTAATGTTATTTAGCCTGGAAGAGTTTTTCCTGGTAAAAAGATGGCCGGAAGAATGGGAGGAAAAAATGTTACTGTACAAAATGTTCCAATTATTAAAATAGATAACGAGAATGGACTTATACTTGTAAAAGGACCGGTTCCTGGTCCTGATAAAGGGTATGTCACTATAAGGGATGCTATTAAAAAAACTCAACCTAATTTGCTTGGTTAAAATATTTATAATTCAGAATATTTTTATTAATTTATTGGTTTAATATAAATTTGTACATTCTTAATATGTATTATATTAAATGTGAATTTTTTTGGGAGCAGGCTCATTATTAAATTACGTGAAGAGATAATTTAAAATATTTATAAAACGTTATGAAAATATGGTTTATTTTTATATAAAAAAATAAATTTATTATTTTTTTTCATTAATGAAAGTACTGATATTGTCATTATTAGTATTATTGTTATTTTATTAATAATTTTTAGGCAATATTTGTACTTGTAATTTTAAACTAAGGCATACTTATATATGATGTTACAATTCTTCCTCATCATTATTTGGAAGCTCAGAAGGTTTAATCATCCCCGGAACAGTTAATGCGCGTTCACGATCAGCTTTCTGTTTAGCTTCTAATTCCATATCACGATCTTCTTGAAATAGTTCCGTATTATCATCTCCAGAAAACTCTTTAAGTTGTATTAAAAAGTCGCGGAGATTAAGTTTGAATTTAGGGATATCCATGTTAAGGGAAAATAAACCTAATACAAAGTTTTGTACCTGTCCACTTTAAAATATTAGTTATAAAAATTTTTGAAATTATATAGTCTTTACAGTTGTAAATGAGGAAATGCATTATTTAAAAGAGTAACAACATATTCTCGTAAAAATACAGAGTTTGGAGTATTTTCATTTTGAACTTGCTGAGGAGTATATAATGATGCTTGAATAGCTCCAGATTCAACTAAATGAAACATTCTTGCAAGAATTACACTTTGTAATTTAAATCCTTTAAAAATTGTAAGTATGAAGATATTTTAAATAATTGAAATACCAGATTTATGGTCTGTATCTGTTAAAACAAAAAATATATCTTGAAGAATCGAAAGAAAATATTGCTGAAAAAAAGAATTTGCTACATTTGGCTCTGTATTTGCAATATTATTAATAAGTTCTAGACATATATTGAGGCCTATATTGTAAGTTTATAATATAAAAAATTGTTCTAGAATTACCGATTTCTGCAATATCGCGTGTTGTATGTTTGATGGCCCACATTATGCTATCTATTATAAGTTTAAATTGTGGTGCAGGAAGTCTTAGAAGAGCTAAAAAAATTAAAATTCTAGTTGTTTTAAAAATATAACAAACCAGGAAAACAATTAAGATTTATAATATGTAATAATTTGAAAAACCCAACACGATGTTCAGGAAATTCTGTAAACTCCTTATTAATCATATCAAGAGTACATTCAAATACAGATTGTAAAACTAAAGGAATTGCATCTATCATTAAACCCTTAAAGTATATTAATAGAAATCATGTAAATATATGTAATTTTTACACCAAGTCTTGAGATAATTGTAGTTATCATATTCAGGACTTCACTATCCCGTGCATCAGGAACATTCCTATTGTAATCTCCTAAAACGGCTTCTAAAAGAGGAGGTATCAAAATATTATTAACAGTTTCAAGATCATCAGCTTTACTGACATATACTTCAATAAGCTTAAGAATCTCTTTTTTTACAGTTCGCAAACTTCTTGTTCTAGGAGTTCTTGTAGCAATATTTCCTAAAATTTGTATATATTATTGATTTTTAAAAATATATTGTTACCTTGAGATGCTACAGTATCAGAAATGATCGTGCTTACAGCTCTATAAAGACCTAGCAAGTCCATGTATATTTTCCCAATTTGCCGATAAAAATAACTTCCAATTGAAGAGCATGCAGATACATTTGTTTTAAGAACATTTCCTATTATTTTAATAGTTTCATTATCATTTAAAACATCTACGTTTTGACCAGCTTGTTGTATAATATTATCCCACTAATAATAATTATAAAAATATATAGTAATTTTTTTAAATTACCACTGCATTGGGTAATTGCATAAGTTCTGAAATCAATCTTTCTTGAATAGTTTTAGATGGTTGAGCGGAAATCATATATCCACAAGCTTCATAAAATGTATGTACCTGCTGAGGAGAAAGGTCTTCAGTAATTTTGTGTAAGTTCCGAACAATCTCATCTATAAAAGGTTCATGCTCCCCTGTTTGTTGTGCTACAAAATGCCTTCGACATTTTTGTGCAATTTTTATAAAAGTATCACATGCCATATCTTGTACACCTATTCGAATTAGAAGAAAAAGGGAAACAAATGTATCTTTCTATATTAGTATACCTTCATGAGTTTCATGCATAAATTCAAAAAGTTTATTTACTACAGTTTTCAAAAATTTCCAGTGTGCTTTTAAAAAACGAGGATATTGACCAACGATGTACATAATATTTGAAGCAACAACCGCTTTATTATCTTTTCCTCGTTTCATTTCCGTTAAACCAAGAAGATCTTTAATAACCATAACTAAAAATCGCTTTTCAGTTTCTTCATCTAAATCCATTTAATCTAAAATTTAAAGCTTTAATTAAAACGCTTACTCATAGCACCAGAAATGGACCCAATGGCCCAACAAAGTGTATTTAAATTAGCCCATGACCATTCACTTCCGTCGATTTGTCTAGCAAGTTTATCAGACATAATAATTTCAGTATCTACAACATCCAAATGAGTTAAATAAACAAGACATTCCCTCATGCTTTTGTACAAAACAATAGTATCACTTTCCTTTACAAATTCTCTAACAATTTCTCCTTCATCGTTTTCAACTATTAAAACCTTATCCAATTAATTTTTTTTACGACTAACATAAGTGGCCTTACTTCTTCTGGTTTTACCATTTTCTCTACCATAACAATACGTAAATTTGATAATACTTCTGAATAAATATGTTTTCGAAGTGGAATATTTGCATACATGCTAGCAGGTGTAGCACCGCCACTAGCAAGACTTGCAGATAAATTAAGAGATAAAAGAGGATTAATATCTGCAATAGGGAGTTGTTGTATCTAAATAAAATTAGTTTATTTCTTAATTTATTATGAACTTACTTCTTCGTAAAGTTCTGCTACAAGTTTGGACCAATATTCTAGACAAATCTTAAAGATTTCTCGTTCATCTACTTGAGATATTTTAATTAAATAGAAATGAGCATTCAAAAGAAGATCCTTATTTTCTTGATTTTCAACAAGCTAAAATATTAAACTAGAAAAAAATGAAGTGAAAAAAACCTTTACGTGTGCTCCAAGAAACGTAGAAAGGAAAAGGGCAAGATTCTGGATAAAATCTTGTTCTTGAGAGCTACTTGTGTCATAGGCGGCTCTAAAATCTATTTTTTTAATATACTGTGAAAAAATATTTATATATACCAGTATTTAAAGGAATAATATTATTAACCGAAGACATTGTTAAATTTAAAAGATTTACGAACTTTTCATCATATTGTGACATAACTGATAGACCAGCAATTTCGGTCAGGCATTTTAATGTTACATTTCTAAATTCAGTTACTTCAAGAAACTATTTAAAAGTAAAAAAATATTTTCAAAAAAATAAAAAAATATTTACTCTTGTACATAAAGTTTCAATGATATTCGTTTCAAAAATAAAGCCAAGTGGAATCCAATTCAAAAATCTGAGAATTGTCTCTAGTGTTGCTAAAATTAAACTTGTTTTTTGAGCTTTTTCAAGAATTTCAGAGCATAACTGAAAAACTTCAGAAAATTCTCCGGACATTTGTGTTCTGAGATTTTTTGTTTTAAGTTGAGTCATTTGTTCCGCAGAATAATCAAAAATTTCTTCACTAAAATAAATTAATAATAATAAAATAATAGAACCTAAAAATACCTAAGAAGCTTAAGAACAGCCATATTATTTTCGCATAAAGAAAGATTTGTTTTTGAGGCGTTAACAATTTCAGGAATAAATGTAGGCCAGTTTTTTGGCCACTCTTGTTTAAGAATCTATAGCGAAATAATCCATTGATTATATATACAAAATTAAAATACGTACCTGTACAAGAGTGAGATTAAGCTTATTTAAGTATTGTTTTTCTTTATGAAGCGTTGCTTCATCGGAAGATGTTTTAATCATGATGGCAACAACAAAATTTCGAATACCTGTAATTCAAAAGCAGTTAATTTTGATTGTTAAGAAACACTAGAATGAAATTACCCTGACAATGTTCTCTAGGAAGGATTTTCCATCGTGTGGATATAAGTTTATCAAGGATAGAAAGTGCAATATCTAATGACAAATTTACTAAAAAACATAAAAGAATATATAAAATTTGTTACGTTTTGTCTGAAGAACATTCGATTTTTCCAAAATTGTATCAACCCTCATCCATGCATCAGGATGTTCCTGGAATTGTGTCAGGACTCTTTGCGCCTGTTGTTGCTATTTAATGTATTTATCAGCATTGGCTTTTGCTAATCCAATCCAATAAATACCTCTGCACCAGATCCTTGGTAAAATGTATGAACAATACGATCAAGTAGAGCCACATTAAAGTCTTGATCAAAATTCAAAATATCTTCCATTTTCTTTCAGTGTTTTTCGGATTATTTCCGCCAAAATTCAGCCAAAATTATCCGATCAAATTCTTTCTATATCTTTTAATCTTCTACACTAAGAATAAAACCTTTTTTTATACAAAAGTTCTCTTGCTTTTTTTCAAGGTTTCTTCCTTTTTATTAATCTTGTCTTACGCAGTGGTCGACGACGACGACAACTAGACCGTAGTGGAAGTTTGTATAGAATGAATAAAATAGTATTATTAAAGAACTATTAAATTGACAAAAAATATTTTAAATAGATAATTAAAATGTATTATTTTTTTATTTTTTTAAAAAAACACTATTTTTGACTTCCAAGAATATATTATAAATATATTATAAATATATTATAAAAACAATTTTTATATATTGGTCTTTTTAATTTGACATGGTTATTCAATAGGTCTTTTTTCTTTTTTTAATATCAATTTTATACATTATTTGTATGTTTCTTCATAGATTACACACAATATTTGATCTGACAATTAACATTGAATATCGAATGATAAGCTAACAAACGTCGAAATTTTGATCAAATGGACAAAGATGTCTAAAATAGTGGAATTTTACAGGAAATGATAAGAAAATATCTTTTAAAAGATAGCTTTTTATATATACAGCAATGCTGTCAAGTTTGAGCGCGAACCACGAAACAAATCTCTCTATACGGAGAATAATGCCGGTCATTTTTATCATTATGTAAGTAATGATGGAATGGAGAATAAAAAAAGATATATATGAACATGTACTAAAAGGAAATAGTTTTCCTATTTTAGTAGCAATAATTGTGCTTATTTTTATTCATCAACAACACCGAAGAAGAATTCTTCGAGAAGGTCTTGAGAATCATAATGATCGTGTGGTGAGCAATCCAAAACGGTCTCGGGGATTTTCTTCATTTCTATCGGTCTTTGTATGCTTTAAGAAACACAAAGTGCAGACAAATCTCAAGGAACGCCATTCACAAGAGAATTCATTTAATGATACGATTCCTGAGAACTATTTACTTCCTGTTCTTTTTCCCTCTCAAGAAGATATGAGTCTTTTTACACGTACATTTTATAGTGATTCAAATGGTACTCGTTATCATACGGGTATCTCAGCGTCGACTCAGACTTCGTATTCATGATAGGTCTACTTTGTTGAGCAAATTATCGGCTATGGTTTATGCATATGAGTAATATTTTTAAAATGGATACATCTTCTATTTTTTTTAGAAAATATAAGTGGAATATATGCATTTTATGTTACAATATTTTTATTATTCTCGAGGATATCATTTCTGTGGTCATGCTTTTGTTATTTCAGTAAACTATTCTTTTTTACTTATAAAACATGATTTTGTGCATTTCAGATGTGTGCTTTGTTTTGCAAAAATGGATTATTTATTGGCTTTTTAAAATAATGCTATATATTTTTAATCGTTTTTAGAATCTTTATGTCATAAATTTCGAAAAAGTACTTTAAAATAATGCTAATTACTATCTATTTGGTAAAAAATTTCGAATGCTTTTAAATGATAAAAAAATCATTAATTGATCTATTTTTTGTGAAGTTTTTTTTGCGAATAATGATAGCTTCAATCTTTCAAAGTATATTTATAATTGAAAAATTAAAAAAAAAAAACTATACATATGATATTTTTATGGGATGCAGGATAAAATTAATTTTTTTTCAAATATATACAAGAAACATGCATGTAAGCATTTGTATTTAAAACAAATATCTCTATTATTTATTAAATCTAGGGTAGCTGCATTTTATTTAGATATAAGTATTGCTTGAGTTACAAAATTATTTCTTTCATTTGTTGCAAAGGATAACAAAATAGTTTTTATTTTTTTTAATTTACATGTGAATTATTTAATATTTATTGCTTTCGAACGGACCAATGATAAGAGGGCACATCTTTAATGTTATACTATAATATTATAATAATGTTTTAGTGTTTTTCAATTTTTTCAAATTTTTTCATCTCTTGTGGGATATATAGACATAACTTGCAAATGACTATGCGTATAGTAATTATTTTTCTATCTTTTAGTATATAGGATTGTAATTTATCTATATATAAGAAGCTTATATATATTATTTTTCAGCTTTATACTTAATTAAGTATTTATATAAACTATCTCTATTAATAATGCTTAATAATGCACTATTTATACACGAAAGATAAAATGTTTCATTTTTTATTTCTTTAGGGCATTAGTGTTTTTGTTAATTTTTATAGGGTCATAAAAAATAAAGTGCTTATCTATTTTTTTACATATAACATTAAATTATTCTAGACAAAAAAATAAAGTACTTGCATGGAAAATAGTTAAAGATATATGTATTTGTGATATTTTTGTATTTTTCATTTTTTTATTTTTTTATTAAAAATTATGAAAATATATAGGGTTTTTTAGAATTTTATAATTTTAGTCGTGAGAAAAGTATTCTTAAAATATATCAATTATATTCTGGTAAAATAATGTTTTATTTGTTGCTGCAAAAGCTAATAAGGTTCAGTTAATTGTTTTTAGTATTGTTTTTCTTTTTTCAAGAAAAAATATATAGTTTTTCAGGCTTTACGGCGTTTTAATTTGTACGAGTATTCTTTGTCAAATAACCGAGGATACCTGTTTATGTTGTGAAACTAACTATTTATTGAGAGTGTAGTGTTATTATTAGAAGATCTTTTTATTTTTTCTTTCGTGTAAAGATGCAAGGTTGGTTTTTTTTTTATAAAAATATTTTTAAAAAAATATTGCTTATTCTCTTTTTAACTATATTAGATCATGAGAAAATGAGTTATATAAGGAGTGCAGTTGCTCCAATAAAGTTCATTATTTCTTTGAGTTCATCTTTGTTGACTTTATTTTTCTATATATTTATATTAAAGCCTGTTTCAGTTGTTTTAAAATCTGATCAAGATATGCAAAATTCCTCTAAATTTCAGGAAAAAAATATACCGTTTTATTTTGTATTGAGAAGTAGAGACGTTGATGTAACAATTTCGCCTAATTCTACGCCTATTTCTAATACTACTAATTCATTATCTAATTCTAGTATATCTAGTACAAATGGCCGTTCTCCAGATTCTGTAGCGAGTAACTCTACTGAATCGGCTAATAATGCAGTTGGTTCTGGTAATTCAAATTCGACGGTATCTGATGGAAAAAATACAACTGATGTGTCAAAAGATGGAGCAAGCGGTTCCTCATCTAATGGAAATGCTGACGAATCATTACAATCCTCTTTAAATGGTACTAAACCTAGTTCATCCAGTGATGCAACAGCATCACTTGGAACAATTATTATAACAAAAACAGTAACAGATACAGTGACAAGTACAGTTACAATGCCATTTGCACCATCTACAACGTCGTCTACTGATGATTCAACACAAGTTACGCTCTCGAATTCAACTGAGACTTCATATGGGACTACATTTGAAACTTCATATGAGTCTGCTACTAGAGGCACTACTGTTTCTCGTTCTATTTCACAAGTTAGCACTTTTAGTATGAGCCAGGAATCTCATACTTCTTTTCCAGCAGATCGGTCGGACAGTAATAGCCATAAGTTTGATATATTTAGAACGAGAACAGTATTGATGATAACTGCACCAATAATTCTTTTTATTATTATACTTATTATTATATTGTGGTATTGGCATAGGAAATCTAGTCGAGCATCCAAAATTCCTCCTCGGAAACAAGTTGAAGATTACAATATTATGCCAATTATAACTGGTGAAACAGGGGGGATACAAAGAACTAATTATCTTGAAAGAAATCAACCCTATGGTTCTGGTATTGATGATTCTAATAAATGGGGATATAGAGGATGGGGTCCAACAAATGTTCCTCCTAATAATAAATCACTCTTAACAAGAAATAATAGTATAGCATCTAACGCATCTTATGGACATCAGAAGCAAGATTATTATTCTAGAGTTAATGAAGATAAAGATGTACCTCAAGTGGGAGTAGCTAGACAGAAATCGTTAAATCGCTTAAGTGGCATGATAAATCCTGTTACTAGGGATGATTTTCAAAATACAAAATCTTTTAGGCCTAAGAATTTAGCTGCTCATATTTCTGGCCCTGTTAATGGTTCATTCCACGATACTTTACCATATTCCTCGAATACACAGAATGTTCCTACTGCATCCTCTAAGAGCAAATTACGGCAGGATTATATTCCTTCTTCTATGCAAGAAAGTTCAATTGAAAAGCCATACAGTTATTCAGATATTCCGAAATCATTAACAAATAGTCAAAAAAGGGCGTATGAAGACAGACGAGATAGTTCTCAAAGACACTCTATAATATCTCAAAAGCATTCTGAAAGGCCTCAATTATATAATTTTTCTAAAACTTCTTAAATATACCAACCATGCACTTTAGGTATTTTTTGATTTAGATATGTATAATTTTTTCGTCTAATACTCAATATTTGTATATTATTTTTTAAAGTTTTTCTGATATGTTTTTTTGTGAAAATATCCATATTTTTATTTATGATTTAATGTTTTTAATCAGACTTTTTTTAAATATTAATTTTAATATTTAAAAAAAAAAAATTAAATTATGTAGGGTGATAGAAAAAATTATTAAAATTTGAAAGTTTAGTGGTTTTTGTTAATATATATCGTTATTAGTATATTAAGTTTTAATGAATTTATTTCTAAGTATGAATCTATAAGTTTTAAGATAATGTATCTTTTTATAATTTGTAAAATTATAAATTAAAAGGTTTTAGAAAGTATTATTGTTTAAACTTTAGAATTTAAATTTTTGAAGAAATTTTGAAGTAATTTTAAGTTATAATATATATTTAATAAGGTATTGATTTGTGTCAATTTTTTTTAAAAAGTAATATTAATAGTATTGTTTTTAAAAAAATATTTAAAAAATTTTTAAAAATTATTTAAAAATAAAAATTAAACATAAAATTTTTATATATCTAAAATTTATATTTACTTATGTTTTAAAAATTTACAGAATATTTACATTAATTTAAAAACATTTTTATCTAAATTATTAAAAGTTTGATTTAAAAAAACAATATACAAATAGTTCTATTAAAGTATTATATTTTTATTATACCTTTTATTTATTTACTGAATTTATGTTATATTGTTTATTATATTGTTAAAATAAAAGAAATGTTTTAAATAAATGTACTACAAATAAAAATGTAAAAACATTCAAATATTTGAAATTTAAAACACTTTTTAAATTGGATATTTTAAAAAGTATATTTTAAACAAATTAAACTGGAACTTCAAAAAAAAATGCAATTTAAAACATATATTTTTAAATCAAACATTTACAAACTTACAAAATACATTTGAATATTTTGCTAAAAAAATAACTTCGGATTTTTTAATTCATAGTATGAAAATATTACAAAAATGTAAAAAAACTGAAAACAATGTTTAAATAAACTTAAATACAAACCTAAACAAAAAATTCAAATCATTAATATCAAGCATATCATTCCTAAAGTACTATGTTTCATTGAAATTATTTTACTTATAAGCAACATTATATAATTGAAAAACAATACATAGCAACAAGTACATCGAACAGATTCCTGCAGATTATTTCATATAACATTTTTGTAGTTATAAGAAATAAATTGACAAAAAATGATGCTAAGTAAAAAATAAAGATAATGGTAAACATTTATTTCATCTTTAACAGAATACTATGTCCTTAATTATAATATCCAAAGTTAATCTCCAAAGCATATTTATTTTTTGAAAAAAATAAGAGATTACTTAATTTAACAAGCCTGACTATTCTAAAAGAGATATTTCTTGAGAACTTTTATCTGGACAAATTGTCCATTTCAAGGTTACCCATTCGGAATTTCTTCCTTTACGAATAGACTTATATCTAACTATTGCTTTATCTTCTATAAAATTATTTTAGTTATTCTTGCACAATATGAAATAAATACTTACGAGAACCACTTACACGAAACGATAAATCAATACGACCTTTGACATAATTTATTTCCCCTGATATCCATGGCCACTTATATGTAAAATCAATATTTTTCCCAAGATAACTTTGTGCCATTGGACTATACTTGAGTTGATACATAAGATGAGAAACAACAGGAGAAACAAGGCGCTGATGATTAAAAGATAACCCAATAATAAGAACCCATATAATAACTCCTGTAGCAGAATAAACAAATATTTTTTTTTTTGATATTGTAGCAGGATATAATTGCATAGCCGAATAGTTATTATATCGTTTACCAGGACTGTTAAATAGCAAAGAAGTCCCAAAAAGTGACGGTTTAGAAACAGTTAATAGAGATAAATACATTGGTAAACGATAAGATCGAAAACCTATTTTAAAGTTGTTCATTTCTCCAGTACTGTATTTTTGATAATAAACTCGAATAAAAAGTTACAATAATTTAAGAGAAACGAACAATTTTTTTAAAATCTTTCCGCATATCTTTAAGAAATTCAAAAAAGTCTCTTGATTGATTCAATTTTAAAACAATTTCATTAATAGTCGTCAGTGGAGGTGAACACTCGGTGACTTTTTTGATGAGAAAAAAAATACACAAAAAATAATATTTACCTTCATAATCCCTTTGAGAAAGATTAATTATAAAATAAAACTCCCTCATCCAGTCATTTTCATCAATATGCGTAAAAACGATTTTAAGAAAATCATCTTTAACTCCTTCAATCTTCATAGCCAGATAATCTTCCCAAAATTTCAACTCTGGCTGATTTTTAGAAGCCTGCTTAATAAGCATGTGTCGCATATTGGCTCGAACTAAGCAATCAGAAACACTTATTAATAGATAACAACTTACGTTCACGTTTTTTTTGAATTATTTGGTTAATATCTTGTATTTGCTGCGATAAATATTCCCGTTTCTCAGACATCATTGCTTTTTTTTCCTTAAATTCAGAAATAGACAACTCTGCTTCCATTACTTCTTGTTTTTCTTTTTCTACCGCTGTTGAATACTTAGAAATTACACACAAAAAATACAAAAATTATATACCAAGAAGCATATTCTTTTCAATTTGTTTGTAGTTTTCAACCTGGTTTTGAAGGGTTTTCTGTATTTCTTTGTATATTAGTTTAATTCATATAAATGTCTTCAATCATTTACCTCGATCTCCTGCCATAGCTTTTGAATGGCGGTTTTTTTCTTCAAGCTGCTTCTCTTTCATATTCATAATGAACTTGTCAAATTTAGCAGTAAATTGCATCATTTTGGCCTTTGTTTCATCAAATGATATACTTATAGATGGTAGTGAAGATAACAAAGTTGAGTCAGAATTGATCGGAAAAAAAGAAAGATCTAATGAAGACATATATATTTGTAAAAATTTAGAAGAAAAATGATATTTCTAAGGAAAAAAAGCCTTTTTTTTTATAAAAAAACTATCTTTTTAAGATGTTTGTTTTAAAAATTATATCGATCACATAATATCAACAAAAATCATGAAATTTCTGTTACCTAAGCAACAACATAAATATTTGCAAAAAAAAAGAAATACCCAAAAAGCATGAAAAAATATGATTATTTGAGCCTATAAATGACACAGTCTTATAAAGAAATGAATTCTGATATAAGGGATGTTTTAAATTTACCGGAAACTCCTATTTCCAAGCCAGTAGCTCGCACAAAACTAAAAACATTTACAGAAAAAAAACCAGATTCCATAACACGAGAACTATACTCACTTTTGGGCGAAAACACGCCTCCTATTGCAATACTTCAAAACAAATTCAAAACTCGTCCAAAATTGCGTCAAAAAGCAGTTGCATGGTGGGATCTGAGTTCAATAGTATTTTTTTCTAAAAAAATTGTAACAGGGTATGGTCTTCATTTGTCAATGGTGCAAGAAAAGACGGGCATCTGTTTAGCCATTGGATGAGGGCAGAAGATAGCGTAAATGGTATATTTATAGCTTTTAATTGAAAATAAAAGGCTTATTTTTAAATAGAAGAATACCGATTTGAAAAGTTGAATAAAAAAGTCAATATTATAACGTATTCTAATGAAGAATATGCTCTAAACCTTACAGGTTCAATTTTTTTTTTAAATATATTTTTTTTAAATTAACAGTATCTATCAGCACTAGATTGGTCTCGAGAAGAAACAGATTATTTATTTTCTCTTTGCAGGGAATATGATTTGCGTTTTGTTGTGATTGCAGATAGATATGACTACAAGGGGACTCAAAGAACAATGGAGGATATAAAAGATAGATATTACACTGTTGTTCGTAAAATTCTTATGGCAAGAACACCTATTGCAATGATGACACCTACACAAACAGAAGAATTAAACCAGCTATATTATAATAAAGGTAATTTTTATTTAAAACTTGTTTCTAAGTGTTTAGCTTTAAAGAAAGGGAAATTGCTCGAAAAAAGCATCTTGCAAGTCTTGCTATGAGGACACCTGCTGAAATTGCAGAAGAAGAAGCATTATTTATAGAGTCACAGAGAATAGAAGCATATGGAAAGAAAATGGCTCAAGAAAGAAAAGAATTACTTCGTCTTTTAGAAGCACCGATACCCACAGGAAGCATTGCTAAATATACATCTAGTCAAGGCCTAGGAATCCTTGCAAATAATATACTTAATGCAGATAAAAACCGTAAAAGAAAAATGCATGAAAAAAATTCTTCTCAGGCATTTTCTGGATTAACAAACTCACATAAAGATACTATTTTTAAAAAAATTAAAAAACTTTCGTCTCGTGAAGGTAATGATAAGAGAAAAAATAAACATTTGTGCTAATAAAATTGTTTAGAAATTATTTACGGTGTTTCTTGGCATGATAAACTGCATGCAGGTATATATTTACGCTCCACGCGACTAAGTATGGCTAAACCAACCGTCGCGACAAAAATTGCAACTATATTAACAGAGTTGGGTCTGGCTACTCGACTAACTATGCCAACTGCAAAAACATGTGCTAAATTTGAGCAGCTTCAGCGCTCTATAGAAATTCTTTTGGACGCAAAAAAACATCTAGATCGTCTTGAACAGGAACATCGAGTTGCCGAAGCACGAATTCAAGAAATTCCCATAAACGATTCAGAAACAAAGACTCAAGAACCACTAAACGATAGTCCTAAGTTTCAAAAACGACTTAGAAAGTGATCTTCCAGAAATATTTCTTTTATCTTTAGATATATCTATTTATGTATCTTATTCTTTTTGAAAAAAAAATAATAGATACCACAAATTCTATTCTTTCCATTTCTAAATTTTTACTTCTTTTTACTGTATATAATATTACTTCTCTCTTCTCTTATAAATACTGCTGCATTGACGTCGACTTTCGTTTTGCTTTCGACGACGGCTCAGCCTCCGAATGATTCTTTGGAAAAACAGCCTTTTTACGCAAAAACACAGTATATACGGAGCATAAACTGTGTAAGACATTCATTTGCGTGGCTCAAGGCGTTTTTTCCCGTTTTTTTTCACTTGACGGCGTTTTAAAGGTCTATTAACATATAAAAAGACAATAACTTATCATTTATGCTGCAGATTTCTCGTTTATAATTAATCAAGCCTTTTTTCTCTGCCTGTGCCGGCTGCTTATATGAAATTTTTTGAAACAACCTTTGTTTTTGACTATCCATGGTATCAGGTAGGAAAAAATCATTTATTATGTGCATATACGCCAAAAATTCAGTATATATTGAGAAAACACCTATATATACACCTTGGAATACACTATACATGTTTTAAGGAGCATGAAGATGAAAAAAGGGCAAAACAGTGTAAAAAGAGCATAGAAAAAGCACAGATAACGTATACTTGAATATAATGTATATAATTCAGTATAAAGACGGATATGATTTGATATAAAACCATACACGTATAAGAAGAACACATGATATGCTCTGATCTGATAGTATATATTGTTTAATATATAATCTAGTGCATTTAAGACAGATTTTAATTATTTACTATATATCAAAATAATAATACCGAAAATTTTTAAAGAAATATATATATTTCAAAAACATTTGATAATTCTAATATATTTATGTTAAATTTGGGCAAATCGGCTTTTTACACTACATACAGCTCAAAACTTAAACGTATATACTTTATATATAATTTATTACTTTATGCAATATTTTAACTTTCAATATTTCAACATATAAATACGAATTGTGGCTGATTAACATATCAGGTGAGCACGGCACACTGGAGAAAATATCCAAATGAACGAGCGACACATGTTCTATCAATTGATACGCTACGCCGAGAAGTCGATCCTGAAACAGGTGTGTTACGGACAGAGCGGCTAATTGTCTGTCGGCAGTCGGCACCCCTGTGGATTCTTAAGTTTGTTGGTGGCAATGGTGATTCTTATGTACGAGAAGTCAGCGAAGTGGATCCTCGCTCAGGGCACGAAACATTAACGATGCGGTCTGCGAATTTAACATTTTCACATATTGTTTCAGTTGAAGAGACTGTTGTATATCGTCCGGCTCCCCATGATCCTTTGCGTAAAACCCTGTTTGAACAAGAAGCAACATTTCAAGCAACTGCATCATTTACACGCTTTGTTAATGCTAAGATGGAAGAATGGTCGGTGCATCGGTTTTCAACTAATGCGAAAACTGGTCGTGAGGGTTTTGAAAGTGTACTTGCAAATATGGCAGAAAGTGTTTTTCGTGCTGAACAAGCTCGTCCCAAAACTCCTCATCATTAATTTTGTTATTGAAAGAAGTATTGAATCTGGTATTGAATACAAACAAAAGAGGTGTTGGAAGAAGAGTATTAAGAAAAAAAGTATTTATACAGAAAATTTGAATATTGGTTAAAAAAATACACTGACATAAAATATAAAAAATACAAAGGAAAATGTAGGATGTGTCTAAATAAGAATGTAAAAAACATGAAAAGCATAACAAAGTGTATGTAGGTGAGTGTTATGGGATGTCATAAACTGTTTTAAATCACCATCCTTGTTTCTGCGTGGTTTGCGTATCGGACACATCATTTTTACACCGTCTACACATTTGCATTGTCAATTATTATCGATTAACTTCTACGTTGACTATACCTGTTTTATCAGCTGTGGTTTGATGCTTATCCTATTAATTGGTGATTTGTATATTCCGTCGCGTGCATTAGACATTCCTTTGAAAGTATGTTGAGTTTTTTAGAGCTTTTATTAAGCTACATGTGAATATCAACTGGGTTATAATAAAATACTAGTTGAGTTTTCAAATAAAGCTTAAACAAAGCTTGAGTTAAATTTTAACTAACAGGATAAATAGTTGAAAAAGCTGTTGGTTCCAGGGAAGATTGCACAAATCTTATGCACAGGAAATCTCGTAGACCATACAACCATAGATTTTCTTCAGACAGTCGCACCTAATGTTCATTTTGTTCGAGGCGATTTTGATGATGTATGTTTTTTTCACTCATAAGTTCGCAAAAATACACAAACGTAATATACAAGTATGAAGCAGATGTACAAAGATTCAAATTTAATATGTTATAAATATATCACTTATTTTTTGACAATTCTTTGTCGATGCTTCTCATTGATATATTATTGTTTTAATTTTTGCTGGACACAATTTCTCAGGACTTTAACTAATCAATAATACAGTCAGGACGAACATGGCCTGTATCACGAGTAATGACTATAGAAACTTTTCGAATTGGGTTAATTCATGGACATTCAATAGTACCAAGACAAGACAGTGATGCGTTACATATAGTTGCACGACAGTTGGATGTAGATGTACTTGTATGGGGAGGGACACATCGTTTTGAAGCATATGAATGGGACGGCAAGTTATTTATAAATCCAGGCAGTGCAACAGGTGCATTACATACAGGATGGGGCGATGAACCTGTTATTCCGACGTTTGTTTTGCTAAATCTTCAACCTACGGTCATTGTTCTTTACGTTTACCGACTTGTTGATGATGATATTAAAGTCGAAAAGCTACAATATCCTCGAACTGAGGCAAAATTTTGAAGAAAAATACAGTAAAGCATTTTTCTAAATTTTTCGCAATAATAATTAGCAACAACTGGTTATGATACAGTAATACAATAGTGGTACATCAAGATCGAACTATCAAAGATTTTGAGTCAAGTTTTGAAAAACCATGTTTTAATTTGGGTTTTGAATCATTTTATTATGACAAATATCTAGCATTCTTTTTTCCTAACTGAAAAACATATCTAATCCATTATCTTCTATAGCCCTTTTTTATTTTTTTTATTGATTTCCATCCATTTCTTAAAAATTTAATACTAACCCTAATTCCATTCATTCATAATAGCCGACTTGCTTAGTCTCAAAGATGCTATATGAAAATACAAAAAAAAAAAGACGGGAAAAATAAAACTTCTTTAAATACTGTTTAAAGTCTTTAATACTATATTTTTTTTCATTTTTAATGCTACTCTAATTCTGTGACGTAGGCTTTTCGGAGCGTTAACGTTATAAAATATAAAAAATGTATTGAAAAACAAAATATAAAAATAAATGGGCACCATATAAGATTATGCAGAATGCACCATTAAGCCCTGCAAAGCTAAAAAACGAAATTTGCGTCAAAAAGTCTAGCAGCATCCGCAGCCTTGTAACTCGTGGTTTGCATGTATTAACTGAGCAAGAAGTTCAAAATATTTTTACAGTCGAAGCACAAGGTTTAAGCATTGGAAAAGCAGTGACCATTATAGAAATTCTAAAACGACGTCTTCGGGACGCAGAACTTAAGTTTTGGCAATATAATAAGCTCGACAGTGCCCATACAGATACTTCTGCAATTCACATGATCAGTAAAGAGTATAATCCTATCTTATTGCTCTCATAACACACTATAACAATCTTAGTTGTTCTTTTGACCTGAAACATGATAACAGAAAAGATATACTAAAAAATATAAAGACCAAGTAAAAATATGTTATTGTTTTTCAAATGTTGATAAGCCTTAGAGTTGTCCCAATTTTAAGAATCAAGCTGAGCAGGTTACCGTTAGAACTGACTGATGGATGGAAGTAAGGTTTCTAATGATATTTAAATATTTCTAATGTCCCAGAGAGCAACTAGATAATCTTGATTAACAGAAATATTTTAAAATAGCAAGTACTAAAACATTAAGCTGTAAATAAATATAAATATATAGTAACAGTCAAAAATATAGAATAAACAATAAACTGTAAATAAACACAACGTAGATAATAAACTGTTAGAAATATAAATCATACGATAAGTTGTTAGAGATGTAAAGCAAATAGTAAGCTATTAGATATATAAATAACAAGCTATTAAAATATAAATAAACTGTTGGTAATATAAACGATAAATTGTTGAAAATATAAGGTGCTAGAAATATAATATAAATGCGTTTTGTTAATAGTTATCAAAAAAATCGTCCAACCGTTATAATAGATAGAAATGCTTCTTGAAAATAATCACTAAAAAATAAACGAATACCTACAATAAGCGTAACAAAATGTTTATTTGAATCGTCTGTCTAGGTATATCCCGTCTCCTGTTAAAAATATTCATTTTACCATACCCTGTAACTATATACATCCCATTCACGAAAACGTCGTAATAATTTCGTCATCAAGACTGCTGTTGCATGTAATTGGTTTCCGTAACCGCTTTACAAGTAACCCGCCTTTCTTTAACTTGTTGCTTATATATTTCGTCTGCACCTTGTTTTCTGCCGTTTTCTGCCGTTCTTTCGTTGGTTTTTTCAAATCCTGTCCTTGTTGCACCATATTCTGCATCTCCTGCCCCCGTCCTAGACATCTCGGTGCAGGAAGCACTAATGGAGAAACCTCTGCCAGTGCCTTTTCCGAAACACCCTGTTCTTGATTTTTCTTCTTTTCTTTTGGCGTAGACGTTGCTACAGGCTCTCCCTCCAGCGACAAATGTTGAAAAGACAGATCATCCAGGATATTTGCTGGCAAATCATTAATATCTACATGTGGATTATTCTTTGACTCTATTCGTTCATTCTGAGCCGTTGTACTCGACAAATTCCGTTTTTTTCCCCCATCTATCGCACAAAAACCCTTCTCCTGCTCGTTATACCTGCTATTTTTCTTTCGTAATTTCGATATAGGAATTTTCACCTTCTGGAGCTCCTTTTTTTTCAAGAAATATTCTTTTTTATCTCCTAAATACTCTTTTTTCTGTAAAATCTCATTCCCAATACTATTTTGCCCCGTTTTTTCTCGTTCTGCCACAACCTGAGCCTGTGTATTCTCCTGTATACACTTGTATGCCTCTAGGGCGCCTATATGCATTGTATTTGACTTGTCTGCCAAAATACGTGTTGTTGGCGCTCTGTGAAGATATGTGCGCCTCGGAGGGGCGTTTTTTGCATATATATGCGCTTCAAAAGCGCTGTTTTCGCCTGCTTCTGCAAGAACAGTGTCTTCTTGAAGCATCCTACGTGTCTGTGCAGTATGGGTTGCTGTACGGCTTTTGTGCCACATCTGCACACAGAATCTCGAAAAATGGCTCAAAAAATGCGCTGAAAAAACAGTTCAAAAGAACCCTGTATTTCCTTCCAATATGATCTATGTTTTCCACCGTTTTTCGCCCTATTTACGTCTCTTTTGCCCCGTTTTCTCTCATTATTTTTTTTTGTCGTCTCCTCCGATTTATCGCTTTACAACTCCCAGTTTTCTTCCTCAACGATATACTGTTTCCGTTACTCTTCTCTACATTTTTACGGTTTCTGCGCATATATCCCGTCTTTTTACGCATATATTTCGAAACTCCTCCGCATATACTTGGTGTTTAGTCGTTTCCTGCTCTGCCGCCTTATGAATGTATTATTTCCTCTCCTTTTTCTCGCTGACAATCAGATCCGCGTTGCTACCGTTGCTGATTTGCCGGAAATGCAGCAAACAAATCTCACAAATCTTCCGGAAAACTATCAAATGAAATATTGTAAGGATACTTTTGTCTAAAGAACAGCACTGTGTCCCTAGAAAGGTCACGTGACATTCTCTGTCTGCCACTGATATGCACATACAGCAGACAGCGCAATACAGAGACATACACTGTATATATACCGCATATAATACTGCATACATATAGAATATGCCGTGTATCTGCACATAGAGTGCATACGCACCCTATGTATCATGCATACTGTGTATACTATGTAACTGTGTATACAGTATAAGTAGACATACTATACATAGCACATATAGTATGTATATTGTATATGCTATATGCTATGTATATGTGGTATATGCTGCATGTATAGTATGTACTGTATGCGCTGTACACAGCGGCTCAGCTACACGTAATAGTGGAGCAGTATTAGGGACACTCTTTAAAAGTGTGTCTTAAAAGACACTGTAGGAATGCAGCTGTATATGTGTATAATGTGCATAGAACATACAATATACATCTATATGTGTGTATGCATCTATATATATGTGTATGTGTGTATATGTTTGTGTATACATGTATGCATATCGATGTATATACACTGCCAAAGCGGTGTATTAAGCGATGTATTCTCTTGAATACAGTGTAAATTGAGCTATGTATGCTATGCTTTCTCATATTTGGGCACACATGTGTTTTCTGCTGTATACTGTGGTGAGAGGACACACTCCCTCTGAGGGTGTCCTTTTATAGTGGAGGCGTTTGGAGGCATTGTCTGCAACTACACAATATATCACACAATATACCACAGTATAAACATAGTATAAACATAGTATTCACAGTATAGTGTACATTGTGCACTGTGAAAGAATATATATTGGCAGCATTGCATGTACTAGGCACACACACTGCCGGTATACTATGATGTATATTATTCTTTTTAGGCTGTATTGTACACTGTCTGTGTATTATGCTGTCTTTGCATTATGCTGTGCGTTGCGTATAGCGTATAGTGTATACATAGTATATATAGTGTATAAGTGTGTATTGCAGGGTAACCATAGCAATATTATGGGACACTTCAATATGCACAGGACACTCCATATATGTAACAACATATATATAATATAGAGACAGCATGTGTATACAGATATATGGAGTGTACACATGTGTCTTTGGACAGAGAATACAGACGACAGAACTAACTGGCGGTACAGACATGTATCACCTGCTAACATGGCCGCAACTATCATATGTAGCAGTCAACGCAAAAAACAAGATTGTCGGCTATGTTTTGGCAAAAATGGAGGAACCCGACAGCGGCGAACCGCATGGGCACATTACTTCACTCAGTGTTCTCCGCACATATCGTCGGCTCGGACTTGCTGCTGCACTCATGCATCAGAGCCGTATGAAGGTCACGTGAATTCCACGTGATTAATATATATAGAGAAGGCTATGGCTGAAAACTTTGGAGCTACGTATGTATCGCTGCATGTACGTAAGACAAACCGTGCAGCACTGCAGCTGTACAGAGATCACCTGCATTTTGTGTATGTTTGTATTTTGCATTTTTGGTCAGTGCTGATAGACAGGATTACGGGCGTCGAAAAGGCGTATTATGCAGACGGTGAAGATGCATTTTCTATGCGGTATGGTACACGTGTGTATACTTATATATTGACTTTTATAGTTGTAATATTCACCATCTTATGGATGATCACGTGATTGATCACGTGAGCAGCGAAGAGAGCTCAGAGTCTGAGACGGAGACAAAGGGTGCAGCGTGCACTGAGGCAGTGGAGTCAAAGGACGAGACAGACGGGCTGGAGTCGCTGGAAAAGCTACACTTGTGATATAGCAGAAAACGGCAACAAGAACTATAGAGGAGAGTATACGTGGAAATGTATAAATTATATTGGGAATTAATAATGTCGATATAGTCGATGTTATGATGACGATCGACAACTAATATTCTAATAGCAGTAGCCACGGGTATAGTTTATACACGGAATCCAGATTCTGAATGTACTATGAATAGCAGTAAGTAAATGAGATGCTACAGGTGCATCAGAGCTTAATGCCCATGTGTTTTTTTGTCCGTTGCCGTCTGAGGTGCATTCCCATAACAACCTTATCAGAGAAGTTTCCATGGAAACAAAGCAACACCTGTTTCTATAACAATTGTCATCACGTGAATATCACGTGATGATAAGCCATGCAGGCAGTCTAAGCCGGCAAGAAAAGATGAAAATATTGATGAAACGTTTGAAAGGTTTGTTAGGATAGATTGCGGTCATTAAGTGCAATACAGACAGCAGCCTATGAAAAATATTAAGATATATAAGGAGAACAGAAGCATACTTTATGATGTCCGTTATATTGGCGAATAGTTTCTCCAGAACTAAGTTCCCAGAGGCGTGCAACATGATCAGAAGAAGCTGGAAGAGTTAATCAGTATAGATAGAAAAACAGGTATAAAAAGAACCAGTGACGAGATAGGCAGAGTCGGCAGAAAAAGCACAGTCCCAAACCCAGCGTTGGTGACCAACGAGTTGACGTTCGACGGAAAAAGAGGAATGTTCAGTGCGCCATATTTTAACGGTTGCATCAGCCGAACAGGTTGCAAGATGTTTTGCATCCGGAGAGAGGACGAAACGTGTTACATAGCGTTTATGTGCTTGAAATACCCGATCGGGTGTTTGTAGTACCAATTCGCCTGGACGAGCCATGTTCCAGACAAAACAATATCCCTGGGACAGAAATCAACATAGAACAATGGCATCTGGCGTCTTAAACCTCGTTGTTGCCGGCCACAAGCATTGATCCGTTGTTGGCAATCGACAATGTGTGCATAGGGACCTCATTTTCTCCCGTCCATGTCTGTGTACATGCATTTTCTCGCAAATCCCACAGACGGACGCTACCCTGCTGATCACAGCTTACAAGATCACCTTGATTTGGATGGATCACTACATCATGGACGGCTGCACCGTGTTTTAGGTTACGTTGCACAGACGAAGAACGTGGATCCCATAGCTTAACAGTTCCATCCTCACCACTTGTTACAATCCATTTTCCATCACAGTGAAATGCAACTGCTGTTACATTTGATGTATGTCCGTCCAGCGTTACAATTGGATTTGGTGTTGCTGTTTGAATATCATATAAACGTACATGATGATTTCCTAGGAAAAGCATAAGAAATAAGCCAGAAAATACAAAAAAAAGTATAAATAAACTGAAAAAAACAGTATATACCTGCTGCTGCAAGAAGTCTTTTATCTGGAGAAATACAGAGTCGATTTACTTGGGAATCAGAATGTTGAATTGTTCTCAGACAAATACTGCTCAAAGCCTCCCAGAACCTGATTGTTCTATCATATCCTGAAGTTACAAGCACAATACTGTGCTGATGAACCTGTGTTTGTTGCTTCATATTTAAATATTGTGTAGATATGATTTTGAGAAGGTTAAAGGTGGTTTGATCGACGGGGACGGAGATTTGTGGAGCGCGATCGAACGTTGATTTTACGTAAAGAAGTGAAGAAACGTGAATTGAAGGTGAGTTGAAGGAAAAAGAAGTTAAAAAGAGGATGAAACTTAAGTGAGTAGAGGAAAAAAACAGAGAGTGTTTTTGAAGGAAAAAAAACGGATGAAAATAGGCGAAATTTTAAGGTAAAAATGGAAATACGAGTTTACATAAAACTAAAGATAAAAAGGCGATAAAAGATAGGTTTTTGTGGATAATATAGGAGATTGGTTGTTTGGAGGAAGTTTGGAGTATTATTTTAAAAAACTGCATTAAATTTCGATAAAATTAGCATATTTTGATTTGGATCTATATAGTTTGTTTTTTTTAGAGAATGAGCTCTTAAGACATTTTGGAACAGTCCGTTTTTTAATTTTAGTTAAGTATTTAGGCGGTTTGAATTATGTGGGATTCTAGTTTGACAAGAAAGAAATCGTTGGAAATGTTTTTGTGCAAAGAAGCATCAAAGGAAAGTATATAATAAGTTTAAAGCCGTAAAATAGCAATGATGATCGTGGGTAAAAGGTCTGATCTTTTGAACTTTTGAGGTTCTTGTTATTAGTTTTATTTTTTTAATGTTTAAATAATGTTTAAACGATGTTTTAATTAGCACATAAATAGTGTCTAAATAGCGTCTAAATAGCGTCTAAATAGCGTCTAAGTGGTGTGAAAACAGCATTTCAGCGATGTTTGAACACTGGAAAAAACAGATTACCTGTTCTTTTCATTTAAGTGCTGATGCTTGCTTATTAGATGCAAACATCAATCTCTTCGGGTTACACGTGTTTAATGGTTCTATAGTTGTTACCTGTTTTGAGAAAATGCCGTTTACTGGAGTTTGTAGATGTTAAAAAAATCTTCAAATCTACAAGGCTATGGCAAATATTATAAGGACAAAAAAACAAGAACCCTTAGATTCGAAATAAAAGATAAAGTTAATAAACTGAAAAGATCTGAGCATGCTTTATAACGGCTTAATTTGGCAATCTTAAGATAATGTATTAATTTTTCTTTAGGAAATAGATGCTTTAAATTTAGAGACAAAAGGTTGCAAGAATTGTAACCCAGAAAAGAATACTTTACAGTCTCACCAAAAAAGGCTTGAAGAGCATTTCTTTAGTGATATATCTCGTATAAAAAGGGAAAAGATTGAATCATTTTACCAAAATCAATCCGCATATCAGTCTTATATTTTGCCAGAAGAATTCAAGTATTCCGAAAGAACATCCGAAAATATAATTAATTCTAAAACATACTGCAAGATATGTCATAAGGAATATAATGTTTCTTCGGGTAATTTCTTTTTATGTTCTAATTGCAAATCCTATTATCATCAATCATGTCATGATAATTTAATTTCAGATATTTCAGAAAAGAACGATATGCAATGGGACTGTTTCAAATGCAGAGTCAAAGAATGTATCAAAAAAGGTATTTTTAGCTAGAAATTTTTATAATAAAAATATCTTATCATAACTAGATAAAGATGCACAAGATTTTTTGGAGAAACATTCAGCCGATGATTCTTCTGATCAATTTGACACGATTGAAGTTATAAATGTTACTGAGCCTGTAAAAAATGTTTTGCAGTTCACCCAAAGTTATTTAAATACAGAAAAAATAGAGAAAGTAGAGTTCGATTCAAAAACAAATAATTCTTTAGATAATAAGTCAGAGTTATTAGTAAATAATAGTATAAAAAACGCTAGCGATTTTAATTATCATCTCAAAAATACAACCTCGAATCCTGATTTAACTGAAACAATTACAAAAAACACTTTTAATAATGACCATGCAGAAAATACATTATGTTATGATATATCACCTATAAATGATGACACAATTGAATGTGATACAAGGAATATTTTTAAAGTTCAATCCAACATTGAATCATTTCATCAATTATCATCAAACGATACATATAATAATTCTATTGATATGGAAAATGATAATAACGACTGTATAAATGTGGAAGATTTTAATTATGAATTACATTTAGCAAAAGAAAAAAAAATACTTTCAACAAATAGAAAGCGTGGAAGACCAAGAAAAATTAATGCAAATAGAAAGCCTGTTGAAAGAAAAATATCTAGACTTAAAAGAAAATTACCTAATACAAGAACTCATCATGTTTTAAAGCTTCCTCGTAAGAAAAGAAGACTTTTGAAAAGACAATTATATACACGTTCGTCTAAATCTCCTGAAGAAAATATTAAATGCGGTTCAGATACTTTACAAGAAGAAAAGCAAATAGAGCTTATTAAAGAAATTGAGGTACTAGAGCCTTGTGACAAATATAAAGGGTCTTTGCGAAAGAAAATGTATCGACGTGATACAAATGATTTTCATTCAAACAATTCAGCTCAGATACAAAAGTTTTCTCATTTATTTAAGCCTGCACCAAAACCACCAGTAGAAATCAAGGATGGACAAAGGCTAAGTAGAAAATATTGCAAAAAATATAATATATGTGATTTAAGATACGTACATGTTCATCGTCAAAGTACAAAAATTGCACTACCGTTATACGATATGAATGAAAATCAAAATAAAAATGACATTACATTTGATATTTTAAGTCTGGTCCCTCGAGAGGTAATTCCGGTAATTACAAGTAATAGTCAACTCGGTTTTCGAGAGGCTATTATTGATAAAAGATTGATGAGATATAAAAGAGGAGTACCAATCTTTCGTGTTGGACGCAAAATACCTGGAGAGTTAAGCTAATTTCAAGTTTTAAAAGAACTCCGTTTTTATTAAAAAAAGAAATAGTTATAAAGCACTAAGGGCAGTATAAACAAAGTATATATCTCCCTATTGAAAACATGTTTAATGCGATGAACGACTAGACATGATGATGCATGTTTTCATCTAACCCTAATAAAACACCTGCTTTATGAAGAAGTTCTTCAAGTTCTCCACTATAATATGTAAATAAATACATCTATAAATCCAGGATATATACTTTCTGTACATTTGAAGCAGAATATCACAGCCTCCAATAAACTCATTCTATGTATATATTAAAATAAATAAAAATATTTTTTCAATAAAGTACATTAACATAAAGCTGTGGAATAGTTCTAAAATTAATATCAACAGGGATAATTAAGAGAATAATGCACCTACGGCCAATTGCTATATTCTTTAATTCCTTGTCTTATACGGTCATCATCCAAAACATTAAATGTTGAAAATTTTGCTGGATCAATAGCGTACAAGTTTAAAATATGAATTGCTGCACGTGAAAACCCGCAAAGTGGTTCATTAGGGGTTCCTTTCATGAAAAGAACAACAGGTGATACTAGAAACTTATTAAAAATACAAAAAATGTTCAAATCTTACTTTTTAAAAGATTTTGAATAATCATCTCTGTTTCATGGCAAATTTTTCTGAAAAAAAAAGGAAAACATAAAGGCCTAACATAAGAAGGTTTTTCCAACCGAAAAGCTGTTCTTATGAAGAAATTTGGTATAAATTTCATTAATTTTTATTTGTTTGATTTTTTTATACTTTTTTGTTGTTGCCATTGGCGACAACTACTACCTAGCAACGAATTATTTAGAAGCAGAGAAGATAAATTAGGGATGTTAATAATGGTTTTTTTGAAGAATTCTTTATATTTTTGATCCTATTATACATTTTATCACATATTTTTATGTATATTCTTTTTTTTTTTGAAAAAAATCAGTAAAAAACGCACAATTGTATGGAGAAACAACATTTGCAGAATAGAGGTACAATTGATGTTTTAAACAGCAAAAATGATATATATTGCTCTTCTAAAGATACATATATATTTTGTGATGAGAAATTAAATCATATAATGCAAGGTTTTTTCTTTTTTTTTATATTTTATAGACATTTCTGAAATATAAGATGATACGAAAATACCACTCGTTTTAGTCTCATGTGGGTCTTTTTCTCCAATTACATATCTTCATTTACGTATGTTTGAGATTGCTTTGGACTTTGTTCGTGAAGAAACTGATATGGAAGTCCTTGGTGGTTATTATTCTCCGTAAAAACTGTGGGTAAATTAATTTTATATTAATTTTTGTTTTTAGAGTAGCAGATGGATATAAAAAAGTTGGCTTAATTGCTTCTCATCATCGTGTAAGAATGTGTGAACTTGCGTGTAAAAAAACAAGCACATGGTTGATGGTTGACCCATGGGAGGCTTTACAAGAACAACATACTCGTACTGCGGTAGTTTTGGATCATTTTAATTATGAAATAAATGAAGTAAGAGGAGGTGTACTAACGAAAAAGGGGGAAAAGAAACAGGTAAAGATTATGTTGTTAGTAGGAAGTGATATGCTTCAAAGTATGGTGACTCTTTCTGTTTGGAAAGAAGAAGATGTAAGAATTAAATAGAATTATATATTAAGAGGTTAATTTGATAGTTACATCATATCTTTGGACATTACGGGTGCTTTGTTATTGAACGAATGGGATTTGATATATCAAATGTAATACATTATACAATTTTTTTATAAACTTTGCTTATAAAAATAAGGAGATTAGTACACATGCTATTCTTTCTATGTATAAAAATAATATTATTCTTGCTAAACAATGGATTTATAATGATATAAGTTCAACAAAAATAAGGTAAATATTATATATATACATATTGTTTTAAAATCTTTGAGATTTTGTATTCAAAATGGCCTAAGCACCAAATATTTATTGCCAGATCCTGTTATTGAGTACATATGCAAAAATAAGCTTTATTTAACGTGAGATTTTACTACGTGTTTTTTATTGTTTTTGTGAACTAAATTCGGATATTTCAATAAAATATGTTTTTGTTCATCATATATACATATAAATACACATACACATGTTTCTGTTGGCTGAAATATACACATAATGTTTTTACTCGGTGCATGCTATATTTATCTTAAACATAATCCACAGGTTTCGTTTAACATATATAATGTCAAGTCACATTCATCATATATTTGTTCATGAAATTGCCGTTCTTCTGGTTTCAAAGTCGATAATGGTCTCCTCCTTCTATATATAAATAATAAGAGTTCTGTTGATGTTGACTTTGTTATTTATAGATTACCTTTTGACGTATAATTTTTTTGATTGGTGAACACGGCACAAATTCTTTAATATGGAGTATTCTAGGCCTTTACTTTCACTTGCTTTTATTAGGAATTCCAATGTGTTTTTAACTAAAGATATTTATCAATTTTTTCATATATTTTTTCATTTTAAAAGACCCACTTTTTTTTGCAGAGGGAGGTGATGCTTGAAAGGCTGCTCGGATTTTATCTTGGATTGCGTATTTTGCAGGAATAGCATGGCGAACCGCTTTATGCCCAATTCGCCAAAACTGACGATATAGTGCACGTAGTTCAACTGAATTCATTTTAAAATTACAACAATCTGTTTACCGGGCCAGTAGTTATCAATTAAGATTTGTACATATTATTTTTTATAGAAAAAGACAATATAAAAGTATATCAATTATATTTAAAATGTTTTCTCGGTCAAAAAGAATATTTTAAAAAAAAAATTAAATATTAGTTATTATATCAGGACTTATCAAAAATATTATGTAGTAACATAAAAAAGACTGTTTTTTAATATGTTGTATAGCCTTTTTAAAAACAACAAATTTGCCAAAAAACATACTTAAAATAAATGAAGAACCAATTGTATCCATAAAAAAGTAAATCAAATGATAATATGTGACAAAAGACTGCAATTTTTCCAACAAAGTGTGTTAAATGTAATAAATTTTATAAGATCGGCAAAAATGCTTAATTTTCATTTGCAATTAATATTGTTTTTTATAAAAAAATAGCTAATTTTTTTCATAAGTACATATTTTCATGCTCATCATTTTGACTCAATCATCGCTATCACTGCTTTCTACATAAATTTGTCGTTGATTTGGATTTTTCATTAAATCTCCATCTGGTGTTATTTCAAATGCTGTAGCAGCATTAGACATCATGTTTATATCTTCCTTAAATACATCAGGCCTAAAGAAGAATAAGCATTGTTCTTTCCTAGGGAACTAAGTACTTACCAGTATTTTTTTTTTTTCCATATTTTTTCATTTTGAATAACAATAGATATTTCCGCCTGTATTTTACATTCTTTTTTATCAAATGTTTGTGTATTAAGAACAACAAAGCCCCCACGTCTAACCCATATTTTACAACGAAAACGTGGGGGAAGTTCTGCTAAAAGAGTTTCCCCGTTAGCTGTTTTGCATAGATATAAATCATGATCTTTTATTTCCATTACACATGCTATTTCTTGGTTTTTAGATAATTCATCCGGAGGATCAATAGTCATTTGGCCTAACTTTTCTATTTTTTTTTTTAACATTTTTTACTAGCACTTAGCTAAGCCGAGGTGCTAAATCGATGATGTTTAAAAGGTTTTTAAGACCTTTCAAAATGGAATCTCTAATAAAACCAAAATAAAACATATCATCTTCTATGTGTCATATAGGAGTACTTTTTGAATTGTTAAAGAATAATTGTCTTAGAATGAAAAAAATAAACGTTGATTTAAAATCCTAAAATAAGACATTTAATGCATACCCTTTTTACTTTTAATTTAAAACGCATACTGGTCTTTGTCGTTTATTACATCAAGTATATAAACATGTGTTTTTAATATTTAAAATATCTTAGAAGCCGTTTAGAACTAATCTGATGTTTTTGACGTTAAAACAAGATTATCTTTATCTGGTGGGTTTGTTTCTGACGGCTCTATAGATACATCTTCTGATTTATCGTCGTTTAAAGGTTCGGATTTTAATACTTCTGTCGAATTATTTTCCTTAGTCTCATCTTGATTAGTACCTAAAGTGCTTTTTGAATGCTTTATGAAAAAATAAATTTCCTTTAAATTAGTATTATCTTTTTCTTCTCTAAAACGCTCTATATCATTCATGCAACCTGTCTTTTTAAACTTAACGTTGGTTATGAATTCATTAAGCTCATTTTTAAATTTATCAATGTGAAACACAAAATTGGTTTCTTTGTGTTTTCCCTCTTTTTCGATAGAATTATTTCTGATATTTTCTAATTTTGTATTTCGAGCTTCAGAGTGATGTGTATTTGATGAGCTAATAGAATCTTGTGTTGTTATAGAATGACTTGAACGATGAATTCTTTTCTCTTTGTATTCATAATATGTAACAATATTTGCAAATATGTCCATTGTTGCACTAATATCACTTTTCAAATCCTCAATAAAACCTTCTTGATGCGTCAAAAATTCTTGTTCTTCAACAACATTTTGTAATTCTGTTTCCCATAGCTGCCTCCAACAGGGACTAAGGTTTTCTAGATGACTAATAAGAGAAATCATATCTTTTTGAATTTGGGCTTCTTCCTTGCGTATATCATCGAATTGTTGAGATGATGGTCTGGTCTTTTTATTAATGACATCAACACGAAGATTGCCAACAAGATCACTAAGATTTTCAATTCTTGTTACAAGAGATTGTGTTTCAGTTTCAAGTTTTTTCTTTCCCAACTCAATAAAATCACGAGAACCCCCTAATTTTTTAATAGTAACTTCCTTAACTTTTTTAGCCTTTGCTTCAATGTCTAACATTGAAGTTTTTATAGATGATGCAAATTTAGTATATATATTACGAAGAGTTTCTAATTCCTCACGGATATTTTTAATAATATATGGACAGCTTTTTTGTATTTTTAAAATAGTAGTTTCTTGTTTAGAAAAAGATTCTATTGTAGATTTTGATAGGCATGTTGATGGTCTTGATGTCATTTCTGAGATCATTTCTTTTTGCCCTTCAATTGATGTTTTTAATGATTGAAACTCTTTCGTTAATGAAGAAAGTTCTTCTTCGAGTATTTTTTTTGATGTGTCTTCAGCTATAAAATATTTAAAAGTCCCTCGTTCAGTTAATGCAGTTAATTACCTTGTATTTTTAAAGATATTAAACTATGATCCTTAATATCTTGCATATCCTCAAGCTCATATAAAATTTTAGTATGAATGTCTTGAATATAAAAAGGAGGGAAACTATTGTTGTCTAAAGTGAATTGGAATTTTTCTGTGAAGAGGATTCGAAGATTATCTAGAGTAATATCTTTGTCGTGAATAACCTTTTTTATTTGAGACCCAAACTGTAAAAAAAGAGTGAGCGTGGCTGGTTTTTGCTTACACTGTGTATGGTTTTGCGATAATTCAGTTTCCAAAAGTGTTTGTGAATCATGGACATTTGTATTTTTGCCAGATAGATCATCATATGCTAACCACGTAAATATTTTTCATAAAAAAAAAGCAAAAATATATTATTACGTGCTAAAGGTGATTGACTATTCTGAGGAAGAGCATTGTTTTCCGTGCCTTTCCCCAAAACATCAAGAGTAGATGATTTCTTGTCTTTAGATATCTGAGAGATATTTTGTAATGGAGATATATGATCCGCTGAAAGACGGGACATATATGAAGGATAGTGCTTGTCTGGTCCTTTGTTAAGAGCATCATTGCGTTGAAGAGACGCAAACGCATGCCCTTTTGGCCATTGGCGGGTCGATGTTGCTGAATCGTTTGTACTGGATAAAGGATAAGGCGAAGAGAAATCCGAAGACGATACAATTGACGTAGGAATCGCCTGCTGAGGACTGGAAAAAGGAGATGACGACCCTATGCCATACGGTGCATTTTTCTCCGTAGCTTGATGCGCCGTTAAGAAAGATGATGAAACATTATGTGATGACGACGATCCTTTATCTATAGAACCAGAAAGGGGTGCATCAGAAACAGAATTCCCAGACGGTGTTTCATTCTGCAGTGTAGATCCACTCGATGGCGACGACATATGTGCACCAAAAAGCTGTGTTGATCCAGATTTCTGCTTGCACGGTGTTGCATACCCCCGTTCTCTACGTGAACGGTATTCTGCCTGCTTGCATTTAAGGCCCTGGAGAAGATTGATAATAATGGCCCGGATCCTTGGCAAATAACGCTCCAATGCCTCTGGAGACGCCTCCTCTGCAAGTGTACTCTCCAAAATCAGCCGTAAATCTTCCGGAATTGTTGCAAGATCTCTGAAATCGACATTAATCTAGATTCTACGCTCAGAGCCCTTACGAAATATCAATTCTTTCCTCCAAAAAAGCCACTGATGCATGATTAAATTCGTTTCCTAGCCGCACATAAACATCTGAAACATCATGTTCTTCCGCTGTTCCATGAGACCACCCGTTAAGCACCTCCAGCAACTGTTTTGTTGCTAAAAGAAGCTTTGTAATGGACGATTCTACGCGCGATTCCATGTATTTCCTGCTCTAAACGAAATATCTCGTCATCGTCAGCAATCTGTGCGTCTCACTCGTCGATGTCCCAAAAATGTCGCCGAGATGTTGCCATGACATTGTGTCATGGAAACAGTCGCCATGGAGACGTTGACTGCGAATGCAACCAGCCTTAGCACGGCTGGCAGCATAGACTCTCTGCCGGCACAGTGCACACTGCCATTGCCGGCGCATGCCCCGTCTGCAGCCACTGCTGGATCTTGGCCTGCTCCGCATTATTTGTTGCTATGGCAACCCTTTGGCATGGAAACAGTTGCCCTACCAACACGATCCGTAACATGCACAGCGAATCGCTGGATGCTGCTGCAAAAAACCAGCCGTCTTTTTCTCCAGGTGTATGTAAAAAGCGCGAAAAAGAGGAACAATCGGCGAGTTTAAGACCTGAATTAAGCCCGGATAAGAATCCGGAAGGCATTTTTGGGGGCAGAGCTTTCAAGAAGCGTGAAAAACAAAGGTTGTTGCAGAAAAGAGTGTGCATACAGTACGCATATAATACGCATATAATACGCATACAATACGCATATACCATGTCAAATAAGCAGAAAAAACGGACAGAGAGCATGTAAGTGCCTATAGAAGCAAAAAATAGCTGATTTGTAGCCCAAAAATGGTGTCAATGACGCACAGAAAATGGCCTCACGCACCAATGCGGGTTTCACCGAAAATAGAGTTTGATAGTGCAGCAAAACACATGCACGATCGGATGCTGTATCTTTTTATCAATATTGTGGTATTTTTTCCGGTTTTTCTGTGTTTTTTTTCACTTTGTAGGGACGTATTATATCTGTTTCTCTTAAGAATGGTGTTCGTTATAAAGGCATTCTTGGATCCGTTAATACTGAATCAGATATGGGTCTTGTTCTTAAGATGGCTGTGCTTGTTGATTCGGTGCAGCTGGACAGTTTAAATCAATCAAATGTGCCTCAACATCGTATTATTGATGAATTAATTATTCTTCCGCGTGATCTTATGCAAATTCAAGTGGAACGTGTTAATTTTAGTGATACTGTTCATCAAGAGCAGAGTATGCATATATTATGGTTGTTTTTTTGTTGAATTTTTTCAGGATTTCAGACAGATTCTGAAATAAGCGGGAAATTTGAATTTAAGGAACGGGAATTGCATAAATGGGTGCCTTCCAGCAATGATACAGCAGGATTTGGGCCTTTGGAGGATCCGACCCAGGTATCGTCGAGTGCTGAGGTTTGGGATCAGTTTGCAGCAAATGAGATGCTTTTTGGTGTTAAGTCTGAATTTGATGAAGATTTTTATACAACAAAAGTGGACAAATCTCATCCTTCGTACAAGAAAAGAGAAGCAGAAGCTACACGTATTGCAAAGGAAATACATCAGTCTTCAACGAACAATATTCATGTTGCTGAAGAGCGCGGGTTTATACAGACGGATATTAGTGAAGAAGCAATGTATAGTGGTGTTTTTAGGCCTAGTTCAGAAAATGAGTCTTCCGAAAATGCAAAAGAGGCGAATATTGCTTCTATTGCATCAGGAAATCATACTTCTGTACATTCTCAAACAATCAATGCTGAGACAGATGCGCCAAAGCAAAGCCCCACTGTAGTGCATAAACATTCAACGGATAAAGAAAAGAAAGAGCCGCATGATTCGACTGTTATTTCTAATGTTTCAAGGACACCGAAAATTGAAACCGAGTTGATGGGTACTTTTAAACAATTTGTTTCTGGGGAAAGAGAACGGCTTCAAGCAAGAAAGCAGGCTTTGATTAAAAAAGAAAAGGATGTAAAATTACAAGAGCTTTTAAAATTTAGTCAGAACTTCAAATTAAATACACCTGTCCCTTCTGATCTTATGCCAATACTTGCTAAAGATAAAACAAAACATGATGAACCATCAAAGTCAGTACGTAAGTCCCCAGGGTTGTCTAAATCTGTGCCTAGTCAGTCCGTGGAATCTACTCAACATGTACAAATGACATCTAACATATCTCAACAAAACTCTGATTCTTTGCATCGTACTCAAAATGCGGAAAAAAACCCTCAAAAATTGAATATTAAGCTCAACGTAAAGGCATCAATTTTTAAACCGAATTCCACAACTAATTCTTATACACAATATCCTCAAAATCCTCAAAAGATAGAGGCGCTTCCTTTGGATACATCTACATTTCAATTGCCACAACCAGTAAAGGCGACAGGCCCTCAAGACTTTTTTAACAATAAGAAGCCTGAGTCTATAGAGCGGGAATCCATTTTAGAAAAATTTAATCCTTTTAAAAGATATCGGCTAGAACATCCTGATAATAAGCATTCCTCGGAAAAGCCTTATTCTTTTCTTCCAACGTGGCCATGTGGTGAAAAGTCATATAAAGAAATGCTTCATACGTTATTACAATCTACAAATCTTCTAAGACCTGGACAAATATTATGTGATTCTAATGAAGATTATCGAATTCCATATATCGATCCTAATTCATTAAATTTTGTTACAGTACCGTATGGTCCTATGCCATTTTATGTACCCCAGCAGCAGGATGCTGTTTATGGTGGGCTTTATAATGCTTACAGGAATTACACTTCGAACCAAATGATTCAACCGGCTTATTCTACACCAGGGCATCTCGTAAAATTACTTTATATGACTCCACATGTTATGCAGAATATGGCATATCATCCACAACACGGTATATATATGCCACCACAACTAATGAATCCGCAAAATTATAATTCACAAACTGGCCAGGCTGCATTTGGTTATCCAGGTCCTCGGAATGCACCTATGATGCTACAGTTTCATCCAGGAGTCCAAGGGCAAGTTGGTTTGCAACAAGCAGTTATGATGGCTGTGCCAACAGGAATAAATAAAACAATGCAGGGGAATGTCTATGGGTATACTGGATAGAATATATAGAATATGATATTACTATAAAGTTTTGCAATGTGACTGTATTTGTTGCGATTATATGATTGACCATATATTTTGAAAATGTTTTGTTAATATTACAAATCAAACGTTGATATTTTAGTAATCTTAATTTAATAGGTTAGTTTACATATTTTTCTAAACATTTAATTGTATAATATGTGGCATTTGAGATATGTCACCGGTATTAATTTAGACATATGTGAACGATCTAAAAAATTAAATAATTCTTGAACAAGTAATAATATAAATATAACAAAACCAGTTATGTTTTAGTTTAAAAGGTCTTCTTAGATCGCTTATTTAGATTATTTAAATTACCGTTAAAAATTTAAAGGTTTTATAATTATTCTTATAAGAATTTAATTTATATATGAAAATCAAGATTATTTGTTTTATATTTTTATAATAATTTCTTTTAAATATAGATATTCTAGGAAAAAATATAATTACAGTAAAATGCCTTATTTTAGTTAAATTTATTTATGCTAACATGCTTTTTCGTCTTGTAAGAATTTCATTTTGACTTTGTATATCCTTGTATTCTGATATAAAAGATAAGGGATTTTTTATTTTTGATAATTCATGAGTTGTTCTTTGATTTTTATTTTCTTCACATATTTGAGATTCTGAATCACTGGTTATTTTTTTTTTATTCATACAAGGTATATCGATATCTAGTTCTTCATCAAAACTGGATAAAGAATCAAATTCTTCTGTTGTTTTTTCATTAAATTTAATAGATGATTCAAGAATGGATTGATTTTTGGATTTTGAATTTTTCTGAGTATGTATGGATGGTGTAAAAGGGATTTGTTTTGATAATAATGCCGTTTTTTGTATTATAACAGATGGTGTTTTTTCATATTTTGTTTGAGATGAAAAAGATATATCAGTATTTTTCTCTTTTTTATGTAATAATCTTGCATTAGATTCTTCGAATGAATTTTTTAATTGATCTTCAGAAATATTTTTCTTTTTAGAATAATTTTTATTTATATTTTCTTCTTCTGTTTGTATATCATCTCTGCGCATTTTTGTTTTTAGACTAGGCAATGTATAATTAATAGGCTTTTTTGTTCTACCAACTCTTCTTTCTGGAGATAAAAAGTCCAATGATTCTGAATTATGTAAAGCTGAATTCTTCGTTTTAGTTTTTTCTGAAATGTTTAATTCGTTCTCTGCTTCGAATTTTTTATTAGCAATAGATGGTTCTGAATATTTTTAGTAAATGAATATTGTCTTTTTAGGGTTCAAACTTAGTTCTAATATTTTTCTAGTAGTAGTTTCACTAGTTTTTACATTTTTTATTGAATTATTCTCTATATTTTTTTTTTCTTTTAAATAAGATAATTCATATTTAAAAATATTTTCCTTTTCTACACTTATATCTTTTGTTTTCTTGCAATTAGATGTCTTTAGAGATAGTTCTATTTCTTTTTTATCTTTTGTAATTGTTTTAGTTTTAGTATATATAAAATCATCAGAAGTATCTATATTATTTAAATAAAATGAATTAAATATTTTTATACAAATACCATTACTTTCTATGTTTTGACAGATTTTTTTACAATCAGGTGTTTTTTTTCCTTTTATTTGTTTTGGTTCTATATTTTTGTCTGCAAAATTGATCGTATTTTTTTCAATATAAGTAAATGGCGAATCATCTAAATACATAGATTCACTTATAGTATTGTTATTTTTATCATCAGCTATACTTGTATATGTTGAATTGACAAGACCAGTATTAGTTTGTTTATTGTTTAAAGGTTTATTAAAACTTTTCTTAGCATTTTTTTCTATTTTTTTTGCCTCACAAGTCTTCTAAATTGATTAGATTTAATTTATTTTTAAAGTTTATAACCAACTTTTTTCAATTTTTCATTCAAATAAGTTTCTGATTGCATAGAATTTAATGATGAAAGGGATCTATTCAATTTTTCCAACTTGTCATGGTTTTTAACATCTAGACTTATAAGATTTCTATAATTATAGCACTTAAATTTACTTTCTATAAAAGATGATTCTGGCAGCATATTTTGTACAATATCTGTTATTTCTGATAATTTATTTTCAAGAATTTTTTTTAGAACTCCAAGCTCTTCAGATTGAGAGCGTTTTTTTTCTTTTTCATGCTGTTCTTGAAGAGATATTAATGATGCACGAAGCTCAAAATTTTCCTGTAAAAGACGTCCTGTTTCTATTTCTAATTGCCGTACTTTTACAGATTGTAACATATTCAGGCTATTGAACCAAAAAAAAGTGTAAGAACACAAAAAATGCTTTTAATTATTGCCTACCGAATAATTTCTCGGTTTTGTCGAAGATGTTTTCGTTTAACTTGATTTCAGTCATTTTTTGTCCAAAAAAAACGCTTCAAAAGCGAATACTTACATGCTTCAAAACTTTCTTGTCCATTTTCTACATGAACATACATTTTATCTTGAATTCTTCAAGTATTTTCCCAAAATTCCCCCCAATACTCACCGTTGGTTTTTACTATTTCTTGTACGTTGAAGATTGTTTATGTTAGTGTTTCTATGGTGACGTTTCTACAGAAACTGTTTCTATAGTAATTTTAACTTTATTTTTAGTCGCAAATATTAAGATAAAAAATAAGAAATAATTATTTAAAAAATATTTAAAAAAGTGATTGAATGTATGTTTTTCTTCAATATTAATTTTATACTTATTTTTTGTAGAAGCCCTTTATGAAAAATCTGTAAACTAGTTATTATTTTAGAAAATTAATTAATATGTTTAAAAGATGCTTTAAAGTTACTATATTGAATAAAAAAGTGGATATTTTTTAAATGTCAAGGTATTCTTCTTTAACTTTTCATCGGCATGCATCTTCGTCTTTTGTTCCAACACATCCACAGTCAAATTCTGTGTTAACAGCAAAAATTCGGGAAAAAAAGTATGAATATGAAAATCTGCTACAATTGAAAGAACTTTCAGCAAAGCTTGTTATACAGATGGAGCAGCTGGAGAAAAAAATGGAGACATTGGTTGGCGGTACAGAAGGTTTGTCCATGTGTATATTTTTGCTTTGCTAACAGTATTAGCGGTAGCTTCTGTTCTTGAAAACTGGCAGAATGTCTTTCGTATAATTAATATTGCATCAGGTGCAGAAAAAAGTGTATTTCTAATAAATCTTATGTAAATGTAGCAAGGTTGCAGAAGAAAGCTGTATCCAGTACAGAGGATGATATAGATATGCCTGAAACCCTAGTAAGAATTCCCATATCAAATTAGTTTTTTCCTACTAGAAAATTGCGATGGTATATCATGAGGATTAAACAATAGCCTAGCCTGTGATCGAGCTTTGGATGCTAAATATTATTTAACATAATAAATATGTTTTTAATAATATTACTTTTTTATAGATTGTATACAGTAGTTAAAATACTACTATCTATTACTCATCTAGTTTCCAATTATCATCATCGCTGTCGTCCCAGTTATCCCAAACATTTTGTTCCCATTGATTGTCTGTATTTTTATTTGTTTCAAGTTTTATGGAAGTTAACTTATTCGGTTGAAAAGTAGTATGTTTTTTAGCGTTACTCATATAATTTTCATTTTGATTTACAGTACCAAGCATTAATAAATCATCTGTTTTATTACTAGTATTAATATCATTCCATGTATCTATATCATTACTAGTTTTGATTTCAGCTGTTATATTTTCTGCATTATACATATAAGAAACATTTGATGTGTTTTGAAAACGTGTTTCATATATATCATCATAGCAATTTTCATATTTATCATTAACTAATAATGGTTAAATATAATTTTATAAGTTTAATATAAAACCTTTTGAATTATTTTTTGAAACTGATAAATTTGTTTTGGAAGTTGCTTTCGGTTCATATGTGTTTAAAGAATCAGAATTATCAGTCTTTGAGGTATCGTCAATTATAGATATTAATTTCAATGCTCTTTGTAAATACAAATCGATAGTCTTTTTTGCCTGTAATCGTACAGATCTGAATATGTTATAAAAAGTCGTAAATATTATAACATTACTTTTCAGCATCTATAAGTACTGGTGATATAGTTGGAATTAGCTTTAAACAACAGTCAGATTCATCAAATAAATCACAGGTTGCGTTAAGAGCGATTAAAGTAGCAATTCGCGTATAAATAAATGGATCTTGAAGAGATTTTGTAAATGCCGGTATTAAAATCCTACGGCAATTCTATTTCTAAATAAGCTCTTTTTATTAAAGGAAATATGTATACATTTGGTTTAAGGTGTTTTCCAATTTTTCCTAAACATATAATTGTACTTGTTCTTATTTTAGGTTGTTCATCATTATGTGTTCTTATTAAATATTTCAATAATTCATTATTAATATTATGTTCTGATAATTTTGATATTATAGTAACTATAGCTTTAATAGTTTCTTCACGTACTAACGGAACAATGTCATTAAATCCTGTAAGCTTAAAAATATTAATTATTGTTATAAAGATGATTAATACCATTTTTGGAAATATTTTATCATTTATTATTATATCGGATATATGGTTGATATAATTTGGAAAATTTTCAAGGAGACAAAGTCTTATTGATCTATTTTGATTTGAAAACATACGAACTATAAACGGAGATATCATAGACTTATAATCATCTTGAGTAAGAAGAGTTCCAACATTTAAAATTAAAGAAAATAATTTATCTCCTCCTAAATTATATACTTAATAAGTTTAATTAAGTCAAATAATTAACCTCCACTAAATTCATATGATCTAATTAAACTTGGAAGAATTTTAAACTTGAGAAATGTTTCAGGAAATTTGTCAATAGAATCATTGATTTTTCTTTAAATATTAGATTAAATATGCACTTTTTTAACAATTAAACCTTAAAAATGTATTTACTTGTTCTTTATCTTTTACAAAAAAATGTTCCAGAAATTCTGAACATTCGATAAGCTCTGTTTGAAAAAATCCTTCATTGTTATGTCCACAATTAATGAATTTTGAAATAGATAACCGAAGAGTTGGATTTGGAATTAAAAGTTTTTTATAAGTATTAAATAATTTCTGATATTGTTAATTTGGAGACAATGCTTAAAAATAAATCTTACATGTGGTATTCTTCCCTTTTGAATTAAATCAGATGGCGTTTTAAATGCTCCATTAAAAATTTCATATATTAAACAACCTAAATGATATGCATCAACAGCTGTTTTTGATGATATTCTAGTAAAGATAAAATGGCATTTTTTGTAAAAGAATTTTTTACCCTTTTAAATATTTCCAGCCTTTGTCTTGAATTTCCGGCGGCATATATTTAGATGAATCAAGAATACACCCACCATATGTCTTATATATTAGATGTTTTTTTTTTAAAAAAAAAGCCTTACATATAAAATAGTATTGTCCTCTTTAATTGGACTGAATAGTTCCAGACCAAACACTTTCCATTCGCCACTTTCATTAACAAATACTGAGGACAATCGAAGATTTCCATGGATAGATTGTGCATTTTCATTGATAAAATTAATAGCAATCTAGCATATGTTATATGCAATTCAAACATATTTTCTCATCAATACAGATACTTGGTAAAGGCCCCATACAAGCACCTCCTCACTAATAATCTTTCTTTTAATGTCCCGGATCAACGGTGTAACTCTTTCTGTAGCAATTGTAATAGAGTTTCCTTCCTTAATACTTAGAACAATCACACTGCAGTGAAAATGCTATACTACAATTTCTTTACTGCTTAAATACTGAATAATATGTGGATGTCGAAGTCCACGCAATTTCAATAACGCATTATGTGCCAAGTCCCATTTCCCGGGAAAAGACGCTGATTCAAAGACAAATAAACTGCATTCCATTCCGTCTTCCTGATTTCTTCTTAAATATATGCTTTTTTCTTCGTTTTTTTCCAAAAACTTGCCTTTCGTGTCCCATTATAAAGTTGCCAAAAACTATCTGCTGGTAAATCAATTTTCTCTTCAAAATTATATCCGAAATCATTAGATCCCTTTGAAAGAAACGTTGCTGCTGATTTCAAGAGCTCCATTTGTCTTTTTAAGTTGTTTTTTCAAGCAAATAAAGCATATCAAAATTTCCTGCTCATTGGAAGTTATAATATTTGGTTGATTGCTAGAGGTTGCTAAGACAACATGTTTCTCGTTTTATTTTCTAGTTAGGTTACCACGTCAACACGCACGCAATCTCAACGTCAGTTTATAAGTGAAAAAAATAAAGTGCTGCTAATCAGCCAGTAAAACAGTGTTTTGAACAGTATAAACTGATTTTCTGATTCTTTCTAGGGCCAAAATGTTTTCTGAGAAGCAAGTATTGCACCGGCGGATGCCGTCGAGTGCTCGTCAGCATTTTTCTGGTGAAATACATGTTCGATCGGTTCAAGATCCCTTGTATTGGCTTCGAAATGATCTAATGGGTGAAATGCCGCTTGAAAAGATGAAGCTTACTGTATCCCCTCTTCCAGTGGCAGATTATGGGGTAATTGAATGGACAAAAAATGAGTTTTACTGTATTTCGCGTCTTGTTGGCAGTATTGAGAAGATTGTTAAGAAAGGTACATAGTTTAACTTTCAAAATGCTTGGTTTTGGGCCATTTTCCTTATATGTATGTTTTTATGCTACATTAAATTGCTTTTTGTTGTATTGATTGATGTTGGCCAATACTCATCAAATACTCATCACCGGGCGATTATTGCTGGCATTTGATCTCTGACGCTTTTAATAGAAGTAATGGTGACTGGGTCTTTTGATGCAAAGACAGGATATGCACTGATTCTTACACATTCGGCGGCATATGTGTTTTCATATCTTCATGCTGGACCTGATAATCATCCTGTTACTTTGGCGTTTCCCTTGCCTCCAGATGTTGGAAAGGACGGCAGAACAAACAAGGAAATTCTTCCTTTGGGTGTTTTGGTAGCACCTTGTGCTGGTTGTGATGAGCCTGGACTTGTTATTGTAATGCCTATTTCTGGAAGAATAGCATATTGGGAATCGATTGGGGGTGCAATTGCGGAGGGATTAATGCATAGAAAAAGCATTGAGAGTCGAATACCTCTTGTTTCTGGAGAGATTTGTGTTTATCTTTGCAATGCTGAGGTTGTTTTGTTTTTGAGTATTGTTTTTTTATTATTAATATATATCAAAGCCTGCAAATTTCGTATTAGCAACGTCTTCGGGAAAGCTTTTGCATTTGTCTCTTGTAGATTCATCAGCACGACTTCACATTGGATTGTTGAATATGGCTAGTAGCTCTGGAATAGGTGGACTGTTTAGTAGTCTTACTGGAGTTTTATGGTCAGCTACAACGAGACGTGATATATGTTCTATAAATGCTGGAGAGCTTAAAGGAATGGGAACTAGGGATGTAATTGTGTGTACAAAACGAGGAACTATTAGTAAATGGGAGGTAATGAGAAGTGGATACGCTAAAGTATGTATATTGGGCATATATTAACATATTTTTATGAGTAAAAAGTTGATTTTAGAGAAAAACTTATGGAATTCTATGGTTGAAATATCAGAGTCCACATTAAATATATCTTCTTCATTATTTGAAAAATCTCTTCAAGTTTATGATATGATGCCAATACCTAATTCTACTTCTCTTGTTCTTATTTTGGCATCTTTTTCTAAATCACTTGGTACTATCAACTATGTTTTGTTTATTTCTGATCTTAAGTCGGACATGTTAAAAGTTACATCGGTTTATTTGTTGAAATATCATGAAATATATTCTGATTTGTTGTTTCGTGCTAGAATATTTATACCTAAGCCAGGTGATATGACAATTATTGTTTTTTCAGAAGCATTATATTTTATTTCAACACCAACTAATACATCTTTTGATTGTGAATCATTGTTTGAAGATATTGTTACTTTTAATCCTGAACATCATGTTCAAGTTTTAGCTGCTGGATGTGAAGATTCTTTAATTGATCCATCGTCAAAAAAAATTATTCGTAATCCAAGTGTAGTAATTGCAACAAAAAATGCTGGTATCCTTAGATGTGAAACATTTAAAATATCAAAACATAAGGATTTAATATCTCGTAAAAATAGAAGGAAGTTGGATCAAGCAGTCTTTTATGGATTCCTTGAAGGCGTAAGTTAAAAATAAAAGCTCTATGTATGTATAATATTTTTAGAATCCTCTTAATTTTTCTTGGACAAATGAATATGATATTGAAAATATACAGACCGTTGCTATATCTTTGAGTAATGATATATTAACATCAGGTTAAATTAGACTAACTTCTTCATCACAATATTTAATTTTTTTAGTTTCTAAATATCAATCATCTTTACTTGTTTCTCTTGAAAATGACTTACTTTTGAAATCATTGAATTTATCAAGACTCAGTGAATATCTTTTATCAAATTTTAATTCAATTAGTGCTGAAACTCGTTGGAAATTGTGTTGGTGCTCTGAGAAATGTGAAAGTGCACAGAATCTATGGTCTACCATTAATACTCGTTTAACAAAAGTTGAAAATAGTATTATAAATAGTATAATAAAAAGTTTGGTGACTAAAGAAAGCGGTGAAAATGTAATTCGTTGGTGGTTTCAAAAAGGAGTGAGTATAGCTTTTGTATATAATTTAGATTGACATAGTCTTAGTTACAAAATATTGCTTCTATTGTTTCTAAGGCTCATAAATGTTGCGTGGATGCAATATCATTAGTAGAAAAAGATGGATTAAAGGTTTTAAAAATCCTTGTAGAAGCAAATGAAATTATACTTGTTAGTATAACATGATACTATTTTTATACTGCTTATTTAGATTTAAGGCAATACTTCTTTCTGCTCAAAAATTTCGCAAAAAGAGAGCTGAATTTTTAAAATTAGGCGGACCATTAAATTGTAATGATGACACGTTATTACCATGGACATCACATCCCGATATTTTATTGACACTTTCAAATCAATATAATCTTACAAATGCAATTATGTTAGAATTTAAAAGAGATAATTTACAAATAGATGATAAAATTCTCAATACTTTAAATTCTATAGATTCTATAAAAATTAATTTAAAAGAAACGTTGGTTACTCAATTGATCGATTTAGCTGAACTTATATGTTGTTCATTTGAGGAAAGGATATTATGGACGAAATTTATTGAAGCAGATTCTGTAGATAATGAAAAGAAGTACATAGAAGAAAAATATCTTTCTTCAAGAGGTGATTGGATTAAATTTCTAGGTATTTTTGTTGCGTTTTAAATAATATATTAATTAATTTAGTTGAAATTGATAAACTAGATAAATCATTTGAAATAGCAGAAAAATATTGTGATTTTCGGACTTTAGTAGAGTTATGTTATGAGACAGATGACAAAAATGCAGACTATAATTGGAATGATCAAATTATAAGAAGAATAAATTGGTATTTGTATACTTTTAAAGAAAAATTTGCAGGTGTTTTATATCGTTATTTTATAGAAAAAGGTTAGAATTGTTGATAATTTTTAGTTATTAATCTTATAGGTTATCTTCAAAATTTGCTTGAAGATTTTTCGGATTATCATCATTATTTGTCTGAATTTTTTAGTCTTAGAAATTATGGGAAAATATCATGGATGCATCAAATAGGTACAAATAAATTTAAAGATGCGGGAAATATTTTATATAATATTGCAAAAAATGATGAAAAATATGTTTTTAATAAAAGAGTAGAATTAAGTATTTCAAAATTATGTTTTTTGGCTGATATGAAATCATATAATACACAACAAGTTGACTATTTACCAATAATTGATATTGAACATCAATTAGAAACAATACAGATACAGAACTCTCTTTTGGATGAAATTAAGTCGTTTATAGAAAATGCAATTGATATTAATGCTGCTGTTGAGCTTGCTGTTGAAAAGATAGGACATTCTTTGAAGAAACGTCCTGCTACAAAAGCGATTTTCAAAAGAGCTTTAAAAGACCTAATTCTTGAGAAAATAATGAATCCAGAAGACCTTATAGATTTATTAACATTAAAAGACAAAAAAAGTAATACAGAAGAAATATCTTCCAATGAGTATTACTTGGCATTAAAGGTTCTTAACAGCTCTCAGGTAATGATTATGTTTTTAATTTTAAATATTAAAAAAAGTTTTAGTTACCTTTAAACCAGTATCAATATGTTGAGAAGACAATTTGGCGGCGTATTTTTATCGCAAATGAGTAAGTGTTGTGTTTTAATCCTTTAAACCTAATGTTTGTAGTTGGACTAAAATTTTAGATACACGAAATAAGGGAGATGCTTCTGTAGAAGCTGATACAAAATACACTGCACTTTATGAAACAATCTATTTGTGTACTGTTTCCAGTAAGTTTGGTTTTGTTTTTTTTTTTATTAATAAGTTAAGAATTGTTTGAAAATTCGAATATTTACCCAATTCCTCCAAAAAATGCATATTTTGACCCAAAAACAGATCATCTTCATGCAAGATTCTCAAAGAACACGCATGATTCTGAAATTAATGCTTTTTCCAATGAATTGCTTAAAGAAAATGAACTTTTGGACAAATATGAGGTTAAAGCTGCTCTCGAATCATGGTTTATTGCTATCATGGAAGCACTAAAAGTTCACAGGTTTCCTGAAGACATAAGTTTTCAGGAGTTACAATCCCAATCCGACAATATGGATTGTTGATTATTTGTTTTTCTTCTGAATATTCCTATTTTACTACTTATGATTCTGCACTTGTATATAAAGAGTTTTTTGGCAAATGATTATGATATAAGAATGATGTAAAAGATTATTTTTTTGTATATTTTGATCTCTTTATAACTAAATTTTCTTGTATATATACATTATATACTATATCGAGATTTTAAACTGTAGAAAAATGAACGATCTCTACTCCGGCAATTTCATTAGAAATAAAATGCTTTTTTTTTCTTGAAAAAGCATTCAAATACTGTTTAGAAAAAGAGTTATAAGGATTTTCTTAGAAAAATATATAAAGCAATTATATCTGTGCCTTGGATAAGAAAAAACAGCGAAATTTTTCGCGTTTTTGAGGATTTTATGCATTTCAAAAGAAAAGTAATAGGTACGTATAAGCGTGTAGAATAAGTATGCTTCTCAGTTTAAATTGATTCTTAATAGTAGCATTCTGTTTTTGATTGTATTTGAACTAGCAGAAACATTGTTTTTACTTTTTTTTTGAATTATATTTTATTAGATTGGTGGATATTTAACACCTATTTTTAAATCTTTTTAAACGTTTGGCATACTGTTTGATGGAATACGATGTTTACAGTGTGTATAGGCTGCATTAAAGTATATATACAGTGTGAATTTTTCCTGATATATTTTGATACCTTCTGGGATTTATTTTTTTTTGCATCAGCACATCTGATTTCATGACATCTCTGGCACATAGTCTTCATTCTTCTAATGTTGTTGGTGCTTGTTATCGAGTCAAAAAGAAGATCGGTGAGGGCTCGTTTGGTGTCATTTTTGAAGGGTTCGATGTACTCAATAGTCAACAAGTAGCTATTAAATTTGTAACAAAGAACACAAAGAGGATTTTAGAAGCGTATTCTTATATATTTAGGAACCTAGGAAGAGTGATGCGCCTCAATTACGTGACGAATATAGAACATACAAATTATTAGCAGGATGCCGTATAATTACCTTATTTAAACATAAAAAGTTTTTACAAGTATATAGCTGGTATACCTCATGTATATTATTTTGGCCAAGAAGGATTGCATAATATTTTAGTTATTGATTTATTAGGACCGAGTTTAGAAGATCTTTTCGACTGGTGCGGAAGACGATTTACAACAAAAACTGTTGTCATGATTGCTAAACAGATGGTACGATTTTTTCATCTTTGTTTTGATTAAAATTTGTAGTTGACACGTGTTCAAACTATTCATGAGAAAAATCTTATTTACCGTGACATTAAACCAGACAATTTCCTTATTGGAAGGCCTGGTACCAGTGTTTCTAATCTGATTCATGTTGTTGATTTTGGTATGGCAAAGCAATATCGAGATCCTAAAACAAAACAACATATTCCATACAGGGAACGTAAAAGTCTTTCCGGCACTGCGAGGTATATGAGCATTAATACTCATCTCGGTAGAGAACAATCACGAAGAGATGACTTGGAAGCATTGGGTCATGTATTTATGTATTTTCTTCGAGGTGGATTGCCTTGGCAAGGACTAAAGGCTGTGACTAATAGACAAAAATATGAAAAAATAGGGGAAAAAAAACAATCTACTTTGATTGAGGAGTTATGCGAGGGGTTTCCGGGTATGTTTTGTCTGTTTTTTTAATTTGATATTTATGTTTCTTTTGCAGATGAGTTTAGTCAGTATATTTCATATGTCCGTGGTCTGGGATTTGAAGACACACCTGATTATGATTATCTTCGTGGTCTTTTTACTAGTGCAATAAAAAAAATTGGTGAAACAGAGGACGGTCAGTATGATTGGATGCTTCTTAATAATGGGAAGGGATGGGAAGCTAGTTATGTATGATTTTCAAAATGGTATTTCTTTGATATTCTAATTATTTTTAAGAAACATGTCTCTTCAAACCATCATGCTATTGTTTCTAATGCGGCAATTAAATCGGCATCTGCTATTGATTTAAAACATTTATCGTCATCTAAAACTGGACAACATGTACCATCTAATCGATTAAACCCATCTCAACCCATTTCTCCATCTGCTATGTTATTTCATAATGGGCCAAAACCCAATAAAGAGCGGTTAAATGAAGTTAACAATGGCTCTGGGAATGAAAAAGAGATATCTAATCTTAGTGCTCAAGCCCAGCAAGAATTTCAACAACAATCTCGGTTATCTCAAGTTTGTGCGACGGCCCCAAATAAAAAACCGAAAAGTTTTTGGAGAAGATTTATGAACTGTTGTGGTAGCGGTTAAAATGGATCTTGGTTTCACTTGAAGAAATTAAAATTACATAGACCTGTATAATTATTTTTTAAAATTTTAATTTCAATATGAACATTATTTTTATTGTTTTAATTTAGATGATTATAAAATGAGGACGCTTATACCAGTCATAGAAGTAGTTATGATACTTAAATATGTTATTTATTATACAATAGGATATACAGGAATCTGTAAGGTAATGTTTTTACTTGTCTTATACCCAGTTCAAGCATTCAGGTGTAAAATAAGTAATAATAATTCCTATTGTTTAATATAAATAACAGCATTTTTTAAATAAATAGATAAACCTGCTCCCGCTCGTAAACAGCATTCTAAATTTTCTAAAACAATTGTTTTGAGATCATAAACTCCTGCTTTAACAGCAGCATGAATAGCTGCGTATTCTCCGGAAACGTGGTATGTAGCAATAAGTAAGTCAGGAGCGATCTTAGCAGCTTCTGAAACGATGTCGAGGTATGATGTAGCTGGTTTAATGATGATACAATCGGCTCCTTCTGAAATGTCACGCATCTATATATATAAGCAAGAAAATTATATTTGCAAAAAACTGACAATAGCACGTCGAGCAAGTCCTCTTGAGGAAGGAGGGAGTTGGTACGATTTTCGATCTCCAAAAGAGGGTTTTGAATTTGCTGCAATCCTTGATAGGTTTTGTTATTAATATAAAAATTATCCGCGTAAATACATACCGAAATGGCCCATATAAACATGATGCAAACTTGGCTGAATAGCTCATCACCATGACTTTGTGAGACAAGGACGCTTCAATAAGCCCTTTTTTAATCGCCATCACTCTTCCGTCCATCCTGCCATATGTTAACCATGTATTATGTCAGAATAAGCCGCCAACATATCGCTGGGTGCAACTGCATTTGCACCTGCTTGTGCATATCGAACTGCTACTTGTGACAAGCGTCTAACACTTGCTTCATTGTCAATCGTACCATCCTCACGAAGCCATCCACAGTGACCATGTAGTGTATATTCACACAAACACACATCACATACAATAAAAAGTGATGGAAAATGATATTTTAATAGACGGATTGCAGAAATAACTGGTCCTGCTGGATTGTCTGCTTCTGTACCATATAAATCCTTTGCTACACTTAAAACGCCAAAAAGCATGACTGCTGCTAAACCTTTGTTCACTAAGGGTGCCAGAAAACTTTCTAATTTGTTAATTCCCCATCTGTAGCTATTGATTAGGTCCATAAAACAATATTAAGTGCTTAAAAGTGCCTTTTTTGACCCGGTAATGATGAAATTTCAGATTCATCATCTGGTTTATCTGAGACAAAAATAGGGTAAATTAAGCGGTTTTTTGTCAGGATTTTTGATGCTTGCCATTGACGGGACAATGAATGAGCATAGCTTTGTAGAATAAGTCAAATATATGTTCAAATGGCCTGAAAAACTCACCTAACGTGGTGTATTGCTGGAAATAATGTCTGCATCAAAATTTATGACGTTCGTTGCCTCAGTGACCATATGTGTATTGTTATGGAAACTCTGTATGGATCGTGATGAGACGTCAAAAAAAAGCTATTAATTAAGAGTGCTGAAAGAGACGTAAGAAAAGGGAGGAAATGAAAGAAATTACGTGTTACACGCTTTGAATATACTTTTTATACATAATATATTTAAAATTGTTTTTTTTTTTGGAAAAAATATCGCTAAAATAGCCGTTTAAATGAGTCCAAAGATTGCAAGTATTGCAGTGATTGGAAAACAGGTTTGTTGGATTAGAAATGTGTTTGTAATAACTTTTTAAAGAACTTTAATCTTTATGTGAGAGTTTTTTCTAAGAAAGAGACCGATTTAACGTATCATTTTATGATTCATACCGCATGTGATGAGTTGGAAGGTAAAGGGTCTGTAAATAGAGACGGGGGCTTATATATACAGCTGCACAGGCAAAATATGCTTTGGAAGATAATTCTCAAAGCCAGGCTCAACTAGCTCTTGAAATGAATCCTGCTTCAAAGCAGAATGACCGTTCTCAGGAAAATGCAGGATCTAATGACAGATTTTCTGATATGTATCTTGGTCTTTTGCATTCACGAGAAACAGCAGCAGTTTACGGCTCTATGACAAATACACAGATTAAGTTTATTGTGGTGTTAGATGATTCAGAAATGATTATTACGGATGCCGATATGAAATCGGTGTGTTTATGGCTATTGTTTTGGTCTCGTTAACTTGAGTTTTAGGTTTTTAAAGCAATTCACTCAGCGTATATTCTGCATGTGTGCAATCCATTTTATGCATTTGATGATAAGACGCCTATTCAAAGTCGGAAATTTGATAAAATGATTGAGCAGATTGTGGAATCCTGGGCTCCGGGTGGATAAGATAGAGTATAAAAAGATAGTAGCACAGTATATAACATCATAGTGGGTGTAAATAATGTTGTGCAATGTATTACTGGCCAATCATGATTTATTATAAGTATATTTCTATTAACGTCTATATACAATATCCATTTATGCTAGAAGACTATAAAAAATATGTTTAGTTAACTAAAAGGCATTCAACGAAAACGTTTTGTTGAAGGTGTTTTTATACAGTCCGGTTTTTAACGATACGACCGGCTAATGTAAAATGTTGTGTTGATTTAGGATTGTTTTTAAATTAGAAAAAAAAATTCTTTTTATGATTTTTATTATTCCAAACTGTTTAGTTGTAGCTCGACATTCTTTCCTGGTTTAAAAGCAGGCATTCCAAAGTAAGGGCATCTGCTACATCGAAAAGCGTCACTAAGATAGCAATTTCCGCAGCTGCTAATTGGCATATTTTGCTGTTTAAAATCAACGTCTTTTAGCTCGTTTTTATCTAGTAAATGTATTGTCATTTGATTTATTTTTTCCGTCACTTCTGTTTCTTGCAGTCTGAGACCACATGAACAATTTTTGCATGCTTTTCTTTTTTGTGTTGGAGGGTTGCAGGGATTAGCTTTAGGTATTGGAATTATTAAATCAGAAGGTTCCAGAAGACTATCTTCGTCAATTAGCTCGACTGTGTCGTCGAATTCTATATTATATTGGTTTTTCTTAATATTTGCATTTTTTCTTAGAAGGGGTACTGCATTTTGAATCATTACCGGCCGAGTGAGTACTATCTGCTCCCATTAATACACAGTGAATATAGAATGAGGAAAAATACTTCTTCATTTTGATAATCTACATACCAGCCTTGTAAAATGGCTTCTTGATGAATGTTATGCTTTTTTTGTGACTCTGGTATATGAAAACGCCCTCCTTTTCCTTGTTTCATTGACATGAAAAGTAAACCGAGTGCTAGAATAAACTGATCAAGGCTTTCTGGTTCAGTGGATACGAGAAAAAAATAATCATATTTTTCCTTTGAAAGTGTTACTGAACCTGCACATATCTCGCTTAGGTAATATATATCTAGTCTGTGGTGACTTGGTTGTTGCTTTAATTGTGTTTTTAATTCAAAATTCGCTGGTAAAAGTATTAAAATATTGCCTTTAAAGGTACCATTATAAATTAATAGAAAATCTGGATTTTTTTGCAGAAAAATTTCATTCAAAAACGGAAAATCATCTTCAAATGTTTCAGTTAGTGTTTTGTTTTCTTTTTGAAGGCAGAATTTCATTTAGGCATTTAATAATTTATTTTTAATTTTTTTTTCACTTATGTTGATCAAGATTTGATCGATGCTAATTGATAGGCACTTTTGTATTATTTTAAGCTAAAAGTATATAAAAGACATATATAAGTTTTTTTAATGTACGGCGTATGCGCTTTTTTGTAGGAAATTCTATGTGTGCTAATTATTTCGCTAGATGAACATTGATGAATATTTTTGTATTAAGGTGTTGAGATTTTAAGTAGAAAATAAATTATATATAGTAACTTTTAGTTGTATATGGATATTTTCTTAATTTCCTAGGAGTTTGTTGGATTTTCTTTGTATTTAAATTATTTCATTTGGCTCTGTCGTTTGTGGAAAGTATGTTAATTATAAAAAAATCAAGTATTTATTGCTATAGTAAGCTTAAATAGATAATTTTCAGCTCATTAGTGATTGGTAAAATTATGTTTTTTGTAATTTTTATAATTTGATTGGAAAATTATTGACTTGAAATACAAATATGATATTTTACATTTATAAGTTATACGTATTTGTTTAAAAAGAATAAGGGATTACATATTTATGTTTGTTTTATTTAATATAGTTATTTTTTTTTATGGAAATGCTCTTTAGGGGATTGTTTTATCAGAGAATTTTATGCTAAATAAGGAAAATAATAATAACATAGTATACTGATCTTTAAAACTGTTTTATTTTATTTATGGATTATATTTGGGTCAAAAGTTTTATTTACTGTAGAAAATATAAAGATTTTGTGCCTATGAATATAATCAAAAATACACCAAGTATTTATTTATATTAATTTAGTTCAAAAATATTTATGACTTTGGTTTGATTAACGCTAATAATCTATAAATAATATAGAATTTTAAACCTAAACATAGAAACTTTGTTTTTTTAAAAACAATGAAATAGAGCTAGAAAAATAACTGTATTTTTTATATACTGGATTTTGTAGGTATCTATGTTTAATACTTATTTTTGGGTGCTGATTTTTGACGCCTTTTACTTATTGATATATCTTGTATTTTTGATACATTTTTAAGGTTGGCTTGAATACTTGATCTTATTTATTACTATTTCTATAAAAGTTTTTATTGAATATAATATATAAAATGCAACAAAAAATACATATAATTAAGGAAATATTTTGTTTTAATCAATCGGACTATGGTTTTATCTCTATTATATAGGTGATTGCTATGGAAACGTTATTAGTTTTTGAGATCTTCAAAATTTAACTTGAAAAATATATTAAGGATTAAGGAGTTCTTGAGAAAGTATTTGTGATTCTTTACAGGTTATTTCTCTTTTATATATATTCTTATGATATTTAACTCTTTTAGAGAAAAAAAAAACGCTTTTTTTTCTATTAAATTTGAAAAATAAAAATGACAGATGAGTGGGATGGAAAACAGCGAGAAGACGGTGATCCTGAAGCAGAAGAACAGGTATATATTTGTCTTTTTTATATTTAAATTATGTCTACTTTTTTCCTGTACTAAGTTTGTGTTTTTAGGAACTGCAAGCAATGAAACAACGTGTTGCTGAGATGGAAGCTGAAGCAGAAAAATTGCGTGAGATTCAGGCAAAACTTGATAAAGAGAATGCACAACTTCTGGAAAACAAAGAAGATATAGATTCTCGTAGTGTATATGTTGGAAACGTTGATTATGGTGCAACACCTGAAGAAATACAAGCACATTTTCAAACATGTGGAACAATCAACCGTGTTACAATTCTTTGTGATCGTTATTCTGGACATCCAAAAGGGTTTGCTTATATTGAATTTTCCGAGCCTGGACTTGTTCCACAGGCTTTGGTTTTGAATGAAAGTTTGTTTCGGGGTCGTTTGCTTAAAGTCGTACCAAAACGCACAAATCTTCCTGGAATGTCCCGTGGAAGAGGACGGGGACGTGGTCGTGGATATCGTGGACGCTATGGATATCGTGGCGGCTACCGTGGTTCTTATCGAAGTGTACCATATTAATTTTTATATAAGAAAGACTGTATTTAAGTATCTTGTTATTGTTTAATATATATATATATTTCTTTCAAGCACTCGAATGGCATTTGTTTTATTTTAATGTGCATGTTTTCTTGTTTTTGTATCTTTATATTTATACATCTTTATTCTACTTGTTCAGCTGTGTGCTCGATCTTAGAAAAAGTTAGAGAATATACGAACATTGTAAAAAATTAAAAATTTTAGGGAAGATATTAGGCCAATATTTGGAAGAAAATACGAGGAAAAGTAGATATATATATGTATTTTTTAGTATATTTACTAATGGTTTTTTTTTAGGAGTATTTTTTTTTAAAAAACAGAGTTTTTGAATAAGTTTTTATAAGTAAAAAAGTGTTATATTGTATAAAAAGAAAATGAGAAATGGGCTCTAATTCACCGTAAGTACCATTTATGCTGTTTTTTATTTGAAGAATGTTTTTTTCGAATTAAATTTGTAAATGTGGTTTTTGGACATGAACTTATGTATTTTAGGTTTCAAAAAATCAAGCTTACAGGTTTTTGAAGTAAATAAATATCTGTATTTTGTTGAGTGTTGACTAGTTATTGCTGTTGATGGGCTTTACAAGCGGGACTTAATACGTATTTTATTATTATGATAGGATTTTTGTGATTAATGTGTATTAAGGCACACCGGACCCGTTTGCTGTTATTACAGTTGATGGAGAACAAACACAGACAACATCTGTTATACGCAAAACACTTAATCCATATTGGAATGAAAGTTTTGAAATGTATAAAGTCCATGTATATTTTTTATTTATGACATTTTATAGAACAGTAAAAGAATCAAGTATTCTTGCGGTACAAATTTTTGATCAGAAAAAATTTAAAAAAAAGGATCAAGGTTTTCTTGGCGTTGTCAACTTGCGTATTAGTGATGTGATTGATCTATCATTAGGTGGTGATGGCAAGTATTTTTTGTTTTTAAATATATATTTAATGTTGTTTAGAAATGCTTGTAAGAGATCTTAAAAAATCAAATGATAATATGACAGTTCATGGGAAACTTATTATAAGTCTATCTACTTTTGTACAAGTTCCAAGTCATAATATGTCTTCCAACAGTACTGTACAAACAAATGGTTCTGTTTCTAATTCTACTGCTTTTTCTACATTTATAGTACCAACACCTTCGAGAATTGCTATGGCTTCTGAGCATAATTCTGCTGAAAATACTGAAGCAGGGCATTCAGGAAGTCATAATACTCATCATAGTGTTTCTTATCAAGGGAGTAATACATTTAGTTCATTTGAGGATCAGTATGGACGATTGCCATCTGGCTGGGAACGGCGAGTAGATAATCTTGGACGTACTTATTATGTGGATCATAATACACGGACGACTACTTGGACTCGGCCTTCGTAGGATTTTGATTTTGATTTCTCTTTTTCTAATTGTTTTAGTACTAATCAAACTGAATCAGAGCGAGCATCTCAATATCAGGCGCAATCTGAGTCTGAAAGACAGTCCAGAGTGCGTCCTGGGTCCAGAGAAGGCCAACAATCAACAACAGGATCAACGTCATCTCAACATGGAGCTTCTGTAAATGGACAGAATAGAGTGCCTATTGTTTCTAATATTACAACAAGCCCAGGTACTGGCGATTTGCCTAGTGGATGGGAACAGCGTTATACACCAGAAGGTAGATGTTATTTTGTTGATCATAATACGCGCACGACAACGTGGGTTGATCCTAGACGCCAACAGTATATTCGGATGTATAGTGGTACACATATGGGAAATACAATTCAACAACAACCGATTTCACAACTAGGGCCTCTCCCTAGTGGATGGGAGATGCGTCTTACGAATACTGCAAGAGTGTATTTTGTCGATCACAATACGAAGATAACTACATGGGATGATCCTCGACTTCCTTCTTCTTTGGATCAGAATGTACCGCAATACAAGCGAGATTTTAGGCGAAAGCTTATTTATTTTCGATCTCAGCCTGCTTTACGTCCTTTGCCTGGACAATGTCATATAAAAGTTCGAAGAAATCGTATTTTTGAAGATTCATATGCTGAAATTATGAGACATGCTCCTAATGATCTTAAAAAAAGATTTATGGTAAAGTTCGATGGTGAAGATGGACTTGATTACGGTGGATTATCAAGGTTTGGAAAAATATTTTGTTTGTACTATTAATTTTTTGCAGAGAGTTCTTTTTTCTTTTATCACATGAAATGTTTAACCCTTTTTATTGTTTGTTTGAATATTCATCTGTAGATAATTATACTCTTCAAATTAACCCTCATTCTGGCATTAATCCAGAGCATTTAAATTATTTTAAGTTTATTGGAAGGATTCTTGGACTTGCTATTTTTCATCGAAGATTTCTTGATGCATTTTTTATTGTTTCATTCTATAAAATGATTCTAAGGAAGAAAGTTACTCTTGCTGATATGGAGAGTGTAGATGCCGAATTTTTTCGAAGTTTAACATGGATTTTGTATGATACTTTAATTAAATGTTTTGATGTTAATTAAAATAGAGAAAATGATATAACTGATATTCTTGAATTGACGTTTTCAACAGAAGATGATCGTTTTGGCGAGGTTACAACAATTGATTTAAAACCGAATGGACGAAATATTCAGGTAACTAATGATAATAAAAAAGAATATGTTGAGTATGTTTTTTATGTCTTAGAATTATGCTGATAAAATAGACTTGTTGCATATTGGCGTGTTTTTAAACGCGTAGAAGAGCAATTTAATGCATTTCAGGATGGATTTAATGAACTTATACCGCAAGAACTTATTAGTGTTTTTGATGAAAGAGAACTTGAGCTGCTTATTGGTGGAATTACTGAAATGGATATGGATGATTGGAAGAAATATACTGATTATAGGGGTTATACTGAATCTGACGAGGTAATAATTGAAATTAATTGAGCCTTTTTTTACTGATAATTTTTATTATAGGTTATACAATGGTTTTGGAAATGTGTACGGAGTTGGGATTCTGAAAAAAAATCACGTTTGTTACAGTTTATAACGGGAACATCTCGGGTACCCGTTAATGGTTTTAAAGATCTTCAGGGTAGTGATGGTCCTCGACGTTTTACAATTGAAAAAGCAGGGGAGATTACACAGCTTCCAAAAAGTCATACATGGTATAATGATGAATTTTTATGTATTGCTTATCATTTATATTGATTAGTTTTAATCGCGTCGATCTTCCTGAATACCCTACATATGAAATGCTCGTTCAAAAGCTTACACTTGCTGTTGAAGAAACAATTGGCTTTGGACAAGAGTAAATCTATACGTTTGTTTTCGAGAGATTTTAGAATTATAAATATCTGTTGATCTTAAGAGTATAACTGTCAATTACATACCTTTGTACTTTATTTGGTAATGCTGATAATTTTTTATATTAGTTTTTTTTTTTTTATAGGGTTGTTTATATAAATTTTAATGTGTATTTATAATTTTTAATTTTTTTAATTATTGTTTTTTGCCTTAAAATATTTACTAAATAATATTATTTATTTGCTAAAGAAAATATGTAGTAAAAAGCATTTTGTTTGTGCATTATTTTAGAAAATGAATATAATTTTCTTTTTTTATAATGTTTTTGTATATGTTTAAGGCTTTAAGTGTTTTTTGATAATCAAAATATTAAAAGTTTTAAGATTCAATATATTTAGATATTTATAGATTATTTATAACGCATAATATATTCAAAATAAAAATATATTAAAAAATATCTTTTTTAATTATGCTTAAATGCTATTTTATATGATTTTTAAATATTATAAAAATGTTTTTAGAAAGAAAAATGATATATTTAATAGTTGAAAAATCTTCACATAAAAAATATTATATTTTTATTTTCGGAAATATATAAAAGATACGTTTGGTATTTATGCCAATAATGCATAAGATGATTCTTTTTGTTTGCTGTTTTGTTTATTTTCTAAGACAAGTTAAAACATAATATATTTTCTCAATTCAAACCTTTTATTGTTGTGGTTTCATTTTGTATTTCTTTATTAGGAGGATGGGGGAACATATAAAGCTAATATATTTAATGAGAAAAATTTTTGTTTAGAAAAAAGATCTATTACTTGTAATTCTTCAAATTCCTTTGAATATTCTTCATCCTTATCTTCTAATTTATCTGAGAGTATATTATTTATATCCTTTATATATTTTTAAATGTTAATGTCGTTAAATAAGAGTTACATACATTTTGATAAATAATGTTTTCTTTTGCTTGATCCATGAGTTTTGAGACAGATTCAAATGACATTTCTTTTTTAAGATCTTTTAATAAACAAGAACTTTGCTTAAGTATATATATAACATCTTCTTCAATTAACGCAAATTCAATGGTTGATATCTGGAGTAAATAAAGATATAAGAGTTAAAAAGATAAAAATACCAAATTTTCCACCGTTTCTATATGAGCACATGCTTTTGTAAAGAGTTCTTGGTATTTTTTTTTTTGTTTTAAAAGGTAAAGAGCTTTTTGTTTATTTCCTTGTGCAAGTGATTTTTTTATTGCTTCTTTTGTATCTAAAACAAAATTTTCTACATTTACTTGATATCTATGTAATTTGTCCCTTTGTAGCTTTAGTTCAAGTACAATATAATCCTTTTTTGTGACTTTTTTACTATAAGAAATACCCATCACTTGATTTCACTAAATATCATTTATTTTTTGGTAAATAACCGTTTTTTAAGCCGGAAAAAATACAGTATTCAAGAAATTTCTTTCTAATATTTTTGATATAGAAAATTCTTATTTTTATCTTTCTAAATAGTCCAATTCTGAGACCTCTTTTTTTTTTTAAATTTATGAGGTTATACTTTTCGGTTACTTGGCAATCTACGAACGACTGAATAAATGAGAAATAAGGCTCGTCTGAGCCAATCTTTAGATGATAAAGTCCAGTTGTATCTGAAAGAATATCCTGATAAATCTTTAAAGACGCTTTTTCATATTCCATATATTTATGAATATCTTCAAAGTTGTGATCCAGTTTTAAGACGTACTAAGAAACATGTATTGGAAATGTCTATTGAACGGGTTTTAAAGGCCCAGAATGCAAATTTTGAGGACAAATATTATAAAGAAGATAATTTAGATTCAAAATCTTTTGAAAATATTGCAGAAAATTCGAATTCAATGGTATTTTTTGCACATTTTTATGTTTTTCTGAAAAAAATGATCATTTTTCTGATTTAGTGGCTCTTTAGGACAAAGACATTATGAATAAAGAGATTGTAAGTGTCTGGAATACGGACAAGGATTTTTTTTCTGAAAAAATTTCGTCAAAGTCGACTTCTTATTCTTTAGAAAATGAAGTATCTAAAGATCAATCACATAATGTTTCTAGGGTTAAACGTAAACAAAGAATAGATGAAGATGAGGCTTTTCATAAGAGGGAAAAAAGTATTATTATTGTTATATAAATATGTATTTAAGATTTGAAGTAAATGGAAGTTATAATCCGCCTAAAGGTATTTCTTTTGATGATCTTGGCGGTATAGATGATTGCATTGATGAGATTCTTGAGCATGTTGTAATGCCTCTTACACATCCTGAAATTTATACTCATATTGGTATTCAGTTACCGAGGTTAGTTGTATATTTTATAAAGAAGGAAATGATTTTTTAAGAGGTGTCTTACTTCATGGGCCTTCTGGATGTGGAAAGACGATGCTTGCAAACGCAATTGCATCTGTAGAAAAAATAAATCTCTTGTTTTATGTTTTCATGACATTTTTAGGAAATTGGGTTGCCATTTATATCTATATCTGCACCGTCAATTGTTTCTGGTATGTCAGGAGAATCAGAGAAAAAAATTCGAGATATTTTTAATGACGCGAAATCTATTGCTCCGTGTCTTATATTTATTGATGAAATAGATGCAGTAACACCTAAACGAGAGAATGCGCAGCGTGAAATGGAAAGACGAATTGTTGCTCAGTTTCTTACATGTATGGATGGTATATATTTTTTGAAATAGTGATATTTTTTTATTTTTTTATAGATATTTCGTTAGAAAAAACAGATGGAAAGCCTATTTTGATAATTGGTGCAACAAACAGACCCGATTCATTGGATCCAGCTTTGCGTCGAGCTGGTAGATTTGATCACGAGATATGTTTGAATGTACCGAATGAATCTGGGCGAGAAAAGTTGATACAAGTTTCTTTTATTTATTTATATGTTGATGATGTTTAGGATTCTTCGAACAATTCTTAAGAAATTGCGTCTTTCTGGTGATTTTGATTATAAAAAGTTAGCAAAAATGACACCGGGATATGTGGGTGCAGATTTAAATTCACTTGCAACAGCATCAGGTATTGTTGCTATTAAAAGGATTTTTAAATTGTTGAAAAATAATGTATTGGACGAAAAAATAAATTCTCAGTTAAACGGAAAAAAATTACATTATATAGATAAGAAAGGCAAAGAGGATATATCTTATATGGATTTGGATTCTCAATATATGTCTGATGCTTCAGAAAATACAAGTATTATTCGGCATTTTTTAAAAACATATCCTAATACATTATCCGATAATGATTTATCGTTGATGTATATTACAATTGATGATTTTTTAGAAGCACTTCCTAAAATTCAACCATCTTCTAAACGTGAAGGATTTGCAACTGTTCCAGATGTAACTTGGGCAGATGTTGGTGCATTAAAATCAATTCGTATAGAAATGCAAATGGCTATTGTTCAACCTATTAAGCGGCCAGAGTTATATGAGAGATTAGGCATTACTTCTCCTTCAGGTGTGTTGCTTTGGGGGCCTCCAGGCTGCGGAAAAACATTATTAGCTAAAGCAGTAGCTAATGAAAGTTGTGCGAATTTCATTTCTGTCAGAGGTCCTGAATTGTTAAATAAGGTTCGTATTTAGGATTTTGAATTTGTTTTATTGATGTAATTAGTATCTTGGTGAATCAGAACGTGCTGTTCGTCAAGTATTTTCAAGAGCAAGAGCTTCTGCTCCATGTATCATCTTTTTTGATGAACTTGATGCCATTGTTCCTCGTAGAGATGATTCTTTGGTAAGGAAAAATTGTTTTTTATTACACGTCATTCATGTTTTTAGCCTGAATCTTCTGCAAGAGTAGTAAATACATTATTAACAGAACTAGATGGGCTGAATGATAGAAGAGGAATATATGTAATAGCTGCTACAAATCGACCTGATATTATCGATCCTGCTATGATGAGGCCTGGACGACTTGATAAACCATTGTTTGTAGAATTACCATCAGATGATGAACGTTATGAAATCCTTAAAACGTTAACTAAAAAAACGCCCATGGCCTCTTCTGTAGATCTTTTAAAAATTGCAAAAGATGAGCGATGCAGAAATTTTAGGTAGCTATCTATTTTCTACAATTCCAATGTCTGTTAACTTGATTTAGTGGCGCTGATTTAGCTGCACTTGTTCGAGAAGCTGCTGTTCTTGCATTACGATGTACCGTTTTTACTGATGTAGCTGCTGAAAAAAAGATTAATTACGATTTCCAGACTGATCCACTCTTTGTTGACCATTGTCATTTCGAAAAGGCTTTTTCAAGTGTCCGTCCAAGTGTTTCTGAGAAGGACCGTGATCGTTATTATAGTCTTAATCGTCGTTATGGCTATTCTTCTACAACATTGATATGAAACATTTGTTTTTTATTTTTATTACGGGTTTTTAAACATAAGGATCACTGTTAATCGATATGTTCCACTTCAAATATTCTTTTTATCTTTTAATAACTGTTGTTTTCTTTCTACTAAATATCAAATTTATATATCATTTTTTATATGCTTTTAACAGGATTTTAACAGGATTTATTAAAGAACGGAATTTTTAAAAAACGTCTTTACTTTCTAAAAACACATATAATTCTCAGTTATTCTCTGCAAAAATCTTTCAAATTTCTGTATTTTTATCATCTTATTAACCACTTTACTTATTGAGAAGCAACTGGACCAATCACTTTTTGAGTTTAAGCTTTCCTTTTTTGGTCAATTCAGGGACACCCGTGTGTACATATGTATGCATTTGTATATTCCATTCATTTGATTGGCCGATTTAGAGATAAGATCACATGACCATGAAAAAAGCAGAATATATAAAGGTAGCGACAGCCCACTTTTGAGATTAAAAAACCAAGAAAAATAATGACACGATCAGTCAAAGCACATCCAGAGTCGGGGCGGTATTTCTCTAAGTTCGTGTATATGATAGAAGAGGACCATATTTAATTGATATAGACATGGGTTTGAAGGAACAGCACCGAATGGAACGAAGAAAAACGGTGCAGGGAAGGCAAACTGGTGTGTTTTGTTTTAAATTGAGTGTTTTAACGTATTTTAGGGGCACAGAAGGCTCAGAAATTGATCTGTCAGAGTTTATGGAGAGACCACGCCGGTCGTCTAATCCTCAGTCAGCCAGTAATAAGTGGCTGGATCTAGAGAAGTTCAGTAGAGAAGATCTCCCATCGGATGTAATTGAGGCGGATGATTGATATAGAGGGTAATGGACGCCCGCGACCGAGCAAAAGATAGAGACAAATAGAGGATATATTGTAGATAGAGGGAAATTAATTGAGATATCATTGAGGATAACACAATGAGCAGAAAGTGGTTGCTTAGTTGTGGAATATTGCATAATTTAGTTGTTTTAAAAGTGTTTGAAGATATTGGACATTGGGTGGTCGCGGGCGATAAGGGTTATGGTTGAATATAAATATATGGGACTAAAAAGTAGGAAATCAAGCAAAAGTCATGTTGTAAGCTAAAAGTACAAAAACAATTGTTTGGTTTTATGATGTAAAGCAAGACCTGGTTCAATACATGATAGTTTCTGAATCAGCAGTGCTGTAAAGCTAGCTTAGAATAGTTGATTCATTAATTTACGTTTGTTTTCCTGATCAACTTCGTTGCATTTCTATTGACCCATTAATATCCAAGTTGAACAGAGCTATGTAGAATTGTAAAAGATTATTTAGCAGCATTGCTGTTTATATCGTTTGTTTAAAAGCTTACCTGCATTGTATCTTTCATCTTATGTAGATATTTGTCTGTAATCATGTTTACTTGTTCTAAAAGTGCTTCAGCATCCGTCCATATGTCATCAGTAAGCTCAAAAGGTCCCGTTGAAAGAAGAAGAGCCCGTATTTCTGTTTGAATTTTCTTCGCTTCCTTAATATATGTCTCCAAACAAGTCTAAAAAGGTAAAAATGAAATAAAAATATTAAAAAAATATACAGAAAGACGTTGTTGTGCTTCTTGAAGCGTTTTTTCTTGATCCATTATGAAAGTACAGTCGAGTTGTGCATTTTCAAGTTCATGTTGCATCTGTTGGCTTAATAGATCAATTGAAGAAAAAAACAGAAATAACGGGCTTACAATATAGGATCAGCAGGTGGATTTGAAAGAGTTTGAATGGCTTCTTCTGCAAGTGAAAAAAGTTCTTTTTTACAACGCTCATGAGTAGTATGTTGTAGATCGTGAAAATGGTTATTGAGCATTTCAAGGAGCTTTTGAGAATGAGAGTCTTGTAGCATGTGAAGAGGTGGTTTGGAGATATCTGCACTTTTACAGTCATCTTTTAACATGTTTTTCGTGTGTATAAGTTTAATTTCTTTTGTTGTTCGTACAGGTTTAGCCGGTTGCACTGTTTGGCTGATGTAAAGGTCAATTGCTGCAGAAAAATTGAAATAAAGAAAGAAACCGTATAGATCGTCTTTTTTTATGTTGTTTTTTTTTAATATGTGAAACATTTGTTGCAGAAGCCATAATTTAAAGAAATAAAGGTTATTTTTGACAAAAAAAGGCTGTTTTATAGCGAAAAAAACTGCTTTTTTGTGAAAAATATTTATATTAAGGTTAATATGAGTGTTTTTTGTAAAAACACGTTTTTCTGTGAAAATATCCTCTTTTTATTAAAATATTGTGCTGATTGTACTTAGGTGTAGGTTCTTGGTCGCTGTGGCAACAGATATCGACTTGGTTGTTATAGCGACTTGTTTGATTTGTAACGTCGGAAAAGACGAATATTTGTTTTAGAGACATTTAAAAGTCTTTTTGAAAAGTTGATAGAGTGTTTTGTACTTTTCTATTTATAAAGAATAAAGAAGTTCTTTTATTTATTTTTTCGTGGATTTAACGTAGTTTTTCTGTATTTTTTTATTTTTTTCTTTTATTGATTTTTACATAGATTTCAGTATTTGATTTACTGTTTTAATAAGGATTTATTGGGTTATACTGTGTATTGTTTCTGCATTTCTATACACCTTTTTATTGATTTTCTCTATTGAAGAACGTGTTAACATTTGACGACTAAGAAAGCGTTAAAAAGCAGATAAATTTTGATTTAATTAGACGTTCAAAACATTTATTGTTATACAAAGCATCAGCAGCTACTTTCATATAGAAAACAGACAATGACACAGCGTTTTGTCAAACTTACTGCAGAAAATAAAACAGGTTTTTGGCATTGGCTGCGTCAGTGGCTAGTAATTGATCCAAATCGTTCTTCGGGACTTACACGTAATAATCAATTCCGGAAGCCATCTCCAGGGACGCCTGCAAAGCCATATATCGGCCCATTAAATCTTCCCGCATCCGATATTGCAGAGAATCCATATTGGAAACGAGATGCTCGTCGTAACTATCCTCGGCTCAGTGTAGTTACACAGGAAACACTTGCAGAATTGCTCTTATTAGGCAATGCTAAATGTTCAGCGTAGTATTTTGCATCTAAACGTACAATGATATTGATATTTTATCAGAACAACTAATGTGTCTGAAACATCTGAAACAAGTATCGAGCCTGCTACCAACCGTTCATTATCAGTCACTCTTCAACATGTCCCATCTGCCGAGGTTCAGAGTATGATGCTTACTAAGAAAGGTATTGCACCTCTTCCTGGTAAGCCGTATCACTGGTTGTTGGATCAACAAGGCGGTTATCCTTCAAGTAAGTCAATTTTTATGCAGCATTCTGTAAAGAAACTGGGAAAATGCAGTAAAACAGCTATTCAAATCTACTAATTTGTAAAAAACAATCAGAAGACTGAAGATCTTTGGTAAAAATATTGTTGAAACTGCAAATAAATTATTTCATAATTTTATTACTGCTGCAATTTCACTGGATTTTAATAGGTGACTAACAAAAAAAGATTATTCAGTTCGTACATTTCGCTAGCTTTTAAAATAGGATTTCCAGCATCTGTTAAAGCAATATATTTGCACCTGTTTCTGTTGTTTCTTTCGAAAATGAATAAAGATGGTCAAGCTCCTTTCGTATTGCCTTCCGTGCATAAACTTCCATTTCTTTTGCTATTGCTTCAAGAATTTTTTTTACTTTATGATCTACTTTGTAGAATGTTTCAATAAATCGATTATAACCTCCACTTGATGATATAAAATTTGTCATTACTGTATATGCTTCACGTAATAAATCACATAAAGCAAGTACTGTTTGCGTATATGATGGTGTGAACGGCAAATGCGGCAGCATTAATGGTTTCTCTTCTTCTTCAAATGTTCGTCCTTCAATCCCTAAACTGCTCTTTCTAAAGCCTCGTGCACTGAAAAATGCCTTCATACGAGGAGTCCATGTCCCAATATCACGCGTTATTGCTGCTTCCCAGCTATTAAGGATACAAAGATAATTTTTTAAATATTCCTCAAGTCCACCCGGTGTTGGTGGTGGTGTTAGAGATGACAATGCATGACCAAGTACATGATATGTATAAATTCTGCTATAATTAATAAAAAGTATGCTGTTTCGATGAACTGTACTTGCGTTGAAACGCTTTCTTGTTAAAATACTCATCTATTTCTTTTTTTTCCAGGAAAACGGTATTTAGCCAGTATACATCTCCATCATGCCTGATGCTGTTAGAGTATTAAATAGAATACATAAGCTGAAGAGATTCTGCAGGCATGCATAGGAAAAATCGAGCATAACTGTGTATGCAGACTGTATCTATCTTGTATATATTGGATACAAAATCCATATATACACATACATATATACACATATATACATATATACATAGAACGCATATGCAATGTATATATAATGCATATAATGTGCACATGTAGATACAATCTAGATATAGTGTATACTGTATATATGTACCATGTATAATATGCATAATATGTATAAGACGCATAATATGAACACGACGTATATAGTGTATCTATATGCAGTATACAGTGCATATACTACACATACAATACATACTCTATGCATATATTATGCAGAGTGCATACAGCCCATAACATTGAGTATTCCATGCTTTTTGTATACGTCCTTGTCTGTTCTTGTTTATACATACTCCTATAGATCTTGTGTCTATAATGTATGGTATTGGTGTGTATATAGCTGTTTTCTATGCATATATTCCGTGTTTTCTGCATAATTTATGCTTCAATGCTTTTATATATCTTTATCTTGCATTTTGCATATACAGTCATGTTTTTGTTTTAATTGTTACTTACATTTGTGTAATATGCTGAATCAACCGGAATCGCCGTGCTGTAATCTCAGTAACTTCGCGAATAAGAATCTGTAACTGTAACGGCATTATCTTCGGTGTACTGTTCGGTGCCGTTAAATGTAGAGAATAATAGAGAAAAAATATACAGCAATAAACACGATATACAACAGCTTGTTTTCAAATATGATCAATTGTTTTCCTTCTCTGCCTTTTCAAGCATTTGTGAAGTCTTTTCTATAATCCCAGTGACTGCCGTCATACCTCCCATCCCAACGTCACCACATGCAAGTCGTTTTTCAACAGGGCCAATCCACTCAATCCATGTAAATATGCCTTGTATTAATGTAATATGGCGTTGTGTTAGTGGATGATGCCACATATATGTATTCATTGCAGGTGCTGCGAGGATTGGCCGGCTCGGGTGCCATGCACGTAATATACATGTTAATAGATTATCGCATAATCCATTTGCCATTTTTGCCAGTGTATTTGCTGTTAATGGTGCTAATACAAGTATATCTGCCCATCGCCGTAGTTCAATATGAAGTATTGGACTCGAAATTTCCTGCCATAGCTGTATAGTTAGTATATGCATATATAGAGGCAAATTCAAAACGCAGACTTTTGCATATATCTACGCATAAACACTGTATATATGTTTAAAGCATCGCATATACCTCCAAAGCGCTGTATATATGCATCAAAACACTGTATAACATCCTATATATGCATACAATGTCCCGTATATATGTATACGATTACTGCTATATATGTGCCGCACTAACATATGCATATATTATATGCATATATGCCATGCATATACGCCAGACTCTTTAATATATGTGTAAAACAGCATATATGTGTTGAGTCTTCGAGTATATGCGCCTTTGTTTTAAGCATTTATACGCCATTTCTCTTAACTGCATACATTCCATTCATCTCCGTCTGTCCATAATGAAACACCACTTTGTCTCAGCTTTGCAGTACATAAAAATCTTTTTGCTGCAGATGTATATACAACTTGCACCTCACCAAGAGCCTGTAAGCCCGTAACAAGCTCTAATAGCTTTGTTGCTGCTATTGAGCCCGTAACACCTACTAAAATGTGTTTTTGATAGGTATTATACTCATTATATGTATTTGACTGCATACTGCAGGTGACGCGTAGGCACGTGAATCGAACGCGTCGCGTAACACGTTTAGACGCGTCGAGTGTTTGCTGTACGTATGAACGAGCATGTAAAATGCAGTGAGCAGAAATCAATAGATGTTATTATACATGTAAGATCCGTGCAATAGCAGCAGATTAAACTGTTTTTTTTTTAAAATGCTGATATTGCTAGCCGATCTCTGGGTTAGATACGTTGCATATAACACTGCTTGAGCGTGTTCCGCGCGATACAGTGCCTAGACACTGTATTGCGTGTGATGCACCGCTTTTTTTCCGTTGCATTGCATTAGATGAAATATTATCTGCTGGAAATGTGTTTATTGTAAAATTTGATGCAAATCAGCTTGAAACACATGTAATATATGGGCTGGTTGAACGCGTTGGACGCAGAATATACGCATTTTGTCGGTTTGGGATGCACGTGACATCTGTCGAGAAGTGGTTAGGTGTGATGGGCAGTGTAGCAAAGGGGTGTGAAGAAAATACAGAAACAAGGACAATACATAAGGCTGCTGATGAGATTGATTCAAATATGTCAGAATATGATGAGAAAATGCTGGATGTTGCGCCAATTGGTAGTATAAGAGATATGCAGGTGCTGGAGAGCGGTATTATGAACAAGGGTATTCGTTGCCATGGTAACTTGAGCCATGGCGAAGAGAGTATGGAAAATACGGCTAAGACAGAGGAAAAAGAGATGATATGTATTAAGACTGTGCAGGAGCAGCTGAGACAACAGTACTTTGAGATCCTCTATAATTCAAAGGTGAAAGATGCTATATTTTGTGTATTTTTGTTTTGTTTTTACCATAGTAGGTTTCTCTTGCATACTTTGCAAAAATTGCTTTAACAAAGGCAAGAACACAGTGCCAAGCAGATACAGAGATGCTTTTGGATGTGTCTTTATTTATTGAGTCATCTTTGCTGAGAACCCCTGCACAATTAGAAATTAAGTTCAAAAAATGGTTGCCGATGATGTCAGTAGTGGTATGGCAGGAAGGAGATACAGATGAATATAAATGGCCAGAAGAAGCATCTGAATGGCATGTGGATGAAGATGAACAGCCGTTTATTATACGTTGGTGCAGCGGTAATGAGAAAGAACGTTCTTTATCATATCAAAGCGATGCAGATAAGAAAATTGAAGCGTTGAAAATTCGGGAGTAGAGTGCTGGTGCCACATGATATATATTGATTTATATAGATTTCAGCTGCAGATTATTTTGGTACTAGAAGTGCTTTCTTTGCGACGTGAGATGGGTGATGTGACGCAAAATTTGTTGGAAAAACAATCGAAAATTCAATCCAAGAACGAATCGATTAATATTGAACAGTATTTGGATGTATTGGTCGACAGATTGTGTATTTGGCAAGCATTAAGTGACACACGTTTATTGGATGACAATAGTATTAACTTGGAACCGGATAATGATCAATTGAAGCAATTTTGTGCAGAAGTGGTTATACCTTTGTATATTTCTTAAGTTTTGACTAGCTGTTGACATATGTAGCTATGCATCTAAACTTCCTGATGTGTGTAATATGTTGTCTGTCAAGTGTGGTGGGCCAAGTTTTTCTTATCATGCTTTACGAGTAAAACGTACCAAAAAGTCCAAAACATCAACCAAAGAGAAATCAGATGCTTGCTCGACTAATGTATCTGCCAAGTCTTCAAAGGTATCTCTTGGTTCTTCGAAAACATCTGCTAGTACTATATTTTGTCCTGAAACGGCATTATTTGATAAAAAAACTAAGTTAACAGCTTCTTCTGTTACATCACGTTTCTCTTCTACAGATAAACATACTAAGAGCATTTCCAGAGATGGTATTTTGAATTCTAAACAGTCTCTTGAGCACCGTGAAATAAAAATGCCTTTGAAACCAATTGGTAGGAAAGGATCTGATAGGATAGATGACATTTCGTTGCATGTAACATCTTCTGTATCATTACCTTCGTTACAAACTCGTGGCACTGAAGTGTGTCGGACTCGAGTAAAGCGTAAAGACATGTTTTTTACTTGTAAATCTGCTAATGTTATAAGAAAATACAGCCAAAGTTCAGATTCAAGTGTTAGAAACGCCACAAAAGAATCGAATAACGCATGATACTTCTGATTTAACAATTCAGAGTGCTAAGCGAATAATAGGCACTCCAATCAGCCATGGATCCATAGGATCACCTGTTAAAAAGTGTCGGAAAGTAGAATACGTTACAGAAACACCCCTTCGGAAATAATTTGTTCAAGACTTGTATGCAATAAGCTGATAGCGACCTAATGACTCACTAATGATAAAATATAATGTATTAAAGACTATGACTTAAAGACTACGACTTAAAGATTATGACATTTCAAAGATGTATCAAGCATAATAATAAACCTGTACTATAAAAGACACTGATGCAATATTAGAAATCATAATATGAATATATCCAAAATGCATTAAATATTTGTTAATTATATATTAATGATGTATTAATGACCACGACATAGATATGCAAAGATTAAAAATAAAAATAATCATAAAAAAAAAATTCAAATAATTAATGGCTTTTTGTGCATCTCCTTTGTATAATATGCAATATAACCTTTAATTCCTGTATTTAAATGTGAATCCATGATAGTCCAAGTACCACGCGTATTCGAGTGTTCGACCACTCGTGCAACAGCATTCCTGTCGATTATGTAAGTTGTAAAAACAAATAGATAATGTATTGTCATAAATGCGCTAGTTATACACAAATTCAGACGTATTTACGCCCTAAATATCTTTTAATAGCGCTTTATGATGTTTTAATTTCATTTTTGTCTCTTTTTCATTATACTTTACTTACCGTCTTTTTCACAATTCCAATAGGCGCCTTGAGCTGCATGCATTCCACGCTTTGTATCCGAGACAATCTCGATAATTGTGCTTGTTAAGATCCATTTATACTGCGGTGTAAGTGGCGTTAATGCTGATAATATACTGTTCTATCCATTGATTAGTATCTATGTAATCTGTATTCTTCGTTTTAACTATGATTTCTGTATTCCATTCATGCACCTTTGGTTGTGTATAGCTTGAGTCTCCCAAAACTCGCGTTAGCTGTCTATCACACAGCTCTGTTAGTGTTGTATGTGCAATTGGCTACCCGTGTAAGTAAATGCAGAACTCTCCCATTAAACGCACACAGATTGTTTGTGACATTTTATCCTATTGATTCCCGCTAAATTTGCTGTTTAAAAACGCTGCTTCTTCCTGCCTTTGTTATTCTTGTCCTCTCTATACCCGCCCAGTGTATTCCGAATACTGTAATCGATAGCCTGCTTTGCAGTGATCCAATTTTATGCGTAAATCTCGTTTATATGCAGAAAACACTGTGTATATGCGCAATATATGCGCAAAAACTTTTTATATTGATCTTTTTTCCTCTTATATCCCTCCTATATGCATCAAATTACCACATATATGCGTTTTTCTGAGCTTTATATGTTTCCTGCTTCTGTGTGTACCGAGTGCATTTATTCCGAGTCTAATGTGCCCTTTCGATACGATTTCGATATGCTTCGTTACACTGTTTCCATACAATTATATATGTTAGCTCTTGTTTTTCTGCATATATGCGTTGCCTATGCATCTTTGTCTCTTATATGTGCTTTTTTCCTTATTATATGCTTTTTTATCTGTTTTTTGCATTCTCCACCTTACTTCTTTTCTCGTTTTACCGTGCACCCTTTGCAATATGCGCCAAACCTTCTGCTGCCGTCGGCTTATACTTCCTCTCTATAATATACAGCAAAAACCCCCGTTAACGTCTTTATTTAAAACTTCTTTAGTTATCCCTTTCAGAACTTCTTTTTGTGCTCTTTATTCTTCAAAAAAAGCTTCTTTTTTACATTTATCTTCTCTTACTCATTATACACGACTTGCTCGTTGGGATCGCCTTATCGGTGCGTGGCTTTTATATTTGCCAGCAACATGGTCGATAGGAATGGCAGCATATGCACAATGTGTAGCACCTTATGAGACTGTGCGTATGCTTGTGCTGTTTGGTGCAGGAGCAGTGCTAATGCGTGGAGCTGGATGCACAGTAAATGACTGGTGTGATCGGGAGATTGATGCACGAGTAGCACGTACAGCACTGCGGCCGCTTGCAGCGGGTGTGCTTAGCAGCAGAGAAGCAAGTGTTTTTCTTGTGGCTCAGCTTGCAGCTGCAGCAGTGGTTCTTTCACAGCTCAATTACAGCTGGTAAGTGTATTGTATGCGCATATATACGGTGATTTGTGTATATATGCTGTGTTTTAGTGTATATATGCTGTGATTTGGTACATATATATAGCGTTCTGTGTATATATGTATATATATGGAGGTTTGTATAGTTTGTATATATACACGCGGTGATTTGTATATATATGGTAGTCGGTGTATGCGCTGGTTTGTATATATATAGTGGTTTGTATGTATATACAGTGGGTATGTATATATATGCTAATATGTATATACATATGCTCATTTGTATATATATACGTTGATATGTGTATATACACGGTTATTTATGTGTATATGCTGTGTTGAGTATATTATAACATTGCAGTGCATATATGCGCTATGTCGGAATATATGCGTAGAAGTATGTGCATTATATATGCAGTATATACAATGCATGCAGTGAGTACAGCGTGTTAACGCATACATACGTTAAAACATAGTGTATGTGTGGTTTCTGCGTGTATATGCGCTGAAGATGCATGTTTTTCTGCATTACTGATCTACCAGTTGGTTGTTGGGCGCTGCATCGCTTGTGCCGGTTGCAATTTATCCGTTTATGAAGCGGATTACGTGGTACCCACAGGTTGTCCTTGGTAAACGCATGTTTTATACAGCAATTTTTTGACAGGATAGGCTTTACATTCAATTGGGGGATTTTAATGGGTTGGCCTGCTCTTGTTGGCTGGGATAAGGTTGTGTGGTCGGCGTGTCTGCCGTTATATGTGTCGGGTGTTTTATGGACGATTGTCTACGATACGGTCTATGCTCACCAGGTAATGGCAAAAATATAGCAGTACATTGAGACCCAGAAGGCATTGTAATGGGCATTGGAGTGAAATTATAGATACACAGAACGCGTTATCTGCGCTTATTTGTGTATTTCTATCTAGCGCATTTGCTCTTTAGTAGTGTCACGTGAAAGTCACGTGCTGATTACATACAGGATAAGCAGGACGATGCGTCTGCAGCGGTATATTCGATGGCATTGCTGTTGGGGAAATACACAAAACCGTGTCTTTCTATGCTTTCTGTAGCTCAGATATGTGCACTGATGCTTTCTGGGTATATGAATGGGCAGACGGGGCTGTTTTATGTGATCAGCTGTGGAACGAGTGCAGTTTACGCATTTTGGATGTTATATACAGTGGATCTCGATCATCCTGGGAGTTGCTGGAAGTGGTTTGTTCGGAGCAAGTATGCAGGCCTTTTGGTTGGCCTGGGAGCTCTTGTTGACTGGGCGGTGCGTCTCTGGTGGATATAGTCACGTGTATGTCACGTGACAATGGGTAAAGTGAGCGAGGTGACGGCGGCAGATTTTTTTCGAGAGGCGAGTAAGGACGAAAGATGGTGAGTTTGGCGGCAGAAAAAGCAGATAAAAGAAAGAGAATACGTCTTAGTTACGGAGCGTATATTGTATATATATTGTCTTTATTCTCTGAAGAAAAAGCGCTTTTTCTGTATTTTTATTTTTGACATTAATCATGAATCGATAGACGTTTAAACGCAGAAATAATGGACGTAATAAGCACGGCCGAGGACATACAAAGCCGGTGCGCTGTTCCAACTGTGCACGGTGTGTGCCAAAGGACAAGGCTATTAAGCGGTTTACTGTACGTAAGATACCTTCCGGTGAAAAATAATACTTCATTTTTATACAGGAAACATTGTTGAATCTGCGGCCATTCGTGATATTTCAGATGCCAGTGTGTACCAGGAGTATGCACTGCCGAAGCTGTATATCAAGCTTCACTATTGCGTCTCCTGTGCCATTCACAGTCACATTGTTCGTGTCCGTTCGCGCGAGGGGCGCCGGATCCGTGTTCCCCCGCTGCGTCAGCGCTATAACAAGGTTGTCTGCTTCTTTTTCTCTGTATTTCTGATGTTTTAGGACGGAAGGAAAATCAATCCTGTAAGTGCTGCAAAGGCACTGATTTCATAGCTGCTGTTTTTTGTGTTTCACTGGTTTTTCGTGCATGGATTTTTAACACAGCCTGTCTTCTCCTTCTTTGTGCTTTTTCTCTTCTGTTTTGTGTATTTTTCTCCCAATCACTATTGCTGCCTTTGCCCATCTTCTGCTTGTTGCGCTTCCGTAGTCCTCAGGTATGCCATGGCAACGTTCCCTAGAAACGCCGTGTCCGCGCCATGGCAACGGCCCGAGGCAGACCTATTCAGTGCAGACAAAAATGAAGCTCGTAAGGTGTGTTGTATGCGCTCAAAAACACCGCTGATTGTTGCAGGTTTCTTATGAAATTGACAAATGAAACGGTCTCTGTCGAGCTTAAGAACGGTATGTCTTTCCATTATCACACTGCACCGTCTATGCTGTGTATACATTTTACCCATTCTATGTGCACTGTATGGCTGCACATGCATTGTGCATATAGTATGTATACGCTGTGTGCGTTGTATGCGTTGTATATGCGTAGTGTATGCGCAGTGTATGCATAGTGCATATACACGGTGTGCTATATGCGGCATATATGCGTGGTGTATGCGCGGTATATGCGTTTCCATGCATTATATGGTGCATTATATGCGCCTTGTGCGCCCTGTATTTGCCGTATTTGGCCGCTTACTGGCTTCTAGGAACCATTGTCTGTGGCACTGTCACCTCTGTCGACGTACTTATGAACACTCATCTTAAAAATGCAAAGATGACAGTGCGTTCCCGCTCCCCCGTCACTCTTGAGACACTTAGTATCCGCGGCAGCAATATCCGCTATTTTATTCTTCCCGATAGTCTTCCTCTCGACACTCTTTTAATCGACGATGCACCAAAGCCTAAGCAGAAAAAGAAGGATGCACTTATGGCTCGTGGCCGTGGCCGCGGTCGTGGCCGTGGCGGCCCACGCAGAGCACGTACTGCTCGTGGTTTCTAGTAGTTTGCTGCTTATTGGGCGTATTGGGCTCTCTAATGCTGTTTGCCGGCTGTGCCGGCTTATCAGCTTTGATTTCAGTGCACTGCTGTGCCATATGTATAATATTTATGTTACAGTATATATATGTACATATATATGTGTATGTGTGTATGTGTCTGTATATGTATGTATACGTGTATATATATGTCTATATATGTGTACTATGTGTGTATGTATACAGTGTGGATAGTGTGTTATATGTTTGTTATGTGTTGCATACATTATGCACAGCATATCCATAGCATATCCATAGCTAGGTGTGCAATATATGCTATATATGTGTTTCTACAGACGTGGCACACATAACTATATATTACATGTGCGCTATATATGCCGTGTGCATTGCATGCATTCTGCACTTTTCTATATATACTGTATAGACAGTATATATACATGCAACATGTATACAGTATATATAGCAGAGTGCAGAGTGCATATGGAAATGCAGTGTGCATACACTGTATATACGTAGAGTGCATATATGATGCATATATCATGTTGCGAGCACAGTGCAGCACAAGTATGCGTTATGGCGTATCTGCTGAGCACATTGCATATACAATGCACACACTATGTATACAACGCAAATTGGTGCTGCAATTATGCTTAGTATGTGCAAACCGTGTGCATATATGTATAACGTGCATACGCCATGGACACGCAGTGCTACACTATGTATAACGTACACACCGCAAACACAACACACTGCACGCACTGCACGCAACGTGTACAATATATAATGCGTGTACAGCGCATACAGTGTGCATATACTGCGCACATAACGTATATACTGTGCATACAACACAGTGTGTATATACACAGAGCACACGCTCTACATATACAGCATACAATGCATACAATGCATACAATGCATACAATGCATATAATGCATATAATGCATAGTCAGTGTATATAGCATATATAACATATATACAACACGTATAGCATATGGTCAGCAGATATGCATATAATGCATGTACACTATGTATATAATGCGTGTATGCTGTACACATGTGCTATATACACCACCATATATGCTGTGCATTGCATGCTGTGCAGTGTGCTTGTGTTGTGCATCACAGCGCGCACAATGTATATACAGCGTATACATTCCGCATACACTCCGTATATAACGTGCATATACAGCGCGTACACCGCCCTATGCCATACGCGTTGTGCATACAGTGCGCATATATAGTGTATACATAACGCATATACTTTATGTTGCATACAAATGCATCTGTAGCACTGCATATATGTATCCGCACTGTATGCACTATATGCGCACTGTATGCGTGTCAGGCACAGCTGTGTACAGTGCATACACGCAATACACACTGCATACACTCCGCATAGAGCGCGCATACAACGCGACATAGCATGTATACTGTGCTACATATGCATCTGTGTGCGGCATATATTTGCAGTCTATAAAGTAATACCGTATACTATGCAATGTGTTGTGTGCACTGTGTTGCATGCATACACTGCACAACAGGCGCTGCGCATACGCTGAGCATACAACACGCATACATACTGTATACAGCACATACGCATAGCATACAGTGTATACAGTGTATGTATAGCACATACGCATAGTACATATGCATAGCATATATGTATAGCACATGTGCAGTGTATGCGTTATGCATGTTGTGTGTATATACTGCACAGCTGCACAGCTGCACACAGACACTGCGTATATACTGCGACACAACGTGCATGCTGCGCGTTGCACATGCGCCGCACATCCTATATATACTGTACACATACATAGTATACGCATCGTATATACACAGCGTATGCACTCAGCCGACTATATGCGCTATGTATGCGTCATATATGCGCAGTGTATGCACAGTATGTGCAGTGCGCTGTATACGTTATATGCGCGTTGCATGCGTTAATGCGCTGCACAGTGCTATGCACACTGGTTATGCGCATGCAGCGCTGGCATGACTTATGCTGTGCGCCGGGCGTTGTCGCGATGCTCCGACTCCCAACGACCAATGTCGGCAAAAGACGCCCAAACCCTCTACGACGCCTTCCGCTCCACTTCCTATGAGCGCAAGGTCGACGCTGTGGCTGCTCTCAAGCGCTTTATCAAGCGCAACGACGTATCTGTGAGTTCCCGCGTGTGTATGCTGTATGCTCATGCCCAGCTCGATGCCTTTCCTGCACTCATCGATGCTCTGAGGACGGGTCTCTCTGCGGGCAGTCCGGTGCTTAGTGTTGAGTGTCTGACGTGTCTCGGGCACTTGGTTAAGCGTGTCGCTCTGCAGGATGCAGCGCGGTTGCGAACGGCTGCCGCGACACTCGTCCCGCTGCTTGTTGAGCGGCTCGGCGACCCCCGCGACAAGGCGCGCGAGGCCGCGCACAGTGCGCTGACGCATGTCTGGCGTGCAGCGCCAGCTGACGTTGAGCGCGGCATCCGCGACCAGGGATTCGGGTCGCGCAGCTGGCACGTCCGCGAACAGGCGGTGCAGTGGGTGGAGCGGGTACAGGCAGGGACTGCACAGAGAGGCTTTGTGGGGGGAATGGTCCGGCTGCTCGAGGACGCAAACGAGAGTGTGCGGGAAGCAGCAAAGCGTGCAGTCGTCGAGGTGTTCAGGTAGGTCGGCGGCGCAGGTGCAACGCGTGCAGTGTATGCACGTGCAGTGTATGTGCGGTGTGTGGAGTGTATGCACTGACGCAGCATACGCTATATATGCGGCTCACGCTGTGCATATCCTGTGCATATGCGTAGTGTGCGCTGTGTGGAGTGCATTGCGGTGTGCAGCGTATGCAGCGTATATACTGTATATTCAGTATGTATGCGGTGTATATGCGGTGTATATGCGATGTGTATGCGGTGTGTATGTTGTAGTGTGCAGTGTAGCTGTATGTGCGCTGCATGTGTACACTCTACACTATGTACACTATATGCACTCTATGCGCTACATACGCTATATACGTTATATATGTTATATATGCTATATATGCTATATACGCTATATACGCTATATGTGCGCTATATACATTGTATACATTAGTGCTGTATAGGATGCATGTTGTGCAGGGGTGCTGTGTGCAGTGCATAGGCTGAGCGGGTGCAGCGGGCAGAAAGGCGGTGCATAGAATCTATTTGATGCGTACATGTGTTGGTTTTGTCTATTTTGTGTATTTTGTGTTGCACAAGAGACCGAGCAGTAGCGTCTATGGCGTAGTCAGAGGCATGTTTTGGCAAAAAGTCCATAGAGAGCAGTGGACGAGTGGACCGCCTTTGGACAGCGCTCAGACAGTATTTAGGCAGCGATAGGCCTTTTTGGGCGGCACTTTTATGTATATTTTTGAGCCACGTCCGTCTGCACCCAAGTGGGCTATGGATCTGCACGGGTGTGCAGCAGAATATAGCACTGAAGCGTGCTTTTGGTACATTAGGAGGCACTGGAATGGCTGCAAAGTGGATCTGCGTTGCTGCAATTGATGTGGTATAGATGGAGCTTATTCTTGTTTAGGAATGCATCAAGTTATGCAAAGTTGGAACTCAAACGAGAGCTTGTTGAGCAGCACGTACGCAAAAAGCTTGTCTCATATATCCTTGATCAGCTGCAGCTGCAGGGTGATAATGATTTTGCATCGTCTCGTGGATCAGAAAATACATATGATAATGATACAACAAATGTTTCTTCACGCAGGATATATAATGAAAGTATTGCAAGTACATCGAATTTTTCATCAAACTACATTTCAAGTATGTGTGGTACGGAAATGGAGCAGATGGATGCCGCTTGGGTACATTGATGAGAGAGGCTGCATGATTTAATGTGTTTAGGTGCATTCTGCTAAGGAATTGGAGACAGAGATTCAGGAAATGCTCTCTTCGTTCGAGGGTAAAGAGACAGATAACAATTGGATGATTCGTGAAAAACATATGATGCGTCTGCGTGCATTGCTTCGTGGAAATATTTACAAAGAATATTCTTCTGTATTTATTTCGGGCTTTAAGATGCTGGTTGATGGGATAATCAAAGCCGTATGGCGATGGGTGTCAATTTGTTGTCTAACCATTTGTAGATAAGTTCACTCCGGACAACGCTTAGTCTTGCTGGTCTTCAGTTTATCAAAGACGTGGCGATTGTTGTAGGCCCAGCTATCGATCAATCAGTTGAAATACTTCTTACCAATCTTATTCGAATCAGTGGATTAACCAAGAAAATTATCTCACGAACGGCTCAGGTTATTGTTAGCGTATTGATTGCCAATGTTTCATATCATCCGAAAATTGTCCAGCAGCTTTTGATTGCATCACAAGACAAAAATCCGTCGACTAGGCAGTACGCTGCAGGGTGGTTGCGTACCTTACTCGAAGCTCATGTTGAGTCAAAAACATATATGGAAAACTCTGGAGGACTTGATATAATGGAAAAGGTTATAAAAAATGGGATTTCAGATGCAAATTCTGTTGTTCGCACTGGAATGAGAGATGTATTGCGGTGTTTTTCTGAAATATGGCCGGATCGTACTCAAAGGTACTGTATTTTTGAAAAGTATAACAATATGAATTTAATTACGCTAGTTTGATATTGAGTTTGGATCCTGTTGTACGCAAACAGTTTGATAAAGTATTTCAGAGTTTAAATATATCGTCAAAATTGGTTAATGGTCATGAAAAGTCTCAAGATTCGGTACAGAATGTTTTTCCCAATAAAGGAAAGAGTCTTTCAAAAAAGCCTTTAGCAAAAGCAACAAATATATTTAATAAAAAACAAGACGATGTTTCAAGTATAGTACATGGATTATCAGGCCTTTCTTCGGGCCCAATTCGCCATGGTCTTGGTCTTCCTCAACGTTATGGATGTCCTTCTAAAATCACTATTAAAAGACCTGACAGTCCCGTTCAAGAGCAGTCATTGAGTACAACATCGAATCAAGTTCATATATCACCGAGTCAGTCACGATGTGGAACATCTCCTCCGAAACCCGCACTTACAACACCCTCTTTATTTGGAAAATCGCTATCTGGGACATCTCGCTCATCACCTAGGAAACTTACAATTGTTGAACAACTTGTGCATCCAGATTGGCATATGCGTGTTGAAGGAATCATTACTGTTGCATGTTTATTGGCAAAAAAGGTACCTCCTAATTATGATAACAAGAAACTCCCCACACTTCCTCCGAATGATATATTAGCATCAACTTTCCAAAAACTTTTGAATGATTCACAACCAGAAGTCGTTAATCATTTAATGGCTCCTGAAGTTATTGTAGAAATAGCTAAAATTGTTCCTTTCGAGAATATTGTTCCAAGGATTCTTTTGTTAAGTGAAACAGATGATACCGAACGTGGTCATGATATTGTAAGAGCATGTCTTCCTGCTGTTAAGAAAATGATTAGTGATGTTGATGCTGCTGAATTGTTGTCAAAAGTTCTTACAACTATGGGATTATCTGGTGTTGTGCCTAAGAAGCTTTCTGCTTCTATATTTACTACATCTCAGAAACGAAAAATTATACATGGTGTTCTTTTATGGATGAATGAATTGGTTGAACGTCATAATGAAAATATAAAGAATGGAGGAGATGGAAATTCATATTTTAATGATGTTTCGAATTTTAAATTTTATGTGAATCGTCTTGTACCTATGATTAATAATACTAAGCCAACCTCTATAAATTATGGTCCTTTGACTGTATTGTTAAAGTCTCTTCAGACTGCAAATGAAGGAGTTTTTGATAAAGTTTTACAGACTTTTGAAAAGGTAACTGTGAATGCTCTTAAAAATGCTTGGGGAATAGTTGTTGAGGAAGATCCTTATATAGTTGAAGAGAAAGTTGCATGTATCGAAGATGTTCTTGGGAGTATACCTACGGTTAGCCATGTTAAAGTAGATGATAATGATAATGAACAACATTCTTCATCATCTTTAGAATCACAATCTGTTAAATATTCAGATGCTTATATAGATCCTTTTGAAGAAAATTCTGCAACACAAATGAATTTTGAGGATATGACCATGATTCAAATACCTAAACTTCATCTTTCAAATCATAAAACAAGTAAAGGTTTATCTGCCTCTTCTGATCCTTCTGCTTTTGTTAGTGTTGATTCTACTTTAATCACTCAGGATCCTATTAAGTCTGATAATTCGAAGGCGCCGAATGATAAAAATGATCAAATAGAGAATGATTCTTCTGTACAGCCTCTTGAATTGTTATCAACATCTGATTCAGGAAAACAAGAAAATTTGGATATTTCAATAAAAGATGATAATTTTTCTAAGGATTCAGGTTTATGGTTTCGTAAATATATGAAAAAAATACCAACCACTCCACTTCCAAAAGCTATAGATGAGACTATTAAATTATTAAGTAATATCGTTGAAAGGCTTGAAAATCATGATATGGATTCCTATGCGTTTAGGAAATTAATATGTATTTCAAAAGAACATGCTCTTGAGTTAAATGTGGAAAATCATGATGACGTCACAGATGATTCTAAAAAAGGCGATATTTGGGTGTCAGGAACTTTGTTTAGTTCTTTGCTAAACGCTTTGCTTAAATTTATGGCAGAAGATTCCGTTTTAGAATTGAAGATTCAGGGACTTTTGCTTTTAAAATATCTTTTTGATCATCAAAAAGTGTACTTTAACAACCATATATCGAGTGTATTTGATTATCTTCTTAAGTTTCATTCGGATGATTCTAATAATAATCGTATCATATGTGCAATAGAAGAGATGGTATTTGACATCGTATTTCATTTTGAGCCATTGAAAGGAGTCGCCGCATTCTTATCATATTTGGAGCCGTACGTTTATGATAGTGATGATGAGTCAAAGAAACATCTTTTAAAGCAGTCAAATATAGTTATATGTTTATCATCTTTAGCAATATTTATTAAGAAGTTGGAAAGATCAGAGTTAGACCAATACCTCGAAAAGATTCCACCATTGGTTATTAAAGTATATTATTTAATTTTTTTCTTTTTTGATTCATTGTTTTTAGGCAATAAATGATGGAAATCCAGAAATTCGAAAAGAGTGTGTAACTGTATGTATATCGGTAAATAGCGTTATCAAGGATTCCATAGAAATATTTGATTTATTACATGGGCTTACACATGGCCAACAGAATTTGTTGGTTTATTATTTTACAAAAAGTTGTGGAAAAGATATGTAAAATAAATTTTATATTATTAGGTGCACTGAAAATGTTTGTTAAATATATTTTTTCAACATGATGAGCAAGAACGGTTTAAATATATAAAAGTTGCACATAATGAATTATGACTTTGTTTCTTTTAGCTGTTTGCACCACTATACATTTTATTTCAGTAAATCTTGGTTTGTATTTTTATTGGGTTACCATCGAAGAAGGAATCCATCTTGATGGCTGACGGTATCTCCATTCTTTTTCCGCACTGACTTTCCAGATCCAAAGAACAATAAGTGACATTCCTGTAATACAAATAGCTGTATTTGATTTCCTACAAACAAAATAAAATATGAAATATTTGTTGGGCAGTTCAAACCATTTTTTAGGGTAGCACCACCATCCTAGATGTGTTGGAGAAAGAAAACATTATGTTTATCTTGGAAAAAATGTTATTTATTACCTCCTGAAGGTGACCTATAAAAGTTAATAAGTTGTTAATTAAAAGTTTTCCAGACATACCATACATCCTTAGGAAAAGGATAACGGTGATCTCCCTTTGTTTTTATTAATTATTTCTTTAAATTAGCTTTTTTGAATAAAACATACCATTAAGATATTTTTATTTTTTTAAGATTCGACGTTAGTCAAATATAAAAATATGTATAAAAATGAATATAAAAATCAAGGGAAGAGGAGCTGTTACCTGTTTGTTTTTTCGGTTAAATATCAGTAATAACAATGGTATATATAATATTTTTTGTTTTTGAGCATTTCTAATTGTGTTTTTAAACAGGATTTATGTTTCAAAAAAGATATATGGTAAATGTTAGTTCACTAGATAATACAAGCAGAAATAACATAGAAACGGATATTTTTAAGTTTGAAGATAATGTTTCACCTAAGTTATTTGCTCTTCATGCTCGGTTGAAACTGGGATTGCAGTTTTCCAAGTCTACTCTTGTTAGAGCATTTGTTGATTCTCAAATTACATCTGGAATAAAATTTGCACCGAACAATGAGAGTCTTTCTGTTCTTGGGACGAGTATTATGAAGTATTATGTATTGGAGTATTTAATAGCACGTTGGCCTCGTTTACCATACAATATTCTTAAGGCAGCCATGTGGGGATATTGTGGATTTAAAGCTTTAGCAAGAATTGGTAGAGAATGGGGTATTGAAATGAGTGATAAGGAGATTAGAATAATGCATGAGTCATCGGAAAGTGAGCTTCATCATATTGTTTTTGAGATTTTGTCAGAAGCGAAGAACGGGATGCTTGTATTTAAAAGAACAGGATGGACACCGGATCATAGTCCGTTTTCAAGAGATCACATTGATGAAGTTGCTGTTTCCAGAGTGGTGAAATCAATTATTGGGGGTGTTTATCTGCATTGTGTAAGTTTAATATAAGTAATAATTGTTTTGTTAATTTTTAGGGCCTTGAAAATGCTAGAGTTTTTGTTAATGATCATATAATTTCAAGATACCTTTCTATTGCTTCTTTGTTTTCATTTGATCAACCTACTCGAGAATTATCTATGCTTTGTTCTCGTCAAAAGTTAAAACCACCTGTATCACGGTTAATTGCAGAGACTGGCCGATGTAGTAGTTCACCTTTATTCGTAGTAGGTGTATATTCTGGACATGAAAAATTGGGAGAAGGACATGGATCTAGTTTAAAAGAGGCTAAACATATTGTAATTTAAGATGTTGTGTTAAATATTTAACATTGCTGTAGGCATCAGTTAATGCTCTTAAAGCATGGTATTTATATGAGTCAAAAGAGTTTGATCGTCCTAGCAAAACTCTTGAGAACAGTAAAGAAATATATACTCCTGTATACATAGATTGCGGAGAGGTTGTAGTATGAATGGTTATGGAAATAATTAGATGGCCCATATTTTGTACATTAATGTTATGTTGGATTATTTTAGTTTCTTTTTTATTATAGTTAGGTTTTGATTAGAATTTTATTTTGAAAAATATTTTGATGTTTGTAATATTTGGGAATGTTTATATGCTTTTGAATAAAAACCAAGATTGGTTTTGTATGTTTCCAATGATATGGAATTAATGACATAAAATGATAATGTTTTAATTGTTTTCATTTTTATAAAAACGAGTTTAAAATCGGTTTTAAAGAATCTATAAAAGATAGAATTTAAATAAATTGTTTTTAGAGTAATTATATGGTATTATATTAAGATAAAGTTATAATCATTAGAATGCATTATATTCAATATTGTGTAAACCTAATTTTATTAATATTTATTAGTTATTAATTATAAAATGGTATTTATTTTAATATAATTTTTTTAAAAAAATTATAATGGTTAATAATTCTTACGTTTTTCTTTTTTTCAATGCTATAAATAGCTTTACTCAGACATAGTATTTAATTTACAGATAATTTACGTATAAAATCATTAAATTATAAAATCAAAAATTAAGTATGATTCCCATGTTATAATTTAAAAAACTAATATGATTTTATTTTTTTTGTATTTTTAGTTTTAGAGGCTTCTGACTCATTCTTTTCCCGTTGATGATCTAAAATGAAACGTACTGTTCCTTTATCGCTAATAATTCCAATTCGAAAGGGAAGGGCTGAAAATTCTACATTAGTTGTTGTATCTTTTAAAGATATTTCTGAAGATTTATGAAATTTATTGAGAGAAATTTGAATAATCATAAATTTACTAACGTCAGTATCATGACCCACAATAGTAACATGTCTATGGTGAATATATAAATCAAGAATATCACATAAGGCATCTTCTAAATGTTTAAATAAATAGAAAAGCTCAAAAAAATACTAACTAATAAGTGTTTCTTTTTTTACCATGAATTTTTCGTATGCATCTTCAAAAGGCTGCTCAAGTAATATTGATGAAAGAACAAGTGCCATTAAAGCAATGCAATGTGGAGGAAATTTAAGAGGTGAAAATGTTTTATATGAATCAATGCTTATATCCCATGCTTTTCGAGCTATTTCTTTAGAAACTTTTATAAATGAGTATTTATTTAGTTAAAAGATCATACTACGCTTTAAATGCCGTGCAAATTTAATAATATAAGGTTGTGGATGACGTTGTCGAAAATCAAAACAAGAAGTTTCTAAAACCATTCTCTCTAAACCAATAATTCTTTTTTTTTGCTCTTCTATTGTCTTATAAAAATAACTCAGTTTTACATTTATATATATGAGAAAATACTTGGCTTTCAAATGATATATCTGGTCCATTTGGGTGCTTTAGGTTATAACTAGCTATAAGAATATCTTTCAACTTTTTTGACGTATCTTCCATTTTACATGCTACAAACAGACATGCAGCTGCTGTATCCTGTTGATATTAATTATTTCTTTGATTTATGAAAGTATTACTACAATATATGAAAACTCTGACATAGGATTGAATAAATGAAATCGATGATATATTATCATTGCACTTCCGATAGTTCGTATAGGGCTGTTAAGTATATTAGTACTTAATTTGATCAGAAAAAACGCAGAAACAGACAATTTCATACTCCTTCCAACATGATATATCCATGTGCATGCTTGAAACCTGATTTGAGTCTCTTTACTCTCAGAAAGTGATGATGATCGGGAACTGGCTGATAATGAAGCAACTTGTTTTGTAGAAAAATATGGCCATGAAAGCTGTACTGCAACAGGATACTTGTCATCATTAAAAGGCAATTCTTGTGTGTCTGAAGCTGAATATGCCATTTTTCTTCAAATATTTAATTTAATATCTTATCTAAATCTTATTTTAAAAACTAATTTGCATTAATAAACACTTACAAGTCATATATAGCCATAAATAGACAATATTTTTATTTTTTATATCGTATTTTTCTTACTTTAATATGTATAATATGTAAATATATGTATAGAAAGATACTTATAATACAAAAAATGTTCTTACGTATCGTGATTAAATTTAAGTTTTAAAACTTTAAAAAAATAAACATATATTTATTCAAAAATACGAACTAAAATTTGATTTTTTATAAGGATAATTCCTTTCTTTGTTTCAGGATGTTTTTTTGTTTTTTTTTTGTTTTTTTTCTTTCTGTTTTTGCTGTTTTGCAAAATATACAAAATATACAAAAAACAGAGCTTCCAGTTGTCATATGGCATGGATTGGGCGATAGCTATAACTCAGAGGGAATGCAAGAAATTATTGATATTCTTTCTGAATTGTTAAATACATACGTTCATTCAGTTTATTTAGATGAATATTCTTTGAATGATAAAAATGGCGGATTTTTTGGAAATGTTAATGATCAGGTTATTAATGAGTATTATTAGTTGAATAGGAGTTTCTGAAAATGACTAAAGGTTGATTTTGTATCACAACAGCTATCGAGTATTGAAGAATTGAAGGATGGATTTAATGCTATTGGGTTTAGTCAAGTACATTTGTTGCTATAAATTTAACTATAGCTGATTTTTATAGGGTGGATTGTTTTTGAGGTTTTTGTTTTAGATTTGTGATCTATCTAATTTTATAGAGCATATATTGAACGTTATAATTTGCCTCCGGTTGTTAATTTTATTACATTTGGTACCCCACATAGTGGAATATCTGATTTTTATTGCCCCCCTGGTGTTTATATTTGTAAAGCAGCGAGCTATCTAGTTAAACATGGTTTATGGTCTCATTGGGTAAAAACTAATATTGTTCCTGTGCAATATTACAAAGTTTTTCCATTTCAATGGAGATATTAAATTGATATTTTTCTTTTAGGATCCTGAGAATATGGATGATTATTTGGAACATAATTCCTTTTTGGCTGATATTAATAATGAAAAAGAAGCTAAAAATGCTACATATGCTAAAAATTTAGCTTCATTGAATAATTTTGTTATGGTTGAATTTAAGGATGATTTTCTAATTATACCAAAAGAAAGCTGTGTACTGATAATGTTATTTTTTTATACTTTCTAATTTAAATAGGGTTTTAATGATTATAATAGTCTAACAAATGAAGTTATATATTTAAGAGATAGGCCAATATATCAAGAGGACTGGATAGGTCTCAAATTGCTCGATGAAAAAAATGCACTTGTTCATATAACAATCCCTGGAAGACATGTATATATAATACTTTAACTAATATTTTAAAAATTAATCTCTTTAAGATGGAATTAGATTATAAAGTTCTTATATATATTGTCAAAAAGTATTTTGCGGGATCTGTCGAGTCCGAAAACGCTATTCAATGGCAGTCAGAAGATATGTATTAAAGGGATTAGATTGGTTTTGAAATAATAAAATAATATTTAATAACTCTTTAATGAACACTATGTTTCTTCATCAATATAAATATTCAGGGGATGATATATTTAATATTTTGTTTTTGTGGAATGACAACTTTTTGCATTATTTTTTTTGTTTTTTATTTTTTTTTAAATCGTTATCTAATATATTTTCATGATGTCTTTTTTTCTGTATATTTTGTATAGGTTGAGAGTTTTCTGAGCTTTCCTCTATTTCGGAATTTTTTTCATTTGAATCATTGAGCTTTCTTTTTTTGTTTTCAGTTGTAGTTACTAAGGATGTCTCTTTAACTTTATCGACGTCTGGATCAAAAACATTCTCATTAATCCATATGGGTAAGGCAATACTCTCGTTTGTTTTAATGTGAAATCCTCTTATACCTTTCCATTTGTCTTTAACAAATTTTTCAGCAAGTGTAGTTGTAATGATTTGAATATTTTCCGCAATTTGCTCCGGTGTTTGACAAATTGCACCACATTTTATACTTGTACATGTCCCAGGGGACAAATGGAGATACGTTGAGCTATATGCTTTTTCTACTTCTTTGAGGAGATGTTCTGGTGTGGATTTTGTCGCTAAATCAATTGGAATTGGCTGTCGTTTTTTTTCATAAAATACTTTTCCTAAAAGTTTTGGGAGTAACGGGATTACTCGGTCATCTGCTAAAAATAGGTCATATGAGTCCCGGAGCACTCTTCTTTGTTCATAAGATTTGAATTTTTTTCGCAATTTAGATACGCCGACTACTTTTGTAACACGTGTACTTAATTTTGCAGATACAACCAAATCCTTATAAAATCGTTGGGGATCTTTTACAATTAAGCAGCATTCACTGTCTGGGCTAATGATAGGGTGTTTTAAGACACTATAATATTGAGTAAAAAAAATATAGAAAAATTATTTGATATACATTTTTGATGGTTTGAGCCTTTTTTTGTCAACAATAAATGTTTTTGTAGTTAAAATAACCCATACTGATAATGAATATCTTAGATCGGATTCATCTAAAGCTAAAATATTTTGTTTTTTTTGTTTTTTTTTTTCTATTGATTTAACATACTTTAAAAGCACTCTAGATGCATTTTCTGCCTAGAAAAACATACAATGTTACAAAATAGATATAAATAAATTTAAAAACATACTTGTGATTTAATAATTTCTCTTTGTTTTTCCATTTTTTATAAAATCTTTTTTTTTGAAAATTTGAAGTTGATCGGACTGAATCTAGACGTTCAAAGATTGATTGCTCGAGAATGTTAAAGTGTTAAGGTTTCAGTAAGAATTTGAGGTTTGTGATATCTAAAAATATATAAAGTAATAAAAATATGGTTTTATATTAATTGTTTTCATAAATGTTTTTTTTTAAAAAAAACAAATAATTTTTAAATATCTTTAAAAAAGTTTTATTTAAAAGAAATCTTAAAATTATATTAACAGTTATGAAATTGTTTGAATATTTTATTGACAATTATTTTTATTGAAAACGAGACAATTTTTTGTTTTAAAAAACAGAGTTCTGTGTAAGTTTATTGTTTTTTATAAAATGGGTTTATTAATATTATTATTAGATACGGTTGTTTTTATTTTTTGAAGTAAGATAATGGGATTGCTTAGCTCAGTCTTTGAAAGTATTCGCTTGAAAGTTTCATTTCCTAGAATAGCATTCTATGATGAAAGGAATTCACTTTTTTTGGATCTTGCGTATATTACAGATAATGTCATTGTGATGTCTCTTCCTGCTTTATCGTTTCCAAAGAAAATATATAGGAATGATCTTAAGGATGTTCTTCGGTTTTTGGAACAAAGGCATCCTGGGCAATGGGCAATTTTTGAATTTTGTAAAGAGGGCACAGGATATTCTGATAAAGATTTCCTTTTTAAAGGTTTTTGTTTATGCATTTATTTTTTGATTAATAGTTCTTAGTTTTTCATTATCCCTTGTATATTAATTTTATTTTAATATATTTATTAATGAAATATAGTCCTGATCATCAGCCTCCTCCCTTTCGAATAATACCAGAAATTATTGATTTTTTATCAAGACATATACAGAACTCCGAAAACAATGTTGCAGTTCTTCATTGTAAAGCTGGGAAGGGACGATCTGGTATGATTGCATGTTGTTATTTGGTTTCAGAAGATAATTTAACGGTGAATTCTGCATTGTCTCGGTTTACACAGGCTCGTATTCAAAAAGGATATGGAGATGGAGTTACTATTTTGTCTCAAAAACGATATGTTTTTTATGTTGAAAAATGGGTTGCAATGGGGAAAAAGTATCAAGAGTTGGATGTTTCTATTTTATGGCTTAAAATTTTGGGTGTAAATAAGAAAATTGGTTGTAAAATTTATGGATATAATAACGATAACACAATAGAATGTCTTTACACATTTCTTCCACCAGAAATAGTAATAAATAACACAGTAATGGTTTGCACACCAACGATAGAGCTTATTTCTAAAGCAGATATCTGTCTCGAAATTTATTATCAGTATAAATTTAAAAGAACACTTTTAAAGGCTCGTTGTTGGTTTAATGTTTTTTTCGAAAAATCAAGAAATAGAAATGATGGATTTTTTTCAATTGAGTTTCAAGAGTGTGACTGTTTAAAGAAAATTTATAAAGATGAATTAAAATTATTTGATAAGCTTATTTTAAAGTGGAAAATTTTATAAATTTATTTTATAAGATATTATTATACCATTTTTCTATTTTAAAAAGTTGGAATCAGAGTGATACAAAATTGGTTTATATAAGGATTTGTTTTTTATTTAAAGGCTAAATTTTTTTATTTAAAGGCTAAATTTTTTTATTTCACGCACGTAACTGTTTAATAGAAAACGCGAATTATCGAGATTCAAGAAAAAACAATTTAAGAAAAAAATAGAAAATACATAAAGTTAAGGTTAATTTTTCCCTGTTGCTCTTTATAAATTATCAATTGGTGTTTTTAGTTTATAAAAAGTTTTTTGAATTGAGCAAATCGCTTAAGATAGTATATTATTGTTATATTGGATATGATACCTGATATATTATCATTAACTTTGGCAACTGATGATAAGTATAATGGAGATTCTTTTGGTATTACCGAGTCTATGAAGGATGAAGAAATAAAAATGATTCGATCTTCTAATGATTGTGTTCAAAAATTGCGAGTAAGCATTTGTTTTTGTAAATATTTTAGGTTATAATTATGGTTGCAGGAAAATGTCGAAGCTGGAATGGCTATGGATGATAAAAAAATTGCTCGTTTAAAATTTCTCTTAGAAAAATCTAAAATTTATACCTTAATTCTTAGTGAAAAATTACAAAAACAACAGGTTTTGTGTAATGAAATAAAAAAAAGACTAAAATCTTCTGAAAAAGAAAAAGAGAAGATGAATAGTAAGTTCGCTGACTCCAGTTTATCGGGTTATTCCGGATTTTACGAAAAACAAGAGGGAAATATTTCGAAATTTGCTAAGAATAAAATTTTAGTAAAAAATAAAAAAGTTATTGATAAATCTAAGACTGCTCATGGGAATTACAGTATTACAGATTATTTTACTAAAAAGGTTCGTTTTGTGTATAAATTATTCATTTTAATATATAAACAGGAAATAGATGATATTGTTTCAGCAAAGTCTGTGACAGAGATATTACATGAAACTGAAATTGAAAATAATAAATTTAAAAATTGTTCTGATGCTAATCCTTCTGAAACGTCATTTACTTTTGTTTCTCAGCCAAAATTAGTTACCGGATGTGTTTTACGTGATTATCAGCTTGCTGGTGTAGAATGGTTAGCATCACTTTATGAAAATGGTTTGAATGGAATTCTTGCAGACGAAATGGGTTTAGGGAAGACGCTTCAAACTATTTCTTTCTTGGCTTTTTTACGTGAAAAGGGAACGTATGGACCTTTTTTAATTGCTACGCCTTTGTCTACTATTAGTAATTGGGTTTCTGAGTTTAAAAGGTATTTTATATTCTAAAATAGTGAAATTGTTTATTTTTTAGATTTACTCCTGAAATTCCTGTTCTTTTATATCATGGATCTAAACAAGAACGTTCTGATCTTCGAAAAAACAAAATGGGAGCTGTACATCCTGATTTTCCTATTATTGTAACTTCCTATGAAATAATTATGAATGATAGGCAGTATTTGAAGCATTATCAATGGAAATATATCGTAGTTGATGAAGGGCATCGTATTAAAAATCTAAATTGTAGATTGATTCGTGAACTTAAAGGTTATGATTCTGCAAATAGACTGCTTTTAACGGGAACACCTCTTCAGAATAATTTAACAGAACTTTGGAGTTTACTTAATTTCCTTTTGCCCGATATTTTTGACGATTTGGATTTGTTTCAAAGCTGGTTTGATTTTTCTGCATTTCAAGATAAGAATCAAAATACATTGTTTCATGATATGGATATAATATCTACTCTCCATTGTATTTTGAAACCTTTTCTTTTACGTCGTTTAAAAGCTGATGGTTATATTTAAGTATTTTTTGTAAAAATTAATATATTATAGTGGAGCAATTTGTTTCAAAAAAGAGGGAATATATTCTTTATGCCCCTATGACTGTTTATCAAAATGAACTTTATAATGCTATTTTAAATAAAAATATTCAGAATAAATTAATGGAAAAGAATCTTGATTTTGCTGACAATCTATCTTTAAAAGCTGATGATGAGGATTTATCTATTCAAGATTCTCGTCCTTCAAAATATCTTAAACTTAGCCGGTTTGTTCCTCGTAAAACTCGGTCTAAGATTTCATATTGTGAACTAAGCGATGATGAATCTCTTGATCGTTTAGATAAATTCGTATCTAAGGGAGATGTAATTAAACGCGAGCATTCGTATAAAGAAAAGCACGGTATTTGTTTTGTTTTTTTTTTTTTATATTTTTAATGATTTTAGAAAATCATATTTCTCAATTAAAATTGCAGAATCTTGTCATGCAATTGAGAAAAGTATGTAATCATCCTGTAAGTATTTTTTTTTTTGAGTATTTTTTTATTTTTATTAGTATATGATAGATTTTCCTACTCATCTTAATACAAATGAATTTTTAATTGATGAAAATATTGTGAATATGTCAGGAAAAATGTTGCTATTACGACGTCTTCTTGTTGCTCTTTTTAAAGATGATCATAAAGTTTTAGTTTTTAGTCAATTTTCGAAAATGCTTGATATTATTGAACTATGGGCTGTTGATATACAGAAGTGGGAAATATGTAGAATAGATGGTCTTACTAAGCAGAATGAAAGGAAAGAACAGATAGAAGAGTTTTATAAAAATCCAGATATAAAGTTATTTTTGCTATCTACTAGAGCAGGAGGGTTAGGTATTAATCTTACAGCAGCTGATACTGTGATTATTTTTGATTCGGATTGGAATCCACAGCAGGACCTTCAGGCTCAAGATCGAGTTCATCGTATTGGTCAAACCAAGGTAATTAGCTTTGTTCATTTAAATTATTGATTATTTTAGCCAGTTATTGTATATCGTTTGATTTCTGCAAATACTATTGAGAATAAAATATTAGAAAAGGCTAATGCAAAACGGCGCCTTGAAGAACTTGTTATTCAAAAGGGCAAATTCAAGTCGCTTATGCCAACTTTATTTTCTAAAAATGATATAGAAGAGCTATCTTCAATGCTTTTATCTGAAGATCCAAAGAAAATCATTTTAGAAGAGGGAAATGATGAAATTCTTTCAAATGAGGATTTAGAAAGTCTTTTAGATAGAAGTGATGAAGCATATTTGAATTTAGAAAAGAAAAATATTACATGTGTAAATTATAGATTTGTAGATTAAAAGTTTATAAAAGTTTATAATATGTATTGTAAGTCTATTCGGGAATATGTTTATATTAAGTTTGTGTAAATAGATTATGACTAGTATTTAGTGTTTTTAATTCGCGTCTAAGCATGCTATAAAAACTTTCAAAAATTATTTTATCAATTCCTTTGATCCATATAATTTTTAAAGATACTGCATTCTTTGTGTTATTTTTTGACATTATTTCCAAACGGAACTTAAAATTTATATATGAGTTTTCAGTGGTTATTTTAGAATTTTGTCTTCTAGCTGATCTTGACCATATATTTCCGGGTGTCTCTCCGTTTCCAATATATTCATTGTCCCATACAAAATTAATGTTAAATTTATTCATAATATATGTAATTTTTTGTTTTAAAATCTCAGTTCTAATGTCTAGTTTAATATCTACCATTGTTAATGAAGAACTTAAATGTATCAGTGACTTTGCTAATGGACGAACATAATGCTAAAAAAATTAGCTGCAATTAATAATAAAGGCAAAAACATTAGGTGCTCTTATATCCATAAATGACCATCCTACAACCCAACGACGTGTATTACCTCCAACAGGTAGTTCACTCAAAACATAGTTATCTATCTGATATTTTTTAGAAATATACAATTATAAATTATTTAGTTTGTACCTGCATTTCTCTAAACAATTCTATAATTTTTATAACACTTGAAAGTTTTCCTAACATACTGGTATACCAATTTACACGTTCTTTGAGGAAATAACTTTCTTTAATTATTTTTTTAACAAAGCCAACTTCTCCTCCAGGAGTAACCATTTCTGTCAATGAACCAGTACATGACTACAATAAATTATGAATTAATTATAAGTTTGGAAAAAATACGCTGAATGGTTTTTTTGATTTTTGCTGAGAAGATGCTATCATTTCTTCTTTTGAGGTATAAAATGGAGGATTACACATACAAAACTTTATACTAGTGAATATAAGGTATGCTTTGGATACAAAATAACAATAAACTTTGATATATTTAATTCGTCTAGTGGTATTAAAGTTAAATATTTTGTTGAATCAATTATTTTTATTCGATTATCTAAACCGTTTCTTGTAACATTCTTTTGTGCTAATTCTAATGAGAATTTATCAATATCTAAAAATAAACTTTTAAATTTATAACCGTTTTAATAGAAAAAATACCTGTTGCATAAAAAAACCAGTTTGGTCTTTGAGAACATCCTAATAGAGGGTATATACATGTAGAACCTGTGCCTCTAGACATAAATATGTCTTAAATAGTTATAGAGTATTTACATATCGAATGCAAGAACTTTTTGTTCTTCTTGATTGTAACTAACAAAATCGATTAACTCTTGGATCCACAAAATATATGCAAATCTTTTAATATTGGTACATAAGAATTGGAATATATATATATATACCTGTTAGGAATCTAATCCTTGTTATTGTTATTATTTAAATTGTTTCACTTACAGGAGGACATAAACGTTCTTCATGCAAAAAAATGTCAATTTTAAAATCTTTCTTTAATAAACATTTTGTGACTTCTCTAATAAATTGTTATTAATTTGCATTTTAGTATTTACAAGATAAAAACCTTAACGCCGCTGGATCTTTGAAATTAATACGAGATTGATTGTCAACACTAATTTCTTAAGGTAAAAGTAAATATTAAGATATTTTTATTTACAAAGGCTTTAAAGATGGATAATTTTCTGCTAATTCTGCAAAATTAGGCGGTTCATCAATATAGAAATTACGATATTTCATTAAATTTAATCCTGTATCGAAAATTGATGTAAAGTGAAAAATATATTTATAATTTATAAAATAAATAAATATTTTCAAACTTTGTAGTTTTATTACTTATATATTTTATATAAAACTTAAATATTAGATGTATTAAAAAAGTAGAATATTTCGGTTTATTAAAATAATGAATAATGGTTTTGTTGAAAAGTAAATACATTTAAATTTTAATGATAGTCTTACCAATATGTTTGGGATGTAAAAATATGTGGTAAATGCTGAATTAGGTGTCGGAGATACAAGATGGATATATAAATAATAAGGATATTTGAAAAATAGAAAAGAATAAATAAGTTTAGTCAATGATTTCTTCTATTTCTTCGGATATAACACTAATAAAAGTAAAAAAAACAATCATATAATTTAGAAAAAAAAACTTACATTTCAATAACTTTTTCTATATATTTTTCTTTCTTTTCGTCTTTCGTATCTGTAATGATTCCACGTTTTTTCTTTTCTTTTTCTAAATTAGCTACCACTTTGCTTCTCCATGTATTCCATTCTTCGAGTAACCGTTTACGATAAGCAATAAGTTCTTTATTGGCCGTACTTTGCTCTTGCATATCTTCTTCTTCAAATTCGCGAGAATAATCTCTTAGTTTTTTTCGAATCTTTTTTTGTTGCTCTTTTGATAAGAGTGTTGGAGGACGAGGACGCCATAAAAGTTGTTTAAATCCTTCAATATGTTCTTCACGTAGTAATAAACCTTTAAAATCCCAAAGACAATAGCCATTTTCCATCTAAAATAAGTTATATCCTAAAGATTATAAAATAGTTAAACATACTCTATGACGCCAAGTAGAGGCACTTGTAACTACATATCTTCCTGATGGGTCCCATTCAATATCTGTTACACCGTAATGTTCAGCCGTTCCCATTAGTTGTAAATTAGCATTTAGATCTTTATCTGAATCTTTTTTTTCGCCTTCATAATTTAGGTCCCAAAATTCTAGGTCAAAGCTAGTAGCATTTCCTAAGGTTGCTATTAGAATAAAACGACCGTGTGGTGCCCAATAAAGGCCATTGCATGTTTTTTTGTCAAAAGTTCCTAGACTTCATCTAGTATATTTTTAGATTAAGGATTTGCTTACTAAGTAATTTGAAGTTCCCACTAGATCCTTTTGATTTCTCTGTACAATAAAACGATAGTGAATTTTTGGTATTGATTAATGGTCCTTGATTAAAATTGGGGTCGTTTGTTGTAATTAAGGCAAAGCGGTCTCCATTAGGCTCCCATGCAAAATTAATGACCATATCTTTAATTTCAATAACTTCAACTGGAATATTTTTTTCATTAATTCGAAATATTTCAAGATTGGTAAATGTTGATTTTTTTGTCTTTGTATGTCGATCTACCTTTACACATAAAAGTTCGCCCTGCGATTGCCAATGAAGTTTACAATCAGAAACATTAAATAGATTTTTTGTTCTAACTGTTTTTTTAGAAGGAATACTCAATAAGCCCGTACGTGCGGGTTGATTATTAATTTCGGGTGTCCAGTAACATAGCAAATGTTCTTGGTTTTCTTTTTCGTAATCTAACTTTGAAGGAGACCATTCAAAATCAACAATACCTTCTATTTTTATACTTTTTTTCCCAATAAGAGTCATGCTTGGTGTTTCATAAATTGAAATTTGTTGTCCCGGTGTTACTTTTGCAAAGTAACGGTCATCTGATGACCATTTATATATGGGCCATGTTACTTTCCTAGGATGTTCATCTGTATCTGTATTAGATGATGCTGTTGTACTAAAGGATTTTAATAGTGTTCCCGTTTTTATATCCCATATTATAATGCATTTCCCTTCATCTTCTGATTCAAAAGTAAGTTTTCCTGGATGACCTTCAGGATAAGAAGGAATAGGATCATTTGACCATGTTACAAGGTACTTTTCGCATGGACTGAAGTCTATAAGTTTGACTGAAGGATGAGGAAAGCGTGCAATTTTCCCCCATGACTCACCACCCCAAAGTTGAATTCCAGGACGGTGAAACGATGCTAGGTATGTTCCGAGAGGAGACCATTGAACATAAGTTTCTGTCCAGTTCTGGAAAAATTAAGAAAAAGAAACATGTATTATAATGGAAATACTATGCGATTAATAATTGGTTCTGGAGTTTCAGATTTCTGGTTCCAGTAAACACCAACATCGTCTCCTTTATACATAACCCACTGGTCTCTGGCTTTCGAGTCAATTAGCCAGCTTTGAAGATTTTTCTAAATAAAATGATTAGAAAATGTAAAATAAAAGATAAAAAGTTACATCTTCACATGTTTTTTCTTCTGGAGTTTCTTTATATTCTTCATCAAAATTTAAGGCTGTTTCAATATCTGTAAATTTGTTCACAAGAAATGTATGTGCTTTGTCTAGTTTTTTGCCATTAAATGTTTTGACCGCTACATCTGCTTGTTGTGGATTTTCATATTCCATAAAAAGATACCTTGAAAAATGTAAGATGGGCTGCTTTACAAAATAGATGTAATACCCTTTAGAAAAAAAGGTGCCGTTCTTGTTTTCCATAGGCATAAAAATTCCATTATCTTTGATTTTCCCTACACTTGAAAATTGCCTTTCTAAAATTTTAAGAAGTGCTTCTCTTTTTTCCTGTGGAACTTGAGGAATTCCATCCACTACAATCAATGATCTGAAATCTTGTTCAAATGTAACATTGTACTTTGCTTCTAAATCGGAAAAATCAATCATATCATCAATAGATGAATCTATTCTATCTTTCACGTGTCCTGTATAGTCCATCTTGTTGTTTTCTATCTCATTATCATTCTTTTTTGTGCTAGTAACACTTCCATTAAAATTAAACAATGTCTGCTCTAAATTGTCTTGTTCTTTTTGAGAAATGGATAGATCTATTTCATTTTCTGATGTACTGTGCATCATCCGCGTTTTAAGCGTAGAATGAGTGCTTTCTGCTTCAAAATTCTTTTTTTTGTAGATGAAAAAGCGCTTTTATAATCTTTACGTTTAATTTGATTGTGTTCCTTATATTTGTTAGGGTTATGTAGAGATATAATAGGGGTTAGGTCTGTGTAGTTTGTAAAAAACGTTGGACAGTAACGTTATTAAAAAAACGTTGAGTTCTGGAAAAGGATTTTCTTGTCTTTGAGTAAAATTCTATAATATTTGATTAGATCGGTTTCTATTGTAATATTTTTTGAAGTGAAACTGAGTTTTAAAAGAGTTTATATTAGGTTTTTTTATTTATAAAAAGTTTTTATTGCGAATTTTTTCTTTGAAAAATGGATAATAAGCAGCCTGTAAAGCTGGCAAAGGTGACCAAAGTATTGGGTCGGACAGGAAGGTATGATATAGTTGAATATGAAGGGATAATTGACTAGGATAGTCGTGGTGGAGTGACCCAAGTACGTGTTGAGTTTATGGATGATACGACAAGAAGTATTATTCGGAATGTTAAGGCAGGAGCTGTATATTGAACAGGAGTACAGTCTGTTTAACAGAGGAATAGGGGCCGGTTCGAGAAGATGATATATTATGTTTATTAGAGTCAGAAAGAGAAGCACGTAGATTAAGATAAATGGTATAAAGTGGTATCATGAGCAGGAAATAGCCAGTTCTCCTACTTAGTAAATGTAAGAATGGAGGGGTTAAGATATGTTGGTAGTTTATACTTATAGGTTTCTTTTCCAAAAAGAAATAATTGTATTTAATGTTTTAAAGATATTTTTGTAATTTTTTGCATTTGTTTGAAAAATGTTTTATTCCTGTTTACGCCCATTGGTGGATAACCAATATCGTAAAAGCTGATCGCCATATTGCTGCATTTCTTTAAGTGGAATCATAAGTCGGAAATCATTCATTAATAGGAATTGTAGTTCAAGATGATTAAGTTCAGATAAAGGTAATCCGCCAACCTGTATTGTATAAAGATGTTATTTATGTGGATGACTATAATATTTTACCTTTGCATATCGGGAATTTGTATAAAAAATATCGCTAAAGAATTTGGAAGCAACTGTAATACCAGCAATAATTAGCCGATGAATATTATAACTATCAATAGTAAAAGTAGGAATTGGTTCACTCCTTGAAGAAATTCGAGACAGCTTGCTGTTAGACTGTTTACTCATACGATCAAAGTAAACAAGAAGACTAAGAAAAACTTCATTGGTTGTTGGACAATATTTTAGAATACGGACAAGATAAGCATGGATTGATATTGACGGTATATTCCTTGCGTGAAATGAAAGCAAAAGAATAGAATTAGGTGATTGTGAAGTAGATAATCGATAACTATGAACATGGTGAAGATGATCATTTGATTGTGTAATTTTAAGAAGAAGAGACGAAAGCATTTGAAGAATATTCTGTATAGGATGATTAGCGATATCAAGATGATGTGTAACTCTTGGAAGTGCTGATGGTAAAGAAACTTTGGGTGTAGCCATAAGATGTAATGGAGTTGTTTCTATCGTACTAGGCTGTGCTATTATCGATGGATATTTTGTAGCAAGACGATGTGTTCGTCCATGATGTACTGAATGAGGTTTTTCATGTTGTTCCTCATTGTTTGTAAATGATGTTAAATGAAGAAGTTCTGTATTTGTATGATGCAGTACATCTACATTGGTTGAATGCCGCATTACAAGTGTTGTTGGTTTGATGTTTTTTTTTGAAAACTTTGAGCATGCTTCCTCTTGACGACGTTCTGTATATGAATAATTTATTTTTGGGGATTCTGAGTCAATAATAGTGGTCATATAATTGACCGTTTTGCGTTTTTTCTGATAATTAGAAATTCATGTTTTTTTTGTCTAAAATGATTATTTTTTTTGGAAAAAAAAGTATATGGTTTCAGTATACGTCTTTGATGAAAAATATTAATAATAACGCTTTGCTATTTGTTTTTCAATCTTACAATTTCAATTTTTTATTTTTGGCTTCGTTAACTGCTTCGGATCAACCCTATATATATCGAATTGAATCTTTTAGAGAAATATATAAATGTGGTGGATAAAAAAAAATATGAAATGGGTTATAGATTTTAATAATATTGATAAAATGTTTAATTTTTTAAATTTCAACATTTTTTAAGAAAAATATGATTTCAGTGTATTTTAAGTAGAGTTAGGTTATTTAAGAATTGTTAAATGTGGGTGTCTTAAAGACAGAAAATATGGCAACGGTATAAGGATGGAAAAGGTATTTATATTCTAGTGGTATTTTTTTAAAGATTTGGTATTGTATTGTCTTCTTGAGAAAAGAAAAGACGTTCGATGTTATCTTTTGTAATAACCACCATTCGAATGACTCCTCTAAAGATAAAATGAATATAAACATCGTGTAAATAATAGTGATATTACCCGCTGCTTCCATCTCTTTTTATAGCAAGAGATACAGCTATAATTATAAGTATGGAAAAATAATTTTATTATGAATACCTTCTTTAAGAAATTTAATCCCCTCTTCTTTGGACATATTGGGAGTAAAGTTTTTGTCGCAGAATCCATATATATACTAATAAATTGAGCAAAAGAATGTAAAAAAAATGGTATTTGTACACTAGATCCTGATCCACCAATAGCAATATTTTGTTGATGAATGCTGCCTCCTAGTGGGATTGAATACACTTCTCCTCCTTTTTTCTGATCATAGCCTGCAATAATAAGGCCTGCTGAAAGGAAATTTTTATTTTGGTAGCAAATTTCTGATGCAAGGTTTGCTGCTATTTGGACACTGGGTACTTGATTATTTTGGATTCTAGAAAATATTATTTAATGAGAAATATGTGTATTTTTTGTACGTATAAAGAGATAAGTAATAACGCAAAACGTCAGCAATGGCTTGTGTGTCTAATATAATAAGTAAAGTAATGGAATGAAAAACTGTCTTTGCCTGCTGCTGAGCCTGAACGGCAGCACCAAATTTTGTCATATAGCTTTGTAAGTTTATCTGATACTCTATTTACAATCATTTGGCCTATTGTTGTGCGAGAGTCAGCTGCAATAATTACACCTTCCGCAAATTTGATAGCAGTGATCGTTGTCCCTAGCTGAATTTCTTCCATCTAAATAAATTAGAAACCGTAAACATATAATTATTTTACTTTTGTGTTATTTGTTTTTGTTCTTAGACTTGATATAGTTTTTTATAGATTTTAGCTGTATTGCACGTTGCTTCGTTGTATATTTGAAAGTAGAAATTTAATAAGGTTTAAATTTTTGAAAAGAAATATAGAAATTAGTAGAATAAGTATTTTTGATTAGCAAATGTTTATGAATTTTTTTAAGTTATAGAATCTTTGGTTGATATATTTTTATATAAAGATCTTTTGTTTTAATGAAATGATGTCTATATGTTTTATGTTATTTTTAAATAATGTAAATGTTTTTCCATTAGTTTATTTTATCTGTGATATTAATTATATGATTAATTGTATATAAAGTTTTATGAATTTTATTTGGTTATTATGGATATAGATTTGTTTTAAAAATGAGAAAATTATATATAAATTAATTAAATGTTTTTATAAGTCAGTTTTTAATTAATATTGTGTTTTATTGGAATTTTGTTTATTTGTTTTTATTTATTTTTTTAAATATTAAAAGATTAAAAAATATTGGGATATTTGATTTATGAAAGTTTAAGAATTTTACGAAAATGTAATAATACATTTATATTTTATATTTTTTTAATTGTTTTTAATTTTTTTTTCTTGATTTCAATTGTTTTTAATAAAGAAATTAGATATCAAATAGATACATATGTTGTTTTATTATTTGGAAAGTATTTTAAATATTTTATTATTGATAGGTGAAAATATGGAAGACATGCTTTTCATATGTTTTTAAATGTACTTCTTGAAAGTAATAGATATTCAGAATTATTGTATATTTAATTTTATTGGTTTTGTAATTTGAAAGAGAAATTATAATGTTTTTAAATATGAATATAGTTTATTAAATACGATTATATAAATTTTCTTTTTTTGTCTAAATATTAACCTTGAACCTTATAGTTTTAGAACAACATATGGAAAGTAGTAATTATAATTGTTTTATGAATTTATTTTAGATTAGAATAAATTTTTTATTTTTAGTTATTTAAATCTTAAAATTTATATTTTCGTATTTTTCAATAAAAAAGCATTTTGATAAAGACATTTGTTTATGATCAATATATTAAATTAAATTATATTTGTATTTTATTAGAGTTATTTTGGTCTATAGAGTTCGTAATGATCAGCTATTTTGTGAAATGGATTTTTTAAAAATAACTATTACTTTTTTAATAGGAAGTAAGTTTATTTATTTTTGTAAATTGATTTATGTTGTAGTTATAACTTTTACCATTATTGTTATTTATTGTCTACAATGCCGTTTGATTTATTTATCATGGGTGCCTTTGAATTCTCGTAGCTGGGTAGGAAGACCAGATTCTTATCAGATTCCATACGAAGATCTTACATTATCTACTCCTGACGGCGTCACTCTTCATGCATATCTTTCTATTTATGACAATTCACATTGCACTTTTATTTATTTTCATGCTAATGCAGGCAATATGGTTTTTTTTTTTTTTTGGAATTGTTTTTGGTCTGATTGTCAATAAAGGGACACCGTCTTCCCATAGTCAAGCGTCTTTATTATGATCTTCAATGCAATGTTTTGATTTTTTCTTATCGAGGGTTTTTTCTTCCTCTAGATTTTGATTTATGTTATTTATGATTTTAGATATGGATATAGCACTGGAACTCCTTCTGAAAACGGTATTATAATTGATTCTTTAACTATTCTTGACTATGTTTTCCGACATCCAATACTTTCAAAAACTCCAATTGTTGCATATGGTCAATCTCTTGGTGGTGCTGTTGCTATACAAAGTGTTTTTACTAGTCAAGACAAAGTTATTTTATATATAGATATTTTCAATAATTAATTTTCATACAGTATTCGGGGCTTATTCTTGAAAATACATTCCTTTCTATACCTAAGCTTATGTTAGAGTATCAGTTTTTTCGTTTATTTTTCATCTATTTAATAAATTAACAGCACAATGCCTTATATGGCTTTATTCAGAGGGCTTTGTCATCAGCGTTGGTCATCGCAAGATAGGATTTCTTGTATTAAAAATATTCCTATTCTTTTTTTGTCTGGTCAAAAGGATGAAGTTGTACCTTTTCATCACATGCTTACTCTTTATCGTCTTTCTTCTGCAAAAAAGGTTTTAAAAGTTTTTCAAAATGGGAAACACAATGATACGGTTTTTTTCTTCATTTTGTATATTTTTTCTTATTTCTTCAGGTTATTCAGCCTGGTTATTTTGAAGCAATTGCACAGTTTTTAAAAGAAAATGGTTTATCATCTACTGTTCTTTGACATGCAACTTTTATTAAATATACTTTTATAGCATTCTAAATAATTTTTTGTATAATTGTGTTATTTTATTCTGTTTATATCTATTTATTTATTTATAAAAAGTAAATATGTTTTTTTAATTTTTTTAATGCTATTAATTTTTTTAATTTTTTTTGTACCGCTTTAAATATCATTAAAATACGAAATGACTGAGAATAGTCAAAATCCAACAGTTACATATGAAAAAACTGATAAAAGAGGAGCAACTTATTTTTCTGGGAAAAGATTTTGTAAAAGATTCTTTTCTAGCAATACTTCAGATGAAATACCATTAGCAAGCTTTTTGTACGTAATATTAAATAAATTTATATTTTGACAAAATCCAGATCATCAACAGTGAATTTACTTAATACGATTATTAGTAATATTATCTTTCTTTCATTTTTATTACTTATGTTTGATAGGCGCTGGAGTGTTTGGTAAGAATGTATTTTTGATACAGTTAGCAACTTATATTTTGATTTGATTAGCTATGCCTTATGCTATGTCTTTGACAGGGGTTGTTCCGGGCATTTTTATTATTGTTCTTTCTGGCTTTACGAATGCTTTAGGTCTTTATTTTCTTTCGTGTTCTGCAGCAAAACTAGGACGTGGAGAAGCTTCGTTTAATAGTTTAGCAACTATGACGTTTCCTTCACTTGCAGTTGTGGTATGCATTTGTATATTTTTTAGTAATCTTTGACTTCTTAGTTTGATTTGGCAATTGGAATTCAATGTTTTGGCGTTTGTGTGAGTTATTTGATTTTGATTGGTGATGTTATGCCTCAGGTTGTACAAACGTTTAGTAGCAATGCATTAAAAGCATCATACTTAATTAGCCGCCATTTTTGGATTAGTGTTTTTATGTATTTTTTTCCAATCTTAATATCTATTACTAAAATGATAGATTCATTGTAATGCCGTTTACATTTTTCCGTCGATTGGATTCTCTTCATTATATATCTAGTGTTGCTATGGTTTCTATTGGTTATATGGTTATGGTTATTGTTGTATATTTTTTTCGAGAAAATGTTTGGAATACAGGTGCTGAGGTTCACTTTTTTAAAGGAAAAGGAGTTAGTGCATTGTTTTCTTCTATATCTGTTTTTACATTTGCTTTTACTTGTCAACAAAATGTAAGGTTTGAAAGTTTTTGGTATTCGTTCATAATTTTTTCAGATATTTTCTGTTATTAATGAGATTCGTGATAATAGTCATAAGAAACTTACATCACTTATTATTATATCTATTGGAATATCTGGTTTTATATATATTATTGTGGCTGTTTTAGGTTATCTTTCTTTCGGTATTTTTTACTGATTACAGGTTTATAATATTTATTTTATTTTTAGGTATCAATATTCCAGGAAATATAATCTTAGCATGTTTTTTTTCCACATTTTTATTTTTTTTTATAACTGCAATAGATAAGTATTCCATCCCTGTTACTATTGCAAGAATTGCAATTGTTGTCTTAATTACGTTTTCTTATCCTCTTCAAGTTTATCCATCTCGTGTAAGTTTTGATAAAGTTTTATTGTGGCGTCCTAGATCTCGTGGAACTGATAATAAATTACTAGCCTTTAGGTTTTTCATTGCTTTATATAAATAGTGTTAACGTTTATAGTGCTTTGCGATTTAATATTCTTACTTGTTTGATTCTCGTATTCTCGTATATTTTAGCTATGGCCATAAGTTCTTTTGAGAAAGTTTTAGCGTATGTTGGGTCTGTAGGATCGACTATAATTGCCTTTATTCTTCCTGGATTATTTTATAGTAAATTAGCGTATAAACCTGATGTTTTATATAACAAGAGCATCCAGAGTGATCAAGAAACTCAAGATAATTTGTACCTTTTACCAAAGAAAAGATTTACTAGAGTTTGGTATTTAGAAAAGGCTGCATTATTATTATTCATTTATGGGGTTCTTATCATGATAATATGTTTAATATCGAATATAATTCATAGTGTTCGAGATTCAAAGAAAATTACATAGTAATTAGTTTTATTATTAATATAACTATTTTTATAGAAATATATTATAAAGTTAGAAATTTAAAATAAATCGTTGTGTTGCAACTAGTTATTATGTACAATTGTTGATTATATAATATTGTATTTATTTCAAAGGACCTTTATGTATGGTAATTATAGGTATTAAACCATTTGGTATGTACGTTTTCGGATCCTTGATTTAAATTCGTTTTCATAGCTATCTAGAGCATTTTTTGATACCTTTATTTCTATATCTGACAATTTTTCATTTGAATTAGGTTGTGTTTCGGTACATGAATTATCAGATATTTTTTCTTTTATAATTTCATTTTTTGATTCTTCAGATTCTGCATGTTTAAGATTCGTGAGACAGATTACGTTTGTGTCAATTTCTGAAAGTGGTACTTTTCGCAATTGTTTAAGTATTTCTTCATGTGATTTTGTAAGTTTCCATGATGTTGGATATTCATAATTACATTTTTTCGGGGTTTTGCCTGTTAAAATATCCTTTTTTATCGGTACTGATAAGATTTTATCATAAGTTGTTACTATTTGGGAAACAATAGAATCTTTATGAAAATTATTTTCTAACTTTTGATTTTGAGTTAAATCGATAATAAAATGAGAATGTATATCGATATTTTCTTTAATGTTATTTATTTCTGTTTTTAATTTTTGATAAGAATTTTTAATATAATCAGATATGGAGTCATTATCTTTTATGTATGCATTATAATGAAGAGAGTTTTGTGATTGTGCTAAATTGAATATTAATATACAATATTTTTTTGTTTAAATGATTACCTTTAGAGAGTGTATCATTGAAAAGTTGTATTTGAGTATTTGTTTCTTGCATTTGAGCATCAGTTAGTTTGAGAATTTCTGAATAGATTGTTTGAGTATTGGTTTGAATAGTAGCTCCTTTATTATCAATATTCTAAATTTGTTAGTATTAATCTCATTTACATTTTAATAATACTTTTGCTGCTGATATGACATTATTTTTAATGTCATCTTTAGAGCTTATTAACTTTTTAATAAAGAGGTTCTCTTTTGCAGACCAAATATCAATCTTCCCTGAAAAACTAGAAGCTAGTTCGTTAATTTTATTGGAGACGTTATTTATATTTGATTGGGTATAATCAATTTGAGCAGCATATCGTTTGTTTTGAGCCTCGAAAAGATTATTAATAAGACATGATATATGAGCTACTAATTCTTCTTTTTCTTTTAAGCTTTTTTCTTGTTCTTGAGACAGCAATTTTTCAAAGTGATCTGATGCATGAGATATTTCATCTCTAATATATTGAAATAATGTTAAAAATTCTGATTTCAAATTTTGAATTTCCGAGGCCTGTGCAGTAATATGTTTTTGAGTATCATCAAAGAGAGATTTTATATCGTGTCCTAACTGACTATATGAATTATGAATCTGTTTTAATTAATAATATAATCTAATATATATATGTATGTTACTTGTTGCTGAAACTTTATTATTTCTCCAAAAATTTCTTCTGAAATTCTTTTTGTTGCTTTGTTAAGATTTTTAAATCCATCATTAAGCCTTGATTTGATATCTTCTTTGAATATTTTGATTTCTTCCAGAGAATTGTTTGTTTCCTGTTTTCCTAAATCTATTCGATTGAAAATTTCGATATGTTTACTTTCAAAACCTGAAAGTTGCTGATCTATAAATTGAAAGTTATCATTGATTTGTTTTATTTCTTTAGTAATAAATTCTGCAATTTTATTTTCTAGTTCATTGCAATATTTTAGTTGAGATAGATGATATTTAGTTATATCATTGTTAAGATTTTTTGTAAATGTAGTTATATCAGATTTTATTTCATTCCATAATATATTGTTTGAAGATTCAACTTCTGTTTTACGTTCTAATGAAAAATTAGTTTTATTTAGATATTTTATCAGTTTCTAACCAATTTTTTCATGCAAATTATTAATATCGACAATTGTCTTTTTAAGAGTAGCATGAAGTTCATTTGCTATAATGTCAAGTTCCCATTCTGTAGTTTGATGAGCTTTTCGGATAATAATTTCTTCGTTTAAATGTTGTTTAGTATCGATAAGGTCATGTTCGGTTTTTCTTAATATATTTTCTGTGTCTTCTAGTGTTTTCTAATTTTTGTTAGATACGATAATAAAAATAAAATATTTACTGATGTTTTTTCCAAATCTTTTTTTGTTTGTATAAAAAGTTTCATGTTTTGCTCAAATTGTTCTCGGATTGATTTAAGTGATAACTCTAAAGCATCTATTTTACGTTGTTGTTCTTCTACTAAAGTTTTATTAGAATGATTTTCTCCAGTAAGTTCTTTATATGAACTTTCTGAGAGATAAATGCCTGTTTTTTGACGACAAGCCTGCAAAATATTAAAAAGAAATTATTATTGTTTAACGAATTACATTTAAATCGCTTTTTAACCGTTCTATATCCTGAATATATTCTTTAATAAGTGTTTTTTTTGTCATCATTTGATTAATTTGAGGCTTGTTTTTAATACTTTTTGCCCTGTTTGCATACTCTAAAGTACTTATTGTTTCTTCTAAGTTATTTTTCTCTGGACTTATAGTTGCGATAATACATGTTTTAGTTTTTCCACCCAATGAATCTTGTAAAAGACGAGTAAGCTTTGATTCACTGAAATATTCAGATTAATACAAATAAATTTAATGATATTACCGATATGGAATGTGCTGTGATTTATCGACTAAGGCATTTATTACTCTTCCTAATGTTAAAAGACTTTGATTAATCATCCCTGCTTCTCGTGCACGCTTGTTTTCTGCACCGGATCGTCCAATGTTTTCTGAACCAGCGAGATCTACTAAGTTAAGTTTTCCTACTTTTAAAAGATCCTCTCCAACTTCTGCTACTTCTTTAATATGAATAGTAATTGTAAAAATGGAATGTGAGCGACTCGAAAGATCGTTACATTTTGTTGCCGCAACTTGACGCTTATGGCTTCCCATTTGAAGCAGTTTTATTCCATCAGAAGAATTTGTGATAGGAATATCTTCCATTCCATTTATTACTACTCCTTTTTTTATTGTATCTTCAAAAATTTTTACTTTTTTATCTTCAATAGACAATAAATCACGAAGCTCTTCATTATAAAGCTCAATAAATGAGCATTTAACGGAATATTCTGTATCTTCTGTTTCAAGGATATTGAACAAGCGGTAAAGCGTCCTTGGTATTATTCCAGATGAATTTGAAAATGTACTGTAATCACCGGACATATCTCCTGTCATAGTATAGCTAAAAAAATTAATATTTAAATACGCTTAAAAAGTGCTTACGTTTTCCCTGTTCCTGTTTGTCCATAGGCAAATATAGTGCAATTGTATCCATTCAAGACCTAATTAACTTTTAAATATGTATTTAAAGGATCAATTTGAAATAACCTCTCCAAGTATTGGAAGAACAACATCATCAAATACCATCACTTGATCCGCTTCTGGTCCAAAAACACGATCAAATGTATATGTTCTTGTATTCATTTGCGATAAAGGGCTTGTATGAATGCATACTTCTTTTCCACGAGGCCCTTGTGTTGTAACAATGTTATAGTTATTTTCTCGTATTTCTCGCTGACTTCGTCCACGACATCTTACTACTACCTGAATATTCGTTTCATTACTATTTATCTCATTGTTGTATTCATGATGTTTTTTCTTTCCTATAATAGATGTTGATTCTGAAGAATGGTGTTGAAACGTTTTTTTTCCAAGTGTTTTATGATTTGGTGGAGATAATGTTTCATTATTTGTTGTTGATATAGAATTCGAGAAAGACTGTATAGATAATGAAGATCCTCTCTGAGAAATAAGTGGCTTTATATTTTTTCCACTCATTTTCGTATTTGTTTTTAAGAGATATTAAAAGCTTTTGTATAAAATAAAAATAAACAGATGTTGCCATGGTAATTTTTATGAAAAATAGTTTTTTTATTCCTCTAAAGTAGTTGAAATTGTTTAAAAGTTAACATTAAAAAATAAATTAATTTTAAAGAATATTTAAATTAAGAATTTAAAGTATGTAATTTTTTAATTATAGTTAAATTTTTTTATTTTTAAAGTTTTTTACTAAAAATGTAGAATATTTGTTAAAGTTTATAAAAAATAAGTTTGTGTTCAAAAAAGTATTTTGATTTAAATAATTTTAAATTATTGAAAGGTTTATATTGTTAATAGATGAAAAACGTGTTTTTATGAAAAATTGTTAATATTGTGATTACTTTTGAAAATTTAATTATTTCTAACTAATTATTAAAGCAATTAATTTTTTATGAGTATGCTTGTTGCTTATTTTCATGTAATATATGTACTAGTTTTTATGCAATATAAGTACGAGTTTTTATCAATGATATTTAGAAGTTTTTTGAATATTTTTAGAAATGCGATACGAAAGTTTTAGAAAAAATTCAAATTAAATATTTGTAGTATCATAGCTGAAATATATATTAAGATTGTAAATATTTATTTATAGATATGGATTTCAAAAATTCGAAATTTATTGAAACATTAATCTATTATTTTTCTATATTTAATGAAGATTTAAAAAATAAGGGATCAAAAAAAGTTAGGGAATCTAGGTTTAGATTTTGTTTTTTTGTGCGCATATATTAATATTTTAGGAAATTCAATTTTCATTTTGATGATTTATCACTCTTGTTAGATAATTTGGGTTCTATTGATCGATTTTCTGAAGAAGTAATATCAGTAATTGATCTACGATATTGATATTATATTTTTAAAATTTGTGTAGGATTTTTCTCAATTTGTTAATGACTTTGAATGTTTTCTTATAAGAATTTGTAAAGATAAAATATTTTTAGATCTGGATTTTGTTTTTTTAGAAATCGTTATTATTATAGCATATAAAATTAATAATTATCATTTGAAATTGAAGTCTCTTAAGATTCTTCTGGTATGATCTGCATATTTTTCTGTCTTTTTAATTTATATAGATATGGCTGCGTAATCATTCTGGTTATTTTTATATTAATTATATAATTAAATTTTATTAAGAATTTAAATAGGTTTAAGAAATTATGCTCATCCGAATTTTATTATAAATCTTTTAAATATTTCTTGTAATGTTTTAGAAAATATTTGTTTAAGAAGAATTGTAAGTATGTTTAAAAAAGAAAAAAAAGTATAATATTTTAGGCATTATTTATTATTAATTGTTTAATTAAAAAAAATGTTGAAAATAAAAAGACGATTATGGATAAAAATGAATTTTTTGATTTGTGATTATTTTGTTTTTTAAAATTATATTCTTACTAGTAATAGAAAAGGAATTGGAAATTCTATTATGGTTTCTGATGATTTTAAACTGCAAGAGCTTTGTGTGGAGCTTATTCATGAGCTTTTGCCTCCAAAAGATTCTCCAATAGAGTTTTATAATAGAAGATTTGATCTGTTTTTTTCTTTAAATAGTCTTTCTGAAGATTTAAGGAATGAATTTCTTGATATGCAAGATTCAGGATGGATGCATCCTCCTAAGTGGTTGATGACTTTGAATATTAAAAGAAAGTGTGATTCTGCGTAATATTTTATTTAGTTTATTTATAGATTTCTGCTAATCATTAGTAGACCTTTGACATTTAAATGTCTTTATTTGAAACTTGGTGAAAATGTATTTAGTTCTTTTATTGATGACAGTGTATTGTTTGTACATGTCTCAAAGAATTTTCTCTCTAGTGTTGTTTTTAATTCAAAAAATGAGAAGAATTTATTAGATATAGCTTTAAAAGATGTTGAAGAAATTATCGAATCTGATAGTCAAATTATTTTAAGACTCAAAGAAAATATTGATGATGAATCTTGTATAGGTGATGATTTAGGTTTTTTTAATTCTGTAATGTTTTGTTTTGATAGTAACTTTGAAACAAAAACAATAATTCAAGAAATTGTTAAGAGAATAAAAAAGAATATGGATTTAGGTACTAATATTAAGTGTAGTATTATGGAATGTCCCATTAGTTTGAAGTTTAAAAGTGAAAATAATTTTAATTCTAATGATTCTTTTTCTCAACAAAGAATAATCGTACCGAATATGGATAAAAGTGTTGATTTTGTTGTTGAAAATCTATCCTTAAGAAATGAATCAGGAAATTCTAAGTCTTTAAATATTCTTTCAGAAGAAAATATTAAGGATGTTAGTAACTATTTATAATTAGATTTATATTTATATTTTTATTTTTTAGAAAAAATCACTTTATGTCGATTGCAATGAAATTAAAGTTGAATCTCAACTTAATGGTCTTTGTTGTCCTTCTGATAACAATCGTTTGTCCTATATAAACTCTGGTTCAGAGAATTTTAAAAAGGGTAATGAAAAATATTTTTTGCGGGTTTCTACGCAAGTGCAAGATTTATTTTCTTTGGTTACTTTAGAAAATAATGATATTTCAAAAAATATTAAGCTTTCTGAAAAAATGAAAAAAAAAAATGGAAGTTTGAAAGAATTGACAAATATTTTTCCTTTAGATGATGTTTCAAAATTAAATGAAAATAGTAGTCATATAATAAAACAGAAAAATAATAGTGATAAAAATCTTAATAACGATGATATATATGATTTTCCTTCTGATGATATATTTTATTTTAATAAATTGCAGACTGGTGGATCAGGATCTAAGAAAAAATATATCTTAAAATCCAGTTTACCTGCGTATAGTTTGCAGAAAAAAAATAAAATTCAAAATAGATTACGAACAAGTAAAAAGTGTTATTCAAATAAAAATGTTCTTAAAAATGATTATTCATCTGCTACTGATTATGATATTTTACCTAATGATTTGTTGTCTAATAATGATATTAATTCGATTAAAAAAGGTAATAAAACTAAGATTAGAAAAAGATCTTTTTCAGATAAAAATTTTAATTGCAAAGAATTTTTAAGTAAAGCAGAATTACCTCAATCAAAAAAATCTTCTTTAAAGTTTCATCGAAAAGCATGTAAGAATATTAACTATGATTCGGGTATATTATCGAGTCCTGATAATAATATTAAAATATGTCCAAGATTTAAAAAAAAGGAAATCGTGTTATCAACTAATAAGACTTATTCTTTGCAGTCTGAGAAAAATCTTAATGAGAATTATAACCAGTCTTTGGTTAAGAGTTCGTATTCTAAAAAACAAAATAATTTTATTTTAAATGATGAATTGTTGCAAGGAAATAGCAATGAAATGAATGTTGACATTAATATGGAAGGAAAAACCAATGTTGATTTTATGGATGAATCTTTTGAATGCAAACCTCAAATTATAACATGGAGTAAGGATGGGCCTTTAGATAACACATGTAAAATGTTTGATTTTAATAAAAAATTAAATAATTTATCTGTAGATATATCTGATAACAATGCTTTATGTAACTCTGAAACTGTTTTAGAGCTATCTATGGTAAACGAAACAATAAAAGATGTTGAAGAGGTAATGTATTAAATTTTATTTATATTTGTATTGAAAAAACGAAATAGAAATATTCTTGTTCTGATGTAAAATTATTTATTATTAAATGTTGAAGTCTTATTGTTTTAGGATGCTATTGTGGTTGAAAATATAATGAAAATTGAAAAGGACTCTGAAAAAGATATATATAACAATTTTGAAAAAAATACATGTGAAAAATTTAACGATATTTCTATCGTTCCAAATGATGAGTTATTAGAACATATTACCGCTAATGGTTCTATTAGCCCCTTGAATATGTATAAGAAAAATGATATTTTTAGTAAAGATAGTAAGTTTTTTTAAAATTTTGTAGTATAATTCATAATTTTAGTAAATTTTAGCAATTTTCCTAATAATTTTTATAATATTTTGAATGCTTATGGGTTATTACCGATAGTGAAAGCGGATGATGTTAATGATATTTCTGCAATAGACCCTGATAAAACTTTGTTTAATCCTGATTCTATAGAACAGTTTTCAGAATTTTCAAGTTCTGACGATTATGAATCTCAGCTAAATGTTTCAGATATAGAATGTAATGATGATGTTTATAGTAAATATTTTTATAAATTAAAATGGAAAAAAGGTTTACCTGAACATCATAAAAGAACTTTAAATTTGTTAATGGATATTATTCAAATAATTATAAATAAGCTAGTAGCTTATGAATTAAATATTAATGATCGTATGCTAAATTTTAAGGATAATACAAATAAAATTATAGAAGTATTAAATATGGTTCGTCGTGATAAAAGGTTTAATATTGAAAAACATTTCTTTTTTCGTGATAGTTATAATAAACAGTTTGTTAATCACTTAAATAGAATTGAAAAACATAAAAATATCTCAGAAAAGATTAAATCAATTACGAAAAAAGCATGTTTAGCTCAAAAAAAGATAGTTGATGGTTTCAATCAAAATATTTCAAATGTTTACTAATTTCAAACTATATAATTCAATATTTTACTTGTTTCATTATTTATATTTGTTGAATAAATAATATAGTATATGGCTTTTAAATAATATTTCTTATTTAGTATATTAATAACTAGTGTAGTTTATTACATTCATTAATTAAAATAGATACATCAAAGTTTTTTCCGTTATTAAATTCTTCTAAAAGTTTTAATTTTAATAAATCTTCTTGATTATCTTTAATTGCTGAAAAAAAAGATTCAATTTGAAATATTATTGTTTTAAGATTATTCATTGTTATTCCCCTGTCTTTTTCAAGTTCTCCTCTCATTAAAACTATATTTTTGTCTGAAGATAGATCTGTATGATAGGATAAAAATGTATGGGGTCTTGCAAATTCTCCTTTAACTTTGTATTCTAAAAGTGAGGTAATAAGTATATATTTAGTAAATTTATTTGTGATGAACCATTGAAGAAAGTGCATTTCGATTCCCTGTGGCTGATTTATAGGAAGAATAAACTAAATAAATTAGATAAAAATAAATATATAGTTATATACCATATTATATTTCTTTGCATTTTTTTCCATTATATTAAATTTTAATGAAGATATTATTCCACAGTGATTATATTCATTTTGAATGTGACGAGCTTTCCATATTAGTTCTATCTCTTTAATACTATGTAATTGTAACTTTTCTACATCAATATATGATGATAATGTTTTGATATGGACTTTATTATTATTTGGTATTTCAGTATTATTTTGAGTTATATTTTGATTTTTTTGTATAAAGCAGGATGTTGGTAATGTTTTTGAAGTGTCTTTGTTTGATTTTGTAGTATATTTTTCGAAAAGTTCTTGAATAGATGAAAGACCTTCTCTTTTGGTTTCTTTGTTAATAAAAATATTGAAAAAATATTTACATACTCTTCCACTTTTTGCTCTAATTTCTTTCTATATTTATTTATAAATTCTTTCAAAATAATTTTAGTTGTAAAATGAGATTGATTAATTTTATAAATTCTTTTCCATATCTTTTTAGTAAATAAAAATGTTTGAAAAAACATTAATTTTTTAAAATTATTTAAATTTATTTTTTTTTAAAAATGGCTTTTTCGGTATGGTATAAATGCATAATATTTATATAACAGTTTTGTGTTATAATCTAATTTGTAAGGATTTATCTTGAAATTTTTAGTACAAAATGTGTAATATATTTTTAAAAAAAATGTTAAAATTACTTGATACCTTTTTAATAAAGACGGATTTTATTTTTTATTTTTAATAGAATTTTATTTTTTAAAAAATTATTCATATAAAAAGTTAATATTTGTTTTTATTATAATTTCATTTGTTAACGTTCTTTTCGTACTACTATTTTCCTTGTTTAAGAGTTATAATAAAAAATATTTATAAATAGAAATCTAATTAAAATATATAAAATATATAAATTTACTTCTTCAAATTTTAAATATTTTTTTTAAATAATTTATTATTTAAGTTTTTTTTTTCATTAAAATATTTATTCATTTAAAAAGTTCTTATCAATTTTGTTGAAATCGATAAGTTTTAAGTGTTTGTAAAATACAGTTTTTTAGTTTAAAAATAATATATTAATATATGCATATATAACATGAAAACAGTTGAAGCTAATGTTTTATTTGATAATAATTGTAAAGAATCTGCTAATAAAAAGTCTTTTAATGATTTTTAAGAAGATATTATATATCAAAGAATGGAAGAATCTTTGGCTAATAAATTTGAAGATAAGTCTAAGAAACATATAATACACAAGCCACTACTTCATAGTATGTTTTGTTTTATTTTTTATAAAATTATTTTAATTTTATTTAGTTGAATGTTCCTTGAAAGAAAAGGTTTGATTTAATGTAAATTTTAGAAATAACGTTTAATATTAAAAAGAGTACCTGTAGATTTGATACTGCTGCTCATCATGTTCGTCAATTTCTTCTTGAAAATTTCTCTTCATTGACACTGAATACTGAATTTCGTAATTTTGAGGATGAATTACTTTTAATGAAGCATATTGAGCAAATTAGAGGTAGTTTTGTTTTTTAGAGGATTATGATATTAATTTTTTTTAGTTGTTGAGGTATCAGGTAGGAGCGAATATATTGTATATATGTGTATTAATATTTTATAGGATCTGATAAAGAAATTCTTTATTTGGATGAGGTTGATCTTGATATTCATATATATCAACTTAACAATGACTTGCCTTCTGCAAGCAGTTTTGATTATGAAGATCAAGAAGATGGACCAATGGCTATAGTAACTGAATTGCCATCTTTATCTTTAGAAGGGTTATGGGATAAGTAGATATTCCATTTTAAATTAATTAGTCTAAAGAATAGTCTTATATTTGAAAATAATATTAAAAATAATCTGCTTCATTTTATTCATACTGTTATGCTTTTTTCTGATAAGGATGTTAATTTTAATATTGTTACATGGAATAGGTATGTAAATTAAATTAATATTTTATATAGCATGACATAGATAGACTTATTCTTTTACATGGACCCCCTGGAAGTGGAAAAACATCTTTATGTAAAATATTTTATTAAAATATTTTTATTGGTTAATAAAGATAGGTAGAGCATTGGCACAAAAGCTTTCAATTAGACTCTCTAATAAATTTTCTCGAGGAAGAGTCTGTATATATATGTTAATGATAAATAGACTTACTTTTAGTAAGATCGTTGAAGTGAATTCTCACTCTCTTTTTTCAAAGTGGTTTTCTGAAAGCGGGAAATTAGTCGGTAAAATGTTCCAACAAATTCATGAAATGGTGAAAGACGAAGATTCATTTGTTTGCGTTCTTATAGGTATATTTAAAATATTTTTAGAATTTTTTTAATTATCTAGATGAGGTGGAAAGTTTAACTGCTGCAAGAAAAGCTGCTGCATCAGGTCTTGAGCCATCAGATGGTTTAAGGGTAAAAATCTAAATCCATTGTATGAGCGTTCTCATTCATTATATGTTCTCAGGTTGTTAATTCTCTGCTTACACAATTGGATAAATTAAAACCTCATAAAAATGTTTTTATTTTAACTACATCTAATTTAGTAGAAGCAATGGGTTAATATTTGGCTATGCATATGTACACCTTTGACTTGTATTCTAGACCCTGCTTTTGTAGACCGCATAGATATAAAACAGTATGTTGGCGACCCGAATCCAGATGCTATTTTTGCAATTCTTCAATCATGTATTAACGAATTAGGCCAAAAAGGTTTAATTGGGGATGGAGTATGTTTTTAAAAGACTTTATTTATTGTTTTATAATTCTATTATAGATACCAGTGCCCTCTTTCACTGAAGCATCTATAAGTTTGTATTCTCAGCCAAATTCACATAGTTCTCGTTTATATAGAATAGCTGTTGATTGTAAGGTAAATATTTTGAGTGGAACTTTCAATTAGTTATTAATATTGTTAATTTTAGGGATTATCTGGAAGGACTCTCCGTCGTCTTCCTGTTCTTGCTCACGCCAAATATCTTCAGCGACCTTGTTGCACGATGGATGAAATGCTTTGTTCTTTAGAAAGAGTTGTAAAAGAAGAGTTGTCATTTTCCATGAAAATGTTCTAATATGAAATTTTTTATGTATTTATTAAATATTATGTATTTAAAGTAATATTTATTTTTTTAAAATTTTTAAACGTAATAAATATTTCGTAGATTTTTTTGTATTAAAAAATGGTAGGTTTAGAATTTGTAAAATAAAATATAATAATTTTAATTAAAGTCACGTATTTTTACTGAACATGCTGTTGAAGAGAGGGGCGAGAGTGCGCGAATGGTATGCTGTTTTTTGATTTTCTTTTAGGAGCAGTAGTTTTAATAAAGGTTTTAGTCAAGTTTCGTAGGTGCTATTGCTGGTAAATTAATATAATAGTATTGGTTTTTGTAGGTCTTATTGATTTTAGTTGGGGATCTTGTAAAAAGCACTCTTGGTCCTAAAGGAATGGTATTTTTTTTATTTATTTTATTTCTCTAAATCTTCAAAGGATAAAATTCTTCAATCTGCATCTACTGGTGAGATTGTGGTTACTAATGATGGCGCAACCATTTTGAGATCTATTTCTCTTGATAACGCTGCTGCTAAAGCACTTGTTAATGTTTCTATAACTCAAGACAATGAAGTAGGGGATGGAACAACAAGTGTTACAGTTTTAGCTGCTGAGCTTCTGAGAGAAGCTGAAAGGCTTATTGATTCTAAAATACATCCTCAGACTGTTATAGATGGGTACCGGATTGCGACTAATATAGCTCTTAATGCATTATATAAGTCATCTGTTGATCATAAGTATACTTTTATACTTTTTACACTTTGTTCTTAAATAATATAGAGATAATTCAGAATTGTTTAGGAGGGATTTGGAAAATATAGCTCGCACTACACTTAGTTCTAAGATTCTCTCTCAAGATCAGGATCATTTTTCTAAATTAGCTGTTGATGCTGTATTTAGATCTGCTAGTCTTGAAAATATTCAGATTATTAAAAAGCTAGGAGGTAGATTAAAGGATTCCTATCTTGATGAGGGTTTTATATTGGAAAAGAGAATTGGAGTTAATCAGCCTAAAAGACTTGAAAATGTAAAAATTCTTGTTGCAAATACTCGTAATATAATTTATGTTTATTTTATTTATGTTTGATACATATTAGCTATGGATACTGATAAAGTGAAAGTTTTTGGTGCACGAGTAAGGGTAAATGCTACTAGTAAGCTTGCAGAATTGGAGAAGGCAGAAAAAGTAATAAAAAAAGTTTAGTATTTTATATTTATTATTTTAGGAGAAAATGAAGGCCAAAGTTGAGAGAATAAAAGCGCATGGAATTAATTGTTTTATAAATCGACAGCTTATTTATAACTGGCCTGAACAATTATTTGCTGATGCTGGAATAATATCTATTGAGCATGCTGATTTTGATGGAATAGAAAGACTTGCACTTGTTACTGGTGGAGAAATAGCATCAACTTTTGATCATCCAGAATATGTGAAGTTGGGGAAATGTGATTTAATTGAAGAAATTATTATTGGTGAAGATAAAGTAAATGTTATGATCACTATTGGATTATTTTAACAGTTTTAGATGATTAAATTTTCTGGTGTTGCTGCTGGTGAAGCTTGTACGATAGTTCTTAGGTAGCTTTAAAAAAAAAAGTCTAGTCTAATTAGGAATAGAGGTGCTACATCCCAGCTTCTTGATGAGGCAGAAAGATCTTTACATGATGCATTGGCAGTATTATTACAAACTATGAATGATTCTAAAATTACTTTGGGTGGTGGTTGTTCTGAAATTCTTATGGCAAAAGCAGTAGATTCTGCTGCATCTAAGGAGTCTGGGAAAAAGGTTCATGCAATTGAAGCTTTTGCTCGAGCCCTTCGCACAATACCTATGATTCTTGCAAGTAATGCTGGGTTTGATTCTAATGAACTTGTCTCTTTGTTACGTTCTGCTCATTATAATGGTAACTTTTATAAACTTTTTATTGATTATTTTTAATTTGCATTAGGAATGACTTCATATGGTTTGGACTTAATCAATGGTGAAATAGCAGATATGAGAGATACTGGCGTTGTTGAGAGTTATAAATTAAAACATTCAGTTGTTTCAAGTGCATCAGAAGTAGCAGAAATGCTTTTAAGGTTTTTATATATGTATATGTAATTCTTTTAATATTTCTAGGGTTGATACTATTCTTAAATCTACTCCTAGACCAAGAACTCGTTAGCTTTTGTTTAACTAAATAAATACATTTAAGTCCATTTTTTAAGTTTTATTTATTAGAAATTTAAGATCATTTTAAAAGTTTGAATCTTCTATCAATGTGTAATAAAATGAAACAATTAAAAATATAAAAATTGTGAAAATAGATAGTATTTTGCTCTATAGAATTCATTTTAAAAAGTTATATATTAGGTCTTAGGATTCATTTGTAGTAAATACTATGAATCAGTTGGTATTACATGTATGGTAATAGATTTATGAACGACTTTTAAGTTTTAAAATAAAAAATTGGTTTGTTTATAATATAAAATAGTCTAGAAGGATACTTATTAAATTTAAACGTAGCATTATTAATATTTTTTATCTTCTTTAACTGAAGTCTTGAATTTTGTATCTTTATACTATTATATTATATTGAAAGTAATAATTTATTAGATCTAATATTCATTTTAATAATTTTTAAAGGACGCAATATTCGGAATTAAGTTATAGAATATATACTTTAATACTAAATATTATTACCTATTATCTCTTGTTTTTTAATATTTAAAAATTAATATAAAACTATTGTTTTTTTTGAGATATTTCAAAAAAATGTAAGTTTCGATATGAAAAATTAGCTTGTTTAAAATTTAAAAAATAGTATTTAAAGGTTTTTATATACATATAAAATTATTGTTCATTTGAAGAAGTTTTTTTCTTTCAAAAGGTTTTTATACTATTTTTATTAGATTGTTTTACAAGATTTATGCAAAGTTGACTTTATTAAAAATAATAGAATTAAAAAGATATTTGTGTCTTGCAAAGCTTTTTGTAGAAGGAAATGTCTTCTATAAAGGCTTCTAAAGTGAAGGATATTGAGTTTGGAGAATTTTATAAAAAGTTTTTTGAATCTACTGAATGGCCTTTTAAATCACTTTTAGTTTCAAAAAATTTAACTGATTTAAGCTTCACGGACTTAGCATTACTGGTTACTACAGACGGCGATCTTTATGGTATTAATAGGGATAATGGAAAGATAAATTGGGTTTTGAGAGGATTGAATTTTGTAATAAAATCTGAGAGAGATTTAGCTAAAATAGATAATCAATTTGACTATAAACAACATATTTCAAATAATGTTGACTTTCTTTGGTTTTTAGAACCAGTGGGTGACGGCTCTATATATGCATTTGACTTTAGAATAGGGGTTTATGTATGTTTTTTTAATTATTGAAATTTCTAATTTTTAAAGAAACTTCCATTTAATATTAAACAACTAGTAAAACTGTCGCCTTATAGTTTTCCAGGAGATGATAAAGTTTATATTGGTAAAAAAGAGACTTCTCTTTTTGTTATAGATGTGAATACTGGAGAAGTATATCAAAATTTTAGTAGTGGTTATCAACATGATGGTTATACTCGGTGTTTTTTTGCTGGTTTTGGTAGGTATTATGATAAGGAATGTAATGTTGTAGATATCCACAATAAGAATGTTTTAAAGATAGGACGTATAGGTAGTTAAAAATTGTATTGTAGAATTAGTTTATAACTTGGTTTTTTAGATTATATATTAAGTGTATATTCTGGAAGCAGATTGTTGTGGAATGTTAGCTATAGTGAATGGGTTCCTAGTTTTATTAATGTTAATTTTGAAAATAGATACAATTCGATGTTTGATGGTAAATATATATTATCAACGCATAATGGTAGAATATTTCAGCATAATATTACAGGGCTTACTTCCTCTGTTGTATGGTCTGAAAAACTTGACAATCCTGTTACTAAGGTTTTTGATATATTGTCTTTTGTGCCCATTTCGATTCATCATTTGTCTGAAACAAATAAACAGAATATATTTATAATGATGGAACAGCCTACTGATTTTGTATTTAAAACGTTGAATAAGACATATAACCGTTATGTCTTTATTAATGTCACTAAAATAGATAATTGGTATGCTTTATCGGAAGAAAAATTCCCATTTATAAAAGAAGCATCCTTATCTCGTTGGTATGATAGCACAATTAATTTTGGGAAGTTGGGGATTCCGCCTTTATATACGGATCTTATTGGTCTTCATAGAATTTCATATGATACGAGTCAAATTTTAACTATTGATTCTTCTTTTGAACCATTAAAAATTAGTAATTTTTTGGATTATAATTATGGTTTAAAATATGAATATATTCTTTTTATTTTTTTGGGGTGCGGTCTATTGATATATTTTTTGTGGAAAAGGAAAAAACAATGTTGTTCACTTATATTTTTGTTAAAGATTAAGATTTTTACATGGATGATATATATGAAAAAAGGAAATAGTCGTTTGTCCTTAACTAATATTTTAAATATTTTTAATAAAAAGAATAATAGAGAGTATACAAATTTTAAAAATAAGCTTATTGATACTTTATCAAATACTGAAGATATTTTACTGTTAAATGAAATAGAGGATTTGAAAACATTTCATTTAAAAAAACGTAGAAAAGGCATCCGAAGAAATAAAAAACGTAAAAAAGGAATAGAAAATATGAATTATATTAATATAGTTGAAATATCGGAAGATGAGGATTTCGAGGAAAATCAGACAGAATATAATAACGATAGCTTACAAGATCTGGGTTTAGACTTGATGCTTAAAGAATATGATTCAGTTGAAGATATAAAATTTCCTTTGATTATAAATTCTTTAGAAATAACAAATAAAATTTTAGGTATGGTTTTATTGAAAACTGTGTTTTTAATTATTTATTGTAGGATATGGGAGTCATGGTACAATAGTTTATGAAGGTTCTTTTGAAGGTCGTAAAGTAGCTGTAAAAAGGATGTTATTAGAATTTTACGAGGTTGCTTTTCGTGAAATTACGTTACTACAAGAAAGTGATGGTCATCCAAATGTTATTCGTTATTATTGTAAACAGAAGAGTGATAAATTCTTATATATTGCTCTTGAGCTTTGTTGTGCTTCTCTTTATGATATTGTTGAACGTTCTTCTGAATTTTTATGGTTATCGAAGCTAATTAATGTTTCGAATATTTTATATCAAATAGCTTTAGGAATACAATACTTGCATTCTTTAAAAATAGTTCATAGGGATATTAAGCCTCAAAATATCCTCTTGGTGCCTTTATATTCAAAATCTGATAATAATAAAAATAGTAAGCGAATAGATAATATTCGTATTGTGATATCAGATTTTGGTTTATGTAAAAAATTAGGATTGGATCAAAGCAGTTTTAAGATGACTACTTCGCAATTGTCTGGTACAATTGGATGGAGAGCACCTGAATTATTTTATGAAAAAGATAATATTGGTGATGAATTTCAAAAAAATATACCACATTTTCAAGCAAAATCTGTAAATTTTTTTCGAAATCATAAAGTTGGTCGTGCGATAGATATATTTTCTATGGGATGTGTTTTTTATTATGTTTTAACAAAAGGTATGCATCCTTTTGGTGAATATTATTTTAGAGAAGGGAATATTGTGAAAGGAAGTGCGAATTATAGTCATCTAGATTTTCTTGGTAATGAAAGTTTTCTTGCTAAAGATCTTATTTCAAAAATGTTAAGTTTAGATCCAAGCACAAGGTAAAATATTTTAAAATTATAAATAAGTTTATTGATTAAATAAGGCCTGATGCAAATTTTGTTGTTAGACATCCATACTTTTGGTCACCTGAAAAAAAGTTGTCTTTTTTAATAGATACATCTGACAGATTTGAGACTGAAAGGCGTCAACCTTTTTCTGAATTATTACATTTTTTAGAGAAGGATGTTCTTAATATTATAGGAAGAAATTGGCAGAAAAAGATAAATAAGCATATTCTGGAGAACTCTGGAAAGTTTAGAAAATATGATGGAACAAAGCTTTTAGATCTTTTGCGAATATTGAGAAACAAGGTAAGCTGGAATATTTTTGTTTGTTATTAATTTTCAGAAAAATCACTATCAAAATCTTCCTTTTAATGTTCAGGAAATTCTAGGACCACCTCCTGACCTCTATTTATCATATTTTATGACTCGATTTCCTCATTTATTATTACATTGTTATTATATCGTTAAGCGTTTTTTAGATAAAGAGAACATGCATCAGTTAGCTAGTTATTTTTAAGCAATTAGTTGTAAAAGAATATGGTTTATTTATGGGCTTTTGGAGGTTACAATGTTATTTGTAAATTTATAGATGTTAAAAAGTTTAGATCTGTTATGATTTTATGTAATAAAAAGTTGATCGATGTTTTTATTTTTAAAAAAAAGTTTAGAATGTTTTTGTATTTTTGTTTTTTATAGATTATAAGTTTTTTTTGAATAATGAAAGTCTGTATTATCTTTCTATTAGATAATAAAGTTTATTTTTTTTAGAAAAAGAAAAGAAAAATTGAAATTGTTTTTGATTCAGAGGCTAGGCGGTAATATTGATTTCAATATTGTTTGTTTTTAAAATTGAACTTTATTGTTAGAAAATACTTAACTGGGTTTCATAAAAGAAAGGTTGAGCGGCGAAAAAAAGCAGAAGAATTCATTAAACAACGAAAGAAAAATGAAAGACTTAGAATGAAGAAAGAGGTAAATATTTAAGTGACTAGTTTTAATTTATAATTTATATTGTATTCAGAATAAAGAAAAAAAGAATATTTTAATTCAAAGCTTTGTTGAATCTAATTGTTTAACACAAGGTTTATTTTTCTATTAAAGCTTTTTTAAATAATGAAGATAATGACTCTTTTAAATATAGATAATACCGCTCGGGATTTTTCTAAGAGTTTTGATATTAAAGACGAGTTTAAAAAGCATAATGTTCGTATTTTTCAGAATAAATATGATGATCAGAGTTGTACAACTGTTACTATTACTGAGGATTTGAGTTAATAAAAGAATGGTTTGATAATATAAATTAAACACCTATTATTTTTAGAATAATTTTTTAATATTTATTGTATTCTTTGTATTCTTATGTTTATGAATTAGATTCATGTAATTTTAATATATTTATATAGAAGAAATTATGTAGATAAAAGTCTAAATACAGTGAAAATAAATATATTAGAAGAAGAAAAGCTGATATTTAGTATGTTAATAGATTATAGATTATATTTATGAAATAAAATTGAAATTTATTAATAGGCTTGCAATTATAGTATGTTTTTTATCTAAAAAAGAGTTTGTGAATTATAATTTATCATTTTCTTATTTATGAAGGGTAATAATGGTTTATATTTTTAATTTGTATTTATAAATATATTATATTGTTTAATATTGAGAATAAAAAATATTTAGATAATTTGTTATTTTTATATAAAATTGTTCAAGATTAATGTTTAGAGATTATTTTGTATTTTGAATTTTTATTATGTTTTTAAAACTATTAATAAATGCTAATTTATAGTATGACTATACAATTTTTATTATGGTAAAAATTAATATTATGAAATATAATTGATATAATATTTTAATGGTTTTAATTATTGTTTTAATATGTTAATTAAAAATAAATTATTTAAATTAAATGCATATATTGTGATTATTTTTTTTATTCTGCGCATAATACTTTTGTTTTATTTCAACTAATAGTATAATTTGATTATATTATATCTATGTAATAAATTATTTTCAGAAAAATTAGGTTTAAAAAATTACTATCGAATGTGTATTTTAAAATTATATGTTTTAAAATGTTAGAATTATTTGTGGATAAACATATAGAATATATTTTATCTTTTAGCTCAAGAAATTTAATTGATTTCTCTGAAGAGCATTATAAAAAATTACAAAATATAAATTGGGTACTTAATGCATTATTTATTATTGATAGAAAGGATTTAATTCCTCGAGATAATGTTATTGATTTTGTTATGTCGTGTAAATATGAAGATGGTATATATATTATATAATATGTTATCTAGCTTATATGTTTTAAGATTCTATTGAAGGGTTCGGACAAATTCCTTTTTCAGATCCTCATCTTTTGAATACATTGTATGCTGTTCAAATTTTGGCTATCTGTGATTCTATTGATAAAATAAATCCTGAAAAAATAGCAAAATGTATTTTAAAATATGTTTTTTGTTTTTTTAATTCTAATTTTAGATATTTCTTCTCTCCAGGACCCTGAAACAGGCTCATTTAAAGGGTATTTATGGAGCGAGATTGATGCTAGGTTCATGTATGGAGCAGTCTGTTGTTTATCAATTATTGATCGTCTTGATGTGATTAATAGCGAAAAAGCGATTGAATGGATTCTTAAATGTCAAAATTGTGATGGTGGTTTTGGCGAAATTCCCGGAGCAGAATCTCATGCTGGTCATGGTAATATAATTAAAAATAATAGCTTTTTTGAATTAAGAAATTTAGTACTCTCATGTGTGGCGACTCTTTCTTTGTTCAAAAGGCTTGATCTAATAGATGTTAACTTAGTTAGTTCATGGTTATCAGAACGTCAAGTTTTAAGTGGTGGTTTAAATGGCAGACCTGAAAAAGCAGAAGATGTATTGTTTTTTTGTTTTTCTAGTATGTTAATTTTTATTAGGTCTGTTATTCATGGTGGGTATTTTCACCTCTTGTTATGATGAATAGATCTCATTGGATTGATAATGAAAGTTTGGTAAATTATATTCTTTTATGTCAGGTTAGCAAAAAATTACTGTTTATATTTTATAAATTGAAAAAGAAAAGGATTCTGAAAAAGGGGGCATTTCTGAAAGACCAAAAGGTGATCCAGATTTATTTCATACATCTATTGGTATTATTTCTTTGTCTATTCTTAAATATCCTGGTCTTTTAGAAATGAGTCCTGATTATTTTTTACCTATGAAGATTCTTCAAAAATTAAAAAAGAATAAACATAATTAAGTTTTTTATGTATAATAGTTATATTGATTTGTAATATTTTTTTAATTTCATAAAAGGATATATATTGTTTTAATAAAATATTAGGATTGGTGATTTTTGCTATATTTTAAATTCTAGATTAAAGTTTTTTAATTTAATAAGTTGTTTATATTAAAATATTATTTAATATTTTAAATGATCTGTTTTTTACATATAAAACTTATGTTGATCTTAAGTTTTATATAGTTTTATAGTATTAGTAAAGTGGACTTTTTAAATTGAGCAAGAGCATAAAAGTTCGTTAAATTCTGATATTTAAGACTGAGTTAAATTATGATTAATATTAATGGTATAAATATTTTCAATTTTTTCAAGTATTTAAAATATAATAAAAATGCAGTTCTAAGATGATTAAATTCATCTATAATTATAGTTTCTTGACATTAAAATTCATAGTAATCATATATAAATATATATTTAAAGTATTTAATATATTTAGAATGTACGATTCTATAGAACTTTAGAGTATATATAAGGTTAGATAGACCATCAGTTAAGAAAAATAAATGATCTTAATTATGTTAGTTAAAAAATTATGATATCGGTAAATGATATGCTTTGATATGATTAATTGATTGATTTTTTTTTTTTTTTAATTTTAAAGAATTACTTTTAATCATCACTATAGCCATAAAACTTGTGACGATCACAAAACATGTTAAGAGTAAGATAACAGGTATTCGAATAGCCCATTCTCTAGGGAAAAAAAAACTATGTAGTGGATGGTCTTAAACAATAAATATAAAAATATATTTAATTAATATTACCTTTATCAACAAAAGGCTTTAAAACGTTAGATCTTTTTTTATTATACTGATATGAAAAATTAGGCTTACCATTATTAAAGTCCATATTGAATAATATATAAAAATAATGGATGCAACAAAAATCATGTTTAAACCTATAAATTTATCTAGTATGCCTTTCTTTAATCACTAAGTTTCTTTATTTTGTATTTTTTTGACTTACACATTTCGTATTTTAAAGGTTTTTTATTTAAAAAGATAATATTTTTAATATGTTAGAATTTCGGGAGTTTCGATAAAACGAAATTTAAAGCATAAAAAATTTTAAATGATAATTAATGAAAGTGGATAACGATTTTCAGGTTATCAAGCAAAGTAAAGTTTTTTAACGTGTGAATTTTGAGTTTGATATTGATTAAGGAAAACATAATCAAAATAATGAAAAAAAATATATAAAATCTAAAAACAAAATGAAAAAACCTCGTAAGCTATATCAATATTACATATGGTTTATGTATATGACTTTTTGGATTTTAGTTCAAGTGCAAGATAAGCCTGAAGGATGTTGTTTAGATAATCACCACATACCAATAACTGATCAAAGCTTTAAGAAAGAAGTTGAGAAAGAATCTCCGTTTAATGAATTTGTAAACTTTATTATTAATTATTTTTCATTTTTAATATTTCTTTAGGAAATATGCTTTATTTGTGTAGAATCATTTACAGAGTCATCTATACCATTGTGCAATCATCGTATTTGTCAAAAATGTTCACTTCGTTTACGGGCATTGTATAATGATATGAATTGTGCTTATTGCAAGGTATGCTTTTTCTTTTTGTGAAAGTATTTTTACTATGTTATATAGACATTTCAACCTAATGTCATTTTCAGTAAAAAACTAATGAATTATAATGATTTTGAATTAGAAAAGCTGTTATATAGAGATGAGAGGTTTGGGATATTTTTTGAAACTCGGCAGTTGATGGAGAGTATTTTGTCTGTTTTAAATTTTAATTGTCCAAAATATGATTGTGATGTGATATGCGATGATTGGCAGGGTTTGAAAGATCATGTTAAAAAATCACATGGAAAATATTTATGGTATGGTATATGTGATATTTTTTTTATTTTAATTTAATAGTGAGCTTTGTATTGAAAATAAAAAAGTTTTTACATATGAACATATATTATTTTCTGAGAATGATTTATTAATACATATCAAAAAAGGTGATTTTGGAAACAAGAAGAATAAAACTGGTTTTAAGGGGCATCCTGGTTGTGGGTTTTGTAAAAAGTCGTTTTATGATGATGATGATCTTTATAAGCATTGCAGAGAATTTCATGAGCGATGTCATGTGTGTGATCAAATAGCCGGTCAATTGAAACATCAATATTATTTAAATTATGATGCTTTGGAAAAGCATTTTCGGAATGACCACTATATATGTTCTGAAATTGAATGTCTTGAAAAAAGATTTGTTGTTTTTGGTACTGAATTTGATCTTAGAGCTCATCAATTAGAAGCACATAAAAATAATTTATCTTCAAAAGCATTAAAAGAAGCCAAAAGGGTTCCTATGTCTTTTGTATTTGATTATCCTGCAGCCTATAGGTATTCTAAAGGAAAAAATATTTATGGTACCTCAAATGAATCACAGAGTTATGATGAGCATATGACAAGGGCTGAGAGGGCTTTGAAAAGACAAGAGGAAAATGCATTGCGTCAGTCTAAGAACTTTAGTGTATTTTCTGATGATGCTATTTTAAAAAGTTCTTATATTCAGTCTGTGGTTGTTGGACCAAGCAATGGCCGTTCTGTACACAATTATATTGTGTCAAATACTTTAAAAGATGAAGAATTTCCAGGGTTAGGTGAAAAAGTTTCAATTAAATCGAAAGGTAAAATTATAGCAATATTTATTAATTAAGCTAATAGTTTATAGAATTATCTAACTCTAATAGAAATAGTTTTGATAACTCGCTTTTATGCAATCCTTTTGGTTGTGATCCTAAAGTTATTGGGTATTTTATTTATATTAATAATCATATACTAAACTTATTAGTCAATATTCTGCTATATTGAATAATATAACGTGTTTACTTAATGATAGTGAGAAAACTAAACAGTTTTTGTCTAATATTTCTGCATTTTCTGCCTCTGTTATGTCAGCTGTTGAATTTCTCGAGTTTATGTTGGTTTTATTTAATTATAAACTAGAAGAAATAAATAAAGTATTGTCTCAAATTGTAGATCTTATTTATAATGACAATAAAAAAACTGAACTTTTGGTTGCATGGAATGACTGGAAAGTTAACGTATGATTGACAATGTCTATTACTATACTTATATTTTATTTTAGAAACAAACAAAAAAAGCATTTATGAAAATAATAAACTGTTCGCATGTAGATCCATTGCCTTCATTTAGCTTTGTTGTGAATTCTTCTGTTGCATCGGATCATAATAATTTTCAGTCTTTTTTAGGAAGTTCTTATGCAACGAATTTTCCTTCTCTTTGTAGTATGGAAAAAAAACCTAGTTCTCAATATATTCATTCAAAGAAGAAAATAGGCTCTCAAAATGTCTGGAGTCATTTAGATAAAAAAAGTGTTGTTGAAGAAGAAAAGACAGAGTTGAAAAATAGAAAGAAAAATAAGAAAGGAACAATTATTTTCCGAATGGGTTAGATTTTAAAATACAATGACTTTATTATTACATTCTGTTAATATATCAAACATTATTTGTAAGTCTATTTATTAATAATATTAATTGTGAAGATTGAGATAAATTGTAAAAATAATATAAATTGCTATTGTTGATTTAAAAGATTGATATATATTTATTTAATAATTATAGGTGAATGTAGTGAGTAATATGAGCTAATTTGTCTATTGGTATTAAAGCAGTTTTATATTTCAATAAAAGTGTAGTATTATAAATTTATGATTGAAAGTTGTGTTTAAGTCTGATTTAAAATAATAAATTTAATTTTGTTTTTTTTTTTAATTTTTTAATATTTATTTTCATCTTGGTTTGAATAATTATGGCTTTTTTTTTTGTTCATGCTTTTTTTTTATTGATTTTACCAAGTTTTTCGTATTTAAATCCTCGTGACTATTAATTTCAATAAGCCATTGATTCTCTGTATTTTTGTTTTTCCCTTTATAACCCCATTTGGGTACCCATTTTTTTTCATTTTCATCGTATATTAATTTTCCATCTATTTTATTTTTAGGTTTAATTCTTTTAATTCTAGCAAATTTTTTCCATTTCGTTTCAGGTTTTGATTTTTGTATCTGGTATATTATTAGCTATAAATCATATTAGATAAAGAAAATACTGATTTTTCTCTAGGTAATGTTGTGATTGGTTCAGGTAATTCAATAAAAAATCCATCGAGTGTAGTAATTTTTGATAATGAAAAAATTTTGTTTACAAGAATTTCTATGTTAGTTTTTGAAAGTGACATAATGTATTCTTCTTTATTATTTTCTAAAGAACATATATCAAGAGGATTAAAGTTAAAAGCACATAAATTTCCAAGGTCAAGTTTTAAAGGAATAGATTTTTTATTTATAGTAGAACTTTTTATTTAGAAAAATATAATTATTGTTAATAAAACCTTACCTAAGTTCCATGTTTTGGTTTATTTTTTGATTTAGAAAATATTTTTTTAATTGATCGATACCTCAATGAATTTTGAAATTTGTTTATCTTTTTTTAATAATTATTAGAAATAATATTTTCGAGATATGTTTGAATGTTTTATGTTATTATAGTTTTTTTGAAAATGGGTTTTCAGTTTTATAATTGTATTTTTAAACATTCACAAAAAACGTTTTTTAGATATATTCATACCAATACAATAGTTAATATTGGGAAAGATAAGTATAAAAGAAAAGGTAATGAAAAATTTAGAATTAATGTTTTTTCTTATTTTAAAGGTTTTGTTCCGAAAAAAAAAAAACAAAGTTTTGATAAAAATAATGTCAAAACAAATATTAAGTTAAATGATTCTCCTCGTATTTTGTCACCGTTAGAATCTAAATTGTTATTGTCTTATAAAAAAGAATCGTATAATATTGGAATTCAGAATTTAAATATTTTTGATGCTAATAATATTAAATTATGTGGGAGATTATTTAATTTTCCATTGAATATTCTACAGAAAATGAAAAATCTTGATGCATTTCGGTTTGAACATAAAATTGATTTTTCTAATGATCCTGTTATCGTTTTAAGAGAATGTTCTATTTATATTAGTCAAAAGCTTTTAGATGATAATGTTTCAAGTAAAAATAGAAGAATAGTTCTTATAGGAGATCAAGGTACTGGTAAAAGTTTTTGTTTATTGCAGGCACAATGTTGGGCATTTCAGAAAGGTTGGATTGTTTTAGCAATTCCTAGAGGTAATATTGGATATTAAAATATAAAATAATTATATTAGGTCTTGATATTGTTAATAATACGACTCCGTTTTTTTATCATAAAGAAACAGGTTTATGGAGACAACCAGAATATACCTCATCTTTATTAGAGAAATTTTCTAAGGCTAATTTTGATATTTTAAATCAAGTAAAATATTTCTTTTTTTATTGTTTAGATTTTAATTTTAAAAGATTTTCTTGTCAAGAGAATATTATATTGGAAATTGTGTTATATCTAAATTTACTTCTTTATTTAAATTTCTTGAAATAGGTGTTTTGAATTCATCAATATCTCATGAAATTTTGGAAATATTTCTAAAAGAACTTAATATTGGAAATTGTCCTCCAGTTTTATTTACTTTTGATAATATATCTGTTGTATGTTCGCCATCTCAATATATGTCTAGTGAATATAAAACTATTCATCCTTATGAATTAGCTCTTATAAGGACATTTTTTACTTATCTTAATGGAGAATTTTTCTTCGTACAAAAACTTTAATGCATAAAATATGTACTAATATTGTAAAGGATCGAGGTGCTATAATATCATGTGCTTCTAAGATATTTAGTAAATCTGATAGAATGCTAGAAATTTCTTTAGGATTTTTAGAACCTAAGAGTTATGAAAACGTTGATAAACGAGTTCTATGGGCTGTTAATGGTGTTGAATATTATGTAGTTGGGAACTACACTCCTGTTGAAAGTGAAAATATAATTAGATATTATTTTATGTCAAATATTATAGGAAAAAATATTGATAATGTTTCAAAAGAATTTGTAAAAGAAAAAATGCTACTTAGTGGTAATAATCCGCGTGAAGTATTTTGGAACTGTGTAAAAACAACATGAAAATAATTAAAAAATATAATAATTTTAATTTTTTATATTTTTATTAAAAAAAAATTATATTTTTACTAAAAAAATGTTGAATGGTTGGTCTAAGATTTGTAACTTAAGTTATGATTTTTGGATTTTATCTCATAATTATGTTTTCATAGTATTGTTTCTATACTATATTTAAGAAATGCTTTGATATTTTAGTTTTTACAGTTTATTGTTTGAAATTAAATAGAATGTCATGATATTTATAAGTATGAAATTGGTTTTGGATATAAAACTAATATTTTTTGTAACGTAGAAATGTAAAATTTTGAAAATATTGTTTATTATCTGGAAGAAACAATTTAATTATATTTATTTTAAAAGAAAATGTAACTTTGGAATTTATTAGAAATATTGTATTGCTAAAACGAAAATATTTAAATGAAAACGTAGTTGCATTTAGTTAATTTTTAGAAATTGTTTTGGGTTATTAAACATTATTAATAAAAGACCGTAGTGATTATGATATTTGTAATATTTTGGTTGTATGATGTATTGTGTATAGTTTTAGTATAACTTTTTTATTCGAGACCAAAAATTTATTGTTTATTCATTCTTATTTTTAGATTAATATTTGACATATTTTCTTGAAATGATAATGGCTTTTCCTTTTAAAGACGATAAGTTAATATTTTGCAAGTTAGATATATTTGAAGAAAGAGAACATGCAATCCGTGATGTTTTTAAGATATTGAATTTGGAATATTGTGCGTCGATAGCTAACTTTTTTTTCATAAAACTATTAGGAAAATCATTGAAATTAATTGATGGATCATAATGATCTGGTAAACATTTCGTGAGCTTTAACATCCAGAATTTATACCATTGTTGTTGACAATACGAGAATCTGATGATTATTTCGCTAAATAATTCAGATGTATAGTATAAAAATTCAGGCAATTCCTTTTTTAATTGTGTATTGATAACATTATATATTTCTGCCGATTGAACTAGCATATTACTTGGTAATATTCCTTTTTCTCTTTGAGCTTTCACATGAATATAATCTAGTATTTTAGTATTTCTTTTTTTTATTATACAATTAGGAATTTTATATAAGTTTTTTAGTAGTTTTAGTGGTTTAAACACGAAATATGTTATATTTCTTTCCTAATATGGGTTAAAATAGTTATTGTGAACAGTTATCTGTTTACCAATTCATTAAGTCCATCTTTACATGCTTCGTTAATAATTATTTTATATTCTTTCCATTTTGTATGTGTTTCATTATATGATGATCTTTCACATGCTATACAAAGATTATATGAAAAAACAAGATTATTTTGTTGGGAATGATAGTTCGTTACTTCTCGTAGCCAATTTTTGATTTTTTTTTTAAATGTTAGAATTTGAATCTGTTGTTGTTGGAAATTTTGAAATAATGTTTCATAAAAGATATCATGATAATTTTCAGTTAATCCAACAGTTTGTTTAAGCTAATTATATGTTAACTCCAGCATTTTTATGTGCTTTGTTTCTAATTACTTTTTTGGTTCTTCGAGAAATGCCTTTGGTTATTATATGGCATATCTATGTATTTTAGTTTTTTTCTTGAATTATTTAATAATCAACATCATTATCTGATTTTCCAGAAATTACTTGTTTTACCATATCTTTACATCTTTTTATTTCATTTATTCTATCTATCACAAGAGTTATTTCTTTATTGGCGTGATTTAATAATATAATATCAGGATGATTTGCTGATGTTGTATTTAAAATTTGCTAGTTTTAATTAATATTTAAAAAAAAATATGTGCTATACTATTAGAAGTAGTGGATACTTAAGAATTCTCTGAACAGGTTTTATTAAAAGACTCGCTAAATCCCATGCATTTGTTTGTTTTTTACTAATTTCTTTGCATTCCTAGAAGTAAAACATGATTTAATTATTAAAAATTAATATTAAATTACCCAAAGCCATTTTTGAATATTAGTATTTTGTTCTAGTTCTTGAAGTTTTTCTGAACTTGCACTATGGTTTATACAATATATTGAATAAATTTTTTCGATTTGTGGAATCTATTTATTGATTAGTAATTTTAATAGTTAAACATGGATTTACCATTTCACTAAAAGCTTTACCAATCCATGTGTTAGATAATTTACTATATAATGTTTCCACTGTATCTATATTTATATCTGACTCTAAGTTAATTTCTAAGATATGTCTTCCTGCAGCTCTTAAGAGTTTACTAAATTTATCAGTAAATTGCCATATGTCGTAAATGTTACAAAAAACTATTTTTATATCTTGAGGAGACAATATGGAATACTCTAATGCTTTTTTTTTATATATCTTTTTTTTAATATAAATATCGGACAATATACTAAGAATTCTACAGACCTTTTCTATAACAAAGAGGTCATCTCTATAACTTTCTTCTGTCATTATAAGTTCCGTTATTATGTTTTTTTTTTTAAATATCATTTTTATTTCATTTTTTTCAATTTTTGTATCAAAAGCATCATGAATATGTTTTGTATCTATTGATAAAGAATCAATAGTAATGGGTAAAAGGGATACAGATGGTTGATATTGGATTTTCTTTTTTATTTTCTCGTTTTGGTTTTTGAATATCTTTTTGTCAGTAATTATATCTATTATATTGTTAGCATTGTTGATTTTTGATGAATCGATATCATATTGTTTTTCTGATAATTTCATGTTTTTAAGAGTATGATATTAGTGTTGATATTTATTTTTTTGAAAAAATTAATATGGTTGAAAGAGTTTTTTTAGAATATGCATATGTTAATAATTGATTAGTCTTAAAGATGAATGTTAGACGTAAATAAACAGTAGGGTTTTTAATATTAAATTTACTTTTTTTTTGAATTTTATAATTCTTTGACTTTATATATGCAAAATTTTTTGGTTTTTATGATGGTTTTTTAATTTTTTAAGATATATGAAGTTTTATTTTTTTTGTTGATTAAAGTGATAAACTGTTGAAGAGAAATTATATGTTAAAATAATATTTGATTTAGAGATATAATTAGATAAAGATGGTATATTTGGAACTGTATACTAATTAAGTGTTTTTTTTAAATGTTTTATCTGTCACTTTTTTAATTAATTTGATTCCTTATTTATTCTATTATGTTTTTTAAAATATATATATACATGTTAAATACTTTACTTTAAATATTTAAATATTGTAGTTATCTTTAATTTTGGAATTATTGGTATTCTCGTTATTAACTGAATTATTTTAACTGATTTCTAAAAATATTTTTTTGTTTTTAATATTGTTCGAATAATGTATAATTTTGATTCTAATATTTTTATGTAATTTTTTTGATTTTATTATAATTTATAATTGATATTTTTTTATAATGTTTTTGTTTATTTTTTAGTATAAATATTATTAATATATAAATTATTATAAAAAATAGTTTGTAATTTTTTAGAACTTTGTAAAATAAAATGATTTAAAAAATGTTATAGAAAAATTGATTTTTTCATTTTTAGACTATTTATGTAATTTTATTTAGATATATTTTAAATAAATAATATAAAATTATGAAATAAACCATTAAATTTATGATAAAATATTGATTTTGGATATATGAAAATAAATATTATATTAAATATTATATTAATACTAATTTTTATATAGTTTATTAATAAGTGAATAATAACATCTTAAATTAACGTTCGTGTAATTATTATTATATCTGAAAAAAATTATTATTTATAATAATATTGTTACATTTAAAAATACATATTTTTTTTATATTTTATATAATAATTGTTTTTATTTTGATTATAAATTGAAATATATATGTAATTTTGATTAAACATATACTAAGATGTAACAATTTTTATTAATATATAATATAAATAACAACTGTTTGTTATGCTAATATTTATTTTATAGTAAAATCCATGTGTAATTTTTTTTCAATATGTTATGATTTATTATAATTATTTTAGTGGTTAAAAAAAATATAATTCATATAAGTTCACCTGAATTAACAATATTTTTTACAATTATTTGGTTGAAATTCTTATCATTATTACATATTCTCAAATTTTCTTTAGTTATCTTTTAAAAAATATTTGTTTATATTTATATTACTTCATTACATGTTAGATATGTTTTGAATTAGTTATTTTTGATTATACGAACACATTGTTTTAATTTTCTATAACTAGCCCCTAGCTACTATTATATGTATCAGATGTATTTATCTATATTTTTGACTTACATTTTAATTGCGATAAAAAAAATAATTTAATATATGTTTTTTTTTAAAAATATATATTAATATATATTATAAAATACACTTTTAGCAACTTTTTGGAACCTTATTTTACATCTTTTATAATTTATATATTTTTATGCATAAATAATATAAATTATATTTTAATTTTATATATTTTATAATATTTCGGAACATTGGATAATTTAATAAATATTAGTTCGTTTGCGTAAACTAGAGACTAAACTAAATTTGGATAAAATAAAAAATAATATATACGGAAATAGACTACAAATTCACTTGAAATGCAAATAATGATCTTGATGTATATATCACAGAATCAAATCATAAAAATCTTTAAGTTGAAAAAAAGGGACACCTTCCGGAAGTTCAAAATTTTGAACATTAACAAAATATATTTATTCTATAATGAAATATTTATTTATTTCACTTATATTTTCTATAGTTGCATTGGTAAATGGTGCGTATTTGTTTTTTGCATCTAATAAGCTTGAAATAACTGTCTTGAAAGCTAGTAAAGTTTTGTCTCCGAAAAAAGGTGATAAATGGAAATCTGGTTTCCAATTAGTTCAATGGGAATATAAATTGTATGAATATTATATATCAGCTAATGACGCATTTTGTAATTTAAATTAGGCCTGGTATTGATACTGTTAATCTGTTTCTTGTTAAACGAAATATAAATCCTCCACTTTATACTTTGTTAGGTCAAGATATTAGTTATAAGTCCGGTAAAAGTAGTGTTCACCTTCCTTCAAATATGCTTCCTGGGTAAGTGCTTTTAGTCTGTATATAGTTTCTTAATTATGAAAAGTTCTGATTATTCGGTAAACTAGGGTGATGTTTTTATGTTTCTAATTTTATAGGTTATGCTTACTGGTCAGAATCCATATAATGTTTATGCTGAAAGTCAATATTTTTCTGTTCTACCTAGTGATGATGATGACTGTTATAAATATCTCTATGATGATGGTGCAGCTACACCTGGTCCTACACCTAGTGATAATCCACCTACTGTAGAACCAGAGCCTGAGCCTGAACCTTCTCTTGGTCCTGAGCCTCCTCTTGAACCTGATTGTGATGATTGTGAAGATTGTTCTGAAGATGAAATGTGTGGAGAATGTTTCGCTAATGAACGATGTGAATGTGATGGTTGTGAAACGTTAACAGATTCTCATAAGCCTTTTGTAACTGAACCTTCTGGCTCGGATGGTAAAGGTGTTGTTGATGTTGGTTCTATAAATAAAATTGCTGGTTTCTGGTTAATATTGATAATTACTATGTCTAGTATATTATTTTTGTGAAAATAATATAAAAAGACTTTCTATTCCATGTTGTCTTTGTAGATAGCAATAGTTAAAACGACTGATGTTTTGTGTTTGTAGGTTGTTTTTAATTTGTTTTATATTCTGGAAACATTATCATTGTAAAATAGTTTGGTAATTTATATATGTTTAATATATTACCACAATATATTATGATAACTTTATTGTATTTACATTTTAGTTATATGTTTATTTAAACTTAATTTTTAATTCATGATTTTTTATCATTTTATACTTTTCGGATATGTATATTTAGATTATACCATTTATAATTAATTATATATTATAACCTTAAAATTCAAATACTTTTTATTAATTGTTCTAAAATATTATTTGAATTTTTTTTCATATGGATTCTAATTTATGATATTAATTTATTTAGTATAATAATACTATACATATAATAATGCTATACATTTTATCTATAATATTAATGTCATTAAATATGTTATATATTTTATATCTAAGATGCATGATATATATATTATAAAAATTTACAAAAATGTCTATGTTTTTAATATATATGTTATAAATTATTAAATCTAAGAAGTAACATCTATAGTAATATTTTTGTTTTTTTTTTTTAAAATATTAAAAATATAAGTGTCTAAAAATAGATACTAAAATCTAAATATAATACATTGATAAATATAAACATATAAATATATATATATTAAACATTTAATTATAAATTGTATTTTTTAATCAATTTATATATATAAATCTATAAATCTATATGTTTTGCGTTAATAAATTGTAAAATTAATATCTAATATGATTTTATTTATAATTATGTAGTATATAATCAATTATAATATATCTAAATTATTAAAATTATTATATATTAAGTCATATAATATATTTTATATTATAATATAGAGTTTAATGTATTTTAATGTATTTTAATAACTTTTAACGATATTTGGTATGTACATATGTACAATTAATAACAACATATAATTATATAAGTGATTTACGTAATTTGCATAGTATACATATAAAATTTCCATATTTGTACATTTTATTAGTAAAATTAGCAAAAAATATATATGTAAATATATACTCAAATTATATATAAATTATATATATGAACACATTTAATCCATCTATTTAAATATTTTATATCATTATAATATTCAATTACTATAACTATAAACAATATTTTGTAGATTTTATTATTTATTATTACTATTTTATACAATATTGAGATACACTTATCAATTAAAATATAAAACGATATTCAAAAATTAGTAATATAAAAATAAAAAAAATAATTATATAAGTTAGTATATGTTAGTATATCTTTTTTTAAATATTAAATACATATTCAAATTACTATCATTATTATTTTAAATAATATTTTTAAATAATATTTTGTTTCATTACGTATTTTTATAATAAAAATATATATTATATATATTATTTATATATTATTTTATAGTTAATATATATAATTAATATTATAATTAATATTATAATTAATATATAAAACAAATTTTTAATAACACAATTTTTAAAGAAAATTCAATTTATAAAAATATTAACAAAATAATAAATTTTTTTACAAAAATTAACATTATTCATAATGATTCATAACTTTAAACTAATTAATTAATATCCATCATACTATGTATTTCAGTATCATTTTCATTATATCCAATAATAAATTTCAATTTACTTCCATCTAATATTAGCTGCCATACACCTAAATCTTGATATTCTTTTATACATTCAACAAGTTGATCATCAGTAAACCCTTTAGCTAAAACCCTTTCTCTAATAATTCTCATATTCCATTCGTCTATAAACTTTTCACCATCACCGTAAGCCAAATCTCGAATAATCTTGTAAATTTTAGAAGAAAAAGTAATATCGGAATCAAAATCATGTTTTTCATATAATGACAATTTCGATACTTCTATTAATCTAAGAGCTTCGTCTACATCTGCAATTTCAACAACATCACTAAACCTTATTCGTGATAAAGCCTTAGAAGTAATGAGCATAATCTATTGGATATACAAATACTCGCCTGTGACATACGCAAAATTCCTAATAAAGTTCGTGGAGTTATATAAGTAAACTGTCTTATACATATTAACACAATTACCAAATATACAAAAATAATACTTCATCACATTATCTTTTTTCTGCCTTTGACGCATTTGAACATAAGAACCTACAATATAATCCGATACAGATTTAGATATTACAGGTCTTTTAAGTCGTGCCTGAGATATATAACTACGTATCATTACCGGATCTAATGGCTCAAAATTCATATCAGGATGACGACTATTCATATGAACAAAAGAAACATGTCGAGCTAACCTTTCATCTTCATCTTTAGTAGGAGTATCCAAAATAAGAAACAAAATATCAAATCTAGAAAGTAAAGCAGCAGGCAAATTAATATTATCAGCAGGAGTAACTCTAGGATTATATCTTCCATATAAAGGATTAGCTGCTGCTAAAATAGATGTTCTAGCATTAAGTGTAGTAACGATTCCAGCCTTACTAATAGATATAGTCTGTTGCTCCATAACTTCATGAATTGCTGTTCGATTAAATTCATCCATTTTATCAAATTCGTCAATACAACATATACCATTATCAGCTAAAACAAGAGCACCTCCTTCCAAAACCATTTCATCAGTAACAGGATCTCGCATTACAGTAGCAGTTAGACCTACACCAGAAGAACCACGCCCAGTAGTATATATACCCCTTGGCGCAACTTTTGAGATATATTTCAAAAGCTGAGACTTTGCAACACCCGGGTCGCCCATAAGACATATATTAATATCACCTCGAATCTTCATCCCATCATGCATCTCTTTAGTAACACCTCCAACTAACAATAAAAGAAGTGCTTTTTTAACATCATCATGTCCATAAATCTCAGGAGCAATACTTTTAGAAAGTTGTTCATAAACATTACTAGAAACACTAAGTTTTTCGATCTGTTTTATCATTTCAGGTGTATTTTCTATAATATCATATTGCTTTTTTAATTTATTAACATACTGACATTCAAGATAAGTATCAGTAAGCAAACCAGCACGAATTGCCTTAAATCCAACAAAGGGAGTAGGCAAAAATATACCAGAAACATCTAAAATATCACCCGGATTCATACTTCTAGTAATAGACCCATATAAATGTATAACCAAAGTTCTTGGAATATGACCTACTGATACTTGACTTGTCAATTCTTGTATTCTAGCTTCCTGAAATGGTATAAATTTTGATGCTCTACTAGACATAAAAAGCTGTCCTTTCGAATTATTTTTTCTACATTCATCACTTATACATTCTATAATAGGAATAAATTGTTTGGCTTTAATTTCTTGAAAAATCTCGTAACCACAGTGATCACAAGTATATGCATTTATCTGCAAAGAAGGTTTAACATCAGAAACTCTTATAATTATTCCCCGTACAGTGACCAAATGTCCCAAATGAAAACTTTTAAGTTCTCTCACAGTATATACCTTTATATGTCCTTTTTCATATATATCAATTGGTTTAAAATATAGATTAAACCTTCTAGTTAACTGAAGAGGAAAGATATTTTCTAAACCATTATTTTGATCAATTTCATTACGCTGCATTCGCTGATGCATTATGATATCCATAACATCATCAGTATAAGAAATATCAACAGTAGAATCAGGCATAATAGTATCTATAACTCTAGAAAATATATCATTATATCGTTTTGTATTATTCATAATATTATTAACAAGATCTTTATTAGCAGGATCATACTGAATAAAAAATAATTAATAAACACACAAACTATTGATGAAATCTTACAGTTTCAAGGTCCTTTAAATCAATTGTAATACTATCTTTAACCCTATTCGCAATTGCTTGCTAAATGATATTATATATAATATTATTAAATAAAACATTATACCAATTCTTTCATATATTTAGGCACAGTATCTTCAGAATAAAATTCACATAACTTCATTTCAGAGATATCTTGAACATCATTTTTAATATTGTAAGGTTTAGGAATAAAATTCAGTAAAAAATCCTGAATTCGTTCTTATAATTTAATAATTAAAAAATAAAAGTAGAAACCATAAATACCCTTTATCTTAAGATAATCAACATTTATATTAATCGTTGGTAATGCATGTCTAAGACTCATTATTTATTAGAGTCTTTATAAATTCGTTTAAATTTAATGAGCATCTAAAAATCACGATTACTCTTAATATTTGAAATAACCAAAATAATAATAATCTAAAAAAACACATAAAATCCATAAGTATTCATTATTAATTTTATTAATTATTAATTTTATACAAAAACAATAAACAAATAGTATATCTTAATACAATTGTTCTTACATAAAGATCAATATTAAAAAACAAGAATTTAAATCAAAATTTCATAATTATTGAAATTTTCAAAAAAATCAGATTTAAATCCAAAAACAATTATGAGAAAACTTAAAAATACAAAAGTACATTTTCACACAATAGACATAAATTACTATATTATCAACAACGTATAAAATTAAAATACATAAAAAAATTCAAATAATCAAATATATTACAATTAACAATGAAATGTAAATAACTTATTATTTTACAAGAACAAAATATTAAAAATATATATATCACAATAATTAACATAAGATATTTTTAAATAAATTTCATAGTACAGTTATATTAAGAATTCTAGGAGCGATATCAATAGGAGTAGGCCTATTATGCCTATCAACCTTAATAGACTCAATAGCATGAACAACATCTAATCCAGAATATGCTCTCCCGAATATTGTATGTTTTGAGTCAAGCCATGGAGTACGTTCAGTAGTAATAAAAAATTGAGAACCATTCGTATTTGGACCAGCATTTGCCATAGACACCTAAAAATTTTTAAATATAAGAAATCATAAAATTCCAAAAAAATACAGTGTATGGATGATCATGTTTTAATTCAGATGATATTTCATCTTCAAATTCTACACCCCAAATACTCTCACCACCAGTCCCATCACCCAAAGGATCACCACACTATTATTATTAAAATAACTATATAAAAAACAAAAACATTTACCTGTATCATAAACTTTTTAATTATACGGTGAAATATAGTATTATCATAATAACCATTTTTAGAATGTGTAACAAAATTTTCTACAGCTTTAGGTGCTATTTCAGGAAATAATCTAATACATATATCACCAAGAGTAGTATGTATAACAGCAGATGTTCCAGTAGAAGTTAACAAGCACGTTTCTACATCTAAATTGTTTTCTTGAATAGGCTTCTCATTAAAAACATCTCTATCAATTGTTGAATCACTATTTAAAAAAATAAGTATATCATACATTGATTCATTTTTATACCTTTCAGAAAATTTCATAAACATATAAAAACGAGATTTTTTATAAGCAGAACAAAATAAAATAGGATCTATATTTTTAGACTCAGTCACTAACGGATTCTCAGATGCAATCATAGCAAGTGTAGTCCTTTTTGTTTTTTTAGGTGTACCCTGATATAAAGAAAGATTAATGAATCTTAATGACTCATCTTTTCCAATCAAACGTACGCAACAATTCGTATATATATTTACAACTAAAATATCAAAAAAAAAACATAAAACATATAAAATACAGACATTTTATACCCAATAATGTAGGATAAATAATAAAACTTCCAGATTCATCAAAAATTGTATTTAAAGTAAGTTTATAAAATTTGTCATTTATTAATTCTCTTTCTATAGCAATACGCCGTCCAAATTCCATATCATCTAGTTTATGTATATTTTTATCAGACTAAAAAGTCAAAAATATATATAATAATATTTATTTTACCTGTTGCAATTTATTAAACATATTCAAACTTTCATCATACTTCCTTATCATTTTACCAGTTTTAAAAACAAATATCCTTATTTGTTGATCTGGAAATGAAATAGTAGAAAACTTTTTACCGTCAGGCGATATAGTAATAGAAGTAGGTATCGATTTTGACTAATAATATCAAAAATACATTACATGTAAATATACACATAAACACCTTTTTAAATTCATATAAATCAGTATCACTTTTGAACTGAAATACATCCCTTGGTTTCTTATATTGACTATCCGGTTCCCAATATTCAATTGTTCCGCTTTCATCAGCACTTATAACACAATTATATATAGGATTAAAAGATATAATACTGACAGGCCTAGTATGAAGGTTTCTTATAACATAGATGCACTCAGAGCTCCCTCTTCCATCATATACATTAATAGTAGGAGAAGAAGCATCTGATCTAAAAAAATATAAATAAAAAAAATTATAATCAATAAATTTAATCACACTGCTAAAAATGCAATAGCATGAACTTTAGAATATACCCAACACAATGCTAATGGACTGTATCCTAAACTAAGTTCATTAATCATATCTTTAAAACATTAACTTTAAAAATATAGCAAATAAAAATACCAAAATTTACAACATCAAATATTTTTAAAGATTTGTCAGAACTAACACTTGAAAATAAAGAACCGTCACTAGAAAGTGATGTAGAAACAATGGAACCAAGATGTGCTTTATAATGCTTTACAAATTCTATTCCAGAGGCCTGTTTTTTCCAAAATTTAAGATAACCGTCTATTGACGTAGTAATTATAAAATCATATCTAGAAGAGACACAAACAGAAAATATATTATCTCTATGCATAAATGATTTCGTATACTTTTTATTTTCTGGTAATGCTGATAAATACTTTTCTTCATAAACCATAACTATTTTCTATTTAATATTATATAGACAATTAAACATTTAATAACCTTTTCTCTTTTTCCCTAAAGACGTCTGTGCAACTATGGGAACAGGACCGATATCATCTACACATAATTAATTTATAAATACTTTAAATTATTACTGAAAATACCATCATTTGATTGATTTAAAAATCTATTATTTTGGAAAAGATCTTTATCAGAAAATTCAGATTTGTCCATTATCATTTTCAAGTTTATCAGCTGTAATACATCACCACATGTATTATATTTAATTATATAAAAACTTGTTTTTTTTTTTTAAAAATATAACCAAATAAATGTTTACGAATATTAAAACTTTTTAATAAGATATAAATAAACTATAAAATCAAAACTACATTAACTTTAAAATAATTATAACATATTTAATCGAACATGATCTTTTTGTAAAAACATAATACAATTCTTTAATTCCAAGAATTATTTAACATCAAATATTACAAAACTAATTCAAAAGCTAAACAAGTAAAATTTAATCTATATATAATTTTTGCAAGTGAAATACAAAATACAATAAAAAAATAAATCCAAAATCTCAAAATTTATAAAAAAAGAATTATAAAAATAAATATTTAATAAAAATAACTAAAACTAATATATATGTGTATATCAAATTACAAATACTCAATTTAAAATAAAATCCAATAATATATGATTTAATATACAAATGCTTCAAAAGATTCTAAATTTTGAGGAGAAATAATCTTAGAAAGCACTTTTAAATCACGACACTTTTTTGCGCAACTTAAATACAAATTTAATTTAAACAAAACATTAGGATAAAGAGTCTGTTTTTTCCGAAATATTTTCCAAAAAGCATGAAATGCAAGCCTTTATTTTTAAAACATATTTTTACTATAATAATGCACTCACCATCTTACATGGCCAAAATTTACAGAACATCTAACTTGCAAAGTAGTTAACTCTCTACTTTTAAGATATGACAACATGAAATTTAAACATTCTTCAATGAACGCTATATTGATTAATAAAATAACTAAAAAAAATAAAAAAAAAACTTAATATTTTATTTTGATTTGGCCTTTGTCCTTTCATTACTTTCATATATCTATGCATTTTCATAGCACAAAAAATAAATGAACTATATATATTTAATAAAACAGTATAATAAGAATTAAAATCAGTATCCATAAATAACGGATGAGCACTTAATTTCAACAATCTTCAACCTTAATTAGTTAAATAATAATCAACAACATTACTTACTGAAACGACTTAATTAATATAGAATTTCCAGGAGTATGAGAATATTCTACCGTTAATGTATGATCAATATCTAAAAACAAATTATTAGTAATATAAAAACAACAGTGATAGCATGCCTTTTCCAGATAACCTAGAATAATCTTTTTTAACATCAAGAGTAACCATATTTATTAAATTCCCACAATATGGGAATTCACGACGTCCTAACAAACGATTTACTTTAAAACCATCTACATTTGCTTCGAAATTTACAAGACTTTTATCAGGATTAACATAACAATTATATTCAGGATATCCTATTTTTTTTTAAAAAAAAAAAAAAAAATCTTAAGATCACCTTTATGCATACACTCCAAAAATTTCTTTGCAATAGTTTTATCTAAAGTTATTAAAAGAAAATCGTCAACAAGCCTTAATAAAATCTACAGCCATTAAATATATATATGAAATAAAAAACTAAATACAGTATTTGGTTGTTGAATAAACTTTAAATATTTTTTCTCTAAATTTCCATAAAAATATGCACAAAGTATTGTAGACAAAATCGACCCCTGAGGAATACCTTTTAATTGTTTATAAAATTTTTTTCCTATCTAAAATAGTTATTAAAAAAAAAAGAAATAAATTTTCAACCTTAACCAAATTCCCTTTAACATGTTTATATAAAAGTTTAATTATATCATCCTTATCTTTAAAAGAATGAACAACCTTATCAACAATAACAGAATGACGATACAAATGACTAATATCATCCGCAAATTTTTTAAAATAACACAAGTCATCTGAAAACATTAAAAAAAATCTACAATATCAACATTATACTACCAGAAGAACCTGCTTTAGCAATAAATCTTTTACTAAATTTTCCAAGATTCTGTGTAACTAAAACAAATCTTCTCAAAATATATTCATCTTCTTGTAAAGTTTTAATTACTAATTCTAGAACTTTATCTTGATCAATAGTATCAAAACAATTTTTAACATCAACTTTTGCAAAATAAAGTTTTTTTCTACGATTTATTAACATATTGACAATAAGTTATTATGCTTATACTTCTGCAAATGATTGCTATTGATATACTTTTTAAACATCTTAATACTTTTATAAATATCATTAATAGAAAATAAAGACGATCCTAAACAATCAAAGCTTCTTTCCTAATAACACTTAGTAACAACTAAACTTCAGAATCTTTACTCTTTCAAACATCAATACATAAAATACAGTATTTAACATAGAATTAATACTAGGCATAGAAATGATTTTTTTATAACGTTTATTTCCAAAATCTAATCTTTCCTAGAACAGCTATAACTACAGAGATTAAGACTCAAACAAAAACATACTACTCTAATTTGCTTCTTTCTTAAATTTATTATAGGTCTTACACCAATTTCCTTCGGAAGAAGTCGTATATAAGAATATCCTAAATAAAAATTGCTACTAATTTCTTTTAAATTCACCTTAAAATTATGTAAGAAATCAAATAATTAGAATAAATAATAACAATTATTACCATAAACGAATCACCAAACATTAAAGATTTAATGCGAGATATTTGAGGTTCTGACAAACTTTTCCATACATCATGTCTAAAGTATAAAACTTTATTTCTATAAACACTACTTTCAGTAACATAGAAATGTGAGCGAATTAAAGGAATCAATAAAGAATCGAATGTCCAGTATACAAGTTCTGAAAATATACTAACTCTTTTCTGAAAATCCCATAAAGACATACGATGATTACTATCACTTTCAAGCCAAGAAACAGTTTTAACCTTTTAAAAATTAGCAAAAAAAAAAAAACATATTAACATATACTTTCAAAGAATGCATTAAACTATGAAGAGAAATAGATTCAAATCTTCTCATACGAACAAACGTATTTATACCTATATAAATCATTCCAAAACATTAATATTTAACACAGAAATATAACTGTCAAGAATATTCTCAAAATTTGAATCAGAACCATAAAACCCCCTTGGAATTATCTTTTTCATTATAGCCCTTAAAAAACACGATACCTAAAAATATTAAGAAAAGTACAAATATATAAAAAAAAAACATGAGAATAAGGAGTTGTCATTGCAATAAAATCAATATCCACTTGCATATTCCTTGTATTTAAATAATTATCTAATAACTCTAAAATCAGAACAAATAAAAAACTGGTATAACTTTTAAGTACCATGATGTCGATCAATATAAGTTTGATTCATATCAGAGGGATTTATATCAAAATAATATTTCTATAAATATTAAAAAATTTCTCTAAAAATAACCCAATAACTTTAATAGGACAATAATAATCTAACATAATTTTATAAAAACATAATTTATGTCTCCTTTGCAAAACTGGAAGAATCTTCAAAAACTTCCTTAACCTTTTTGGAACCGAAATTCTTCTATTTCCAGCATGAAATGAACTACAAACTTTTACTGTATAATCTTTTAAGAATTGAACAGTATCTTTTCGATCAACAATAGACGTAAAAACATTATGTAAATGAAATTGCCGCGGAAAAATATCAACTAAAAGAGAAATAGAATGTGATAAATTAGTTGAATCATTGAAACGACTCAATGGATCTGAATCCAATTAATTTCTCAAAAAAATAACAAAAACTTATTAATACGAATACGATAAAGCCCAAATAGAATTTTGTTATGCGAATTATACGCAGGTCGAGCATAAAATATTTTAGAACGTATTATCATAACGTCATTACACGAGCGCCTGTTAATAAAAAGAGTTTATATTTTAAATAATGCGTAGTTAATTTCTTACATATTAGGCCAAGAATCATCACTTGATACAATGTCTGGTAATTCCATATCATCAAATTTACGTATTTTAGAAAATTCACTAGAATTATCATATAACACAGAAAAACAAGTAGTTCTATAAAACATCAAAAATCAAAAATAATTATATTTAATAAACATACTTGAGTCTTTTAGCACAATTTTTTAACAAAAAACATTTTCTTTTAAGACTTATAAGAGGACTAACTTCATATAATGGAATTCCTTAAATATTAAAAAAAATAAAATAAAATCTAAAAAAAATAACTCACCACAGAACTGAAAATAATTATCTTGAGGTAATGCCATAAACATACTTGTTTCAAGCAAAAGATCAACCATAAATCTATCACCAACACTTAAATTTTTAAAATTAACACATAACATCCACATAACTTTACAATTGCAAAAGTGTTTCCCAATTATCAGATCTAAGAAATGTAACATGATTATTTGGAAAATAATTTACAATAGCATCTCCAAATGCACCAGCAGTAGCAGTTTGTATAGTATCATTACCCTTATTTAATTAAATAAAAAAAAAACTATAAAAAACAAACTCTTCTATAGCCCTGGGAAATAATATTAGTAGGCCTCCCTCGAGACCTTATAAAAATCCTTCGAATAACAGAATTAACAACCTAAACGACTAATAAGTATAAAAAGACAGTTATTTTCAAAAATACTTCTGTTTGAGATGATACTATTGTAGTAATATTAGATTTAAGAGGTGACATTTTACATTTATCATTAAAGCAAACAATACAATCATCTAAAAGAGAAGATAAAACAGGTAAATTTTCAATTCTTTTTAACCATTCTTCATCACAATTTTTAAAACGATATCTTAAAACATGACGCAGTGATAAAACATATCGATAAAATTGACTAAGAAGCTGTAAAGAAATCGATTTTGAAGCATCCATTAAACAATATTATTTTATAAGACAATTTAAATATTATTTTTCAATTAAATATTAAGTTTCAAATGTCTAATTTTTAAAAATATTCGAAAAATATATTTAACCATTTCAAAAAATTTTAAAATTAAAAAAAATTAGAACATAAATATTTAAATCTATAATTCTTATTGCGGGTTCTACGTATTTAAAACCAGTATTTAAAAATAATCACTATATTTTTTATTAAACGTATTTCAAAACAAATTCTTAATTTCATATAGTCATAAAATTTTTAATATCAATAATTCAATAAAACCAAAAGCTTTAAATATTTTAATATACTTTAATAAAACATCTATGTTTATATAAAATAATTTTACAATATACTATTGCTAATAAATACATATATTTATAATATAATAAAATATTTTATATTTTCTATAACAATAACTCATCCACATCTTTATAATTTTAAATTAAACGCGATAAATACAAACATTTATAAATATTAATACTGCAATAAGACTTTTACTAAGTTACTAACTATATAAAAATCAATATCAATAACCCAATATTTTCATGTCTTTTTTTTTAAAAATACCAAAAATCAATATAAATTCCTAACTAACCATATAAATATTTCTAAATCCAAATATAAATATTTTAAACAAAAAACAACAATCATAATTTAATTAATATTTACTATAAATATCAACAAAAACATTATAAATAAACATCAAAAGCTATTTCAATAATTATACAAACATAAATTAAAAATATAAATTATCTTCTTAATTTTAAAACTTTACTAATCGCAGATTTTACAATTATAGCAGATTTTTCAGTCTCTTTTTTCGACAAACCAATATTTATACAAATACGAATACTTGGACCGAATTCCCAAATCTCTTGAGAATTAATTTTTCTAACACGCATAATAAGTATACCATTATTAAGACACTATTATATTTTTAGTCTTTGAATAAAACATCTTTTAAAAGAATCTTTTACTTCATCTACAATTTCTTGCAAAACCCCCTCTGTTTCCTCAAAGGACCAACCATATTTCTCTAAAAACTCTTTTTTTATACGAAAAATGACAATAGGACTATCTTTATGACTACTTATATCTATAAATTCATTCATTTCAATTATCGAACGAAATATATTAGAATTCTTTCTTAAAGCAGTAAAATAATCAGAAGAAGACGGTTGTTGAAGCATAAGTATTGCTTGTGAAGCAATTACAGCAAGAGACGCAGGCAATGCAGCAGAAAAAACATAAGAAGCCCCAGTTATCCTCTACAAACATTATTAAAATTTTAACAAATAAACAAAAAGTTAAAACGAAGACAAACATAATTAAAGAAATAAAAACATACCTGGTGTTCTACAATCTCTGAGGTACCTGCACAAAACCCACCTCCACTACAGAGACAAGTACTCAAAGATCCAACTAAAATATCAACATCCTGAGGGTCGCATCCATAATACTCAGTCACTCCACGTCCACATCTTCCCAATGTACCAAATGACCATGACTCATCAAGTATTAATCGATATTTATACTTTTTCTTGAGTTCAATCTAATTTAAATTCAGAAACTGCTCATCAATATAATTCTATATTTTACTATTTTTGCCAAATTACAAATATCTCCAAAAGTTTCACTTAATCCCTCTACAATAATAAATCTTCGTGAAAGAGGCTTATGTGAGACCATTTGATCAATACGAATATTTTCTAAAACATCTTCGAGAGAAGAAATATCATTATGATCAAACCATCGTATGGTAGAACGAGATATTTGAATCCCTTTTTGAATTGCAAAATTTACTCCACGATCACTATTAAATGTAAAACAATATAAACAATAATTAGAAAATTACACAACTAGAATATCACCGCGTTTTGAAAATGCAGGTATAACAGAAGAAATAGTAGAATATGTTTGAGAATAAAGGATTGCAGATTCAGTTCCAAGAAAATTTGCAACCATTTGTTCCAAAACCATATGTACATCTAAATAAGTTAGGCATACTCTTAAAATTAAAAATAATTCAGCAAAAAAGGACTTTTTTTAAAATTCTAACCTTGAGTTCCATAAAATCCAGGTGGACCACATGCACCAACACCATATTTTCGCAACGCTTCAATTGCCTTTTTTTGTAACAACTCAGAGGAGATAAAATTCAAAAAATTATATGACGAAAGATTTATTATTGTTCTTGTAGGGGATGAAGTGAGTCGAACTTTAGAACCAGTACTTCTAATAAATAATTAAATATTATAAATATAAATAAATTACACTATTCTAAAAAACATACCCAATTATAATAGGAATCTTCTCTATTTCAGATTTCTCAGCTTCAGTTAAATCAGAAACAAGATTTTCAGGAACCCATTCGTCTACTAAATCATCAATTTCCTAAAAAAATCAAAAAAAAAAAAAATTGTGACAACAAACAACCTTTTCTGAAAGCTTCACATAATTATTCTTTTCCGGACTATATTTGGTTGAAAGAATATACCTTATAATAAAAAAAATAAGAAGAAGTTCAATTATAGAACGAACTGGATCATTTTGATACGAAGACTTTATATAGCGAGAAATAACAGGATATCCAGGAATTTTTCTAATACTTGACACAATACCATCCAAATACAACATAAAAATCCAGTAAAAATATTTTTTCCAAAAACTTAAATATTTAAATTTTTAAAAACTAAATAATTAAAAACCCTTAAAATAAACAAAAATATAATATAGATAAATACTAACCTAAAAATAATCAGAAAACATAAAAAATCGTCAAATAACTTTATTGATTCTTTATTTATTATATTATATTTTATTTTCCTAATATTAAATTACATTAAATTTTAATTTTTAGCGATAAAAAAAATGAATCTTAAAACATATTTTAAAAAAAAAATAGAAAAATTCAAATTAAAACTTTTTATTTCTAATAAAAAGAAGTCTTCAAAGTATTATTTAAGTAATAAAAAATATAATGAATTATATCTTGAAGAATTTACAAGGTATGGGCGACAAATAATTTTACCAGAAATAGGAATAGAAGGTAAATTATATTTAAATATCATTTCTCCAAATTTAGTGTTATTTTATAGGACAGAAGATTCTAAAGACAGCAAAAATATTAGTTGTAGGAGCAGGTGGATTAGGGTGTCCTGCTTTAGCTTATTTAACAGGAGCAGGAATTGGTAAAATATATTTTTTTAATAAACATTAAAAAACATGACTAAATATTAAGGAACTATTGGAATAGTTGATGGAGATTATGTTGATATATCAAATTCTCATAGACAAATTTTACATACATCATCTAAATTAGGAGAAAAAAAAGTCAATTCTGCTATTAAATATTTAAAAGAGTATATAAATATTTACATATACAATGTATAGTAAGACTTACATCTTAGTTTAAATCCTTTAGTCAATTTTGTTAATCATTCTACTCATATTTCACCTTCTTCATCAATAAGTATTATTCAACCATATGATATCATTCTCGATTGTACAGATAACCAACCAATACGCTATCTTATATCGGATACATGTGTTCTTTTAAAAAAACCTTTAGTCAGTGCAAGCGCTATAAAAACAGAAGGTCAGCTTTGTGTCTATGGATTTCGAGGAAATTGTTGCTACAGATGCCTTTTTCCTACACCATCACCAAAAGAAGCAAGCCAAACATGCGAAGGAAGTGGAATATTAGGAATGGTAGTAGGGGTAATGGGAGCATTACAGGCATTAGAAGCAATAAAAATTTTACTATCACCTCAACTAATATCTCATTATGATACAGAAACTAATAGTTACATATCTTACATGACATTTTTTTCAGCATTCTCAATTCCCCAATTTAGGTCTATTAAACTTCGTCCAAGAAATATATTATGTCCAAGTTGTGGAGACAAACCCTTGATTACAAAAAGTATAATTGAAGAAGGAAGTTGTTACAATCTAAATACTTTATGTAAAGAAAAAATTCTATCAAGAGAGCAAAGGATTACTGTACAAGAAAGTGACCTATAATTAATTTTTAAAATCCTAATGTTTTTAGGAACTAAATTCCATATTTCAGTCTGAAGAAATATCGCAAATTATATTAATTGATGTTAGGGATGAGATGCAATTTAAACTATGTTCTTTACCATTTTCAATAAGTAATATAGACAATTAATAACTTCTTTGCTTATATATAATAGACATACCATTAACTAGTTTTTATAACCTTTCATATCTTCCTATCGATATAAGTAAACAGATATATGTTATATGTAGATCAGGAAATGATTCTCAACTTGCAGTAAAGTTACTTCACGAAAAATTCAATATTTTGACTGCTAAAGATGTTATTGGGGGATTAAGATCATGGAGTACAGTAGTAAATAACCAATTTCCAGTATATTAACTCAGAGATTATATAATAATATAGATATATACAAAAGCAAATATTATTACTACATAAGTCTAGTTATTCAATTAACGCTTTTTTCCTATACGCTCTACAATCTCTTAACCATCTTCTATAATCCTATAAAAATAAGCTTATATTAACAATATAATAAAAGAATTTACAGATAGAGAGCCAATTTTTTCCCCATAATAGTCAGGCACAGGATTATTTATTGATTGATGTCTTGGATCTACTCTATTTTTTTGAATATGTAGAAAAAAATCGCGCTCTTTCTAAAAAATTATCAAAAAGATAAAAGAAAAATATTATTACTTCTTGAATCAATTTGTTTCTCTTAGAATGAAAACTTTTCCATAATCCGATACCTATAGGTCGGCCAAATAACCAACCAACACCTCCACAAGCTAAGGTAGCTAATAAATATACTACAAAAGGATCTATCCCAAATATTGTTTGTGTAGGATCCACTTGTATTGTAGCAAAGTAAAAATAGCCCAAAGAAAGTCCAACAATAGATGAAGGAATAGAAGCGATTAAACCAGATCGCAAATTTTGGCGACGTAAATATAAAAATCTAAAATATCTAAATAAAAAAAATCATTAAAAAACACCAATATAAAAATACTCATTCCATGATAAATCCTGTATATCTTTTGATGAAGTATTTAGTTTAGAATCTGTTATAGATGATTTAAATCGTGTAGGAAATAATCGAAACCCAAAAGCGTAAGTTAGTTGAGAACCAATCCTTCTTACAATCAACTTTTCCATAAGATATTTTATTTGAGAACAAAAGAAAAAATTATATAGTAAAAAAAATATATTTAGAAATAAGTCAATTTAACTACTGAAGCGTATTTAAAATATATTTTCAAAATATCAGATTTAAACGCTTAAAATGGTTAAAAATTAAACGAATTAAAATATCATATACTAATATTTAATAGTCAAAAACAAATAAACATAAACCATATTCAAAAAAAATTAACCAAAAATTAAAGAAAAATATAGAAAATAAAAGCAATACCAATGAAATTACCAATAATTTATCTCAAAATATATTTAAAAAAAAAACTAAAACTATATCGAAAATCCAAAGACGTAAATCTAAACATGAAAAATGGATGGAAAGTAATATAATTCGATTTATTTTAAAATGCTTTTAACATAAAAAAAATAGAGTTTAAAAAAGAACCAATATTAAGTACATCTTTCCATAAAAGAATCAATAAAAAACAGAAATTACAGTTTTTATCAAGTATTAAAGAAATATCTAATTCATTACCAGATATTGTTGAAGAAGTGAAATATATAAAGCCAAAAAATTCAAAAAAACAAATAAAAAATTCTCAAAAACAAGAAGAAATACGATTTAATGCAATACTTCAACACCCAAACTTTCAAAATGATCCATGGGGAAGCATCAGACAATATATAAATAATTCAGTAGAAAAAAAAAGGCATATTAATTAAATATTAACATAAATGTTAATATATATACATATATATAATTTTAAAATAAGTTTATTATATATATATGTACATAATATTTTATCATCCAAAAATGTTTTGAAATATAATCTTATTAATTTTTCTTATAATACTTAAAAAATTAAAAAATATTTCATCCTTTTGTAAAAAATATAGAAACCAAGATATAAACATTTAAAAATATCAAAAATTAAATACAATAACTACACAATATATATTTTAAATATTTATTGTATTTCAATAACTTTCTATAACTTTCATTATTCATTTTATATAATATTAGATATCTTTAACTTTTTAAATATCTAAAAATATTCTCATAAAACAAAAATACTTTTAATTGTTAAACATATTTGATACATAAAATATTTTATAAAAAAGATTAAACCAAAAATTTAAATAATATTTTAAAAAAAGTATTTATGATGTATATTTATATTTTAATAATGATAAACAATTAATACAATTAAAAATTGAAATAAAAAAGTAAATTTAATACAAAAAAATCATAATAATATTCAAAACATAATCATTTCAATAAAAATTCAATAACAAAAAATAATAATATCCTAAAATCTTGTTTTAAAGCCAAACTAAAAACTAAATCATATTTTTAATAAAATAAAAACAAATATAAAATATATTATTATAATTATTATATTATTAATATAAAATACAGAAATAATTTTAAATTTGTTTTAAACATAATATTTCTAATAATTAGAAAATTATCAATAATAAATTATTTCTCATACTCTTGATTCCAATAATTTTTTAATATATATAACTAAATCAATACTTTCAATATTATAGAAATCAAATTAAATCTAATAAAAAATATTTTTATAACTATGTTTAAAAAATTAATTAAAAAACATTATTAAAACTACCTTTTGAAAAAACTTTCACGTAATCTATTTATAAATATTTTAAATCAATATCCAAAAAATTATTAAGACAAAAAATTATTTAATAACATAAAACAATACTAAAAAAATAATTATCTTACAATAAAAACTTTTCAAAACCAAAAATATCAAAGTTAAATTATTATCAAATCAGCATTTAAGAAAATATTTTATAAATAATTTTACACTGTTTAAAATCTATTATTTATTATAAAACAAAACTATTTATTTCCGAATAATCTTAATAAGAAAAAAATATAATCAACAGTCTTTTTCTTAACTTTTAAGTTTTCAATTAAGTTTTTAATTAAAAACTATTAACATTTTCTTATAAAAATTTCAAAAACCAACAAATAAAATTTTAATTTCTAAAAAATTTATACAAAATATTTAAAATTTTTATTAATAAATCAACTTAAATTCTATATAAATTATTAACAGCAATATCCATATAAAATAATCTAAAACTTTCATTTATTTAAAGTTAATTTTGAAATATCATCATAAAGATCTAATATAGTAGACGCGGACCATAACTGAGTATTATTACTATCATTACAAAACTATTTTTCTCAGAAACAATATAAAATCAGCATTTCAATACCTCCCCATTTTTATTAGTTAATTCTACCAAACCAGCCCATGGGTTTTCTTGAATTTTTTTCATCAATGTAACCAAACGATCATGAATGTGGTAACAAACTATATCTTTATTTTTTATGAAATCATAATGAAATATATTAAAATAAAGAAATACTCTCAAAAAATACCCTGTACACCATAACCATTCTGGCCCTTGATGGTAATTTCTACCTTTAGATGTTGCAAAATCATCACTATCGTATGAATTTATGTAATATGGACGATAATCTTTATCAGAAGGATCCAAAGTTAACATACCCATAGGTCCTCGAATAACATTATCTGCTATTTCAATAGTTTGAACAGCATATTTGAAAGTAAAAAGCTCAGGCGCAACAATCATTGCAACAGCAAAATTAGGTCTAAGTTGGTAATCTTCATATTCTTTATTACTATGATAAACATCTTTATATATTCCTCTTCTATTAATCATTGAAACATTAACATCATATTTACAATCATCCTGAGGATCTAAATTATTAGATAGATAAAACAATGTAAAAAAATACCGAATGGTACATAATAACAAAATTCAAAATTCTCTTGAATTTTTTTTTCCCATTCTTCAAAAGTCACATTTTTAAATTCACCATTTTCTTTTTTAGGTCAATAATTTTTATTATCAAAACAATTTTATTCACCTTCAATGTTAACACAATGCCATTTATAAATATTTTTTCTTCGAAGTTCATTTATCCACCTTAACGTACTCTTAAGCATTCCAGATATTTCTATGGCAGCACCATCTCTCGGAGTACCAGGAACACCTTTATTTCCAGCTTTAAGACTTTCTCCCATTTTATCCATCCTGTAATATTTAAATAATTTAAAAGTTATTTCACGAACAATTTACCATGTTCCACAATTATATTTAGAACCACCAAATATTAACCCTGTTTTCCAATCAACATAAATATCAATATTAAAGCCCTTATCAGTCATTTCAGTATCTAGCCCTAACCCTGCATTTGCTTCTCTAAAATGAAGACCTGAAGCATGTCGTTGCATTATCTCATGAATAATTTCCAAAATAGTTGATTCATAAGAATATGCTCTATAGTCATCCAACTCAACAAAAGAGTCATCTAAAGGAAACCTTCTTTTAACACGCTCATATAATATTTGTATTCCATCAGGAACCAATTTAGTATATTCTTGAATTGCTTGTAAAAAAAACCAAACAGAATCACGAGAATTATACCGAGGCCTTTTAAAAGAATCAAGAAGATTTGGAATCATCCCATGCTTTAAAACAGACGCAAAGGCAAGAATATGCCTTTTTGCATCATCAAATCTCCCTGTTACTAGAAATAAACCTCGAAGAGAAATAAAAGTATCTCGACCCCAACAACGCTTCCAAGCACACGAAAAATGAGGTAACCCAGCAGAAAGACAAGGCTTATTTGTAAAGGGATCAAGAGAAGCAGACTTAACAATCCCATGCATTTGCACAGAGCAAAGCGACAAAGATTTAATAAAAGTATGCCCATTTTGAACAAGCGGAGACATAAGATTAATAGCTCTATTTCGTGCAGCCATTGATGCCAAATATACAATTGTGATGAAATAACGTGGTAACAAAAAACTAGGAACTCTTCTAATTCTAGAAAAGCGCACTTGAAGCCAAGTTGCAAGTTGTTGAAGTTGACTCAGCATATTTTCCATTTTATATAACCTTTGAACTATATAATCTAAAGCCCAGTGACCTTGACGAAGATGTTCACAAAGAGGATGATTTAAAAGATTACTTTGAATAATTTCTTTTAAAATAGGCATCCACCCTTCGAATCCGCAATAAACCAAATTCCCAAAATCCGGAATATTATAACATCCACCATTAATGGTATCATATTCTTCTTGATCACATCTATACATAACGGCATTTAAATCTACTAGATCAAAACTTTCCATAATACTGTCAAGATCAGTACAGATAAAATTATCTAAATTATCAACACTTTCAACCCATGTTTTCAATAAAAAAATACTTCCAGGAGGAAATTCTCTTGGCACTTCAATGCGCGTAAAAAATCCCTCTAAATCTTTGCCAGTAGTAATTATTGGACTATCTAATTCAACAACAGTAGAAGAAAGTCCTTTTATAAAATTAGGATCTTCTGAATTTTGAAATGATTTTATCTCCAAAGACAATGAAAAAACGACATCAACTTTCGTTCCTTTTAATACAATAGGTCCTATTTTGTTATCTTCATGCATAGAAAACGCAGTATGAGCTAATAAAAAATATCCATGATAATTATTTGGATTAACAGTATGCACTGTAATATAACTATTTTCATGGTGAACATATATTTCTTCAAAATTGTCTTTGCCCATTTCAACATGAATTTTATTTAAAATAGCTTTGACATTCCCTATACCAATAATATTCTCTAAAGAATAATAATATTTTCGTGATTCCATAACTATATTAATATAACAAGGCACAATTTCGTCATAACCCATAACGCTCCCTATAGAGCAATTGCACATTGCAACTAAAGCTGCATTCGGTAATGTATCATTTGCTATTCTTTTTTGAGCAGGCATCTCATTGTCATGAGTACAATCCATAAATAAGGTGTGTATTTGTGAACTTTGTACAGAAACAACGTTTAAAGATTTACTACTTTTACTACCTGTTGCCAAAAAAGAATATTTTGAAGAAATATTATCTAAAGAGCCCATTGGCTTTCCACCATATTTATGTATAAATCTAGATATTCTAAATACATAGTAAATATTAAAATGATAACCTAACCTTGACAATTCGCCAGGACACCATGCTTGCATTGCTTCTCTAATAAGACTACTTATACCTAACTTTTGCGTAAAAATAACATCCATTTCTTCATTCCCCGTAAACAATTCTGCTACAATATACAAATCATTACGTATTTCTCTGGCTTTGTCCAAAAGATAAACCCCAACATGCAAAGGAGTAGAATGACAATTATCAATACGAAATCCATTAAATAATCTTGCAAGAGTCTGAGTATATTTTGTCATATGATTCCATAAATACGGATTATCACCCTAAAACATATTAATACAATACTATCTAAGAACTAAAGAATTTTTACAGGATTTTTTCCATATCTCAATTTAACACAATCTTCCCATACTATTACCTGACGCAAAAGATAAGCCTTACTTTCTTGACCAGCAAAATCATTAAAGCTAGTATTCCAAACCCATCCATTATTTACTAAACATAAACTTCTATCAGGATATAATAATGTGTTTTTATTCCTTTCAATACGAGAAAAATAAGTTTCCACAAGAGGATTCTTTCGTGAAATTTCTCCTTTTTTTGGTCCATTATCATCTAATCTTAAATACTTCGAGCGGTTATATATCTGCTCGATTATTATTTTTTTATCAACATCGTATTCAATATAATATTTCAAATTGAACTCATCCAATATTTTTGTTAATTCTTTATCTAATATTTGTTCTTCTATATCAATCCCAAACAACTTACATAATATAGCAGCACCAATTTCAGGAACAAGACGTTTAGCAAACCTCTCTCCAAGAACGTTATAGTTGGTTATTGCAGAAGCATCAATAAAAGCATTAACTTTTTCTTTTAATGACCAATTAAGATCAATATTAAACCTATCATCCAATCTAGCCATTTTTTTCTTTTTGTAAGCATCTAAAGTATATTTTACAGATTCTTTAACATTTACTACGTAAAATTCCCATAACTTTAAATCTTCTAATACACAATTTTCAATACCATCAATAATTTTTAAAAGATCATCCGTATTTTTAGGATTAATAGGATACCCAAGTTCCCCAAGATTTGCAGAAAATTCAAGAAGAGAAGTATCTAATTCATATGCAGCAATAAGGTGAGGAGAATTATCCAAATTGTAACCTTTTAAAAATCAACGTAAATTAAATTACATATTAAAAATTACCAACTTCAGGATGGTCTTGTAACCATTTAGAATCTCTAGCAGTATGATTCCAAACAACATCAGTTATAGATAAAAGACCCCATTCTGTCTCCATCCTTCTTAAATATTTATCTATAATATCATTCTTTTGTTCCGATTCTAATTTTACGTCAAAAAGATCATCAGAAAAACTCAATTGATCATAAATGCTATATGGACTATTACTTTCACCTAAAGACTGCAAAGGCGTAAAATGAATCATATTATAACCTTTTTTATTCCCGATATAATACATAATTTTATCCCATTCTGAAATAGGCCCCATCCATTTAGAAACAACACTTTGAATTGCAAGAGAATTTAAAGGAATATGAGAGCCATTAATTTTTAATACAGGTAATACAGTAAAATAAAATTCATCAGTTGATTTCTGAGAAACAGAATGCTCATATTCTTTTAATTCCCATGATGATAATTGAGAATATTCTATTTTATAAGAAAATGAACCAGCTATATGAATTAAAATATCAATATTTGTAATGGAATTAAAATCAATATTCAATCTTTAAAACATTAAATATGTAAAAAATACCATATTAAATACTTACGAAATACTATACCATTTATCCCTACTAAATTTCAAACCCTTAGGAGGAAAATTATGTTTCAATACACTTTTATAATATATAGAAGTTATTTCATCAATTTCAAAACGAAGATAATATGGGACAAAAGGAGGAGGAAGACAAATATACTATCCGAAACCAAAATCAACGTCTTCATAACAAATATTTAATATTACACTAGATAAGTACCTTTCCTAAAGTTAAAGGCAATCCAGTACCAGATAATTTAACAGTGTAAATTTGCGTTTTTGTCATAGTCTTAGATTCTGATAAATCTCCTTAACCTTCGATAAAACAGTAAAATACATATAAATCCAAAGACAAAATAAATTAAAACTTATAAAAAACTTAATAACTACATAAAATAACACTTTTAAAGTTATTTCTCTTCAAAAATTTAAAATTTATTAAAATAAAAAAATAAAAAACATATGATCAACTTAAATGAACAGTTTATCTATTGTGGTCGATTGTATACAATTTTTCTGAATAAAATAATTAACAAAATAATAACGATTAGATAAATACCTTGTTTTAATAGGTGCCCACTTAAATCGCTTAACCCATAAATTCAATGCAAACAAAGTACTCAAAATAATCAATGTTTGAAAACCCATACGCTTACGATCATCATGTTCAGGCTCTGCTGCCCAATTTAGAAAAGATACGACATCTTTTGCCATCTGAGAAGTAGTTGCAGGAGTTCCGTCTTCATACTCAATTCTATTTCACATCAATGATTCATTTTCTTTTAGTATATGTATATATTTACAAGCCATCATAAAGTAATCTTGCCATAGCAATTTGACCGTTAGGAAAATAAGGATTATAATTCATACCATCAGAAAGAACAACACCAGCAGGAGGATCCACATAACCTGTAAGGAGAGAAAAAACATAATCACAACCTCCATGACGAGCTTTAATAATAAGAGAAAGATCAGGAGGAAATGCACCAGCATTTGCCGCACGAGCAGCCTCTTCCTAAATAGCCATTTCAGATTCAAACAAATACAAAAACAAACATACATTAGGATAAGGTTTTGGCATATAATCAAATAACTTTCCTAGAATTTATCTTAAAAATAAATTTACACAATAATACTATCAGATACCTGGACGCATAAACATATTACCACTTTCATCTGGACCATCTTCATATTCATATTCTTCAGCCATAGCTTTTACTTCATCAAGAGTATGAGTAACTCCAACAAGATTTCTCCATGCAACAAGATTTAAAGAATGACATGCAGAACATACTTCCTTATAAACTTGATATCCTCTCCGAAGACTAAAGTCAAAAGAATTAGCCCATATTTCTTAAAAATTACATAAAATATAAATCTTAAGTAATTTAATAAACATAATTATTATATAGGAAATTATGGTAAAAATATTCATAAAATAATAGAAAAGACATATAAAAAAAGATATATACCTTTTATGATCATAAGAGGAAAGGAAGCCTTTATGTGGCCAAGGATATTTCGGTGGATGTAAACCATGCTCCTCAGGAGTCATTGCCTTAATAGAATTACCATAGATATGATAATAAAGAAGAACCGATGAAAAAGAAGTAAACGTCGATATTGTAAGCATTGCTGTTTGAACTCCTGTCTACAAAGAAATTAACATCAATATTTAAAAATTAATCATCTACAAGGTAAAATTATAAAAAAATAATGTTCAAAAACATTTATCTAATATATAAAATGCTTTCAAAAACCAAAAAACAGACATAATTTTTTTACTGAAATTACTTACATAACTAAATTTTGCCTTATAACCATAAAGAAAATGACGTGAAAAACCAGACCACATTTTACACAATAACAATAACTTTTTTTATTTTATAAAAAATAAACGAAGCACAAGGCTTTGCCCAATGCCTCTTTTACAAAATTCACAAAATAAACCTTTTTTTCCCAATTTTTAACTTTTACACCTTTTCAAATCGCAAATCAACGAAAGCAAATTCTAAAAATACAAAAGAAAAATTAAATTTATAAATATTTGTAAATATACTTTTTATCCAGAAAAAATGACTAATATTCTTAAAGAAATATCTTTTTCTTAATAATCATATAACTTATTTTTAGTTTTAATATTAGACATTTTTATTAATTCATAAATATATGACCATAAAAACAATATACTTCTAAAAATCTAATAAGTAATACATTCCAAAGAGAATATAACAAAAATATCAATAAGTATAAGCTAAACTTTTCTTTAAATATAAAATTTCCATACAAAAACTTCTAAATTATTTATTATGCTCATACTAAATTAAAAATAAGCTTACTTACACCAAATGATAAAAAACTTACATTTTCCCATCCAATCTCCTGTAATTTCTTGCTTTTTAGAAGGATATCGGTTTCCATATTTCGAGTATACTCATCTAGCAAAAATCTCACTCTATTGTCCGTAATCCCAATAATACGTAGTGCTAAAAGGGCCGCATTAGTACTATTTCCTATAGCTACAGTAGCAACAGGAATACCCTTCTAAATCAAAGTAAATAGAATTCATTAATTATAAAAAAATATACCGGCATCTGAACAATAGAGTAAAGAGAATCTACACCATCTAAAGAGCTCCCTTTAACAGGAACGCCAATTACAGGAAGTGTAGTCATACTAGCAACCATTCCAGGTAAATGAGCAGCACCTCCTGCACCAGCAATAATAACCTTATAACCATTTAAAATAGCAGTAGATGAAAATTCTACAAGCTTTCTAGGCGTTCTATGAGCAGATATAATATCAGGACCAACAAAAGAAACATCAAATTTTTTAAAGATTTCTATAGCAGATTTCATTGTTGGTAAATCAGAATCAGATCCCATAATAATTGCTACTATAGGTGACTTTTCGTAAGAAAATATCTCTTTACTTGAAAAACATGATAATGATATTTTAGAAGACTGAAGAATCTGCTGAAGTTTATACTCCGCTTCAGACATAGATGAAGCAACAATAGTAATATGACCCATTTTTCTACCTCTTCGTTGTTCTTTTTTCCCATATAAATAAATTGATGAACCTCCTACTATGAGAGCCTTTCGACAAATTTCCATATATTCTACTTTTAAATCATCTGCAATTAAATTGAGCATAATAGCAAATGTTTTAAATGTTAAAAAGTTAAACGAATCAGATGGAAATGGAAGATTCAAAACAGCCCTTATATGTGATTCATATTGAGAAATAGAACATGCATTTATAGTATAATGACCAGAATTATGAGGTCGAGGGGAAACCTCATTAATTATAATATCACCTAAACAAAATTAATAATTATAAATAAATAAAAACATTAAAACCATTAGTAACCAAAAACATTTCAACTCCAAAAACACCTGCTCCTGAAAAACATTGAATAGCTTTCTCAGCAACCCGTTTTGCATTTTCAGAAACAGTAAAAGAAACTCTAGCAGGTGCATAAACAAGACGACAAATATTATCAGATTGAACAGTTTCTACAACAGGATATGAACCAATAACCCCTTCTTCATTTCTCACAACAATAACTGCAAGCTCCTTCATAAAAGGGACCCACCGTTCAGCGTAAAGAGATACATTTTCAAAAACTGATAATGAAGAATAAGCTGATTCTAAAGAATCAATTTTAAAATTTCCACGTCCATCATAAGCCATAGTTCGAGATTTCAACATAAAAGGATAACCTAACTTTTCACCAGCTAATCTAATATCCTCAAGAGTATTTTTAATTGAAATACTTTCAATTGTTGGATTTCCATGTTTCGTGAGATGAAGTTTTTGAAGATATTTATCTTGAATGATTTCAATAGTATTAGGTGATGGATGCACTTTTACTTTTCCATTTAAAAAAATGTGTTTCAAAGCTTTAATATCAACATGTTCAATTTCAATTGTAAGAATATTACATCTTTCTGAAAGAGATAAAATATCATCAAAGTTCAAAAAACTCCCATTTATATGATTCTTTGAAGAATTTACCTGTTTTGCAGGAGAATCAGGATCAGGGTCAAGGATTACTGTTTTAATATTCAGCCGATGTGCAGCTTCAACAAGCATTCGTCCAAGTTGACCTCCGCCTATTTCTTAAGTTAATATGATATATAATAAGCAAATAAAATTATTATAAATACCAAGAATTCCAATTATTCTATCATCCATTCTTATTTCATTCAAAATATTTTATAGTAATTCAAAAAAATATTCTATATATCAAATAAACCAATATTTATTATAGAAAATATAACATTAATATAAAATCTTAAAAAAATTCTAACAAAATACGCCAATATTTATTAAAAAATTGTAGCGATTATTTTAACATTTACAAATATTTATAACCTGGTTAAATAGCATTACTTTAACTTAAATATAAAAGTTATTACTAAAATTCATAATAATGTAATTAATTAATAAAATTGTACCCATCTAGACGAACTATACTTTTCATTACAATATTCCTGTATAGCAGATACAATGGAATTTTGAAAACTTTTCTATCATGTTGTACTTTTTTTTCTTAATAATAAACAATAAAGAAAATTAATCAAATACAACATGAATACATAAGTAAAAACACATAAGTATTGATATTTATATGTGATAACATATGTTTAATTGCTCTTAATTAGGCCCTAATTATTAACAAAAATAGCCTAGTATTATACATTTAATATAAACATCATATAAATCAAAACAGTTTTTAACCATATTTATAACATTTAAATATTATATATTATATAGAAATACAAAAAAAATTCGGAACTTTGATTTAAAATTTCGTTTTTTTTATATTCGTTCATAAATATAAATTTTTCAAATTTCTCAATTTAAATTTCATGAAAACATGTTAAATATTCAAATAAAATAAACAATAAATTAGTATAAAACAATTAGTTTATGTAAATATTTTTCTATGTAAATATTTTTCATTCGTTTTTTAATTAAACATTTAATACTAATATATATAATATTCAAAAACATAAAAAACAATAAAAGCCAAAATTAGTCTACAAATTATATATACTTCAATTATATATTTTTGAAATAAAATATTCGTGTAAGTTTAAAATTATTCGAATAATCATTATAAAAATGTAATTTTTATAATATAAAGTCATAAATGATAAAAGAAAAAACATCAAAAGAGTCTAGGATAATACCTCAACAAGAACTTTACTCTCGATTCTCATTCTTATATCAAGCAGCAAATATTTATGCAACTCATTCTATCCTCAACCAAGATAAATATATCAATAGTCACTCGGAACAGGCTCTGTCTAAATTCTACATCAATACGGCTAAAAAAATCGCACGAAAGGCTGTTTTAAAAATGTAACATCACTAAATAAGATAAATTATAACTAACTATTCAGAAACCCGTCAATAAAACGTACTCTTTGTCGACGTTGTGATACAATTCTTTTACCTGGCATTACTTCTTCTATAAAAATAGAAAACTTTTCAAAAAAGAATAAAAATAAAGCAGATATATCAGTTATTACATGTAATTTTTGCAATACGCAAAAAAAATATCCCGTATTAAAAAACAAAATTTAACCATAATAAGGTCTGGAAACAGGATTTTCTTGAAATATAATTTATGTATATAATAAAATCATATATAATGAAAAATATAATATTTTCTACCTAATGAATATCATAAATATTACTCATTTGACATAAACTTTTTTTAGCAACACATGCAAATTTAGCTTTGACCAGTATTTTCAAAATTTTCCTCTCCAAAAATTTTAGTAGCTGCCATAAACCTATGTCAAATAAATAATTATTATAAAAAAATAATGAAAATCATTCAGATACTCAAATTATCAATTTGTTTGTATTTAACAAACAATATTCTTGATAACTAATCTCCAAGAAATCATATTTCTAGTACTTACATAGACCCTTGTAATCCTCCTAGTCTTCTTATTGCCTCTGCTTGAATTGCCGTAACTCTAAAATGATTCTCCAAGTCAGAGAGATGAGCATGAAGTTGTGCAAGTTGAGAATGAAGATGAGAAAGCTGTCGAGATTTAATTTGAGCCGGAGTTGTTGATTGGCGATACATTATATCACGTCTAAAAACTTCTATTAAAAAACTATTTCTTTAATCAGGCCCCTCTATCTTTATTTAATATTTTTATTTAATTTTCTTAACATATACGTAATTTAAATTGTCTTAAAAATTTAATAAACAGAGAATAACAGAAAAAGCATTTCTAACTCTTTAAAGCACCATTCAAAAATAATTTTCAAATTTATTCTAATTCTTAAAATAGCTATTTAAATATATTTTTCCTTTACAGAAATACAATAGAAATACGTAAAAATAATATTTTTTAGTCAATTAAATTAAATTTACTTATTTTTTTTCATTAGATCCAATAAAAAATATACCTTTTATTTAACTAAATCAAAAGACATACAAAGATTTCTTATCTATTATAATCATAACATATAATGTATTTTATTAGGGTTCTTTCTAAACATCTCAAAGATATTAATTATTTGAAATTTCAACAAAATTATCATCACAATCAGTCTTGTTTAAAAAGATTGTTTTCAGGTACAAGGCTTTTAAATAATTTATTTACTATACAAACAAATGTAATTATTAAAATTCTTTACTAAAAACTTACGCTTAAACATTAGAATGATTTTCGAGTAGAGAAAGATGCTTTTGGGGAAATACAAGTACTTGACCTTTTTATATTTTATTATAAAAAGCTAAATCTCAAAAGGTCCCTGCAAATTGTTACTGGGGAGCTCAAACACAAAGGTATTTTCTCTTCTAGTTTTGAATTTTTAATATCTTTTAGATCATTAGAAAATTTTGATATTGGAGGGCCTACAGAAAAACTTCCTATCCCTGTTATAAAAGCCTTTGGGATTCTAAAAAAAGCAGCAGCAATAGTTAATATAGAATATGGACTCGATAAGACAATTGGAGAAGCTATTCAACAAGCAGCCGATGATGTTATTTCAGGCAAATTGCTGGATCAATTTCCTCTTGTAATTTGGCAAACAGGGTCAGGCACACAGTCAAATATGAAGTAAGGGTTATTCTTAAAAATATAAAATATTAACAAATATAGTGCCAACGAAGTTATTTCAAATCGTGCCATAGAAATTCTCGGAGGAAAATTAGGTTCAAAAGATCCAGTTCATCCTAATGATCATGTAAACATGTCTCAATCGTCAAATGACACGTATTATTTATTTCATCATTTCCTTTTCTTATTATTTTAGTTTTCCTACTGTAATGCATATTGCAGCTGTAACAGAAATTACACAAAAATTAATACCATCTCTCCAGTCTCTACATAACGCTCTTTTCGAAAAACAGAAATCATTTTCGAAAATAATTAAAATTGGTCGTACTCATTTGCAAGACGCTACTCCTCTTACTTTATCACAAGAATTTAGTGGCTATGTAACTCAAATTAAATATGGAATTGAAAGAATAAATGGTACATTGAGTCGATTAAAAAAGCTTGCACAAGGCGGAACAGCTGTTGGAACAGTAAGACCCAAAAAAATATAATAAAAAAACCTAAACATTACCAAGGGCCTTAATACTAAAACAGGATTCGATGTTAAAATCGCTGAACAAATATCAAAACTTACAAATGAAAAATTTGAAACAGCTGAAAATAAAGTATATGAAGTATACATATTTATATAATTATATATAAATCTTTATAGTTTGAAGCACTTGCTGCTCATGATGCAATTGTAGAAGCAAGTGGTGCTCTTAACACAGTAGCCTGCAGTTTAATGAAAATCGCCAATGATATACGTTATCTTTCTAGCGGCCCTCGATGTGGATTAGGTGAACTATCATTGCCTGAAAATGAACCAGGAAGCTCGATTATGTTTAAAATATAATATAATATATTTTTTTTATTAATAAAACTAGGCCAGGAAAAGTTAATCCTACACAAAATGAAGCTTTAACAATGGTATGTGCTCAAGTTATGGGAAACCATACAGCAATTTCTATTGGTGGTTCCAACGGCCAATTCGAGGTTTATTATTATACCTTAATAAATACAATTTCTCATGATTATCTAGCTCAATGTATTTAAACCAATGCTTATTGCAAATCTTTTGAAAAGTATTCGACTTCTTACAGATGCATCACGTTCTTTTACAAAAAATTGCATTATTGGTATTAAAGCAAATGAATCTCGTATAAACGAACTTATGAACAAATCATTAATGTTGGTTACAGCATTGAATCCATATATAGGCTATGACAAAGCAACAAAGATAGCTAAAACAGCGCACAAAGAAGGAATAACACTTAAAGAAGCAGCGCTTAAACTTGGCCTTTTAACTGAACAACAAGTATATTATTTCTTTTTTGAGGTTTTTACTTATTTTCTAAGTTTGAAACATGGGTAGACCCTCGGAAAATGCTGGGACCATCTTGAAAAATATAAATAATATTATACAAAGCAATATTGTCTTTAAAAATCAATAATTATACACAATTTATTTAACTATCAATCTTCAAAAACACTAACCCTTCTCAATTATAGACCCTGACCTAATCTGCAAATATTCTCATATTACTATTTATTCTACAACCTAGCCCTATATTAATAAACCCTTATTTTTATCTTTTTTTTACTCATTCATAAAAAACTTATCGACGTATAATAATTTCTCACCAAGTCAAAAAAACGGAAAATCGAAAAAACAACGAGGTTTTACATTGAAAAAAGTGTTTAAAACAGAAATTTTGAATATTTACTACTAATCATGGCATCTCATGACGATTTGATTGATTATGAGGAGGAAGAAGAATTACCAGCAAGTGCAGGTGTCTCCACGGTAATGGGCACAGGAGGAACAGTAAATGGCGAAAAAAAGAATGAAAAGAAAGGGTCCTATGTTGGTATTCACTCTACAGGTATGTTTTTTGCTTACGCTTTAAAATATGGGCAATAACTTACCATCTTTTTATAGGGTTTCGAGATTTCCTACTAAAACCAGAACTTTTACGTGCTATTATCGACTGTGGTTTTGAACATCCCTCTGAGGGTCAGTAATTACCTTTTCCCCACAGACGATGGCTAGTTTCATCGTTTTTCGAATGAAATGGTCGCTTATATTTATTTCGTTTTCCAGTCCAACAAGTCTGTATTCCTCAATCTATTCTTGGTATGGATATTATATGTCAAGCGAAATCTGGAATGGGCAAAACAGCAGTATTTGTACTTGCAACGCTTCAGCAGATCGAACCAGTTGACGGTGAAGTATCGGTTCTTGTTCAATGTCATACCAGAGAACTTGCTTTTCAAATCAAGAACGAATACGCACGATTTAGTAAATATATGCCTGATGTTCGTACTGCAGTTTTTTATGGCGGGACACCTGTTCGTAATGATATTGAGCTTCTTAAAAACAAAGAAAAATGCCCTCATATTATTGTTGCGACTCCTGGTCGACTAAATGCTCTTGTTAGAGACAAAGCTCTTCGTGCAGGATGCGTAAAACATTTTATTCTTGACGAATGTGATAAGATGTTAGAAGCAATAGGGAAGCATTTCTTCTATATAAGTAGCATTCTAATACATACTAGATATGAGACGCGATATTCAGGAAGTGTTTCGTGCAACTCCTCACCAAAAACAGGTTATGATGTTTAGTGCGACATTGAGTACTGAAATACGACCTATTTGTAAAAAATTTATGCAAAATGTTATTTTCTTTAATATGTTTTTAATTATTAATTTAAAATATAGCCTCTAGAAATATATGTTGATGATGAGACTAAATTAACTCTTCATGGTCTTCAACAACATTATGTAAAGCTTGAAGAATCAGCAAAAAATCGAAAATTAAACGATTTACTTGACGCACTTGAATTTAATCAGGTCGTTATTTTTGTAAAATCAGTTCAACGAGCTTCAGAATTAGATCGATTATTACGAGAATGCAATTTCCCCAGTATTTGTATTCATGGTGCTCTTCCTCAAGAAGAACGGTATGTCTTTAAAATTTAATATTCGGAATTCCAATTTTAATAGTATTTCTCGTTACAAATTATTTAAAAACTTTAACAAAAGAATTTGTGTTGCTACTGACGTTTTTGGACGTGGCATAGATATCGAGCGTGTTAACGTAGTGTTCAATTACGACACTCCTGGAGATGCAGATACATATTTGCATAGAGTTGGTAGAGCAGGAAGATTTGGTACTCGTGGGCTTAGTAAGGATTTTATAATTATATAATATATATATTTAATTATCAAAGGTATTACTTTTGTAAGCAGTAGTGGAGATGCCGAAATTCTTGACAAAATTCAAGAAAGGTTTGAGGTAAATATTACAGAGCTTCCAGAGCAAATCGATGTATCAACATACATGAACTCATAATATTATTATTGTTCTTGTGATACTACTCATTAAATAATTAACTCAGGGTAGTTATATTGTTATTTTCTTAGAATTTAAATAGTTTAATATTTTAATTATATTTCTGAATCTAAATCTTTAGCATAGAAACCAATGAGATCTTAAGTAGAATTAAAATTAAAAACCTTAGAAATATGAATGGAAATTTACAAACTATTATTACAATGAATTTAAAATACATTAAAAGTCTAAAAAAGCAATTTTTTTGGAAACTCAAAATTATTAATTTTATAATATATCAAAAAGCAAAATTTCATATATAACAAATTAAACCAAGTTCCTAGATTCATTTCAAATTACATTCATTATATATTTCAACTATATATATCAAACCCTTATATAATTCTCAAGTAATGTTATAAGAATCATTACATAAATATCTATTTCAAAATACGATCAGAAAGGTCAAGAACATGCTTATTTCCTAATATTAGCTCAAATTCCTTTACCAACTGTTGAAATGAAGAATTTATTCCTACTAAATTTAAATTACTATTTCAATAATCGTATGTTAAAACCTTTTTCCAAAAAAAAACGTGCAATACTACCATTTCCTTGTTCTGATACTTCAACACGAAATTTTATCGCTCTAAGTTTCATAGCTATAGACTTTAAATAGAATTCAAGAAGTGTAAAAGCAATACCATTACAATTAGAAATATTAGCATGAACAGTATATAACTGAATGTTATCACGTACATTTGTAATACCAATACCAAGGTGCTCCCATTTTTTCAAATTATTAGCAATTTCTTGATATAAATGTTGAAAAGGCAATATAGTCCTCAATGACTTTATATTTGACTTAATATTAAGTACTTTTGCAAAAAAAGACTGCTGAATTACAGGTTCAACTGTTTTTTCACAAGAAACTTTATTTTCCTCTAAAACACATTAACCACTAAAATTCTCAAGGATGAATTTACTTTCATGATTTTTGGTTCTTTTTGAAATTATCCGAAATATAGTTGTTGGATAAACCACACGTGAAGAACCAGCACCAGACTTCTTTCTCCAAAAAAATACACATTTTTTCTCTTTAGTTTTCTTTTGCGTCATATCAATAGAATTTGTTGGAGCACTAACAGCTCTTTTTTCAACTGATCTATATTTGCCCACTACATATTCTGGAAGACTTGATACCCTCAATCTTGATTGATCTTTAACAATAAAATACTTAGAACAATGTGCATCCTCAGATGAATTCAAATCATTCAGCATCTTAGAATTATTTTTCTTGAAAGTTGTTAATTCATTATTTTCTTCATAAATTTTAAGCATCATTTTATTGCTTCCAAACTCTTTAGAAATTGTACTAGAAGGATGTATATGAAATGGCTGAAAACAATGTATCAGTGAAGACTTTCTAGAAGAAAAAGTATTATCATTCTTTAACTCAGAATCATGAAGTACAGGCTGATTAAAAGCAAACTCACACTCAGCAGCAAATTCTGCAAAAAAGTTGACAGAATCACATTTACCTGATATATTACCGCTATTTTGTAAAAGACTTTTAGAGTCGAGACAAACGGAATCATTCTTTTTTTTAACATAAGTAAAATCAACACCCCTTTTACGAACAGAATTAGCAACAATGCCAGATACCCTATTAAGGTTTTTCCGAGAACTCGAAGTCGACAACTTCGAACGTTGAGATACAGATTCTTTTAATTGTTTATGAACAGACAACGGTCTCTGGTTACACGATGCTAATTTCGAAATTTGAGAAGCAGATGATTCCCGAGAACGATTAACAAACTCAACATAATTTTCATAATACTTCATTCGTTCTTTTCGATATTTTAACAAAAGATAATAAAAAGTTTTCTCAGGATTCCGCCTAAAAACTTTATAAGAAAGAAAAACAAAAAACGAACATACTCATCACTTAACAATTTATTTATAATAACTTCTTTACTAACACTACGCCACAAAGTCTGAAGATTCTTCAAAATCTCGGTATCAATTTCATCTCTTTTTTGAACAGGATGCTTCAACTCATCCAGACTAGGCATTTTAGAGGGATTCTCCAAAAGAGTATCAAAATGATTATATTTTGACAAGAATGGATGCTTTAAAATATCTGCCATTTTAATTCGAGTATGAGGATTAATATCAAGCATCCTCCATATAAGATCCTTTCCTTCCGATGATATTTTAGAAGGCATTACAAATTGCCCTGCCTTAACCTTAAGAAGCAATTGACGAACATTTTCATCATCAAAAGGAAGATGCCCAGTAAGAAGTGCAAAAAGAATAATTCCACACGACCAAATATCCGACGGTGCACCATGATATATTTTACCAGCTACAATCTCAGGCGACGCGTAATGCGGTGACCCACACGATGTCTCAAGCATACGATCAAACGGTTGTAACGCAGCCATTCCAAAGTCTGCAATTTTTATATTACGATGTTTATCAAGTAATAAATTTTCCGGTTTCAAATCACGATGGCTAGTTTAAATCAGCCCCAACACACACCCCCCTATTATATAATATACCAAATATTAAACCTATGACAATAATCGACTCCTGCAATAATTTGACGAAAATATCCCACCGCTTCTCTTTCTTCAAGCTTGCCTTTCTGAACAAGATAATCAAATAATTCGCCTCCTTCAATATATTCAAGAATAAGATAAAGCTCATTTTTGTTTTCCCAAACATCATATAAACGCATCACATTTGGATGATCTATAAGCTTCATAATAACCACTTCACGTTCAATTCCATACGAAAAATTAGATTCAATGTCTTTGTTTTTAGAAAGCTTAGATGACTCTAACGACTGGTTCTTAGGAACAATTTTTACAGCGGCCAATTGGCCTGTAACAGAATGTTTTGCAAGACGAACTCGGCCTGAAACAGATAAATTAGCATTTTTACGCAAAAACCCCAAAGCAACAACATCCGTTCATAGATATGCCACATATATATACTGTATATAACCCATATATTATGCATACACAAAGCATATAGCATGTATAACAGTGTATACAACAGATATATAACGTATATACTAAGGATATAACATATATATTTTACATATAACATGTACACCATACATACACTATATATACGCTGCACAATACACAGTATATACAGTGTATATTATGTATACAACACATATCCACAGTATAACATATACATTGTGTATATAACGTATATACTGCAAAGATAACGTGTACACTACATATGCTATACAACAGTACTTATACACATGTTTTATGCATACACCAACATATACTATGTATACACTGTACATACACTACACATATAGCATACATAGCATATACAACGTGTATAGCATATATAGTATACACATTATACACGTATTATATACATACTGTATACACTGTGCATACAGTATGCATATATTATGCACAATGTGTATAGTGTATGTACAGTACAGTGACACTGCATACAACGCATAGTGTGTATTACGTATATGCACCATATGCTCCGCACATAACGCACACAACTGTGCATACATAACGCATACAACACGCATATATACACTGTATAACATATATACTGAGAATATGACGTGCATACTGTGTATACAGCCTCCAATTTCCTCAATATCCACCCTATACGCCCACCATACCTGTGCTCCCATGTCCCAATGTCCGGCCAAGCTTCCACGGCCCAATATGTGTTCGATGCTGCCGCTTATCCTTCCATGACTCATCCAATACTCGCGGCTGCTCCAGAGAACTCATCATTCACAGTCATCAGAACCCTTAAAAGATAAAAACACTTTATATAGCCCTTCACTTGACGTATGAACAACGCTGCACCTTTTCTAACACCCTCCATCAAGCACTATCCTCACTGTTTAATCGGGTGTTTCCCTTAGACAAGGAATGTGATATAGAGCTAACGAAAGATTGATAGGGATAATTGAGGAATCGATAGGATGGAAGAGATGTAAAGATTTATAAGGAATATGTAAAATAAATACAAAGAAAGAGTGTATTTTGATAAAAAAAGATATATTAGAAAGAACAAAGAAGAATTATGAATGTTAATTGTTAAAAATAGAAGAAAAAAGCTAAATAAAAAATAAACATTTAAATAGAGAATGTGTGCACAGACAATTCGGGCCAAGCGTAGGGTAAAAAACAGGTGTTCCGGGATTCAGCATGTTTTTTAAAAGCAAAAACTAAAAATGTATAAAGAATAGCATGGAAACCCTGTAGAGGAGTATAAGTAATCTGTAAAAGAGAAATAAATAAATGTATCATAAATAAATATATAATTTTTTTAAAAAAAATATTTATCGCTAGAGAAAATATTTTTTAATGTATTATTTAAATAATGTATTTTTAATAAAAATATATGAAAATATGAAAATTGCTCTATATATAAACCATTAAACATATGAACTAAAACAAACCTGTTACTAAAGAAAAGACATTGATTTCACCTAATACATCCTTTGACCAAAATGTGCCTTTTAAGAGCATCCTTGCGTGAAAAAGACTTATCACAGCTTGGACACGGAAATAATTTAACATCCAAATGAATTCTTTTATGTCTGGAGAGATTAAAATGGAAAAATACTAAATTTGTTATATAATACCTTTTTAAGTCATGGTTCCTATTGAAACTTTGAAAACATTGATCACACTTGAATGGACGATTCGAAAAAACAGTAGAAACTTTAATAGGGCGAGAAGTAAGAGGAAACTTAGTAGAAGTTGACTTTTTCTTCAGAGAATAATTGTTTTGAGATGACTGCATAGATAATTGTAAATTGTTATCATTCTTAGAAACCCTATTTGAAGAAGACAATTGATTTGAAAAACAATTAGGACAGCCAGCACATGATTCCCCACAAGTGGTATACAAAATAGGTCCCATAGATGAATAATTATTTTGTAAAGATAATAACTGCGAATAAGGCTGATAATTTATGGTGTTATTATAGTCATAAGTCTGATAATTTATAGCGTTGTTATAGTCATAAGTCTGATATAAAGAGTGAATAAAAGGCAAAAATGATTCAAATTTTCCATTAAACTGTGACTGTCCATTTACCCAAAAAGAAGTATAACTTGTATCTCCCTGAGCAAGATATGGATAAACAGGAGAAAAATTTGTTGCAAAAGATGGAAAATAAGATTGCTGTTCATAATAGTTGTTATTTAATGACCCAAGCGACTGTTGTTGAAGAACTAAATATGGATGCTGTTGAGAAAAATGAGATTCAGGTGTATGTCCGCCTTGTATAATTGTTGCAGGCGAGTATCCAAGTAGACTAGGCATTCCAATAGATGAAGGAGAAGAAAAATTACTAGAATCATACATTTCATCCTGATGCGATAGCCCAATAATAGAATCAGCTTGTTGAGGAGAAAAATAAGGAGATGAAAACTGTCCTTGAATGTCAGAAAACTGCAAAGACTGATCTAATTGTTGCATTTTCGAATTAGCAGCATCTTCAATAAGTTTATAAGATTCAACATTATTTTGTAGTATATCAGAGATATTAGATGGTGATGGCAAAGATTGGGTATTGTTAGATAAATTTCCATTGTCTTCTCTTGATGAAACATGAAAAAGCATCTCCAAGCTCTCTTGAGTCTGATCCAAGCTCATAAAATCTATATTTAAACTAAAATAAGAAAAAGTGTTGATCTTGTAGTATTGATAATAAATAATTCTACATAAAAAGCTCGGAACAAAGACAAAATAAACAAATCCAAAAGTTACCACAAAAATAATCCAAAAAAAGCAAAACCCCTAGAGAAAAATGTCTTCCCAAAACTCTGTATATAATAACAGACGTTTACTAATTAATGTTTCGAATCAAAAATAAATCTAAACAAAAACGCTTTCAAGTCCAAAAAACAAATTAAAATATTCTTATCCTTTTACTTGCAAACAAACTAGAAATATGCCCTTTTAAATACTTCTTTCCAATTATTTTCAGATTTCAAAAGACGTTAAAATTATTGAAATTTAATCAAAAATGTCCGAAAATAACGAAAAGATAATAAACTACAAAAATTAGAAAAATCCAAATAATTCCCTTAAAAAATTATTACTCTAATAATAAGTCCTTACTAAAAAACTTCTTTCTTACAAATCCCTTGCATTTTCTGAATTCCTTTATACATTTTAATTATTTTTCTTTTTTTTAAATATTCATAAAAATCAAGGTGCTAAAACAGACTTGGACTCACCCATTTATTTTTATTAAAAGGCTGTCCCAAACAAATTGTCCTTAAATATTTAATTCATCTAAAGCTATTTTAGTCAATATTATATTTTTTAGCATGCACTAATGGCTTAACTCTCCAACCCTAATTAGGTATAAGTCATAAAGCCATCGGCTAAAATAATTAACCTTTAGTAGATTATTGCCTTATTGTACTTAACAAAACCTAATATAGCACTAGTCTAAATGTTCTCAGGGCTTTATTAAGGTATAGAATAATGCAGTAAAGGTAGATATCCGAAAGTTATGAGGAGGGAATTGCAGATAAGTAAATAAAGAATTACATATATAAAGGATATAAACATATAAAAATGTATCTTTAAACGCTTAAACATGAAGATATCCATAAAAATCAATTTTTGTTAAGGAACGTACTTTTTGTATATAGTATATATTATATATACAAATGTGTAAATAATATCCTATATAGTTATTCTAAATTTTAATTGTGTAAAAATAACTAAATATATGTATAAATTCAAAAAGATAGAGAAAATTCTAAGATGATATTTTCTCAGTAAAATGATATTCTTAGTATAGTTTCATACAAACGGCATTATAAAATTTAGAGCGCCTCTATCTTGATCAGATATTTATAAAACTTTTTGATTAGTAGAGTTTTCAGAAGTTTAAAACAGCGAATCAAATATCATCTTGCGCAAACGAGTATAGTTTTATTTTCACAAAACGGTTTAACTATTTTAGTCAAAATATTAGTGCATTTCGGTTAACTGAATAAGTATCTTTTTAAGAAAAAAAAGAAAATTTGACAGAAATTGCTTCTTTCATTATACCTTAAAATGTGTTATTGTAACTCCTATTCAAAATATTTCATTTTGAGGAAACATCCTTTGTATTTTATAAATGAAAAAAACATCTTTATATATCTCTTTTTTTATTTTAAGATTTTATACTATAAAAAGACCAAAAGTCTCAAATTAAGGATCATTTATTATCTATAAAAGCAAGAGACTTTTTAAATTCCTCTGTGAAACCACTCCCAAAAATAAAATTTATGTTTGATAAAAAATATTTTTTTTTATAGAGAAAAATATATTTATCAAATAAATAACCCTTTTAAACCTCTTTATCTTCTCAAACATAGTTTTTGCCTTCAAAATTATACATTATAATATCTGTCTTATATCTATCTTTAACAGATATTCCTAGGCATTAATAAAATTAGCGTCTCATGTTTCAGAGACTATAACTTTTTTAAAATAACCTTATTTAAACAAAGAAAATAAGCTACAATATATTTATAAATACAAGCAAAAATCAAAACGTAAAAAACCTAGAATCGAGTCATATTCATAACACGAATATATAAATGTAAATATAAAATCTAATTATATATAGCAACATGCTTTTGTCTACAAGCCATACCCACTTTTCTTTATCTGATTCAATAATTTATATATAAATTGACTATCCTATCTCTAACTTAGATCTTATAGTATAATATATATATAAACGTGAAATACTCGATATCGGACCAATAAATTGTCAACGTACTAAAAGACATACATTACATATAAACAACAAGTATACAATATATATGATCTGTGTAATTGACTTATTTCTTGAAGAATAAACAAAAGAAAATATATTCTAAAGAGTTATTCTATGGAAACTACTGATCTCCGTAAAGACTCACTGGCAGGACTGGTTTACCATCTTTTTCAAGAAAAAAACAAGTATTGATTCTGTTACTAGTCTTTTTCTATTTTTTCAGACATTTTAATGGAATTAATTATTGACATTGCACTTTCAGCACACAAAAAAGAAGTCTTTTCACGCCGCAAATGCCTACGCTGCAACAAATTCTGTCATTTTTATTCAATAAAGCCAGGAAGAGATATTTTTGGAAAGCCTTATCAAACGCCATCAACTGCGCCGTATATTTCATGTACTATTTGTAAAAGAGAAGTAGCAGCAGGTCGTTACGTTCCACATCTTGAAAAATGTTTTGGAAGTGGTCGTCTAAGTGGTCGCTTAGCACAACAAAGGTACTTTTATGTATTTAAAAGGAATGTATTATAGCATTGCCTAGGGTAAATGTATATAATGCGTCTATGTCATCATATGCAAATGATGCTGATAATGATATTTCTTCTTCAGAAGAAATACATCATAAAAAAAAGAAGCGCCGCCATGGCAATGGATCTGGAAAGGTATGTTTTAGACAGTAATGAGTTGCATGTGCAAAATTTAGACTTATTTGCATCACTTATATTATAAAAAGGAAATTAACTTTTTTATAGTCAGGATCAGGAAAATCATCACATTTAAAGACAAAAAAAACTATAATTACATCTAATAGCTCAGACACTGATTTACAATCATGAGTGTTATCAGAAGTACCAATATGTATAAAAATAAAATAATTTTTTATATTAAAATAACAACTCACATTTTGCAAAACGAATTTAAGTGTATACAATTATTTAAGTTATAAATAAAACAACGTCTTTATAATTTATACAAAGTAATTATTTGTCAAATACTTAGAAAACATTATCATATTTAATAATTAATTATATTATATATACAACTTTATCTTCCAGTACTACCAAATCCACCAGAACCTCGACTAGTTTCTTCTAAATATTCTACAACTGCAACCTCTGGAGTACATATTTTTTCAAGAATTAGCTGTGCAATACGATCCCCATACTTTACTGTATTTTTTTCAAAACATTCAATATCACATAAAATATCGATTCAAAAAAAGACTTACTTTGAAAATCTTCATTTCCATGATTAAATAAAAGAACTTTGACTTGACCACGATAATCAGCATCAATTACACCTGCACCTGTGCTGATAGATGCTTTTAAGGCTATTAAAATATTAAATTAAATTTTAAACCTAATAAATTAAATCAAACCCAATCCAGAACGTGGTGCAATTCGCCCATAAGTGCCAGATGGAACAGCAATTGCAATATCCGTATCAACCAATGCTTTCCCGTGTGCCGGAACCACTGTATCACATGAACTATGTCCATAAATAACCCTATTTTTCTATACATTCATTAACTCTACCTATAAATATCATATCCAGCAGCATATAAACTGCCTCTTTTAGGAGTTATAGCACGACCACTTAACTTCTTAACAAGCAATTTAATATCATGATTCTCTAGATCGCTCATAATTATTCTCTTTATTTTACACTTAATTTGATTGTAATTTACGAGTGAGCTAAAATATAAATTTTAAAATCATAAATATATATACAAAATTATTTTGTACAAAGAAAAACCATTTGCAAACCGAATAAATAATTGTTAAGCTATTATTTTTACTTATATTTTAACACAAATAAAATAACCATTTTCAACATAAAAAACCTATTTCAAAATATAATCCATAAATACTTCTGATAATATTTAAAGTTAGTAAAAAACCAAAAAAAAAATGAATGCAATTTATAAATATTTAAATAGAAAAAAAAAGACAAAAGATATTTTTATCAATCTCTATCATCTTGAACCCTAGGTATTTGTGACTTCAGTGTATAATCTAACTCATTAGAAATATTTTTAACATTTGTTCGTTCTGTAATTAAAAATACTGGCATAGATGATCCGTTATGAGATAGATAAGAATGTTCAAATTTAGAAGACGGAAAATTGCTTTTTTCCTTAATATCATCATTCATATTATCTTCATCATCTGTGCTTGGTGTATCTATAGTAACTTTTCCTGAGAGATCAATTGTCATAACTTTTTTTTTAGGAGCATTCATAGAAGCTAATGCTTTTCTTTGTTTTTCGAGCATAAGAAAACGCTCAGCAGGAGTTGCCCAGCGATCGGGTCCAGCCAAAGGATCAAAATCCGATGCCTCATCTTATTTTTTTAAAACATAACATACATTGCAAAAATCTTACCTATTATTTTATCTATCATATTAGCCCGGTCCAATTCGAGAAGTCTGTTTTTGTCATTTTCAGCATCTTGTGCCTTTTTTTCAAATTCATCTTTGTTAATGCTGTTGTATCCTACATAACATGTAGAATAAAGCTGTTTTGTATCTTTGCCAATTGCAGGTTTTTTCGATTTCTGTCCTAAAATATGAGACCTTTCCATACGAAGCTGTCTAACCAGATCCATTTGCTGTTCCCGTGACAAAAGAGGAGTATTACAAAAACTACTAATTTAAATCAGTCCTTGTTTTATTTCTATAGATTAAATAATCCGTACCATGAATTAATGCCTTCCACAACACATATAATCTTTCCACATATTAAACAGTTAGGAACTAAATGATTTAAAGGATGCTTTCGTGCTAAATATACTATTATTCCTTTTTACTAGATTTAATCATAGATCTATACCTTGACAATAGCATTTTTTTCGACCCTGAGACTTAATTTCACTCAATTCTAAACGTTTCAACGCAGAATCAATATCCGAAAGAGACGCAAGCTTCAGATCCATTTTTTTTGGTTTCTTCATACCAAGTTCAGATGTCAAAATCCCCAACTTTGGCTTTCTTTCACGGAATTGACTTGAACCATCAGAAGCTTCCAAAGAAGAACCACAAAATGCTGAAACTTTTGGTGTTGTTACTGACTTTTCTTCTAAAGCTGTTTCTATTCCATTTGCCCTTATTGGTGCTAGAGACTCGTTGAAAACTGAATGCAAACATTTATCTGAAGTTTTAGCCTGTTTTCTACCCCAAGTTACGCAGGAAAAAAAACATAATACTTCCTACATTCTTCCCACATTCGTCTTCTCTCTATATGGTCTTATTTTTCCCGACATTTGGCCTTTAAATAGTCCTTCCATCTCTCCCATTTCTATACCTTTTTCTTCTAAAGAAATATCCATTTCACCACGTATACCAAACCGTCTGCTATTAAACTCACTTATGAAATCATTTACTGCAGCTGATTCACCCAATAAATCCTAAATTTAATAAGCTTTATCTCCCTACTCATTAACAAACTTTAAAATACGCAGTTGATGCCTCTGCTGACCGAAGTTCCATTACATGAGCTACAAGCTCCTTAAGTACTACATAGTCAACCGATAACAATGCTTCTAACATTGCCAATGTCCAACGTTCTGTCCCATCCATTGTTCTATACTAAATAAAACTTAATACAAAAAAACAGATTTCAAATAGAAATAAAAAAACTATTAGGGCACATAAAGAACATATTTAAGATGATTTTAAGATACTTATAACATATAATAACACATATATTTTCGTCCACAGAAACCCATACAACCTTATGTACTTTTGTGCACAACAACCTCGTTCAAAACCCATTGGATATAGTCGAATGGATACACGGATATATACAATATTTCCACAGATATAATTTATGTTTCATTATATAAAAAAATTAGAAAAATATATTGCTAAATATTAGTTGATTAGTGAAAGAATTGTATATTGCATAATCAACAGGTTATCAATAAATGATTTGTACAGATATAAATATATATAAAAGATGCTACTGATACAGCAAAACCCTAAATTTATAATGTATACAATTCATGTACGTTGTATGGATGTCGTATATAAGCTATATACATTATATATGGACACTGTATATATATTATATAAAAAGTGTAATACTGTATATGTTATAGTATATATATTACACAATATATATTATTTATGTACATAGTACATAGTAGTATATATACAGTGTACAGGTAGTTTATATGCTTTATATAAATTATATGTCTGTTATATAGACTATATGTACTAATATACATATTGGCAATATTGTACACAAAACATATGCATTATATATCTATTATACACACGCTATATCTACATAGGCAGCCTCACATATACTTTGTTGCCTTCCACAATATATGTACACGTTCATACGCTGTATAGCTAGGCTATGCAAATTGTATGTGTTATATATGTTGTATAAGTTTATACGTAGTATATAGTCAACCATCTAAGTATATATATGCAAATTTGACTTGCATATGTCATACAATATCAAGACAACACAAAAACATACAATATGGAGAATATACATATACTATAATATAATATATACAACGCACATATAATACATACAAAATACACATAGTACATATATAATATGCGTATAACAAACATATACAATACATATAAAGTAAACATATACAATAAACATACACTATAAAAATGAAATACAGATAATTCATATAATGCACACACAATACATACTACTGCATAAACAGGAATATATGTACAACAAACATATGCAGATATATAAGACATATAAAAGATATAATATGTATATAGCGTACATGTACTATGCATATAGTGTGCATACGGTCTATATATAATACATATATATAATATGCATATAGTTAGGACATACTGTACAGTATATGGACAGTACATATATAGCAAATATAAAGAGTTAAGATTTTAAAGGTGCAAAATAAGAGATATTTTCAACACATACAGACATAAATAGATATGGACAAACATATACAGGGATATATAAGCATAGATACATATATACGTGTGTAAACGCGTATAAACATATATAACCATGTATAGGCAAATATACAGAGAATATAGAGAATATATAGTGCATATGAAGAGGAATATTGAGTATATATAAACATAAAAGACATACTACACTCTGCCTGCAAAGTATATGTGAAATATATATATTGTATAAGTATTATATGAACTATACATAGATTATATGAACTATATAGACATATATACGCTATAAGCACAAGATCTATACACTATATATAACTTATCTGTAGTATATACATAATATATATAGTATGGAGTAAATGCATATTTGAATGCAAATACAGTGTCAAAAAGCATTTTTAGATGAAATATATATCATATACATATTATATGTGTGTTGTATGTGGACTATATACGCAGTATATACGTCGTATAAATCCTCTGGACAGCGACCTACGAACAAAAAACGATCTGTTTTTGACAAAAATCAAGAAATTGCATCAAACAAACAGTAAAAAACACAAAAATACACAGAATTTTCAAAAAAGGCCATGTTTGAAACAGCAGAAACGCTCCTTTCACGAATTCTTACAAGACAGCGTGTTCAAGGGCTTCTTGTTCTTGAAAAAACAACTGATACAATTATCCAGACAACATTGAGCCAGGAAATAGCAACATCATGCGCAGAAATAATTAAAAGCATGCTTAATTCAACAGAAGCACTTATGTTGAATCTAGCATCTACGGTAGAAACAATATTTTGGCGAGATTTACTTATACATGTAGGATGTACTTCAATTTATACGTATGAAGATGCAAATGCATGAACTTATGATTGTTCCAGGTATAAAAGATGATGCAGTAATTACGGCTTATGCTTTGTAGGACCAGAATATCTTCTTGTAGTGATGGTTTCTATATGATCTAAGCATACAAAAGTACTGCTCAATTACACTCTGCACTGAAAAACAAAAACAACACATAAACATGGAAGATCGTGCAAAGAAGTGGAACAAATATTTTTCTTCAAGTAACCATTATCTACATTTTTCACTAAATTATCAACATTTCTTAAAAAATGAATATTCAAGACGATTATCCCATAATTTGTTTTGAGTAATCTTCTATAATATTTACACGTTAGCATAGCACATACTAAATAGAAAAGACTTGATCATTGCATGAAAATGCACAAACTATAGCTTTTCAAAAAACAACAATACATTACTTCACCATACAAGTACAGCCAGAAGCTTTTAAAGAAAAAAGGAAAAAACAGCACTGTATTAGCGAAAATAAGTTATATTGTAACTCTGATTCGTTTATTGTTGACAAAATCTACATTATTTTTTTATCACCATTCATTACCATATTCAGCAAACATTTTCATATATCCTGGATAAAAATACTTGAAATAAAGTAAAAAACTGCAGAGACATAGATATTGTCACCTTTTTTCTGCATTTTTTGGCATCTTATTTTTTTTAAAAACTTATTTAAATACCATCTAATTTTCAAAAACAGATATTTATCATCAATACAATCTATAAATCAATAATGTACAAACAACAACTCATGTTTGTTTTATTTTTATCTTCTTATACATCTTTATATATTTCATCCAAATAAAAAAAATATCGGTAACTTACACTTTCAAAATGGCAGAAAATACACGACTTTCATTTCCTCCAGAGTAAATATTTTCTTTTAATAAAAAGACACTAACAAATAATATTATAGAGTTTATAAAAAAATTGACTTACGGCAATATTTTAGACATTTTCTTGCATCCTCATTGCGTCCAGATGGACGAACACCTTTACAATTCCGTTCTACATCTATGAATACAGGAAGTCTATCCAATACATATGGATCTTCAGTTGCAAGAATGGGAGATACAATTTTTACATGTGGAATTCAAGCAGAAATAACGAAGCCATCAATCGAACGGCCTTTAGAAGGCTGGATAGGTTTTTTCATAAATAAAAATTAAATTATACTTATTTTTCAGTTCCTCATATTACATTCTCTCCAATATGTTCTCAAAAATATAAATCAAACCATCATAATCATATTGCTCAAGCTATGTTGCAAAGAATTCTATCTTTAATGCATACGTTCATTTCTTATCATTTTAAAGATAATTTCTTAAGATTATAGATCTAATATACTCCCATTATCTTCTTTATTGATATCAGAGTATAAGGCTGCCTGGGTTTTGTATGTTGATTTAATTTGCTTAAATTATGACGGAAATGCCATGGATGTTGCATGGATAGCATTGATAAGTGCTCTTGAAACCACAAAACTACCACTAGCAATATGGAATGAAGACACGGAGTCTGTTATATGTAAAAAAGAATATAAAAATCTCAAATTAAATCAAAGACTTTTTTCAGCCTCTTTTGGAATTTTTGATGGGTATTTTTTTTTCTTTTATATTTTTTTTTAAGAGCTCCAGTAAATATATCTTATCAGATTTAAATGATGACGAGGAAAGCTTAATTTCAGAAACAATTAATATCATAATCGGCAATGACAAACAGTTATTAAGCATTAACAAAAATGGGGGGATTACAATGACACAAGAAATGATCATATCATGTATAAAATTAGCTAAAGAAAGATATGATGAATTATATAATTTAATCGACAAATCAAAATAACATATACTTCACTACTAAGTAATATCATCATATATTTCAAAAATAACTTTAAATTTTCAAAATCAAACAATTCCTTTAGCTAACTTTAACTTTCTAATCGATTCAACATATTTCTGCATATCGAACTTACTCTCTTGAGTAATCCAATCACCATTACATATACATAATATCCTCATGTTGTTACTATATTGCAAAGATGGCAACAATTTTGGAGTAATTAAAAAGCACCTTTCATTATTAGTCTATTAATATTTCATTTATATGTCAAGTTTACTGTGGAGTATTTTTTTTACTCATAGTATCTACTAGTTTTGCATGTACAAGTCTTTCATTTCTTGGATCCATACCTTGATTAATTTCATCAACTACTCGAAATGGTACTTTCAACAAACTTTGCATAGCAATTAAGTAAAAGACAGTAGAAACAGATCTTTCTCCTCCTGATTGTCTTTGAGCTGTCAACAACTGAAGATTTTCATTATCTCTAGTCTATATTAAAATATCACATTGATTAATAATAAATGTACCTAAATTTTACTAAAATTTCAATACGCCATTTATCAAATCCATTATTTTTACCAATACGAACCTCTCCAACGCATCCTATATATTCAAATGCCTCAGAAAAATTACTATTAATTCCAGAAACTATATCATCTAATTTTGGTTCCCATATTGCTCTCAAATTATCTATGTCTAATTGTGTTTTTTGCAACCGTAACTCAAATTCATTAATCCTTTTTTTAAGGGTTTCAATATCATATTCTCTTTTTTCAAATTGCGAGATAACATTAGGATTTGTTTGATATATAAATTCAAGTTTCCCTTTTTCAAATTCTATTTGTTCATTAAGTAACTCTTCAGTTATGTCTTGTTCAATTTGCTATAAATTTAAAAAAAAAAATAACCGATATTTATATATACATACCTTTTCCATCTCTTTTTGTGTCTCTTCGTCCACATTTTCAAGATTTTTTCGTGCTATTTCTAATTTTTCAGCAGCAATATTTTTTAAATTCTGAGTTACTTCTTTTACTAAAAAAATCAAAATAAATATATATCAATTTCTAAACATACATTCATCATAAGATTTTTTAATGTCATCAATTTTTGCAACTATTTCACTACTTTTCTCAATAATTTCAGAGTAATTATCATTTTTTTGAATTTCACGAATACTCATAGATACCATTTTATTTGTTGTTTGAAAAGCATTCAATGTTAAATCCTAATTAGATTAGCCAAAATACTAAGCTATAAAATATAAATACTTTAAGCTGAATTGCAGAAGCTGTATGCTGTTCTACTACTTCTTTCATTCTTTCCTTTAATTTTTTAATATTATCAGCAGATACATTAGACAAGGAATTCCAAGAGCGTAAACTCTCTTTAGTTTTTTCAAGCTGCAATAGTTGATAATCCCATTCTTTGATTTCCTTTAGCATATCATCTTTTTTTTTCAACAAACTGTTCTAAATAAATTAATATTATCATAAAAACTTTATAAATCAATACTTTTCTATCTACAGCATCATTAAATCTAATCTTTATACGATCTTCAGTTTTTCTTAGTTCTTGAATGGAAGCTTCATTTTTTTTAATAACTAAATTCAAATCCGTTATTTGTTGTTGTAACAATTCTTTAGCCTCAGTATTTACTATTATACTATTTAATATATTTTTTAAATAATCCTATCAAACCTGTAACTGTAAATCTTTGTGCCTTTGTTACTAACTTAGTAATAGTTGAAACATCTTTTCTACCATATTTTGATTTTTTCATAGTGTAGTGAGTTCTTCCAGATATAAAAACAGGAAAAATAAATTGATTTGCCGAATTAACACATTGAGAAAGCTTTTTATAACATACATCACTTATTTCATGAACACTTACAGGCTAAAAATAGTAAATAATTAACCCAAAATAATATAAATAACCCACAATTTTGTGAACATTAGCAATATGACACAATGTATTCAATACTGGAGGAGATCCATCTAAAAAATCCAAAAGATAACCATCCATATCAAAGTTTTGTTTAAGCTATTATCATCAAAAAAAATAAAAAGTCATTATTAATTACTTGACTAGAAGTACATGGTTGTTTTTGCATATCCAGGCTTGGTGCACTGGTATTAGAAAATTCTGTAGTATGCAATCTTAATTCGCGACCACAACCTTCCTTTGAATCAACAAGTATACGGTTGAACAATATATAATCATCTCTATTCAAAAAAGTAAATGCCTTTAATATTATTATTAAGAATTTAATAATCCAAACATATTTACCGTATAAGTATTTCTTTGAAAACATGCTTCTACAAAATCCGCATATTTAAGATCCTTAACATTAATCTCCAAATAAACAGGATCATAAACATGATCCTTAAATTTATTTCTATTATTAGATAACCAAATTACAGCATCATAAACGTCACGGTCATTTTGTTTCAACCATTGAAGTCTTTGCTCTCGAATATTATCAAGATCATACAACCTATAAGTAAAAATCTTATCAATATATTCAAGAACAACTTACTTATTTTGAACTTGATTTAAAGTAACTTTAGATTCATTAATTTGATGTAGATACTCTCCTATATTCATATTCAAATTCTCTAATTCTTTCTTTACTTTTTTCACTGAATTATTAGCTTCAGTCTAGATAATAAATTTATTTCAAATACAAAAATAAGATATTTTTACCAATTTGCCTAGTATGGCATTCATATCATTTTCAGATGGTTTGTTTCCAAGTCGCGATTCCATAAAAACAATTGTATCTTTAAGTTCAAGAATTTTTTGACATCGTTCCCTCTCTTTTCTTTTCTCAGCTCTAATTTCACTTCGAATTTCTTTAATAGAATCACACTAAATATTAGTTAGATTTTCAGTATGTTTGAAATATATATATTACATATTTTTCAAAAGACAAAATCAAAGAATCCAACTCACTACACTTATTATTTAAAGAAGTCTTTATTTTATTCTTTTCTACTAGACATTCATTCAAAGTAGTCTCTGCTTGTATTTTTTTACTAAGAAAAGGAGAATATTCTTTCTCTATTTGATCCAATTCAGCCTTTTTTTCATTTCTTAATTTTTTAGAATTATAAAATGCCTTTCTTGCATCAGAATATTGCACAAAAGGAATTCTAAGTTCCAAAATCCTAATTGTCTTAATGATAGCTTCTCTTTCACGAAAACGTTCTACATCACGACGCGCAATAGCTTGTTTCTCAATTAAATTTTCCAACTGAGATTGATCAATAGTTTTCGCCTATTCACTTTAATTTCATGAAATATAAAAAATAAATGATATTTTACAGTTAAATCATTTTTTTGACTTGCTTCCAATTCAATTAATTTATTATGCTGAAGTAACATTTCTGAATCACCAACAGCTCTTTCCGTCTCTCTAAGTAGTTTTTCTGGTGTTAATTGTGCAAATTCACTAACTTTATCTTGAGGAAGAAACTGACTAAAATAATATTAACAGACCGCTTTCCTATAAACATCCTCATGTACCATAAATTATCAATCTGTATATTAAATTCATCCATTTTTTCTTTGATATGTTTATGAGTGGAAGATATACCTTAGTATTTAACATAAAATTTCATTTAATTTTACAATTTACCATTCAATTCCCATGTACTTGTATTATCATTATAAATAACACGGGAAACTAAAACATTAGAGCCTTTGCCAGAGCCTTTTAACTCAATCTCAATATGTGCCTTTTCAGAACCAAATTTAATATATTCACTAATATCCTTTGCACGCCCAAGAAACTAAACATATTTAAACAAAATCAAAATTTTAATAATAAAAGAAAGACATACACTCGGATTCCACCCAAGACCTATACAAATAGCAGATGCAAACGTACTTTTACCACTACCATTTGGCCCAATAATCATATTAAGATTTGGCCCCGGATAAAACTCAATTGAATCATAAGTTACAAAATTTTCTAAACTCACACGAACAATAGATCCTTTTCGAAAATCACTGCAAATCCAATATTAGAAAAGCACTTTTTACGAACCAAAAAACCCCAGATCAGACGAAGTATTTGTATATTGATTTTTTTGTTTTTTCACCATTCTTAAATAAAAAATCTTAAACAACAGTATAATAAAAAACCATTTTCCACTATGAACCAATGATTTTTTAGTGAATTATTAACTCTATATTTATAATCTCTAATTATAAGATTTTGACAAATTAACGAAAAACACAAACCCATAAAATACATATTAAATATATTATATAAATTTATTATATACAAATGTATTTACAAACATTAAATTATTCATAATAATACAAATATGTACAAAAATATTTTTAATTAACAAAATCCCATTTAGCCATATTTACTGTACTAGAACCAACATTCCTTACTATGCAATATCTTTTCTTATTATCAACTAATATTTTTGATACTTTATGTAATGAAAAACATCCAATAGCAGTAGCTTTACCTCTTTTTAAATTAAAATTACCACTAGTTACAAAACCAAGAAGATTATCAGACGATGGACATAAAGGATACTAATAATAAAATCAATTTAAAATAAAAAACACACAAAAAAAATAACAATACCTCATTATCATCATGCTTTATTATTTCTTTAGAAAAGCGTTCCCAAACTTCCTTTTCTTCAGATGGAATAGAATAAACTCTAGCACAACAGCTAGGATTACCTCGTCGTAACATAGTAATTTTGACAATAAAAACAAAATTCAAAGATTCATATAAATTCGACTCAATTTTAGCTTTAATATCAATACCAGAAATTAAATGAAAATCAGTTTTCAATAATTTAGATTCATTTCCAATATTTCCAAAATTGCTTTCACAAGATTTTAAAAATAAATAACTCCAATCACAAATAAAAGGATTACCATGTTCACCTTTACCATCTTTTGTAATAACAGAAGACCATGATATTCTCTTAGAAGGTGGTTTCTTCGTCCATTCAGATTCTCTATATTGACCCTCAATTCTTTCATTTTCATTCCCAGCCAATGTACCATGATAATCCGATGGAAAATAAGGTCTGCCTTCTTCAAATTCCAATTGCTGTTTTTCTTGCATTCCACCAAAACAAACTTTCGGGATATGCATTAAAGAATACCAAAGATGTGTTATCCAATTCCATGGTGCAAGTACTGTCCAACAAATTTCACAACGAAGAAGCAAAACAGGTATATCATAAGGTACAGATGACTTTGATAACTCAGAACGAAGAACATTTATACGCTGTTGAGAAAGCTGATTTTTTTGACATCTCAAACGAACATCAGTATTAAATAATTCAGAAGAAGATATCAATTCATCCTTCCACGATTTGATCAATATATCACAAGACCCTTTATCTTTTACATCTATGAGCCTAGGAGGAAATCTATTCATTAGACAAACCATCAATATAAAAGAAAACATACGATAACCGAGGATCTCTAATATTAAGAGGAATAACTATACCTACAGGAAGCGATCTAATTTGTGATACATATTTAATTTCTGACCAAACCTAAAAAATTAAATAACCTTAAGAAAATACATAATGCATACTTGAGATATTGTATCAGACATTTTAACATCAAACAAACACTGCAAAGCTAATGTTGACATAGGACCATGAACATCTATACCACCAATATCAAATCTACAATCCTCAATCATAACATTTTCAATGCTTGATATTTCCTTCATTTCAATATATACTTGTTTAAAAGCTACAGGATGAAATCTAACCATCACACATTGAGAATTCCCAATTTTCTGCCATAAAAAATATGCAGGACAAATAAGACGAAGAAAATTAGAATCTTTTTGATATATCATAGCTTCACAAAACCGAGTACCTCTAACATATCTTCCTTTTGTAACGCCAGAATCATTCATTGTAAAGTGCTGCAAAACACGTTTTAAGTTCTCTATTTCTCCCCATAAGCATATTGTACAGTAATAGCTTGTATCAAACGCAATTGCACCATCTATATTAGCAGATCTATGTGTCAATCTATAAGATTTTAAAGTAGGTGTTTTTGCTATAGAATAGGACCATCTTATTAGCATTTTAGCACGTTTCGCATGCCATAAATGAGTTGGAAGCCATGTTTTATCCTTTTGCCTTTTTGAGAATTTCCCATTTACTTTTTTAACTTTAGGGAATTCTTCTTTAGTTTCAATTTGCTCATTTTTTGGTATTTCTGTAATCATATTATTCCTAATAGCAAATTTTCTTAACTTATAAACAGTCAAAAGACGAATTCTTTTCTTTCCCTTAGGTTTTGACTTTTTCAATACATTCTTATCACTGATCTAAAAATATTAGAAAAAAAAACCTTGAAAAACATACTTCATTTTTTGCTCTAAAACGTAAATATTTTGGTACTCTTTTTAAATTATGAGAAGCAGCTCTTCTTCTCAAAAACCTAGGCAAACTTTGAAAAGCTCTTTGTGCAAATGATTGGCTAAAATATCAACATTTAGACATATAATATTCTGTCCGCACCGTGAACGTCTCATTGCTTGAAAAAGAGCACGAATTTCAAATTTCCTCGAGTTCAAAAATGATTTAACATCAATCTCACCTTCTCTAATAGCTTTTAAAGTATTTTTCAGCTATATTAACTTTCAATTCAAAAACACCAACCTGCAGAATCAGATTCAACAGCTATAGATCTTAAATCCGAAAATTTTGCCCGTTTTTTTGCAGAACCTACATTTTCAGGTGCTTTCCTGTGTGTTTTGTTTAAGTTTTCTTCTTTATCCATTTAAATTCCCTTGTTTTCAATACTTTATACATATATCTCATTTTTTTGCCGTTGAACTTTCTACTTAACCGTAACCTCTTGTCTTATAAAAATTCAAAAATTCAATGAAACAACGTCTTACTACTTTTCCACCACCTGAATTGAAAAAATACTCATTCTTAGAAACATATACTTTCCTTTATTCTGTATATACTGATTTACTTTTATCACAGCTTTGGGAGGAATTAAAAATTCATCAACTACCATCAAATAGATCAATTATCCAAGGAATTTCTCCTCAAAACCATAAAACTTTTTATGTTTATCCATGTTCACTTGAAGAGAGTATTTCTATTAAAAAAATTTGCGAATTATATAATGAAGTCTGGAATATTCTTGGAGAAGATAAACAAACCTTATTATTAGGGATTGTGAGTCCAGATAGCACAATTGTTTATTATAAAATAAATAATGGACTAATTAAACCAAGAAAAAACGATGAAGATTAACTTAATATATGTTTAACATGCATTTTATATGACAATTTTAAAACATAACATCACTTATAATATCAGTCAAAAACTTTTTTTTCTTACATTAAGTATGCTTATATTATAAAAACAAACATTATGATCAAGAAAAGTTTTACAACTGTCAATATTAATATGAGCCGTATCCTTCCAAAATCTATTTATCTAATACATATTAAAAGTTAAATATCAAACTATTAAAAACGTAGATAAAAAATATATACAACATTTATATACCATCAAAGATAATTAAGTTATCATTTTTAGCACATGCTGAAAAGATCTCAGTTAAAACACTAATGATTCGAACACCACTTACTTTCCGAAGGGACTTCATAACCCCCACTTATACAACAGTTTTTTAATTTACTTTTCGAACCAATAATGCTATTAATGCAAACTATGCAACCGTCTAACCTCACACTAAACAAATGTTTTAATAGAAAATCAAAAAGAAAAAAACACTAACCCATCTTCAATTTTAACATTGTCCATGACGATACTGTTAATTACAGTAACAGACTTCCCTAAAATACAATTGGCACCAATAACACTTTTTTTTACATTGCATCGCTCGTCTATCTTTGTATTCTCACCAACTAAAGAATCAATTCCAATGATAGCTTTTTGAGCCACTTTTGCCGATGTAGATATTCGTGTTTCTGTAGATATTTTAGATAACTATAATCATATTAATATTACATATTTTGATAAAAAAAATACATTTCTATTAAGATCCGTATATGTCTCAACAGTATTTGAACGCATGCAATATCGGTTATCAGGAAGCAAGTATGTTATTACTCTAACAAGCTTTTCATTTGTTGAATCAAGTACAAAGCTACATGTATGTGTATAACGCAAAATGACTAAACCAAGTTAACAAATGTATTAAATAATTTCCTTTTCTCGTGTACTTTCTTTAATATTATGTCGTTTCAATAAAAGAGACTGATATTGACATTTAACAAGTAATGGAATTAAATCTTCTTGTATAGAAGATATACGTTCATTTTGAACAATAAGGTCCAGTACCCACCTCTTAAAAATATAAAGATGGGAATCTCTAAAAGTAGAAGTAACATAAATTCGAGGATACCTAAAAGCCAATATTAACATTTTTTTTTTAAAAACATATTCATTTACTTCCAAAGCATAGATGTTCGAACTACAAATTCTTCGTCAACATCAACGGCTGATTTTACACATACCAACGCATTATCTGGCTTGCTAATACCAAAAAACATCTTACGACCTACTTTTTTATTTTCACATCCTTGTTACAATAAACTAAAAATACCTGAATCTTTAGAAAAAACAAAACTCTCATTCTTTGAAATATCATACAGCAAAGAAGTAACAGTCGGTGAATGAATTCGATGAAAATCCAAAATCTCATGTGGCGGAAGATTAGTAACCAAATCACAACTCAATACTATAAAATCACTCTAACAAAAACATATTAAAAATACATACATTCTAATCCATAACACACCTTTATTTTATCCTGAACTTTTCTAAGAACATCTGCAGTTCCCAAGGCTTCATCAACACTACTTGGTGCGTACACTTGAATCTTAATATGTCCATCATAAACATTTTTCAAATACGACGAGAGACATAATTCAACCTCCATTTGACAAATTACTATAACACCTTTTTTTCTTAAAAACACCCATCAAAAATAAAATCTTTACTTAAAAATCCACCTTCTTCACACCATTTTAAAACATACCATATCATTGGCTTATTTGCAAGAGGTAGCAATGCTTTAGGAAGATTGTTTGTCTCTGTTAAAGGATACAAGCTAAAATGTATTAAATCCTCATAAAACAATGGGGGAAAAAATACCCATTTCCAAATCCCGAAAAAATAATTGCTTGAAAATCATGAAAATCACTTGTTTGTCGGCCTTTTGCCTGAGACAGCATCTTAAACACAAATACCGTTTCAAACCAACCGTCTACAATCAAACACACGTTTTACACACGTTTTTCGTGCACCAAAAACGACACTATACGTGCACAAATCTTTTCAAGCATTAATCGATAAATGTGTACAATATAGAAAACTTATAAAGCCTATAATACGTAATATAAAGATGAATATAACAAAACCCACAATTCAAATAAAACAAAAAGAAAATAGAGAAAAGAATAAAGTTAAAAAGAAGAAAAATATCAAAAAAAGATAAAAAATATCAAAAAATTTTAAAACACCTAAGATTCTAAAGCATTCCTAAGCAATTGACAGCTTTTTATGAAAAAGATGCAACAAAAAAGACAAATAACAGACAATTATCAGAATAATTCCTAAAAACAAAATACTCTATACAGAAATGAATTAAAGGAGTATTATATTCTCCATTTATTTGGATTATATACACTGATTATTCTTATTTTACTTCTCCCAACTCACGTTATCAAATCTGCTGTGTGATAGAGTTTAACCTACTTTATATCAAGTTAAACCCTAAACATTCAGAGGATTTAGACCTATACAAAAGATTAGGTCTAAAATAAGGGTTTTGAAATAGGGTTAAACGGTCCATCAGATGAGAAGGTTGAATACATAGCAAAGAGATGAAATAAATAGAGAATCAGAAGCATCTTCTTGAAGTAGCTTCAAAGAAAACAGAAAAAAGCAACTGCTTCAGAGAGAAAAAGATTTTTTTGTTTTTTTTGGAAGATGCAACGAAAAAGAGCCACAGAAAAAGAAGATTTAGTACTGGACTCGGCATCAGTGCTGGAATTCACGAATTTAGGAGCAGGAAATGAAGTAGGACGATCATGTCATGTTATACATATCAAAGGAAAAACAGTTATGGTAGTTTTGTAGGAAATTTTTCAAAAAAAAGCTTATTAATGGTGCAGCTTGATGCAGGTGTTCATCCAGCGTATAATGGGATTGCAGCACTCCCATTTTATGATGAAATTGATATGAGCACGGTGGATATTCTTCTTATTAGCCAGTTGAGTGGTTTATGCAGTTTTGTGATGAATCTGATAGGTATAGTTTTCACGTGGATCATGTTGCATCTCTCCCATATGTGATGACTAAGGTATTTGCATGCAAAGCCATCATCTTGCTTATTGTATTAGACAAATTTCAAAGGAAGAGTATTTATGACTCATCCTACAAAGGCGATCTATAAGTGGTTACTTACAGATTTCTTAAGAGTCAGGTATGCTACATCATAAAGAAGTATACATGAATGGCTAATAAGAATAGCAATACAACAGCAGAAGAGCAGTTATATGAAGAAAAAGATTTGATAAAATCTCTTGAAAAAATAGAAGTAGTTGATTATCATTCAACAATTGAAGTGAATGGTGTCAAATTTACACCATATCATGCAGGACATGTGCTTGGTGCAGCAATGTTTTTTATAGAAGTAGCAGGAATTAAAGTAAGTTTTGAGCTCAATAACTCTATGAGTAGTTAATAATAATTAGATACTTTTTACAGGAGACTATTCGAGAGAAGAAGATAGACATCTCATACCCGCAGAAGTTCCACCAATACAACCGGATATATTGATAACGGAATCAACATATGGTACGGCGTCTCATCAACCTATATCTGAAAAAGAATCTCGACTAACCAGTATGTTTTTTTCTTAAGTTTTAAAAACTCATTTATTAATTTAGGTATAATTCACTCAATTATTCGTAGGGGAGGACGAGTTTTAATACCCGTATTCGCACTTGGGAGAACACAAGAACTAATGTTAATTATTGACGAATATTGGCATAATCATCCCGAGCTTCACTCTATTCCAGTTTATTATGCATGTAGTTTAGCTAAAAAATGCATGACAGTATATCAAACGTATATAAATACAATGAATAGTAAAATTAGGAAAATATTTGAAGAAAGGAATCCTTTTATATTTAGATATATCAGTAGTTTAAAATCACTTGATCGCTTTGAAGATATTGGGCCTTGTGTAATGCTTGCATCACCTGGAATGTTACAAGTATGAGCTTAAAACAGTATTAATTATTCATAACGTTTTAATTAGAGTGGTGTTTCTAGAGCTCTTTTGGAAAAATGGTGCCCTGATCCAAAAAATGGTCTAATAGTTGCAGGATATTGTGTTGAGGGAACTATGGCAAAAGTATATTAAAAAAGTTATTGAAATCAAATTAATTTTTTAGCATATTTTAAACGAACCTTCGGAAATCATATCACTTTCTGGTCAAAAAATACCTAGAAGAATGACTGTTGAAGAAATATCGTTTGAAGCACATGTCGACTATATACAAAATAGTCAATTTATTGATCTTATAAATGCAAACCATATTGTAAGTATAGTATTAGTTATATTTTTTTAATAAAAAAATAGATTCTAGTACATGGTGAACAAAATAATATGGGTAGACTAAAAAGTGCACTCCTAAGCAAATATTCACACAGAAAGAACGAAGTTCATATTTATAATCCCAAAAATTGTGAAACATTAAAACTTACATTTAAAGGAGACAAAATAGCAAAAGTATCATCAATTATTGATAAAACTTATATTCTTATGTGTTTTAGACAATAGGACATATAGCAGAAACTCCTCCAGAAAACAATCATGTCATTAGTGGGATAATGGTTCAAAAGGATTTCCAAATTAGCATTATGTCTTCAGAAGACTTAAAAGAATTTAGTGGACTTACAACAAGCGTTATTATGCAGCGTCAAACTCTTTCTTTTAATGCAAGTATTAATATTTTGCATTATCATCTTGAACAAATGTTTGGAGCTATTGAAGACCAAATAGACGAAAATAATAACAGATTGTTCAAAGTAAACTCACTGGTTGTTTCTTTATAAATTTTAATACATTAGGTTATGAATATAGTATCAGTAAGATGTCTCCAAAAAAACATTATTTCACTAGAATGGCCGGGAAATGCACTTAATGATACGATTGCAGATTCAGTCCTTGCAATCATTCTTGCAGCAGAAAACAGTCCGGTTTCTATAAAATGTAAACCACTATTATTGAAAAACATCATATATAATATAGAATAGTAGCATCATGTTCAGATGGAAACCACTGCTTACATACGGGTTTTGACTATAAAGAGAAGAAAAACAGAATAGAGATGTTCTTAAAATCACAGTTTGGTCAGTCACTTGTTGTTAATGATGATATTTTTGAAATTCATATTGATCACCATATTGCCAAAATCAATTTAGAAACGTTTGAGGTAGAATGTACCTATGAACCCTTAAGAAGTCGAGTATCACATGTTCTTGGAGGAGCCATTGCAACTATTACTCCATTTGTCGAGCCTTTCACTGAAAATAATATAAAAACAAACGATATAGAAAAAGAATAAGTTTTAATATTTAAAAATATATTTCTTTCAAAAAGAAAAAAATAAAATTTATATGAGTTCATTATTCTAAAAAATCCATCATAGCATTTTTTGTTTTTTATACTTATATTTTTGATTTTTTTTCTTAAAATACCCAACGTTATATACTCAATCAAATTGAAACATCTAACCAATTCATTATTAAGAAAACCATTTAAATATTTGAAACATATAAGCACAATTTAAAACATAAAAATATTAAATGGCCGGAAAGGTCAATGAAAAAACAGGATTTAAAACCGATCAAACAGAAACTAAAAAAGATGGACAAGTAAACATTTGTTAGATAAAAAACAAAAAGATTAAAGTATTTTTAGGAGAAATTCATCCGTAGATATAGAAAAAACAAGATTTTTCATACTAATATAAGAAAAAGGATTAGTTAGAACGTCTGATGAGCTTTTGGAACGATATAAAAATGAAGCACCCTCTTTAATTCTTCATATGTATCCTACATACTTTAGATTTGATCAACAGGTGAATAAAGATCATATAATAGTAGATTAGCATATTTTTAACATAACAAGGAGGGTGTTTTTCTATACAATAGTCCTATGAAAGTATAAGATCAAGTATATTATATATTATATTTTAACCATACAAAGATAATTTTGGAATATATTAGAATGGAGACAATCCCTCCTGACTGCATGGAGATTTTTAAAAACGCAAAAACTCGATTTTATGAAGGCATTTTTAAAATTAAATCTAAAATTATTCTAATCTATTCAAAAAGGATGTTTAATTGTTCAAATACGAGATCATAGACAAAGTATGGCTGATGTTTCTCATTCTAGTGGAAAAAAGACCATGCGTCTAATAAATGAACATATAATTCCTTCAAAATCACCATCCAAAGGCTTTCCAACAGTAAATACTACAGAAAAAGTTTATCGTACAGTTTTAAAACCATCTTCAGAAACATTATGGGAAGAAATCTGCATTTTTAGCGAGTCTGTTGGAGGAAAATTTAGCAATGATATGGCTATAAAATTTGAATCCCAAATATTGGTAACAAACATACATTTTTCTTATTTTTATTAAATTATTAATAGATAGCAACCACTCCTATTCTTTATTTACTACCTGCAGCAAACCCTATGGTAATGTCAAGAATATTCTCAGAATTATATGAACCCATGGTTCCAATTGTGAAAAAGAGAAAACAAAGTCCTGATAAAACAAATGAAGCCAAAAAAGCAGAAGAACAACTTATGTTGATTATGGATGAAAGACAGGGAAAAAACTTTCAACCTAGGTTTGATAAATAGTATTTCTTTTTTAATTAACTAATAATTCAGTTTTTCACGACTTGCTTTTGTTGAGAAGCTTCGTCATAAACGATCACGAACTAATTTCAACTCTCCTCAGGCTTACCAAAGACAACATTCTCAAAATACTTCATTCAATATTCCTAAAAATGATCTGTCTTTACAAAAAATGCAACAAAGAAATTCTGCATTATTATCTTCCAACAATGCACCTATAATGAGCCCTATGCTAAAAAATCAACCTGGAAATATTTATACAAAAGAACAACAAGAAGCTATAAGAGCACAAAAAGCAATGCTTCAAGTTAGAACAATGCAACTTAAACAAACAGGCATGCCTATTCATCAAATTAATGAAATTATTCGCCAACAGGCAGCACAAATGAATCTCAACATACAAGAAATGCCATCCCATACAGAAGGTATTAATATTGATCATTAAATTTAACATATTTTTTACAAAGAAATAGGGCGCATGTTAGTATTACAGGGACTAAAAAAACATCTACAGAATATAAAATCTAAATCTTTATAATTAAGAATTCAACATCATTCATTATTTTTTTAAAAACATTATAAAAATACTCGTAAATAATTAACAACATTTTTAAATAAGTTAGGATATAGGACAATTAAATTTACTTTTAGAATGACACAGGCTTATTCATTATAATCAATAAGATTTTATTTTCAAAGACCTAAATATAGAAATAAATAGATACAGCCCAGAATATCCAAATATCCATATATATTTGCAATACTTCTGTATATATTTTTCTTAATTTAAATACTGTTCTATATTATAATCTTTATTAATTACCAACTTTAGATAACAAAGCGATAACAATATTTGAAAATCATTTTTTTAAAATAAATTTAAAAAACAAAGAAAAATACTTTTCAAATTTAAAAAGACACATATTTTTTAAAATACTACCTTCTAATGTCATCAATACAAGAACAATATCAAGCAGACATTTTATCTCTTCGTTCAGAATGTAAAATTATCTTTTTTTTCAATAAACATCTAACATAATAAATAGTAACAAAATTAGAATCAAAAAGAAACGATTTATTACTAAAACTACTTGAATATCGCCCAGTTGTTCATGAATATACTTCTGCTAAAGCTCCGCAAGATTTAAAACCAATTGAAAGCGAATGGAACATTGAAAAGCTATACCGTTTATCAGGTATCACATTTTTCGTCCCCTCTGATCCTGAAAAATATGTTCCTCTTAAAAAAAAGCCATTTCATAAACTTGTAGGGGCAAGAATTGATCTTTTTCATCAAGGTAATTTTTGCAAACATAAGTAATCAGTTATAACATAAATTGTCACAGGTTTTACTTTCAACTTGTATTTTATTGCATCTAAAAAGAATATAGGCGTATTTCTGAAGCCACACTATTTGATCTTTCGTCTAGATAATGGATTATCATTATATAAACATACTATACCGAACTTTATTGATATAGATTTATTGGCAAAAAAGTGGTTAAACAAAGAGACAAATGTAAGAAATATATTCACTAAGTACATATAATAATACATTTACTTAGACATTTCTTTGTTTAATACGTAGACAATTACTTTATCATGCAATCCGCTCTGCTCATATTCGTGAACTAGAAAACATATTTTCAAACTCAACTATCCTCTGCGATCCAGCCGCAGCATTTATGGAAATAAAGAACAAGTAAAATTATGCCATATTTTAATACTAAACATATTCATTGTTGATAGAAAATATACAATAATTATCAAGTTTGGAAACACAAATATCGAAAAAACAATGATTAAAAATTCAAAAGGAGAAAGAATTGTAGAGTTAGAAAAAAAACTAATTAAAAAAGGCCCTAGTATTATTCATCATCTTCTAGAATAACACTTTTTTCTTATATATATTATAATGTATATTATAATGTATATTATATTCACAAATCCTTCTATTTCATATATCTATATATTGTTTAAAAATTATTTTATTAATTTCAATTTAAAATTCTTATATTTATTATCCTTATTATCAATTACAGCTAACATTTATTTATCTAAAGATTTAGATATCGATATAATTTCAAAAAACACGAAATAAAAAAGTATAAAATAGATAAAAGCAGGCCTTTAAGACGCGTTTTTATAAAAGAATATAGAATAGTTTGTAGAGTATAGGTATATTTTTCCTTTTTTTCCGCAATTTAAAATCATATTAAAGGGTTTTGCTGCGAAAGTTTTTAACGTACGTTTATTAAAATACATTTTAATTGAATAAAAGAAAAAAAGATGCGCTTGACTCTTTGTTTCACTTTTTTTGTATGTGTTCCATCTGTTTTTAGTTTTCGAAAATATATTACATTAGGAGATGATGTTTTTTACTCAAAAAATTTTGAATCATGCACATATCATCCATTAATTGAAATCACTTCATTTAAAGCCAAATATTATCGGAAAGTACCATCCATAGAGTTCAATATGTCCGCAAAAAGCTTTGTAGGAGATAATGTTACAAGTATATTATAATATTTAGTCAATAATTAAACTTATAAAAAAATTCAGTATCTTTCTCATTTACAGTTTATGGAAAAACTTACATAAATAAAACATATGATACATGTGATCTTGGGATTTCTGAGCTATGCTATCTAGAAGCAAAGTCCTTTTCAGCTAAGGGATCATTACCATTTTCTTTTAAACAAATAAATATTCCAGGTTATTTCATTTTATTTAAAATATTGACTGAAAATACAAGAAATTATGTTTGAAATTCCTGATTTTGAAGGAAAAGCTTATTTTCGCTTTTATTCTACAATAACAGGAAATGAAATTTCTTGTTTAAAAACAACAATTACAAGTAAACAATCGTTTCACCATAAAATTATAACATGGATATGTCTTGGCTTTTTTGCGCTATCAGCTTTGACATCATATATAGCATTTTCTTCACAATCATGTTTTTCATACGCTTTGCTGACAGCTTCTCATTCTATTCCTGGATTATTAACATTTTGGAATTACTTTCAATTTCTTACAGCAATGACAATGGAAAATGTAGTATACCCGACTCCCCTAATTGCATGGGGTTCTAATTTTGCATTTTCTCTTGGTCTTATTCGCTTTTTCCAGCAACTTGTATATATGTTTAATAAGTTTACAAAAAATTATATAAATATAGGCTTAAACAGATTCAAAAGGGAAAAAATAGATGATAATAGCTTTATATCACCAGATTTTTACAAAGGTATTCAAGGTCAACTAAATTATTTGAAAATTACCAATACTAATGCTTTTATAACATCAATTACATGCTTTGCGACAGCTATTTTAGCATTTTTCATTATTTCTATAACGTTTTCTCTTATTGCAAGAATAATTAGACGAAATGAAAGATTTGTTAGAAAAAACTGGATAAATTTCAGTCTTTGGTCTATTTTAAGAGTGGTTAGTTTTATAAATAAATATAAAAATCACTTATTTTATTAGCTGATTATTAATATTTTTGGATTGTCGTTTATTTCTATTTATCAACTAGTGCTTCATGATGCTTATCAACCTAAAGTGCTTGCAGCATTTTCTTTGCTTATATTTGTAATACCGGTATTAATATTAAGTTTATTATATTTTATTCGATGCTATTTTCGAAAATTAGATCAAGAAATGACTGCTAAATACTGGGGCTGGCTTATTGTTGAATATAATTCTAAAAGACAACATTTTTATCTTATTTTTTTTGTATACTCTCTATGTAAAGCACACATTTTAGGAATCTTCAGTTTCCCATCTAAAGCACAAACAATTTCACTTTGTACAATTGAACTGTGTTATTCATTAAGTATAGTAATTTTACGACCATTTGAGTCTATTAGAGCACATATCCTTGAGCTATCTCTTGGAGCAATTAAAACACTATGTTTAGGATCCATTATTATGTTCTCTTTTAATATATCGGTATATATATATATTTGTTCTAAATGAATGACATTCTGAAGATGTATTTAGGGATTGTCACGAGTATTATTAGGTACCATGATTGTAATGTTATCTGCTATAGGTCTGTTATTTTTGTTTGCTTTCATTTTATGGAACTTTTTTGTCATTTCACTTCTAGCTCACCATAATGATCATATTTATTATGATTGTTCTAGACGAACAAGTAGCTTATCCGATAAAATTTATGATTATAAACGTAGAATTTTCAAAACAAAAAATTTTGGAAAAATTTCTGGTTATGACCAATATCTTTATCCACAAAAACAACCTAGTGGTTATCTTTCTGAAGGCCATGGGTCTACTATTCATAACACGAAACAACACTATATTGCTAATTGTCCCAGCACTACAACTTGTCCCTCAGAAAGAAAGAACGAAAAATAAATATTTCTTGTATCCTAATTCTACATAATTTCTAGGATTATACATTTACAAAACCTCTTAAGATAATTTAAGAAAATACACTTTTTTGAAAAAGCATGAATTCAATGTAAAATTTTATGTAGTTTTAGTCTATGTAGATATAATAAATTTCCTATTTCTGTTCCCTACATAAAACCCATTTAATATTGCTATTCTATACATTTCTTTATTTTTCTTTTAATTCTATATAATATTCTATCTAAACGTAACGCGGTAGTGCAATAACCTCAATTAACGTCTTAATATGCAAAACTCTTTAAAAAGGTATAAAATACCAATTTTTTATGTTTTCTAATATATTTTTAGAAGAATTGACTTAGGTTTCCTCTATATTTGTTTTTAAAACACTTTTTAACACGTTTTTTTAGCAGATTTAACAGCAAACAATATAGGTGTTTTTAGAACTCTTCACCAAGTCTTATTTCCAATTACTTATAATGAAAAATTCTATGAAGAAAGCCTAAATATCGGGGAATTAGCAAAACTTGCATATTTTAATGATATATGTGTCGGCTGTATTAGATGTCAGCTGGAAGATGAAAAACTTTATCTTATGACACTTGGTGTTTTAGCTGCATATAGGTGCATTGGTATAGGTGTGATTATCATACTATTAACGTTTTTATTCTCTAAACAAGATAGGTCAAAAGCTTTTAGACCATATTTTAGAACATGCACAGAAATTGAATATAAAAAGTATTTACTTACATGTATGGACAGAAAACAAAGATGCCATCGAATGGTATACAAAGCGGAAATTCCATATTCTAGAAACATTGCCAAACTATTATACAAAGATTCAGCCAGGCACTGCACATGTTTTGTCAAGAAATATTATAGATAAATAATTTGTAGCATAATCTATAAGCATAATCGTAATTGCATTTTAATACTTGCTAAGCAATATTTAAATCCTTTTAATAACTTATTATTAACAGAACAATATACATGTTAGATTCAAGTATAACATATACTTTTATTTTCAAAAATACCACCAAAATAATTCTGAATATAAATCTAAATTTAATATGAAAAAAACTACATCGAACATAATTAAGAAATATTATTTTTTCCTTTTTGTAAATAGCTTTGCAGCCAACTGAAAAAACTATACAAGTTGATATTATGGATATACCAGGAACAAATTTTGGTCTATATCTATCAATACATATTAATTCAAAATTAACAAGTCAAAAAAGAAAGTTTAATATTATATATTACTATTATTACTATTTAAAACATGCATAATATTATCAATTTACTTTCATATAAAAATATATAACACATCTATGTTTACTTAATAACTTTAAATTATTAGAAAAAAATCAAATTTAATAATTAATTATTACGCATTTCAGATATAAGATATATATAACGAAAAAGTTTAGAAAGTTATATCATCAGAAATTAATAGAATATTTCTTTAAATCTAGTATTATAATAGACCTATCAAACATTAAGTTATATAAAAAGTTCAGGTATGATAAGTTAAAGACCATTTAATGTTTAATAAAAGCAATGAACATTATTATTAATATTCAATAGAAACATATAATTATAAATTATAATGAATAACAGAATCTATAAAACTAAAATGCGGATTCATTATCTATACTTTCGATAATTTTGCCAAAAATAATATAAAATACAATAAAAACTACATTAATTTTTATATGAATTTATATGAAGACATCACTACAGTATCTACTTTTACAAAAACAATCTATTTACTAAAACAACTTATTAAAACAAAAGACAACCATACTTTATATATTTAATGAAAAATAAAAAAGTAAATAAAAGATAAATCATGTCATGTGAAATAAAATCCATCATTAGTAATATGAATTTTATCAAACTTATCAAAATAGTCAAGATTCTATAAAAATACAATCCCCTTAAATCCCAATTAAAAACATCATTGAAGCATAAAACTAATAATAAATAAAAAAGAAACTAGACGGTATAGAATTTACGTAAATGTATATATAAAACATACAAAATGTTTTTATGAATACTTCTCAGAAAATTAGGATTTTAATAGAGATAGCGAACATTAATATCTGTAAAACAAAGACATTATATCAATGTCTAAGGGAACACGGAGATGCTATTTATTAGATTACAATGATAGTTCAATTCAAATCTCATTTAGTGTTTTTATCGTTAATTCAATATAGTGACATTCTTTCGTAAAAAAGGACTAGGAAGTTCTTCACCATCTTCCCATGCATTTTTTCTCCACATTTCCATAACAGTTGGTCTTGGGTTCCGAAGGTTCCTGCTAGCTTCAGTATTTATCTCGTTTCTTGAAATTCCTTGAGTATGAAGTGGAGAATCAAGAGTTTTTCTATTGTTTGGAGAAACTCTTAAACGACTGGGAGTAACTGGTGTTTTCTTCGACACTGTATTAGACAACTTTAACGTATTTTCTTGTAATGGTTGACGAATGGGTATATTTGACATAGTTAGCTGCCTTCTTTCTCCAGGAGAAAAATGAGTGGGAGATAATTTAGTTAAACTAGTATCAATAGTTGTATGACGTTTATCCTTAACAGGGGATGAGCAATGAAGAGATGAAATAGTATGTGCCGATGACATTGCGGGTGATCTATTAGTAGGTCGTTCTCCAGAATGTCCTATTTCTTGTATTTTAGAATAAAATCGATCAATTTCCGGCTGTGCTCGACAAAGATGAGCATGAATAACTTTTTCTAGATTCATTTCTTTTTCATATAATATCCGTTCTCTATTTTTAAGCTCTTCTTCTTTTACCAAGACATTTGCCTCTCTTTTTAACAAAGAGCTTTCTCTCATTTTTAATTCTTTACGCCTATACACAAATCAATCAAGAAACTAAAAAACAAGCTATTTACAACGCCAATACTTCCAATTCTTTACGATAAGCTCGAAACATATCAATCATTAACAAATCAGAAGCCATTGGTCTTCTTTTCGGATCAACAGCAAGACACCATCTTATTGTATCCCTAAGAGTCATAGAGTACAAACCAGAAATAGGAGGAAATATTCCTCTACGTATCTTGTGATTTAATTCAGGCTGTGTCATTGCTCTAAAAGGCGGCAATTTTGTACACATTTCATACATAGTGCATCCTAATGCCCATATATCAGATTTTGCAGTATACGGCTCATGATTAATGATCTCTGGAGACATATAATAAGGCGTTCCAACATATGTTTGTGCAAACGTCCTAGATGGATCGTCTAAAATCCTTGAAAGCCCAAAATCACCCAATTTGACAGAAATCTCACCGTCCCGAAAAACTAGATCCAACGTTAGGAGAAAACAAACAAAATCACAAAAGTATCACTATTGTCTGGCTTAATATCCCGATGAAGCACAACCACAGACGATAACGGTGAAGGTGAAGACGAAACTAAGACTTCAGACGGCGGTGCATCCGCACCAAAATGACATCTATATAAAGCCAATGTCAGCTGTACAAAAATACTCCATAAAATATTCTCTGGTATCATCGAACTAGACCACTTAACACACATCCACAAAACACCCTTCATACTTCTCCTGCTGGCAATCTTTGATAAGTGATCCCAAGTCTCCATTACCACAAAACTCCATATACAGATATATGGTATGATTCGTACGATCAATACTTCGTCCAAAATAACGTACAATATGAGGATGCCGTAAATTCGACAAAATATGCACCTCTGAAGCCAGCTGCTTCCGCTCCCGTTCTTCCATTTTCCTGTAGTGGATCTCCTTGCGTGCAAAGACCTTTATTTATTACAAAAGTCCCTTAAATAAGCCATTTTTACCATTCCATCTGATTTCCGCCGAACCCATTTTGCATCAAAAAACAGCCAGAAAAAGCGGAAAAAAACTCACCTTACGGATCAGACCAAAAGAACCATGTCCGATCACTTCCAAGAGCTCATAATCAGCGTCATTGACTCCTTCTGAAGTCTCCATGGTCTTTGGTGACCGGTGGAGTGTTGGACAAAGTTTGAAGCACGTTGATGTTTATCAAGCGACGTGTTGCCATGGAAACCTCTCATCGAACCAGATATAAGCGTAAGGCGAGGGGCAACGACACGAAGTTGACGAGAAGCAGAAAAAACGAAAAACAGGCGGAAAGAGCAGGAAGAGGGGTGTTTAGGCAGAAGAACAGGGGAGAAACAGTGTGAAAGCAGGGGACAGTCTTTTTCAGCGAAAAAAATACGAAAATTTGGCGTTTTTTGCGTTTTTACAAACATTCAACATGTATTCAAATGATGTAGTGTCTACACCAGTGAATGCATCACCGTTTAGTATTCCATCGACCATTTCTAGCATAGAACCGTTAGGATCGCCGGCAATCAAGCCCCAGAGTGCGCCTTTGAACGGGCATTTTCGCTCATCAAGTTTTCAAGATGTTTATGTTTCCCGGGCTAATACGCCGGACATATCTATTGGGAAGCGGAAGTATGTTCCATCTCATCTTTCCCAGTTTCCGTACAGAGTAAAAGGGCCTTTTTTTTTCAAAAGAAATGCTTATTTTCGAACAGAAATCATATACACCAGATCGCTCGAGTCCTCTAGTCAGTCAGCCATCTTTTACAGCTCGAACATCAGTGTTTGTTTAGAAAAATCTGTATAAACATGCTTACTTTGAAAGATCAAATTCTCGTAAAAGCTCTTCACCGCCAAACTGGTTTGGTGGGCCTAGTTTTGGAACACCTAAGTTAGCTGACCATAAACATGTTTTTTTCAACTTATCTATTATAGATCAAATCCAAAAAAAGGGAAAGCAGGTCATAAAGTTTTAGAAGAAGAAGCACCGCCAACAGAATCGCTTTATGACATCGAAGGAGGCAGTATTATTCGAGATTTAGAATCTAACAGTCCTTCATCGGAAAATAGTAAGTCTTATGCCATTCAAAGGGCATATTAAATAATTTAGAATTCACCTTGACTCCGGAATTGTCAGTTCGACAAAAAGAAATACCCTCAAAACCATCTGCTGTACCTACGTCAGTTATTTTATTCGGATTCCCAGCAACATTAACATCTCATGTTATCTCACATTTCTCGAGATATGGAGAAATCTTGGATCATTCAGCGACGGAAAACCCAATATCTACAGGTAGTAACTGGCTTAAAATAACCTATGCGGACGAAGAAGCAGCAAATAAAGCAGTTTCATCTAATGGAACTATTATTGGGGGAACTTATATGGTAGGATGTATATTTGCACCAGTTGATGAAACAAAAACAGACAAAGATATGGACATAGCAATGGAATTGGATGCAAAAACTCCGTCTCCTCATTGCAATATGAACCAAAAACATCGATCTATTACATCGTTATCGCATCAGGAATCACCTAGTATCAATTTAGGCACATCACTTAACTCATACAAAACAAACACATGTAATGGTCGACGTATAGAAGTACTAGGTTCAGAAGGTATTTTCAAAGAAACACCAGATAAAACATATTCATGGATTACTTGGTCATCAGCAAACAAGTCAACAGAGAATCCGCAAGTAGAATACAAAAGTCAGTGGAAAAACAAACTTGTTAGAGGCATCATGGAACTACTCTTCGGATTTTAAAATACATGTGGAATAGCATAAACATTAAAAAATCATATAAAACATCTACTAGATACTATTCTCTAGCAGAAAAAAATCAACCTTCTATCAATACATTCTTTTGAAAACTCAAAACACAATAGTCTACAATGTAACATATCTGCATCCACACCACGCCCATATCAATTTAGACACTGTCACACAGTCAATTGCTATTATGCTACAATACACTAAAAGATACATCTCTAAACACTATTTATGATTTCAACAAAATACTTAAAACACTGCTGAAGCACAAAAGCACAGCCAAAACACCATTTTATCAATACTTATAAAGTATATGATGACATTTAGAGTCTCACAGTGCATCGGCGGTGCTTGCAAGTGCTTCTCAATGCCAATATTCGCTGAAATAACAAATAGCAGCAACGACTTAGTGTCTAGCAACCAATTCTGTGCCTAATAAAGCGCTATAAGCCATGAATACGCATATGTCGCCGCATATTACTACGGACTGAGAAAGAACGCCCACAATCTCTAAATGTGCAAACAAATGGACGCTCACCAGTATGAGTATATATATGAACCTTAAGATTACTCGGCCGGGAAAACATCTTAAAACACTGTGGACAAGCATAATGTTTATATCGTGTGTTAGGAGACACTGAACACGAGACTTCTCGCTGTATATTGATATCTCGTACAGATAACAAGCCATGCATTGACTCAGGAAGACGGCACGTAGGCTGAGGAACAGCTAACATAGATCTTAGACAAATTTTATAGAAAAAGAACTATAAAGCAGCAAAACTCACGCAAAAAAAATGTAGAATCAAATAATGATGAAAGTGGCAATAATGATTCATTCTGCAGATCTTTTTCAGTACTTTGAGCAAGAGGTGCACCAGGAAAACTATCAATACCCGGCAAAATCGGCAGATATTCATTTGTAGCTATTGCAGAAGACTCAACTGTATCCATTTGAAATTGTGGCAATGTTAACACTGTCATTCTGATATTATTCTAGAGCCAATAACAAATTCCTGAAACTCTTCAGAAATATTCAACTAATATATATAAATACTCAACAAATAACTTAACAAACAATGGTCAAATCAATACTCAAGATATACTTTTAAAAATATCTAATATTGTTCAATAATTTATTCACCAATATACTCAACAACTACTACTAGTATTACTCAACAAATATTCACTCTACCTCTTTATATTTTTGAAAAATAAGGTGCTAAACCGTTTTGCTTTATAACAGCAAGATCAATTTATAATTATGGCCCCAACCAAATACAACTTGGGAACAAGTTGGGAAAAAACTAGAAAGTTTGTATATTACAAATGAAACTCAACCCTAACTACAACAGAACACTAGCAAACAAAATATACAGTACAAGTGTAGCAAAGGCACGCTTAGAATGGGTTCAGACTCTACTGAGTTGGTCCCAGAACATGTAAACATTGGGTTATAATAGCTTCAACGCTAATAAACTTTAGTACAAGATAAAGGTTAGAGTTAGTTAAGCTTAAAAGTAACTTAAAAACTCTAAAAAATAAACTTAAACCGTTTCCTAAACTCAATTTGGATTTATGGGACACAGTCTAACTAATATTTTAAGTGCTAATTTAGAAAGAAATAAAATTGAAATTAAAGAATAAATCAAGGTAATAATGATATTTAAAGTTAATTTATGAAAAATAACATATCTTTTAGTTAAATGAAATTAATAGGTCATCAATAGGCTTTAAATTTTTACAAAAAGATGACTTATTTTAGAGATCGTAACCTTTGTAGACTAATTCGAAAATTAAAAACTAATCAAAGGCTAATTTAAAAGCTAATTTGAAGCAATTTTGGTATTAATTCAAAGCATTTGAACCAAAATCCATTATTTTTGTTTTTTAATGTTAACTCCGATTTATTTATTTTGGCACTTAAACATATCCATCAATTGAGACTAACTTAGCGCAAACAAAGAAAAACATAGAAATAATAATATAGAAACAATATATAGCAATGACATGCAAAAATATCACAAAGATTCTAAGAAGGAATTAGGAAGAGAGAATTTTCAATCTACTACTTTATGCAGTGCTTTTTTATTGCTTTTTTATTATTCAGTTTATATTAAATTTAGTTTTCCTTAACCCTAAAATTAAAGAACATATTGAAAAAGTAAACAAAATTACAAGATAAACAAGGCTTAAAATAGAGTGAAAATTAATTATAAGACTAAAAACTGAAAACTTTAAAAATTAAATACAAGTAGAATTTTAGCTTAACACTAACTACACTAAGCTAACTCTAAATTCCGATTTTAAATTAAAGCATCAATAAGAAAAAATATAGTATCAAAGAGAGACAATTTGACAAATAAAAAACAGGAAAAAAAGATAAAAAAGAATATACATATAGAATAAATAGATTTATCTATTTTTTTACAAAAAACAATATAACATTTTTTAATTTCAAGATATAAAAGTGACATTACGATATTGGATCAATTATATTTAATATTACAAAGAATAATAAATACAAAATAGAATAAGAACAATGATACAACAGTTTTTGAAGACATTCTAAATGAATTAGTATAATTTTATAATAACAAAAACAAATCTTAATATACACAAAAGACAGAAAAACAGTATGTTTTTAATATAAAAAACACAAAATAAATATTTGTTATGGGTATAGAATTAAAAGATATATGTTAAAGATATAATTAGAGAAAAGTCAGATGAATTATAAAGAATCTCTGCTTTAAACAACATCTTGATTAAATTTCTATCACGAATATCGATACGATAAAACCAGTGTATAAAACATTAAAGATTAAAATTTTTGTGAAAAAATGGCAAAAGAAAAAAGTTATAACCCAGCACATGAGTTTCATAAAAAAAGAAAACAAGATTATATCAAGAAGGTATACATCTTTCTCTTTTTATTTAAAGATTTTTAATTTTTTAGGCAAAGGCAGAAAAACAAAGACATCGAGATGAAAAGCTTGCAAAAAGGGATCCTGCCAAAATCGAAACACAAATATTAGAGCTTAAGAGTCTTGGTATGATTTTTCTTTAATATATCAGAATGGTAGCATAATTTAATTCATTATAGAACAGAAAGGACAATTGAGTGCATTAGATCAATCAGTAAGCCATGAATTATATTTTAAATAAAAAATTAGTAAAGAGAATCTAGAACCTTGCCATACTTGAATCAGATCTTAAAAGAATCCGAAAAATCCGTAAACATTTAGGGCCTATTATAGAAAGTGAAAAAACAAAAGCAAAAGAAGCAAAAGAAGCAAAGCAACAACAAAGAATACCAAAAAATCCAAAAAAAAGTATTTATTATGACCCTATTTACAATCCCTATGGCGTTCCCCCACCAGGAATGCCATATAAGGAGTGGAGTAGTATGGAGGATAGTGATTCATCATCCGAGGGTACGTTTGTTAACTGCGTTATTACTAGGATTAACATAAAGCAGGCCCACCAACACCAAACTCTGTTGCAGCAATTCCTATGCCAGAGGGATCACCACCTCCATCTGCATGTTTGAATAAAAAAGAGAAACAGCATCGTCAAAAATATTCCAAACATCAAAAACAAATCATAGGGGAAAACAATATATCAGATTCTCTAAATCATCCAAAAAAACGGATTAAAAGTGACGATTCCGTAAAAAAATCATCGCCTATGCCTAGACCAACCATTGTCTATACAGCGGATTCAATATTACGAAATCTTAAAAAAGAGTCTATTGCATTTGTCCCTACAGCAGTCAGACACAAATCAGCGGCATTAAAACACAGTTCGGCGTCTAAAAAGTCTAAAGAAAATACAGTGCAAACTCCTACTTTCAAACCAAGGCATTTTACTCATATTAATCCAGCACCTGACGTACAAGACGATTTATAAAAAATATTATAAATAAAAATGATCTTAGAAAATTTCTACAAGGAAAATATTTTGATCAAAAAATTGAAAAAAAGAATCACAAAAAACCTAAAAACATTCACAGAATCAAATAACAATTTAACTAACATAACTTTTCAAACATATACATCTTACAATACATTATATAAAAACATCACAGAAACACTAATATAAAGCATGTTTACTATCAATTCATCGCCTATAATATAACCTATATACATCTCTCATTTAACCCTTACCCACTTATCATTATCGTGAGACTAGTTGTCACGTGATAATAATATTACGCGTCATCATGTCTCAACTATCGAACAAGGGAACGCTGTAAGGTTCCAGAGTCAACGCTTAGACAGAAGAACAAAAAAGACACAGATAAAAAGAGGAAGAATTTAAGAAAATAGAAGGAGAAAACAAAGGAAATATAAGGAAAAATAATATATTTGATAATTATAAAAGGTTTTAAAGTTTAAACGCTTTCTTTTCAAACTAATTCTAATAAATAGCATTAATGCTTGCGTAAAAGTATTTTGTCAAGTTTGTTATTTTTTGAAGAAAAAGGACAAATAAAGAAGAAAGTATTGATTAGAAATACTTAAGGGAACAAGAAGTGTTTTTGTAGGATTTTTTTCTGAGGTTTAAAAACACAAATTGACTGGTTTTAAGTCTCTGCGTATATTTAGGAAAAATAGTCCTTTAGTGCCGAAAGGCATAAAAAATATTATCATCAGGGAGTGGGAGTAAGTAAAAAAATGTTCTTTTTCAGTTGATTCTCTAAACACAGTTTTTTAGTATATAAAACAAAGAGCAAAAAACCCCAAACAAACCTTTAGATTATTCGGGCAAAAATTTTATTAGAATATTAACGTGCAATCAAAAAGACAATTGGTGTATAGTATTTTCTAAAAATGGAGCCATTAGAGTCGGTCGTGCAGCCGACAAGCACAGATATTTTTAAACCATCTGAAATAGTCACAAATAGAACATCTAGTCCATCATCATCTCTTGTTCATATTTTATCTGGTAAGTTTGAAATGGACGTGTACCATAAAATACCATTGCTATTAAGCAAATGCATTATTTAGATTGTAAATATTAACATATTGTCTATAGTGGGGAGTAATTCCATTTCTGCATTTTTTTCATGGAGACTTCAATCTAGCAATGCATGCAAGGTTACTCTTGTTTGGCGTAATCATTTTGATGCAGTATCTTCTTACGGTATTTCTTTTAAGTATTTATATATCTTTATTATTTTATTTATAATTTATCTGTTTAGATCCAATACATATGGTTCAGAACGTTTTAGACCTCATCGAAGTATTTTACTATTCTATGCCATGTTATACTTGTACTAATCTTTTATTTAGTTGTTCAAACGATTGAAGAAGCCAAAGACCCTCATTACCCCTTTGATTATATTTTTGTATGTATTAAAGCTCTTCCAGATTTATACGATATAGCAACTATTATTGAGTCAGTTGTTACACCTTCCCATACTTGCATTATCATTAATACTAGTAATGCCATTGGCATTGAAGGTCAACTTATAGAACGGTTCCCAAAAAATCTTGTTCTCTCACTTGTTTCAGAGGCAACATTTACTCAACTAAATGTTGCTGATTATGAGCATTCTGGTCCTACAAACGTTTGGATAGGTCTTGTACAGCCAAATTCGGTGCTTCCTGAAGAGATTCAACGGGATATGATAGAATCTTTAACATTAACTCTAAAAGCAGGGAACGTTGAATGTCATTTTTCATCTAATATTCTTCAACAGCAATGGGAAAAAATGATTGGGTATTTATTTATATTTGTATTTTCATACATTAACTATTATACTTATAGACCTATCGCATTTCATCCTATTAGTGTGCTTTTTGATGAGCCCAATCATTCCGTTCTTTTAGAAAAACAAAATGCAAAAAAAATAATATCTGGCTTGCTTGACGAACTTTTACGAATAGCAAGAGCACAGAATTGCAATTTTGATATTGATTTCAAATCTAAAATTATGAATACAATGGCTGTTGATACATCTCAATCTATAATGTTTCAAGATTATACCGCTCGACGCCCAATGGAAATTCATGTTTTTCTTGCTAATCCTCTAGATATTGCAAATAAACACAACATTGATGTTCCTAGATTAGAAATTATTCATGCTCTTATGCACAATCTGAATAATTGTAAAAACATCCATAAACCGTCACCATCAGCTTCAATAGCTTTTTCTCGTCAACTATCACCAAGACCTACAGTTAGCAAAGAACATCACAAACATCATTTAGTTCATGAACCAAATGGATATAATGTACCATCAGGGGATCGACATAATTACAAACGTCGTTCTCCACAACCATTAATCAGACGAGATTCTTTAGAAGGACTTCAAGAATTTGCAGATATTGCTATGTATGGAGATATGATTCATGTTTCAAATACAGATGATAATGAAACACATGATTATAAAAACTATGTTTGTAATAATAACAATAACTCATACAATTATGCTCCAAGACAAAGAAGAGGAACATTATCTCATGATTCTATGTCAATAAAGGAAAAAGAATTAGCATTATATAGGCGTGAAAGAATGTTATACGGGAAAGAAATGTTAGAGCACAAAAAAAAGGCAACACGATATCCAAGAAACCATATTAGTGATGAATATAGTACAACGTCATATGGTTATGATGATGATGATTATGGTGATTTTCCTGTTTCAAACGGACCACCAAACGTACCACCACCAATAAATTCAGACAATTTTGATATGATGAGCATGACTTTTCGACGTCATAGAAAAAATACTACCAAAATCTCAGCTAATAGTATACGGAATACTTTTAATAACAGATCTGATATAAATAATGACTATATGACATGGGGAGGACGCCAGCGTTCACGTTCAAGATCTCAACAATATAGTTTATTGGATTCTAGTTTATTGGACACATGTGATTATATGCAAAGCAATCTTATGTTAGGTTATTCTTCAAATCGTTATGGAACAGTCGATTCAAAAGCATTGGTTAATTCACGAGCAAATTCTTTAACTACAACAGGATCCAATGAAATGCGTGACTCTAATATGTATTCAACCTACCATAATCATCGTTCTACAATACAACATGCTTCTGTTAATGATGTAATTCCTGCACATAATTCGCATCATGTTAATCATCCATATCCATCAACTATGACCTCTGGAGGAGTTCCAAGAAGCGCACATCAACGAGTCCCTTCAGCATCATTAACATCATTACAACATATGCCGCCTCGAAATATAGGTATACATCCTCAATTATCACATGGTTCTTCAAAAAATAGTTCAAACGTGAATCCTCATAGAAGTTTAACCGGAAGTGCAAGTGCAAGTATAACCAGTAACGGAAATAGATGTGCATCAGGAAGCGGTAGTGGGCATAGTAGCATAAGTTCTTTTGAAAGAGGTGGAATGATTTAAACTATCAATTTTTTTGTAACCGGCATACCGAATACAAAAATCAACGAACAAGAATTTACGTTGTGAATTACCTAGTTTTGTTTTCAAGTGCATTACATCATGCCGAAATCAATATCTAACTAATCTTCTATTACTTTTCTGAATAAATATAAATTTACAATTTATTTCACAACGATCAAAAATTTTTATTATTTGCATGACTATTATAGATTTAGGAGGTCATCCAGCATTTATATTTAGCAAACGGCATGGTTTAAGAGTCTTCTGTCTATTTTAATGTAATTGATTTAATTTTTAAGGGTTTTTTCTGTATATATTTTCTAAATCAATCTTCATTATAAATTCATAACTTCATTTTAGATTTATTCTTTAGATCTATTAACTATTTTAAAAATAACAGGTATAACTGGACTCATAAGCTCTTTAACCTTGATCATAGTAAATAACCTTTATTCATACATTTCTCTTATCATACAATTAAATAATGAAAATTATATACTGTAATTTGTCTTAAAAATATTGATTATTGTTTCAAACAAGCAAAATCAACATATTCTTATTCATTTATATTAATTTTTATATACTATCAATTATAGCGTAGATTTTAAACTTATAACCTTTAAAAATATCAAAAAAATAAGAAAAAAAGTGAAAAAATAGAAAAGAATAAAAACTATTATCTATAAAATGGGAGATGTTATTCTTGACACAACAATGGTTATTTTGATTATTTTTTCACTTTAAACAAAAATAACATATTTTAGGGACCGGTTACTATAGAACTTTATTATGATCATGCACCAAAGGTTGAAATTGTATATTTAAAATTACCTATTTATATATTAGACATGTAAAAACTTCTATGAATTGGTATTTTTCTAAAAAACAACCTATTTTTTATTGAAATAAACAGTCAAAACGTGGATATTATAATGGTGTTGTTGTAAGTAATTATTTAAAAAATATATATATATCAAAAACTAAACATCTTTTTCAGTTTCACCGTATTATTCCTGTTTGAATAAATATATTTTAATCTATATTTTAAAACATTTTTAGGATTTCATTATTCAAGGAGGAGATCCGTAAGTTTTATTAAATTACCTAGACAAAATCAAATCTTCAAAGAACAGGAACAGGTCGTGGAGGATCTTCAATATATGGGTATATCTTTAATGAATCTATTAATTTATTTTTATTTTTTTAGAGATAGTTTTGAAGATGAAATACATCCAGATCTTAAACATACAGGTGCTGGAATAATATCTATGGTTGATTTCATTATTAATTACAAAGAAATGTATACTGATTTTTAACTTAGGCAAATTCGGGTCCTGGAACAAATGGATCTCAAGTTAAATTATTTTTTTTATCAATATTAACTAATAATAAAAGTTTTTTATTACACTCAATGCAACACCCTGGCTAGATGGGAAACATACAATTTTTGGACGAGTAAAACACGGCATGAGAGTGGTTCAACGAATGGGTCTTGTTAAAACAGTATATAAAAGTATTTTTAATTTCTAAACTAATAACTATAAGGATTCAAATGATCGGCCTGAAGAAGATATAAAAATTAGAAAAGCTCTGGTTACAGATTTATAATGTAAGATTCAGTAAAAAATAAAATCAGATTGATTAAATTTAAATTACATTTAATAATAACATTAATTTCATTACTATAAAATATTTATTTAAAAAATAATATTATAGATTTAAACATATAATTTTAAAAACTAAATATCTTCAAACCATATTTTTAAAGACTATTAAATAGTTTGGATTTGAATATTAATCTAATTTTTTTTAAAAATCAAAAGACTATATTAAATATATTTTAGTACATTTATTTTTTCAATATTAAAATATTAAATCATTATTGTAAATATCATAATAAAAATAACCTTAAGAGGTCTTGAATATATTAATAAACTAACACATGCAAAAATTTAATAAACATCAACAATATAAAATGTAAATGAAAAGTCAAGATATCTAACAAAACAATAAGCTATAAAATTGCCGGATCTTAAATAAAAACTCAATTATTCATAAATAAAAAAAATATTAATATTACGATTTACCAATACCCATTTGCCCTATATTCTAAAATAAAACATAAATCCTTATTCCATAAAATATAAATTTATATAATTTTGCCATACAAAAATACCAATAACATCATAAAAAATTCACTCCATAATTTTCATTAACTCAAATACCGTTAAGTTAATAGCAACTATTTTTATTATAGTCGTTAATTTAATATCCATAAACTTCAAATAAACTAAACAATTATATCACATAATTACTAGAATAATCATCACCTAATACACACGCATATGTGCTTATTTCTAATTATTTATTTAGCACAAAGAATTTAGCGATGCAATTTGCAATAATCGTCTTTATTTAATTAATAATATAATCCCGCAAACAATTCTACTTTCCTTCCTAATGTATACTGTACCAAGATTAATCAAAAGTTCATAAATTAAACATGAGATGAAACAGAAGTAGGATATACTGTAGTTGGCAAAACAGAAGACATATATTCCAACAATTTCGTATTAATATAAGATAATTCAACTTTAGCAACATCTGATAAAGAATATACTTCTTTTTCAGATAATTGCAAATCATTTATTTTAAATCCATTATACATTAAAAAAGACAAGACCTATTTTTGTCAAAACTATAAATAATAATAATAATAATACCTCTGTTGTATGCAAATGATCTATTTTAAGACAACTTACAGCTTTTAGATCCAAATTTATCAAAGAAATTCTACTGGTTTCAAAATTACAAGCTATACCAGCTATTTTAAATATTTCAAATTTCTGTTTTTCGGTAAAGCATGTATTTATTGTTCCAGCATGAATCAGACGCTCAAGAAGACGAAAATTTAATTCTGGCAAGCGCCCTTTTTTAAGATGACCTTTTAAAATTTCAATAAGAGCTAAAGTAATTATTTATGAAACTAAAAAGAAAAAAAGCTACTTATTAACGAAGAATGTAGTAAATCCCTCTGACCGACAGTATAGAAATCACCTTTATGCCATGGAAACTAATACTTATTAAAAAAATTATCAAAAAGATAAATAAAACTTTTGCAAGAATACTAATAAAATCTTCAAATGGCCTCTGCGGACATTTTCGACTGTATGGACTCTAACAAAAATCAATATTATTATTATTTCAGTATAGAATTACCCTGTATGTTTTTACATGATTAATTAGTGAATTTAATTCTTCTCTAGTTACAATCTCAGCTTTAGGAATAGAAAACTGCCTTATAGATTTCAAATTTTCATCAGCATAAGGATCAACACCTTTCCATTCGCCTTTCCACTTAGGAAATATTCGGTTCATAAGTTCTTCTTGAGTTGCTATCTCTAAAACGACATTCCGAGACCCTAAGAGTTTACCAGAACGACGTTCAGCCAGTCTCTGTGCATCATTTCTCGAAGATAATTCTACATAACACTCACTTTGAGTTTTTGCAGACATCCTTTTGCATTACATAAGATATCCAAATAACACAAATATTACCTGTCCATAATAAAATGAATAGGTTGAGAATGAATACTATAAGGAGCAATTCGTGCATTCTTCCCAAGAAATTCGTGAATAGCTTCAATAGAAAGATCCCATGGAATCTAAAAATATATGAATAATCATTTTAAAATATCCTAAAATCATACATTAGATATTTTTAAACATGTCCAATCTTGAGGTGTAACTAAAGCACTAATATCAGAAAATGGATTTTGCGTTAATAGAGATTCTTTTAAAAGAGAATTAGCTATAGTATCTATTGATTCGCGATTCTCTTTTGAAAAAACAGGACGTTTTAATTGTTTGGTATCAAAAGAATTTACTAAAGAGTTACTTTTTGCAATACCAAAATCACAAGCTAATTGGTGTTTATTATATGCAAAATTAGATTTCAAAGAAGATCTGCTAGTAAAACTTGTAATTGACTGATTAATTATTAACTTTTTTAATATAAAAAAGTTTAACCATGCCTTATAACATATATAACAAGTACATAAATTTATAGGTGTACTACTAATAAGACAACCAAGACATTTTTGACATATTCTAATATCGTAAGCATCTTCTTAGATATAAAAGATTAATCCACTTATGTCCACACGGTGTTAAAACAAATTCAGCATCATCTGTATCACATTCATTACATACTTTTCTATAAGAAACAGATAAATCAGAAGAAAAAGAATTATTATCAAATATATCTCTTTTCGTATTCAAAACGGGAGAAGATTCTGAAACATGTAAACCAGTTTGCAACGATTTAATAGCTGCTTCATTTTTTATATTCAATGCTTCAAGATGTTCTGAAAGATCTTCTGAAGGACTATGGACTCCCTTAATCCAGCTAGCAGGTTTTACAGAAGAAAATATTCCAGCAGACTGCTTTATATTGATAGCTTTAGGAGGTTTAATAGCAGGATGAGCACAAAAGCAAGAATCATCAGGTGAAAGCACTTCATCACCAACATCTAAAAGCTTTGAAGCATGTGTTTCAGATATTCCATCACTAGAAATACTAAGTGGCTTATTAACATTAGCAGACTGAAGAGCAAGAATAGGTTTTGGCTGCAAAATATTTCTAGATGTTTCTATACTGCCATACTCTGAAAATTGCATGCTAAGATCACCTATATGGCCTCAATTCATACATATCCACAAATTCAAATGATATACTATGTTTATATGGTAAAGAAAAAGCAAAATTCTCTTTATCCAGATTGTTTGAGGTTTCTAATAGCTTATATGCGTCCGGAAAATCATTAGAAACTTTCAGTTTTGAATCTGAAGACGAGAATTGACAATATGGATGTATTTTAGGCTCCATCTGCCTTTTTTAAGTACTTTTAAAGGATTAAATTATGCAAAACATTTCATAAAATTTTTCAAATAATAAAAAACTTAATCGAAGATATGCGTATAAAGATATGAAGATATTTAAAATAATTAAGATGAAATAAATATACACAAAAGATACGTAAGACATGCCTAAATAATTCAACAATAAGATATATTTATCAGAAACTATGCAAAAACCAACAAAGGCAGATTCAGAGAAAAAGGAATAGAAGGATAGTAAAAAGATATAAATGGGATAATTTTTGACATAAAATACAACATATAGAATACAAAACTAATTATCAGGTTTTTATATACATATAGGACCGATTTTTAAAATAATATGAAGATATATTGAAAAACCAATGAAAAAGGTATCCTTGAGGACAAATTTATAACCATATTTTTCGACTATATAATTAAACTAATCTTGTCCATCAAAAACCTCGACAAGATCTGGGATGTCATCATCTTCAGCAGAATCATCCGCCTTTATTTTCTGAGAATTGGCATATCGTCCAGCTAATTTACGAAGAGAAGCCAGAGAATCACGCCCCATATGAGTTAAAATATCAGGAATGAGATCAGAAAACTCTTTCTCTTCGCCTTTTCCGAAGATTGAAAGAACATTCGAGGAACCACAAATGTATACTAATCATGATTCAATTAATATTTGAAAAATTTATATATTAACAAATAGTAATTTCAAATACTCACCTTTTGGTGCAGAAAAATGAACCACAGTACCATCATCCTTAAAAATATTTACATCAGAAACTCCATTAACACACTGTGCATTCATTTTTTTCAAACTCGACTGCAACTTTTTATCATCTCCATTTGTATTCTTATGTTGAATTTTTTTCTTACGCCGAGGCGTTCCTTATAACTTTAAGACCCTAAAAACAAAATAGTTCTAAAATAAAACCTTTTCCTCCAATTCTAACATTTGATTGCAAGGCAGATAACTTAACACTGTCCATTTACTTAAATAACCTAGCAAAAAATGAAAAACATAACAAAAAAACACAAAAAAGAAACAAACCAGTGCAAGCAATAGACGAAAAGCCGTTTGAAATAATGTTATCAGATAAAATATAGTGTCTTATTTACCTTAAATCCTCTACGTTACCTCTGAAACGTTGGCTTCGAAAGAAACATGTGACTGTTATAAAATACAGTATAAAAACCTTCAAAAACAAATGTCATAAAAATATATATAATCTTAGATATTTATATGATACTTTGTATAGAACCGAGTATATATCGTATAAAAATAAAAGAAACAATGCAATGAATATCAACATGATTTCTACAAAGAAAAAAAACAATATCTCAAAATATATCTATAATAAAAACACTGACCTATCTATTAATCATCCCAACCATCATCGTCAGACTCATCGTCATCTATATCGTGTAAGAGAGTAAATGCAAAATAGAGATAAATACCGCTTAATGTAACTTTTTCTTTACGATGATTCAAAACAGCAACCAATGCATCTTCCAGGTTTATAAATCCTCCAGAACCACTTGTTACGCGAGTAGTCCCATTAGAAGAATTTAAAGATGTCTTTGATGTTGATGCTGGTTCCACCTTTAAACTATTAATATAAAATAATAGGCCTTTTTATTAAAAAACCTTTCTTAACACAGAAATACCACCACTTGATCTAATACTTGCCATTAAGTTAGAACGCTCAGAACTATAAAGCATCTCAGAAGATGGAGTTTGCATGTTCGAAGTATCAATAGATAGAGCTGATTTATCTCCGGATAGTTGCGAAGATGAAACAGTATTTTTCATAGAAGACTTTGACGACACTGATTCAGGAAGTTGAGACCCAGGAAATGAAGGAGGAAGAGGTGGTGGTGGTGGAGGCGGAGGAGGTGGTGGAGGAGGAGGAGGTGGTGGTGGAACAAACGATGAACCCGATGAAGCCTCTGGAGTAGGCGCTTTATTAAATAGTTGTAACTGAGGAGGCTTCTCTGGTAATGCTGAAACCTCATTATTACCAGAAAAAGAGTTTCGTCTCCCATTCAATAAAGGAGAATCAGGCGTTAAAGACAACGTGGAATGCTTTGAAACTGAATTTACTGCATGAGTTGAAGATTGAGACTCAGAAACAAATGATGACCGTGGCTTACGAGCAGCGTCTTCATCCAATGGTGGCTTATTAACTGCTAATCTGGGTAAAGCTTTAGTACCAGTAGAACCAGTTTTAACAAAAACGTTAGAATCTATCAATGAACCATGCAATGATTCATATTGATTAATGGTAGAACCACGTAATGATAAATGATTAGTTTGCACATGTATTGGATCTAAAGGTCGAGTAGTTTCAGACGTAGCAATATAAGATTTTCGTGGTGGAGGCGGTGGAGGTGCTCTTTTCAAGGAACTAGAAGTACCAGAAGAAGAAAGAGAAGGAGAAGATAAAGGTGCTGGAATTGGGGGAGGTGGTAAACGATATTTCTTGATAGGTTCTTGTGATGTATGATTTGAATACGATTTAACAGATTCTTCAGAAGCTTGATTAGCATTTTTATTGGTATTTTGATTGGTATTTTCCAGTCCTCCATTCTTTGAAATATAATTACGAATAAACTCTTTATTTTCCTCAATTTGTTTATAAGAAAACCCAAACTGACCCAATTCATCAAAAAGCCTCTTCCATGAAGAGTCAAGATTTTCTGCAGTAAAACCTTTCTCAGAATCCCAACCAATATGGCTGACATGTCTAAAAACATAGATTAACAATCAAACGTTTCAAGGTCTTTTCCATACTGAAAATGAGACGGTGCTCCAATCTTCGATTTATCAACAGTCCGTTTTTTTATACTTGTCTTTGAAGAACACATTGCTCCAGAACCCCACGATGCAGAAGCATTTTTATGAGAAGCTAATGGACTTGTATCACTTCATACACATAAAAACACAATAAATTACCATAAAGTCGCTCATTTACACGACGATAAAAAACAGACGCTTCACTAACATCTGCAAACGATAAACCTGCAATACACTTCTATAATTCGATTCCATCAAGAAAAACATTCATCTGTTACAGACATATTCCATACCTCCAATTCAAATGAATGAAAAAACGTCCTATCTTGATGATACTGAAAATCTTCATATAGCTCCTGATCCCATATAATACCACGATTTGAATTCTAATATTCTATAAAAAAAAGGGTTTCAAATACATCATACATACAGAAATATCAACCATCTTTAAAAACAATGTATTTCCAACCACATCATATACAAAAACTATTGCTCCACTAATACCCGTAAATCTCCATTGATTAGGATTCGGATAAGCAACATAAAGCCGAGCAACTGCTGCAGTAATAATTTTATTTGTAGGCTTAGGGATATATTTTTTAATTGTTTGCTTGTCTTCTGATGTTAATGTTGAGACATTTGGCATCTCCAAAGTATTAATGTTTTTTTGTCGATCGAAACATGATTAACAATATCAGGTATTAAGTTGATTGCTTAAAGATTAAACATAAAAACATGAATAAAATATTCTAGTAAAATCAATTGAACTAAATGATTAAGTAAAAAAGCTAAATTATTAAAAAAAAATATAAAAAAGCAAAAAAATCTGTAAATTTAGAAAAAAAGAAATTGGAATTATATTATATAGAAAACTAAAAATAACTTATTGTAAAAACCGTGTTGGTAATGTTAAAAAGTCTATTAAAAAACTACAGAGGACAGTAAAGCATTTGGTAGCCCATCAATTAAATTCCATACAAAAAACTATTGATATGATATTTAATGACCAAAACCAGAGTAAATCAACAATAATTGGGACAAGGTTTTCAGAAAAATTGCAAAAGGAACATCATAAAAGACGAAAACAGAACTGTGGTCATTATAATTCCATTGTGTAGTTTAATAAAGACTTATAACACTAACCTTGTCTCTATTCTGAAACAAACTTCAACCAAGTATTTTTTCGAGCCAGATAGACAAGTCTTTAAGCTCATGCTGGTTTGTGGAATGCTGTAGCCCATCATATTCCTTCCAATCAACATTATGTTTTATCTGGTCCCTCAAAATGCTAGCACTCGCTTTTCCATACTCAAATTTAACAATAGGATCCGACTGGAAACGTGACTTCAATCAACAAATACTATCAATATCCAACCAACCTTTCCATGTGCCATAAAAATCGGTATTTTTGAATTTGATTCCGAAGTCATCTACATCAATCAACACAGAATAAAATGGAAAAACATACAGCACAAATCTTGTTCCTTAACGGCAAATACCCTGATAACGCAATAATACCCCCAAGTTTTCGCTCATATGTTAAACCCGTCTATAAATAGTCAATGACAACACCACATCCAAAATTCACTACCAAAAGCCCAATAGCACACCCTTCAAAATACCCATCATTAAGTCTTATTTAACGCCCTCACAGACCATACCTTGTGAAAACCCACCAACAACAATACGTTCACTTTGAATCCCATATTCAACCTCTTCCGTAATGAGCCGATGCAATTGATGTACACTCTTAAGCATCTGTTCTTCATCCTCATCCTCATTGACCCCATCCAATGACCGAATATCATACCAACTCGGCATCATCATCCCCATATTAATAGTAACCGGCCTACTCGGCCTAAACACTCATTAAACACCCTCTAAACACTTCTTCCACACAACGCATTAGGAAATATCCACTTAATATGATGAAAACAAGGCAATGCACTCATTTGTTCTCCTAAAAATGCCCATCCTGCTCCTGAATCTCCCAAACCATGTGCAAAAATAACTGTTGCACTATGCCGAGCACGTGCTGGCACCGTTATCGCTGAAAATGACATCCTGCCCTTTAGAAAAACGCCTACCATCATATTTAGATCAAAAATCCTTCAAAAATACTCTATACTTGCCCTGCTTAATCGTTTTTTCTCTTTCTCTCGTTTATTTGACGTCCCCACACAAATCTCGTACGATATCATCGACATCAAAAAAATTATAGGACAAGGCAACCACCCGTATAACAGCTTTAAAAGAAATGTCCTCTTATTTGCAGAATTTTCCATCATCTCCTACGTATTCTATGACATCTACTACACATATAGCACCCACAGTTGCATCACTTTGCATACAAACAGCACCACCACTGCCCAAAACAATCATTACACAGAATGATATTTCAACATCGATTGAAGGTAGCAGTTTTGAAGGAGGTTTACATACTTATTTAAGAGATATTTAGCATATCAAGAGCTCCTTTATACAGCAAAAGCGTACCGGCATAGTTTGGTGCAGTTATCTAAGACGGCATCGTCATTTGGAGCAGCTTTGGAAAAATGTGCACGCTGCAAAGGAGTTGGAGACGAAGATGTATCAGGATTTATGCTAGCAGGAGGGATGCAGTACCTGATAGCAAACCATCAGCAAATTTTGAGTGAAACGTTGTACCGGAGGTTTGAAATACCGTTGATGGAAGAACTAGATACATTTTGTGCGATTACACAAGAAAGAAATGATATGTATCAGCGTCAGATGAAAGAGAAGAACAAGAAGATTCAGGAAAGAGAAGCAGAGCATTTACGTGTAGGCCGGAAGAAGCAACGAGGTAGCAATTTGTTTTTGTCGATATTTTGTTGAGTGTGGTAGACTTGGCGACTTTTCGGCAGGCATTGATAGATCTTTCTCGTTTAGCAGACGATCTGGAACGTCTCAAGTCTGATCATTATAATGGAGCACTTGATATAATCCAAGAAACATGGTCTAAAGTTTTGGAACGAAGTGCTTTGGTTATTCGAGCCGAAGTAGATATTTATGAAGGGATTGCAAAAAAAGGCTGGAGTGGCGGTGGTCTAGAAGAGATTATGCTGCGTTCCAGTGACCCGTTTAATATTGGTTATTCCGAAGGATCGACAACACAGGGAGGACATGGAGAAATTTTTAGGTATAAAAAGCAGTGATTATTTTTGGATCTGAATCAAGTAGTATTCTTCCACCGCATCCTATCTTGGCATCGGCTCATTCTCCCATCTTTAATGAGGGCAAATTAAATGGCCAATATAAATCGTTGACAGATACATTTTCAAATCCAGAAGATTTTGATGATTATGACGCAGAAGAGACAAGAAGTATGTTTTCAGGCGAGATATCAAAATACATTCCGATCATGGATAACGAAATGACTCATTTTGAAGACAAAAATAATGTAAAAATAACAGATCTATCGTCTAGCGATCTGCTTGGTATCAACCAAAAAGTTCAATCAATCAATATCAACATGATGGACAATCAAAATGAATATTACAATGCAGGCGACGATGACCTCAAGAATGGCTTTGCTTCAGAAAAGGAATCTTACAATAACGAAATATCCAACATTCATCCCAACTAATGTTATTAATCTATATCAATCATTTTATGCTAGATACCAACAAACTAGTGCAACAAAAAACAAAAACAGAATTCTTATTATATAAAATGTGTACAAAAACCATTTAGTGTATTATAGTGCGTTTTTAAACTGTTTTAAATTGTAGCGTTTACACTGAGCATTATATTTCAGACGAACTTGTACATCAGTTATTTGAGCATTTGACATATAATAATAATTTCATATATATGCTAAATGAACATTTATTTAATTCTTTCAATACTCAACACTTCTCCTATATATTACCAATGTACTATGCATTCTCCTTGCACCCTTATCCTGTACCTGCTTGCTTAAGAGTGCGTTGATATCTACTTAAGTTAACTTGTTTTATTTGTAAATGAATATTTACAAATAAATCCGTGATAATTGAATACCGCCTTGATACATCAGTTTCTAAAAGTTACAAAAATATCCCAAATTTACCCGTAGTCATAAGGAAAAGATTTACTGCTGCTAACCTAAAAAACAAAAATTATTCTTTATGTAATATTTCATTTGCAATGCTTACAAATAATTTTTTGGCTTAACAATCATGCTCCAGCGTGCCCATATAAGCCCAGTTAACGTCAGTGCTTAGCCATTCTATCAGATATATTCTTTTCTACAGCATCTATTGCTACCTGTATTCTGTGACACAGAAAGTCTATCTGGCGAGCGCTTCATATCTCCAATCCCCGCCAAAACTAATCCCCACTCAAAAACACATATTAAAAACATAGAAAAGCTGTTAAATCTCAAAAAACCTTCATTGTAGGCGCCCCTATAACATAATATTAATTAATTTCTTAAAAAACCAAAAACTCACAAAAATGAACTGTTTTTAAGCCTGCTGGATGGTTCCAAAGATGTATAGCCTTCAATTGCATCATAGAAATTATAGAAGACATGTTTTTTACAGAATTTAGCCCGTATTTATCTTATAAAAGCTATTTTATTTGTCTATTGAATTTTTATGACGTTAATTATATTATTACGGTTACCGATATATACAACGGAAGACATCAAAAAACGAATAAAAAGCTGTACGGCTTCAATGAGATATGTCAGGGCGATATATCCTTCAAAAGCATATTAAAGAGGTACTTTTATTAGATTAAAAGATATTTATCTGATTTTTTTGAGTTAAGATTTCATTTCTGTCAAACAAGTAATTCAAGTGAGAATGTTAGGTATATCTTTTTTTTTTTTTAAAAAAAAGGCTTACTTTTAGAAGATTGTTTATTAGAAAGATATATCCTATATTAAAGAAGCATAATCCATATGTTCCTATTCTTATTCGAGAAGCAATGGGTGTTACACCAGTTTTGTGGATTCGATATGGTAAGTCTTTAAATATATTTAATATCTAAGGATTTGACACAAAGAAGAGTATGGAAAAGAAAAAAGCCTTTCCTTAGAGAATTTGTCTGTAGAAGAGTGCAGTGAACGGATAAATTCTTTTTTATTTGAGACTTAATACACGATAAATTGAAAAAAAAAACAGTTATAATGAAAACATCCATTTTAATATACATTAAGAATATAATTGTATTTTCATTGTGATGGAATATATTGGTACAATTTTATTTTTTCAGTACTATTGTCTACTTCATTTGATAAAAGGCTAAAAAAATCGCTCTTTTTTATCAAAACTGGCTAGCAGTTAATTAACATGCAATGCAGCCATTTACTGTATTTTATTAAACTTGTTAGGGGTCTGAATACAATTAATATCAGCTAAAAAAATTAGGAAACAAACTTTATATTATTAACTACTAGAAATATATACATTCTCAAAAAAACATGCATAACCATTGCATTAGATAAAATCAAACACTCATAATATACTGCAATCAAACATTCTTGTTAATTGCCAACGATTATAAATTTTATCTGGTATTTTTGAATTAGAACCAAGCTTTTTTAGCTCGTAAAGCCTTTCTATTGCTCTAACAAGCCCTTTTCCTAATCATGTTAAAACATTTATACTTAATGTTGTAGATATAAGTTACTGGCTGCTCGTTTGTACCACATTTTAGCTTCTGTACGATTACTTTTTACGCCAATTCCAGCCTCAAGATAATAACCAACAGCATATTCAGCTTTTGTTAAACCTAGTGTGCTTTTTTAATAAAGTGTAAACTATAATGTCTTATTCTAACCTTTCTCAGCAGCTTTCTTAGCCCAAAGATATGCTTCTCTATCAGATTGTTCTAAAACACCTTCTGCTCCAGTTAAATACCATCCACTTAAACCCAATTCAGCATCTGGATTCCCTTTTTCTGCAGCACGCGAATACCTTAATGAATTATTAACCTAAATCTTAAAAAAAAGAATAATTGTACCATGTTATACTTTTTTTTGGGTCAACATCGCACCCTAAAACACCATGTTCATACGCATATGCTAATCGAACCTGTGATGGAGGATACATCAAATGAGCAGCCTTAGTATACAATTCAAAAGAGTGTTTTTCATCTCGAGTAACAATGCCTATAATTATTAAAAGTGCATCTAAAAATCTAAACACAAATGCCTTCATTATCTTTTTCATATAAAATAGCCTATAAAAAGTTAGATATTAGAAAAATATTCAGAATTCAAAACCAATTCGTGAAGTGCATGTGGATTTTCCTCATCAGCAAGTTCAGAAGCTTTTTTTAACCAAAAAATAGCTTTCTTAGGATTTTTAGTTTGTTTAAGTAAACCATTTAACAATATTATGCCTAAATTATTAAAAAAATATCTATAAATCAAAGAAATCTTACCAATCTTATACATAGCTTTAACATTACCAAGAGATGCTGCCTTTTGATAATATTGAACAGCCTTTTCTTGGTTTTTCTTAACTCCCATTCCAATTTCTAAACAAACAGCTGTTCTATAAATACTCTGAGAATGCTTATATTTAGATGCTGAATAATATAACGTATATGCTTGTTTATGATCAATAGGTAATCCAAAAGTACCATCTCCATAACAATTAGCAAGAAAAAACATAGCTTCAGGATAAGGGGAGCTCTATTTGCATTAAAATTATTCATATACATATATATAATTTACCGAATTCACTAATCCTTTTATAATAGAATAAGCATCAGACAAATATTTTTCTTTATTTTTCTTAACAAACTTAGTATCTTTCATGTTATCATTAGAAAGATCAGATGCAACTTGAATCAATTTTTTAGCATATTTTAATTGAGTTTGAGGATCATTAGCACAATATACTTGGTCTTGTAAACCTTTCAAATCCGAAAAAGTTATTTTTTTATCAATATCTTTATTCAGTGCTTGACTCGAAGTTTTAGATTCTAAATCATAAATAAATCTACAATATAAAGAATATAAATAGTATACCATAATTAGATTCATGCAATATATTTGCAGGTTTATTATTTTTTTGAAAACCTGCATTAGTAATTGAAGAAAACTGTGAAAAAATAGGAAGTGTTTCTTGTTTTAAATCTATAAAACCAATCAATCAATAATATTAAAAAAAACTATTAACCATTTATATAACCAGAAGCCTTTTTTTTATTTAATTTATGGGTCCCAGTATTTATATCATTTTTATCATTATCCAATCCGTTAATTCCTAACTTTTCATGTGATAATGAAAATAATTTAAATTTTTGCTCATTATTGGATTTTCCTGAAATCATATTAAAAACTTTAGTATTAAAATAAAAAGTTTTATACCATTATTTATAACAGCAGCATCATGTGCTTGTAAACTACTCAATTCAATATTAGAACGCGTTAATTTTTGATTATTTTTTGGCATATGGTTCTGAAACGTATTTTCATTAAAAGTATTTAATGGCCAATTTATGTCATCATTTTTTTCGTGTAAAGTTTTCTGTGCATTTGCTGTATTAGGTTGCATACCATTTTGGAAACTTTTTTTATGTAGTAAACTTTCATTAGAAGATGAAAATGATTTTTTAACTATTAAAATCAGAAAGAAATATAAAATTTATCATAAAACTTACTTTTTTCTTTATATTTTAAGATATTTTCTTTATCAATACCATATTTATAAATACTACTTAGACCATCAAAACTACTTTTAGATTTTTTTTGCTTTTTTTTATAACTACTTGTAGAATTACCATTTGAATTTTCATTTTTATGGTTTTTATGCATTTCTTGAATCTTTTTTTCAGAATCATGCGGCGATTTACTATTTTTTGTATCAATAACTTCTATGTCATTTGATATATATAAATTTTCTGTAACAGAATGAGGAGCCAATTGATTTATACTGTTAATATTTCTAGATAATATTACTCGTGGACTCTCAATATCTCTACCTTCATAGCAAGAAGAAGAAAATGAATCATCACAAAACAAAGAAACAGAATCATCATTTAACCTCCTATTAGCTGATTCTACACCATATATAGATCCTTTTATAGTTGTGGTAGGAACAGGGAGATTCATAAAACTCGCCTTATGATAAAGAGGATCTATGGCATTATGTGGCCTGCATGGATAATTCATATTATTCTGCCGTTTAAACTGTGAGCCTATATTTGGCATACTGATATTATTACGAATTCTTCTCGTAGGAACTTCCCATGATATATCATTTGGCTCAGACAAAGGGTATCGATGACATGGTGCATCCCTATTATGCAATGCAATTTGATCTATACATCCTGCTTTCCTATTCAAATATTCTGCAGAACCAAAATGTCTTGGATTAGGTCGTCTATATGGTAAATGCGTATCTGAAAATCCCCATATCGAATTTGTGCCTCCACTATACATCCATTTCATGTATGTATCCCGAGAATAAGGGTAACACGGATATATTTTATTCCAATAGGAAGAATCTTTCATAGTATTAACATATGGCTTTCTTCCACCATTACTCTTATCGACAAACTCTGGAACCTTAATTTGATAATTATTATAGTACAACTGCTTCTCTCCACAATATCCACCATGTCCTGGAGTAGAAACTACTTGTATATAATTTACATGATCTTTCTCAGCCTTTCCATGATGCATGTTATACGTTTTATCTGGATAGAGTCTATGTTTACACGGCATCTGCTCATCAGAATACATCCTTATGTGCTCATTACTTCCATAATTTTTACATGAATCATGATAAACATTCCCATAACTTCGTTGTTTACACTGACCATGTAGTTGTTTATGATAATTTACTGGATAATCATACATCTATACAAAACACACACACACAAATATAATTCAATTGTTTTTAAAACACAAATCCTATGCAATTTAACCCTTCATTTGTTCAAAAAACACTTGCTTACCTTTCCTATAAAATTTTTGGTGTTTCATAACATTAACGTTAAGCCTTCACCAGCCTTGTACTCGACAACATAAGATGACATTTAAGTCATGGATAAAAGGAAGTGTATGGGGTTCAGCCATTGTTGCAACAGGATACGGACTTATGATTTATACAACACCAAATGAACAAGAACTTTATCATGTTTGTATTTTTTTCATTTTTTTTTTTTAACAAAATTTAGAGTCTTTCACCAACACTTAAGTCAATGTATGATAAGAACCTTAAAGAAAAATATACAGAAGAAATAACAGAGCACATAAAAACAGCACGAATTCTAAAAGATTAAGTATATTTTATTGATATATTCTATAGAATCTTAATATTATAAAGTCTAAAAAAAATCATAAAACCCCTATAAACATATAATAAATAGCCAGTAAAAATAGAAAAAAATATTGTTATTAGTAAATGCATAAATAAAATGAAAATATAAACAAAGTTATAATATTTATCCAATGTTTGAGAGACGTTTTAAATTGTATTCAATACCGTGCGAGCGTTTACGAAGATGATGTGCAAATTCTTGTGGATTAGAGGCTGGCGATGACGCCTTAATCTGGGACATGACTTGCTTAGGAGGAAGATCTGAATGACTGTTTCGGTCGAAAAAATATTCATCACTAGCTAGAAGATCAAGACTAAAATTTTTAACCTTTTGTAGCTCAGTTTCCAAAGATGTACTTCGATTTTGAAGTTCCTCTACTTGCTCAAAAACAGCAACGGTGAAGCTTTTAAGCTAAACCACATGTTAAGCAATAAAAAGAATTAATCATAAAATACTTTATTAATTTCATTTTGTATTTCAGCATCAATAGATGATCCAAAAACACCATTAATAGATTCAACAGGTCTCGACTTTTTCGGACCAAGTTGATACCTAAATGTTTTTCCATTAGTCTTTCTACTTATATTGATTCTAGAAATAAACACGAGTTCGTACGATATAATATTGTCAAGATTAAACGTAAACATATCACTATTCTTTATTAGTCTTTTTACAATCCCTGAAAAAGCACCATTCTAATTACCGAATATCATCTAGCCGCCGTGGCGTTGATTTATATATACGACCCAAATTCCCTTTACAATGTTTACATGATATTTCTGTAAAATTACTATACAAGCAATTTAACTGCACTGAAAACGCATTCTACTTTTTCATACCCTTGAGGTGTGCATTCTTCCATCTCTGACTCTATTATACTGTCTTCAGGGACTTCTTAGAACTTTTTAATGACATCCTTCTGTATTCCCAAATATACCTGCAAGAGTAATTGTATTACTTTCCCGATGAGATGTTGACCATGCATATGAATCCCCAACTACTGATCTACAGTTAACACACTGAAAAACTGTTGGAGGCTCTTCAGTGGTCTCTGCCATCATATATTTCTATATTTTCTAATCTTTAAAATAATTCATTCAATCATTATCAAATAGATGTTTAAAAACACAAAAACATAAATATGAACAAAGTTTAATGTTTCCAAAGCTCTAAATATGTTAGAATCATATTCTATCCTACATTTTATACATATTTACCTTCACTTACAAAGTCTCTGATATCAAGAACGTTTCTTAAGGACGAGTTCAACGTCACGTTGTCATAACAACACGATAAAATTTTCAACATTTCAACAAACGTGTTTAAAAAAAAGTTAAGAAAAAGGTAAGTAATTAGTTGATATTTAAGCATATTTTAGTAGATTAACATATGTTTTCTTTATTTTTTGTGAATTCTATGTCACAATGTTCTTTTCGAGGAGTTTTTATCCAATAAATAAGCAATATTTTACATATATTTATAATACTAAAATATTTCTTTTATATATTTGAAACAAAGCTGATTATTCATTCAGGAGATGAGGATTGAGGTTGATTCGTTTGGTGGCAACAAGATTTATCCTGGTAGAGGGAAGGTAAAAAATAAAAGAGGAAGAGTCAAAATTGATCAGAAAATAGATTTATGTCAGATTGGACAATAAAGTATTCCGATTTTTATTTAGGAAAACATGTTCTTTGTTCCTCCAGCGAATAAATCCCAGGAAAGTCTCATGGACAGTTTTATACCGACGATTGCATAAAAAGGGTATTACAGAAGAAGTAGCAAAAAAGCGTTCACGGCGCACAATTAAACATCAACGTGCAATCGTAGGTGCAAGTCTTGAAATGATAATGGAAAAGCGGAATCAGCGGGAAGAAGTTCGTCTTTCATTGAGACAAATAGCGATTAAAGATGCAAAAGAAAAAAAACGTGCACATGAGTATAATTACTGTTTTCCTCTTAAAAATAATTTAACTTTTTTTCAGGAACCAAAAGAGAGCAGACAAAGCTAGACTTGCATTAGCATCTCGTGGATCTAATGTCTCTCGATTTTCTAAACAACAAGCAAAGGGTACTAGGTCAAAGGTCATAGGTACAAGTCGTTGAAGTTGTTTTATCATAGACATATATCTATAAAAACAGTGATATATACGTGTATCTATATATATTGTGTACAAGTATTTGTTTAATTACAGAGCCCTAAGAATGTTTAAATAGTAACCAATTTAATAAACATTAATTATGTCTATATTTACATCAGTTGTCGAGACTTATGTCTCTATTTGCACATAATTATTTAGTATAATGACATATAACATATTCATCCCTAATTCAAAGTGCATTTTTGTATTTATTTCATGGGTTCTATATATAATGATAAAGAATATTAAATAATTCAAAAATTCTATATGTTATACAAATGTTATAATAAAGGAAACATGTTTAATCAGAATAAACTCTACGAAATAAAAACAGAACTATAAGACAAAAAACTAGCAATATCATAATTTTTAAAAGTATACGGCTGTATTATTTTTACAATATTTCACCCTTTTTGGAAAATAGAAAATGCATATTTTCCCATTACAATATTATTATTTGATAACAATAAAAACATATCATTGATTATCCACCATTTCATTTAAAATCATTTTTTCACCTTCGCATACAAACGTGTCCATTCTTTAGCAGTTGCATCAAATGTTGCGCGATTATATAAAAATTCTTGCCCTATAGATTGATCTAATGGGTCATTTGGATTAGGAGTAGACAAGAGTGCCTGAATCGATAATAACACTGTTCGTATTTGCAGAGCGGGAGACCATGCATCTAAACCATATTTTTTAAAGTAAAAAAAATATAAACTACATACTCTTCAAGATGTCCATACATATTCTCCCAAGTTTATCAATATTTGGATGATAAATTTTAGTCAAAAACCTAACTTTAGGTGCTACCATAGGATATTCTAAAAACATTCAATCTTTGTTCATTTTGACTTATTTTTCAAAAAAAACCTTCAGGAAGGAACAATTCCAAGCAAAAAATACCATCTTCATATGCAGATTGTGCTGGTCCTTCAATCTTTATTTTAAAATACCTTAAATTATCCTGACAAAACTCTGCAACAATTCCTGGAGGAGGATCAGCAATTAAACGTTCCTATTCATATGTTTCATATTATTCTTTATGAATAAATAATTCTTACGGTTTCTTTTAATATTCTTTTAGGTAATGCCATTTTTAAAGTTAAATATAACCTATGACGCTCAATGTCGACTGATAAGAAAAATATTAAAAATGATTAAGAAATTATATCAAAGAGAAATAATATTTTACTAAAAATTTAATAGGAAAATTATAATTAAGTAGTTTTATATTTCTATACTTTAATACGAATAAAAATTAGTATTTTAATAATGATTTATTAAGAATAAAAAGACAAACAAAATGGGAGTAATAAATAGTCCTACTTTTGATAAACAAATGTCTATAAAAGTAGATGAACCAGTGAGTGCAATGTAAGTAAAGTTATGTATTTTCTGTTTTAATGTATAAAAGGACAATTTCAGCATGTGGTAGAGATGTAATATTAGCATCGTTAGTTTAAACTATATTTTGTGGAAAAAGGTTGATAAAAATTAGACGAAAAGGAATTCTCGTTGTTGATATAGACAATCCATATGATCCTCCCCGATTTCTTCCCCATTTTACTACATGGGAAGTAGCAGATGTTCAATCGTCTCCTCGTACTAATTTCCATTGGTCTATAGACTATGTTTAACGTTTTTAGATGCATGTCGTGCATACTGGATTGCTTCTACTGTATATAAGACTTTATTTTAGATTTTTTTTAATTAGAATCAAGTCAAACCAAAAAACTATTGTATGGAATCTTTCATTGCCGTCACGAAATGCAATAGAATTCGTCTTACATAGCCATTCTCGTGCAATTACTGATATCAATTGGAGTGCACACCATCCGGATATATTGGCAACTTGTGCTATAGATTCATATATTTATTGTTGGGATCTTCGAGATACAAAAAAACCAATCAATAGTTATTGTGATTGGACAGCAGGATCAACACAAGTCAAATGGAATTGCCAAAATGAACATGTTTTAGCATCAAGTCATGGGCGGTTTTTAAGAATATGGGATGATAGAGTATTTATTAATTGATATATTGCAAATTTTATTAATTTTTTAAAGTATGGATCACGTCCATTTAAATCAATTTGTGTTTGCGAATATTTGACAAAAATATATGGAATAGATTTTAATAGGACAAAAGAAACAAAAATAATTACATGTTCTTTGGATAAATCTGTTTGTTTTTGGGATTATGAAAAAAATGAAAATATACCAGAAAAAATAATACGAACAAACACACCTGTTTGGAGAGCACGTCATACGCCATTTGGTTGGGGTGTTATTACGTTACCTCAACGTGATGATAATTCATTATATTTATGGGATATACAAGATGAAAAAAATTTCCCAGTAGAACCATTAGTTAAATTTGAAGGGCATACAGATATTGTTAAGGAATTCGTTTGGAGATATAGTGAACCTGAAGATATATCTAGAGGTTAACAGTATTTATTTTTTTTCGACTTAATTTAAATTACAATATAGATACCAGACAATTTCAGCTTATAACATTGTCTAAAGATCATCATTTGCGACTATGGCCAATGTCTAATGAAATATTGGAAGTAAGTTTATTTTTTTTTTATTATTTTATTTAAAAATATAGTCTGTTGGGCATGATCCAAAAAAACCGATAAGATTCAGAATGACATGTTCAGGTGCAGAATATAAAACTTATCGTTACGAGCCTTTTATAAATCAGAAAGATACTTCATTAATTTATTCACAAACGCCTCAAACAACATCTATTTTAAGAAGTTCTGGGAATAATAAAGTAAATGCAATATTTAATAGATATAAAACTGCCACAGAAAACCACATGCGTGGAATATATATGACAAAAGCTACAAAATCATTCAAAGGAGTTCAACCTTTAGCATGGATGAGAGGTGTACACATAGAACGATCTATAAATAATAATTCACCTACCACGTGGAATATTCCTGAAAACTTGGGTGAAGAGCTTTCATGGATAGGTCAAAAATTCTCAAAAGTTAATTTTGAAGAAGTAATAAGCAATATAAAAAAGAATATAACTAAATATATAGATAAATGTAACTGAACGTAATTGTACATTAACACTTAATGGTCCTTGGGGTGCTGATAACATTATGATATTTATTAGGCTTCTTGTTAAATTTCCGTATAATTATCCTGGAAATGCTACTCCAAAATTTGAACTTGAAAAAACATCGTCTCTATCTGAAGAAAATTATACAGAAATTAGACATTCTTTAATTAAAATATCAGAAAGTTATCTTAAAAAAAAAGCACCATGTTTAGAAATATGTATTCGTTATCTTTTAGGAGAAAGCGTATTAAGTGGAAAATGGATATCAGATAGTGAAGGTGATTTTTCAAGTGATGATGATCAAACTTTATCAAATTCAGCTTCTTTGGAAAAAAACATAAATAATATTATTGTACCTATCCCTCGGAAATGTGCAGCTGCATTTTTTTCTTGTGGTAAATTATAATATAGTATATTTAGTTTTACTAAAATATTAACAAGGAAAACTTGTTTGTTTTTTCCCAAAAAAAAGTGAAACAGTTAACAAAAGAGTAATATCAATTCTTTCTGAGAAAAAAAATAAAGAATTTGAATCACATCATCATTATTTGTTCGAATCTTTTGGTAATATTGAGAGTTTTGTTAACAATAAAATTGGAATAAATTCTGAAGACTTATCTTTAAAATGCAATTCTTTAAATTCTGATGATGATATACAAGCTGGATCTTATTTTTTAAGAACAAAAGTAATTTTACCCACTTATTATTCTCAATAGATTAATATATTATAGTCCTTTAAATGGAAAAATTCAAGAATATATTCACATAATCAAAATGAACGTTATTCTAATCGTCGAATGGCAAATACACGTTCTGAAAATTATTATGGAAATATCATTATTATTCAGAATATTAGTCATCTTGAACCCGTTAAAGAAGATTTAGCAAGAGAATATAAAATTCAGGGTTCTTGTCCTGAAATATGTGAACATAATGCTAAAATTGCATCAAAATATGGATTTTCAGAACTTTGTAAAGTTTGGACACTTATAAAAATGTTAGTATCTAGAATTGAATCTGAAAAAATTGTGAATTTTTTATTTACAGGTAAAAATGATATAAACACTAATCTTAAATTATTAATTCATGAATACTTAACTATTTATAATTTAGAAAAAATGACAAGACCTTCACTATCTACTAAAATTCATTGGGGTTACCATCCTTTCGGACAATGGCTAATTAATCAAATGTAAGTATATTGATATATCGTAATATTATTAATAATTAGTTTTTCATATTACGAAAATATAAGAGACGTTCAAACTTTAGCAATGTTATCATGTGTACTTGATAGTTCAACAGGGTTAAATGTTTTTCAAAATCCTGTTATAAATTATATTATTTTTTAAAAAATGCTAACTCATAGAAGGATCAAAATAATATTTTTTCAAAGAAAAATTCTACTGATTATTTTTTACAAAATCAATCAGAATTATCTAAATATCTTGAAACTTCTATTATTTTTTTAAAAGAACCATGTAAAATAAATAGTAATATGAAATTAGGGTTAAATGAAGAGATACCAATATCTTCGATTTCACAAAGTTCAAATAAGTCATTTCAAGACAATAATATGTTTTTATATAATAATAACAATACACCTTTTTATGAAAAATATTATAATCAACATTCAGAATCGGAAAATATACATATTTCTCCAAAACCATTTTTTGATCCTTATTCAACAAGTGTAAAGTATAATAATTCTAATAAACATAAAGCTACTCCTTTTGAGGTAACACTACCTGTTCCTGCAGAAGAACATAAGAATAAACATTCTCAATTATATATTAATTCAAATAATTCTGTATCGATAAGAATATTAAATTATCAGCTTGACGATGAATTAGCATTATCCTCATATTCCTTTTTTAATGAAGAAAGAAAACAACTAAATAAATTCTATAGAAAAAGTTATGCGGAGTTCCTTTTTAGATGGAAATTGTATAAAGAACGTGTTGAAATTTTAAAATTTAATTCAGAATTTAAAAATGATAAAATATCTTCTAATAAAGAGGACACTATATCTACTTTAAATAATAAGTCAGGTACGTAACTTCTTTAAAGTATATATATATAAAGAGTGTCTAGACTGTATTAAATGCTCTATATACCAATCTTCAATAAATAAAAACTATATTTTGTGTAAACAAGCTAAATTTTTTTCTAATTGTACATTTTGTGAAGTACCTGTAAAAGGTATATATAATATTATTAAAATTTTTTATTAATTTATTAAAGGATTAGCATCAGGTTGTACAAATTGTTCTCATGGAGGACATGCAAAATGTATGGAAAATTGGTTTATACAGACCAAAGAATGTCCTACAGGGTGTGGATGTGAATGTCTTTTATTTACTGTTTCAAAAGAAAAGAACCTTGATAATTTAAGCATTAATAATTCTCAATCAACAATACATTTTTCAATAAAAGAAAATAATATAAAAGAAGTATGGTGTAGACCACACAATATTACTATTTTTAAAAGCAAAAAATTTCAAAGTGGACATATTGATTAATTATGGAAAATATTAATATACATATACATATATGTATCTATTGAGATTCGTTAGCTGTACTTATGATAAATATTTTTAATATTCATAATAATATACAATCTTTTATTTTTAGAATTTTTAATAATTTAAATACGGAACTTTTATATTTAGAACATATATATAAACAAGTAAACTTATAATTTCATAAAAAATATAAATATGAATATTATTTAAATATTAAACTTAATATTGTTATTAAATATTTAATCAAAATATAATCTAACCCAATTCATAAATTATAAAATAAATATTTACATAAATATATCATCAAATCTTTACATATTAATAATTTAATATCATATAATATTTTAAAGCACTGCTAATAAAGGGTATAACACTAATATGATTCTAAGTAATCATTGAATTATCTTTACTTTTTTTTAATTTTAGGCCTACGTATAAAAATATCAGGGGCTACACGTTTTTTATGAATTATAAAAGGAATTTGAGACGGCGTTTCCACTGGGACCTAAATCCAATAATCAATAATGTATTCAGATTCAAATATGTTATTTTTACTATAAAACCAGGATTAACCTCTTTTTTATTTTCTTCATTTCCAAATATATCAGAATTTTGAGAAAAACTATTTTTTTGTAAACATGAATTCTTAAGAGTTTTTATTTCAGAATCCTCAATAAAATTTTTAACAATGCCACTATCTTCTTGAACTGAATCAATTTCATTAGATATTTTTTCTTTATTATGTGTTGTACTAGAATTACAAAAACTAGCATGTTTAGCATTCTTTTCTAAAACTCCAAATAAAATATCATCAAACTAAAATAAATTAAAAACGAAACAAACAGCTATTAAAATCACCTTAGTAAGTAAACCTCGCTGTTCAGCATCCTCAATAAGAGAACGCCAATAAAAGTGACCAGAAAGAGTTTCAACATTACCCAATATTATCATAGAAGATTTAGCTCTAGTCAAACTTACATTCATTCGTCTAATATCAGAAAGAAACCCAATTCCCTTTGCTATTAGAATGTTTAGATATTTTAAAAACAAGATCTCTAATATTACCAGAACTCCTAACACATGATAACATAATGATATCCTTTTCTTGACCCTGAAATCCATCCTAAAAATTTTAATATAATTATCTAATTCATATAACCCATACAACAGTGTTAAAATCGATGTTTTTCAAAATGGAATCTCCATATTTTTTTATAAACAATTCTTTAATTTTATTAAGCTGTTGTTTATATGGTGTAATAATTCCAAAATAACCATTAAACTAAAAAATAAGTATAATATATTTTGAAATTAATACTAACATTTATAGAAGGAAAGCTTCGTATAATAGCATCATAGATTAATAATGTAGCTCGAGCTTCCATGAGATTAAAAGGAGAACGTGAAGTTTCATCTTCGTAACCATGGATATCAAAAAAACGATAAGGACCAAATAAGTCGACTTGATGCCAAGATCTTTTAGTTTTCTCCTCAATACCTTCATCTAATTTAATTAAGCCAACATTTAATAAAATATACAAAAATCACCATTAATTAACCTATTTGAGTAAAAAAATTTGCTTGGAAATTGGCTAATGCATGGATGCATACGATATTGTATACTATATAAACGTTACAAAAAAAAAAACAAAATTATTAACTAAACCTTAACATATGAACTGAAGAAGGACAATTCTTTTGCATTCTCACAAAAAGACTCTGTTCATATGAATAATTTGTAGCCATTTGAGAAAATACTGTAGGTGGTAATTGGTTAGGATCTAAATATTATGTTTAAATAAAGCAATCAAAAAATATATATCTAACCCCCTACAAGAATACAGAGTTTGCATCCATATCTTAACGGTATTATTGTGCTAAGTTCTATACATTGTGCTGCTTCGTCAATAATAACAGTAGAAAAATCAAAAGCTAAATTTCCAAAAAATTCATAACCACTTCCACTAAGCGTGCTGCAAATTATATCTGCATTAGTAAGGATATCGGTTTGTATTTTATGCCGTGAGATATCTAATGATCTACTAGTATTGTTTTGCTGATCTCTTAATTCATCAAGTTGCTGACCCAAGTTATTCTTCTGTAAATTCAATGATTTCAATTTAACTTCTATACTTCCTTTTTCTTGTTCAGATAATTGATCTTCTAATTGTTTACGTAGAGAATCACGTTGCTTTAAAATTTCATTTAACTGTTCTCTTAAAACTACCTGATTTGTAGCCTGATAATCGTGTTCAATTTTTACACTGGATTTTGCAAGCTCTATCTCTATAAGATTGTCTAAGCTTACATCTTTAACATTAATTGCTACATTCGATCCAACACGAACAATTTTTGGATAATAAATAGTTCCTCCTGGACTCCGAAAGCCTTGTTTAAGACGTAAAACAATCTGATCAATAGCAGCATTACTAGGTGCACAAACAAGTATTTTTGAAGATACAGGACTATCTTTTTGAACTTTTCCAAGACAAGCTGATTTATTTTTCGATTTAGAAAGAAATGCATTAATCATGCCTAAAATTGTTCTCGTTTTTCCTAATACTATTAAACACTGAATTGACCAATTTGTAGAATTTACCTGTTCCTGGTGGCCTTAAAATAATTTAACTACATAATAAATATATATAATAAAAAAAACTTACCCTTGTATAAGGTGAAAACCCGTTGAATTTGTTACACCAACAATAGCTTCTGCTTGAGGTTTATTTACATTATAAGCGAGCATTGCAGATTGAATTTCATTAGAAGGGACTAAGGGAAATGGTTGAGCTTTAGCATTAATAATATCATCACGAAGTTCCAAATATTCTATAAATATTAGTAATAAGTTTCATATATTTAAATATGTACCTAAACTTTTCAAAGCAGAATATTCTCTTTGAATTGTAATTAAACTAAATAATATTATAAATGACAATTTATAATTTAAAATAATATACCTAAATAATTTAACTCCATAAAGCTCATTATTGGGTCGAAGAAGTATGCTCATTTCATTTGATGGATACGTCCTTAAGGTAAGTTCAATAGAATCTTTTTTTGAAATCGCTTGAACTTTTGCTAAACATGAAATAGTATTAACTTCTTTCAATGGTTTTGATGTATTTGAAATTACTAAAATGTCAGAATCTGAAATAACAACAGAATAAAATATTTCATAAGAAATAAAAACATAAAGATCTATGAATTCATCAACAGAAGCTCTATTTATTATTTTTATTTTAAATGATTGATCTGTATTTTCCTCTTTAGCTTTAATAATTTGTTGCCAACATTCCAATAACAATAAAGGTTCAAATGTATTCATATAAGTCTGTGATGTCTGAAATTTATACTCGACTCCTAAATACATCTGTTTATTAGCACTAGGAGGAATTTCTCCATTATAGCTTATATCCCACTGTAAAATTTGTTTATGTAATGGAGACAGAGAGGGAAACAGTCTCATTTTTAATATATCAACTTTTTGTTTCAGCAATTTTTGCCTAGAAAGCGGTCCTTTATCTATAACATCCATACAATCTAACCTTTGTACAGATTTACGTTCTATTTGACGAATTTTAGGATAAATTTTATCATCTTTTGATAAAAAAGTAGTCTCTGTATTATCTTGACATTCTGAATCAGACGAAAATGTTTGTTCCAAATCTTCATTTTTAATAGAATTATCTAATTCCTGTATTTCAGGTCCAAAAAGTCTTGAATCTGTAATATCTGTTTCAATTCTAGGTAATTTTTTAAAAGCCTTATTTATCTTCTTTTTATCTTTTAACAATTCTAAGCGAAATTGTTTTATTGAACTGGATCTTAAATTTGATCCATGATAATTTGTAGATTTATTTTTAAAATAATTTAAATTCTTTAGGTTATATTTGTTTATATTATTTTTTGATTCAAATAAAGGCAATATTGATTTAGAATGAAATAACTCCATAGTTATTTTTGATTGTACTTTTGACTTTGTTTCTGAAATAGAATCAGGAATAGATTTCTTTAGTTTAAAAAATTCAGAACCATTTTTAAGTTTTTTATTAGTATTATTCAAAAAAGTTTCAGCATTTTTAGAAGGTTGAAACTCTACTGTAGTTGAACTATCAACCCTTATTTCATTAGATTTATTCAATATAAAATCAAATTCCTGAAGTACAGAGTATAATTTTACTTTTTGCTCATTAGTAAGATTAGTTTTATGACTTTTTTTTTTAAGAAAATTTCTAAGATTAGTTAAAATGCTTTCTTCTAGAACCATATTAGCAACTTTTAGGCGAAAAAACAAAAAACAAATAAAATCAACAGTAGAAACCAAAAGTGCTTCGTCATTTAAACGAAGCCATGAAAATGAATATTTAAGGCAATCCTGTATTTGAAAAGATAATTCATGAGACTTATCAAGGTTTTCTTTTGAATCGTTCACATCATTTAATAAAATAATTGAATTATATATTTTAGAGTAATTGACCATATTATTAGCCATCTCCAATACGTTTCTTAAAAAAGCAATCATAGAAACTTTTGGAAAATCATTAGCCCATGATAAAGAGAATGAAAATAACATATTTAAGAACATCCAAAATTGACTCCACAATATTGTTAAAATTGATTGATTTTCTTTTGAATTGTATTTATCTGACAATAAAAGACCATTTTCAGAAGAACATAATATACTAAGAATAGTAATAGATGTTTTTACTAATTGAGATGCTACAAAAAACGATTGTATTTCCATAAAACTATCAATAACAGCTATTAAACCCATTAATGTAGAAACAAAATTATATGACAAATTAAATCGAAAGGCTTGATACCGATCCACGCAATCATATGCTTGTTTAATTATATTAAGTGATAACTGACTAATTTCTAAAATTGGAGAAAACGACAATGATATAATAGAGCAATTAATTTCAGGAACCTGTAACATTGCTTTAAATACACTAGAATCTATTTCATCAAATTTAGCTAACAACTGATTCACTTTTAGAATTATATCCATAAATATTTTATTAAAATATGCAGACCTTTCGGATTCTATACCTATTATTTCAATATAAGACAACAAAGAAAAGGACTGAAATATTTGAGATATAAGATCAAGATCACAACTCTGAATATTTTGAATCAAAATATCCCATATTTTTCCACAATTATAGTTCATAATAGTTATAATAGTATTATCAGGATTTTCGATCTTTTTTGTTATATTATAAAATTCTTGCTGCAAAATTTTACAATCCACACTTAAAACAAGTCCTACTAGCTGACATGCTTTAGCCCTTACATGATTATTTACATCAGTAGAGAACAACAATTCCTCAACAATAATTTTTAAATAACTTTCGAAAACTTTTCTATTTTCTTCAACTAGTATCAAATATGTATCAAAATCTAAAGATTCACTTTTTAATAAAATTTCGAATGTTAAACTTAAAATCTGACAAGCTAAAATTTTATAATTATTTCTATTTTCTTTTGAGTATCCGTCACGTTGAAAGTATTCAAGAAAATAAAACAAAAATTTTGAACATGAATGATGTCGATTCGAATTTTGAAGGCTATTAATAAACGATTTTATCCATGTAAAAGGCGTAACAAAAACTCTAGAAAAATCCTCATCCATTTTATTGTCTTTATTCATGTTTTTAATCATATTATGCAGATAATCATTTCGAAATATTACATCAATAACACTAAGAGGATTACAATATATTGCTTGTTCCCAAAACGTTGTACCAAGAACATCTAAAAGTTCAGAAAATACGTCCAAAACATCTAAAATTACAGGTGTATTTTCAGATAATCGTGAACAAGTAAGACCTACTATATCCCATCCTTGACTTGAAAGATCTGTAATAATAGAATTTTTTTCTATATAATGAAATAAAACTGATGCACCCTTCCAAAAGATCGAAGCTGATATAATGGATGATGTGCTATTTGTCTTTAAATAATTATCCATAGAAACTGTAAATGGAACTTTTGCAATAGAAGTGAATTCAGACGAGTTCAATTTTCTAGAAAGTTTTTCTAATGATTTTTTTGCCCATGAATTAAAATCTCCAAATTTTTCGTCAAACAAAAAATAAATCATCCCAGGAACCACTTCATCATAGATACGTAAAAATTTACCATTTCTCTGAATTCCAAGGAAAAGAGTTCTAAATTTATCCCTAATTTCTTCTTTTTCAAGTAAATCAATACCCCATAAACATTCATATACTAGAATAAATATTTGATGTGTCATATCAAAATCCTTATCTGTTTCGAATGAAGTATGTGTTAAAACAACCATTAATGATTCAAGTACACGTTCATAATCAAACTCATCCAAATGATCAATGTATTCATGAATATTTGTATTCAGATATCTTTAATTTGTCAACATTTAAATACATAACATCCTTTACCTACTCTTCACGACCCTCATACAATTTTTTAATATCTGATTTGAGAACATGGTAATGTTTAATACATAAATGACATCTTTCGAGTTGCATCTTAAACTTCATTTTCAACCATGATAACGCGTTACTCCCCAAAAATGCAAAAAGCTGTAATGATTCTTTAATCAGAGCAGTCAATTTCTCTGTACAGAACCAATGTTCTTCATCAGTAAGGCTTCCAAGATACTTTAATGATTCTTGAAACGCTCTTTGCTGAATACTTGCATCGTCCAGATTTTTGTAGCTTTCTTCAATAATTTTATGAACCTGCTCTAATCCCGCCTCATCTATAGGCATATCTTTTTATTCTTTTACAAAAATATTTGAAACTTATCAAAGCCAGTCTTGAGATCTTCGGTTTTTTATTATCTTTTTACTATTTTGCTGATTTCATACCAAATTATGTAGTTAACATACATAGTATATATACGTGAAAACCGGGAATTAACGGGTGGTAACGTATCGATACGTTGAGCGTGTTTCGTTTGCTACAAAAATGTATAGATTTGCACAATTTGCCTTAAAAACAAGAAAAATCGTCTGTATTGGCTGGAATTACGTGTAAATGACATTTATCTTTCTGTATTTTTCTTATTTTTTATAGTAGCCATATTAAAGAACGTAATGCACCGATAGGGCTACCAGCAGTATTTCTAAAGCCACCATCATCAATAATACAAACAGGTGGATCTGTCCGAATTTGTGATAGAATGGTTGCCCATCATGAGGTTGAGCTTGCACTTGTTATTGGAAAGACATTGAGCCATTGTCGATCAGAAGTTTCAGCATTTGATGCACTTGCAGGATATGCTGTTGCAATTGACATAACGGCTCGTAACTTGCAAGATGAAGCAAAAAAAAAGGGAATGCCGTGGACAATAGCTAAGGGTTTTGATACTTTCTGCCCAGTCAGGTTTGAATATGTTTTGGTTTTATAAGACTTAGGTTTTTTGAAACAGTGATTTGATTTCGAAAGATGTGCTTACTGACCCGCACAATTGTGAGCTATATCTGAAAATTAACGATGTTTTAAAGCAATATGGTTCTACAAGGCTTATGGTTCGTCGTATTCCGGAGCTTTTATCATATATTTCATCAATCATGACTCTTGAACCGAATGATATTGTTCTGACTGGTACTCCAGAAGGAGTAGGTCCTCTTGAACATGGAGATGTTGTTAATGCAGGTATTGTGTATAATGGTAGTGAAATTCAGCAAAGTGTTCTTGAGATTTCTGTTGAACGCATGCAGCATTCGTATGCATCTTCAGTATAAATATAAATAGCAATGCATAAAAAAATATAAAAATGCATTATGGAGAACATTATATCAGTAGTATCCTATTAGTGAAACACATATGAAGTGCAAAGTTTTTAATAGAAAGAATATTTGAGCGATATCTAGGAAATATATCTCCAAAAAATACATCTCTAAAAAATATGTGTAAAACAAGAGGATAAACGTATATAGAATGTCTAGTGTTGCATATTTAACATATTCATTCCGGTATAAGAAAAGTGTAATAGAATATGCATATGCAATACATAACACATACTTTATATGCATGCTACATATAATACATAAATATAACAATACGTTTATATTATTCAAAAGTATATTTATTAAGTTGAATTTATTAGGCTAAAGAAACATATATTGGATCTAAGTATACTGTATTTTATCAAGTTGGTTTATATTTTACTGTTGTTTTACTATATTACATTTACATTATATTTATTGTAAAAGCAATGTACTGGTCAAATCCAGCAGTTTTACAATAATAATATAACTAGAGTTTTTATATTATTAAACAGTGAATTTAAATTTTAAGCATTGAATTGGTTCTAAAGTATTGAATAACTATGCGAAAGTTGAACACATGCAAAGCTAAACATATATATCAAAAGTATGTTTAGGGTATATATTAAACACTGTATTTTGCTGTTATTTGCAACATATGCATAAGCAATTAAACAATTAAGCAATCTTACACTCAGTTTTTGATTTGTTTCAAGTTATTTCATATAAACAGTATCTAGTTTGCAATATATATATTAGAATGAGGACTACAAATCATAGAACGAGTCAAGATATTAGATTATATAGAATATGCACTTTCTTTAGGTATATGTTTACTATATGTGTTATATACACAACATATATATTTCACATGCACCTTCTAGCTGACTTTGGCTGACTTTTAACTCTTCTTTTTTCGTTTTTATTTTTCGATTTTTTCTTTTGAAAAACATCGTGCAACAACATTTTGATTATGCCACTCGAACAAATTCAGACAACATTGCATGTCTGTAAGTAAATGAAGTAGAAATATACAACAGTTTTAAAAGAAAGCAGCTGGATTATCTGAGGAAGTAACACCTCAGACTTTGTATTCAATGTTTATTCCTTTTGGAGAGATTGTCCGAGTAGAACTTCCACGGGATGAGAATTTAGGTTGAATATTAAAATGCAATAATATCAACTAAGATATTGAAGATGAACCCCATCAGGGCTTTGGGTATGTTGAATTTAAAGAAGAAGGAGATGCATGGGATGCAATCGATAATATGGATCAGTCAGAAGCATTCGGACGGATTCTACATGTAACACGTGCACGTGCAGAAAAAGCGATATTGGAGGGTCTTGGATCAAAGATTCCTGGTAAATTATGCTGCCAATTGTGAATTTGAACTAATTTGTTTTAGTTTGGGAACAAGAAGCATGGATTCAACGATATCAGGTTGATAAGGATGATTGGAAGGCAGTTGAGCAACAAAAGATAATGCAGAGTACGCAACAGACAGAAAATGCACATCCAACATCAACTATTTCTCATCCGTTGTAATTTTGTTAATCAGCAGTATCTTGCAGCACTATTTTTTTGCAAATACAGCTGGGACTATACTGTATTGGAGATTTACAAAGAAGAAAGTAGAAAAGAACGAAAACATTCAGAAAAGTAGATAAAAAATGTTAGAGCTCTAATATTTTACATACGCATGATCCTTATATAGTCTTACGTCTAATTTATACAGCCTTGTTATTAGTTTTGGCGGTAAAAAATGAAAAGTATTAAGTTTTAAAGAAAAAAAAGCAATATTTCTATTTTAATGGGCAGATTTTTTGCTTGGATATCGCCGAAGCTATATATGAATTTTTAGCTCCTTAGTAATAGTCTTTATTTGTATCTTACGCTGGGATCATAAAATAATTTCTATTAGAGTAAATATAAGAACAAAATAAATATATTTCTTACATTTCCAAGTTGATAACACGCAGCTGTATAAAAAATGATTAGTTATTGATAGAAAAATAATTGAAAAATGATGTACAAGATAAAAAATAGTGGAATAATGCCTTTTTTGCGTTTAAATAATAGAATTAATACTTACCCCCAAGACCAACTAGAAGAACAGCGCCTGTGAATTTACAATTAGGATGTATTAAAAAATAAGAAAATGAAAATAATTACCAAGAGGATATAATTCTAAAGGTATATTCTTTATTCGAGAATATAGACTTTTAGTTGGAAGATGTTTATTTGTCTATGAAAGAATCGTATCAGAGCAATTTCAAAAAAAGTATTTTTATCCTTACATCAGAAGCCATAATTTTTTGATATAGGGCTTTCAAAGCAAATTAATCTTGTCTGGATCCGGACACTCGATATTAATAACAAAAAAGTATCAAAAATAAATAGGTTTTTTTGCAAATATAAAATATGTTTGTATTTTTATCATGTTTAAAGTGTTTTTTTTAAGCGTTTAATTATTTTATGTCTATAAGAATCTATATTAAACAAAAATAAATGCCACTATATAATATGGAAATATCCTGCCCTTAATTTTTTAAAAATATGAATACATCCTATATTATATTTGATTTTTAAAAACATGCAAATTTTATTTTCATATAAAAAGATATGTTCTCTGTATAGTTTATAACATGTCTGAATACATAAATGGAAATTCATTATTTTCATTTCTTTGACTCTTCCCGTCTTTTTTTTACTACTAACTCGTCATTACTTTCTGAAACACTTTCGGAAACATTTTCGTCATTAATATCATTTGTGTCACTGTTGTCATTTGATTCACTGATATCGTTCAGTTCATCATTTGATGCTTCACTTGATACCCCATCCAATGACACACCAGATTCTTCTGAATCATGATCATCTATAGTTTCATAATCAGATGCTTCTGTTTCATTATTAGTGTTATCATCCTCCGATGTTTTAATATGGTTGGTTTCTTCAATGGCTAACATTTCTTCATCACTGTCTTCTTCAATATACTCATTTTCTGATTCGGATTCCTCGCTTTTCAAACTAGACTCCCTCCTTAATCTGATTTGTGCATTTATCATATCTAAACGACCATGAAGTGCAAGCAATTTCGGCAATGCCGATGCACGGCGTTGTAGTGCTATTTGTAAAGACGAAAGTGTTTTCATAAGATCCGGTAACTATATTATTTAGTGTGCTTAAAACATCCTCTTTGTTTATTACCGCTACAAGATGCCCTCCATGGACAATAATCGTCCACCGAATCCACACATTCAGCACTGCTACCTTTCCTGGGCGTCTGGAAAGACGTTCTGCAATTCGCTTAAGCAATTCCACTGCTTTTGGTGATTCCAGTCGCTTTACTGTCTCCAAAACTGTCTCTGAGTCCCCACAGTTCAAGCATGAGTCTAGTAAAACCTTATCGTTCAATTGCAGCGCTTGTACAAGCACTGAAGCCAATGAACTCGCTGATGGCAGTTGTACTGCTGTTTCTTCTGCCTCTATTCCCTTCATTTCAAGCGCCTCAAGCCTTTCTTCAAGCGTCTGCTCCTTCAATTTATCTATTCTTGCTTTCTGACGCACTGAAATCCTTTTATCATCCAAAAAAAGACCATTATCTTTCCCACTTCCTCTTGTATCATGACCCTTATCCTCTTCTACTTCCATTCCGCTGTCTGATCCACTAGATCTACCCAATTCACCTGGTTCATCTTGCTTATTCAGTTTTTTTGCTTCATTCAAAGGTTCAATTGAATCCTCAAATAAATCCTTATTTAACCCCTTATTTAAACGCTTCTTTAAACGTCCATTTAACTCTTTATCTAACCCTTTAGCTGATCGTCTGCTCAAATTTTCATCTAAATTTTCTTTTAAATCCTCAATTGATCCCACAGTTGATTCCTTATTTAATTCTCTTTCTAGATCCTTATTTAAGTCCTTATTTAAACCATTGTCTGTATCTTTTTTTCTCCCAATTTCCTCAATTGACTCCTCTTCACTCTCTTGTTCATCTATTTCGTCTCCGTCAAGCACCACTGCGTTTGCATCGTTATACGCCCTAACCCTATCCTAAGACACAGGTTATAACCCTAATCATGTGTTTTAGGGTTAATCCTACCCTATTACCATTTACATATACTCCAGCAAGATTCGAACTCGTAACCTGCACATACAGGTCGCCTTCTTTCAACACTCCTTTGTCGAGATATATAACCCGCTCAAAGACAAATCCAACACCGGTCGTTGCTGCAATAAGCAAACTACTGTCTTCAATGCATGCATCAATAATGTCGATTTCTTCTCCGTTTTCCCTCAATACGTGTATCTTTAGAACCGGTGCTTGTGTACGCTCTTTGCCTTTCCGCTGCAGAATGTTTCTGAAGACATTGACTCTTCCAGTGATTGTTACCACGGCAACCATAGAGGTCACGTGTGTACTGTCACCATGGTCACCGTTACCTAGGTTATCGTTTCCTTGGTTACCACTGCTCCCCTCCTGTGTCTCTGTTTTATAGACTGATGTCAGTGTAAAGATCCGCCGTACACCGTCTTCTGCTACTAGCACGCCAAGACAGCCCTCGTCTCCTATCACACTGATAAACCTCTCTTCTACTGACCCACAGACAACACGTCGCTCCCCATTTCCATCTTTCCACAGTGCCAATGCATTGACTACTTCTGCATGTGCTCCTATGCTTACCCATTCGCTGAGTGTCTGTATATTCGAAAGACCCTCTCTACAGAGATCCTCTGCAGACATATCGTTGTCATGGATACCACTATTTAGGACACCCTCTCTTCCCCTTGTAACTGGACACACATAGAGAGTGTCCGAAGACACAATAACCTCGTTATCGCTATATACAAGTGCTAAAAGGCTTTCTGTACAGACAGTCGATGTACTGAGATACTGTTAGTATAGAGTATATAAAGACAAGATATTTCCAGTATACCTTAGTATTTTTGATTCAAAAAGCTCCCATTGTACTACTTTTCCGTCTGCACCACAACTCCATATTTGAGTATCACCTGAGAAAGCAAGTCCATAGACATCTCCAGTATGACCACCAGAAAGCCTTAGGATAACTTTATCCTGAGTGGTTGAAAAAACAAGAATGTCACCGTTTGACAGTCCAATACATAAAAGTATGTCTGCAGTAGTTGGCAGTGTATGTGTATAATTATTGGATTTATTGGCGTTTTTATGAGTATTTTTGGACTCTTTTTTGGCTTTTTTACTTTGTTTTTCTCTTTGTTTTATACCGTCGATTTCGATCCATAGAAGACTTTGGCAAATAAACCCTTTATCGAGTGTTATACTTGTGCGTTGGATGCTTCGGTGAGTGTCAAAAATATGCACTTTTTCAGGGCCAAAGCCGCCAATTGATGCTGCAAAAAGGGCTCCTCCTGCACCAAATGCAGACACTATTCCTGGCCGGATACGCTTTGCAGCGTCTGTGGTGACCTGTCGGGGTCTTTGGACAGTTTTCCGGACCATTGTGACTCGAAGCACTGAGCACGCATTCAACTGCTGAGCTTTGCACCGGACACTCTATACTCGGACTATACTCGGATACTAGATTATTCTGCAAACAAGACTTGCATGTTCAGAGCGCATATAAGCGTATATAACATGTGCATACACTATACTTTATACACTACACTATGAACTATATACTACATACACTATATACACTATATACGCTTATAGAGTACATACACTTATAGAGTATATAGATTATACACTCTATACATATGATGCACTGCATACACGATGCATTCTATGTGTACTACAATTCTGTCTCTGCATTGCCCTGCGTATACTATAAGGTGTGCACTGTGCTATGCGTTATATATACTCCACATGCACACTGTGCAAAATGCGCACACGTGTCTCCTTTCCTCCAAAACCACGTAGAATAAGAGCACAGACGTTATCTGTAATCTGCATTACATTATATGTTGTATACATCGTATACATCTGAATACATGGCATATACGGCTGCAAGTCACACAGTATGCAATATATGCTAGATTATGCATTGCATGCTATCATGCTGCATATTATGTGCTCTACACACCATATACATACTATATGTTATATACACTATATATTATATGCATTCTACATGTTATATATATGTTATATGCATCCTATATGTTGTATACATGCTATATATATGCCGCACTAAATTGCATCTGCAGAGTACACGTATGCTATGCAGAGCACATATTATACAGCATACAACCTTGCATGCTACATATTGCGCACTCACACTATATACTCTGCCCCACACTACACTATGCATCCCAAAGACTACAGTATGCGCTCAGCACGCTCACTATACTCTCTGCTGTAACAAGTGCACTGCATTATACACACACTGTATACATACTGTACAGAGTGTACTGCTCACTGCACAACGTATACCATACATATACATATATACATATATGCATTATAGTTATACCGCACAGTGTACACCATAGACATATCATACACACACTATACACATACCATAGTGTATATTGCACAGTATATACTATACACATATTAAATTATATACTACAAACCACACACTTGCTGTGTGCTGCATAAGCTGTGCTATCCACGTGCTGTGCACACTACATTTATACAGAATATCCACTCTGCCACTGACACTGCACGCTACACTGCACACTGGAAACTGTGTGCACACTTAGCCATGCCATACGCACCGTGTTCTGTAGAGTATATCTTGCACTGCACTATATTATATTTTGCACTACACTATACAGTATATTATACTATACACTATACTTTACACTATGCTATACAGTATACACTGCTGTATGCACTGCTGTATGCGCCATACATATAGCATAAGTGTATACTGTGCAGCAGAGTATATGCACAACGTGCATTGTATGCATTTATAGTATATGTATTATATATATAATACAGCACTCTCTGCTGTATATTTGTGCTGTACATTCCATTGCTAACTATGCTATACAACACGCTATACACTGTATACACTATATATGCCATACTTTGGCACACTGTAGCACAAGACACTAGACATGCTGTGCCCGCTGTAGCTGTTCATGTAGTTATATACTATATACTATACTATATACCATACATATACATATACACTATACACTGCAGATATACACTATACACTGTATACACTACATATATGCTGTATTCACTATAACCATACACTATACGTTCATAGACACTGTATGCGCCATAGCTATATATCATACACGTCATGTACACAGTATACTATAAATACCATAAATACCATATGCCATATGCACTATATGCACTATGTGCACTGTAACTATACATACACACTATACACTGTGCACACACTATACACTGCATATACACTGCACACCATATATACTGTGCATATTATACATACTGTATATGCTATATACACCGTATACACTATATATGCTATATATGCTACACATTGTGTATGCTATGTATGCTATGTATGCTATATTATATACACTTATATACACTATATATGTTATATATGCTATGTATTATGCTATGTATGCAGTATGCTTTGTATGCGTTGTGTATGCACAGTGTACCTGCAATGCTGCTGCGTATACGCCGTATAGTGTAGCAGTGTATGCACTATAGACACATATATAGTACACACACTGCTACACACTACGGTGCATGCGCTGTGTGTCGGTGAGTGTTTGTATGTGTGTATGTGTATATGTATGTATAGGTGTATGTCACTGTATATATGTATATATATCAGTGTATGTGTCTATATATGTGTATGCGCGTGTATATAGCGGGTGTATGCACACACTGCACAGGCAAACGGTATGGGTGTCAGTATGTACAGTGCACATAGTGCATATACTGTGTACACCGTGTAAAATGTGTATACAGCAAATATAGCGCACACTATACATATACAGTGCACTGTATGCATCATATGCAACGCAGACTGACATATGCACTGCACATATACATATGTACAGATATACATACGTATATACACACGTATATACACGCATATATATACATATACACACATATACACACGCATATATGCACATACATATATACACTGACATACACATGTACACACTATATATACTATACACACTATACTATCCATGCTATACACACTATATACTGTTTATGCTATATATATGCCGTCTATGCTATACACAGTGCATACATGCTATAACACTGCTGTGCGTACTGTGCTATGCACTGCACATACTATGCACGCTATCTGCTGTACACGCTACATTCTGTGTATGCTACACGCTGTGTATGCTATGCATGTTATATACACTTAATACACTATGCTATATGCTATATACGTTTGTATACACTATATGTGCTATGTATGCTATATGTGCTATCTATGCTATATGTGCAGTGCATACACTGCACATGCGTCCATAGTGCATGCACTGCTACACTACTGCTTACACTGCGGTGCACGCGCTGCACATGAGTGGACGTGTGTGCGTCTGTGCATGTGTATGCGTGTATATATCTATGTGTATGCGTGCATGTCTATATCAGTGTATGTGTATATATGTATATATGTATATATGTCTGTACTGTGCAGCGCATGTGCAGTGCAGAGGCGGCGTGTGTCCGGGTGCCCTGTGAAGGGTCCCCCAGCGGGACGGAACCGCGACGATGCACGCGACTCCAGAAGGTGAGCATGCTGCGCAGGGAAAAGACTGACAGAGATAGTCAAGTGGGCGCAGCGGTCGTCTGAGACAGATGCTGCAAAGAATGTCCTGTATCTTACATTCGAGGCTCCAAACACCGTTGACCCAAAGGTCGACGTCACTGCTACGGGACTGCTTTTCAACGCAGAGACAAGAGCTGGCGGAAAATACAGTGTAACGCTCGAGTTCTACAAAGAAGTCGAGAAAGAGGTCGAGGCTTGAAGGCTTAAGGAGGCCTGTAAAGGCAAAACTGACATAGACAGAGCCTTAAGGTGCACCGGACGGATCGAGGAGTCTTTCTGACGCTGCAAAAGAAAGAGCTTGGTGACAAGTATTGGCCGCGGCTGGTCAAGGCGCCGGGGAAGTGTGGATACATCCGCACAGACTTTGACAAGTGGGTGGACGAGGACGAGCAGAATGTGCGTACAGACGACTTTTCGTCCCAGTTCGGGGGAATGGACGGCTTTGACTTCAACGGGTTCTCGGGCAATGGAGACGCAGAGGATATGCCGAAGCTGGACGATATGGACTCGGACTCAGACGCACCGAGCGATATGGACGACGAGTCCAGGGAAGACAAGAAGGACGAGTCGCCGGAAGCCGGCGACTGACTGGCGCGTCGGTAAACAGCTGGCCTCCAAGGCCTCCGTGCACAGCATATATGCGCATATATGCGCATATGCACGCACAGCATACATGCTGTGCACACTGTAATATGCACACTGTAATATGTATACGTATTGCAATACTAGCCTATGTACACTACGTGCGTATATGCGAGTGTCACGTGCAGCGTGCCGTCTCCGCGGCAACGCTGAGTTAGTTTCCATGGTGCCCGTCCGTCTGGCATGGCTGCTGCGCTCGAAGAAAAGGCGCTGCAGAAACAAGGTATGTGTGCGTTGCTGGTGCAGTGCTTACGGCAGCGCTCGAATCTGCAGTGTGGCACACGACACAGCAGATTGCAGAAGCAGAGTCTCTGGAACTCCAGGCAGCGCCGACGTCGGGCTTTGTAGCGTCGCTGTCGACACTTGTGTTTTCGCAGATCTACACGCTTGCAGAGGACATCGAGTCGTTTGCAAAGCACCGCGGGGGAAAAGTTGTGAATGTCGAGGACGTTCTTGTAGGGACTGTATGAGCAGAGCGGTGCTGACAGAAGAAGCTGTGTGCGCGGCGGAACGAGGGGCTTGTATGTTCCAGGTGGTAGGAATGAGTCTTACTGGGCCAGCACGAGCTGATGGCCGAGTATGCAAGGCAGCATGTGGGGCCGGAGGCCAAGGCACGCGGCAAGAAGGAGAATATACGGGCAGCGGTGCGCAGGTCGAAGGACCCGGACACAGGGGGTGTCCGCTCTGTCGCACCTCGGATATAGTGCGGTAATGTACGGGACACATCGATGAGCGAGTGTCCGGGGATGGCGCTGGAGAAGGATGAACGGTATAAACGACAGACTATGGGACCGGCTTGCAGATGTTTAGTTGTATACAGGTGTTTTGCAGCTAAAACGCAGAGTTAAATTAGTTAATAGATATGAACCGAGATATATATCTAAGGAGTGCCTAAGGAGTGTCTAAGTAGCAGGTTCCTGGTTAGCACTGCCAAAATAGTCTGCAGGGTGAGGAGGGGCAGGAAAGGGGGAGGAGTTACCAATCATTTCGGCATCGAGCTCTTCAGCAGTTTTTCTGGGTCTGGAGGACCTGAAGCGGCCCGCTCTTCTCAGTGCTCCAGTTCTTCGGGTTCTAGGAAGGTAAATAGAAGGCAGGCAGGGAAGGCGGTGTACCGGGGCAGTTCTGAAGTGACACGCTGTGAAAGAGAAGAAGCAGCCAAAGACATCTTAGGGTCGAGGACAATTTCAATCTGGAAAGTCAGGTTACGGCTAAAGAGAGAAAAGAAAGACCTTTAGCTTCCGAGTACCATCGATAACTTTCCCCTCGTATTTTTTGTAGGCTCGGCCGGCATCCGCTTTTCTTTGAAAAATTACAGTAGCAATGCCTTTTGACTGGCCATTAGGCCCATAGCTCAAAAAGCATCTACGTGTGGGTCCAATGGAATTAGAAAAGAGGTCCTTTGAAGCAGGAGATAGTGGTTGGTAAATGAATATCAAGGAATATGGAGGAAAAGCGGTGAACAGACGAGAAACGCGACGACGTCCAAACGAGGGCGATAGTTCCGCTTCTTTAAAGTCTTTGCTTTGATGATTTCATACCTTAATTTGAGCTTCGGTCACATCAGACGGCTGGTGCACGTCAGTCTAGCTTCGTGTGCAGTGGCTGTATCCAAAACTAGACACTTACCAAATTGCTAACAATGATTTTGCTTCCTTCATCGATCACAGCCTGTATTGCCGCTGCCGTTGAGCTCACAATGCCTCTAAGTCTTCTTGTTCCTACACGGCCTGCACGGCCCCCCACACGACCATTCAGCCGACCTGTTATACGGCCTCTCACAATTCTTCGGCCCGCCCGTCTTGGGGCTCTTCGCATCTGTGTCGACCTTGAAGCGATAATTTCTATACTGTTATCAGCATCCGATCTTCTGTATACTATATTTACTAGACGTACCGTCTAAAGACTTGTCTAGAAGCATCATTATCGCCTTAATTTACCAAAGGATATAGAAAAAAATATAAACGCGCTTTGACACACAAAAAAGTACTGAAATACCAACAAACTCACACGTATGTAAGTCCTGATGCTTCTTTATCTAAATAGCACCGTTTTTCTTTAAAATATTCGCTAAAACTGCTGCTTTTAAGTGTTTTTTTTTGTCAAGTGTTATATAGAGGTTTGGTCGTTCGTACATTGACGTGGCTGTCCCCGAGCCTTTTTATACCCGCAGTATCGGACTCCTTGTGAGTTAAAAAGGACATTTTATTTTAAAAAATAAAATAGAGCATTTTTTGTCTTAAAAATATATATATGTCGTTTTTGTTTTTATGTTGTTTGTAATTGTAATATGCAATAGGTGCTGTATTTTTATATTTTTTATATTTTTATACTTTTCATATCTCTAAACCGTTTCATAGTTAATATGTATGATTTATAAATGATGCAGATGATAGATTTCCTTTATTATACTATTTATTTGTATTTTAAGTTCTTTGTAGGTGTATTTTGCGTTTTTAGTTGAATTTTTTATGTTTTATTTGATGTTTTATATTCTGGCTTGTGTCACGTGCATAGCACTATTTTATCAAGTATTATACTGGTTAAGAACATTTTGATAGAGATTTTTCCTGAATTTTGGTGTTTTGTATGGTTTTCTTATATTATTTATATTATTTATATCACGTTAAAAGCATTTCTTTGTTCTAAATGCTTGAAACTTTGTATGTTATAAAACTATATGTTTCTTATACGTAAGCTTTTTTGAAAACGCTGGATTTTTACGTATTTTATATGAGATGTTTGCGATTGAGATAAAATATGGTTTGCGAGGTAAGTATAGTTGAGCAGAATGTTTAATGCTGATGAATAAGATGTATTGAGAATTGTTATAGTTATTTGCTGTTATCTTTTATTACGACCATATTTGCAGCGATATTTGAGGCATAAGCAGGCGATGCACTATGAAGCAGACGATAAAGCTGACTGTGGTGACAAGGACGAAGATGCAGTGCTTTCTTGGGGTACTATGTCACGTATGAAGCAGAGAAATTGTACTATAAAGACAAGTACTTAAATATCAAGCAGAAAGTGTAGAATAAATGCGTTTTAATCGAAAAATATGCTTCTAAGAAGAGACTTGTTATTAAAGACAGCAGGGAGTATTCTGTATGAAAATTTGGCATGCACTTCATATACAAGGTATATATAAGTAGAATGCATATATACTGTGTACAATGTGCGTATGTATGTAAATATTTACATAATGTATACATAACGTATATAATAAGAATATAATCAGCATATAGTGTGCAAAGTGAGGCTGGTTCTCAGTGTATATTATCGTGCATACTATACATAAAATGTATATTCCATGTCCATCAAGTATATATGAGTATATATAATCTGCATACGTGACGAGTATGTTACGTATATAGATACAATATGTTGTTAATTGTATATTCGTTACATTTACTTAATATCTGTATTCTGTACAATCAATGTATAATCCATACAACATATATTAATGTAAATATATAGCTAATGCGGACGTATGGTACATATATTGCACATATAATGCGTGTAACGATTTATATACAGGTCATATACAATATATATATGATATATATATGATATATATATACAGTATATAGCTTAATACATATAGTTTAGAACTACGTTAGCATTAATATCATTAATAGATTTAATGTGGATTTAAGATGTTAAAATGGCTCCTTAGGGCATATCTTTTGCAAATAAAGTTGAATTTGACTAGATATCGGATTTTGTCTTTTATTTTGGATACTAGTTTTTTTAATTATTAAATTATTTTTTCAAATAAAATGTAGTAGTATTTTCCTTATTAGAATAAATTGATGTTTAGAGGGTATTCTATATAAATTTTAGAAAAAAGTTTTGGAATAAAAGCATAATCTTACATAAGAAAATGTTTTTTCAAAAAATATCTCTTTCAAAAAACATTTTCTAGATATTATAACGTTATTGAATATAATACCCATTGAAGATTTAGAAAGTACATTGATACTGTTAGAGAAATAACTTATAATTTGATTATTTTAGAACAATAATGTAGAATTGTTTAATAATTTGTAGTTATAATGAATGACCGATGATTGTAGAATGGTGTTTCTAAATGGTTCTAGATTGATATCTTTTCAATGATTATTAGTGTTTTTTCGATAGTATAACAGTCAGTGATTATCTTGATTCAATAACGTTTTCTTGTTTCTTAATTCCGAAGTGCTTTTAAACGATGCCGCATGTGTTCTAAAGATGTTTCTTCTTGGTCAGTTTCTTCAACCGTATTAATTTGAGTAGTAGGCGCTGGTTCTATTGAGCCCAATAGCCCGTCTGTGATTTCAAATAGTATTTGATCTATTTGCTTTGTTTCAACTGTATCTTGGTCTAAATCTTCCATATCGAGTGCATCTGATACCATTTCTTCAAAAATCCCTGCCTAGTTAGCTTTAATAGACATTTTTAAAATGAGTGTTTATTTTGTATACTTTCATCATTTCTTTGCTGATTGCCATCATAGTTTCATTAAGTTCAGGTAAACGTATTAGTTTATTTACATCTTTTATCATGATTGTACTTTTTTGTAGTATTCCTGCAATCTTAAGTGTTGCTAGTTGTTCATCTAATTGCATATTTAAGCTATTAAGAAGTGCCTTACTATATTCGAGTCGAGAGCGTTGTTTTTTTGCTCGAATAAGTTCTTTTGTTAGCAATCGACATGATACCTGTGTTGTATGAGAAGACCCTTCACTGGCATACTTTTTAATAGATTGTTTTGTCTTGTTTTCCTGAATAGATAATTGGGAAAGTTGCCGATCAATATTACGACATTCTGATCTTAATTTTCTTTGCCATTCTCTTACCTGAATACGAAAAATTAGTTAGCACTAAGAAATAGATGATTGTGATCATTCAACTAACTTGTTCCTGAAGTGGTCTTCCTATAAAAAGACGGCGAAGAACCTCCATATATATTAAGACATTAAATAGAAACTTTGATTATAAGAGTGAAGATATTGTAAAAATTAATGTATATTAGTTAAAATTTGTAGTTTTACACTTTAGTTTTTGTTTTTTTTTTAAAAAAAAAATGAAAAATATAACAGTAAATAAATAATTTATTTTTACAATTTTAAGTTTAAATACATGAAAATATGTAATGAAAAAATATTATCTATAAAAAATAAAATTTTTTTGGATATATATTAATATAATCTTACTGTTAGTGTGCCTTTAGTTAATAAACGACAATATATGATCCAGTGATTTTTTTCCTGTTCTTAATCCTGTTTATTTGGAACATCGTTTACAACAATAAAATGATAAATGAAAATTAAAAATATGGCTATGATTCCCATTGCGATAGAAAGTGTATATGTTTGACTATCATTAATCATTCCAGAAAATGTGTTTAGTGCAAATTATTAGTTTTGTAATATAAAATGAGTATCTGATTATGTTTTTTAAGAAAAACGGTAGTCTGGATCAATTCGTTGAACGATATGGATTAAGATGGATTATAAATATTTCTAATTTATGTATAATAATAAAATGTTTCTGATAATTATAAAATATCTATTTTTATTGATGTTTTTATATGATTTGAAATATCATAAAGAATATTTTGATTTTGTATAAATGTTTATAGATATAGATTTTTAGATATTGAAATTTTTGTTTTTATAAATTATGACATGTTTAATTTCTCAGAAGAATAAATTAGCTGTTATATTTAATATAAGAATTGATTAAAGGTGTGTTGCAGGAACAAATAAGGAAAATTATGTAATTTTGCATTTAAAGTTTGTTAAAACTATCTAAAAAATGGTTTATTGACTTTTGAAATGTTCTTTTTGTTTAAGATTCCATTTTATATGAAAAATGATATGATTAAAATTTATATTTTGAGATCTATGGATTTAGTATATTGATTTTTATGTTAGAAAAGATAATATGTGGTATTAATGTTTAATGAAAAAATAACGAATTGTATAATTATTGATTAATTTTACTTTGTTTTCAAAATCGAAAAAATTATTTAATGCTCAAAAGGTTATATATTGAAAGACGAAGTTATTAATATGTAATTAAAAAATTTATAATGTACCTATTATGAAGATATAATAAAACTAGGAATTATTGTTGTTTGAATTTTTTCTGTATTTTGTATAAATATATTGATTTGATGTCTTTTTAAAGTTTATTATGATTTAATGCTGAACGTTAAATAGTTTTTAATGAAATGAATAGATTAAATATTGATATTATTTTTTAATAATTAATTTTTAATATATATTTGAAAATGTATTTAAAAACAATGATTTAAATCTTTTAAATTAAAAATAATAGTAAATTTAATTAAAATATTTCTTTCTTATAAAAAGTGTTTTACTTTTAGTTTTTAAAAGAAACTAATAATTATAAAATATATTATTTTTCGAAACATATATAAAATCTACTTTGTATTTTTTGTATTAAAAAGTAAATTTTGAATATTTTAAAATAATTGATAAATTATTGATCGAAATGATTTATGCAAATTAAAAAAAATGATTCATTTATTATTGTTATATATAATATATAGTAATATAATAATATAATAGTAGCAATTTTTGTTTAATGTGCTTCTTTTTTTTTGGAGTTGAAGATTTTAGCACTAAAGTTCAAGGTATATTATAAAATTTTAAAATATTTAATGATCTTTCTAGGATACGAAAATTTATTTGTTTATTGCCCTATATGTCATAATATATCTGGTAAAAAATCAATGTAATAGAATATGGATATATTACTGATAAGTTGTTTCAGTTACTCCTATTAATGAAAAAAAGTTCATTACAATTTGTTTTATTCCTTTGATACCATATAGTTGGGGAAAGGTATGTTTTGTATGAAACATATTGATTGAATGAATCTAAATAGATGTTTTTGTAGGTTATGCGATGTTATATATGCTCTTGGTTTCAAAATACAGATGATGCTGAAATACAAAGAATCTCAATTATGAAATATCAAACCCCTAGTCCACATAATTATGCTTAACAATAATTAAAATGATTATTAAACAAATTTTACGATGTTTGTAAAGTATCAGTAGATTTAGTGAGATTATACACTATGAATGATGTTTTTATTATATTATATAAATGCAATAACTTTGTTAAATTATATTACAATAAGTTTTTGAATTGTGTAATTATATTATTTTATTTTTAAAAGATAAATTTTTATTGTAAAATATTTCTTTAGCAGTATAAAACAGTATATAAAGAATAAACGTTAAATTGTTTATCGAACATCTTATAAAAATTTTATTCCAAAAATTTATTCAATTGAAACAGAATTTTGGTTTTTCATATAATAAACATTCTCTATTTCGTAGTTATTACTTGTTGATGAGTTTGAAACATGAAAAAGGAAGATCTGTAAAATATCAGAAATTAGAATCTTCATATAATCCTTTAGAAAATGCTTGCTATATATTTGATAATGGTGGTTTTCGAATATAATATAATAAATATTGATTTTATTTTAGGATTAAGGAAGGTGGTTCCTTATTTTTTCAATTATAAAACATTTGCTAAAGAAAGGTGGAGAGGCCGTACTATATATGATATTTTTTCTACAGAGTTTCGAGATCGAACACCGCAATATTATGTATTTTTATATTTATGTTGATTAATATTTTTATTCGTGGTCTAGGAGCAGGAAATTAAGGGTGGTCGTGTGATGGTAAATGGGCATGTTGCTACATTTGAACAAATAATAAAAGATGGAGATGTTATAGAACATCTTAGTCATAGACACGAACCACCTGTAACTCATAAGAATATTGATATTATTTATCAAGATGACGATATTGTTGTAATAAATAAGCCTTCTGGAATTCCCGTAATATTTTTTATTTATTTTTACTTTTTTTATTAAAATTGTTTAGGTTCATCCTGCTGGACGATATCGACATAATTCTATTACACATATTATGATGGCAGAAATGGGTTTTTCTAGTCTTGCTCGTATTTTTGATCGTTTTTTTTTCGTTTCTAATAATAAATAGCATGTAATAGACTTGATAGGCTTACTTCTGGATTAATGATTTTGGCTCGTAATGTACGTATTGCAGATGAAATGCGTAAAAAGATGTATGATAGACGTATTTTAAAGGAATATATATGTAAAGTGCATGGTTTATTTCCTGAGTATTAAATATCTTGTTTTGATTGTTTTTATTAATTACCTAAGAGGGGAGATAATATGTACAGAACCTCTTTTAACAATATCGCCAAAGCTTGGATTAAATAGAGTTCATCCAAATGGAAAATCATCTAAATCTATTTTTAGGCGATTAAATTATGATGGAAAAAACAGCATTGTTCATTGTATGTGTATATTTATTTTATTTTTATTTAATATATAATAACTAGGTCAACCTTTAACCGGGAGAACACATCAGCTTCGAGTCCATTTGCAGTGGTTAGGTAACCCTATACTGAATGATCCAATTTATGCAAATATGAAGATTTGGGGATCAGATATGGGTAAAAAAGGTAGTTTTATGTTAAATGATGATGAGTTGATTTCTTCATTAACAAAAATGGGGAAAACAGAAACAGCTTCCTGGTATATGGATGAAATAGAAGAAGCAGAAAAAAGAAGGGAATCTAGGCTTGGTGAACTTTTAACTGGTGAAGTATGCAATATTTGTCAAGCACCATTATATTCTGATCCCTCACAAAATGATTTAAAAATTTATTTACATGCTTGGAAATATAAATCTGATGATAATTCATGGTGTTTTGAAACTGAATTGCCAGATTGGGCAAATACAGACTTTATAAAAACATAGATTATTTTTGTATAAAAAATATATAATTATTATAATTATGTTTGAGTATAACGTAAAACTTAAATATGTATAAAAATGTTAAATGGTGTTATAATAAAATGGCGGATACTATTCCACTTCTTAAATTTTCATATGGTTTAAAAGAACAGTCTCATCAGTATGTTAATGTTGATTCTTGTATAAATTTGGAAAATAATTTAAATCAAAATTCCAATATATTTTCATCTCATTCTATTAAGGCAAAGAAAGATTTATTAAAAAATGTATGGGGCAATCTTGTTTTTATAATGTTATGGTAGGCTTCTCTGTCTTTATTTTTATTTAATAAACTGTTTTTAAGGTTTATTTTTTCAATAATATTATCTTTGTATAATAAATGGATGTATTCGGAAAAATATTTTAATTTTAAATTTCCTTTATTTTCTGCATGTTTGTTTTTAATTATTTATGATATGGTTGTTGATTTTATTCTAGGTGTACATATTTTGATTGAATTTTGTGTTTCTATAGTTATTATGAGATTATTTCCTCAATATCAACCTGTAAATAAAGGTTTTGAGATGAAGGATCACTTGTTTTATTTACTTCTTTTTAAAAGTATTCTTATATTTTTAGAATGAAAATTATTCCATGTGGTATGGCTACAAGTTTGGAAATTGGACTTTCAAATATTTCTCTTAGAACAATAACTTTGTCGTTTTATAGTAATCTCCCTAAATATATGTAGTACTTTTTTACAGTTTTGAAAGCAATGTGTAAGTCATCGTCTCTTGGATTTGTTTTGTTATTTGCTTTTATTTTTGGACTTGAAAAAATAAGCATATCTCTTATTATTATTATTATTATTATTACAGTAGGTGTTGTTATGATGGCTTCAACACAAATAGAATTTGTTTTTGAAGGGTATATAGTAATTTTTCAATATAAGAAAATAAATAAAAATAGATTCTTTATGGCTATTACGGCATCTGCCTTTGGAGGGCTTAAATGGTCACTTGTTCAGCTGATGTCTTTGGCTGATTCAATTTCTTTCAATCCGTTTTCATTTATATATTTCCTTTCTCCATCTATTTTTTTTACTTTGATGCTTATGTCACTATTAGTAGAAGGATTAATGAACATAGTATATTCGCCTTTTTGGGACTATGGTATTAATGCTATAATAATTTTAGTATTTCCAGGAATCATTGCTTTTTTTATGATTATAAGTGAATTTTGGTAAGTTGATTGCTTTTTTTTTCATAAATTAATCTATAATAGGTTAATTAAGAGAACTAGTGTTTTAACACTTTCAGTTGCGGGTATGAAATGAAATATTTGCAAATATTTGTTTTATATGTTTAGGAATATGTAAAGAAGTTATTACAATGGGAGCATCTGCTATCTTTTTTAAAGATCGTCTTACTTTTATAAATATTATAGGTTTTTTTATAACGCTTACTGGAATTATATTATATAATTTTTTAAAATATTATTCATTAAAAGAAATAGAGTCTCCTAGAAAATTAAATAGAAAGACAACGCCCTTAATTAATACTGATGAATTATTTCCTTTGGAACCATATGACGATATAGAGGATTTTTCAAAAAGATAGTTTTTTAGATTTAAATAATTTATCTATTTTAATTGAATATCTAGGATTTTGGAATAATTAGAATGGTATTATTTGTTAATCTGCTTATTTACATAGAAGTTTCATAATACTGTTTTTATATTTTAATAAAAAAGTTATCGTTTTATTGTTTTTACTTTTTTTTTACTTATCCTTCCACTTTGTATTTTTTCTTGTTCATACCTGCTTGCTCTTTTCTTTTGTTCTAGTTTTTCTTGATGGATAGATACTGCTCTAATTTCTGTATTTGCTTTACGTAGTTTTACTGGATGAGACCCAATATATTTACCTAAAATGAATATTTTATATTTATGCAAAAAGATTTTTCCTTACCATTCATTTCTCTCCATGCTCTTACAAATTCATCCGGATCCTTAAATGCAACGAATCCGTAACCTTTACTTTTCCCTGTTTTTTTATCCCTAATAACTTTTGCTTTGCTAAGACTTCTATAATGTTGAAAAGCCTTAAACAGTGTTTCATCTGAAACTTCTCCACCAAGATCTCCAGCAAAGAGTCTAAAGTGTGCTGGGTTCCATTCAAGAAGACTTGGATCTTCCCATACAGTTCCTCCTCCTTCACGTAACACTGTAATCCGTTTTTCTTTTCCTTGCCACCGTGCTTGATTACGAAGTTTTGCATTTTCTCTATTTTCTGAGGAGTATATAGACTGTTGTTCTGCAATTGCAGCTTCTTCTGCTGTCATAAGAAAGCCTAGTTGACCTATTATTTATGAGATTTTTGATTTTCATTTTCAGAACAAACCAGGTCGTTGAAAGGGATTATGTATTTGAGGAGCCACTGGATACATTTGTGTTGGTAGTTTTTGTCCATAATACAAATAAGATGAGTTGTAGGAAGTCATGATAAGTTATTATTGTTCTGAAATTTTTGACGTAGTTGATAAATCGGTTAATCGAATGAATGATTTTGTACTTTTTTAAAAAAGAAAAATTATGGAAATTGATGAATTATTTAAAGTAACTAATATGTATTTTCTTTTTTTGTTTAATAAATTTTTAGAAACCTGAATTTATTCCAAAAAAACGCAAAATTACACCTGTTAATCCATTAGAAACATTTAAAAAAAATCAAGACATTTACGTTGGAGAAAATAATCAAAAAAATGGTTCATTTACTACTGCTTCTGAAAATTCTGTGTTCTCTGGAGTGGAGGAGGATGATGAACGATTTTTCGGTGGTGGTTTAACAAAAACACAGGAAGATATTTTAGATCTCATGGACGAAAACGATAAAAATGATTTTGTTGGGGTATGAAATGATATTATTATGGAAATAAGATTTAAAATATGTAAGCCTGAAATAGTAGATGCTTCTCTTCTTAAGAAATTAGTTCTTAAGCTTGAAAGAGGAATTACAAAAAATCAAGAGTTACGAATTAAGTATTCAGAAAATCCTGAAAAGTGATAATATTATTTTTAAGTTATATATTGATTAATAGAAATAGATTTCTTTTATCTGAAGCTGATTTGGATTCTGATATTAAGGCTCTTTCTGTATTTTCTAGTTATCCAGAATTATATCCTGAAATGATACGTTTAAGATGTTTTGATTCATTGATTAGTCTTCTGTCTCATGAGAATGCTGATATCGCTATAGCAGTATTAGAACTTTTTGATGAATTAATAGATGATGATATTGATTATGATCAAAATCAAATGAAATCTTTGATTAATACTTTGGTATATTAGAATATAAAAAATGTATTTTTTAATTGTTTAAGATTGAATCGCAATTATTAAAAGCTTTGATGGATAATATTTCTCGTCTAAATGAGTCTAATGAATTAGATAAGCGTGGTGTATATTATACTTTGAGTATTTCGAATGTTTTTATTTGTTAAAATTAATTAGTTAATAGGTATTTTTGAGAACATTTCTTCATTTTCGCCTATTTTTTCTGAAAATGCAGTTTCTTCCACAAATATTTTGGATTGGCTGCTTAAAAGACTTCAAATAAAAGAGTTTCCTATTTCTCAAAATAAACAATATGTTGCAGAATTATTAGCTATTTATATATCATCGAGTTCCTTTATACGAAAAAAATTTATTAATTTAAATGGTGTTGATATATTGTTACATGTTCTTAGTCCTTATCGTAAAAGAGACCCTGTTAAAGATATTGAAGAAGAATTTGTGGAAAATATTTTTGACTGTTTATGTTCTCTTTTACAAGAGCAGGAAGGGAAAGAAAAGTTCGTTGAAGCAGAGGGTATTGAATTATGTTTAATAATGTTAAGGTATATAAATATATTATATATATATATATATAATCATTTTTTAAATATATTAGAGATGGAAAATTCTGTAAATACCGTAGTTTAAAAGTTTTAGATCATGCTCTTTGTGGATTACATGGTATAACTTGTTGTGAAAGGCTTGTTGAGGCTGCTGGATTAAGAAGTATTTTTTCTATTTTTATGAAAAAGGTTCTAAATAAGATTAATGACTAAAAAAGTAACCGTTTTAGGTTTCATTTAAAGCTATAGAATATCTATTAGGAATATTTTCCTCTCTTCTACGATCATTACCTATAGATTCTGCATCACGTATTCGGATATTGGCTAAATTTGTAGAAAAAGATTATGAAAAGATATCACGGATTATAGAGTTAAGAAGATTTTATGAAGCTCGTGTTGATTCTACTAATGAAAAAATAAAGAAAGAACTTGAAAGATTAAATCAAAATGAAAGAGAAGAAAAAGAATCTGAAATTTATATTGATCTTTTAGATTCTGGGCTTTATTGTTTGCAAGCAATAGATTTGATTTTAGCATGGTTATGTGTAGAAGATTTAGGAGTAAAAAAAAAAGTTTTGGAATTATTGAAAACATATGGCAAAGATATTTCTTCTATTAAGACAGTTCTTCAGGGTAAACATAATACTTCAGAATATTATTTTTAATTAACAATAGAATATATAAATAATATGAGCGTTGATGATATTGAAAGTGACAAATTGCAGAATATTGAAGATGGAAAAGAAATAGCGAAAACATTATTAGAGCTTTTATAGAAGCATATGCATTGTTATAAGATTGCTTTTTAAAATAGTAAACACAATTGTAAATGTTAAATAGTTTTATATTTTTTTGTTGAATTTATTATTCTAATTTATATCTAAAAATATTCTAAAAAATTAAGATAACTAAATAAAGTATTGTTATAGATTTGATTCTGGTTTATAAATATTTTCCAAATTTTTAATTTCTATGGATTTTATTTTTTAAAATTTTTTTCTAATTTTTCCTCACTTATAGTATTAGCAATATAATTACAAATTGTTTTTTATTTATATTATTTATGTTATTCTCCTTAGTTAATAATATATTCATTTAAAATGCATTTAAAATAATAGATTTTTATTTACTTGATGAAAATTTGATTTGTATTTATGTCTTTGATTATTTTAGCTATTATCTATCGGTTTAGCGTGATTTTTAATTGATTCTACGCGTCTTATTGATCGCGAACGTGACGCGATATTTTAATATAAACTCATCGCTGCTTCGGTTATTGTTAAAAAACCTCTATACGGTGAATAAAGGCGATAAACTGCTGAATAGCAGATATAGGACAAGCTGTTAATGGTAATTGGTATACAGGAGGGAGTCCAGTTTCTGCCAGAGGTTGTTGAGGGGTTGAAAGCAGAGAAATGGCCGTTGGGAGAAATATCTCAAAATATTGAGCTGCAAGGAACAACAAAAGTAGGAATAAATGGGCAAGATATTTCTTCATTAGAAAAGAATGGAGGTCGAGGAGCAAAGAGGACGCATACAGAATCTGAAAAGCGAGAAGTTTTGGGGGAAAAAGTGTGGCCAGTTGATGTAGAAGAAGCGTTTATGGACGGTGCGTGTTTATGGAAGGATATAAGGATTTATATTGATTTTGGGTAGCGATTGCGCGTATTCCTAAGTTAGGACGGCGTAAAATTGTTGTTGGGTCGAAACCGTGTGGTAGAAATGAGTTGATTGCTGATTATATTTATCGTCGTACTGGAAAAATACGTACCCGAAAACAGGTTTCAAGTCATATTCAGGTGTTAAAGCATCTTCGTCGAGAAGATCCTGAATGTAAAGCTGATGGTCGAATTTATGTGTATTGATGTTTTTAGTTTTAAAGATGGTTTCTGATACACCATGTCTTTCTCCTGAAAAGACGAAAACGAACACATCTTTTCTTTCTCCATCAAGTCCACCTTTTACTCAGCTTAATTCATCAGTGTCTTACCAACGTTCGAATGCATTTGATTTTTCACAAACATTGCATAGTAATTCTTTGATGTCAGATATATCTAAATATTCTTATTTTCGCATTTTGGAGTTTTCGATTTGGAAAACAACGTTTGCCTCCGAGCATGTTTATTCTCGATTAAAAGATTCTTCCTTTTCTACATCTGTTTTTCTTGATTCTTTGCCTAACTGGACTGTTCGATTTCCTTTTTTAGTTGAAGTTCTTCTTTCATCTAATGGTATCACTTGTCCGGTTTATCATGTTACTTCAACGCTTTCGATACCACCTCATATAGATAATGAAAAAAGTGCTTTTCAGGCTCATTTTGTTCTGGCAAAACCGCCTACAGTACATGATGAAACATGGGGATGTGTAATACGTATTTATACGATGAGTCAATGCATATTGGAACTTAAACAGAAAGCATTAGTGAACAATGATACAATTATTCTTCCTTTCGCTATTGATTTTTGGGCTACATTTCTTTCTGGATTAAACACATTGTCTACTGGTTGTCATTCAACAAGCACTCCTCTTAATGCTGAGAAATTAAAATGTAAGAAAGAGTGGGAAATTCATGTAGCTGTCAAAGGCATTACTGTTGTTTTTGAGGTGTTACGTTTTACGAATTCTTCTTCTCGGATGGCACTTCTTGCTTGGGAATTCGAGACAGTGTTTTCTGATGCTGGAATTACTATTTGTCGGGAAGTCGTTTTTGATCATTTTCCTTATAGTCCGTCTCATAATGAACAATTATTTACACCTTCAACTAACTATGAACAATCTACGACACCTTGTATGAATTTTCATTCGAGTCCTCTTAGTATGTATAGTACAAATTGTCCGATGCCGATTTCTAATTATTTATCTCCTCCTTCTATCTTACGATCAGCAAATATTTCCGTTTTGTTTGATAATCTTCAGCAGTATACACCCTCACAGACATCTGATATTACAAATACTTTATCATTTGTTGCATCTGAGTCTTATAGCTCTCAAGATAGGTTTTTAGCAAGTTCGGCTTCAGAAAATGAAACAGTAAGTGCTTGGCAAACTGAAAGTCTTCCTAAGCTTGGATTTTTTCCTACAAATACCAATAGTGTTTCGACGTTTGATAGTTCTGAAAATTTAAAAAAAAATGATTCTATATAATAATGATGTGTGTTTCGGGATGTGTTTAGATACATTTTGCGGCAATATTATTTTTGGTTATAGAAGAATAGATCTAATTAAAGGCAATAGCTTCTGTAAATAGAATGCATATTATTTATTGAATTTATTAATTTTTAGTACTGTTTTATTCTTAATATATTTTTATTCTCGTTTTTTAGGTTTTATGAGTATATGGAATAAATATTGTTCTAATATAAAAATGCTTAAGTTTTTTATTTAAACATTAAAATATATAGGAAAATGTTAATTAGATAAAATGGTAATAGAATATTTAATGAACTATTTACTAAGATATAGTTGTGTGTTTGTGCGTGTGTGTTTTATATTCTTATTTTGAATATATATTTTTATTTTTTAATAAATTTTACATTTTTAAAATATTACGTATATATTTATTATCTTTATCTCCTTTTTTTAAAGATAATCTTTGAAATTTGTTATCGTAAAAATTAATATTTTATTAATTTTTAGAATTTTATTTTGTATTATATATTTATATATTTAAAAATGAATAAGTTTATAATTTTTATTTATTTATATGAATTTGAAATGTTTGCTTTTCGTAAACATTTTATATATAATTAAATATTAACTGTCATTTAGTTTTTGTTTATGATAGTAATGTAAATGCATTTGTTATTCAGGATTTGCATATTAATTATAGCATTTATTAGAGGAATTGTAGGTACTGGAAGTCTTGGATTTTCTCTCAGTACTAGAAAATTGGACGGAAAATGCAAAAGTACGGATGATTATGTAAGCGATATTTTATTGATAAAGGATTATTCACAATATATTCGTGTTTTTTCAGTTAGTGATTGCAATTGTATGCAAGAAATTATGCCTGCTGTAGTTTCAGAAAAAATAAAAATTATTCTTGGAATTTGGCCTGGCGGTATTAATACTCAGCAATTTGAAATTGAACAAGAGGTTTTGAGAAAATATTTGTCTAAATATTCCTCTTATGTTTATGCAATTACCGTAGGGTCAGAAGTTCTTTATCGCAATGACTATTCAGATGATGTTTTAGCTGACCAAATTACGACTGTTCAGAAATTATTAAAGGAATTGGGACTTAGTAATATTAAAGTTGGCACTGCGGATACTTGGAACGTTTTCGCATCTGATATTGCTAATAGTGCTATTAAGGCTTCAAATATTATTTTTCTCAATTTATTTCCATATTGGCAAGGAATGGCAATAGAGGACTCTCCTATTACATTCTTTAGTGGTGTTTCTCGTGCTATGGAAGTTTCTAGGATAATAAACAATAATCTTGAGGTGTGGGTTGGTGAAACAGGATGGCCTACAGGTGGGATTTCTTATGGGAATTCATTACCAAGTGTAGAAAATGCTGCTTATTATTGGGAAAATGTTATTTGCCCGTCTTTATATAATGGCCTTAATGTTATTGTTTTTGAGTTAACAGATGAGCCATGGAAGGGCGATGCTGTTGGGTTAACTGGTCAAAGTTCAGATGTTGAAAAATTTTGGGGTGTTTTTGATATTAGGAAAAAAAAAAAGTATAATTTAGAGTGTCCTAAAGGTATCATAGTTTAATATTCTATTTACTAAGTATGTTGAAAACTAATATTTATAAAGAATCTGAAAAAAATATACCTTCTATTAATAGTGTAGTTAAGATTTCATCGGATTCTGATTCTAATGATTTTATTGGTTCTAAGGATGACTCTGCTGATTTTGATTCAAAGGATGACTCTGTTGATTCTGAGAATGAATCTAACGATACTGATAATAATTTGATTCCTGATTCTGATACTGATCAAGTACCTCAAGATACAGATGATATAAATATATCGTCTCGTGAATCCTTTATTCTTAAAAATAATATATTTTGCATTAGTTTTATTTTATTTATTTTTATGATTATTTTTTATCAATTTTATTAGGATGTGGTTAGCTTTTGTTTAGGAAGTTACTGAATGTTTTGTTTATAGAGTTATATTGATGAAAATTGAATTATTTATTGTTATACGCATGTAGGAAAATTAAAATTTCATTTTTGAACTTTATCGAAATATTTTTATTGAATATGAAATAAATAAATTATAAAATTATTTATCTAAGAGCTATTTTTGTCATGTTTTAATTACTTATTGATGGGTGTGAAATATCTTATATCGTTTATTCGTCGTTTTTCTCCAAGTTCTATTAAGAAAGTTAGCGAGAAAGAATTAAGATATAAAACGTTGGCAATTGATGGCACATTGCTTCTTCGTCGTGGATTTGCTTCTCCTTGGATTTCTACAGTGGATAAATGCCCTCATGTTGTTTGGGCGCTTTATCTTGCAAGGATTTGTAGATTTTATAAAGTGACTCCAATTATTGTATTTGATGGACGATATTCTGCTCCTGCAAAAACAAATGAAAAGATTAGAAGGATGCATATTAAAGAAAATAATAGAAGGCTTCTTGTAGAAAAAACAAGACAAGCTGCTCGTTTGAAAAAATTATTAAAAATTGCGTATCAAATTTCAGAATTAAATATAAATGATAAAAATTTTATTAATTTATTTTTAAAGAAAGCAATTCAAGCATATAATGGCTTTAAATATGATTTACACGATTCTGTATGTTTAAAATAAATATATATATTTTTTTTAATAAAACTTAATTTATATAGAATTTTTATCAAGACAATTTAAAAATGGAGTTGCAAACATGGATAAGAGATGAGCTTTTTGTGTGTAAAAATGAAAATTTTATATTAGAGAAGCTCATAAATCAAATAATTGACTATATTTATGATATTTTTTCAGATTTTACACCTGAATTAATGTCTGAATTTTCTATATTAGATAATTTATTAGACCCATATGCTAAAGACATGCTTAAGCATGACTTGGAAAAACGTCAAATATCTATAAATAAGTTTATTCAGAAATTATCTCGTCGCTTATCTTCTCCAACATGGGAACAAATTAATCAAACAAAAACTATTTTTGAAATTCTTGGAATAACAGTTTTAACCTCTCCCCCTGGTTATGAAGCAGAAGCCGTTGCAAGTTCTTTAGTTAATAGCGGTATTTTTGTTTTTTTATATTTTTTTGTATATTTAATATTTTAGGAATAGCTGATTTTGTTGTAACAGAGGATACTGATGTTTTAGTGTTAAATGCAAAAATGCTTCGAGGTTTTATGTCAATGAGAGGGTTGGCTAATAAAAATAGCGAAAATTCTTTTTTCCCTCCAAATATGTTTATGATTGATCCTATTGATGTCCGATTGAATTTGGATAATATTTCTTTAGATTCGTTCATTGATTTCGCGATATTATGCGGAACAGATTTTTGCAATACAATACATGGATTAGGATGTTATGGAGCTTTTTTTCTTATTCAAAAATATCAAAATATAGAATTAGTTTTGGAAAATCTTTCTGAATTTAAGACAAAGTCCGGAAGACAAAAATACATTGCTCCAGAAAATTATATTCAAGAAGTTCAAGTTGCTAGAAAGGTATTTAAATGTATCCCACATACTCGTTTTTATGATTCTAAATTGACTGTTCCTGATGTTCCTTGGTTTAATATCACAGAAAACGATTGGAAAATGCTTGAAAATAATGTTATTAAGGAATATAAATTGGATCAATTTGAGCCATGATTCTTATCGCCTTCTAAAACTTCTTTTTTTATAAATAAAATAAAAGACGATCAGATATTAAAAAATACATGTGGAAAGCCATTATGTTATTAGTATCCTTAACTATGTGTTTTGATTTTGTTATAAACGTATTAGTCGTTCTGAATAAAACTGTCAAGTAAAAGTAAATGCATTAAATGGAATTATCGCATTAAATAATGATTTATATTGCTGTGATAGTAAGTTAAATTGTATTTTTTGTTGCAGATAAGCTTTACATATAAATTCAAAAAAATGCTCCAAGAAATGATACATTTTCTTATAATTTATAAGAAGGAACTAAAATGAATAATAAAGATATTGCTATTGCTGTAACTCCGATTAATAGTAGTACCCATAAAGCTCTTTTTAGTAATAGTTTTTTGACATATGGTTCTCGTATGCGCATATATGATAAAAAGGTTGTTTCTGATAATCCAATAATGACTAGAATGGGATCAAGAAAATATTGATGTGCATAAAGACAGTATATTCCTATTAAAAATGGTATGAATACCCATGTTCGTTTGCTTCTTGTTGCACCAAGGAAAATTAAAGTAAAACCCGCCCAAAGTCCTGCAAATAGAGATAAAAGACCTAAAAGTAGTCGAAGGAGACTGCTTAATGGAATGATATTTCCTAGGGCTTTGGCCTGCAAAAAACCCGGGTATGCATCACGTTCCATGGCCTGAAATACATAATCTCTTGCTTCGTCAAAAACTTCTGGATCATCTCTTCCATCTACTTCTATTGCAGTTGCAATTCCTCGAAGAATATGAGAAGGAAGCGCTACTTCTCTTTCTGCACCTTGAATTAAGTATGCATAAAGTACTCTTTCTGCAGATGCACGAATATCCTTACGGTTGATAGTTTGTGTCACTTCTGATGAATTATGGGACTCTTCTGATGAAATGCAAGATTCTCTATTGCGTCCTTTATTAGTGCTATTACGATTATTATTTAATTCAGCGTTTATTGGTCCATAGTTGTGAAGATTTGATGCTACAATATGAACATCGATATCTTTATCTGAACACATAGTAGAACGTAAATAATCCCCTTCTTCTCCTTCTTTGAAATTCTTTAGTTTTTCTTTTGTATTTTTATCAAATTCGTTTGGTGTTGAAACAAGAATAGATCTTCGTAGTTCCCGCACATATAGGCGACATAATGATGTATGTTGCATAATGTCTAACCATAAATCAAGGTCTATTACAACTATTTGTCAGTTTTATTTAAACATGTATTTTTGTGCGCATACAATCGACACTTTGTGCCTGGTCTCTCATATAGATGTAAAAATTGAACAGATCAACTGGTGGTTCTGCTCTTCGAGAAAGAACTTCATGCAATGTAGGTAACCTATCTCTAAAGTCTTTACATGACATAGTAAAAATTTTTTTATTCTAAAGAATATTTGTTAAATTTTTTTGTTACTATAATTTCATTATTTTAGATTTATCAAAATTTATGGTTACTATGGTTACGTTTTATTTTTAATGTGTAATAATAAAATGTGAAGATAATATTTTTAAATAGATTAGAAAATCAATATTTTTATAGAAACTGCATTTTCTATTTTTAAATGGATGTATATTGTTATTTTATTTATATTTACTTTTTGATACTGTAATGTTTACAAGTATTTTTTAATTTAATGTTTGAAATTTAATTTTAAATTTTATAATATAATATATTAGTGGTATTAAATTTATTCGAATATTATTGAAATATTTTTACTATAGTCTTTTATAATCTTGTTATATAGTTATATTAGAATAATTATTATAAATGAATACCTAATATTTAAATGTTATGTATTTTAATTAAAATAGCTTATATAATTAGAATAATTATAAATATACGATAAAGGCTTTAGGAAATGTATATGAAATATAAAGAATATTTATTTTTTTAAAATAATCACCTATATATTTCAGGATATTTTGGATAATTTAAGTAAATATATTAAACATTATAGTTCTATTTATTCATTATAAAAATTATTTTCTATTCCTGTGCTTGATAACATCTATGATTTTTTAGTATAATTAAGTAAAATTTATATTATTATACTCTAAAATCAACAAAACTATATTTCCCCTCTCCCGTCTCAATCATAAACTGCATGCTTAATACTCCATTTTGATCTGTTCTAATGCTTACTTTGATTGCTGAAGACATTGCATGCATTGAATGTCGTATCATGGAAAATTTATAACTATTGAATATTATTTAATTTTTTTAAACAATAAAATAATACCTATTTTCTACAACACTAGAACAAGAAAATGTCTCAATAACATCTTTTTCATTTGTATAATCTATTATTACACTTCCCATAGTACCAACTGAACTCAAGCGTAAGTATGGATATTGTGGTGATGAACGTATTGTAAGTAATTCACTGGAAGTGAATTCTAATTCTTGTATAGCATCATAAAGTGACTCGCTCTAAATATGTTTAAAAAATAATGTAAATATATATATACTTCTACTTTTATAATAATTTTTTGATTTAACATATTGTTTTGTAAAAATATGTCAGTAATATCTTCTTTTTCAAATGTAGTAAGCTCACATGTTGTAACCATTCCACTCTCCTGTATTCTTTAAAGTATTAGACACTTTATTAATATTTGGATAATACATAAAAACAAAAGGATGCCCATCACCAATATAAGATAAATGACAACTACCTCCTACACGTAAAATATTTTGTTGTAATTTTTTATTAAGTATAAAATTTTTTTCTTTTAAGTCATTGTTCATAATGTTAAAACATTCTAGCATAGCTAAAAGTGAAACTGTAAAAAATATTGGTGTATTAGGGCTATTATTATTGTCCATAGATTCTTGACTAGAAGAATTAAAGCGATAAAATGAGAACATACTTTTATCCAGAAAAGCATGGGCTAAAAATTCTTAACTTTTTATTACTATAAATATTTCTTATGACCTTGTAATGAAAGGCTGTCTTCGACTGTCAATTTAAGTCCTTCTGATGATATTCTAACTATACATCTTGGCTTAAATGCAATACATTTTAGCAAAGTAATAATAGGCATGACAGTATCTGTAACTGCTGAAAATATGGGCTCTTTCATTGGTTTATTATTGTACCTTTAAGTTGTTATATCAACACATTTTAGATTTAGATTTAAGACGATAGATATAAATAAAAATAAATTAAATAAATAATAGTCTTAAGTTACATTAAATTATATGTTTGATTTATTTATTAAAGCAAAACTTTAGATATTTTAGTAATTAATATTACACATAAACTCCCAAACTACACATTAGATAAATAGCACTAAATCTATATATATTTAATATGATTTTATTGTTTCTATAGGAGAATTTACCCGAAAAATATGCAAGATATAAAAACATAACTAATTAATTTAGTCATATAAATTTTTTTTGCTGTTTTATATTTTGTTCTAATGAAAAATTAGCATTGATTTATATATTAGTTTTAGAAAGTATCACAGTTTAAATAGTATTGTGAATAAGAATCCTAAGAATAATAAAATAAAAGTTATTTTTTTGTGAAGTTTCATAGGAATTAATGGTAAAAACGTTTCCGCTTTTTCAAAAGCTTCCTAAAATGATGAGTTGAATTAATATTAGAAAGTATTAGAATATGTTTTCTGATATACTTTTGTTTTTTCATATAAATAATCTTTATTTTGACTCATGGTTATTTCAAAAAAATACTTTTTTACTAATATATTTCAATCGATGATCAATTTTAAACTGAAAACTTTAAAAACTTTGAAAAGATAAAAGAAATTATAATGAATAAAAAATATGCCATTGAATAAAGATATTGAAAATACAGTGTTAACATATCCGTTCCCATGTGATGGTTCCTTTGAAATATCTGATATACAAAAATTTATGATCGTTGCACGACATTCATCGTGTTCATACAATGATTGTACTTGTTTAGGATGGAAACCTATTGATAACCCAAATAAAATCATAAAAAGAGAGTGTATAAAATGTGGTCATACTATTTATCAGCATGTTGGTGAAGTAGATATTGAAAGTGATGCAAAAGATGAATTTTTTCGAAAAGTTAAAGTTGCTAATAGATGTGATGAGTTGTTGAACGTAAAATTTTATTTGTATTTGATTTTGTTTTTGATTGTTTTAAAGGAGAATGGCATGTTATTTGATTTTGATTATATAAATGATGATATTAAATCATTAAGAAAGTATAAAATTCTTTATTATTGTATGTTATATTTATTTTTTATAGACAAATGATACTTCCTAGTGATTCACTTGGTTTTAATAGAAGTATTTGAATTAAAAGTAAATAAAAAATTATACGTTTTCTTATTATTTTGTTAGGTTTAAAAAGGGGGTATTCTGTTGATGAATCACTTTCGAGTTTTAAAAAATATAAAAATTTTCAAGAAAATATGAATGACAATGATGCAGAGGTAGATGAAAATGATTCTAGATGTAATTGTTATACGTTTTCTATAAAAGAAAAACCTGTTGTCATTGAAGAACGACAAGGTCTTATTGAATTTCGTGTTGTGAATAATGATAATTCTCGTGATAACCTAATAATACTTACGGGACTTAAAAATATTTTCCAAAAACAACTTCCTAAGATGCCTAGAGAGTATATTGCTAGGTTAATTTATGATCGGAATCATTTGTCTATGGCTATTGTAAAAAAGCCATTAACAGTTGTAGGCGGTATTACTTATCGTCCTTTTTATCATAGAAGATTTGCTGAAATTGTATTTTGTGCAATAACATCTTCTGAACAAGTAAAGGTTTAGTGTTTTGTTTTTAATATATATTGTCTAACGGTAAAGGGTTATGGTTCACATTTAATGAATCATCTTAAGGATTATGTTAAAGGAACTTCTTCAATTATGCATTTTTTAACATATGCAGATAATTATGCTATTGGTTATTTCAAAAAGCAAGGATTTTCTAAAGATATTACATTAGATAAACCTATTTGGATAGGCTATATTAAAGATTATGAAGGTGGAACTATTATGCAATGTACTATGTTGTCAAGAGTACGTTATTTAGAGTCTTCTCAGATGTTAGCTAAACAAAAGTATGCTATTCAAGAGATTATTAGGAAAAAATCTAAATCGCATATTATATATCCTGGATTAGATGTGTTTAAAAAAGGTGCTATTTCAATAGATCCGCTTTCAATTCCTGGTTTAAGTATTTTGTCTTTTTATTCTTAGCATGTGTTTAGTAATTGTTTTAGAAGAAATAGGATGGTCGCCTGAAATGGATGAATTTGCACAAAGACCTAAACGTGCTGTTTTTTTTCTCACTCTTCAACATTTACTTACTGAAATGCAAAATCATCCATCTTCTTGGCCATTTATTCAACCTGTAAATAAGGACGAAGTTCCGGATTATTATGATGTTATAAAAGAGCCTATGGGTAATTTTGAGTTAAATTGTTATATTTTTCTAATTAAATATAGATTTGTCAACCATGGAGTTTAAATTAGAAAATGATCAGTATGATTCTGTAGAAAGTTTTTTGTATGATGCAAAATTAATATTTAATAACTGGTAAACATTTATGATTTTTGAAATTTTTGAATTTAATAATTTAGTCGGTCATATAATAATGAAACAACAACATATTATAAGGTTTTTATTTTTATCAACATAATGTAAAGTTTAATTTTATATAGAATGCTACTAAATTGGAAAAATTTTTAATTTCAAAAATAAAAGAAACTGAGTATAATTATTTTACTTAATTATAAAGATGTATTTTTATATTTATTATTAAACAATTCTATTAGAATTTGAATCATTATATTGAAAAATTTGTGATTTAAAATATTTTATATTTTAGTTTTTGGTAATTTTACTAAATTTGTTTTTTTTTTGTATATAACATTATTGGATTTAAGATATTTTATATAGTTTTACTCATTTAATTGATTCTTAAGAGAATATAAAAATTAATATCATAAGAATGCAATTTCTGTTTATATTTTATTTTAAAATATATTCTAACATTAGTTTTTTTTAGATTTATATTTAATAATTTTATTAATTTTGAGATATTATCTAGGAAAACATATTAATATTTGTAATATTATTTATCAAAAACAAATATGAAATTAAATTTGATATATGATTTGGTTATATACTAATTATTTAAAAATATAATAAAATTAAAAAAATAATAGAAAAAAATAAAATATAAATTTTAAAAATCTTTTAGGCCATTTATAATAAATATATTATGAAAATATATTTAATAAATCAGAAAATATTTATAGATGTTGAAAAAAGTCATATTTGATATATTTTTATGTTAGCTTTAGTATTATATTACCTCGGCTAATATAAAATGTTTAGTTAGTACGCAAAAGCATAAAGTATACATACATATTCTTTGTTTTTCGATTACGCTCTTTTGTTGCTCATTTCGGCTAATTCTGTAATAGTAATCACAATAGTCACTGCAACTCATCATCCTTAAAAAATCTTCATCATGAGTAATAACAATCAATTGAAAATTAGCTTGTTGACGCCGCTGAAGGATAATATTTGCTAAGGATATAGCTAAAGACTGTATATTTTCACGATCAAGGTTAGTTGTTGGTTCATCTAATGCTAAAATACCGCAATTTGTACCAAAGCATTCTGCAAGTGCAAGTCTGATGATAATACTTGCTAAAACTTGATATTTTTAATAAATTATGTGCTACTATTTTCACTTACCTTTTTGACCTGCGCTACATCTTCCTCTCATATCAAGTTCTGTATCGCCTTTTATCATACAGACCTTATATAAATTAGTTTGATTTTCAAAAGTTAAATAGTTTACTCTATAATTATATGATCTATTTTCTTTTAGGTTTTCATTATCTGATCTTATAAGAATTGTATCTACATCTGTTCCACAATATGTTTTTTTCCATAATTCATCAACAATTCTGTTAATTTCTTCCATTTTAAGGCTATGATATTTCATAATTGCACTTAATTATTAGTAAATTATAGCATTTGTGCATTTACACACTTATCCAATGCTTTCCCGTATTTTTGTAGATCGTCATTTACTTTAGCCATTGTGCGTGTTCTTATTAACTGTTTTCTATATTGTTCATGTATATCTTTATATTCTTCTAATTCATTTTCATAGATCTGAAGCTGATTGCTTAACTCTTTAATTTCACCTAATAAACTCGCTCGTTTTGCTACTAATTGCTCATGTATATCCTTTAGTTTAGTACAATTTAACAAATATTGTTCTCTATCTATTTCCGCATTTTTTTTCTCTAAATCCGAAATATTTTCTATAATTTTTGTAATTTCGTTTTCTATTTTCCTACATCTTAAGTTATCAGTAATATTTCTTTCCATGGTTTTTATATCTGAAATTGCTTTTTCAAGGTCGTTAATCTCTTGTGTAATATTAGTGATTTTTTTATCTAAGTCTGTAATTAATTTTTGTATATTGGATATTTTTTCTTTGCATAAATTTAGGTCTTCTTGACTATTTTTGCGTATTTTAAGTTCTGAATTAATATCAATAAGTTGGTTATATTTTTGCTGTAATTCATTAGAATATTCTTGAGCTTGTTCTTCTTCTTTTATTGCTTCTTCTCTAACCTCTTTTAAAGATTTATGAAGCTGAGATATTTGAGGAGAGAGTGTTTTTAAATCTATATCTATTTCCTGAAAATTATTAGAACTAAATTTATTTTAAAGGATTTATTTACATCAATTTCTTTGTTAAATTTAGAAATATCATCTATTATTTTATTTTTTTTATTAACGAGATTGTTTTTTTCTTTTAATTTATATTCAGCTTCGTTTAATTCTATTTGTATATCTTTATATAGAACGTTGTTCTCTGATATTTGGAGTTTACATATTTCTTTTTCAGAACACAAAAGAGATAGTTCGTCGTTTATTTTTTCTTTTTTATATTTAAAGCTTTCAAGTTCAGATTGTAGTTCTTGAAATGTTCTAGAACATCCTAATTCTTGTAAATTTTTTTCAAAATTTTTAAAAGATAATGTCAAATTATCTATTTCTTTTTGACAGTGAATTATTTCTATATTTACTTTTTCTAAGGACTGAAGTTCTTCAAGTGATTTCTTTGTTGTTTCGAGTATTTGAGAATTCTAATAAATTAATAAAGTTTTTGATTTTAATATGATAAATACCTTTTCCAGATAACTTAGTAATTCTTTAATGTCATTCTCAAAATTATTTATTTTAATTTTTTCATTAGGAATTTCTGAATTTTTTAATTTTTGAAAAGTATCAAATATAGTTTTTATATTTTTTAATTTTTCCATATCTTCTTCTAGTTTTTTTAATGATTCTAAAAATTGTTTTTTTTTATTCTGTATATTTTCTATATGTTTTTCTATAGTTTTTTCAAATTCTAAAATTTCCTGATTATTAAAAGATCTCATACATAATATACAAAATTTTTGTTCATGCATTTTCATTTTTGATTCTAGAAAATAATCATTTATATGTTTTAAATTTAGTATGTATCTAAATAATATTAGATAACTATATTTTATGTAAAAAATATAAACTTTGTAATTTCCTCTAATTCTTTTTTTTTAGATTCATATGTTTGTAAAAAATAATCAATTGAATCACATACTTCTAAAATTTGCATTTCATAGAAATTTTTTTGGTTTATTTTATTGTTGAGATTTTCTTTAGCTATATTTATTATATTTTCTGTTTCTGAAAGTTTTTGTTTAGCGATTTCATATTTTTTTTCTAGCTCTTTAAATTCGTTTTTTTTTTTGCTTTATATTGTAAGCGTATTAAGAAATTCAATCTTTCTATAACTCACTTGTATTCGTTTTTTATGAACTGTTCTTCAGCGTTGAAATTTATAATATTTTCAGTTAAATTTTCAATTTTTTTCCTATTTGTTTCAATCCTTTTAAAATAAGACTTAGAAATAAAACTAGTGATTACAATTACAATATATAAAGCATTTTTTTTTTATTATTTAATTCTTCTTTTATAATTTCATATTTTGCCTGAATTTCTATTTTATTGGTTCCTTTGGCTAGCTCTTCATTTAATATAGTAATAACTTCTTCATGAGATCTTAGGTCATTTTGTTTTTGCCTTATTTTTTCGTCCCATTCATTCTTCTGAAATTCTATATTATACTCTTTTATTTTTTTATCTATATTTGTTATCTTAGTCCTTAGTATATTTATACTTGATTCATCTATTGATAGCTCGTCTAAATTGTTTTGAAGAGTTTCAATTTTTTTTTCTGAAAGTCTTATATTTTGTCTCACTGTCGTTTTTTTTTGTTCAAGCATATTTTCTTTAAAAAGAAGTTCTTGAAGTTTTTCATTTAGCTTCCCTTCTTTTTTTCTATTTTCTTTCTTAAGTTTTTTTTAAATAGAAGTAGTATACTTTAAAAGTGAAAAATACCTTTAAATTATCTAACAAATACTTTTGTTCATTGTTTTTTGAAAACATGTCTTTCAAAAGTGCTTCTATTTCTTTTTCACTTGAATTTACGTCATAATTTATAAATTTATGATTTGTAATAACTTCTTTAATTAAACTTTGTTGTTTTAAAACTAATTTTTGAAATATCTATGAATATTAATAATATCTATTTTTGAAAAAAATATATTACTTCTAGTTCTGCTAATAATTTTCCTTCTTCTGACATAGTAGTTCCTAAGTCATTTCTAGAAAATGTTATTTGTTTTTTTAAATTTTCATATTCTTTTTTTTTTAAGTTTATTAATGTTAATGTATCTTCTTTTTTTTTTTTAAAATTTTCAAGCATATTTTCCAATTCTTGGTTGCTTTCTTCGTAATGGGTAATATTATTACCTAAATCATTTAATGTATTTAATAACAGAACTTTTTCATGTTTTAATCTTTCTATTTCAGAAATTACATGTTCAATTTCTTTTCCTGAACGAAGGAGTTCGTCTTGTTCTGAAAGGTTTAATTGTATTTGTATATCAAGTGTGTTTATTTTAGTTTGATTTTTTGTGATTTTTTCTATAATTTCATCTGATAATTTTTTTATTTTATCTGCTTTTTCCTTGTTAGACCTATAGTGTTCTAATGTTATTTCATCAATTTTAATTGTTGTTGTTTGTTCTTTCCTAAGATTTTTTATTTGATCTAAAGCTTTAGTATAACGAAGAGCTTCAAAAATTTCATCAAATCTTTTCTTTAAAACGGCTGGTTCACTAAGGGGCCAATTGCTATCTTCTTGGTGACAAAATATTACATAATCGAGTACAGCTTTGCTAACTCCCAAAGATATAGGTATTTGCGCATCAAGTTCTGCACATTTATTGCTAATTGCCAATCTCTCTCCGTTTTTGAAGATTGCCAATTGCCCATCAAGGGTTTTTTGTGAACGTGTTGTTTTTTTGACTAAAAGTTGTAAAGATCTAGTACATATCATTTTTGCACCGTTTGTATTTTTGAAAGAAAGCTTCACTTGTGCCAAAACTTCCTTTTCACCACATATCTTTTATATATTATTAATGTTAAATTGAATTATAAACGTTACATTTGGATCATGAATAAATGCACCTCCTTTGGAATTAGGTGGTAAATCTCCTGTAGTTGAATATCTTAAACATTCTATAATAGTCTAGAGAAAATTAATTATAGTTGGATATTAAATAAAAACTCTGACTGTTTTTCCAGAACCGTTATGGCCGACAATTAGTGTTAAGGGACTGTAGAATTGAATAGTTTCTCTGACATTAATATCAAAAGACCGTATTCCCATAATACTTAATCTGATATAATTTTAATCTGTATATCCTTGAATAAAAAAAATAACTTCTCAATGGACGACATTTTTTAGATAGTAGGTATATATAGGTATATATGTTATATGTATATATATTTCTTAAGAGGATTAAAGAAGTAGATTATTTGGATTTTTCTCCTTAAATAATATCTAAAACGTATTATAATTTTTAGCTCTAATTTGGTTTCCATAGTAATAGTTTATTTTTTAAATTTAATTAGCTTTGTAATGTTGAAGAAAATAATATGTTGAATTAAAGTTAAATATATTCGTATATTTTTGTTTTAGAAAAAAAGAACTGAAATTTGTTATTATTATATTTTATGATTTAAAAATGTGAGAAAATATTGTTTGAGATTAAAAATCTTAAATTTTTTTTTAATAATTTTAATTTAGTTTCAATAATTTAAATTTTCCATTTTTTTATTTAAATAATTAAGATTTTAATAAATTTATGAAATAATTTTTAAAACTTTCGAAAATATCAAATGAAAATTATAATATATTCTATTATTTACTTTAAAATCAATTTTATAGTAAAATTATTTTTTTTGTAAATTTATTATTTTGTAATTTATTAGATGAAATTTTACATTACTTTTATTGATAAAATGATATGCTTTTTATAAAACGATGTTTTTAATGCATTTTAATGATATTATATTATTTACTGAAATAATATAAATCAAGTATCGCGAATAAAAGAAATCTAAGATATTATCCTGTATATATTATACCCATACATTCAGAAGCAATGCTCTATAGTCATGTTATAAAATATATTGTAGTTTTAGTAAATACTTTAAAAAATCTTCTCCATTCAAGAGGATCACCTTTATTTTTCACAAAATCAATTATAAATAAATCATTTTTTCCTAATTTATGTATATTTATTTGTCCTTGAAGAGGGCATTTTCTTTTATCTGTACATATAATTGGAATAGATATATCTAATGTTGATAAAAATAGAGTATCTGGAATTATAATGGAATATTTTGCTAATGCTTTTTGAAGTATAGAAATAAGAATAGAATTTGACGTTGTTGAATAAAACCTAGTGAGACGCTCAGGTGGGCATATATCATGGAAGCGTTGGGCACGTTGAGTCTACAATATTTAATAAAAAATAAAGAAACTTTAAGAAATACCAAGGATTCTAAAAACTGGGTAGATGGTGAGAATTGACTCAACGAAGGATCTTCAGAAATAATATCAGAAAGACTATTAGATTTAAATTGACTTGGAAATCTAATAGGCTGAGACGAAGAAATAGGAGCACTTATACTAAATCCATTTTTTGTTTGATTATGCATTAAAGGAGGTGTATTATTGTTTTCTGTACTATTGTTTTCTGTACTATGATTGTTAGTTATATACATATGAAACAGATATCATACATTGTTTCCAAAGAAAGCGTTTGTTGACTGCCTTTAACTTGTAACTTTTTCATAAGTCTATTTCCAAGTACTAAAGGATTACAGCAAAGACCATTTTCCCCTAAAAAGTAATTTTTTCTATTTACCCAAGGATGATTTGATGCTTTTTTAAGAGTCATACGTTCAGATGGATTGATAGTTAATAGCCCCTGAAGAAGTGCTTAAAATATGAATAATTTTTACTTTTATAGGATTTCATACACAATGCTGATGAATCTAATTGATTCCAAGGTTCATAGAGATATAATTGATTTTTGTGTTTTTGAAATAAGCAAAAATTAGAATCAAAGTTAGTTGGTTCTGACCATGGAGTATTTCCAAAAAATAATGTATACAAAACAATCCCACAAGACCATGTATCTACTGCTTCTCCATCATATTCACCTGTAATCTATAATTTGTAAGTAGTTTTTAGATAGAAAAAACACAACTTCAGGCGCAATATATGGAGGACTTCCACATGTTGTAGAAAGTTTTCTTGTTTGGTTATTATATCTGAATAGTGATGCTAATCCGAAGTCTGATATTTTAAGATTTCCATCTCCATCAAGCAATATGTTCTCTGGTTTAATATCTTGCAGATATGTTACTTTTGAACTAAAGAGGAAATAATGTATACCTCTATGGGCAACGCCTTTCGAATGTAAATGTTTCTGATATATGTCAATATTGAAAATATTTAGTTTCTATGATTATATTTACCACACCAGAAATTAACTGACTGAAAAAGTAATGTGCGATTTCTGGGTCTACGCCTAAATCTGGTTCTATAATATATTAATATTACTTTAATAATATTTGAAAATTATTTTGAACCTATTTTATCAAAAAGATCTCCTCCATATGCATATTCCAAAGCAATCCATCTCCAGTTAGAATTTTCGTTAGATGCAATAAATTGAAGAATATTATGATGACAAGTACAAAGTTTATGAAGAGCAACTTCACATGCAATTTGTTTTTTTGTGACTGCATTTATAATAGCTAAATTTTTATGTATAAATTTAACTGCAAAAATATCTTTAGAGTGAAGGTCTCGACAAAGTCTAACTCTAGACTTTATGTTATAAAGTACTATAAGAAAGAATATAGAGTACACACACAGAAAATGCTCCTGTACCAATAATTTGTCCTGGATAGAATGGCAAATTTTCTGGAAGCTCTTCATCTAATAATATTTCCTGCATTATAGTTCTTTAATCTTTTATTATATTATATACTTGTCATTTATATAGTATTTGTCTTGGTTTTTATATTAACTTTATTCTAAAACTACGTTTTAAAATAGACTAAGTTTTTATATTTAGGTTATTCATAATTTTTAAAATTTTATAAACAAATTTAGACGTCATTTTTGATATAATTTATTCTAAATAATACATTCTTTTTAATTATTTCTAATATTATAACATTATGAGTCTTTTAAATTTATAATTAATGCTTATGACTAATGCTTTAATATGCATAATTTTTAGTTTAGGGTTTATGTTGCCTTTATACCGTTTCCGGTTGTCGCTCACCTCCCTTTCAATATAATGTTAATACATTACGTCGTTAATTACTTTCTTCGAAATTATCAAAACATTAGCAATTAAATTACGAGAGGAAGTTGAAAATTAAAAATTAATAAGAGCAGGTACCGTTAAGTGAGTGTTTTAGATAAAAGAAAAGTATTGTAAAAAAGAAGGTTAGAATAGAAATCAGAAAAAAAGATTTCTAGAACAGGGATTTGGTGTTGGAATAAAAGATCAAAAAGGTAAAGAAATTAAAGATATTTTTGAATGATTCAAGAAGAAAGTATTGATCAGAGAAGGTGTTATGGATGCTCAGAACACAGCGCCTGTAGACCATGATCGTTCATCTATAAAATTAAACAGATCATTAGGAACTGTTCCTGATGGACATAGTGTAACAAAACGGTGAGTATTGTTATAGATTTTTTTTGTGTTTTATTAACATTGATCTTAAAAGACTTCAGAACGAGTTAATGACATTAATGGTAAGTGTTGTATTGATAGTTTTATTTTAGATAAATTTGCATTTTATTTGGTTATATGAATTAATAATATTTTCAGACATCAAATATTCCTGGAATTTCTGCTTTTCCTGATTCAGATTCAAATCTTCTTCACTGGGCGGGTACAATTGTTGGTCCTGCGGGAACAGTATGTTTTAAAAATATGTGATCTTACGTATTTACGAAATAGTATTATGAGTCTTTAACGTTTAAAATTTCGTTAATTTTTCCGCCGAATTATCCATATACCGCTCCTACTATTACATTTACATCTCCAATGTGGCATCCAAATGTTGACATGAGTGGTAATATTTGTTTAGATATTCTTAAGGTAGATTTTGAAAAATCTTTGATAAATTATGACTATAATCTTTTAGGATAAATGGTCTGCTGTTTATAATGTTCAGACTATTCTTTTAAGTTTACAAAGTCTTTTAGGCGAGCCAAATAATGCGTAAGTATTGTTTAAGTTATTGTATAAAATGAAGTAAATTTATAGGTCTCCACTAAATGCACAGGCTGCAGAACTCTGGGCCAAAGATCCGGTGGAATATAAACGGTTACTGATGCAGCGATATAGAGAAGTAGACGATTGATGATTGTTTTTTGCTCTTTTTAAGGGTAATTGGGGCAATGGATCTTTGATGCTTAATACTTATGTCAGTAAGTATGTTAAATAAAAATTTATAGTTATTTAGAGTTTAAAAGTAGTGAGTTTAAATTGAATGACATCGGTTTTTTTTTTGCTTCTTTAATATGCAATCCACTATTGTTTTATTGGATAGTACTATGTAAAGATTAGCATAAGAGCATCAGATTAGTTTGAAAATCTCAATGTTTATTATATTTTATAAATTTACAATGCCATTTCCTTAAAAGCATTTATAATATTTTATAATGCTGAATCATCTTTCCATCCATTGATTTCCCATTTTATTCCACTTATGCAGTCTATAGTTATTTTTTTTTTGCTCCATTTTCTACATGGTTTGCCTGTACGATCTAATGCTCTTAATCCTGCATTTATTGCACCAGTATTGGCTTTGGGTCCTAATTTAGATGGAAGTAAGGGTGCTGATATAGTCTTTTGTCCACTAGCAGCCAAATTATGGTAGTTCTGATGTTTCTGGGATGTATCTCCAACACTACAGATGAATCAATTTATAATGATTTGTCATTTTTATTTACTTTATTACTATAACTGTTGCTTCTTCTGCTTTTCTTTTTCGAACAACTTTAGGGCCTATGTTACTAGATATGCGTGTTTTTTTTCCTGGTTTTTTTATTGTATTTTCATTATCTATTGTATTCGAAATTGGAGAGCTAGCAAGTAAAGGTGATGACATAGGCAAAGGAGATGATACTGGTGTCATTGATAGTTCTGATTGTAAGGCTAAACGTGATATATTGACTTTGAATTTCAAAATACGAGATTGATGTTTAGAATTGTTTGGTTTTACAAGAGTTTGAGGAATATTGTGTTTTATTGGAATGACATTATCTGTTATATTTCCTTGTGTGGATAATACTATACTTTCTGACAATGGAATTGATGATAAAGACTGTGATTTTGAAACTATTCGTGTTTCCATAGTTTTATAATTTTTAATATTTTTAATAAATGTTGTTTTATTTTAAATTTTATATTTTAACGTTCAAAGTTCGGTCATAATTCAAATCAAAAATTATAAAATGTTTAGCTTCCGTTTAATTTTATATAATTAATTTCTTCTGGAAAAGGTGAACACTCTATTTTGAATAATATATGTATATGGTATATTTAAGGATATAGTCTTTGTTTTATATATATTTAATTAATTTTTGTAGTATTTATTAGAATTTTGAATAATGTCAATTAATGTTTTACATATGCCTCAACTAGAGACTGCAGAACCTTTTATTCCTGGATATTTGAGAGGAACTGCCTTTGCTGAGCAGTATGAAGCACGGTATATGTCTTTTTTGCGTCATGGTAAAAACTTTGATTATAAAAGTAAATGAAATGAGTTTTTAATATTATAGGTATTGGTTCTGATTTTCCGGAGCTTCCATCTTCATGGAATGAGGATGATAAATGCAATCTTTTGTCTTTAGTTGGTAATGGTTTAGAAGTTAAATTTGTGGGTAGATAGATTAATTTAATTTTTTTTCTTTTTTTAAAAATATAACAGGGCCAGCTAAGGGTGTAGAACAAGATGCTGCTTCAGTGAGAGCAAATAATCCTATTCCTACACGATGTGGTCTTTATTATTATGAAATTGAAATTCTTTCTAAAGGTTATGAAGGGTTAGGTTATTTTTCGGTGAAATTTTTATCTAATGATTTTTAAGACTTATTGGTATTGGGTTTTGCAAATCTACTGTTCCTTTGAATAGGTTACCTGGATGGGAGTCCGATTCTTGGGGGTATCATGGCGATGATGGGCACTCTTTTTGTTGCCAAGGAATAGGAAAAGAATATGGACCAAAATTTACTAAAGGAGATGTTGTAGGCTGTGGTATTAATTTTTCCTCTGGGACAGGATTTTATACAAAAAATGGTGTTCATCTTGGTATATATTGTTTATATATATATAATCGTATATAATAAATATCAGGAATAGCATTTCGTGATCTTAAGGGCACATTTTATCCTTCAGTTGGTTTAAGAACTTTAGGTGAACATATTCGAGCGAATTTTGGAAAGAAGCCTTTTGTTTTCGATATTGAGCAATATATGAGGGTAAGAAGTTTAGTTCAGTTATTTACATAATTCGTTTAAGTATTGTTAGATCGAAAAAATAAAAGCCTATCAAAGTATTAATTCTTGGCCATCCTTCGAAGATAAAGAGTATAACGAATCTAGTATATCTAATACTGTCGATAGTCTTATAGCATCTTATCTTTTTCATAATGGTTATATGGAATCTTTAAAAACCTTTGTTCAGGGTGTTGGAGACAGAGAAAGGATATTTGGCAATGCAGATAGAAACTATCTCATGCAATCCATAAATATTGACGATATAGATTTAACGAATCGTCAACGTTAGGTTATTTTTCTTGTCATTCAGTTGATTTACATTTTTAAGATATTAGATCTGCAATTTTAAATGGCGATATAGATCTTGCATTAAAATTGACGAATATTTTTTATCCTCGTTTATTAGAAACTAATGAATCTATTTATTTTAAATTGAAATGTCATAAATTTGTTGAAATGATGCGACAATGTTCGGAATCTGCGGATGAAAATGATGATGAAATAATGACGGATGTTTCTGGTGTTTGTGGCAGTAATAGTTCTAGCTATGATTTATCAGAGAATTCATCAGTTAAATATTCAGAGTTAAAAAAAAAAAATACTAGGTTTTTGCTCTCAAAAATACTTGAATATGGACAACAACTTCAAGAAGATTATCGTGATGATAATAGGAATGATATTCGGAAAACTTTAGAAGATACATTTAGTTTACTTGCTTATTCTGATCCAAAAAATAGTTCTGTATCTTATCTATTGGATGAAAATGCTCGACATGTAGTTGCTGAAGAACTAAATAAAGCTATTTTAGGTAAAAAATCTTTTGAATATTTTGCAATTTTAATAAATAGTGTTTCTTGGGAAATCGTCTATATCCTCTTTGGAAAGACTGATTCAATACACTTCTGTAGTAGTAAACGAGTTGGGGAAAAAAGGATCTAGTGAATCTAGTTTCATGAATATCCGTCAAGACATATTAACTCTTTAGTTGCAATAAATTATTAGTATGAAAATATAAACTAAAATTGAAAACGTTTATGTTTATTGTACTTATATTTGTTATTGTTGAAATCGTTTCTTGAATCGTTTAAATTTATTCAGATTTATAATAGAAGTATTATTTAAAATTTTATAATTTTTAGAATTGAAATAAAATTGAAATAAAAATGATTTTAATTTCTGTTAATGAATGAATTTTAGTTTATTATTTTTATATTTTAATAATAGAGTATTATTGGAATGGCCGCGTGGCGCAATGGCTTAGCGTATCGGAGTCCGGTGGGGTTTTCACGTGGTAGTTATCCGGAGGTTGTGGGTTCGAGTCCCATCGTGGTCGTTTCTAAAATTGATTTTTTTATAAATAATTTTAAAAATTAGCGTTTTAAAGCCGTAATAGATCTAGAATTATTATTATTTTATATATTTAAAATTCTGTATTAACGTAGTTACAATTCTTATTATTTTGAATACTAGAAAAAAGTTTAGTTTTTAGTTATATGATTCATTTTTCTATTACAATAAATCATTTATTTATTTTTGAACAGGTGTCTTAGGAAGTAAACCGAGTACTTCTTCTAATTCTTGTTGTAAGGCATTTTCTTTTTCGAATGATGTGTTAGCATGAACAATAGTTTTTGAATTATTAGAAAATTCTATTTTGTTATTTTGCTCCATCAATAATAATTGGTAATCATTTATTGAGTCTTCTTTTTGTTTTTGGAATATATGCGAAATATTTTTATTGGAAATATTTCTTGCATTTATCTGATTTTCTTCCCATTCTTCAATAGGAGTGTTTTTATTTTCGAATATAGATTTTTGAAAATTATTTAAAAACTCTTTTGTATTAGTCCAACTGTTATTAAATTTTTGTATTTCTTGTTTTAGAAAGTATATTTCTTGATCTTTTGTTTGTGTTTCTGATAATGGAGTATTATTATTTGATTGAAATATAATATCAGATAATAATTTCAGTCTAACTTGTAACTGTGCTTCTAAAATTATAGGAGACAGTGTAGATGATGAAAACAATGGCTCTTGATCTACTTTCGTTCCAATAAGATAGTCGAGATCAGATAATACTTGAAAAATAATATTGTTGAGTTGTATATTGGTGTTTGAGACTTTTCTAGAGAGAAAAATAAGATTAGAAAATGCTTCTTCGGACAATTTTTCATTTATAGTTAGGTCTTCTATTGCTAAAGATGGTGTATATAATGGGCCTTTATGTAAAATCGAATTTGTTTGTATTTGCATTGTTGATGAATTTTTATTTTTTTTAGATAACTCTGAACCCAAAAGATATTCTTTTAATTTTGATAGTTGTAGGTCTTTTTTTCGAAGATCGTTCTATAAAATGTTAAGTTATTTCAAAATTATTTTAAATATACTGCGTATTGTGATTTTATGTATATTAAAGAATTTTTTATTTTTGATATATAATCTTTTGCTGATTTTTTTTCAATCAACGCAGTTGAAAGTTCTTTATTTGTATAACTAGTTTTTTAGTAATTTTACAATGTAATATTATAAATACTCTAGCTTTTTTTTTAGTGAAATTACTTCTTTCTCTGTTTCTTCCAGTTTTGATTTCATGTTATTCTAAACAATAAAATTTATTATTGATAAACTGTATTGGTTTTTTTACCAGCTGACGAGAGTATTTTTCATTTTGAGACTGAATTTCTTTTAATTTTTCAAGAGAATCTGATATGAGTTAATAGTATAAATACAAATATGAAGTTTTTACTTTCGTGTATTATTAAATCTTTGTCTCTTTTTTCTAAAAGATCATAAATAATTTTGATTACTTCATGAGAATCTGAAGAATTGAAATTTAGAATTCGTTGATTACCATCTGGCAATAATCCTCGTAAAGCAAGTGCATTATTAATATAGAGAATTCCAGATGGTAAATCCTTTTTTGAGTCACTCATAAATATTTATTATTTCGTGTAATCATATATTATCGAGAAATTAGAAAAGTTAATTTTTTATTTAGTAATAATATATATATTTTAAATTTGTTTATTTAATGGATTAGATATGTATGTTTTGAATATTTATTTGTTTAAACTATTTTATTATATTAAGGCTTAATATAAGTGATAGATTTTGTTTGCATTCTAAATATTTAATGTTTAAATTTATTTATTACATTTCTAGTAAAATTTGTAATTTAAAAATAATAATACAAAATTTTGTTAATTTTTAAGAAATATTAAATAAATATTTTAAATTATTAATTTAAAGTTACTTTATATAATTCATTACTATAATATATATAATGGAAGCTATATATAGTATAAATTGATGTATGTTTAAAAATTATAAATTTTTGATTTATATATATATATATATTGTTAATTGTTTTTAATTTCGGTTAGTATATAATCTTGGAGCAATGTTCATTGACATCAATTCTTGGAATCTATAAATATTAGGAAACGAAAGTTAAGTAAAATAAACAAACAAAAGTTTTGCTGAATATGGTAAATGAATCTAAATAAATAGTAAACATATTTCTTTAATAAGATAAAAGTTATACTTGTGATATATTGGTTTTATTGTGACATATACGACATTCGAATTGATTTTTCTTTAAATTTGCTATAGCAGCAAGACCACAAATATCACATATATGAAGTCGATATGCATCGCTATATTAGTTAATTTAACGTTAGTAATTATATGTTTTCAGGACCTTGCATCAAAAAGTCTAATTTATTAGTTTTTTAAATTGTAACTGAAAATTGTTTACCTTTCTTTTAAAAATGAAGAAGCTCCATGACTTATCATACTGAAAAAAAATTAAATTTTTGTATTGTATAATATATTTTTACCAGTCCTAACCAAATGTTAAAACTTGAGATTTATGTATAGAAAATATACTCTTTCCATTTCTCCAAAACGTAAACCTCCATCTCTTGATCTTCCTCCTACTGGTTGACGCGTTAAAATTTGTACTGGACCTCTAGCTCTAGCATGTATTTTATCTTCGACCTGTAAAGTTAAAAATATTTTTTTTTTAGTATGTTATTTTACCATATGTTTTAATCTTTGGTAGTATGTAGCTAATTTTTTAAAAAAAAAAAAATTATAAATTTAAGAAAACTTACGACCCAAGAAAACCTGAGCTACTAGTTTTCGGCCAGTATGACCGTTATACATTACTTCAAAACCCCTAGATTGATATCCATGTTGACGCAGCATTTTAGAAATAGCTTCAACTGTAACATCCCTTGATAAATTTAGTAAATAGAAAAGTTTTTTATTAATAAATACGTAAATGGGGTTGCATCTCCTTCATAACCGCTTAATGCAGAAACTTTACTTAATAAACATTCTATTAAGTGTGCTACTGTCATTCGACTAGGAATTGCATGAGGATTTATAACTAAGGTATTAGTATTATATATATATATATATAATTAGAAATTAGACATACTGATATCAGGAACAATTCCTTCCGATGTAAAAGGCATATCTTCATGACGATATGTAATACCAATTGTACCCTAAAATTCTAAATAAATTATCTAATAGAAAAGAGAAAAACAACTTTTTGTCCATGTCTTGATGCAAATTTATCTCCTATTTGAGGAATTCTTGTTGAACGCATGCGAACTTTTACAAATTTAAGACCTTCAGCGTTAGTAGACACCATTACTTGATCAATAATTCCACTTTCCGTACTTCGAAGAGGTGTAGACACATCACGTTTAGTATGAAATTTTGTTCTTTGGCCTAATTCTTCAGCATTTGGAGGAATAGGTGCTGTTTTTCCTATTATAATATCTTCTCCTGAAACTCTAGTTCCGGGTGCTATTAATCCGTCATCTTCAATTTTATCATATGTACCATGTTTTAATTTTAGACAATTACTACGCATTGGTTTTTCGAATTCTTCCATAATTTGCATTCCTATTTTTTTTTCTTGGTCCATATAACTTCGATAAAACATACTTCTAAATAATCCCCTATCGATACTACTTTGATTCATAATTACTGAATCTTCTTGATTATAACCGCTATAACATAAAATTGCAACAATTGCATTTTGACCCGCTGGAAGTTCTCTAAATCGAAGATATTCCATTGATCTTGTTGTAGCAAGAGGTTTTTGTGGATAGTATAAAATATTTGCCATTGTATCCATTCTTACTTGGTAATTAGTAAGAAAAACTCCTATAGCTTGTTTTCCCATTGCAGATTGGTAAGTGTTACGAGGAGACTATATAAATTAGTATATATTATTTGAAAACAAAATGATGAAACTTGATTGTGGTCTGGAAATGGAATTATGCTTGCGCATATTCCAAGAATCATACTTGGATGAATTTCGCAGTGTGTCCATAAATGTGTATTTGGATTAACTGAAAGTTTTACACGACGTGCAGGATCAATTTCATCTGCAATCTTATATCCCGCTTGCAGTTGACGAGTTGTTTCTAAGTCTTCTGGAGTCATTGCAATCATAATAGTTTCTTCTTCTTCTGCATCAATGTATTCTACAATGCCATTAGCAACAAGACTACTCCATCCAAATTTTGATTCATTGTCAAGGTCTGTTCGATTCCTATTATCTATAATCTTTTGGACATGTTCTTTTTTTAGCATTAATTGACCTCTATGATCACTTTCTGGGTTATTATCAACAATGAAAAGAGGTCGACACACTCTTCCAGCATCTGTAAATATACGTAATTCTTTTTCCCGTATATCTCTAACTACACTTACTTCTGCACTAATATCAAGTTTTCGTCTAAGACTTTTTATAGTTTCAACTAAATGATAAGGATCACGATGAACCCCAAGCCAAACACCATTAACAAATACTTTTGTAGTATTTGGAGTTGCATTAGGATTATAATCTTCGAGAGTTTCCATTCCCCATTCTTCTAAAAATTCAATGATAGGTGCTGAAGGACTGCCCACTGATACATATGACATAAGTGATAGGTTTTTTACTAGGCCACATGCTTGACCTTCTGGCGTTTCAGCTGGACAAACTAATCCCCAGTGTGTATTATGAAGTTGACGAGGTTTTGCGACTTTTCCATCTCTACCGATTGGTGTATTTGTGCGACGTAGATGAGATAATGTTGATGCAAATGTATATCTATTTAAAACTTGAGAAACACCAACTCTTGCTGACATAACTTTTTTTTGATCACCCCAATTACCTGTTGCTAACGAGTATCTTAATCCATGTGTTATTGTATTTGATTTTACTGCAAGAGTTAAGTTAAATTCCCTATTTGTTTCGACACATTTTTGCATATATTTATAAACATCTTTTGTTAACTTTTTAAAAAGCATCCTAAAAAGATTTGCTAAAAGGGGACCAGCAAGATCAAGCCTTTTTTTTCCGAAATGGTCTCTATCATCAGGATCCCGTCGTTCAAGGGCACATAATAAAAGTCGATGAATCATGTATCCCAAGAAAAATGCTTTTCTTGTTTCATAGCCTTCTGTTGTAGTTATATGTGGTAGCAATTCTTTTTGTAAAATATCTTGAGCGTAACGAAGACGCTTTTCACGATTTATTCCAACTGCACTTCCTCTTTTTCCAATGAAATCCAGTGCTACTTCTTTTTCTTGGATAACAAAGGCTTCTTCTATGCATGGTTTTAGCATTTCTAGCATTTGATGATCATTTGGATCATAACAAATATGTTCCATAATGTCTCTGTCTGGTACTACACCTAATGCTCGAAATACGATTACAATTGGTATATCATTTCTAATATAAGGGAGACAGGCTCTAATGGTTTGTCCAGCCTATAGTGTTAAAAAAATATGAAATTAATTTTTAGATACATACTCCTTTCTCTATACTTTTTGACATAAGTTTTATTTGAAAGCTACTCATAAGTTTTGATCCTTTTTCAACTGCGCTACGTATTTCTGCAACATAACTAACTGCAGACGGTGCTGGTTTTTTAAAAACTTGCACTGTATTTGCTGCGCTTCGTTCTTGGGCAATAATTACTTTTTCTGAGCCATTTATAATGAAATATCCTCCCTAAATAGTAGAGCTTAAGTCTTTTTTAAAATATTATATTCAAATTACCTGATCATATGGGCATTCGTTTAATTCATAGAGTTCAGATTCTGGTAAACCATTTAAAATACAAAATGTTGATCGTAACATTATGGGTATTTTCCCTATAAATACTTTTGATGGTTGTTCATCTTCTTCTACTATCCATTCTTTATCAGGACCAAATGGCGCATTTGGGTCTGCTGCTATCATAACTTTCTTCTTTATATCAACATATAATGGAGAAGAGTAACTATTTTAGTTATAAAGACATTTTTATGGCAAATAACTTACGTAAGGTTGCGCAGTCTTGCTTCTTGAGGAAACATTAGTTGAGTAGAACCATCTGCTTCTGTCATGCTTGGTTTTGAAAGAAATATTTGTCCGAAATTAATTTCGTATCTGCGAGTTACATCACTTTCAATCCCCGTATGTTGTGCATGTTGATCTAATGTAAGAGTTGCATCTTCATCAACAAGTTCTTGCATAGTATTTTGAACAAATTCATCAAAAGAGTCTATTTGAGTTGATACAAGCCCTTTTTCATCAAAAAATGATGATATTATTGCCCATTGATCTTCCTGTGTTATTTCTTTAAATGCAGAATTATACATGTAAGAGTTTTCTAAGTCATATTCTGTGATCATTTGAATTTATAATAAAAGTTATATAATTAATGGAAAATATATCTTTATTGATATTAAATGCTTAGTATATTATATAAAACAATGCTACTTGTATTTTATCAAAAACTTACATAATTAAAATTAATTGTATTTTTAAATAATTTTTATAAATGATAAATTGTTATCGTTTTTTTTATTAATATTTAAAAAAAAACATTTATTTTGACAAAAGAGAGATAATATAGGAAATTATGTAAAGTATGTTTATTTTCGTTACTCTATAACTATCCAGATCTAATATTTGCTGGTTAGAATGTAAAAAATTATAATGATAATAAACTTAAAAAGAAGGAACGCAATTTGTCCTAAATAGAAATATATGAAATGTTTTGTTTCTATTGATAATAAATATATTTATATAACTTTTCGAAGTTTTACCATGTGTTACGTAACTTCCAAAATTTCTTCCTACAATACAATGCCACGTTGTTCCAAATTTTTTATCAAACTATTAGAGTTACTACAGATTTAAAAACAATTGTTGGAACTTCGTTTTTTATGTATGCTGCTATATCCTAAGAATAATAAAATATATTTTTTTTAAAAGCATTATGTATTACTTTTTCAACATTATATTTTTCCATGGCAGAGATTGCTATATTTGAATAAGAAATTAATATTTAGAAAAAATACGTACCACAGTCAATTGCATCTTCTTTCATCTCTTCATTCTAAAAAACAACAATAAAAATTTTATAAAGTATTGTTTAAATTGATCACCATATCAACTGATTTTACAATAACTAAAAAATTAAATTAAAAAGAATTAGTTTAATTAAATATTACCTTTATTTTTTATAACTGATATATATTGCGATAGATCTTCTGTAGAATTGTCATTAATATTTGTCATTTTTATTAAAGAATTAAATGAATTATTTATCTATAATTTAAAAATGGTAAATAGCTTAATTTTCGGATCGAGTAATTATAAAGAATGCTAGAAAAAATATTGACTTTCATTTGGATAGAATTAGTATTGGTTAAATTGCCTTAAAGATGTCAAGGATTATTGTTAAAAATTTGCCTAAATATTTAAATGAAGATAGGTTTAAAGAGCATTTTTCCGCTTATGGAGGAAAACATATTACTGATATTAAATTTGTATGTTCAAAAAGTGGGAAATTTAGGGGGTTTGGGTTTATAGGTTATAAAACTAATGATGATGCATTAAATGCTATTAAGTATTACCATAATACTTTTGTTGATATGTCTAGGATTACTGTTGAACATGCTAAAGAAGTAATATATATATATATATTTGCATATAATATTTATTCTCATATTTTTAGGTAGATTTTAGTGCTTTTAGTTCTCAAAATGTTCTTGGGTCTGACAATTTTTTTGTTAAAGATCATATTTACAAAAAAAATCAATTAGTTAATAAAGAAATATTTCTAAAAAGAGAAACTCAGGAAAATCAAGAATTGTTTAAATTTTTAAGGCATGAGCAAGTAGAAAACTGTAAAGAAATTTCCGGAAAAAGCCGTCAGGTTTTAGTTAGAAAACATAAATTTAGAAGTTCTATAGATGATTCGGATGATGTCAATAAAGTTTTATTTTCTTCTGCTTGTAATATAAAAGACCATGCCGAATCTTGTTCCTGTAATTTTTTAGAGGGATATAAAGAACAGAAACGAAAATCTTTTGAGCTATCTGATTCTGAAGAATCATTTAATATATCTAATATTAAGTCTATGACTGATGATGAGTGGCTGAAATCGAAGTTTAAACATGTAGTAGAATTAAACGATTGTGAATTATTTGATTCTAATCTGGAAAAACAATTAAATGCTGGAAATGCATTTGAAAAGAATATTTCAGAATCTTGTTTTGGTAATAGTAAACTTTCTTTAAAAAATGAAATTCTTTTATCTGGAAGACTTTTTGTTAGAAATTTGCCATATAGTATTTCTGAAAATGAACTTAGGGATGTTTTTGAGAAGTTTGGAAAAATTATAAATGTATGTTTTAAAAATTAAAAATATAGTATAATATTTTTTATGATGAAACAATGATAGGGACAACAGAATAATTAATGATTATTGTGTTGATTATTAAAGGAATGATAATTACTGAAAAAAACTTTATATTGAATATATTTTTATGTATAAGAAGATTTAGCTAATATTATTGAATTAGGTTCATATTCCTTTTGATTTTGCTTCGAATATGGCAAAAGGATTTGCTTATCTCCTTTTTGAAAGCCCTTTATCTGCTGTAGATGCGTATGAAAATATGGATGGACGTGCGCTATATGGTCGTCTTGTACATATTCTTCCCGCACAAATTAAACATGGTCATTATGGACCCATGAATTTTAATGAAATGAAGTTTAAAAGTCAAAGAGCTAAAAAACGGAAAATAAATTCATCTTATTCTCAATTTTCTTGGAATTCTCTTTACATGAACGTAAATTATTTTTATTTAGAGTTTGTTTTTATAGATTTTGACTTAATTAGCCAGATGCTGTTATATCTTCTGTTGCTGATAAATTCGGACTTTCTAAAGCTGAAGTTTTAGACCCTGTTTCTTCAAATGCTGCTGTTAGACAGGCTTTAGCTGAAACTTATGTTATTCAAGAAACAAAAACTTTTTTTGAAAAATCAGGTGTTAATTTGGAATCTTTTTCTAGTTTTGAGCGTGATGATTCTGTTTTGTTGGCTAAAAATTTTCCATATGGTACAACAGTAAATGAATTGTTTGAGTTGTTTGGGAAATATGGTGTTCTTGGTCGTATTTTGCTGCCTCCTTCTGGAACTATTGCTATTGTTGAGTTTTTAGAATCTAAATATGCTGATGACGCGTTTAAGAATTTGTCTTACAGGAAATTTAAAGATTCTGTTTTATATCTTGAAAAAGCTCCTTTGAATATATTTAAAGATGAATTTAATTGTAAAATGAATTCAGAAATGGTGAATATTGATCCAAAAAAATTGAAAGTGATTCACGATGTTGACATTAATATTGAAAATTCTGATATATCTGATACTGAAAGGGGCACTCTTTTTATAAAAAATCTTAACTTTTCTACTACTTTAGATAGTCTAAAGAGGGTGTTTAGTTCTCTTACTGGTTTTATTAATGCAATTATCAAAACAAAGCCTGATCCAAAAAGACCTGGAAATAAATTGAGCATGGGCTTTGGTTTTGTTGAGTTTAAAACACGTTCTCACGCTTTAGCAGCTATGAGTGCTATGAAAGATTATGTACTTGATGGACATGTTCTTCAAATTAAGGAATCTGAGAAATCTTGTGATTCTTTTAATAAAAAAACGTTAAATGAAAATAAGTGTAAAATTATAATCAAGAATTTGCCATTTGAAGCTACTAAAGATGATATAAAACAACTATTTGGGTGTGTTTTGAAGTTTTTAATGTTTTATAATTAATATTGTAGATCATATGGTCATTTAAAATCTGTTCGTGTTCCTAAGAAAATTGATAATTCTATTCGCGGGTTTGCTTTTGTAGAATATTTTACATCTAGAGATGCAAAGAATGCTTTTAATGTTTTGAAAAATACTCATTTGTTGGGACGACATCTTGTATTGGAATGGGCATTTGATGATTCTCTTGTAAATAGTATTAGATGTTATAAAGAAAATGATTAAATGATGTAATGAGTTTAATTTAAAATTATGATTGTGAAATTGGATAAAAAATAAACCTGCTGATTTATGTTTTGAAAGTGAGGATTTGGAATATTTAATTTGTGATAATTTATCATATGTTGTATTGGTTTTTTAGATTATATAGTTATTTTTATATTTTAGTTTTTGTCGATTGTTTTTTGAAATAATTTAAATTTCGTGATCTATTTGATGATTGAAAATGATGCTATATCTGCGTTTAACTCTGAGATGTATTACGAAGCTTTGGGACTATTTACTAAGGTTATAATTTTTTAATTACTAAAATTATATTAATCTTAATAAGGCATTACATCAAAATAAAACATTGACTTTGCTTGATGGTAGAGCTGCAACTTTTGAAAAAATAGGGAAATATGAAAGTGCTTTGAAAGATTCTTATAGGATGATTCGGTTTTATCCCCGTTGTATTGATGTATGTGATATTTTTATGATGTTTTATATTCTTAACATGTTTTAAGGGCTATTTACGTGCAGGGAAGATATTACGATTAATGAATAATTACAATAGAGCTATATATATATATAAGCTTGGAATAAAATGTTCGTCTTATGATTCGAAAAAAAATAATGTAATTATAGTTCCTTGTTACACTGTTTAATAATTTAAAAGTTACTTCGGAAAATGCTTTACTCTACGTTGAAAAGTGTTAAGAATCTTAAAGTAAGAATTCAAAATAATGCAAAATAAAATGTTAATAATAAGTTATTTTCTTCGTACTTTGATTTTTTTCAAAAAATTCCTTTAGAAATTATTTTAAAAATATTTTGTTATTTACCATTTAAAACTATTAGTTTATGTCAAAGGGTTTCAAAGAATTGGAGACATACAATTTTATCTTTGGATTGTTTATTTTATAATTTAGATTTTTCATGTACAATGAAACCTATTTCTTCAAAAATAATTTCAATAAATATTAAAAGGAGTCGAAATCTTGTTCGGAAGTTGGTATTGAATGGAAAATGTGTTATTAATGATTCTTTATTGTTATATATGGCTAAGTTCTGCTGTAATCTTACTCATTTGACTTTAACTAAAGGCTTTAATTATGAATTGCTTTCACGTTCTATTTCTGCTTTTTCCTCCCTTTTATCATTAATATTTTTATATGAAATTGAACTTTCTGTTGTTGCACAGGTAATGTCTAATGTTCCAAGTAGTCTTCAAAGATTTGAAGCGAAGAAACTTTTAGTTAATTCTATTCCATTTTGGGGTCAGATACCAACAAATATTAGAATAGTAAAACTAATTCGAGCTGATATTTCTCTGTGTAATAATAGAGAACTTTCTTTTTATGTTAGTGATATGCTAAAAATAATTCCAAGTGTTACGCATATTTTTCTTAATAATTGGATAGAAAATTTAGTACTGGATGATTATGATTTTTTATATTTAGATGAATTAGATGTTTTAGATTTATCTGGATCTAGGCTTTTACGTACGCCATTGATGCCTAAAACTCTTCTTGAATTAAATCTTTCATATTTAGTTGGAACTGATTTATCTTTTTCTATACTTCCGAATTTTGATTGTCTTCGGTATTTAAATTTATCATATTCGTCTAGATTATATTCGGATGCTGTTATAGCATTAACTAGTTTTTCTGGTCATAATTTAAAAGAGTTATTTTTGGATTCATGTCCTCAGCTCGATGCAAATTGTATAGTTAATCTTGTGTTGTCATGTAAATTTATTGAGAGATTGTCTTTAAGTGGTAATTCATGGGTTGATGATTCACTTTTAACTGTTGTTGCTCATGAATTAAAAGTATTGAAATATTTTAATTTGTCTAGTTGTTTTGGCATTTCTGGTTTTGGTGTAGTTGAATTAGTAAATACTCGTTCATCTTCAATTATGCATATAGTTTTAAATGGTTGTCATAATGTTTCGTTAGATTCTGTAATTTGGATGAGACAATTAGGCATTAATATCGATTATAAATTTGAAATAAGTTCTCGTAATAAAGTATATTGATGTGTTGGTAGATATCTAAAATATTTTTTTATTTTTAAAAATTAAAATGTATAAAAATATCTGAATAAAAATATCTGAATATATTTTTATAATAAACGATAAAATAATTCTTGTTCATGTGTTTAATAACCACAAAAATAATTGTGCTGCTCTTAAACTTCAATTTTAAAATATATTGTTATGCATCTGCATCTTACGAATAATTTTAGAAATATTATTAAAAACCTAAAATTTAAATGCATAATAATTAATATAATATAATACTATAATACATAATAATATATAAATATTATATAATATTATATATAAATTCTATATTGTTTCATTATGTAAAAATGGATTTAACATATAAAAATCATTTGGTATTTTTTGTGTAAATAACATGTAATATTGAAGTTATCGATTATTTTTTTTAAAAATTTTATAACAATGTTAGTAACAATGTTAGATTTTATAACAGTTATTTTAATGATTTAATCTATGCAATTTTGAAGATATATTTAATTTAAAAATATGTATATTTATATAAATATATATATAAATATAATGATTATAATTTAGTTATAATAGATAATTTAATTAATAATATATTAACATAGTATTATACTAATTAGATTTAAAAATATATATTTTAATCATTATAATTATACATGTATTTAATTTAGAATATAGAATATATATATATCAATTGAAAAATATTATAACATTGAGTGTATAATTTTTTATATTATGTTCAATTATATTCAATTATATTCAATATAACTCTAATTCATAAAAGTATTGATTATTCAATTAATATTTTAAAAAATATAACACATTTACAACATTATCTATATAGTTCATATCTATTTTTTATAATACTATTTTAAAAAGTTTATTTAGATTTTATTTATCATTACAATGTATTGTTTCATATTCATAGAGATTATTATAAAAATATACAATGCTAATATCGATATGTAGATATATAATTAAATTAAATTTATATAAAAATAAATTATAATATAAATTATATTTTTATATTTAATTTCAATTTATAACGTTATCATTATAAACTATATACAAAATATAAAAAATAACATCACAAACCCTTAATAAATATCACTTAATATACCAAAATATTTCCTATTATTATATATTAATATATTATAATATATATTTATGATTATTACAATCAATAATCATATCAGTGAATAGCACTTAAATTTATCGTTATTAAATACATTTTAAGCAAAAACTTATTGGAAAATATAAAAGATATTTTTACATTTAAAAAATATACATTTGATATACGTTAAAATATACGTTAAAATATCATTTTACAAGATTTACTAAAATTACTAGAAAATTATTATATATACATATTTATAATTTATGTACAAATTAAATATTTTTAAAATATTAAATATAACCTTCACTTTTAAGCCATTCTTTTACATTATCACTATCCCTTGAAACCCATAATGCTTTGGCTCTAATAGCATCTAAAGACTGGGAAAGTGCTTTATCGAACCTACAAGTATTTAATTAAATATACTTTATAAAAATAAATTATTACGCATTAATTTTTTTAAATTTAAAAAATTCATCAATCTCATTTAATTTAGATATCGAAGTAAATCCGGAAACCATCAATTGCACTACAGTTGATTTCAAACTCCCTACATTGTTTGGAACAGTAACATCAATTGCATCCCAATTTTCTTGACAAAATTTCCATAAAGCGTTTATACCTTTAGAATGAGTTTTCAAACTATAATATTTCAGAGTAATTAAAGTTATTTTATAAATTTACTCACCCTACAAGAGGCATATGAATGTCTTGAAGCCTAACTTCAGAAGAAAGAATCATGTTAAGTGTCCGTATAATCAATTCAGGAACACGTGTTTGACCCAACTGTCTTAAAGCAGTATCTTTTTCATCACTAGAAATACTTTCTTTCCAAATATTATAAACAATATTCCACTAAACTCTATAAATCTACATAGAAACTAATATTAATCATCAAACCTCTTTTTCTAAACCATATTGAAGAGAAATAGAAAAAACAGCACTAAAATATAATTATTTATATATTACAAAAATTATTTTTAAATACGTTCTAAGATCAGGATGTATTGCAGTTTTATCACCATTAGCGTAACGATATAGCATTTCTTTAGCAGCAAAAATTATTCTATAAACATAATTATTAATCACACAGACATTTAAAACAACACATACTCCTCATTGCCAGCTTTACCAGCAGCCAAAAACAACAAAGATTTTAGCTGTCTCATATTATGTCCATCATTTATATCAAAATTCCACCCAAGCTCATTAACTTTAATGAAAGTTAATTTTCTCTTAAACAACTCAAGACCTTTCCTAATTTTTTCATCTTCGAAAACAAAAGCTGCTTCCAAACTTTCAACTATATTTATCATTTCATTCCATACGCTGTAATTTTAATATAGTTTCATAAAAACCAAACACTTACACAAATTTACTCTCATTGAACCATTTGGATATTAATGATAACATTTCGCTAGTTCTAGAATAACCACTTTGAGCCAAAGCACCAGAATCAGCAACAAGACCAACCCGATCCTCAACACTTAAAAACTCTGGATTAGTTATAGAAAAGCAACCCAATCTTTTAAGTTGTTCTGAAGAATAAAGAGTCCTATAAACACCTGAATGATCTGTATTAATTTTATAAAAACCTTTCATTATATTGCACATAGGAATATAAAGTTCTCGTTGCTCTAAAATCAAATGAGTATCAACAACTGTTTTACCATCAGTTGTCATTGTCTTAAGCATCAAAGGAACCCAATAAATAGTTTCATCATCTTCAGGTTTTACATCACCAGATGCAAGAAACCTACTTTGTACAATCTTTATTGAATCATTATGCTCTGTAACAGTTATAACAGGATACTATAATTATATTAAAAAATTACACTTAATAAAAACATTTATATACCCCAACTTTTTCTGTCCAATATTTCATAAATCCAACAATATCTTTACCACTTTCTTCACTTAATGCACACCATAAATCTTTAGTTATAGTATTCCCATAAGAATGTCTTCTAAGATATCTCCTATTTATAGATTTAATAATGCTATAAAACACATTATTTTATAAACCTAATACCAGAGAGAAAAACATCTTCACCAATATATTTAGATAACATACGTATTACAGATGATCCTTTTGAATACGAAATAGCTATTTATTATCAAAAAAGTATTTCTATATTTTTTTAAAATACCATCAAAAATTTGATTAATTTCTTCTGAACTTTTTACAAAAACTTCAATAGGATGACTTGAACGAAACCCATCAAATCTTAATGCTTTCTGTAAGCTAATCTATAAAAAATCAACAAATAAAATGCAAAAAATGCAAAACTACAGTAACATAAGTCTGCCAAACTTTCCATTCAGGGTAAAATGAATTACAAGAAAACCATGACATCCTTTTAAACATAAGAATAAAGAAAAATACAACAAATACTCAGACCAAGTCGCAAAACCCTCATTGAGCCACAACTAATTACATCAAAAAAGGCAAAACATTAACATATTCTTACACCATCCCAAAAATCCATAGTAACTAAATTTCCAAACCACTGATGTGCAAGCTCGTGTTGCACAACTTCAGCTACCCTTTGTTTCATTGCTGCACCACTTTTATCCTCATCAAAAAGCAAATCTACAACACGAAATGTAACCATTCCCCAATTCTCCATGGCGCCAGCAGAAAAATCAGGAATAGCTACCAAATCTATTTTAGGCAAAGGGTAAGGAATACCAAAAGTCTCAGAAAAAAACTCAAGAGTTTTAGCAGCAAGCTCCAGAGAAAATTTTCCTTGCCGTGATAATCCTTTAAGAGGAGAATACACTCTTACAGGAATCTTAGGCATACTAACACCAGACGTAAAGGTCTCGATGTAATCCAATTCACCAATTACCCAAGCAAGAAGCTAATCATGTTAGATATAACATTTTTTCAAAAGACATTAAACATAAGTAGACATTAATGGAGTGCGACCAAACAAAACTGTCCTTTTATTATCCACAATAGATTCTTTAACAATATTCATATTGGATAAAACTGTATAGCGAACATCTGCAGTAATTTGAACATCAAAAGTCGCTTTTAAAGCTGGCTCATCCCTATAAAAATTAAAATATTAAATAGGAAAAAAAGAAAAAATACCAACAAGGAAACACACGACGACAATCAGTAGCTTCCATTTGTGTACAAGCGAGCCATTTAGTTTCTTTAGTTTTATCGTCATAATAAGATGAACGATAAAACCCAGACATCTTAAAAACATTAACAATTAAAACAATTGAAATATTATGGACCAACCTTATCATTAATTTCACCCAAAAACTTTATAAAAAGAGTTGCATTTGTTCCACAAGAAATAGGATCAGAAAAGAAAAAAGTAACAGTCTGCTCGTCTTTATTATAAGTTATAGAATCAACAGAACGCCTACAAAATATTATTATATTCATCTATATTATATCTTATTATATTCCTTTTATTATCATAGTCAATGAATACAGAAGAAATATCAATATCAAAAGAATGAAGAGTAATGTATTGAGAGTATTCTAAACATTCTATTGAAATTTCTACACTCCCATCATAAATAAAATTATCCAATGCGGGATTTAAAACAAGAAAATAATGTTTCGGTCTAACATTATTTGGAAGAACTTTTCTACCCGTTTGCATTGTAGACATACTATATAGTTTCAAAATATTTAGCTGGCAATTAAATCGTATTATAAAACTCCTTCTGCAAAAAATATACTTATGTTCTAGACAAGGATAAAAAACAAGTAATCTCTGTATTTTTTTTAGTCCAAAAAAGAATTTCCGTTGCGGAAAATATAAACTCATAAAATTAAAACGATAAAAATAAAAAAATCATAGAATACTATTTTTTATAATATAAATTGTAATGTAAAAAATATAAAAAAAAATAAAAAATACCATAACAAAACTTTTATAAAAAAAATAACTCAAATTTATTTAAAACGTACATAAACGTATTTTTTATCAACATAATTAGTATTAGATACTTTTTTATACAAAACTATTTATATAATCGTACTCTACACAAAGTAAAAATATGTTTTTAGACATTTTTTGTTCTCTCAAGCCTAAATATTTTTTCAAAAATTATACCAAATATTTCAAACACCATTTTTTTTTTTCTGAATATTTATTTTATATTTTATTGAAAATCAATTATTTCATATTATTTATGAATATTATATTTAATTAAAGCATTTGAAATATTTTGCATAAAAATATTCCAAAAAAAACAATTAAAACTACTATAACCCTGTTTTCCTTACATTTTAAAAATTATTATACAAATGATAAAATTAATAAAAAATTAAACATAATATCTATAAAATTAAAAATCTAAAACAATAAATAATACAAATATCCATTATTTTTCCATTATTTTCATTCTTTACAATATACTATAACATCACCTCTACGTCTCCAATCATCATTAAAATGAGAATTAAAAAATCTAACACACTTTGCAATAAGTACAAAATTTTTTTAAAAACCAACAAAAATTACCTCTCTATATCCTACTACAGTAATATAATTACCAATTATTGAAATAAAATTTTCAAAAAAAACAAAGTGAGAAGGCCAAAAAAAACCATTCTGAAATGTAGAATTTATTTTTTCATACACGAAATGCCTTTGAAGAAACAAAAAAGGATTGTCATAAAACTGCTGAGCTTCATCTTTATATTCTGCAATATCATTTTTATGTAAACTATACCAGTTAATTTCAAAAAAATATTAAAACAAATTCAATACTTTATAGGCGGCTCACAAGTCAAAAATTTCATTCGTATATCTGATCTATGTACATAACTCTGCCACGGTGTAGAATGACATGGCATTAGAAATATAACACTAGTTATTTTCGAATTATCCGCAATATATTTCATAACATCTATAACTCCACGTTGATGAATATGATTAATATACCATATGACAAAGACATTAATAACTAATATTAATGGAATTACCTTTTTTAAAATAAATTTTGGCATTTGTGAAATTGATTTAGCTGAAAATATATACAATAAAGGTGATAAAAAGTATATAAATCTTACTTCTTTATGCCGAACTATTGAATAACAAAAAAAAACAACAGAAATCAACCAAAAATATATCGTGTTTCTATGTAAATATAGACCATGAAGACAAAAAGGTAAATATAAAAATAAAAGCATAGGTAAACCTTGAGAAAAATAATAATGCCATGAAGAAGATCCATAATAAACAGATAAACCATCAATTAAATTAAACTTTAAAAACTTAAGCAAAGGAAGTGTCATTCTACCATAATAATAAAAATTAACTAAAAAAACTAATAAAAATAAAATCGACCTAATTTTTCAATAAGAATTTTATTTAACAATATTTTCAAAATTACCCTATAATAAAAGCATCAAAAATAATTTTAAAAGCGCCATTTAAAAGTAAATATCCTAATAAAAATACACATACTATTATATTTGTCGGCCTTAAAATGCATGCAGTAAAAACAAAAATAAAAGAAAGACGTAAATTTTTCATCTGTTTTTTTTCAAAATCCAAAGGCCAATAATATAATGCACAAGTTATAAAAACTGCTTCTAAAGCATTAGAAAAGATACGATATCCAAAAAAAACGCTAAATGGAGATGTAATAAAAACAAATAATGTCCATAAAGACACTTTTTCATCATATAATTTCCTAGAAAACTTTACAGTATAAAAATCAGAAATTGCAGTGAATATAGCTTGCAACAATTTTGGACAAATAATTATCAAATAAGGAGAGTCACATTTAATTAACTTTAAAAGCCAGTAAATTACAGAAAATATAGCAGGATGAACCACGTCTCTTATCCCCTCACGCCATTCCCATGTAAGATATCCGTATCCATATACAAATTGATGTGCTGGTTCAAGAGATTGCCAATATTCGTCAGGCTGAAAAAATGTACTAGAAGTTAAAGCAGTAAAAAAACGAAATTGCAATAGAACAAAAAACAAAAGGATTTCTTGATCGATTATATAAGATATAAACATATTATAAGATTTAATCTAGTGTTCAAAAAAAGAAAAAACAAAATTATAAATCGAAAACTTTCGAAAACCTTCTGTTTAACATCTATATGTATATATTACATTCAAATGGAATATTGTTTCAAAAAAAGATAAACCTAAAAAAGATATTTATATTTAAATTCTTACTTATTCAAAAACACAGCTTTTTAAATTCAACAAACAAATCGGAAATATTTTCAACATACCGTATTCTACAGTAAAAACCAATCTAAACTAGTAATTTAGTAATATTTTTAAATTTAGATATAAAAAAAGTCTTGTATTTTCTGTTATTTCAGATGTTGATTCCTATTCAACTTTTATACCATACTGTCTAACTTCGAAAGTAACTAAGCGTAATAAAGATGGATTACCACAAACAGCAGATTTAAGGATTGGCTGGAAAAAATACGACGAAATATTCACTAGTGAAATAAGTTATCTTTCTTATGATTGCATAATAGTAGTATTATTCAATTATAAAAAAATATTTTAATTTAGTACAGGCAAATGCATCTAATCATCCACTTTTTCATAAATTACAAGCTACATGGTATTTAAAAGATATAAAAACAGCAAATAGTTCTGAAAAAAAAACAAAAATATCGTTAATTCTAAACTGCAAATTTTCTAATCCTTTGCATACTATGATCAGTATTGCAGCAATACCAACGATTTCTACACTTATAATTAACGCATTTGAAACTAGAATTAAACATATTGCAAAAGCGAGTTAAATAGACATTTTTTTAAATCCAAAATATACAAAAAAGTCTACATATATTTTACATATAACCAATATTAATATTTTCTAAACATAAATTTAAAAAAAAATATCTAAAAAATCATAACCTAAAAATTATGGTTTAGAAAAGTCAGAGAAATCTTCCATTTCTCTTAATGTATAATCAATCAGAAATGATGTCTCAATTAGCCCAGAAATCCTTTTATAATGACGTTCAGAATAAGGTATCATAACATCTAAAACTTTTTTAATATTAGAAATTTGTAAGAAATAAGAAGCATCGTATGTTCGCAGGAGAATATATAATATCCTTTGAGCTATATAAGATGTACGAAAATTCGTATTCCAATCTCTTAAACGACTAATAATACCAGAAAGCTGCTCTAAACTCAATGATTCAAGAATTTCATCTACAACACTAAACCCCATAACTGATTTATCAGTAAAACCAGGTAGATTTTTATTTAATATTTCTTTAAAAAGCATAAAAAGTTTATATGGATGATTTAATGACATAGCCAAAATAATTGCATTTTTCCAGTCTTGACATTGAATATAATTAGATAGTTGCTGTTCACTATTAAAATAATTAAATAGTAAATAATAAATATATAAAAATAATACTTTTCTACAAAAAAAGATTTTTCAGCTTCAATTCGTTTTTTTTCTTCTTGAGTAACATCCTTCCAAAAATTTATAACAGAATCAGCACCCCCTGATATTACTATATTTTCAGACGAAGAGACACATAATGACCAAACCTGTATTTTTTTTAAAAAAAAAAAAAGAAATAAAAAACTTACTCTATCTGTATGATTATCTAAAGTAGTTACGCATTCACTAGTTTTAATAGTCCAAAGTTTTACTAAACCATCACTACCTGAACTTATTATTTGTTGTCCAGAAGAAACAAAAAGCACTTTTAAAATAGAATTTGTATGCCCTTCGAAGGTCTTTACACTTAATTTAGTTAATTTTTTTTTTTAAAAAAAACTACCTTTAAACATGAATAATCATATAAGTTCCACAATTTTATTAATTTATCTGAAGATCCAGTAATTGCTATTTTTTCATAATCTGAAATCTTTACACTCCAGACACCTCTTTTGTGCCCTTTTAGAACACCCAACATCTTTCCACTATAAAGATCCCAAACTTTACATGTCTTATCTTGAGATGCAGAAATAAATATTTTATCGTCATAAGATATATCTAATGCATTAATATCTTTCTCATGTGCTTTTCTTGTGTATAAAGACTTAACACAACATTCTTCCACATTTAATAAATTCCATAATTTGATTGTTTGATCATGAGATCCTGTTAATAAGAAATTTGGAATTATACCTTTTTTTATAGATGATAAAGCTATAGATCCGATAGAATCAGTATGACCAGTAAATGTAGCAATATTTAAAAAATGATTAGACTCTATATCAAACTTCCATAACCTTGCTTCATTATCTTTAGAACCTGAAGCAAGCCATTGTCCATTTTTACTAGCAGCAAGACAAATAACAATATCTCTATGCCCCTCCAAAAGACTAAAATTCAAGTTTAAACAATCCACTATACTAATATTTTGAGAGTTAGAAGCAATAGCAATATGAGATTCATCACTTCCTATATAAGTACAATCAATTATCTCATCATAATACCCTGATATCCTTCGAATTATAGGAAGCTTTAAAGAAGAAAGAGAATGAACTACTAAAGAGTAATCTGAAAGAACAGAAAGTAAAATATTTCTCCTACTATTATATCTATATAAATATAAGAAAAACAGATAATTAATAAGATGAATACATTATTTCACAAATAGTAACATCTTTTGATTTAGAAATAGATGTTTGACTAATTTCTAATCCAGAAATATAATCCCAAAAGCGAACAACATTTTTGCTTCCTCCAGTTACTATCAATTGCTTGTTGTCAACTAAAAGACCTTTTTGAAGGAATTGAACAGATTCTATACTCTTTAAAAATCAATTTTAAAGTTTATTGATAACCAAAATCATATAAACCTCAAACAAAGATACTGAATTTTTTAATTTAAATGTATCGAGATCCCAAAAATTTAAAACCATATCTCTTGATCCACTTACAAGAATCTTTTCATCATCGGAAAAATCTAAACCACGAATTACACTTATATGTCCATCAAGAGTAGAAAGACAACTATAAATATTATTTTTTTTTAAATTCAAACTACACAATTATACCAATTCGTAACTAAATCCCAAACCTTTATTTTATAATCATCAGCAGCAGTTGCTAATAGCCATCTATCCTTTCTTTTTTTAATTTCCGTAGAAAATCTAATAGCACTAATAACACTACCATGTCCTTTAAATTGATGAGTAATATATCCACCTTTTATATCCCAAACTTTAACCGAACCCTCTGCTCCACCTGTAGCTATTAAAGTTGAAGTTATATCAGATTCCATAACTATAATAGGTGCATCATGAGCCTTCAAACTATAAATTAGATTTCCTGATGGAATTTCATAATGACGAAGCATTAATGATCTAGAAGCTATTATTAACCTAGTTCCTTCTAATACCAATGCTAAAGAGGTAATTATTTCTGAGTCCTATAAAAAATCAATATATATATATATATTAAAATACATACACCATTTATAAAACATATCTTCTCTCCTGTATCAATATTAATTATTTTAACGTCCTCTCCTAATGAACTAGAAAAAATATATCCATCTGCTGATAAAGAAACACTTCCTCCGGTATAAACAGGTTCTATAGATTTTTCAATTATAAAACTAAATTAAAACAAATTTAAAAGATACAACCAATTATAAAAAATTCTTACCTAGTTTTTAAAGCCGTAGCTTTTGAAGACAAAGTCATTAAAATTATTTTTTCAAAATTCTTATCGCAAGCTATATAAATTGTCACAATATTTAATATAAAAGCATTCTCAATCTTAGATAAAAAATCCTTAAAAAATATCATCAAAATTATATAAAAATATAAAAAATAATTTTTTAATACTTCAGTTTATAACAATGTTAAAATAATAAAATTAATTACCTTAAAATAACTTGATTATTATAACATTATCATAATAAATTTAAAATATAAGTTTCTAAAAATGTTTTTAAATTATCAAATTCTTCAATAATACATATTAATCAATACTTTAAATATATAAAATATAAGTTAATTAAATAATAAATTTCAAAATATTAATTAAACTATTTAAAATATTTAAAAAATATTTATTTCTATTTTTAAAAAATACTATTTTTATTCGTTCAAAAATTATTAAATCTTTCTATAATATTTAAACTCATTTAAATATAATATTTAACTATTTTTATCTTAAAGTATTATTTACTAAATATATCTAAATTATAAAATTTTAAATTAGATAAAATCTATAAAAAATATAAAATGTAATACTTTGAAGAGTATTCATTAAATTCTATAACTTATATTTCATTAATATACATTCGATAAATGAATGTAAGCATACAAAAAATTATATATTTATTAATATTAATTTTCTCGAATTTTATAGAAAAATTACTTATTTTTAAGCCTTTTTCTTTCACCACCTCCAACTTTTTTCATTATAGGCAATTCACAAAGTTCTTCACCTTGTCTTTTTTAAAATATAAAATCAAAAAAACATACAAATAGAATAAACTACCTATATTTTTCCCTCCAGAGTAATATATATTTCCTTGTTTTTGTATTTATCCCATTAATCTTCATTTGCATACTTGTTTGAGTAAAAAGATCGCTCCATGACTAAGAACATCAATACAATAAAATTTATAACCACCATATTACTTTAAACTTAGATGCACATATATTAGCAGAATTTCTACCAATTTTTAATAAAAACGCATTTACCGAATCTACACTGCCTAAAAAGCGAATTAAAATCTACAAAACTTATCATATTTATATTCCTTTCTTCTCAGGCACATTAACATTAAAAAATGAAGAGTAGAATCTTTTTAACATTCCATAAATATAAAAATTGAAATTATATTTGTAAAAAAATTTACTAAATAAGAACTTTTTTGAACATTAATTTACGATTCAATTTTTAAATTATTTTAAAATGAATAACAATATAGAAGCTTTGAAAAAATTACGCACAATAAATACTTCATGCCCAGAAAGCGTTTTAAAATTATCAAAGCCTATAGTACTATCAAATAACTATAGTTTATTTGGAGATGAAAGTAAATTTAAGCTCATTGTAAATGGGTTACTTTTTTAACGAGATATAGTTTGGGAAATATATGAACAAACTTTTTTAGCAGCTTTAGAAATAGGAGATGATGAATTAGCAAACGTATTGCTATTAGAAACATTTTAAAATAAAGATATAATTAATATAGCAATGTCTCACAAAACTTTTAAAAAAATTTCCTACATCTATATCAGTCATCGTTCTTAAAGGATTGTATTTAGAAGCAATAGGAAATACATCAGAAGCACTTAAATATTACAGCGATATCCTTTCCATGAATGAATCAAATATTGTAAATCTATATTTCATTTATATTCCCAATTAATTATTTTTATAATAGCCTATTTCAAAACGTCGAATAGCTTTGCTTCGATCATTAGGAAGAACAGAAGAAGCTGTAAATGAGTTAGTGAAGTTTTTAGACATATGGTATTTAGATACAGAAGCATGGGCAGAACTAGCTGATATTTATTTTTCATTTCACTTGTAAACCCTAATTTAAATTAATAATCATTATTTAATTATAGTAGGTACAAAAAAGCTTCATTTTGTTATTCAGAATTATTGTTATTGCAACCATTTTCACATTTAATCCATGCTCGTTATGCATTAGTTTTATACATACAATCATTTACTGAACCCGATTTACTTCATATAGCTACAAAAGAATATCTTAGATCTATTGAACTTTATAATAACTTCTTGCAAGGATTTTGTGGATTAAAACAGGTAAAAACTCATTGTTTATATAATTTAATTTTATACTAGTGTTGTATATCTCTTTTAAAACAACCATCTTCTTTTTGGAATAATAATAAAAGAATAACTGTAGGGACAAATCTTTTAGAAGAAAAACCTCTTAAGTTAAAAAAAGTTAAGTCTTTAGATGATATGGCCTCGAAGATGCTAAAAAAATTTTTACATGAAGGGAAACCACCTATCAATGAGAAAAATCTACAGAAATTCATTAAAAGCCTTATTGAATCTTAAAGATATCAAAATCTAACATTTATATAAAATAAAATGAAACATATGCAAAATATCATATAACTTTTCTTTAAGCATGCGTTTATTAACTTTTTTAATTAAATTTAAAATTAATATAAATATATATAATATAAATATATATCAAGTTAACTACTATAAAATACTATAAAATAATATTTTCCATATACGTTAAATCAAATTTAAAATATATAAACAAAAAATATACTAGATCAGTAAATATATTTAAAAATATATTTTTTTTATTTCTAAATTTCTAATAATTAACATCATTTTGAATCTAGACAATATATTAAGTTACCAAACACAAGATCTAATTTCAAATAAAAAATGAAATCTAGAAAATATAATATTTTATATCATTCTGTTTTATAAAAAATATATCTTTAAACAGATAAGATATTTAATCCACAACATTCACTCAAATTTAATATAATTTACATAAATATAAAAATAAAGATTTATGAAAAATGAATATTTTATTTTTTTTCTAAAAACACAAATAACATTTCTTTAAAACTTAAAAAAATATACTTAAAAATCAAAGATATATATTCCAAATAACCTTCAAAGTCTCCAGATAATAAGTTTTCTAAAAAACTAAAAATTTTATCAAAAATAAAAAACAAAAACATACCCATCAATCCCTGAGCTACTTAAGATAGTTGAAGTTTCATTTTTCTGATAAATAAACAATTGTCTAAAATCTTTTTAGAAAGTACCATAAAACATATAAATATACGTAATAGTATTCTGATGTATTGTAGACAAAGACATATCCTCAGAATTCCCTTTCACTAAATTTAATTAACTTGAAAATTCAATTACTTTATAATATACATACGATCCATATCTCTAAATGAATTTTTTAAAGTATTAAATGTATAATTTTCTAAATCATCATCACGAATTTTAGGTTGTAAGCCGTCTATTTCTCTAACGAATTTCCTATATAATCAGCATAATCATAAATAAAAATTAAAAAAACCATCCATTGATATTTCCTCGAAAACATGCCAACTGAGAACTATAACCAGCAAAAATGATTTCAAATTCATTAATCCATACTAAAGTTACATAAGGCAACTGAGATAGATTTACTGTAAAAATAACAGGAGGATTTTCATTGCCACTAGGATAAACTATCGTAATAGATGATGAATGAGCTAAATTAAATAAGAAAAAAAAACAAAATGTATGTTAAAAACCAGTAAAAGCCAACGCATTTCCAGATGGAGAAAATCTAAGTAGAATATTAGAATATTTAAAATAAACAAAAAAATCATTACTTAGCTTCATAAACCCATCCCCCAGTAATACTCGAAAATTCGCCACATACAGTATTAAATGGAAGTCGAGTCCCCCAGACTGTTGGCTCAGGCTTTTGATCTATATCTTTAATATATGTAGAAAAAACCCGAGCCTAAAAATCAGATATAATTTAAATAATTGTAACTTTTTTAACCTTCATATCAACCGATCCAGAGGCAAGAAGAACATTTGCAGGATGCCAATCTACAGACAAAACTGTACTGCGAATAGGCTTTTTTATATGTTTACTAACCCACCAATCATTTTGCTCTTCAAAATAACACACAGATATAACTTTAGCACCACTAGCAACAGCAAACTTATCTTCATTTGGAGACCAACGGACACATGTAGCAGCGCGATTAATTCTCAAAAGTACAAGAGTCGGTTTCCAAGATCCATCTTGTGAAGGATTCCAAACATAAGCATTTCTTAAAAGGATTTCAAAAATTACGTTCCAAAGAATTCGTATATACCTGTCTTGAGAACATGTTACAATTTTATTTGTACGAGGAGCCCAATCTAAACTTGTTACCAATTTATCATGCTAATTTACATTAAAATCATTGTACAACAAAACTCAAATAACATACGCCTACAAGAGAATCCTTAAACTCGAATCCAGTATCTTTTGATTCATATATTTCGACGCAATTACTAGAACTCAATACTACCTCTACTCGATTAGCTACATTTTACTAATAATAATAAAATACGATTTTTCTGTTTATTAAAAGCATGAGCAGTAATTGGAGCTCCAAACTGCAACACAGTTGTTCCAATATTAACCATCTTTAATTCTTAATATATTCTTTTAAAATAAGACTAGAAATCTAATATCTACTGTCAATTATCGTTCCGAGATTAACTAACATTAAAAAATTAAAATATAGAATATATTCTAAAAAAAAAAGATATTTTGCAACATATGTCTGGTTTTGAAAAAAAGAATTAACAAAATGAAAATTAATTAGAAATAAGTCATACTTGGAGTACTTTTTCAATAAAATTGACAATAAAAATTAACACAAATTTATAAAAATATTATTATAAAAAAGAAAAACAATTTTTTTCAAAAATACAGAGCAAAATCTTACGAGTTAATGATATTAGTATTTTTGCTTTTTAAATTAAACAATTTAAGTTTTAATTTTCATATTAAATTTAAAAATTAAAATAATTACAGAAATTTTAGGATATCGTATTTAGAATGTCATACTATTTATCTGAATTCTCATCTTTTAATACTTCTCATTCCTTTTGTCTTATAATAAATCCACCAAATTTTAAAATATTATATAAATCAACATTTCAGAAGACAATATTATAAAAATAATATAAAAAACAAAAAGCATCATAATATGTTCATATTTTATAAATCTTTATTATTATTATACTATGCCATAAAAAAATAACACGTAAAAAGATATAAGTAAAAAACTAACATAAACATCCAATCGGATACAAAACTCATTTAAATCATTTTATTCCCAGTAAACTAAAAACAACAACGTATGTTACATAAACCAAAACAATATTAAAATAAAAATTAATTATTGATATCATCATCTTCTCTAAACCTCTTTACCCCTGCTATCATTCCTCCTCCTACTGCAGACATCCTTAACTCTTTATCCAATTCTGGAATAGGTATTTTAAAAGTCCCGTCAAGCTTTGCTATTGCATTTGACTTTCGCCTTGCATACTCAATTTTCTACGATAAAAATAAAAAAATAAAGTCATATAACTTATAAAAACATACCATTTCCTTTCCAAAAAAAACAAATCCTTGCAATGCTCTCATAGCCGCCGTGGCAGACGCAACATCTCGAAAAACAATATGAGCTTGACCTCTCATTTTCATAGTTTTTAACGCAATAATATCTAAAACAGGACCATAAAAACTAAACAAACAGTAGAGCGATTGCCTTAGATCTCCATAAAAGATTAATATCTAATAAAACACATTCTTTTAACAAACCTTCTTTTTTAATCTTATCATTTAAATTTTTACAATAAAGTGATACATTAGGAGTATCCATATTTTTAAAAGTCCTTTATGTCTATAAAAACACAGAAGAAAAAGCAAACTAACAAATATTTGAATTATTTCTAATATTTAACAATTAAAAATACATAAATATTTTTCATCGATCCTAATTCGAAAAATCACTAACTCAAATAATTTAACAAAATTAAAATTTTGCATTAAATTATTTTTTACAACATCATTTCTATATAAAATCAATATGGGAGTGTTTAAAAGTATTCTTAAAATACTAGGAATAGAAGATTCTCTACTTGGATTAATAATACTTGTCTTAACACTTTTTTTTGTTTCTCATATTTTTCCTCAATTAGTAAGAATCCACAACAAAAAATATCAAGAATATTAAAAAATTAGCACCAAAAGGATCCATCAAGACCTCCTGTGGTATTTCATTGGCTTCCCTTTATCGGATCTACTATACAATATGGACTGGTATGTAAAATATTCTAAATAGAAATTAAAAACTAAAGTTATGCACAGGACCCATATAAGTTTTTTCAAGAACAACAAAAAAAGGTTATGAAGCTTATGAGTACATAAGTTTCTAATTTTTGCAGCATGGAAATATCTTTACTTTCATTTTACTTGGAAGAAAGATGACAGTAGCATTAGGACCTAAAGGCAATGATTTAGTTTTCAATGGAAAACTATCAAGTTTATCAGCAGAAGAAGCGTATACTCATCTGACAACACCCGTTTTTGGTACAGATGTTATTTATGATGTTCCTAACCATATATTAATGGAACAAAAAAAATTCATAAAAATTGGCCTTACTACGGAGACATTTAGATCTTATGTTCCAATGATCATTGAAGAAGTAAAAACATATTTGGAAACTAGTCCACTTTTTGGAAAAAATAGGTTATATGGTATTTCATCTTTAATGAAAGCTATACCTGAAATAACAATTTTTACTGCTTCTCGCACTCTTCAAGGAAAAGAAGTACGCAGCAAGTTTGATGCATCATTTGCTGAACTTTATCATGATTTAGATAAAGGATTTACTCCAATTAATTTTTTAGCTCCATGGTTGCCACTTCCAAAAAATCGTTTACGTGATATTGCTCAAAAAAAAATGGCACAAATCTATATTAATATTATAAAAAAAAGAAGAACTGACAAAAATCCAGAAGAAGATATGATTTGGAATCTTATGAATCAACAATATAAAGATGGTCGTAAATTAACAGACAAAGAAATTGCACATTTAATGATTGGAATATTAATGGCAGGTCAACATACTAGCGCAGCAACAGGAGCATGGGCTTTATTGCATCTTGCAGAAAAACCAGAGTATATGTATTACCAAAGAATATTAATATAATAATTACTAATTAAATTAGCAAACTATTACTCGAAGAACAAAAAAGAGTTTTTGGAAACAACTTGGACAATTTAACATATGATCATTTCAAAGATTTAGAATTATTGACTTATGTAATAAGAGAAACCCTAAGATTACATCCTCCTCTTCATAGTATAATGAGAAAGGTCAAATCACCAATAACAGTAGAAAACTCGCCTTACGTTATCCCTAAAGACTACTATTTATTAGCAGCACCTGGTTTTAGTTCAATTGATGAAAAATACTTTAAAGACGCATTGAAATTTATACCTGAAAGATGGAAATACGAAAAAAATACAGAAGACTCTGATAAAATCGATTATGGTTATGGTCTAGTTACTAAAGGTGCATTTTCACCCTATTTACCCTTTGGTGCAGGGAGACATAGATGTATTGGAGAGCAATTTGCATACGTAAGCCTTAAATATTAATTATACTTTATTAATACCTTAGATGCAACTTGGAACTATTATTACAACATTTGTCCATGAGTTAGACTGGACTCTACCAAAAAACCAAACAGCTTTTCCAGGGCCTGATTATACTGTAAATCCATAAAAATATTTTTCAATAATTTCTAAAAATATTTAGAGTATGGTGGTATTACCTGAAAAACCTTCTAACATTGAATGGAAATGGAGACAAAAAAATTAATATAGCATCTAAATAATATCTACAATATATTACTAACAACATTTTTAAATAATTTTTTCATTTTTTTTTAATTTTATGAAAATCATTCATTAAAAATATTTCTATTTAAAATTCATTTATTGACATTAATGTTGAAATTAACAAAATTTCCTATATAAATCATTATTTTTATAAGAATTTAATATAAATATTCTATTTAAATTATTCAAATATACAGCATAAGCAAAATCTGAATAGATCAATTAGATTTAAAATAAATATAAATTTTTATATAATTCAAGTTTTAAATACAATTTATCATAAAATCTATCAATATTTGATACCAGTAAATTATTATATTTCAAAACTTTCAAATTATTTTTGCCCTTTAAAAAATATAATTTATTATTTTTTGATAAATAATTTTTTTTAACTTATGTATCCTTATTTAAAAACAAGATTATACAGTAAATAATATATCTAATAACATATCCTTCTTTACTTAAAAAGCACACTAAACTATTTCTAGCCATTTTCATATCAATAAACCTTTATCAAACCGATAAACCAAAACATCGAGGGTTAAAAATAACGGACCCCCATCCCTGATACAATAAAAGTTCAAAATTAAAACAAATTAATATTCATATACAGCAATTCATCATAAAACATACTAAAAAAATAAGTTTTTAAAAAGAAAAATAAACATTTATTTAGAATCTTATTCATAATATAAATATATATTAATTTTTCTAACAAAAAAATAATACATTCACTCATAAATATTAAAATGGGATAAACTTATTATGCCTTTTGTAAAAATGACTAACTTTCTATAGAATGACATTCATAAAAACGTTTCCCAAAGCTGTATTCAACATGTAGATCCAGAAGAAATATATCTACGGCAAGAAAAAATTGGTATCTAAATATAAAAAAAAAGAAGCCTTTTTCTAAAAATAACAGGTTCAGGAAGTTTCGGTTCAGTATATAAAGGGTAAAGATAAATAATATCTATATTATATCGTTTATTTGCTTTAGTTTTAATAAAAAAACCCGTCGACCTGTAGCAATCAAGATTATAGACTTAGAAAGCACAGAAGATGAAGTAGAAGATGTTATGTTAGAAATAAATATTTTAAGGTAACTTTATAGTATTCTATGAGACAATAACATTTCTAGTCAATTAAATTCTCAATTTATTACAAGGTTTTTCTAATAGAAAAAAAATATTTATTAAAATTATTAGATATTATGGATCCTATTTAAAAGATACCAAACTTTGGGTTAATACAAACAGTTTCTTTAATTAAATTTTCTAACAATAAGTATAGATTATAATGGAATATTGTTCCGGAGGATCTTGTTCTGATTTAGTAATATTATTAAATAATAATATCAATTTAGTAATATTACGTAGATGAAACCAAGACCAATAGAGGAAGAATACATAGCAATTATAATGAGAGAAATACTACGTGGACTAGAATATCTTCATAACGAAGGAAAACTTCATAGAGATATTAAAGGTAGCTTTTTAAGTTTTGCATTTACACATTAAATTAAGATTTTAAGCGGCAAATATTCTTTTGAATTCTACAGGTGATGTCAAACTAGCAGATTTCGGTGTATCAGGACAGCTTACTGCTACTATGAATAGGAAAAATACATTCGTGGGAACTCCTGTAAGATAAAAAAATTAAAATTTTAGCCCTAAAAAGTCTAGTTTTGGATGGCACCTGAAGTAATAAAACAATCAGGATATGACTTTAAAGTAATTATTAATTTTAAAGATATTTTATAACTTATTTAAATTAGGCAGATATATGGTCTTTAGGAATTACGGCTATAGAATTGGCAAAAGGGGAACCACCATATGCAGAATTACACCCAATGAAAGTATTGTTTTTAATACCTAAAAATGATCCTCCACTATTAGATGGTCCATTTTCATCAGCTTTTAAAGACTTTGTACGTCTATGTTTACAAAAAAATACAAATAATGTAATTCATATATAAAATATTTTATTTTTATATAAAAACAGATCTTATAGCGTCCAAGTGCGAAAGAACTTCTAAAACATCGTTTTATACGAATGGCTAAAAAGACATCTTACTTAACAGAACTTATAGAAAGGCATGAGCGATGGATATCACAAGAAAGATACCGAAAATATGACGATGGCTCTGGTGCAGAAGATGAAGAGTATTTATTCTTTTTCAGAAATGTATTTCTAAAAATTATAGATTATCATCCGATTCATTTGATACTTATTGGGAGTTCGAGACACTTAAATATGAAACAAAACGAGAAAATGGACTACAATATATACAAAAACCCTTAGATAATTTCTACAATAAAAAAGATACAAAAAAAATTCAAAAACAAACGGATTATCATATACCACAACAAAGTCCAAGAAACAACTTTGTACCAGCAGAAGAAAATTCAGCTTATGATTCAAGCACAATTCGAGAAATATACTCTAGAAAAGAAAATATACCTCCAAATGAATTTATGAAAGAACCATTTTTGCCAATTCAGTCAGCATTAAGATCTACAGAAGTTCTAAATAATTTAAGACCAAATACATGTACTATAGACTCTAACACTCAATTAGATGGTTTATATAATAATAACCATAATTCTCATAATTCTCAACAGCTTAGTGATTTTACATCACAAAACCATACAAATATAACAAATTCTTTACATAATAATTCTCCAGAGAAACAAACAGAATGGAAATCAGCAATTTCACGTGCATTTAAAAAAGTATATTATATTTTTTTTTTTGAAAATAAAATTATTCTAAATTTTATAGTTGGAAAAGTGTTATTTTATATCAACCGAAACACATATTTATCTTCAAAAGCTTAAGAAAATACTCCAAGAAATAGATGAAAATTGTCCTAACCTACTCAATATTTTAATGAATGAAATTTTTATTAATGGAAACATGAAAGAGTATTCAGAAAATTTAGAGAATTTACAATTACTTCAGCTTTAAAAAATATTAAGATGCTAAAAACTGTTTCACTTATATTGAAAAAAATATCTATGCTAATTTCCTCTTAATTATACCAATCAGCTTTATATAATATTCATTTTTAATAAAAACTTCAAGTCCTATACAAAACTATAAAAATAATATCGAATTTTTAAAAACAATTTCCTTAAAGCTATTGAAAAGGATTTCTTTTTTTATTCTGAATACTCTTTAAAATACATTTCATTAAAAACAACCCATTTATAAAATTTTAGAAAAATACATGAATAGCATCATACTATTATTTTAAATACATTTAAAAATAAAAATATACTAAATATAAAAAACTGGATAAGCTCAAATTTAAATTAAATCAAATAAAACCGAATTAAATCTATATACAATATAATTATTCTTTCGCATTTTAATTTTTTTTTATTTTCTTTTATTAAATATCCTTAATACTAAATTACCTATCTCTTATTTTTCTTTATAAACTTTTTTCATATTTTCTAATTCGTAATTTGTTTTAGATATATTTGCAAAAAATAAAATAATTTTTTCAATCTTTCTTTTAGTCATTCTTTTTTAAATGTTTATTGAAATCTGTTTTGTAAAATTCACCTCGAACAAATTTTTTTGAAAGACTACCACTAAGGGAATCTACATAAGATTTTTTGAAAATAGAGTTGTATTTAGAGTTCTCGTACTGAGAATTTAAGTTATTTAAACGCGCAAATATATCATTTAAATCATTCAAGTGAGTTAAGGACAAAGAAACATCTGGAATAAATCGTTTTCCTCCACAAAAAGCAGAAACATTTTCAGTTTTTCCATGATTATTCTTTCCGAGACCTAATCCAGGTGCCCATCCATAAGATGAAAGAAACTTAAATCCAAATCTATTTGTATCTAAAAAAAACTTAAAAAAATAGAAATTTAAAAAATCAAATATTAACCTTTCACCCAGTTAATATTTCTAGGATCTTTTCCTATTCTTTGCTTATTTTTTACAGTAGCTAAACCCATTTTGAATTTTAACAACGTCGATCGTGCTAACAAAAATCAAACCTTATTTATCTACACTCAAATCTTTTGACTAAATCATATGTCTTATAAAGCATTTATTCAAATCTAGAAATATCAATTTTATATATCTATTTCTTTTATAACTCTTACAAAATCTATTTGTTTTGTAGCACAAATTTAGATATATTTAATAACGTAAAGCTCTTTTATTTATCAAACCAAAAGAAAGATTTTTAATTTGCTAAGAATTTATATTTTAGTAAAATACTTTTAGTTTGCATTTTAGCTTTAAATGAGTACAAAAAACAGCTTTCAGAAAGAAGAAATACTATCTTCACCCTCTTCTAAAAATTCCAATAATGATGAGTAATTGCAAAAAAAAAATAAATTACAGGATACTGATTCATTTATAGTTTTTTTTCCTTTGAAGCAATAATTACAAAATTTAAAAGTAATAAGACATTTCATAACATTTCAAACTAACATTTTCAGATAAATCTCATGAAAGAAGAAAAAAAAAACATAATGAAATTCAATCATTGTATCTAAAGAATATAAATTCGATCGAAAAACAATTAAAATCAATTATAGAAAAAAATAAAGCCAAAATGTAAAATAGACTTTAACATTTAAACAATTATAAAACTAAAAAAAACAGAGCTAAACAAAATTCTCAAAAAATAGACCAGCTAAAACACCTCCTTAAACGCAAAAAAGAAAACGAACAAATGCTTATAAAAGAAGTAGAAGCAATAGAAGTATTGATAACATGTTATTTTAGAAAACTAATAATATTAGATAATTTTCAATAATATAAAAACAAATCTATTAACGAACTTTAAAAAGCCTGCATTCCCGTATAATTAATTTCTATATATAAACAAAATACAACTATAATATAAATAATATATCCAAAATTGCTTATAATTATCTAGATAGATATTAAATACATTATTCAGAATCAGCATACAAATATCCTTTTAACTCCTTTAACAACCCATTTGATACTCTCATATCCTAAATACAATTAAAAAATCATTTTTTTAATTTACCATTTTTTTCTTTATCTTTTCTTTTATTGTATTTTTTCCTATTTTCGCAAATTCTTGAATTATTTAAACTTTTTTTAGTCTTTTCTATCTTATTTAAAAGCTCTATACTCCTTTCCTCTTCATTCATACTAAATTTTTGCAAAGCAGTACTGTCTACTTGGAGAATGCTTTTTGAAAATTTATTAGATAACAAATAACCAGGGTTATCGTTTTCGCTATCTGATATTATCATATTCTCAGGCACCTCATCAGAAATAATATCCACGGACTTAAAAACAATATCTTCATGAATATTTTTCTGTTTAACTTTTCTTCCTAAATTTTATTAATCAATAATAATTTACTAACAAAGAATACTACTCGTTTGAAGAATATTAGGTATTTCTAATCTAACAATAGGAATATTAATTTCACTTTTGTCTTCTAGGGAAATAGATGGACAAGATGATATATCTCCAGATATATAAAATGGATCGTCACGAAATTTCTCACTTTTTTTAACTTGTAGCAAATATTCACTAGAAGAAAAATTATTTGAAAAACTCTCTATATTTTTTTGAACTAATGACTCATCATCAACAAATATAGAATCATAATCAAAACGTAAACTTGGTGGCGAATATATCCAATCATCTAAATTTATATCTTCTAATAATGGAATCTTTTTTTGTACTTTCAATGCAACTGGATTAAGATTATCAGAAAACATTCGAAATAAAACTTCAGTAAAAAAAGACATTAAATAAGAAGCATTAGAAAAATTATTTAGAGACCCATTAGTATCATCGAAACTTGAATCAAAATTAGAAAATTCAACAACAGACTGTGTAATCCTAAAAACTTCTCTAAACTCTATTGCACGCTGTGAAACATCTAAATCATTAGATGTACAAAATTTATCTAAAAAAAAAAAAATTTTTTGAATCCACACCAAAGACTCAATCTTTTTTTCCATATCCCAATATGTAATCTGCTTAAGCATCCAATTTATAAAGACTTTCGGTATGGCCTGAATGTAAAATTTTTTAATATTTGAAGGAAAATTCAAAACTTTAGGCTGAAGCATATTTTCAAGAACTTCATAATAAGAATCCAAAAGACTAAGAATACTTTAAATACAAAAAATAATCTAAACTGCAATTACCTTGAATATTCACCTACTATCCAAGCAACAAAAGACAAAACACCAATATTACTCTCTGGATCATAAATGCTATCAATTAAATCCACATCACAAAGAAGCCTAGAAAAAAGGCTTACAGCATATGGCCTTGACGACACAACCCTTACACTTACATTTCGCATTTCGACACCCAATATTTCATACACATTTACTTTTGAAATCTTCACCAATTTAGCTAATACTGATATATACCACTCAAAATCTGAAATATTAACATAAGAGTCTTTCGATGAAACTAACAAAATCTTCTCTACTACACAACTACGGTAATATTTAGGCAATGAATCAAGTGGTAATAATAATTGAGTCATTAAATATTTTACAATTTCCGAAAGGTTCTCCTTATTAACTAAACACTCTATTAAGTTCAGGGACTGTAATCGTATATCTATATCATCATCATCAAGATGTTCCAAAATAATATCCTCAAACTCTAGTACTAATGTAGGATAATTAACCATAACTTTAGATAAAATTGATAAACCGATATATTTCACTTTATATTTTAGTAAAATAAAATAATAATAATAAAAATTACAATTATAATCAGTATTTTGAAAAAATGTTCTTAACTTAGAAACAAATGAATTAGTCAACATGTCAGAATCGGAATCATTTTTTAAAAAATTTCCAAATATTATAATATTCATACATTCATACCTAAGAGACACTGCTGACGTATTTTGGATAAGAGTCGTCAAAAAAGGAAGAAGTTTCTTAATTAGTCTTGGTTCTAAAGGTATCATAGATGAAAACTAAAATTAGTTAGAAAATGTTAATATATTAATCATATACTATTTTAATTAATTTCATAAGTATCCAATTATTAGAAGTTGTTTTTAACAATTTATAAAGAATAGGAGCCAACTGTAAATAATTTTTAGGATTCTTCATAGAAAGCTCGCATATAACATTAACAGTAGCAGACACAACCGCTATTTCAAATATTAAAGTTTCCAAAAACTAAAAGAAGCCTACATTCATCTGTGTCCTCTAATTTTTCACAAATTTTTGGAAATGTACTCCTTAGTGCATCTGGATACTGTAAAAATATCCTGTACATCACTAAAACAACCCTCTTTCTAATATATGGATTTGAATGATTCATCATAGAACATAAATCATACAATAAATCACGGGAAAGCTCTGGAGTAGTAATTTCTGACAAAGCATTAATAGCAACCCCAATATCAATATAATTAGAAGACATAAGATCCTAAATACTTAAATAAAATTAAATATATATTATTATACCACTTTTTTAATAAGATTAGTACATAGCATCAAAACATCAGTATCTTTCCGAAATGAAAGACATGACGCCATATAACCAATTCTTTTTTGAAAAAAAATACTAGAAGACATAACTTCTATAATATTAAACGATGTCCATGACATATCATAACCAAACATAGTCAACTAAAAAGATCAATTAAACGTATAAAAAAAAAATATTTAATTACATATGCCAACTTCAAAATTGCCATTGTTTTTATATTAAGATCCAGAGATTTTACTTCATATTTACATTCGAGAATAGCTTTTTGAATATATTTTTTTTCTTGATTCTTATTTGCTCTAAGGCCTCGAATAAAATCCTTGAGACTTTTCTCAAATACCATATTCTTAAGCAATCGCCATTACTATATACAACCTACAATTAATCTTTTTATTAAAATCATTTTAAAATTTAATAAAATCTTAAAATATAAAAAAATCTTAAAATATAAAAAATAAAAAAGAAAAAAAATAAATATTTATATACAACTAATAAAAAATAAATCCACAAATAGACAAAATAAAGAAAAAACTCAAAATTTATTCATAAAAATAGGAATTCATTCAACCTAAAATAAATAATAATAATAATAATAATAAAGAACATACAGTAATTGATTTTGCAAGATTTCTAGGATGATCAACATCATACCCCCGAAATATAGCAAGCCAATAAGACATTAATTGAAGTGGAATGATATTTAATATACCCTACAAAAATTACAAATATATTTATAATTAACATAATATATTATTATACCTGCAAACAGTCAACAGTTTCTGGAACACGAATAATTCGATTATCCATATCTATAAGTGATGTATCTGACTTATTAAGAATAACAATAGGTTTTCCTTTACGAGATAACACTAAAACATTAAAACAATAATAACTAATAATTTTTACCTTGATATAAAGCACTTTGAACTTTGGAATAAAACTTATCTTTAGTCATAAGCATAATAATTGGAAAATTTTCATCAACTAAAGCTAATACACCTAACAGCTATAAAAAATTAAAAAAAGTATTATCTTATAGATACCATGTTTTAATTCAGCGGATTGAACACCTTCTGAATGTATATAAGATATCTCTTTTATTTTCAATGCGCCTTCTAAAGCCGTTGCATGCTGATAACCTCGACCAACTAACAATAAAGAAGAATGTGCAAGAAGAGTTTCTTGGCTTAATTTCTTTATCTGAAGATCCATTGAAAGTACTTCTCGAATCTGATCGCTAAGATGAGATAAAGCATCTATAATTTCAAAACGACGCATTCTTTTTGAAAGGGAATCTTGGGAAAAATATAAAGCAATTAAAACCTTAAACCGTTTAGACATGTTAATACAAGAATACAATCAAACCATAACAACAATTTGAGAAGTATATGCCTTTGTAGAACCAACACCAATTTCAGCACCGCAATTAATATGAACACCACAATGTGTTTCTCTTGAAATAGATGAACCAACAACATTAACAATACCAAGAGTTAAAGCTCCATGTTCTAAACAATATCGAAGGGCTAAAAGAGAATCTACAGTTTCACCAGATTGAGAAACAAAAACACAAATATCATCACGGAATACAGAGCACTGTCGATCAAGAAAATCTGAAGCTATTTCTACAGTTACAGGAATTTCTGTTAACTCTTCCATTAAAGCACGGGTCTATAAATTTTAGAAGCATTTTTTTATAACAAAAAATAATACAGCTATACAAGAATGATATGATGTACCGCAGGCAATAAAAATCATTCGTCTACATTTTTTTAATATTGATAAATACTCCTTCAATCCTCCAAGAGTAACCGTTTTTTTCTTAAAATCTATACGACCACGCATAGTATTTACAATCGATTCAGGCTGCTCAAATATTTCTTTCTGCATATAATGATCGAAATTCCCCTTCATAACATTTGCTAGTTCCATTTCTAAAGTCTGAATAGACCTAACAAAGGGCTCGCCATCTTCTCGGCGAAGACGATGTATGCGAAGTTTTCCATTACTAATGTGAGCAATATCATCATCTTTTAAATAAAGGACACGATTAGTATGCTCAACAAGCGATGATGGATCAGATGAAATAAAAAATTCAGCAGAAGGGAAAAACTCTGCATCATTTATATACCGTTTAATTTGATTATATTTAAAATCAATACTAAAAATATCAGTAGATAGAAAAATTAAAGAATATTCATTAACTCTTCATTTATAACATCAAATGAACTTTCTTGAATCTCTGAAAACTCAACGTCTACATATTCTGTATTAATATTTTTTTCCATTTTAACACCAATTAAAAGAGAAGACCCTTTTCGTGTAGCAATAATTTCATTCGGAAAATGAATACTCTTGATAAGAAATGCAAACGCACCCTCAAGCTCACTAACCACCATTTTTGCCAAAGTAACGAAATCTATATTCTTATTTGTATCATAAACATATTTAGCCAATTTAACTGCACATTCAGTATCAGTATCCGTCTCAAAAACATATCCTTTCTTCTCCAAAACCAGTCTAAGTTCTCTAAAATTTGTTATAATTCCATTATGAACAGCCATAAACTCATATTTTTCATCTGATCTATATAAAATTAGTATTATAATTCTAGAGCAGAGATAAATAACCTATGAGGGTGACAGTTTAAACGAGAAGGCTGCCCATGAGTTGCCCATCGAGTATGAGATATACCACAATGAGACGAAAATACTTTAGAAATATCATATACTCCTTCTTGAACAAGTTTACGAAGTTCAGAAACTTTACCAACTTCTTTAAAAATAAGAACCTCATTCTTATTGTCACCATCAACAACAAGACCTGCAGAATCATAACCGCGATATTCCAACTTTAAAAGGCCTATAGATAACAGTTTATCAATTTTACATAACCTAAAACAATTTTAAAACCATTACCCTCTAATAAAACATTAAGAATATATGATCGTTCGCGCTTCACACCATGATTTACATATCCAAAAATTCCACTAAAATATGCTCTTAAAAATTTTAATAAATATAACAATTTATTATTTACCACATTTTGACAATTATAAAATTATTATTAGTTCAGATTTAATTTTTTTTTCTAAAAAACAAAAAATACTATTTTTCACAAAATAGTATTACCCAATACTTTATCAATTAATAGTATTACCCAATACTTTATCAATTTATACTAATACTTAAATTTTTAAATAAAACATACGTAATTTACCGTAAATTAAAAATTAACGTATCAATTAAAAAATATAAATATTTTATTAAAAAACCAAAAATTTAGATCAAACTTTTATATTGTATAAATCTATAAATCTAAAAAAAACAGGAAGCATGGTTATAAAATCTATAAAAAATAATATAAATCAAATATACAAATTTTTAAAAAAACTGATAAAAATTATATATTTGTCATAAGATATTAACACTTCCAGTTAAAAGGAATATATTTATTTGATGTTAAGAGGGAATTGCTATCTTAAGATTAACAAAAAGAGATTCTTTATTTAAAAGTTTCAAGCTCATTGTGTATACGTCGTAATAATAATAATTTCATTTAATCTTTTTTTTTTTAAAATATATATCTGAAGATTTAGAAGAAATTTCAGACAAATTTTCATCTGAATGAACAAACATTTTTGATAGTTTCTCCGAAAGTTCAACATCAAAAGCCTGACCTAATGATGATGATTTATCCCTATCATTATTAAACATAAAAAACAATAAAAAGAACGATACATTAATAACATAGGTGAAACTCTAGGTCTTGGAGGAAGCCGAGGCTTTTCAATAACATGTGATCCTAAATTTGATTCCATAGATAAAAACCTTTTATCTTTGTCTGATTTCGCAATATTATGAAAAAAACCTAAAGAGCTCTTAACACTAGAAACGGATTCAGTCGATGGACTTTTAATAGCAGCTTTTAAAAACATATTTTCCAAACATTTCTTTTTTTTATCTGTACTTAAAAACATGACTTATAATATTAATTTCAATAAAAAAGAAGAAAAACATACATTTCTTTTTATCACTTTTCAAATGATACGTATCTTCTGAATCAATCATATCACGTACAATATCATTATTATTAGATTGTTCAATCCTTAATTTCCTAAAATTATATATTTCTTTTCTAAGTTTTTCTTTAAATTCTTCATCTATAATCGTAATAGAAGCTTCAAAATGAGCATATACAGGTTTATGATCAGAAAAAGTTAATGGAGAAGAATTATAAGACAATTGACGTAGCTTAATAAAGTTATCAACGAATAAAACATACATATTTTTTTACATTAGAACCTTTATAAAGTATACGGTCAGTCCATGAAGGTGTTCTTTGTTTTTCTCTAATTTTATAAACAATATTATAAAACTATAAAAATATCTTACGAAGTATTATAATTATTTGTCCCATTATCAAATTTATAAGTCGGAGGAAAAATTATTTGTGATTCAGAATAATACGGAAAAACTGATCCAGAAATCATTTGCAAATTAAGCTATTCTATATAAAAAAATATTTTTATTATTATAAAATAACATACCTGATCGTTTTTATAAAGCTTTTCAAAATCATTAACTTTTATATGCTCTTTAACCTTTGACCGAAATTTTAAATTAAAACAAAACATAAAAATACACTTACTTCTTCAGCATTCATATTAATTCTATAATTAAAATCACCAAGCCAAATAATGATACTGAAAATAATATTAAATTATAAAAAAAGACAAAAAAATAAACTTACTCATGATCCATAATCACTCGACCACGCTGAAAAGTTAATCCATTTGCAATAGTAAAATAGTCACGGTTTCTTTCATCACAATTAAATCGACCAGCAGCAAAATGCGCAGTTACAAAGCAGATTTGAGTACTCCCATAATCCATACGAATTGCAACAGCTCCTTTATTACCTGAAATGCCCTTTAAACCAGTCTATATGAACATAATTAATTTTTTTCTAATAATAATACAAAAAAGTAACCTTTTTAACTGCACCCTCAACATTTTTAATAAAAGGTACAGAAGCCTCTTTTACAAATATCATCAATACTGAACCAACAAGTTGCCCTGAACGTAAAAGAATATATTCATTCTTATCTCTATTAAGGACTTCATATAAATCAGATTCCCATACTTTTCTAAAAATAATAAACATAAGTAGAAACATAAAAAAACACACCTATTATATGAATCTACAGAAATCATTTGTTGCGGAGTTAGCTCTATAATTTCCTGGAATCCTATCACAACCAAATCTGATTTATATTTTCTTCCTAAAAATTCAATAACCTCAAATAAATATTACAAACATTACCATTAGGAAAAAGCCATAAAGAAAGGTCATCAGTTTTCTTTTTTCCATTTAAGTTAAATGTACTAACAAAAATAGATATATTTTTCATAGTTGAAAATTCATTAATTCTAAATAATCAACAATATCAATAGAATATCACTATATATACCTTCTTTGTAATTCCGTCGCCACAAATTCATTAATCGGATCATAAATCCGGACAGGTTTTTGATTCACTAACCTTCCCTATTACTTTTCAATAACATGTTTATTTAAATAGATTATTACCAAAAGTAAATCTATATTCAATTGACGTCCTTTATCTTGAAAATTATTAATATACTGTTACTCTTGAGAAAATAAATTATTAACAAAGTTCTTAAATATACCATTCTACCAACAGACTTTGTTGCATCTTCTAAAACTCCAACGATACTCATCTTTCCCCTTCTTGTAAAACCACTTTTTAATGCACCGGTTCCTGTATATATTTTTGAAAGAGCATCCCCATTATCAGCCCAAACAATTGAATGCTCTGACCAAGGAAAAATCTCTTGACGAACATCCAAATATTTCAAAAATAACATAATAGAAGCTTTCGAAAAAAGTGCTTGAACCAGATTTGTGCGATCGAGACTATTAAATATTACTTTAAGTAAATAGTTTCAAATATTTTACCAATCAAGACAATTGGTCCTAAAAATTCCTCCCTGCTGCAGTATAACATTTTTTTTTTTCATATCTTCAAGATAATATGAAAAATTTTTAATATTGCCATCTACATAGTAAAAAATCTTAGAAGCTTGATCATATCCTCCGCACTTTACTTCAGCATGAAAATCAAACTCACTAGAACATATTGAATGAAACAAATTCCCTTTGAGAGAATCAATATGTTGTCGATAAGAATTAAGTAAAAGTTTTTCCCCTCCATTTTGACATAATAGATTAACTATATGAACATAACCATACTTATTAATAAGAGACTCAAAATGCTTTTCAAAAGAAGAATGAGTTGCTTCAAATGATCTAGTTATTTCAACTTTCTGTCCAAAAACTTGAATACCCTAAATATATTAATGAAAATATAAAAAATATTTCTATTAAACTTCTTGTTCCCAAAAAACTGTAGAAATAATTAACAAAAACAATATTATTAAAACTAAAAATACCTGGAACACTTCCACGTATTTGACAAAAACTAAAACAAAGATCATTTAGTATTAATAATGTTTCTGTTTCAACAAAATTAGCAACGTTGCCATTATCATCAACCCCTCTAGAGTTAAAACGAGTCCCTAGCCAATATAAACATTTTCTCATAATACGCATATAAATATCACCTGCTTTTTTACAACTTAATCTAGATATTAAGATCAAAGTAGATGATACAGACCCAATTTTGCATAAAACAGTGCCTACAAACCCTCGTATAACAGAAACCTATTTCTTTTTAATAATCAAATAACTCTAAATAAACTAAACATACTAAAAATCCTCCTTTATCAAGAGTAAATTTTTCAGATTCTACTAAACGAGACCTAAAAATAAGTAACTCTGAAATCATATAGCTATTCCATAAAAACTGATCATCAAATTTATCGATATTAAAATCGGATTCAGCTCTTAAAAAGTCAAAAATATAAACAATAAAAAAATATATACCTGTCTTGAATTCTCCTTGTAAGATCAAAATTTGATGAAAAATAAAATGAGCCATTTAATAAAAGTTTACGAATACTATCACAAGGATGCTCAAAATCATTTTGTTTAGAAAAACTATCAAACAATTCACTAATATTAAATTCAATGCTATTTTCATCAAAATTACGAGAAAAGTTATCATATAAAGAAGAATTTAAACACAAAAACTCAACATCATGAATCCTATTAACAGTTTCCATTGAACGAACAGCAGCAACCTGAGAATAACCAGTAATAAGACATATAAAAATATCTTTTATGTATATTAGTTATAGATTTTAAAATCCAATATACTAAGATATCCTACTATTCTCTATATTTATCAATCCCATGCATCCATAAACAGCCCTAAATGCGACCAAAGAATATTCAGAACAGTCTACATCATCCCATTTACAAAATTTTACAATACACGTCAGTGACTCTATTGATTTTCCACAACTTTCAAAAATCAATACATCTGGACCAACTTTTAAAGCAACAGATCTCGGAAAACTCTTCAGGAAACATTTCATTGATTCTTTTCTTTCAGTATAAACTATTTTTTAAATTTAATAAACCAAAATTCAAAAAAAGAGATAATCCTGCTAAATTATTTCCTTAAAAAACACAAAAAAACAATACTGCGAAAAATATTTCTCTAAAGCGCAAAAAACTCCTTAACTCATTTAAAAAGACTTTCTCAATATAAATATTTCAAATACTAATGCATATAATTTGTTGTGTCATTTAAAACTTCGATAAGTCCGATAAGAATTTTATAAAATTTTTTATACTTAACAAAAATAGAATTATATATAAAAAATTCTTTAAAAAACTTCTTGTCCTAGAATCATACATTGTTTAAAATAAAAATAAAAATAAGAAGAAAAACAATTAATTTAAAGACTAAAAGTTTAAACAATATTTTAACGACATACAGTTTATGTATTAATACCATTAAATAATATTACGAACATTCTATGAAACACAAATAGCTATATTTTATATTCTTTTTTAATAGTTTGTTTTTTCTATTAACTCTATATTAAATATCTCAAAGAAACACTAATATTGATATATTTTAATGAAAGAAAACATGTATATTTATATACAGATCATCTAAACATTTCTTTTAAAGAAATTAACTATTTAATAATTATTCATCCGACATTTTTTCATTTCTATATTTTATCTTCAAAAAAAACGTAAAAATTCACAAAACGAAACATATAAGTCTATTATTTCTATCATAAAAGGTATATTCATATTTAATAGGAAATATAGCTCATGAAATTCAAATTGTATTAAATCAATTAATATTTGCAAAAAAAAATATTTCAAAAAATAAAATAAAATCAATTCAAATAATCAAAATTAATCATGGAGTATGCGTATAATTTTAAAGTGGAAGATGTTTTGATGCATTTTGGAGTTAATGAATCTCAAGGACTGTCCTCAAAAGAAGTTTTTCTTGCACGTCAAAAATATGGAAAAAATGGTTTAATAATTATTTTAAAAACAATAACTAAAATATTTCTATAGAATTAGAAAGAAGTCCTAACAAACAATTGTGGACCTTAATTTTAGAGCAATTCAAAGACAAGCTTGTAATTATCTTACTTATATCTGCATTCATATCTTTTATTTTGGCACTTTTAGGGGACGATAAAAATCATACAGACTTTATAGATCCATTAGTTATTCTTACTATTCTTGTTTTAAATGCAATTGTTGGTATCTCTCAAGAAACAAATGCAGAAAAAGCAATTACTGTATCATCTATTACTTTAATTTTATATATTATAATTTAACTATATTATTCTAGGCTTTACAAGAATATTCACCACATGAAGCAAAAGTCATTCGAAATGGAAAATCATATCGTATTCATGCAAAAGACCTTGTCCCAGGGGATATTATAGATATTTCTGTTGGGGATAGGATTCCCGCTGATTGTCGTTTACTCAGAATTAAAAGCAACCATTTTCGTGTTGAACAATCTATTCTTACAGGCGAATCTGAAAGCGTAGAAAAATATACAGATGAAATTCTTGTCTATAACCCTACTAAACAAGATCAAACCAATATGCTTTTTGGCGTATAATTATCTTTTAAAATTTATTAATTTTAATTTTTTAAAGGGAACAACAGTAACTACAGGCCATGGACGTGCTATTGTTGTCCTGACAGGGCATTCAACAGCAATCGGTAGTATCCATCAAAGTATAACCTCTCAAATATCTGAATTAACTCCACTAAAATATAAATTGAATAAATTTGGGGATATGCTTGCTAAGGTATATAATATTTCATTTTATTTTTAATACATAATTTATAGATGATTTCTATAATTTGTGTTTTAATTTGGATTATTAATATTAAAAATTTTAATGATCCTTTGCATCAGGGATTTTTAAAAGGTGCTATTTATTATTTTAAAATTTCAGTAGCATTAGCAGTTGCTGCGGTTCCAGAAGGGTTGTCTGTTGTTATTACTATTTGCCTTGCTATAGGAACTCGAAAAATGGCAGAAAAAAATGCTATAGTCCGTAATCTTTCAAGTGTTGAGACATTAGGAAGTACAAGTGTTATTTGCTCAGACAAAACAGGAACCCTGACTACAAATATGATGTGTGTATGTAAGATTGTCATTTTAGAACAGGATGAATCACTTTTAGAGTTTAATATTGAAGGAGTTAATTTTAATCCGTTTGGAAACGTTTATTTAAATGATGGAAGCATTATAAAATCACCAGCATCTATTTATAAAGGTATTAAATATCTTGCAGAAATATGTTCAGTCTGTAATGACGCAAAAATAATATTTGATTCGAATTTAAACACTTATACTAGAATTGGAGAACCAACAGAAGCAGCTTTAAAAAGTTTAGTTGAAAAATTAGGAACTGATAGTCAAAATTTAAAACATAAGCATAATTTGCCTTATAATGATAATGCTAATTCATGTAATGTCTACTACAATAATTTATTACCGCGTCTTAAAACTTTTGAATTTTCAAGAGATCGTAAAAGCATGTCTGTTGTTGTAGGAAGTATAGAATCATATCGTCTTCTTGTTAAAGGCGCACCTGAAGCAATATTAGAGCGTTGCAACTATACTATAATTGGAAAATCTGGGCAAAAAATATTATTAACAACAAAAATTTTATCTAAAATTAACAAAAAGATAATAGAATATGGTTTAAAAGGATTAAGAATTATGGCATTTGCTCATGTAAATTCAAAAGATCTTAAAATATCGCCATTCCAAGCAAATCCAACAGATAATTACATAGAATATGAAGTATTTTTTCCTTTTACTACCAATCTAACAAAATCTAGCAAAACATGACATTCATTGGATTAGTTGCAATGCTGGACCCCCCAAGACCTAAAGTAGCAGATTCAATAGCAAAATGTCAAGCAGCTGGCATACGAGTTATATGTATAACAGGTGATAATAAAAAAACAGCAGAAACTGTTTGTAAACAAATTGGAATTTTTAAAAAAGATGAAAATTTAGATGGAAAAAGTTATACTGGTCAAGAATTTAACAATTTTCCTCTAAATAAACAATTAGAAGTTATTAAACATGCTAAGCTTTTTTCACGTACTGAACCAAATCATAAAGTACAGTTAGTAAAATTACTTCAACAAACTGGGGAAACTGTAGCTATGACAGGTGATGGTGTAAATGATGCACCTGCACTAAAAAAAGCGGATATTGGTATTGCTATGGGCTCTGGAACAGATGTTGCTAAACTTACTGCTGATATGATTTTAACAGATGATAATTTCTCAACCATTGAACAAGCTATTGAAGAAGGAAGAGCAATTTACAATAATACACAACAGTTTATTCGATATCTGATCTCATCAAATATTGGAGAAGTTATGTCAGTTTTTCTAACAGTTTTACTGGGTATTCCAGAAGTACTTAAACCAGTACAATTACTCTGGGTCAACTTGGTTACAGGTATTACTAAAACATAAAAATACCAAATATTTCTAATAAAAAATAGACGGGTTACCTGCTACTGCACTCTCATTTAATCCTATATCTCACAATATAATGAAAATGCCTCCTAAAGATAAAAACGAACTCATAGTGAACATGTGGTTGTTTATTAGATACTGTATAATTGGTATATATATTGGGATTGCAACAATATTTGGTTATGCTTGGTGGTTTATATATTATTCTAAAGGACCAAAAATTGCTTTTCATCAATTGGTAAAAAATGTTTTTATAATATTTATTTTTAACTTTTAAGTCACATTTTCATCACTGTTCCGACGTCAACCCTTGTGACTGGTTCAATAATTACACATCATATAAGGCTTCCACAATGTCTCTATCAATGTAAAATATATTTAAAATCCAAAAAAAAAAACTACTAAATTATTTACAGACTTGTTGTTATTGAAATGATGAATGCAGCAAATGCTTTGTCACAAACGGAAAGCTTATTATCTCTTCCCCTATGGACTAACATGAAACTTATATATGCTATACTCTTATCTTTATTTTTACATTTCATTATTCTTTACGTACCATATTTGCAAAAAATATTCTCAATAGTACCTTTAAATTGGACAGAATGGCAAACAGTAATTTTTATTAGTTTACCTATAATGTAATACAAATCTAAATTAAAATTCAAAACTAATATTCTAGATTTATTGACGAATTCCTCAAGTTCTCAGAAAGATTATATATACAGCATTCCTCAAGTAAAAAGGCTTAAAACATGCATAGTTTTAGAATAAAATTCAAGTTAACTACAATAAAGTTGTTATTCGAAAATCAATATATTTAACATAATTTATATAAAAACAACTAGTTTATTAAAAATGTATTATTCTAGTATACATATAAAAAATAATTAATCTTGCCTACCCTTCAAATAACTCTTTATTACTTTATCTTTGGTTATAACATAGACAACACATCCCATGCCTAAAACAAATTCAGTATTAGTAAAAATGCCCTATAAATACAAACCTGATAAAGCATCACGATCTTGAGCATTCAATAATGCCTGAGAAATAGTTTCAAACAAATCATCTGGTTCCTTTAACTATATTAAAATTTTCACAAAACGCAAGTGTTTTTACCAAACCGGGTTCCCAGAGACATTCACATATACCATATAATTGCTCTGAAGCCGTACCAGATATAACAAAATCCTTTGCTATATCAAGACACCCAATATTATCAAGTCCACATATAAACGGCCTTCCTGTTTTGCTATCGAGACCTGCAAGAATAGGCATAACAAAATAAGTCGCAAATCTTGTATGTTAGCTGAAAAACATATCACAAACAGTAATAACACCTTTTTTTATATAACACAGTCGAAAGCAAATTAGCTAATGTTTTCGGCTCAATAACACGTTCTTCTTGTAATTTATATAAATTTACATTATATCGTATCAATCTAGATCTATAATGCTGATAAATATGTATTCGTTTCGCAAGTAATCTTACAATGTAACTATATCTGTTGCCAAACCCGATAAACCCATATAAATTTTTTCAGTAACTGGAATAATTTTGCTAAAATCATTTGTAACCATTAAACCCCCCTTTCCTAAACGCAAATCTGACGCAATTGCAACACAATCTTTTCCCAACATAGCAACACATGTTCCACCATTATATTCTAAAATATCCTATATTTTTAAAATTTAGATATTTGTTTTTCAGAAAAAAATATATACCATTTTAGAACAAAAATAAGTTTTTTAATTTCCTTAAAAGTTAATTCAGAAACTTTTTTATCTTATTTTAAAATTCAATCAATTTTTTTATTTGTCGTCGATATCTCGGTACTTAACCTTTAAATCAGCATAACTACCGACTTCTATAATCAAATAATTTTAAATATAATTTTTTAAGATATTTTTATTTATAAAAATATAAATAAGACAAAATTATGTCGAGCCATGTTGTTATTTTATCAAATGCACGAAGATATACAATTAAAACAAATCCCACACAGCTTATTAATGACCTTCTTCTTGAAGGCTGTAAAAAAGCAGGACAATTAGATCCACAAGAGTATACTTTAAAGTAAAAACATTCTATAAGTCTTTTTCTTGTCCTAAGATCACTATTTTCAAAAGATATGGTTCCTCTGTTCTTGATCTATCTTTACCAATTCGACTTGCTCGACTTCCGGCAGGTGCTAAATTAATGTTAATAAAACGAGAATGCGGAAAAAGTATAAGTGACTTTATAAATCTGAATGTGTATATAATATGTATTCAGATGACATTAAAGTTGCTCTTCAAATAACTAATTTGGCTAAACGACTAACATCATCTTTTTCTTCTCAAACCACTCTTTGGGATATTCTTTGCCAATTTGAAGAAATGGAAAATCCACCAATCAATATAACAAAGCGTTCGTTTGAAGTCATGTCTGATAACCGACTAGATCGCTATTATGAAACTCCAGTTGTTCGTGTTATAAATAAAGAGGTTAAATATTTTATGTACTACTAAAAATATTAAAAAAAATAGTTTAGTGAGCCAAATGTCTTAAAAAACATAACCTTGTCTTCCCAAGGTATTATTGAAGGAAATGTAGTAATTCAAGTCAAATTTGTAAAGACGCAAATATACTTTGATCAAATGATAAAATTATTACCAAAAAAAGAAGAAATAGTTGAAGAGAATAAAAAAATCCTAGAGAAGTTACCTATATTTGAAAAGCATACAGAACAAATAAAATACAAAGAATCACTCGAAATACAGCCTCAAACATCAAAAAATATCCCATTTGAGCAGACAAATAACCAACTAATTTCTGAACGTAAAATGCTAATTTTATCAGCGCCAATCTCTTCAAGTCTTTATATTTCTAAAGGTTTTTTTTGAAATGTATATTTTACTCTATTAAAATATTTAGTCAATACAAATGAAGAAGATTACGAAATAACACATGAAACTGCAATATCTTATCAAAATATGCTTTCTGCTAAAGCTAAGGGATACCGAAATCAACTGCTAAATGTTCAGAAAAAATTAGAACAAGAAAATATCCTTAAAAAAGTAAATCATATTATATTATACAATGTATGATTTACTAAAAATATTAGTATGAAGTCAAGTTCAAACTTCCAGATGGAATGCAGGTTATAGGCACTTTTCATGGAAATGAAAATGGTACGTCTTTCAGAAAAATACCAACACTAACATTCCAAGTTCAAGCTTTATATGATTTCATAAAGCATCTTATGCATTATTCAGAAGAGCCATTTTGTTTATGTAGTTTTATCCAAAAATAATATTTTATAACTTATGGGAATATAGATATTACACCTCCTCCCAAATATCTATTAAACATGAAAGTAACGTTAGCCTCTGACCCTAATTTTTCAATCAAGACTACTGTTATTTTCAAATGGGAAAAGACTGCACAGCCATATGTCAAAAGTATACTTGACTATATTCTCTATTTATACTAATAAAATATAGCACACAACATTCTTAAAAATGTATATTTAGACATGCAAAAAGATATATCTACAGTAATTGAATATCAAGAAGATAAAGAGGACAAAGAAGAAGACATTCTATCAACACTTTCAACATTTCAGCCTTCTCCATCTCAACATAAATCCAACTCCAAGAAAATACCAAAATGGCTAAAGCTTTCAAAATAGAATAATATTTTTATTTATTAATACTTCTATAGCCAATTTCGTATCATCCTATGTACCTTTTTTTATTTAATAATATATATATTATTTATTTATTTCATATTAATAGTTTCTAAAAAACAAATCATGAAAGGACCCGTGTTTCTTAAAAATGAAATAGAAGTAAAAAACAAATGTAAATAGTTTTTGTTGAATTATTTTTGATATTTAACTTAGGGTTCTTCACTAAGAATTGCTATTGTTCATGCTCGTTGGAACCTATTTGCTGTTCAACCTTTAGTAGATGGTGCAAAAAAAACACTAATCCATTATGGAGTAAAACCAGAAAATATATACATTGAGTCTGTACAAGGTTAAACATTTATTTTTGTATAAACAATATTATATTTTTAATTAGGAAGCTGGGAATTACCTTTTTCTATTTATAAGTATTTTTCATTATTTTACTAAAAAATAAACTAAATAAAATCAACAAGAATAATTGAAGCATCAAGAATACAGGAATATAAGATCTCGAAGTCATTAGAAATGGACAAAAATTTAAAAACATCATCTACATCATCAGAACAAATTAATATAGAACCATCAGTACCAATAAAAAAAGAATTTGACTCAGTAATTGCAATAGGAGTACTTATCAAGGGTGAAACAATGCATTTTGAATATATTTCGGATAGCGTTTCTCATGGACTTATGAAGGTTCAACTCGATACAGGCGTTCCTATTGTTTTTGGTGTTTTAACAGTTCTTAATAAAGAACAAGCACTTATACGTGCAGGAGTGTCTAACGAATCATCAAGAAATCACGGTAATTAAGTTAGTTTATCTATTTTTCTAAAAAAAAAATTCAGGTGAAGATTGGGGATATGCAGCAATAGAACTTGGAATAAAAAAAAAAAAATGGAAATCTGGAGAACTATAACGGATATCCACTTCCCGCTCTACAATAAAATCCTGTTTATTTGTTTTATACTTTGTATTTTTAAAAAAAAAAAATCAAAAAAAAAATCAAAAACCAATCTATTCATATATTTATCTTCAATACTTACTCCTCTGAACAAAATAACAAGTATTTAAGTAAATTCTGCATAATAGTTTCTACCTGTTTATTATATATAAAGAGCTTATAAAGAGCTCAATAATCCAATAGAAATAGAGAAAAATGCAAAATACTTTATTAGACACATAATTATATAAAAAGTATAAAAAACATATGTATATATATATATATATATATTGAATAATAAAATTCTTTTAAGCACCATATCCCTGAATTTTTTCAGCAAAATTCCATCGAGTATCAACTGTTTGATTTGTATCGAATGTAACTCCTTTTCTAGTAATTGTTGCCACAGAAAACTGAAAATTATAAGAATATAAAAAACTAACATATATAAAAATACCTTATTTAATGAACGTGCATCCCTACAGTAAAGAACCCTCATGCAATCATCAATTACTTTACGAGCGTCTTCTTGAGAAAGCAGGGCATCTCGTCCATCTTCCGTAGCTTTTCTAAGCAATGGAATAGCCATATATGCACCATATCCTGTCGCAACACACGGTGCAGAATAAGTTACGCCAAGAAAATCAGCATATCCCAAAAATATACCGGGCTGTCCGCAAGTTGTTCCAGGTATACATACAGAAACTCCTTCAGGATCCAAACCACCAATAACACAACTGTTCAAAAGAGGATCCATTTTTGTTCTTCTTCCATAAAAAACTTGACTTAAATATTCATAAATATGTGATGCACAAAGAATATGACCATCTTCATAATTTTTTTCTTTAATCCTAATATTTAATTAAAAAATAATATCCATAAAAAAAAGTACACACATAAACGACTCCAAAAGACGTTTCAAATACTGAAAATCAGATATTTCTCCTGAAACACCAACTACAGTCGTTCCAACAAAAAAAAGCCTTTCAAGATCATCAAACCTTGCCAAAGAACCATAACTCGCTAAAAAGCAGTCAAACACGTATACATGTATAATAGTATCCACTTACCAAGATTATCAGCAGCTAACATCACTCCATCTTTAAATTTAAGCCCAAGAACACTTGTTCCTGTTAATATTGGTTTTAAAGTATGATTAACATTATTTTGTTCATTCAAAAAACATGAAGATTGTTTATTATATTTTATAGACAAATCAATATTTTTCATTGCTTCTAATAAAAAACTAAATAAAATTTTATTATTTTAAATAAAATTTTAAACTCTTAAAATTAAAAATTAAATCGAAAAACCATAAGATAATTTTATACAAACGAATATTATAAGATGAAACATAATTAATATATTATTAAAAATTATTAAAAATGAAATAGGATACGTTTTTTCTATGAAATACTTTTTTAAAATAAAAATTAATCATTAAACATAAAACCAATCATATATTTGATTTTACTCACTGTGATCCGAATTACCATTACTCGATGGGATATTAATCATTCTACGATGTTTCCTCAACTTATTAGATGATTTCTTAACTGGCTGATCAATTTGTAGGGGCATTATCACATGATTATCACTTAAATCCGAACTTACATTATCATCTGAATTTACTGGACCTGATCCCTGAAATTTTCGAGAAGAATTTGAAAGAAGATGTATAACATGTCGTTTACTATCTTTTTCTACAGAAGATGAAGAAATTAGAACCGGCCCAGAGTCAAATAAAGTTGAAATATTTCCTTGAGTATTTATACTTTCATCAGATTGAATCGAAATAGGCAAATCTTTAAACCGCTGCATACGCAATGCAGTACTGTTTAGACGCCTTCTATTTCTTTTTAAACGTTGTTTTTGTTCCTGAACAAAAGAATCTTGATCCGTCCCATCAAATTCATCATCGCCTAGTATATCAGAATAAGATGCTGAAAAAGTCTGTTGTGATGCATTTTTTGAACAACTATTCCCACTAGCGGACATATAACGCTCAATCTCGTCAGTTGGCCTATCGTCAATAAAAGGATCATCATAATCATAATCATCTTGTTCAGAAGAAATACTATCATGATCTAAAGAATCAGGATGGCCTAAAAAATATCAGAAACCAGGAAGTATGTAAGAAAAATATATCATATACCGTGAGACTCTAAAACCGCATGTCTATCCGAAAAATCATCAAGAGAACCAAAATTTTCATCTGAAAACTGAAACCCACAATGTGTACATGCAGGTCCTTCTATCTATACACTAAGAAAAATAATGATAAATTTATTCGTTAAAAAACCTCCCAATAACATTGTATGCACCGCATAACACCATCTTCACGATCACGTAAAACACCTGCAAACCCAGATGTTTCTGAAAAAAGATCATAAAAAAGACTTTCTTTGTTATTTTCCATTCTCTGACGCTGTTCTTGCTGGTGTATTCTTGCAGCATACCCCTCTCCATCAGGATCCTGAGCCTCCATTCGACGAACAAATACTTCTACCATCTCTTGAACCTTTAGAAACCTTTAGCAATAAAAAAACATCTAACATTCCATACAAAATAGGCAAGAGCTGGACGCTGACAGATAGACTGCCTACAAGTAGGACATGTACGTTTATGAAGCAGCCAATCAAGAATACACTATATTCACTATCAATCATAGTTTTCTGCACATAAAAAATGATAACAGACACCATAACAAAAAACATGTCCACAAAAAAGCATAAACGGTGAAGCAAACAACTCTGCACATATCTCACAGGTTAAACTCCGTTTCAACATCGCCATATCAGGCTCCATAGTCGTAGTCATCTATTAATCGTTATTTAATTGTATTTCTCATGAAAAAAAGCCTTATAATACATTTGCAATAGACCAATTGGGCTACCTGAAAACAGGCCTCCCAAATACGGCGCTTAAAGCGCCTACAACAATTCTTTTTTTTTGTGAATAGAAGATATCAATGACGGATAAGGTCAGTCAAAAAACGGTCATCGATCAATTCGATACCTGCAGTTAATTTTAAAAAAATGGTAAAAACATCTAAAAAAAGAAAAACTAGTAACTTGTCTTTATAGCCAAAGCAAATTCAAGATATTAAGCTTTTTCTTGAAATTGCAAGAAGAAAGGATGCAAAGTGTATGCTTTTTTTTTTTTTTAAGCTTTTTTTTAACATTAGCAAGCAACCCGTATTGTTAAAACGAGAGCTCAAGTTAAATTTAAAGTCAGATGCAGCAGATATGTTTATACACTTGTAGTAAACGATCATGAAAAAGCAGAAAAGCTGAAGCAAAGGTAACTGCCTTTTAATAGAGAACAGCTGTCTGATTATTGATTAGTTTGCCACCTAATCTTCCTATTGTTTAAGATATAGAAATGAGACTATATAATTAATTCTAAAATAATTATAAATAAGACAATTAATTTTTAACCTCTGTGCTTTTTTTCCATAATATTATATATTACTTATTACCTTATATATAGAAATTCATGAACTATATACGTTTATAACCTTTATATGTAACCCAAATCATGCATTATTTTAATTCATAAATAATTTATGTTAATTATTGCTTATTTTGTATTTATGTGTTGATTATTTCTATTTCAGAAATAACATTTTTAATTTTAAAAAAGTAAAATATTATCAGCATTCCTTAGACTTTTAAGCAAAAAATAAATATTCTGAAAAATATATTTAAATATACCTAAAATCTCTTTCTAATATTTATAAAATAAAAAATAAACTCTAAAAAATATAATTCTAAGAATTATAAAATAAATTATTTATAACATGTTTTTTTTTGCTCATTATATATTATGTTAAAAAAATATGAAATTTACTTAGAATAAATCAATATGTCAAATACTTATAAGTTAAGAAATTTTAAATTGCTTAACTATTCTAAGATTGAAAAAAATATGAATCTTCGAAATAAAATATTATAAAAAAACTCTAATAACTATAACTTGTCTTTAAATATTTTTTATGCTAAGTTTTCTAATCATATTTGTAATTAATAGAAATATACACATAATAATATTTTTTATAATATAATTTAAGAATATAAAAAAATATTTATTAGATCAAAAAATTCCGAGTTATTCAAAAATCATTAATAATATAAATTAAAACTACAATACATTCTTAACTTAGAAAACTGCAAAATACTTAAATACAATTTTATTATATAACTTTGAATTATTAAAATAATATAATATTTAAATATATCATCTTAATAACTTAGAATATTTAATAATACATTCATTAATATATTATATTAAACTTTTAATTATCAATTATTCTCTATAAAACTTTATAATAGTCAACTGTCACTATAAAAATATAAATTAAAAACCCTTTAAATATCTAATAAACTGTTTAAAATAAAACAATACAAAAATACAAAAGACAATTAAAGTAATCATTAAAAATATATATATAATATTCATATATAAAAATATTAAATACAATTTCAAAAATATTTCAAATATATTGTTTTTAGAGAAATTAATTATCCATATAAAAACAAAAACATTCAAATAGATATAGATTTCTCAACTCCAACAAATTAAATATAATAAAATTAAAAATGTAAAAATAAAAACAAAAAAAGTCAATAATTATAATCCTAAAACATTTATATCTTATTTTTTTCTATTATTTTATCTTTTTCTTTTCAAATATATATTTCAAACTATTTCTAATCAATTTCCAACATTTCTAAAAGCTTTTTAGCCATTTTTAAAAATATATTTTTTTAATTTTTTAAAAACAATTAATATATTTAAATAACCATTTATATTTATTAAACAAGATTTATCCACTAATTTCTTAATTGTCCTGAAACAGTTTTTACGGGAAACTTTGATATTTATTAAGCGTTCAATAAATTACTTTAGAAATTTAACACTTAAACTTTCAGTTTAAAATTTAAAATTGAACTTTTTTAAAAAAAAAACTACTAAAATAAAGTATTAAATCATATTTTTTACAAATTCTTATTTCTTTAAAGATTTTTTTCTCATTTTTATTTTGATTTTAAACATAAAACGAATCTTAAACAATGGAAAAAACAGAATCATTATTGCAAACAAACAAATATTCTTCAGAAGATAACATGTCTTGGAAAAGCTTTGAAACATGTTTAGCTATTGTACAAGAAGCTCGGCAACAATGTTATCAACTCCTAAATTCTTCTTCTGTTGATCCTATGGCAAAAAGATACTTAATGGTATTAATGAGGCGACTTCGTGCAGCAAATAGAGTAGCATATCTTGAAGCTCGTTCAGCAAAACAAGAAACTCTACGCCAACGGCAAATTATTGACCAACAATACTTTCAACTTCAAAATCTTTATTATGAACAACAACATCTTCTAGCTGCAATTAAAGCATGTGAAGCTTTTCCGTAAAACACATTTTAAGGAGTATTACATTTGTACTTAAAAGTTTTTAGTACATCTTTGGATTCGCTTTCTTTAATTCCTGAAAAAGACTTTCTTACACTTCATCCAGATCTCAATAGTGCAATGGATCCTCATACACTTATGCTTGCTCGACTTTCTTATGAAAAGCAAGAAAGAGAACGTCTTGAAAAGGTTCGGCGTGATCTTCTTAAACAAAAAGCTGAATTAATTTCTCAAAACAAAATCCATAAAGAAGAACTCGAAGCATTAGATTCTCAATTAAAAAATTTTATACGTGTATGTGCCTTTTTTTATATTAAAAACCTTATTTATTTTTAAGAGCGCTGAACCATTACGAGAGTTTTTACAAAAATATTAAAATTACTTTATAAAGACATATTGACATTTTTATAATGAAGTAATATAAATAAAAATTTATAGAAAATACAGTCCAAAAAGTCTATACAATAACAATAGTATATATATATATATATAATATATTTGTTTTCTTTATTTATTCCTAAGATATACTAATAACGTCTTTAGAGTATTATCTTCAAAACTATATTTTATAAGTCAAATAATTACAAAAGGATATAAAAAAAGTTACACAGAATTAAATTTCTATAATTCGCATATTTCACCTTTTCAAATGAAGTGTATAAACTTTTGTGAAAATACTTCATATCAATAAAAAAGTAATTATTTATAGGATAAACAACGCATCAATATAGTAACTAATTTCAAAAAAAAAAGATAATTTCAAAAAAAATGATTTAAAATTTTTTTTAAAAAAAAATAATACTAAAATTAGTATATTAGTATGTATATTGCAACATAACGAAATATAACTGAATATTAAAACATTTTTTAAAGGATTTTCTTATCTACTAAATATTTATGAAAATTAAAAAAAATTAAAAGATAAAAAAACCATAATTTTAAAAATTATACTATTTAACATTTTTTTTTAAAAAACACTAATACATTATTAACGTTAATATTCTAATTATTAATATTGATTAATTTATACAGGTAATGTTCTAAAATTTTTAAATAAAAATGTAACTATTTAAAGAAAACTTTTTACTTTTTATTGATAGCTTAAAATATAATGTTAATATGAATACATGTAACTTTTAAAATTAAAATAAAGAATACTATACACTCTGAAGATTAAAACAGAAAACAATGCTTAGTTTATAAAAAAAAGTAAAAACATTAAATAATACTTATAAAACCAAAAATCTGTTAAGAGAATTATATGAATTATATATTATAAAGTATATATTTTGAGAAACAGTGTATTTAATTAATTTGTTTTTAATGAATTCAAAACATTTAAATACAAATTAATGTAGCGCTAAAAGCAGTTTAAACTATTCTATTGTACTAGAAATATTAAATTATTTTAATGATCAATATAAAATAATACAATTGCAAGTTATTTTTTGTTTAGAATTCAAAAATATTTCAAAAATATAAACAAAAAAAATATTTATTCACTATTAAATATAGAATACACAGATGTCATTTAAAATAAAAAATGATTTTTTATTATTCTAAAACATCCTTAAAAATTATAAAAAAATAAAAAACCATATAGGATTTATATATTATATTTTTTGGCAATACTATTTAAATTTTATTAAAACATTTCTATACATTCCTTAATGATTTATAAATATTTGCATAGTCAAAGTAGAAAACAATAAAACATAGTACACAAATTATATTTTTTGTTTTTTCCTCATAAACAACAGTGATACTAACAATTTTAAATAATTTTTAACCATCGTTCACCATATAATAAAAGACAAAACAAACATAAGAAACAAAAACAAGTGCATATATACATGCATTTTAAATTAACACTACAAAAAGAAACATACATGGCCTTTTCACCATCTTTCCAAAACTTCTATCTTAACAGTAACATATATAACGTTTCTAACATTGCACCTCCAACAGCAAGAAAAATTAACAGATCTGTTAACACACATTAGTGGGCATATATACAAAAACACAGAGTCAAGTGCTTACACGCCCAATAAATTGATATTCCTAATTTTTTTTTTTCAGACACTGGCTTCTCTATTTTTGATTTTCCACGCTTAGCAGCCTCTCTCATTGCATACATCTCATTTGCATGGCGCTGTTTTGGTGTCTGGGGCTGAAAGAAGTTATATAAATTCATTTAAATGCATTAATCTCACCATTTTTTTGTCAAATTTATCTCCGAGTTTTTGAAATTGTCGTTCGATTTTCAACAAAAAAAGAAAATACGTTTTCAAATGTATTTAAGTTATAAATTTAGAAGTTTCGGCATATTTAAGAAGCAAGCAAGAATTCATCAACGTTTCTTTGCATCCAAACAGAATAATACAGTGTCTTTAAAAGATAAGCCGGACCTAACGATGAAAATATCACCACATGTATATTGAATTTAAAAATTTGGGCATTTAAAAATCTGATATAAATCTTAGATAATGTTTTGGAAAATGTATGGCCGGCCTTTTGGGCGGGTTTTTCTTATAGCATCAATTACATATTTTGGACTTCATTTTTTATGGTGGCATTTATATGTGGAAGAAAAAAGAGCACAAAAACAAGGTACATGTGATAAAATCTTACATGATTTAATGTCCTATATTTACAAGGCTTTAGCCCATCTTTCTCAACTCGAAAAAATGCTTCTTGAAATTACATCAAGCCCTCAATCAACATCGTAAATTAAAAAAAAAAAAACAAGAGTTTATATTATTTAGTAAAAGATAATACATTCCTCCTTTAAATACTAAATACTTAATAGGAAAAATTTCAGTTTTTTTTAAAACATCATTAAAACACAATAAATATTTATATCAAAAAAAATATACAAAGAATTTATTTTATTGATATACAAAATGAAAAAGAGTTAACTTAAATAAAATTTGGTGTCTATTTTTTTTATTAAAAAGGAAAAAACAATATAATACAATCAACAAATATATAGAATCACGTTTCAGGCACGTGCACGACACGAATAAGCGCGTACGTACGCGATGGCGGGGTAGCTTTTCTTAACATTTGATAAAATATTTAATTGTTGATTAGATTGAAATATATGATCAAATGAGTCTAGACTTAAAGAAACGTATGCGAATAAACAGCTCAGAAAACGGTATGTTTTTTTTTTTAAGAATCTACAGTAAAATAACTAATGATCAAGTATTCATGAATATACAAGCAAAACGTGTAAAAAATAACCAAGGATATACGTTTAACCAAAATGATCTAGATTCAGAAGACGAATTAACAGTGCTTTCTCCAAAAACACCCACACGTTATAGAAAAATAAATTCTCAAACAGGTATTTTTCGTGATCATTGCAATAAAAACCACTGTTCATAAATCAAGGTCTTATTTATATGCAGAAAATTAAATGTCCTTTAACACCATGTCATTTAAAGACAGCTTATAGGACACCTGTTTCAAAAAGAACATCTACTCCTATAACACAGACACCTTATTCCAAAGGAAAAGCACTTTTTTCTCGAGGAACAATACCAGTTCCACTTACAGGACGATCTTCAGAAAGAACATTTATTACAAAGTTTATCGAATGTCATATGAAACAAAAACAAGGAGGAAGTCTTTATGTTTGTGGCCCTCCTGGTACGGGTAAAACTGTGATTATTACAGATATTGTGGAACAACAATTTACTGGGAAAAATATTACATCAGCAAGCATTAACTGCATAGCACAGGATCCGAAAAATATTTATTCAGAAGTGTATAGAAAATTATTTAAAAAAGTAGAGATTTCAGAAAAAAAAGCATTTGAACAATTAAAAAAACTTATTTTCAAAAATAATATGTAGTAAGTTTTTCAAATGAAAAAAAAATATGTTAATTATATAGTCTTTTATTATTGGATGAAATCGATTCTTTAGTTGTAAAGGATCAAGAAATTTTGTATCAACTATTTGAATGGTCTATTATAAAAGATTCACAATTAATTATCATTGGAATTTCAAATACACTGGATTTAACAGATCGCTTTTTACCAAGACTTAAGGCAAAAAATGGTAGTTAAATGTAAACACAGAATTTTAACTAACTAAAATTAGCTGTACCTGAAGTTTTTGTATTTAAGCCATATACTCCGCAAGAAATTTCAGATATAGTCAAAAGTCGTTTACGTTTGCTTTCTGAAAATACATCTGAAGATTTTATACCCCTCATTCATCCAACAGCATTAGAGTTATGTTCAAGAAAAATTTCATCTTCTAGCGGAGACATTCGGAAAGCATTTGATTTAATTAGAAAGGCAATTGAGCTTTTGGAAGCGGAACTATATATTGACAGTAAAAAGCCGTTGTCTGAAGTTTCTCCAAATAAATTGATGTCTCCTGATACAAATAAATATCCAGCTTTTAGTGAAGAAAATCTGGAAAATTTGCCAAAAATAACTACTGAACATATACTTCGCGTTTCAAGTTTAATACATGGTGGTTCTATAATTACACGGCTTAAAAATTTTACTCTTCAACAAAAAGCTATTCTATGTGCATTATCTGTATGTGAGAAAGAGAATCCGAATCATATATTAATTGGAAAAGTATCTCCAGTTATTTTAAATTTAATCTTTTAATATTTATAATAGTTATTTGATACTTATATGTATTTATGCCGTCGAGATAAACTTCTTCATCCTTTAAGTTCTGTAGAGTTTTCAGACGTCGTTGGGACTCTTGAAGCATCTATGACTGTTAATATTACTAACACAATTATTTCTTCAAAAGCAAACGATATAATGAATAAAAAAATCAAGCTAATAGTGCCAAAAATGGACATTCTTACTGCCATTGGTGATATTGATCTTTTAAGACGTTTTTTTCAATAAACATTAAAACAATTTGCATTTAGTATAAAGTTGGGCTGCTCAATGAGTTTATAAGATTCTGATTTAGGTTATTTAATCCAATAATTGTATATGTTTTAATTTAAATTGTGACTTGTAATGTATTATGAGTTTTAAATATATAAATAAATATATTATAAAAGCAAAAGCCTTATACTCTAAATTATCGTCTTAAATATTTTTGGAAAACCTTAAATTTTAATGTTTATTTTTTTAAAAAAATTAATTTTTAAATATAAAACAAATTATAAAATATTGAAAATAACTTTAAATCTATTAAATAATTACATTTTTTAGAAAAAAAAAACATCCAAAAATATTCATCAAGCTTATGATATTTAATATACACGCTTTGTATATTATTTTATTTACATTATCCCTTATAAATTCGTCGTTAAACCTGGTTCAAACATTTAAATAATAAATTTATAATAAATTGCAAAAATTATGCAAATTCAACAGTAATATTGACATTTTTGAGTTTTAAATCATTAAGAGTTTGATTAAGCTCATTAATGAGTTTTACTCGATTAAACATAAGTTCAAACTTTCTAGTATTTAATGGTAATTCTGACTTAATATATTCAAATAACCGAGAAATCTTATCTGATAAATTAAATAATCGAACTTTTTTTGATCCATCTGGGAATCGAAACTGAATATAAGTAGTAGCAAAAGATGCTATAACTGGTTCAGGAGGGGCTATTGCAGGAATGTTTTTGAACAAAGATGGTGAACTTTGAGTATCTTGCAAAATTAGATTCAAAATAATAAAATAAAGAAGATAACCATCATAATTAATATCTATATCATCATCTGGAATTAAAATAACTTCTTTTCCACAAGAAATCTTTTTATCACTATTACTTTTTCTTTCTTTTATTGATTCAATTAATGCAGCATCAACTTGCTCAACCTCTGTCATATCTTCTATCTAATTTATAATTAAAAATAATACTATTAATAAATATTCTATACCCTTCTTATTGTAGATTTTTGAATAACAGGATTCTTAAAATTCGAATCTAAAGAATATTTTTCAAGAAAATCATGTACTATGTATTATTAAAAACTAAAATAAACAAAAAATTGCCTAAAACTTACATTCCATAAGAAAACTATCTGGTTCCATTGCAGAATTACTCAACACTTTCACCCTCTCACCGGTTCTTGGATCAATAATAGCAATGTGAGGATATTCTTTTATAGGATAAAACTGTTGGTACAATATACCATCTGGTGAAACCGCGGTATACTATAACATTTTAAATAAAGTTAAAAAAAAAAAAAATAATACTTGTAAAAAAATAAAATTTCCAAGAACAATATCTTTTACCCTTTGATCTTTCCATAAATCTCTATTTAGTTTTTGACATGAAAAATCCGTATTATCTTGCAAATTTACCATTACCCACAACATATCATCTTTGGCTTGTTCTTGAGCAGTCTCTAAGTCTATATTTTTCATAATATCAAATGGAGGCCTAAAGAGATATGCTAGTCGACTTTTCTTTGAACGCTCTTCAGGTGTTGCTTATTTTTTTGTAAATAGATAAAAAAAATTACAAAACATACCAAAAGAATCGGTATCTTCCCAAAGAGACGAAAAAGATTGATCAAAAACGCTTTTTTTTGCTTCTAAAAAGAAAAAAGTTAATAACTTTTTTAACAAAAAGAAACTTACTATTTGAATAAAATTGTGTATATTTCAATATAGATTCAGACATATTCGATCCTTCGAAATAATTCCGAGCCTCTGAAATAGAACCATTAATATCACTACTTTTCAAATCATTCTGAGACTGAAATAAAGACTTTTCTGTATTTTTTCTAATCCGACCGTGTATAGCATTATCTTCAAAATCATCCGATTTCATAGGCACTTCTAACTTTTCCTCTGCATTTTTCAATTCAAAATACAAAATAATTGCTTGTTCAAGATTCATAGATGACAAATCTAAATAACATTTTGCTTCTTCCAAACTTGCACAAGTAACAGAGCAAAATTGAGAGATTACATCATCCATAATGATATTGTTATCTATTTTTAAGAAATATAAGCTCCTAAAATGCTTTTTTTAATAAAAATAAGATGTTTTAAAACTCAAAATCAATATTATTAAAAATGTTTTTAATATTCACTTTATACACGCTGACGATGGATTTCCTTTGAAAATATATACAATAAAAAACAAAATAAATATGTATTGGATAATTATGGAAATTTATAAATCACTTTGTATTATAAAGAGATAAAAATAATAAATATATATCTTATATTTTTGTTAATATATTTTAAACTACATTTGAATTTTAACAAATTATTTCTCATTAAACAACAAAGAAACTTTATAAGCTTTAAAAGATTTTTTTAATTTTTTTTGCAATTAATATCATTTTATTGCCTAGATCTATCTTCAATTTTCTAATGTTCATATATTTTCCTATTTTTATTTTTCTATTTGATAATTTAAAAACCAAGGATGAAACAAATACATATAAAACCAATTGAATAATATTACAAGTAATCTCATTTGTTTTTATATTATAAAAAAAATATTTTTTATTTTAATAGCTACACATTATTCTTTAATTGCTTTCTTTTAATTTGAAGTTAAAATCAAATAAAAATATTTTATAAAAAACAATAAATACATATTATCATTAAATTGTTTTTAAAAAATTCAATTTCAAAAATATAGATATAATATACATTTTTTTTCTAAAATTTACCTTTTTAAATACAAAATATATCTTTTTTTTAAAAAAATATTAACAATTCTATTATTATACAAAACTAAAATACAAATTACTATTAACCATAATTAATAAAATATCATGAGAAAATAAGTAATAATATTAATAATAAATTTAAACATATATATATATCTTTAATCAGAATGTTAAAACAATTTATTAACCAACATTTATTTAAGTCTTATACTATTATAAATTCATAAATAAACATTTCAAAAATATATAACCAAAAAATATAATTTTAACCAAATTTTATAATTAAATCTCATTTTTATAATAAAAATATTTTCATTCAAAAATCAAACATCCAAAAATAAATACAAATTTTTGAACTCTAAAAAGTTCAAAACACAAAAACCAATTAATATAACATAATATTCAAAATATTTTTCTCAATCTTATTTATCCATAAACAAACATTATCACAAGTTTATATATACATTGTTGATAAATTCTAATATTTTTCTTATTTTTATCAAAAATAAAATCAAAAAAGAAAATTAGCCACAAACATAATAAATTATAAATAAATTATTATATATATATATATGTATATGACTAAACCATATACTATAAAAATATCGAATATTTTTAATTTGTAAAAAAATATCTTATTTTGAAATAAATAATAACCTAGAATATTTTTAAAGGAAACAATTAAGTTATATAATTACATTTTAGTTTTAGAAAAAAATAAACATACTCAAAAATTATAAAATAAATATTATAAGTTATTTATAATTCCATTAATTTTGAATTTTTAACAAAAAAACTATTTAAAACTTTTCTATATAAAAATAAAAAATCCAATACCATATTATTTCTAACAATCAGAAATCTAAAAAAATAAAAAAAATTAAAATATACAATAAATCCCTAAGAAATATAATTTACATTATATTTTTAAAATAATCTAATATTATCACAAATTTTATGTTAATACTTTTTTAATTTTTATATTTAAAAAATCAATTATCTTCTGGCTATCTAATACTAAAAAAATATACAAAAATATTTTTTAAACATTAAAAAATAACTCAAATACAAATATCTTTTTAAAAGAACTTTTCCCATTATTTTTTTTATTTTGTCCAAAAAATTAATATAAATAATCATAAAAAAGAAATAAAATTCAATAATATATAATCTTTTCTTATATTAATTGAACAAATGTATTATATTTTATCCTTATTTCTATTATAGAAATTCACCTTAAACAACTAAAATTTATTTTATAAAATACATATAAAAAGTAAAAATAAATAACACATTAGCATAAAAAACTTATTAATCTTTTTATTTAAATTTTATATATTTCCCTTCCTAAAAACATAATTCAATTCATTAATCTAAAAGCGTGCCTAAATACTTTTCTATAAAAAATATTTCTACTAATATAATATATTCTACCGACTATAAATAAAAAAAAATTCCACTAATATATATAGTTGCTATATTTTTTCTAAATTTTTTTAAAAAATACCAAAACAATATTTATTTATTACTATATTTTTCATAAAAACATTTAACACAATGCATTTCAATATCTAAAAATCAAAAAAACATAAAAACATATAAAAACAAAAAAAAAATCTTTATACAAATAAATATGCAAATATAATTATGCAATACGACCAAGAAACGCTCTTTTTTAACCGAAATTTATCATTTAAACACGCTCTTTCTTTTGCAAATAAAGAAAGTAAATACAGTAAAATAACCTTTAAAATAATATATACACTTCTAACATATATTTTTTTACTTCAGATACAAAAAAAGATGGGTTAGTATATTCTTTTATTTTTTAAATCTTAAACATAATTTTAAAATAGTTTTGATTTAACATTGATATCATCAGAAATACTTTCTTCAGATCAAAATCAGTCTTCTTCGCAGGAAAGTACATCAGAATCTTCTGAAAATATATTGGTTTCATCAAAAGTTCTATCACATGCAAAAAATAACAAATCAACAAAAAAAGTTTTAACAGATATTTCAACAAAAACAACCTATAAAAACACAAAAAAAAAAGCAGCTAACAAAACTCATTTAACTCCCTCATCTGAATCTTCATTCTCTTTAAAACGAGATAATAGTCTTACACCACCTCCTCGTTTACCTAAGCAAGTTATTCAAGAAGGACGCCGTATATATATGTATAGATCTACTTATTACAAATATTTGTTAAAAACAAAGTAGGCGTTTAACGCAAAAAACAAAAGTAAACCAAAGGCTCATTAAAAAAATAAACTGTCCCTTAGAAAAAGAAAACGATTTATATCTCTACAATAATACAAATATTGAAACATATAATCAACAAAGTATAAACAAGAGAAAAAAAATCAATACTATAAACTAAAAGTAATAGAATCCTCAAAAGGCTGTAATACATTGACTATTTTCGAGATAACAATAGTCGGAAAACGAAATACGAAAACAGATGCACCCAACTTTTTTCCAGAAACATGGGAAGAGCCAATATTATTCAAAATTTCAGAAAACCAGGCATTTAAAACTATAAAAAATGCATTCTGTTCTCATAAAAAGCTTTCCAAATCTTACTATAATCAAATAGTACTAGTATTTAGAAAAAAAAGAGTATTCGAATCTGCTACACCCAAAGGAATTGGTATGTTAAAATATGACTCTAGAATTGAAATAGGTAAATGTTATCTATTCCTTAAATATTCTTAATGTTAAAATAGAAATTATGTCTAAAGCGGCATATGAACATCTTATAAATGAAATAAAAGAAAAAAAAAAGATAAACAATAGAACTTATAATTTTTTTGATCTTACAGAAAAAACACCGGAATCAACTCCATATATTATTATTGATGAATCACCAATTGAATTAGTATTAAGAAATAAAAACAACGAAAACTTAAAATTATCAGTTGATTCTAACACAACAATATCTAAACTTATTGACATTTTTAAAGCATCTAAAAATATTGATACCAATACTCATATAACACTAGAATTCGAAGGTGAACATCTTAAACCGAACCTATCTATTTCTAATTATGATATTGAAAATGGAGATCTAATCGATGTACAGATAAATAATTAAAATATATTCTATATATTTTATGTATTTATATATTCATCTGATTAAAGAAATATATTTCAATATTTAAAATTTTATATTGCATATAATATGATCCAGACTATCTAAACTATTCCTTCTGCTTTCATTTATTTTTTCTACTTTCGTCAAAACAAAATGTTTATTTATCTAGAAAGACCATAAATTTAAGTCTACTAATATATATTGTTTACCTTAAATGATTCAAAATTCGACTCAAACATGTCAATAAATTCAGTAACATTAATAGATATTTTATCTTTTAATAAAGAAACAGACAAAACAATATCATTATAAAAATTTTTAACTATTTCTTTAAGTTTCTCAGATTCAGCATGCAACTTTTTTCGAGTTTTGAGACATCTTTTGACAAAATTTTGAAATAATATTATATTCTTACAACTCTACAAAATATTAATTCTAACAAATATTAAATTACAAATCTACCTCAAATAAGAAAACAAGTTGTTCTAATATAGTATGATCGTAATCTACAACGTTTAAAAAAGAAATAACAAAATTTCTTTCGATCCATTCTTTCAATTTATTTTCTTGAAGACTGTAAGTATTTTGATCACTATCTTCAATCAATAAACATAAAAATATTTCAAGAAGAAATATTGTTTGTATTTCAAATTTGCTTAAAACATCATTTTTTAATCCAGATAATAATGATTCATGAGATTTAAATTTCACTTTTATGTCTTCAAAAGTACCAAATGCTAATAAACTAAGAAATGATATTTTAAAATCCTGTATTTTAAGCCAATTCTCCTATAAAAATAATCAGTTGTAACACAATAAAATTTATAAAATACATCAGGCATCGAAGTAATCCTACTTTTTACTCGTATAGATTCACTTTCAAGAACACCAAAATCAGACATTATATTAAAATCTCTATTGTCATAATATTTCTCTTGTGTAAAACCTAAAATAATATCAACTAAAATAAACTAATTCATAAAATTTTATCACCATTATTTTCTATAATTTCGCAGAGAACTTTATCATCTATTAGATATGATAAATGCAACAACTCATATCTTAATATATGTCTCCATATACTATTATTAAGTCTTGTCCCAAATTCAATAAAATTACCAATATTTGAGTATGAACCATTCTCATAAGCTAAAACAAGCATTTCGGGAACTTCTCTAATATTAGATACATAAATACTTTTTGTAATTTTTAATTCATTTAGAAGAGATTTTGAAGGATAATAGTTTGAACATTTTGTCAAAAAAACATAACTTAATGTATCATACTGAATCTGTTTAATTGACAAAGATTGATAAATAGAAAGTGCCAAGGAAAAAGCACCTTAAAGTATTCATAAAAAATCCAAAAAAAAAAGACGAATCTTTACCTATCATAGAGTATAAACGAATCAATAACAATTTAAACTGAAAATTATATTTACTATAAACAAGTCCAATCTCTAAAAGCAAAATTGCTTTTATAAGATAACTCTGCTTATCTAGAAGAAATAATAAATATGCGTAAAAATAACATGCAAATTCATACGTGTAATAAAAAACATATTAAAAAGAGCATGTACGGCCAATATCAAAAAATCATCACCATACTGATTGTCAGTAAAACTTAAATCATCATCTAAAAACAAAGAATCTCTATATTCTTGAATTAACCGTGATGAAAACACAATCCATGCCTTTTCATCTATTAATTCATAATAATTAACAAAATATTCAAACTTTTCAACATTCTTCAAAACTTCCACATATTCTCTTTTCTTAATCTTATTTAACATTAACATTACATATAAAAAAACAACTACAACCTCTTTTAGTCTGACTTCATTAAAAAACTTCTTAATATCCATTAAAAACATTATTTGATCTTTTCTCTCCAATTTTTCTATAAAAGGTCTTAAATCTTCAAAACAAGATGTTTTTGTACTAAAAGTTTCAAAATACTGAATACAAGAACATAATTTATCCTCAATAATATTATCCACTGATATTATAAAGGATAACTTCAAAAAAGCCAAATACAAATTACGTAAAGATTGAAACTCTTTCTTTTTTTTTTTATAATAATTTGTTAAGTCTAAAACAATACTATGAACTCATTTAAAATATAAAAATAAACAAATACGACAAACCTGGAAGAAACGTCAGATGCAGCCAAATTTAGCGCAGATGTAATATGCATATCAAAAACTTTCGAATCATTATTTCCACAATCAATATAATAACGACATTGGGAAAAAAGAAGGGCCCATTTTTCCAACTTAAAAAGAAGATCTAATTTAAGCCTCAAAAGATCTATGTCCATAAAACGCTTTCCAAAATCACTTTCCAGAACATTTATTACATCCTCTACCTTATCACAGGATAATAAAACACTAATATACAAATGTAACTCTTCTGAAGATGATAGTCTATATAATTCATTATTTTCTTCAACCATTTTCACAGCTAATCGATAGGCAAGAGTCTGGAAGAGCCGTCTTTCACTTTCATCCATATCTATCATCTAAATTTATAAATTGACAACAATAAATCTCTAACACACATACTTCAAGCAACTGAAGCGACATAACAGCCCAATAATAATATTTTCTTCTACCAAAAGTCTTCTGAAGGCTCATTGCAGCCTATTCCCTTATTACTTTACTACTTTAAAAGTGTATTTGTGCACTTTTTGTTGCCCAATAATACTATTTATCCTTACCATAGAAAAAAACCAATTCCTAACCAATTCTTCATCATTCGGCCTCTTTTTTAAAGCATTTTCAAACATTTCTATTATCTCATTTGACATATTTAATTCTTTGAATACTGTTTGTAGAACACTTAAAACATCTTGATCTGTAGGTATATTTTTCTTCAAATTTTTACACATTTCTAACGCCTTTTTCTGCTGTCCTATCCGCAAAAGAGAAAGTGCATTCAAAGCTTGAAATATTTGAGATTCTGGATACTTTTTCATAGCTTTTATGCACAGCTGCAATGCTTTCTTTGGAAAACTGTGGCCTAGAGCATCTGTACAAAAGATAAAAAGAACTATTTACAAAATATAGAAACATACCGAAAATTGTTTGAACTCTGATATGCTTTTCCATATATATCGAATATACTCACATAGACAATAACTATATATGCTATTATTCTCTTTGGAAAATATTCTAAAGTATATACACAAATAATATATGCTGTGTTAAAATCAATCTACAGAAATATATGCACAGTATATATAGACTGTATACAGACTATGTGCAAACTATATATACTATATGCAAGCTAAATATAGTATATATGTACCTCATATGTTAACGTTAATTACAAGTCTATTGATAGTATAAAGTAACGTTTTCTTTAATTCTTGATACGTTTCAACGATCGACACAAAAATCAAAAAAACATGTTTTGGATAAATTGTAGACATTTTGTTGCATTTCAAGCAAAAATTTCACCAAAGAAACAGATCACATCGTATATAATTAGGACCAGTCTTTTTTCTACATATTCAGGACATTCTCGATGGTATTTTGATACACTTCAACTAGTAAAACAACTGGAAAGCGAAGGATTCACGAAACAACAAAGTCATGCAGTCATGCAAGCACTGCAAACTGTTCTAGAGGAGAGGTTAGTAGTATTTAGAGCATTATTTGTCATTTTTTACGCAAAACTGACAATATACATAGTTTCAGCAATTTTACAAAAACAATGGTGACTAAAGAAGAACAAGAACGGGTACGTAAATTATTAATATTGTAATGGACCCTGTTATTAGTATTTCTGTTCTTCTTAAACAGGTCCTGGTAGCACATTTTATGTTTTGAATGGTTGTAATAAATAAAAGATAAGTTATACACAGAAAGTAGACTTTGCACAGCTACGAGGAGAACTGCGAACACTTGAAAAAAACGACTTTACACTGATACGGCAAGATTACGAAAGAATTATATCAGATCTTGAAAAACTAAAACGGATTTTCCGCGATGAAATCAACCATACACTTGCAAATGTACGCCTGGACTTGAATTTAGAAAAAGGACGAATCAGAAACGAATATTCAGCACATGAATTGAAAATCAAAGAAACAGATACAAGAATTGAAAATGAAATCAATAATATCAAAACGCAAGCAGAGACAATTAAGCTTCAAATTTTTCAATCATTAATTGGAATTATTACAGGTGGTGGAGCACTAGGTAAGCCTTTCATGAACCATAAAAAAAAACTAATAGCCAAGTACTGGCCTATATCCGTTTAATTACATAACTATAGCAGTGAAATCCGAAAAAAAAAAAAACAACCATTTATACAGGAAATGAATCCTCATTAAAAAATAACTCTCGAAGAATTCTTATAGTATCTCTAGGTGTTTTAACAGAGTATCCAATTGTTAACGGGCTATTGTAAATTTCCCAATCATTTCCTCCCTATGAACAGTCAGTAGACAAACCTATTACTCTTACTGCTCAACTTCGTATGTCTTATCACCAAAAAAATAGATATACTTGAACCCTTTGTCTTTAACATGTCTCAAGCAGTATGTCTTATCCCAACCTTTAGGAAAAACATCAAAAGAAATTTGTCCACCTATACAATATTCAATATAATACACAAAAGCATAGGAAAAACCAATTGAAAAAACAAGTCCATATTCTTTAAATTCTTCACGGAGGACATTAACGAATTTTTTCCGTATCTCATATACTTGGTCATATTCTTCAAACTCATTGCGCTCTTGTATACTTGAATTACGTCCTATAGGGCAAACATTTACCTACACAAAAAAACATATTTAAGCATTTCTCAGCACTATAAATATAATAAAATTACCAATCCATTGCGGAACTCAATGAACGTTCCTCTAGTAAGTCATCAATAATACAACCTTTTTTATAGTTTCTGAACCTTTTAATAGGGATATCTATTTCGGACATATATCTTAAACAAAAGTTGGCAAACTTCTTATATTTTTCTTCACCCAACCATTTAATAAAGGACTTAAATAAGCTGATTTTGCATAAGGCAATAAAAACACATACCTGACATTCCAAAAGTTTTCCTTGCTCATATGCAACCAAACCATTCTCAGGAAAAGCATAATCAAAAATATCAATCACTAAAACATATCACAATTCTAAAAATATATTTATTGAATATTTACCCGACATTCCATCAAGTCCAAGCTGTTCTTGCTGTTTTTCAAGATTACTACCACCAACGAAACCAATAACCACTTTCTTTTTCAATTCTAAGAGAAGGTCGAACATCTCTCGACTAACTACCTATTCATTTGTTAACTTTAAACTCCCAATTAAAGCGAATAAACATCTCTTGAAGGAGTCAATGTACCATCTACATCAAAAAGCACAAGTATATTTGCACCATGCCTGTCTTTGATATCAATAGAATTGGAAAGTACTGTAGTAGAACACATTCTTCGTTATTAAGAATCTCTAAGTGAGATAATTGAAACCAAGAATAAGATCGTTAACGGTAGGTTACTACCCTATAGATAACAGTGAATAATAGAAAAGAAAAAAAAGCGTAAAAAAGGCACAAATTACACAAAATGCCAATTAGGCCTACGTTAAGGCCATGCTTTTATAAAAGCAAAAAAAATAATATCTTTTTTTGTAGAAAAAACCATAGAAGCTCGAATTTTGAAAAGCTTCCAATAACAGGTGACCGATTGCATGGGTATTTTGTAGAACGTGTAAACTATATGGAAACTAGACAGATCATAAGTCTAAAGTAGAGCAGACAAAGCGTATTAGTGAACTCAGTTTGGTAGCCATTTTATTAAGACATGAAAAAACGGGCGCAGAACATCTTCATATCATGAAAAACGACAAAAACAATGTTTTTGCAGTAGGGTTTCACACACCTCCCCCAGACAGTACAGGTGTGCCTCATATTCTTGTTAGATCTATAATATTTGTTTATTTTTATTTCATATTAATAAAACCTATAGGAACATACTGTATTATGCGGATCAGCCAAATATCCAGTTAGAGATCCTTTCTTTAAAATGCTAAACCGAAGTTTAGCAAATTTTATGAACGCCTTTACTTGTTCCGATCATACGATGTACCCATTTGCAACAATGAATCCTATTGACTATGCCAATCTTCGAGAAATCTATTTAGATGCAACTTTGTTTCCAAGACTTCGAAAAATAGACTTTTTACAGGAAGGATGGCGTTTGGAAAATGAAAATACAGAAGGTCTCTTTTTCGAAATCGAATTATTTTCTTACAGATTTATAGATCCACAGTCTCCTATCGTTTATAAAGGTGTCGTGTATAATGAAATGAAAGGTCAAATGGTAAAACTTAGATTCAAAAATATTATTTTTTATATTTAAATAGTCTAACTCATCATATTTATTTTATACTCGGTATCAACAACAAATGTTTAAACATACAATATACGAAAACGAAAGCGGAGGTGATCCAGCAGTTATTACAGATCTTACATACGAAAATCTAATTAATTACCATAAAAAGTATTATCATCCAACAAATTCTAAATTTTTTACATACGGTAACTTTATTTTTTATTTTGCCGTCTTATTAATAATACAAGGAAATTTTCCTTTAAATGAACATCTAAAAGCCATTGATTCAAAGATATCTTCATTTAAAAAAACAAGTGTTGAAAATGTTGAAAAAAATATAAAACCATTTGAGTCACCAAAAAAAATATATGACGTTTTTCCTTTTGACCCTTGTTAGTACATGTTATTCTGAAACTCTGTTTTCTAACTTTATACAGTATCAGACCCTAAATCTCAAATAAAAATGTCGATTTCTTTTTGTGCAAACGATACAACAGATATCTTTGAAACATTTTCAATGCGTGTATTATCTTCATTATTACTTGATGGACATTCTTCTCTTTTATACAAAAAATTAATAGAAACAGGTCTTGGAACAGATTGGTCGCCAAATTCAGGTTATGATTCAAGTTTTAAAACAGGAATATTTTCAGTAGGTCTTCAAGGGGTTGCAGAAAGCAATATTGAAAAAGTTGAGTCTGAAATTCTGAAAGTATTAGAAGAAGTAGCAGAAAAAGGATTCGAACAACATAAAATAGATGCTATACTTCATCAAATAGAACTTAATTTAAAACATAAATCTGCAAATTTTGGATTATCTTTAATGCAAAGTTTAGAATCAGGATGGTTCAACAATTCGGACCCATTTTTGATGATGTCTATTAATGAAATTATCTCAAAATTCAAAGAATTTACTTCTAATGGTCAATACCTGAAATCATTAATACATAAGTATATATTAAACAATAGAAATTCACTTTTATTCATTATGTTTCCTTCAAAAACATTTATGGAAGATTTATCTGCAAATGAAATGAAATCTTTAACAGCTAAAATTAACTCTTTATCTTTGGAAGAAAAGAAAGAACTTCAAACTCAAAGTTTAGAGTTACTGAGGAATCAAGAAACAAAAGAAGACTTATCATGCTTGCCTACATTAACAATTAATGATATAGCAAAAACTGCTTTTAAAGCTAAAATATTACATGAAAATATTGGGAAGCTAAATGTACAATGGAGGATTGCATCTACAGACATTACATATTTTAAAGCTATCAATCCTTTAAATGAGCTTCCAAAACACCTTAAACCTTACTTACCATTATTCGCAGAGGTAATCTATTAAAAGAATAAAAAAACAAGACTAATATTTCAAGGTTTTAACTAATTTAGGGACTTTTTCACAGCCAATGTCAGATTTAGAGGACGAGATTAAACTTAGGACTGGTGGTTTAAATGTTTCTACTCATATTACTTCCAGATATGATGGTAAAATAAATCGTTTTAAAAACTTCTCTAAATTTTTAGATTTAAATATAGTAGAAGAAGGATTAACATTTTCAAGTCGCTGCTTGTATCATAATATACAACATATGTATAATTTATTTCAGAAATTACTATTAGAAACAAACTTTGACAATGTTGAAAAATTGAGATCATTGATATCGATTAATAATAGCAGTATAATGAGTTCTCTTGCAGAAAATGGTCATTCATATGCACGAGCTTTCTCCGCTTCATCAATGACTTTAGGAGGAGTAAGTCTAATAATTGTCAATTAAATATATACTAATTTACTAAGAAATTATCAGAGATAATGAATGGAATAACGCAAGCAAAATTAATTAGTAAACTTTGTGTGGAAGAAGATTTATCAGACTTAATAAATAAACTTAAAGTAATTTCCCTAAAATTAAAAAAAATATTTACATAAATTTTCAGGAAATTTCTAAATATGCATTTTCACGAGATTCACTTAGAATTTTCATTACTTGCAATAACGAACATATAAATGTAAATAAGCAAGAATTAAGCAAATTTTTGTCAAGTCTTCCAGAAAATTTAGACTATCACAAGCCTAAAAATCTATTTCAGTTTACACCGTCTTTTGGTAAAAAAAAATTCTTTCCATTACCTTATTCTGTTAATTTTACATCTCTTTGTCTGTTAGGTGTTCCATATATACATCAAGATAGTCCTGTTATTCAGATATTATCTAAATTGCTTACTCAGCAATATTTACATAGAGAGATTCGTGAAAAGGGCGGTGCATATGGTGGTGGTATTTCATATAATACTTTAGAAGGTATTTTTGGATTCTATAGTTATAGGGATCCAACACCCCAAAGAACATTATCTGTTTTTATGAACTCTGGGCAATGGGCTATGGAACACAATTGGACCAAAGAGGAACTAGATGAAGCTAAATTAAGCATATTTCAGTCGTTGGATGCTCCTATCAGTATTGACCAAGAAGGATTACTGTATTTCGCTAATTCAATAAATGATGAAATGTGTCAACTGTTAGTATTTTATTATTATATTGATTCATGTTTTTCTAAGCTTTTATAGTCGTAGAGAACGCCTATTCGATGTAAAAATAGATGATTTATATCGAGTAACAAAAAAATATATATTTCAATCATTATCACAGCAACATTTAAGTGCTACTATATTGGGTGAAAAAAAAGAATGGATAGAACAAGAAAAACAATGGAAAATTTTTGACTGGAATAATGATATAGATGTTCTATCACAATAATTATATTATTATTATTGTCATAAGAAGTTTACACGTTTGGATATATGCTTAACCCATTTTTAATTTAATGTATATTTTTATTAACATTTCTAAATATAAAGTTTTTAGATAAATAGGCTTACTATAAGGAAAACATAAAAAAATCAATCTTATACTTAGTTATTTTCCTATGCACAATTTGATACTCCTTCATCTAAGATTCATAATGTTGGACACTGATATTGTGCTAGAACAAAAACATGTTTTAAACATTTTCCCGAGTATCAGATCTACTAAGCATAAGCATAAAGTTTATGTGGACTATAACAAGGGTACATTCAAAGATTTATTTTTTTAAAATTATGTTTTAAAATACTTAAATACTTCTAAAATACTTAAATAACAGTACAAAAAAATGTACAAAAGCATATAAAAATATATTATTTGAGAAAAATTCTAAATATATTAGACTTTCTAGATTGTCTTACAATATAACTTTCAGACCATAATTATGTCAACTAAATATTGTAGTTTATCAAACTACATCATCAGTAAAATACCATAGAACATATTAAATATCCCTAATTCATTATATATCTACTACAATATTAAAGTAACTATTTTTTCAAGAAAAATCAAACGTATATACACTTGTATATTTACATTACTCTCAAATAATTATATACAATCCAATCCATTTTAAACATTTTTAAATGCATTTATATATCAATATACTAACTTATACATTCCCTATGACCATTTTTACTTTTTTTAGTAGCGTCTCTCTATCATCCGTTTCTTCAAAAGAAATATGATTCTATTAAATAATAATCAAAAAAAAAAAAAATAATCTGGAAATTTACTTTGCGCAACCAATCTTTCAATATATCATCAGTCCATTGATCTATATTTCATCGATTAATCCTATATCTTTTTTTTATTTCAAAAATACCTGGTGTAATTCCATAAGATGACCATAAGTGAAAAGTAACTGCTAATGTAACAAGTCCAACAAACGTATATAAAAAAAACTTTTGACTCAGAACACGATCAAGCCATGTTTGTTTCATAATAAAGAGATTATGTATCGTAAACGATAGATTTAAAATAGACGATTTTTATCGGAAAAATAAAAAATAAAAAAGAACCCATTATTATCTATAAAATGTGTATAAATACGTTTTTTAATACTATAGAAACCTTGTTTTAAGCATCATTTAACGACATAATATTTGGTTCATTTAGATGATTTATTTTCCATATATTAGCTTGACGTTCCATTACAACTTGCCAATTAATACAATCAAACCAGCGACGCAAATACGTTTCCTTTCCAAAAACACCATAATCATATATCCATGCGTATTCCCAGCAGTTAACAGTCAAGAGAGGGACTAATAATGTATCTGCGTACTTCTCATGCATATTTACTGATGCTTGAAATGCCGGTTGTCCTGCACTCAATCCTTGAGCAACAGAACGTCTTTCGTGATACGGTTGACCTGCATTAAACGTCGGAAAAATCCTCAGTTTCTGCTCGGCTAAATCATGTACAAGCCATATCCAGCCTGATCCAAACATAGCCAGTGCAGTATGAATAAAAAGCTCCTTAAATGTAAGAAAATCACCAAAACTAGATACAATCTGGTCCAAAAAGCTTAATTGAGGTTCCATCTGCTCTTTCGTTGTTTTCTAAACTACAATCAATTTACTAATTGCAATCAACAAAATCATACTAAGCCCAAAAAAAAAAAATGATTATTAAAAGCTTGTGAAGCATGGTTATAAATGTATGAATGTGATGCATTGTATGCAGATTGGTGTGCAATACTTTCAACATCGCCTATATCTTCATAAACCGTACCTATAACATTGATTAACTCAATAACATAACGTAAAACAAAAAAACCTTTAATAAATCGATTCAATTCATCCAAATGATATTTTTGCTTATGAAAATATGCAATTTCAAGAGCTTTAGAAGAAAATAAAGGCGGAAACCCTTCTTTCTGCCATTTCCATGGTAAATAAAGAGAAGGTACCTGATGAGTCAAACAACGAATAGAAGTATTTAAAACCTAAAAATAAGTAAAAACAAGTCCAAAGTCTTAGAAATACACAAAAACATGTTTTATTTTAGGCAAAAATACACATTGTTTTGTTAGATAAAACATGATATCGTCAACGTTATTCAGACAATAAAAAAAACCTTAAATACAACCAAAAATGTTTCATATATAAAAAAATGTTAAATTAAGTTTGAATTATGTAAAAAAGTTTCTTAAATAAAAAAATAACTTGTATAATTGTTTTTAGAAGATCTAATGAAACTTTAAAAATAAGATATTTTAAATTATAAAAAATAAAGATAAATAATAATATAGTGAATATTTTAAATAATATATTCTTATTCAAGTGTTCACATTTTCCTATTATTAAATTATTATAGAATACTATTATTTAAATAACATTTGAAAGTACTAGATATTATATAATATATATAATAATTTCTCATGTCTAAAAAACAACATTCATTAGATTAAAGATTTGGTTAAAATCAGTAAAATTTCATTTTTATCATTACATAACCTTTTCAAAAAACTCATTTCAACTAAAACTTGAATAATAACAAATTTTACATCTAAAATATTAGAATATTAATAACAAATTCATAATTAAATACTTTTTCTTAAAATTTTATCCACATTTTTCAATAATTTTATAAAAACTAAATATATTTTCTATGGACAGGAAAAATAATATATATACTTTGTAAATCAACTAAATAAATTCTTTTTCTATAATAAATCAAAACAAATAAATATTATTTTAAACATAAAAGATTCCAACAAAAAAGACTCATCTTTAATTTAATATTTAACCATAATTCTAAAGTAATTACTATATATTTTTCAAGTAAATCCTTCATTAAAATATCTTAAGTATTATTTTTAACAAATAGTTTATGACATAAATATAAATATTTAATAAAATTTAGAATCTATCGAAAAATACCCAAAATATTTATAAATAATACAATATTATTTTTCAAAGATTTCAACGTTAAATAAAAATATATGAAAAAAAGATCTATTCAAATAAATCTTATAAAATTTTATTACATATAAAATCAAAAAAAAAAAAAAAACCAAAAAACAATTCAATATATTCTCAAAAAAAATAAATATAACCATCCTTAATCGAAACTTTCTAATATATATATATATATAATATAACATTTTATACAATTTAACATAAAATCTATCAAATACGCTATACTTTTTTAAACATAAAACAAGCACAATTATATTTACAAAAATATCTTAAAAAGAAAATTATATTTTTTTAAAAAGAATTATTAAAAATTACAAAAAAGATATTTAAACATTTTTTAAATAATTTGTTTATCAAACCTCATTCAATCATCAAATATTTATTATAAAATATCATTGCTAAAATACTCCCATTGGTTTTTATATTGATATCAATATTAATATCAATAAAACGTATTTTTTTTCATTTTTGTCTGCTTTTATAATATATATAGGTTTATATATAGGTTTTTAAAAAGCTTTTAAATAAGGAAAATTTAAATGTTTTTTACATCTACAATTAATAATGAGAAAGCGACATGCAACAATTTATGATGCAGTATCAGACAAAATATTTCCTCCTCATAAATATACTCAACCATCAAGCACTTCAGAATTGCCTCGTCTCAGAAAACAACGACCCCGAGGCCCTGATGAATATCTTAAAGTAACATCAACAGATTGGACTAAACAACTCCCAAATTCTGTACGTTTTTCAAAACCAAAGATATATAAGCAAATTATTGATATAATAAAGGAACTTCTCCAAGCATTGAATAATTATGTTGCGAATTTTAGTATGAAATATCCTTTCCCTTCTCTTTTTGAAAGTTTAGATGAAACTGCATTACTCGCATTAGGTATGCAAAAAATTTTTATAAATATTGGCTAAAAATTTCAAGGTATTTTAGTAGAAGAAACAGTAGCTACACTTCTTGGAAATGGAGAAAAAATGTTTGTTGAACAAACTGAAAATGTATCAAACAATCAAACTGCTTAAAGCTCATCATCAAATAAAGACATTTTAATTAATAGTCTATGGTGTCAATTTGTCTTAAGTACATTTATCAATACAAAAAGTAGTTTCTAAACATATAAATTTATAGTATTATGGCAACACATCAAAAATTTATTTTAAACAATTTGTCAAAGATTTTAGACTAATAACTTCATTTTTTATAATTAATTGTCTGATTAAATTCGATATAAATCTTAAAAAATATTTTACTTTAAAACAGTTACCAAAAAAATCATAGAATACTGTAAATATAAATTATAATCTATATAATCTATTTCTTTTGCAAGTATTTTAATAAAACAAAAGTTCTATATAGCTAGGAATTATTGATAAAAGTAGATTTGCTTTACATTATTCAAAATCACCTTTTTTAATATAAGTTTTATATTTAAAAATGCTCAGTACGTTAATATTTTTAATTATATAAAAATTAAATCTTTATAATTTAGAATTCATTAAAATAAAATCTTGTGTATCAAAAAACATTAAATAATAAAAAATCTTTAATAAAAAGTTATCTATTAAAAATTAATATAATTATAACTAAGTTCTTTCTAATCGATATCTAATTTTAAAACTTTATTTTTTCATTTTCTAAAAAACTTATTTATAAAAATACAAAACATTAAATTTTACAAATATAAATCAACATAAAAAAAATACATATGTCTAAAAGATATTTATTTATTTAAATGAAAATGAAAAAATAGAATAAATTCTTTTAAATTATATTAGTTTTTGAATATAATACCATTTTTTAAATAAAAAAATAACACAAGCAAATATTTTTTTAAAAATAGAAAACACTATTTACTTTAAAGACTAATTAATCAAAAATAATATTCTTCAATTAGTTTTTTTTAAAATATTATCTTTTTTACAAATTCTATGATATTTTTTATTTTATTTTCTTAAAAGCCTAATTAATACATGTTTCAACATTATTTTTTCATTAAATTGTATTTTTCAACAAAATATACATTTTTATTTTATTACTGATATTGTCAATTTACAAGTCAACTCGATAATATTAAAAATCATTGATAAAATCTAACTATTTTATAAATAAAAAGACATTTTTAATAAAAGAAAAATGATTGAAAAAGAATAAATAGCTTTTAAATGAAAGAATCCACAGAACCATTTTGTATTTCTTTTCAGCCGATAAAAAATGTTCAGAAATGGAAAAAACAAGAGTCATCAACATATACAAAAAAAACAATACTTAAAAACGAATCAGAAGAAGAGGAAGAAAAAGTAGAAGATGAACTACTTAGCGGGTTTGATCAGTCAGGTGCATTATCTTTAAATCCAGAAAAAAAGGCCAAAAAAGGCCTTTTAATGATTCCAGCACTAAAGAACAAAGACTGGAGACAAGAAATACTAAGACATCAAGAAGCATTATCTTTACTTATTAAAAAAGAATCATTAGAACGGGAGAATGAAGTTTCATCTGAAACCAAAAAAGATGCACAAACATACGGTTTAATGTTTATTAATTCAAAAAAAGAGATATCCTTAACACAAACAGAAATATCTGCTGAACAAGCAGAAACAAAATCTCATGATACTGAAAACACTGTTAAAGTAGAAGCTACTGAAGATGAGCGCGCTATTGAAGCATTGTTAGCTGATGTAGAAGGGAAAAAGACAGATTCAAACCTTATATTGCCTATGACGGTTTCTAATACAAATTGGAAAACAAATACTCGACGTTTAACAGAAGATGAATTATATCGAATAGATATATTATCTTTACCAGACCCCTCAACTTTGGAAGATTATGAGAATGTTCCGGTTGAAGAATTTGGTAACGCTTTATTACGAGGTATGGGTTGGAAAGAAGGAGAAGGAATTGGTAAAAATAAACATGTAAATACAAAACCTATTAAAGCTGTTCGAAGAGCTCAATTTTTGGGTATTGGTGCAAAAGAATATGATGCACATGAATTAGATGAATTGGGTGCATGGGGAAAAGGTATCACAAAACAAAGAGTTGACAAGGTATATATTCCTGTTTTAAAAATTAATAAAGCAACAGGAAAAGTTATATATGAAACAGTAACAAAAAATGACTCAAGAGAAATCCGTCAAAAAAATACACATAAAAAATCTCCAGAAAAAGTTAGAGATAACTCAGCAAAAAAAAACAGTAATCATTATTCTTTTGAAGAATACAAAGATAAAAGAAAACATAAAGATTATGATGGGAATCGATATCACTCAAATCATTCTATAAGAAAGGATTCAGATGAATATGAACATCATTATAGTACGAATAGACATAGGAACAAAGATTATAACATTCATAGAAATAAACATTAATCTTTATATATATTAACAATATAACAAAATTAAAAATCATATTTTATACTATATTGTGTTTAAAATTTAAGTACTAATTCATAACTTAATGCATAAATCATATATGAATAAAAAAATAAAATATAAATAAAAATTACAAAAAGTTTTGATTTATAAAATATCATTTTTTCCTCAATATCGCAATTTCATATTATATTTTAACTATCAAAAAAACATATTTATAATTTTTAATAAATAATTTATAATCAAAAATAAAACCATTATTTGTAAAAATCAAGTTTATATAATCAATATGCTAAATATATCAATAAAAATTACACTAATTTCTAATATTCATAAGTATAAAAACAATGTCTTTAAAAATTAATATGTTCTAATTCAGTTTTAATCATTGGTGATACTTCTGTTGACTTAAGTTCATTAAAATCAACAGAAATCTTAGATTTTAATTTAGGATCATCGTAATTTTTCAACGATTGTATAAATATTTTTGCAGCTTTCATAGCTTCACTACGTACACTTTCATAGCTTTTGTTACTAAGAGTGTGATAAATTACATTCCAATTATCTAATAAAACATTAGTATTCTTCAACTGGTCGAATAAATGGATGTCTAAGAAATTTTTCTTAAAAATTTTCTGAATAGATTGACATATTACTATTTGTATATTCCATGTTGCTAATTGAATATTTTCCTTCCAAATTCTTACTAATTCTAAGTAATGAACATCTATAAATAATAATTATTAAAAATAACAAGAACTCATTCAAATACATATTCTATCGCTTTTTGAATTAAAGGCATTTGCGATTATTTTTAACGCATATTCACGAAGAATTAATCCCCTAAGTAAAATAAGAAAGTGTTTATTATAAAAAAATTCTCACATAGGTTTTGAAATTTCATTATCTTCACATGTTTGTATTTTTTCTGAATCATTAGATATAAACTTTTCTATAATTAAATAAATATTTTCAAAACTTTCAAAATTTGAATAAGATTCAATAAATCTATTAAAATTATGTAAAACATGTCGCTTGTAATTAATATCATTTCTTTTTATTTCACGATTCAAAATCTATCAGTTATTAATATAAAAATTATATCAAAAAATATCAATACATTAAATGTTTCTTGAATTAAATTTTCCTTATCCAATAAATAACTCTCATTATGAAAAAGTAAAGTAATAAACGCATCAAGAACTGTTTCTTTACCTTTCCAAAACTTCCCTCGAAGAATATCTATAAGAAGTGGAATAAATTTATTTAAATATTTATCCATTCGAGAAACTTTAATAACTTGAATTAAAGCAGTTGCTGATATTTTTTTTGATCTCCAATAATTATTTTCTAAACCAACAACTATATAATCGAGTATTTCTTCCAGATAAAGATTTATAGAACTACTATTTCCAGTATTTTCATTCCAAGTTTCATTAAACAAAAAACGAACACTTTCAAACAAATCATGTTTACCCAAAAATACAACTGGAAGAAACACAGAAAATAATGCTACAAATTTTTCATTTGCATAAGTGGACATATGTTTATATACGGAAGCAATAGTTATTAATTTTTTTTCATCTTAAAAAATTAATATTAGATTAAAAATCTATTTAATATACCTTCTTCTTCAAAATACATTTTTTTCAAACTCGAATCTAAAAATACTAAATCTTTATCCAATGCGATACGAGCTATATATCCTAAGGAAGTAGAAAAAGATATTCTTACTGTATAATTTCTATCAAAGAGACATGCGTAAAAAGTCTTAAATATGTCAGTTGCATATGAAGAAACACAGTCCCTTTTTTTCAAAATAATGCTTATAATAAGCTTGGAACACGCAAGCTACAATTCTTTATAATACATTCATATTAAGGAAAATAAAATACCTTAGTGGAAAGACCAACTGCTTTTAACGTGTTATTAAGAATAATACTCATAGTCTCTTGAACTACATCATCATCAAGTTGATCTATACAGTATTCAATAGCGCTAAGTATTGGTGATACTCTAAGTAAAGAGACTCTTGAATCATCTAGCTTTAAAAATTTTAATAAACAAAATTTTATAAAATATTCACTTACTTGTTCCTGTGTTATATCATATTTATCTACGTTTAATTCCAAATAATTCATAACTTGTGGTTCTAATTCGGTAAGAAAATTTAATAAATTATCAACAAGTTCAGAAATAAAATATTTCAAAGAAGATTTTCCTACATTACATATTTTTATCAAAATATCTAAAGAATATATTTTAACTTCTTCTGCATCCGAATGTACACTCTTTAAAAAAATAGGAATACTTTTTTCCAAAATATTTTTTTTTTTAATTTCATTATTATCTTTAGATTCAATATTTTTTACAATAAAAGATGAAATAGAACGACATAAAATAGATGCAGATGATCGTACAGTTTCTTTTACCTAATAATAATTAATAACAAAAATTTAAAAGCCTAATATTACATCATCAACCCTACGTAAACTCATTGTTATTATATCATCTAAATAAGGTTCTATATTTTCAAATGTTTGAGTTTGAAAAATATCTACAAATGCATTGCAACTTGCTTCACGAATATACCAAGATTGATCACTAATGCCTTTTAATAACCTTTTTATAATGTCCGTATAAAATTGCACAATTTTTTCTGAATCAACAAAAACCTTAAATATACTTTCCATTGTTTTTCTTATATTCGACACTGGATGAAATTTATACAAAAATAAACATGATACTAATTTCTTGGAAAGCTCTGGATCATTTTCTACAATATTAGCATTAAAATTTCCCAAAATAATTTCATTAATGCTAAAAGCAACTCCTTTTTTACTTTGCCAAATAGCAGAACTTGATGCAATATTGAGAAACTGATAAATTAATTCAGGATTTCCGACCTCTGTTGCTAATTTACAAACCTATTACAAATTAAAAAATATTAAGAAATAGATATACTAAAATACATCTCCGTATGTTGAAATTGGATTATTATCTCCACTATGAATTTCGTAATCAAATAACTCTGTTTCAGACGAAATAGTCCTTTTATAATTCTTTCCATCCGTTATTAAGCATGAAACTAAATTATGAACTAAATTAGATTTTATTTCTTCTGAACATTTTTCATAAAGCAATTTCAATCCTTTTGATGCAGATTCTTGAATAAAACCTAAAAAGTATTAATCAATGTCAATAATAATAGAAACTTACTGTCTTTATTTGATAACAACATTATAAAGGCATTCTGTATATTTAAAATATTAGCCTTAATCCTTTTTTAGTAGAATTCATAAAATATAAAAAAATTACTTGAATACTTGAAGATTTACCACAATACTGAACTAAAGACAAAAGCCATATTACAGATGCCTAGCAAATATTAAATACAAATTAATAAATAATAATAACTTCTTATACTTTTTTTAAAGAAAGCTTTGTGCTTGTTATATATTCTTTAAGTATTTTTTTTAAAATAAAATCGACATATTCCAACCTAGAAGTTTCTGGAATATAGGAAATAGACATATCAAGAAATTTATGTAAATACGTAGATTTCCATCCAGCTGCAATACAAGAAAGGGCTTCACCATCAGCAAAATATAAATAATCTTCACGTTCATGATTTTCAAATATAGAATTTAAGACAAAACCAATTTTAAAATCTTCAGGATTCATAATAACTGAAATTTTCCCTAATGTAGTGATTATAATTTCCTGAAGCGCAGTGTCTAGTTTAATTTTTTTGTACATATCAAGAATTATCATTACCAATGAACTAAATTTCTGTTCATTCAAAATTTTAAAATCTGAAAAAACATTAAAAATACTCAACTCTCCAAATGCTATAAGAGCACATTTCTTTTCAAGGTTATTATCAGATGATATTTTTTCAATAATGAAATCATAACATTCATTAAGTAAATCAGAGTCAATTCTAATTAAACGATTTCTACACTTCAAACGACTTAATAAATATCCCAAAGACAATAAAGATGCATGTTTTGACACAATTTGTTGATTATTTTGGAACGTCTGATCATCAATAAAATGTGTTAATAATTCTATAACTTTTTCAATAGATATATTAGGATGGCTACCAACAATTCCTAGAACACGAAATATATCATATTCGATGTCTTTGAACGATAATACAATATTTTCAAGTAAATCAATTTTATCAGTCAACATTATTGTTAAATCCGGTGACCCAAGTGAAAGTAACTCAAGAATATTATATGCAAATTCTGAAGGAATTTCAAAAAAATTCATAATAAGATATCGAAAATAATTAGTCAAATACTTTTTAAATTTACTATTTTCATTCCACAATACGTCAAAGCCTTTTTTATACGCAGTTCTAAACTTGTCATTGGTGCTAATAGCAATGTCAAGCTGTTCTTCCCATGCTCTACTTAAAGGAATCCCATTCCGAATACTTTCATCAAATCTCAAAAGATTCATGATTAATGTTTGTCGAATAAATTTTATCATGTAATTTTTAATAGTAGGTGCTTGCATTTGAAAACGTTGGCTAAAAAAATTATCTCCTTTATTATTAAGTTTTTGATTCTCTAATATTTCAATCAAATCTTCAAAAATAGGAAAAAAGAACGGATTATGATTATTTTTTGAAAAAACAATATTTGAAGTTTGTTTCATACTTTTCATTTGATTAACTACTAAAAACCAGTACGGATTTAATCCTTTTTTTGCTTCTTCTATAACTTCAGGCTTACAATTTTCTCTTAAACAGAGTAAACACAACATTCTTGCTTTGCTTTCATGAAAAGGAAAGACTGTTAAGCAATAACGAAGTGCAGAAAAATGTATATCTATATGATCAGAAACAATAATTTCAAATAGTAATGAATTTAATTCATCTAACAATCTTCCTTGAATATTTTGAAAATGAGGCATTATTAAGGAAAGCGATTGTTCTATAGAAAATCTAACCAATTTCGTTTCTTTTTTAAGAGAATCAAACAAAAGTTTTAAAATAGGAATCTCCATATTCTCCATTCCTATAAAATATTAATAACAATAAAAAATATCAATCGAACCTCTTTTAGCAATAAGTCCAAGAGACGTAAACAAATGCTCTCTATAAATTTCACTTTTACTGTCGCTATTCTGAATATAAGTCAATAGTAAATTCAAAATAGACAAAGAAACTGATTTTAGTGATTCATCACTTGACATTCTATAAAATTAAAAACTTGTCTTTTATTTTAACAATATACCTTGCAATCCAATGAATAAAAGTAACTGTTGCTTCTCCCAGTTTTTGCATATTACCTAATATTATTAAATATTTGTATGCTCATTTCAAAACACAATACTTTGTAAGCCATAACTTAATAATCTAGGTATATTTTCCATGTTTTTAATAGCATGTCGACTTTTTGATAAAAGATTTATAAAATATATATAAATCTGAGAAGAAACAGGATCTCTATGCATTGTTTCTAACCCTTCATTATTCCCGAGTAAAAGTTCATATATATTCTCAATAATTTTTTCATTTTCTAAATCAATAATAGGCAACTTTTTAAGACAAGCATTAGCAATAAGACTAATGTTATCATCAGGATCAAACTTAAAAATACTAAGTGTAGTAAATTTTTGATCTAATGAAAAATAATTTGTGGAAAGAAACCAAATAGTCCCTATTTTTATTTTAGTGAGTGAATCTATAGTAAATGTATCATTTCCTTTAAAAGTTAAAAGTCTCAAAGAATCAAAAGATAAACCGGGACATGTTTTCTTCAAAACAGAAATTTGCAAAGAAAAATTAGTATCATTAGACAAATTAGTTTTATCAAAATGATTAGAAAATGAAAACTCCTGAATCTTTGCTTGAGGCATTTTTTTTAATAAAGAATGAAAGTATGATAATGAAAATAGCGCCAAATCCCTAAATATTTTTGCTAAAAATGAAAAATCTTCAAAAGAAGTCTCAGAATCAAAAATCGATTTTATAGAATCATCTTTTTCAAATTGTGAAATCGAATCTTCATTAGAAGAACCATATATTTCTAAAATATGAAAAATTAAGTATATAAATCTTTTTTTATGCTCAATAGGATGCCCTGAAAGCCCTAATATTAACTTAGGTAACAACTTTTTTTTTTCCTAAATAATTTTAAAAATACAAAATTCTAATTATTTTTTACCCACTTCCTCATTTAGCCTAAAAAAAGCCATATCTAAAAATAAAAGAGTAAAACTCTTTGTAGAGTTTCCAACATCTTTAGAGAAAAATTGCTCTAATAATGCATCTATTGGAAACTTTATATTTTCATTTGATTTCGTTTGTATACGAATATGACCACAGATTTGAACTACCTAGTTAAATGAGTTCTAACATTCAAAATTTCATTAATTAAAATACTTTTTTTCTCACAATATCATGTGGACTTGCTAATTTTAAAAGCATAGGACATAAATAAGTCTTTAAAGTATTTTCTAGCTTAATATCTGTATCAGCTAAAGCTAAATGAAATTCAACGCCACTGAGTCTATTTCTATTAGCTTTTTTTTAAAAAAAGAAACTAAAAACAACAATTTTAATTCTTTATCCGCCATAAAATTGAATAATAAGTTTTATAAAAGTCGAAAAATAATAATCTTGTTTATAATATCAATAAAATTATTAAACAAAAAAAACGCATTAAATGTCTATATCAAATTAATTTATATTTCTTCCAAAGATTTCTAAAACAATATCTTTAGCACTTTTAATTTTTAATACTAATTAAGATAAAAGTATTGAATATTAACAATTTTTGATGGCCTTTTTTGCACTGATATTAATTTATATGAAAAAATATAAAAAAACAGATTGTCCAAAATAATCAAGAGTCTAATAAGAAAGAATAAAAATATTATCAAAGCATTATTAGAAAAAAATAAATCCTGAAAGTATCGTTTTTAAAGCTCTAATTCTTCGAAACATTCTAGACAGCAAAAAATCTAAAACTACACACTCAACCGAATGTTTACAACTATTAGGACAGCTACTATACAGTGCTAAGGGAAATAGAAAATCTACTTTATTCTGGAAACGATCAAGACAAAATACAAAAATCTTGAAAACAGAAATGGATTTTTATAGAACAAAAAAAAGATATTTTAGTCAAGAGATACGTATTTTATGATTCCATGTCTCAAACAAAAATGATCAAAATGACTTAAGAGCAAATACCCTCAAAATTTAAATCCGCTCAAAACACCAAAGATGCAATAAATGCCACTGCTGCAAATACCAAAGAACCCAAAGAAATCATTGTACGGACAGAACCACCTGGCTGTGTAGTAACATTTGCATTCAAATCAGCCAACTTAGTCGAGTTCGTCCCAGCTTTCGCTAAATCAGTACTATTTGTTCCATTTTTAAAAAGAACCGTAGAATCTGATATATTTTTAGTCTCTTCTTCGTGAACCTTATCTATACTATTTAGCAAACTTAATTTTATATTTTCATACATACTCAGATATGCTCCACCATAAGGTGTTGCCTGGATCATAACAAAAAACATGGCAATAGTCATAAAAATGCTTATAATACGAAAGTGTATCATGTTAAGCCTCTAATCAAAAATATGGTAATACTTATGTTTATGCCTCTTTGTTTATTTAATAAAAATTATGAAGATAAAGTGGGCTGGGGGGCCTTTTTATATCTTTTTGAGAATGTTTTATGCGTTGACCTTAAACATACCAAAAAAGTTGTGGCGCATAACTTAAGATATGTAAACATTGTAGAAAATTACTTTTTTAAGTCAAAATATTCAAACAACAATAAATTCTCGTAATTTGATTGGAAGTTGGTATTTCTCTGGAATGTTTTGTTAAATGATTAAACAAGGATATCCCTTCTTTGAATCCTTGTATAAAAAAGACGCTTTCCCTTTTTTGGGGAATTATCGATAAGACTTCGTTATAAAAACAATTCAATACTTTAAACCAACACATATATAACACCTAAGTTGCCCACAATCTTGATTTATATACATAATATACACAAATATGCACTTTAGATTATATATATAGCATATTTTATAGTAAATTTTCAAATTAAACAATCAAAATTATAAGAATTTAAAAATATAAATATACTTTTCAATCTGAGAATCAAATCCGTTAATAAATATATAATGTGATGCATTTAAAATCAAAAGAATAATCTTTAAGCATATATAAAACAAAAAATACTCGTATTTACAAGTAACGAAAGTCATGTGATGATAAGCATCAATATGTTACCTAGGCAACAGTGGACACAGTTCGGGAGAAAGTGGATTCAAGATTAAAATCGAATCTATAGTTGTAATTGGATATACAGTTTAAGAATTAAGTCATAAAAAAATTAAAAACAAGTATCTAATGAGAAGAATACGTATTACTTTGTAAAATAATTGAAAAACACGACAAATAGCGTCAAATGCATATATAAAATGGATTCTGAAGATATTGGCCTTTATAGATCAAAGTACGTTTTTTAAAAGAATATTTCCCGTCAATAGATGGGCTATAATTATTAACAAGTATTTTTAGCTAATAAAATTTAGTAATTTGGAAAAAGAAAAACCATTTCTTGTGCGTGAAAATGTAGCATTTTCCGTTCTTCATGAAGAAGATTATGTTTTGTAAGAAACTTTTCAATATATATAATTTTTAAGTAATGGTTTACCTAATAACAGAAAAAAACGCACATATCAACAACAATATGCAAATATGTATTTTCTACGTCTTGTTCATATTAGACCGAAGATTGTTCATCAAGCACAACAAAATTGGGGAGATATGGTTATTAAAGACTGGAAGGTTAAACGTGCAAGTCGTTTATTAGATATTGTTCATGGAGAAATATGTTGGATTGTTGGGACGGTTTACGTTGATGCACCTCTAAAACCTAATATTTTAGATGATATTAAAAAAGATGTAAACTTTGACCATTTTTTCTTCATATTGATCTTGTCTAGTATTGGATGGTTGGACCTAAAAATGAAAAATATATTGATTCTACAAATAGCAATGTAATATTAGAAGACGAATATGGAAGGATTCGTCTTGTAGGGTCAAAAATATTACAAGAATTTTTAGTTACAGGCTGTGTTATTGGCGCTTTAGGATTTGAAATTCAAAATGGAAATTTTGAAGTTATTGATCTTTGTTTTCCTGAATTACCTAATCAAATTTCTTTACCAAATAGAAATAGTATGTTTTTTTATTTATTATGATTTATATAACCTTTTCATTTAGATACCGACACTCATAAATATGTTGCTTTGGTTTCTGGACTTAATATAACAGATAAAACATCTAACTTATTGCCACTTTTTCTTCTTGCAGAGTATTTAAATGGAGGAATTGGGCATCAAGTGGTACCTCATCTTATTTTTTAGTGCTCATTTAAATTGTTTTTAGGATCGAGTAGCTAGTTCTCAAATAGTTCAATTTATTATTGCCGGAAATTCTATAGCTTTATCAGAAACTGAAAATACATTAACTAATAAAAAAGTAACTAATATATAATTCAATTAATATTAGTAACAATTTTTTTCAGAAACCATTTAATGCCTTTATATATAATTCTAAACCAGCAGAAATGTTCGATATATTTCTCTCAAACATATGTGCTACAACTTCAGTGATACTTATGCCAGGTGAATCCGATCCATCAAATACTTTGTTGCCTCAACAACCAATTCATTTTTCATTTATTCCAAATGCTAAACATTATTATGGATCTACGTTAAAAACTTCTACGAATCCAATGTGGTTAGAAATTGATGGAGTGAAGTATTATATTTTATTAAATCTTTTTTTATTAAATAGCTTTTTTAGATTTCTTGGGTCAAGTGGGCAAACGATTAATGATATATATAAATATACGAATAAACATAATAAACTATCAATTATGGAATACACATTAAGATGGCAGCATTGTGCACCAACTGCTCCTGATACTTTATGTTTGTACAATGTTTTTTTAAAATCATTACCAATTAATTTGTATTAGGGTGCTATCCATTCTTAGAAAAAGATCCTTTTATTTTATCAGAAACACCGCATGTATATTTTGTCGGAAACCAAGAAGAATTTAATACTAAATTTATTGAAGGTTTATATATACAGCAATATCCATTTTTACCACTTAAGTAAAATTAGGGGAAAATGGGCAAATCATACGTTTAATTATGCTTCCAGTATTTAGTAAAACTGACACGATTGTTTTATTAAATCTTTCAACACTTGAATGTGAAGAAGTTAAATTCGGTATTCATGATAAAATAAGTATCTAATATAAACAGTAATATATTATATGTATATGTATATAATTTTTAATTATATTTTATTCTTATAAGCTTTGTAGTTTTGGAAACAGTGGTTTATTTTGTGTATAATGAGTTCGCAGATACATATCATCTGCACCTAACTTGCAAAACTTCAAGTTTCTCCGAGAAACCTCAACATCCAGTTGATCTAATATTTCAGATGCTTTATCAGGAATAAAAGGTTTTAACAAAATACCAGAAATTCGTATAGCATCCAAAGCCCTAAAAAGAATAGGATCAAGTTTAGAAGGATCGTGTTTACATTTCCAAGGCTCAAAATCCTGAAAAAACTTATTAATAGACCTTATAAAGTCAAAGATAGCTTCTAAAGCACTATGAACACGAAATGAAACCATATGATTATCAACATTTTCCGCAATAGTATTAAGCTTTATATCAAAATCTTGAAAAAAAGTATTTTCATTTGTATGTTTTTTTGCATAAAGTAAAGCACGATTTAAATTAAAATGAGGCGAAAGAATTCGTAATAAAAGATTTCCAAGCTGTCCCCTAAGATCCACATCATAATTCTTTATAACGTCAGATGAATCATAGTCTTAGTAATATTAAAAAACAATAGAATAAAAAATATACACCTCACCTCGATCATTATCAAGTCTTCCATATTTTATAAGGAAATATCTTAAAGTGTCAACAGTGAATTTTTGAATTTCAACAAAAGGATCAACGATATTCCCAAGCGACTTAGACATTTTAATGTTATTCATTGTCCAATGTGAATGAGACACGATTTGACAAGGAAGAGGCAACTTTGCAGCAATTAAAAGTGCTGGCCATAAGATACAATGAAACCTATTTAAAAATAAAAATTATATGTAGAAAAAATAAAAAAACTTACCGAAAAATATCTTTTCCAATCAAATGAACATCAGCAGGCCATTCTCCAAACGTTGAATTATTCCATGGATATCCAGCATTTGTTATATAACTTAGCAAGGCATCAAACCATACATATATGGTATGTGAATCGTCACCAGGTACAGAAATACCCCATGAATAGCGAGAGCTCGGTCTAGATATACTTATATCACTTAATCCCTCAGAAATTGTTTTATATAGAAAATCTTGCACTGAACTTGGGATAATAAAAGTAGGATTCTTTTCATAATGATCCAAAAGATGGTCTTTGAAAATTGATAATCGAAAATGATAATTATTTTCAGATACCCATTCGACATTAGCACCTGTTTCAATTGAAATCTAAGCCAAATTAGAAACAAATGTACCAAAATCATAAACTATTTACGGTAGAAATAGTACCATCTTCCGGATTTTGTACATTTTTTACAGCACTTGAGGGATAAAAGGTTTCATCACGAACAGAGTACCATCCTTCATGTTTACTCTGATAAATATATCCTTTATCCTCCAGAACCCTCCAAAAGTGGCAAACTCCTTGACGATGCTTGAGACTTGTTGTACGCGTAAAATCTTTATAACTAATATTTGCTAATTTAGCCAAGCTTTTAAAACGTTGAGACGCTTTTTCACAGAATAAAAACGGATCTAAGCCGGACTTTATAGCCGCTTTCTGAATCTGAAGAGTTTTTGGCATGCATTCCTAAAGTTTTTAACAAAATACGCACTTTAATTCCATGCTCATCAGTCCCAATTCTTAAAATAGTTTGACAATCTTTAAGTTGTTGATATCTCTGGATTACATCCGCCAAAACAAGTGTATACAGATGACCAATATGAGGATCTAAATTGAAATAAAAACGGTATAAAAAGCATGCTTATGATGCATTTTTACCTGAATTGATATAAAAAATAGGTGTCGTAATATAATATGGTTTTTTTGATTGATAACTATTTTTTCTGAAAAAAAGAAAAAAACCAGGTGATCTAAACACAGAAATCATATGAGATGGTTCAAAAAAAGGTCTTTTTGTTTTTATTTTATTGATAAATAACATTTTTAAGTTTTTTTATTATTTTTGAGGTTAAATATTTTTGAAAATCGTTAGACTCAAATATTTTAGAAATGTCAAAAAGAAAACATTCAGATGAATCTAGTACATCAATTCATGAAAACGAACCTACATCTCGTGTTTTACATACAAAAAATGAGAACTCTTTTTCTCCTGAAAAAAATGGTGATTTCAAGGCCAAAAAAGAGAAATTACAAAATACAGATGATCTGGAAAAAATAAACGATAATATAAAGCTAGAAAAGAATGAAATAGAGCCACAATCCATGCCACCATTAGATATGTATCTTGATACAGTAATTTATATAGATATTTAAAGTTTTTTTCTAAAAATAAAAGGTAGATAGAACACGTTTGGACTTTGATTTTGAAAAACTATGCTCTATTTCACTCTCGAATCTTAATGTCTATGCATGTCTTATTTGTGGAAAGTACTTCCAAGGTCTTTTTCTTTTTTTCTGCTCTTTACTTAACGAACTAGGCCGTGGAAGATCTTCTTATGCATATTTTCATAGTTTAGACGAAGCACACCATGTTTACATCAATCTTCATAGCCTTAAAATATACGTGCTTCCGGAGTCATATGAAGTACGTACAAATGCACTCGACGATATCAAGTATGTTCTCAATCCAACCTATACAAAAGAACAAGTAATGGCCATGGATACAAACACAGAACCATCATACGATTTGGATAATAAGAAATATTTCCCAGGTAGGCCACCATGTCTATCAGTTGCCACAATATATAAAGAGACAGGATTCGTAGGGCTTAATAATATCAAACAAAACAACTATCTCAATTGTGTGATTCAAGCACTATCACATGTAACACCATTTAGAAATTATTTTATTTTGGAAAACTTTACTGGAAAGAGTGAACTAGGTACACAGTAAATGTATATATATCTGTATATATTGATGCTAAAACATTGGAAAAGTTCAGAGACTGAGTATTCTTATACGGAAGATATGGAACGCCAAAGCATTTCGAGGACATGTGTCTCCCCATGAGCTACTCCAAGAAGTGTCTTCTGCTTCTGGAAAACAATTCAGACTGACCGAGCAAAGCGATCCGCTTGAATTCCTATCATGGCTTCTAAACACTGTTCACTGTGATCTTGGTGGATCCAAGACAAAACCAGAGTCCAGTGTAATCCACAAGATATTTCAGGGAAAAGTACGAATCCAAAGCCAGCAGATCATTGCTAGATCAGATGCAAACGATGCTGACCGGCTACGTTTCGAAGTGGGCAGAGAAATCAAGGAAAATGTGTCACCGTTTCTATTCCTAACACTGGATCTGCCACTCCCGCCTCTGCTGCAAGACGAGTTTGAAGACAACATCATTCCCCAGGCATGCATATTGTCTGGACTATTTTTTTCACCATTTAACCAAAGCACAGGTTGCATTGTCCACACTTCTTGCAAAATACGACGGTGTTACATCTCAAGAGCTGTCGGGCCAAAGAAAACGCTACAAGATCACAGCTTTGCCCCCTTTCTTGATCTTCCACATCAAACGGTTCACCAGAAACAACTGGAGAGACGAAAAAAACCCCACTATCGTCAATTTCCCCGTCAAAGACCTGGATATGCGAGGATGTAAGACCTATTTACCGCTCCCCCATGCTTATCTCCCCAGATGTCGATCCGAGCCCTGTATCCAACTCACCTTTGATCTATGATCTCTGTGCAAACATTATCCATGAAACTCTGTCGTCCATTGAAGGCGAAAAACGTGTTTTTCGCACCCAAGTACGCAACAAGTCTACCGATACCTGGTACCAGATCCAGGATCTCTATGTCGAAGAGATACCCAAAGAGATGATCTTTCTCAACGAGAGCTATATTCAGGTGGGTTTTTCTCATTTCTAGCTCCATCCATCCCAACTGCTTTAGATATGGGAGCGCAGATCCCGTCCAAAGCCGCCTCCCAAGACTGCCAGCCACACATCAGCCACACATTAGCTATACATAGACCATCTGGCGGCTATACACGGGATCCATAGGCCCTACATGCAGACCATACCATCCCACAGAGACAGCTGCACCGCTACAGACACACTTTGTGTACACTTTGTGCACATTTTGTGTATACTTTGTGTATATTATCCATATGTATATCCATATATATATCCGTACTATGTTCGTACTATGTCCGTACTATGTATATCCGTATTATATATCTATGTATATCCATATCCATGTATACATCTATATGTGCATCCATATTCATGTGCATCCATATACTGTGTCCATGTCTTGCGTCCGGTCTTCCGTACATATATACAGCCTATACATTGTACCATGCCATGCTGTGCATACAGTGCGCATACAATGCGCATACAGCGCGCATACACTGCATATAACGCATACACAGTACATATACAGTGCATAGAGCGCACTGCACATAGCGCATACACTGCACACATAACGTACATAACGTATACAGCGCACAGTATGTGCATATACCATACGTGTTGTATGCGCACACTACACATACTACACATACTGCGCATACATAGCGCATATACGACGCATACACTGCGCATATAGTCGGCTGAATGCATACGCTGTGCATACACCTGTGTGTATATGCTGTGCATACACAGTGCACGCTGCGTACTACGCCGTGTACGGTCCGTCGACCGCGACCCATAGACTACACGCGCTGCACTCGACACACACGCCGCCTGTCTCCGCCTCTATTCTCGCCACTTCATACACTCCGCCGCACCGACACTCCCGCCGAAGCACTTCTCCCTCTGCACTGAACTCGCTCCACTCTGCCGCCTCGTGTATGCTGTGTGTGCATATGCGCGCTCTGTGCTCCGCCGCCAACACTCTGTACGCGGTGCGCACCGCGTCAATGCTCTGCGCACTCTCTGCGCTGTGCACCCGCCTGTCAGGGTGATGCGCTAGCAGTGCTGCGCGGTAGGCCGCGCGCAGCTGCGTAGGCGTGCACTGCGCAACGCCGAGCAGCCGCCGCGCTTCATCTGCGTTCATCGTCGCGGATGCGCGGGACCATCTCCGCCTGCGCAGCACCGTTTGTGCGCTGCACAGTGGTGCCGCACTGCGCAACAGGCGATGGCACAGCAACGCGGCACTTCACCTGTGCGGCGTGCACTTCGCCGTCACAGACTGTGCGCCGCCACAGCCGCTCAGACTGCCGCGCGATCGCCACACACGTCGGCCGCAATGTACAGGACATTGTTGCCGCGAATAAATGCATCGCCATACTCGTTCTTGAGGTCGCCCTGCACATACTCACGGCAGTCTTCAAGCGCTACATTCATACATCCGTCGAGACACGAGAGGACGCCTGCACTGTCAGCCCTAAGCCGCACCGCGCTGCCCCACCTTTGTAGTCGATGCCCGAGTTGAGACGCACGCGAACACGGCGGCCCACAATGTGCTGCAGAAACGCCGACGGCGCATCGCTCTCTGTGCGCTCCATGCGGAGCGCTGCGCCCGGCTGGCGCCTCGGCACGGCAGACTGCCGCACGCACAGCGCACAGGCGTGCCCGGCAGCAGCCGGCATATGCATACAGCCCGGTGTCCACTGTGTACAAACACAGCTATATTGCTGTAGCAGAGTGTGTACAGCATATACACAGTTGCACAGCATGTATACTATATATAGTGTATATACTATATATACTATATATACTATATATAATGTATATAATGTATATAATGTATATACTATATATAATGTATATAGTGTATATAATGTATATAGTGTATATAATGTATATAGTGTATAGTGTATACGCACAGTGCACACATAGGCAGAGCGCCCGTTGGCATGCATATGCATACATGTGCAATGTGCGTTGTAGTGTGTGCATAGTGCATACAGTGCATGTAGTACAGTACATAGTGCAGTGTGTGCAGTGTGCAGCGTACAGTGTGTATGCGTGTAAGGTACATATCAGTGTATATCTATATATGAGTGTATATGTCTATATGTGTGTCTGTGTAATGTGCGTGTATATAGTGAGTGTATGTGTCAGTGTGCACACTGTGCACGCAGTGCATACAGCATAGTCTGTGTATAGCAGTGTATGCGGCGAATGTGGCGCATATACAGCGCATACAACGCGCATACAAAGCATGCAGCGTGCATAGTGTATAGCATATAGCGTGCAGCACAGCACATGGGCGTATGTGCATATAACATGTCCACTGCACATGCACTCTGCGGTGTATGCACTACGACTATGCTGCTGTGTATGCTATACATATACTGCGCACGCACTGCACACCTACGGCGACCGCTGGCACGGTGCACCGCATGCACTGCGCATATATACATGCATATACACGCATACACTGACACGCATATATACATATACACGCGCAGACACTCGGATGCCCACTGCGCGTGCACCGTACAGTGTAGCAGTATATGTACTGTATATGTTTAGTGCATACATTGCTACACAGCACGGTGTATATGCTGCTGCATTGCGGGTACACTGCGCATATACTGCGAATATACGTGTGCAGATATACATAGCACACAAAGCGTAGTGTATACATAGTATATATAGTGTATATAAATGTATATAATATAGCATACATAGCATACACAATGTGTAGCATACATAGTGTATATAGCATATACAGCGATATAGCTGTGTAGCATAGATAGCATATGCTGCATATACAGTGTATACAGTGTATACAGTGTATACAGTGTATATAGCATATACAGTATGTATAATATGCACAGTATATATGGTGTGCAGTGTATATGCAGTGTATAGTGTGTGCATAGTGTATAGTGTGTATGTATAGTTACAGTGCACATAGTACATATAGTGCATATGGCATATGGTATTTATGGTATTTATAGTATACTGTGTACATGGCGTGTATGGTATATAGCTATGGCGCATACAGTGTCTATGAACGTATAGTGTATGGTTATAGTGTATACAGCGTATATGCAGTATATAGTGTATATGTATATGTATATGTATGGTATATAGTATGGTATATAGTGTATATCTATAGTGCATGCTATTTACAGTGTATGGTAGTGCATAGTGTGTGTAGTGTGCATAGAGTGTATATGCTGCAACAGTGTGCATAGTGTGTAGTGTGTAGTATGTACAACGTGTAATCTGTGTAATGCGTGTAGAGTGTACAGTGTAGTGGATACAATGCATGCTATACATTACACAGTACATTATACTGCACACAAAGCACAAAATGACCAATGTCCAGTATCTTGACACTTAATCCGTGTCCACTATGCACTCTATCAACTGTTCGCTGGATGCATTGTACACAGTATATATACTGCAATTGTGTCCTAACGCAACTGTATTGTGCTGTATATCTGCAGATGTATGAATGGATACGCACATTTATGTGTTATATACATATATACTCTGACAATGTACAAATTATGCACATTTCATGCACACTATATATACAATGTATATAATATATGCATTTTATATAAATATACGCTATGCATACACAATGCATTTATGTTATGTGTACATAATATATGTTGTATACAGACAATGTGCATTGTATGCACACACTATGAGCTAACTCAAATATGCATATAATCCCTATGTATGTCCCTATATATATCCATACATACCCAAAATACACTATTTATACGCTCTATATGCACTTGTAAACGAATATACACAGACACACATAAACATATATCTACATATATGCAACAGATACCCACTATTTCACGTTTTTAAGACCTCTATTCTTCATGTTTATCATATAAGCATAGCATATACACAATATATGCATAATATGTGCATAATATATCCACAGTAATGCACTGTTATGGACACAGTATATGAACAAATATATGCATACTATGTATAAAATATATACGTACTATATACATATTATATGAATTATATCAACGATATATGCATACTGTACGCATACTATATATATTTTATATCTATTGTGTATTGTATGACTAGTCAGTGTTGTATGTACCTTATGTAAAGGTGCATATACTCTTTAGTTATAAATATGCTTTAAAAAGCATCTCTAAGCAGCATTTCTAAGCAAAATGTGCATTGAAAATCCTAAATACGCTTTAAATACTATATTTGATTATCGTATACATATTATATATATATTGTATATGCATTACATGTGTATCTATGCATTATATGCATCCTTACTAACACACTTTATATATAGAATGTGTCCGAAAAAGGAATGTGTCCTGTACATTCTAGAAAAAGCAATTCACGACCAGCGGGTATATATAGGAGTGGGGACCCCCAGAGAAGCAGAAAAACAGGAAGAAACGACATAGACGGAAAATGCAGATTTTCGGTAAAGAAAAGGCAGAAAGGCGTGAAGAAAGAATAACGGTTGTGCCTAGTAAAAACTCTAACAGGAAAAACGATAACACTAGAAGTGGAATCATCAGATACAATCGACAATGTTAAAAGCAAAATTCAAGACAAGGAGGGCATTCCACCGGACCAACAGCGTTTAATTTTTGCCGGCAAGCAGCTGGAAGACGGCCGGACGCTATCTGACTACAATATCCAGAAAGAATCGACCCTTCATCTTGTATTACGCCTTCGTGGCGGTATGCAAATTTTCGTCAAAACACTTACTGGAAAAACGATAACACTAGAAGTGGAATCATCAGATACAATCGACAATGTTAAAAGCAAAATTCAAGACAAGGAGGGCATTCCACCGGACCAACAGCGTTTAATTTTTGCCGGCAAGCAGCTGGAAGACGGCCGGACGCTATCTGACTACAATATCCAGAAAGAATCGACCCTTCATCTTGTATTACGCCTTCGTGGCGGTATACGAGTTTAACGTCAGATAATTTTTATGAGTATTTTTATAGAAAAACGGATAACTGGTTCGTAAAAATAAGGTATTTTATATTATATCTTGTTTTAAATTAACTTTGTGCCCTTTTTTGTTTATAAATTAGCCTTATAGATAAATTTATATACATTTTTTAATTAAAATTTTTAATACTATCTTTTTTGTAACTTTACAATTCCACAAAAACAACTATTTATATAATTTAATACTTGGAATTTAAATTAATTTGTATTAAAAATCGGTGGAATATCACTTTTAAAAACTACTATTTCAAGAACGCTTTTTTATTCTATCTTCTATATAATCTCTAAAATTGCGAATAAGCCCTTGAACCGGCCTTTCAAATATTAATATGTAAAAGTAAGAAAGAAATCATACCAAGCAGCAGCATCGCCAAGTGCACATATTGTATGACCTTCTATTTCTTTTGTTAGTTCCCATAGCCTGAAAACAGTTAATATTTTTTTAAAAAAAAAATCAAACAAACATATCAATTTCTCTTATTTGAGCATCACCTGTTTCAAGTCGTTTCATTATATTATAAATCCATGTTGTTCCTTCTCGACAAGGAGTACATTGACCACAACTTTCATGCTTATAAAAAGCAGAAAACCTAGATATAGCTCTAATTAAATCAGTAGATTTATCCATGACAATAACTGCAGCAGTTCCTAATCCAGATTGCGCATCTCTAAGAGAATCAAAATCCATAAGAACATTTTCACATTGAGTTTTGTTTAAAATTGGTACAGATGACCCTCCAGGAATGATTCCTAATAAATTATCCCAACCACCTCTTACACCCCCACAATGTCTTTCAATAAGATCTTTCAACGGAATTGACATTTCCTCTGTTTTATTAGTATATTTATTTATTATTAATAAAATTACCTTCAACAGTGCAGGGATTATTAACATGTCCGCTAATACAAAACAATTTCGTGCCAGAATTCCGTTCACGACCAAAACTACTAAACCAACTAGCTCCTCGACGACAAATAGTAGGCGCCACTGCCACTGTTTCAACATTCGTTACTGTTGTAGGACATCCAAAAAGTCCCACATCAGCTAAATATAATTAAAAAATAACAATAATATATAATTTATAATTTATTCACCTGGAAAAGGCGGTTTTAATCTTGGTTTCCCCTGTTTCCCTTCAAGAGACTCAATAAGACTTGTTTCTTCACCACAAATATATGCCCCAGCTCCTCTATGAATATATATATCAAAATTATACCCCGATCCACATGCATTTTTTCCTATTAACCCAGCTACAGCTTCTTTAAACATAATAATGTATAAAATTTTCCCACAAACCCTTATAAGCTTCATCAATTGCAGACTGCAGAATTATTGCTTCGTTATAAAATTCACCACGAATATAAATGTAACAAACAGTAGCATTCATTGCACGGCCCGCAATAAGACATCCCTCAATAAGTTTATGAGGTTCTTTTCTCATAATCTCACGATCTTTACATGTACCAGGTTCTCCCTCATCGGCATTAATAACAAGATATCTAGCACGCTGATCTTTTTCAAAACCCGGTTTATTCATGAAACTCCACTTTAATCCAGAAGGAAAACCTGCTCCTCCTCTTCCACGAAGTCCCGAGTCTCTAATCTCAGAAATAATCCACTCATGTCCTTTAAGTAAAATTTCTTTAGTTTTATACCAATCTCCTAGTTTTTGTGCAGATTTTAAACTAGTATCATAACGACTATATAAATTTTGGAAAATCCTATCATAATCTTTAAGACCTGAGAAAAATGTATGATTAAATAAAGCTTAATTAATCATATAAAATGTACCTCCAAAAACTGTTTTTTTAGGAGTTTCTTGAACAGAAACATAAAATCGAATATTTCTAAAACTATGCTGTAAAGATGAAACAAAAGTGTTTCTATAAGAAAAAAGATAGGGCATATTATTATTTGTTTTAATAAAGTTTTTTTTTTTTTTTAAAATGAAGTTTTATCTTAGATACGATAAAAATATACAAATTATTAATAATATATAGTTACATTATATAAATAATATAATACATGTTTATTGAAGAAATAAATTAACATAGTTGATTTGTATATTGCAATGTTAAAGCTCTAAGAATTCTCAAATACTATAATATTCATTATTATATGGAACAGATGTATTTCTGCTCTCTTGTATTTCTTGTTCTGATGTTTTTATAGAATTAAATAATTCATAATTCCACGTTTGTATACCATTATCTGGATTTAAATAGACTTCATCATTAAAGTTCTATTGAAAAAATTAATATTAAATACAAAGAAAATAATAGCGGAGTCTTACATCATAATCATAGTTTACCTTTTCTTTTTTATCGTGTGTTAAAAAATCACTAGCATTTATATTTTTATCAATGTAAGTTTTTTTGTATTTACTATACATCTCCTGCTCAAAAATATCATTCAACGATCCGTTAATGCATTCTGAGTCAGATATTTTCTGATATCGGGATCCATTTAAATCATCCGTCAAGCCATCTTGTTTAAGTTTATTGTTTTCTTCGATCCATGATGTATCTTCTTTTTCATCATCATTCAGGTCTTCATATTTATTTGGAAAATTATCTACAATTTGTCGATCAATGTATTTTAAAAACTGATTATGCCCAAAACTCCCACTATTATACGTACCATCTATAGAATGCTTATCATTATCTTCTATTCCAAGCAAATTTATCCTTTTATTCAAATCATCATCATCGTCATCATCATCATCATCATAATCAATATCGGAAGCATCTGACATAAAATCCTGCAAACCATGAGTGTCAAACCCAATAACAGAATTAAGGGAAAGATGATGGGGTCGAACTCCTCCAAGAATGGCATTATTTCTTGCTCTTGTTTCAGCTAAACTATGTTCAACATAATCAATCCATTCAGTAGAAGAAATCTTTTCCACAATAATAGGAGAGACTGTGTGAGGAGGATATCGTTCTGCGAATTTTATAACTTCTTCTGCAATTAAAGTTAAATGACCCATGTATCCTAATCGAACGCCAGACGACTTAGAACTATAACAAAATTCAATTTAACGGTACTATAAATAGTATTATTATCATACGTTACATTATCACTTTCTTTTTGAGCTTGAACAATTTTTTCACAGATTTGCCCTCGAGAAAAAATATCTATTACCAAAGCACTATTACATCCTTTATCCATAGGCCCATTAAAAATTTGTTGAATAAGATCATACACAACATTGTGTAAAAAATTATTCCAGGGAAACATGAAAAACATATCCTATAGAATTCATAAGTTTTTCTTTAAAAAATATAATAATTACATACTAATACAGTAGGAAAAACTTTATGTTCAATAAATTGCATTTTTAAATAATCACCAACAACAAGTTCATGAACAAGATCTGCATCCTTTTGTACCACATCTGATTCATTTATATTTGCAGAATTCTTTCTGTTCAATAAATGTTCTTCATTTAATGAGTATTTTTCATTTGAATCAATACATCTGGATATCTTTAAAGTGTCATGAATATTTCCAAAATTATTTGGGTTTTCTTCCAATTTAATATCTTTATGATTTAAATTATCTGTACTAATATCTAAAATTTCTTCAAAAGTATTATTTACCAGACGATTCTCAAGACTTAGTTCTTGAGAATGATTATTAACATTGTCATCTAACGTAGAAAGTTTTATCTCAGTAATTTTCTCTTTAAATATATTCTTTACATCATTATCTTTATTTGAAAAAAAATCCTGATTATTTTCAAGAATCTCATATGAATCTATAGATTTAAATGTAAAATCATTCCAAGACGATACCTGTTCGCTATTAAATACTTCAGTAGATTTTAAATTAAGAAATGTTTCAGAATCTACACTTTTAGTGTTTTGAACTTTTTTTGTTTTATCATGCAATTCATTTTTTTTCAAAATTTCTAATTCATTTTTAGGGCTGTTTAATAATACCATATTACTGCAATGTAGCAATTCTGCATAAAGCTCGCAAATACGAAACCTTTCAATACCTAAAGGTTTAACTTTGCCAAATGCCATTTGAAGTTCATCTTTAACCATCTTAGGATTAAAAAGAATTTTTTGAAAATCAGAAATATGAGAAGCAAATATCTTTAGCATAGTACCAAGGTAAATAGAGCCTTTTGCAAGAGAAGAATTTTCCGTAAGAGATAAATCAAGAAAGGATGGTCGATCATAATCACTAAATAATTTTAATATTAATGATACAAATATCAATATTTTACCTATTATTTTTTCTAATAAGCTCTATAATGATACTTGCACCATTAACAAGACTTGAAGAAGAAAAAGGAGCATCTCGATGCAACATATACTCTATAAGAACCTCCATACTTTCTTTAGATGCAAGTTCACACAAAAGCGAATTTACCCCAATGCCTCCTTGACCAATAGGACTAGCAGAAATTGCAATAATAGACTTAAGAATATCAGCAGCTGTCATTTGTATCTATTCACAATTTAAAAAAAGCTAAGAATATACACAATATTCTTGCTTACAGTTGGATTTGTATGTGGATCAATTTTCGAAAGAAGAAATGGTATCAAAGATTCACTCTGAAGCCACTTTATAGATTAGCATACTAATTTTATCCACTTATACCCCTTACATCTATCATTCCAATACCTGATTCACTTCGCTCAATACTGATCATCTTAAGTAATAAATCCATAATTGCACTCGTTTCAATATGTCGAAGCATTTTAGACATAACGTTTGGAATACTTTGAATAAAAAGAATCATATCATCTGTTTTTTTTTCAAGAAACTGCTCATTTACTCTGAAAAAATATGATGCTTGCAATGGATCTAGAGGAGCTGGTTTTTCCAAAAATCCCCAAAAATGATATAATAATGTCTTATTCTCCATAATTGTCTCATAAATTGACCACATTTCACATGAAAGAATTTCACAAGCCATCTGTGAATACCTATTAAATGTTAATTAAAAACAAAAGGAAAGTCTGAGCAGAAATGAAAAGAAATATCCAAATGCAAAAATAAAAATCAATAAAAAGAAAACAGATATTTACAAAAAAAACGAAAGTACGAATAAGCACAGAAAACACAAGCAAGATAAATGCATTGAACATTAATGCATAGTGCTTCTATTCATATTATGTTATTATAGTATCCCTTTCTTTTACATTTAATAAAAATATACTTACTTTTGTTTAGCCATATCGTCAAGATTATCTATTATCATGTAGTCAAGGAGCTGTTTAAGAACATTCGGATCACGCAAATATTCTATAAGCTTCGGGTTATGCGACTTACATTCCTGAAGTAAATCATCTTCATCCAAAACCTGTTCTAATGCAAGATCAGGCGCTTTGTCCAATAAACTATCCAATGTAGAGCCATTTGTAAATCCAAAACCGCCCAACCGCCAAAACATCACCCCCACATACACCACCAACACTCAGAGAGTGTTTTACAAGTATTCAACTTAACGTTTAACTCTTAATTTTTGCGTAGACCCTTATTAAATACTGTTTAGAAAATGATCTAGTTTAATAACTGCCGTTCTATCACTAATATAGAATCCAAGAGTTATTTAACTAACTTTTAACAAATATTCAGCTTTTATTTAAGAACTATTTAATAATTAATAGCCACTCTATTATCACTTAAAAGAGCCTAAAATATTCGATTTTTGTTAAACAGAATATTAAAATCTGCTTAAAATTTCAAAATTCCTAGGATATAACTTAATTTTTATTGACTAATTTTTTATTTATCCTTTATCAATTTATTGAAAATTGTTAAGAAATTCTTAATAAACAATCAGTAATTTTTTAAAAATTAAAAATCCCCAAAAATCTCTTAAAAATATCTTAAAAATCACTTTATTTCTGCTTAACAAAAACTTAACAAACTAATTAGCAGTTTTACACTGTTTAAATAGTCTTAGCTTTCGTTTTTCTAGTATGTGCGGGTATCTGCAATCGTCCGACGACAAACTTTGACAATAGTAATTAAGAGCCAATTGTGGATAAATTAAAGAACAATTCAGCTTATATTAGAAATGAAAATGAATTAAAAGGTATTAATTAATTATTAGATGCGTTAAAACTGAAAAAAATATTTAAGTTTAAACAAAAGAAAAAGTTAAAGTCAAAAAAGTTAAATAAAAATTAAAAAAAAAAAAAACAAAAAAAAAAAAAACTTTTAAAAGATTATATATATTTTTAAGTATATAACTAATTAATAAATACTTAAAAAAAATCAATTAAGCAAAAATTGTATAAAAATCAAACAATTATACGATTAAATTATAATTGATAAATAAACAAAATTTAGTCGAGAAAAACAGAGAAATAATAAATAAAAGTTAGGTAATTGTATGTATAAGCAAGACTTTCAAAAAAAAACTATTCAAATAATACTTGAGTCAAAGTGTCTTGAGAATTAAACAAAAATTAAATACAATTTTAGTTACATAAGAGAAAAATAATTCAAAAAAAAATTAAAAAATAATTAAAGCGGTTAGTAATACAAAAAAAGTATTTATTAGGTGGTAATTCAAATGAATCGTTTATTTGGATTACAACGTACGCAACCATCATCTGAAACATTAGGCAACGCCATCAAAACAGTTAATAACTTTAAAATAAAACTCGTTATGCTAGAAATAAACTAACAGTTTGAAGACAGATGCAAGAATCCGAGCATGCGAAGAAAAAATACACCAATGCGATGCCGCATTACAACAAGCACTACAACAAGCAAAACGACAAGAAAAATACACAAATAGTACAAGTGTTCTAGAAAATGCTGCACGAAAACGAGCGCTAATGCATCTCCGTCAAAAGAAATTGTAAGAAGTTAACAATGTTCAGCTGCACATTAGCTGTCTGCTATTTACCAGAATCTCTAATATAAAGATAACAGATATGAACAACAGCTCTCACAACTACAAATGCAGCAAATTAATATGGAACAAGCAATGTGGGCGGAAACGCAAGCACATGCAACGCGACAAACAGTAGCTGCATTGAAGCATGCGAATAAAGAGCTTCGACGACAACCAATGCAACTAGATAAAATAGAGCAGCTTCAGGACTCAGTAGCAGATGCTCTTGCAGAAGTAGAAGAAATACAGCGCGCACTAGCACGACCATACGATTTAGATAGCATAGATGAAACTGCACTCGATGCAGAGCTTGATGCATTAGAACTAGATGAACTGAATACATTAACAAACCAAATAGATCATACAGAACAAATAAAACAAACGAGTGACATGAAAATACCTAGTTATTTAACAATGCCAATATTACCTGAGGTTACAACAACACATCCAAATCAAAAAGATGCAGAAACAGCAATTTAAATAACTAAAAAAAAGATTCTATGTATGCATATGTATAATATAGTAATAAACTGTACATTATGTATCATTGATTAATTGCAACAGACACCTAATAGATTTTCAATTAATATTATGCTAATATTTAATTAATATTTTAGTTTATAAATTGAAGTTTAAACAAACCCTATAAAAAATATTTTCTAACTGATGTTACTACTATTGCTCTGTTCATTATCTTAGTTAATATTCTTAATATTTAGCCTGTTCTAATATTTTAAACAGATTTTCAATCAATAATCTAAATGAGGCTATAATAAATATATTAAAAAACCTTACAAGTTTTTTTATAAATAGCATCTTAACCTATGATCTAATTAAGGATCTACTCATTAGTTTACTCAAGAGCTTAAATAGTTTTTGTTTTTTCGAAAAGCTAATTAATGATTGAATTAATACACAGCCAGGCTTTAAAAATGTTTAATCAATGCTTTTGTCAATATTTCTTTCTGTTTTAGTACATGCCATTTTTTGAGGCTTTTTTTGAATAGTAACAAAATAGTTACATTGTTGAGTCCATAAAACACCAGGGTCCATAATTTTCCAAGTACGATACCAAGGAAGGTAAATAACACCTCTACAATCAACAAGAGAAACATTAGAACAGTTTGCAAGCCAGTTCTTAATATCCGAACGCCGAATTAACCTGTGCCATACATGTGTTTGCTTCGGTACAAGCTGCAGCAAATGTTCTGCTAAAAAGATAGTTAACATAAATGATAGTGCTGTACGCTCAATTGTTGATATAATAAGTCGGCCTCCAGGCGCAAGTAACCCACATAATGTTTCAAGAAGAATATCTGGTCTACGAACATGTTCAAGAACTTCCATTGCCATAACTAAGTCAAATTTCTGTTCTTGTTGAAGTAGCTGTTCTGCTGTTGCTACATGATATATTGGATTTGTTGCTACTACTGGATCGGTTCGTTGGTGTCTTTGCGCTTCTTGAATAGCTTGTTTTGACATATCAATCCCAACAACATTACCGCCTAATCGTGCTAGTGATTCAGCAAGAATTCCTCCACCACATCCTACATCCAGTATCCGCCAACCAGTTAACCATTTTTCAACAGAAACACCAATACTTCTACTACTAGAAGATATATTATGTTTAATAGCTTTAGGAATCAATTTAGTCACAATTTTGTAAGCAGACCCAATGGTAGCTTTAGTCTCAACCCTAGGTAACTCTACTGGCATAGTTTTAGCTATTGGTCTAATAAATTCTCTTGGTATAGCTGCTGTAGTATCATTTGAACTTATTTGCTGATGAAGATAGGTAATACGGGCAGTGTTCATTCGATGAAGCAACGCAAATGGCCCATTTGGATCCCACCAACCAGTTGCCAATTGGTCAAACTTCTTTTGTTCATCTGTCCATATTGAATCTTCTGTCAAGTAACTATGAAAACTTTGTAAAGAGCATAATCGATACAAATTATGAAAATACTGACAAGAACGTCGGTAAAAATGTTTACTTAGTTCCATTTTTATGCAAATTTTAAGCAAATTTTAAACAAATTCTAGAAAACATATTTTAATTAAGTTCTTAAAAAATTTTAAAATTTTTCCTAGTTAATATTTAACTGAAACTTAATAAGGACTCAATTAAAATCCAGTTTTGTCCAAAACTTATTTTAATTCAAAATAAAATCCAATGCAATGCTAGAACTGTTAATTTGTAGTATTTTAATATTCGAAAAACGAATAATAGGTACGAAAGTTTTTTATTGTAAATAGACATTAAACAAAATAATTAAAAACAATTTTAAAAATAATTTTGAATAACTATTTCATTATGTATCCTAAAATATATGACAACTTACATCTTACATATTTACAAGAACAACTAATATTGCTAAACATAATCGAAATTTTAAACTATTTATGAAAATAATATACAGAAAAAATAATGTAGATACTGTATGTTACATATATACCTTGTACTATATTGATTAAATATTATCTATTTATTTAGTTTATAAATAGATTTATGTATAGTAACAACTATATAATAATGAAAAAAACCTTTTTATACAAAACCCTAAAATATATAACTTGAAGTATTCTATATTAATAAATATTTAAAAGCAATACTCTTTATTAGAAAAAATAAAGTATTTTCACTAATTTTACTATTGTTTTTGTAAACTTTTTTGAAACAATAACATTTAGTACTATACAAACATAACAAATAGATAAAATAAAATATCAAAAAACATCAAAAATACAGAAATTAAACATATAACTATTTTTAAAATAAACAATTAAATCTATTTTATATATTTACATTCTTCTAAATAAATTTATATTTTTTTTGAAATAATTTACAAGAAAATAATTGCATAAAATATACACAAAAAGTATATAAAAAGGAACATTTTTAGTATTTTAACAAACAAACATACCAAAAGAAAACTATCTATTTTTTATGTCTTATTAATTTTCTATTTACTAAATATATATAAATACTAGATTTTTTTCTCGGGTACATTTTATTAAAAGTAATTTTCTTATAGACATTAAAAATTATAAAAATATTGGGTACTTAAATATTTTGGAGTGTTTAAGAATTGTTTAAAATGAATGAGACATCATTAGAAATTGGTAAGGAGTATTCTGAAAAGAAAATAAATGGAGAATATGATGATATTTTACTAAATGATTCTAAATATGATGCAAAATATGATAAAAAGCTTATTCGGAAGATTGATTTAATTACGATACCAATGATGATTATATTTTATCTTTTGTCTTTTCTTGATCGTACAAATATAGGTTCATAAAATGATAATTATAAGATCTATAATAATAGACAATAGGAAATGCACGTCTTGCAGGTTTAGAAAAAGACTTGAATTTGACAGAAAAGCAATTTAAAATGTCTTTGACAATTTTGTATATCCCATATATTCTTATGGAAATACCATCTAATCTTATTATAAAAAAAGTAGGACCTAATAAGTGGTGTAAGTTTCTACTCTTTTTTTCTTTTAAATTTTCTTTATATTTTCTCATTTATTTACATATTATTTAGTGCCAACACTTGTTGTTTTATGGGGAACTGTAGCCACACTACAAGTAATTTAGAGGATATTGTTTTCATTGTTTCAGAAATTAATTGTTTTTCATAGGGAATTGTTAAAGATTATAGAGGATTATATGCAAATCGTTTCTTTTTGGGTCTGACTGAAGGAGGAATCTTGCCTGGTATCATTTTGTGTATCTATGAATACCTATATACACATATGACTAAATATTTTTAGATCTTTCAGGATGGTATAAACGACATGAAATTCAATTTCGAATTGGTATTTTCTGGTCTGCTAGTTCTATTTCTGGAGCATTTGGAGGATTTATTGCTGCTATGATTCAATTAATGAGCGGGTTAGGGGGTTTAAATGGATGGAGCTGGATTTTTATAATAGAAGGATTGATAACAGTTATATTTGGCTTTTTAGGATATTGGTTAATGCCTCGATCAATTGAAAAAACAAAATTTCTTACTAAAGACCAAAAATATTGGGCCCGTAAAAGAATCGAACTAGATGAAGAACGCTTATCTTCATTAGGTGTACGTCACCCAGTTACTGGAGAAATGGCAGATTATAATAAACATTTAAAATGGTCATATGTGAAGTCATGCTTCACTTCACTGCATATATATTTATTATCTTTCATGGCATTTTCATCAGGTGTTAATGTTTATTCAATTGCATATTTTTTGGTAATATTTCCTTATACTTTTAAATATCTAATATTTTTAGCCAACTATAGTTAAGTCTGTAATAGGAGAAGATAGGCCTATATATATAACACAGTTACTAACTATCCCGCCATTTATTTTAACTTTTGTAGTAGTAATGGTTACATCTTATTATTCAGACAAAAAAGGTGAACGGTTACGTATTATATTTTTTTTTAGTCTTGTAGCTACTCTTGGGTTTTTTATATTATGCATAAGCTATAATAATATAGTTAATTATCTTTCTCTATTTTTTATGGTCTGTGGCGTATATACTATTTTTCCTTCAGAAATGGCGTTAACAAGTAATAATATATCGGGATATTATAAGGTTTTTCATTATTTTCTCTTTATATTTTTAAACTAATATTCGTTAAAGCGAGCAACAGCATTAGGATATATGATAGTTATGTCAAATCTTGGTGGTATATTGGCTTCTTGGATTTTTAATGCAAAAGAACATCCAAGATATATTACATCATATGGAGTTAATATTGCATTATCAATTCTTTGTTCTGCTATTTCATTTATCTTAAGAATGTATTATATAAGACAAAATAAAGAAAGAGAAAGATTACAATCTGCAAGAATTGAACCTATTGACCATGAAGTGGAGTTTTATAAAGCTCGTGAACAAGGTGATAAATATATTGGATTTAGATATACATTATAAAATTGTATTTGTCTACTTTTATGTACAAAAAAAAGTTTAATAAATAAAATTACATTTTGGAATAATATAGTGCAAATCTTTTAGTTTTTAATATATCTAAAATTTTATAAATTTTCAAACGATCGTATATTTTGTAAAAAGTATCTTTTGAAATTAATAAATGCATTAAGAAGTAATAGTATGCTTAACAAATGCAGAATTTGAATGAATTAAATGGTAGATATACATATAAAATGCATGAATTTATTTATCTTTAGAGACATATATTATTCAAAGTATAATATTTTAATATCATTCTAGTTTTAAAATAATTAGATAAAGAAAATTTGAAATGTATTCAACAAAAAGATTTATTCAATGACACATGTGATTGTGAAAAGAATTCATCAAATACCAATAACCATGTATTTTCAAAGAAAACCGAGAAAACTAAATTATCTTTGTCCAAAAATATTAACTCTTTATTATTGGACGAGTCTGAATTTGAATTTATGAATCAACATTTATTTCAAACAGAAAAAATAAGTAATTTAAATAATAAAACATACGATTATAAAGATGATGTAAATTTATTATCTAAAAAGATGATACTCGAACAAAATGCTTCTTGTAAATTGGGCATTTTCCAAGAAAACAAAACTGATTCGATATTAACCAATCAATTTGGCGTGTTCAAATGCAAAGAACCAATAATCAGCAAGGGTATGTTTGCTCGCACGTCATATGGGAAATCTATTTATTTTTACAAAAAAACTAAAAAAATCAAGAACTCGAATATTTTAAATTTTGAAAACTATTGTGGGATATCAATACATAAATTATGTAATTTTTCAGATAATTTAAAACATTCTTTTGATTATAATGATTATAATTTTTCTCAAAGTACAGAATATCAATTATGGACAAACAAACATGCGCCTAAAAAATTTACTGATCTTTTAGGCGACGAAGTTAGTTTTATTATTTTAAGTATTTTATGATAATAGTTTCTAGAGAATACATCGAGAAGTATTAAAATGGATAAAACATTGGGATTTTTGTGTTTTTGGTAAATATTGCTTACAAAGTAAAATATTTGAGGATGATCATGAATTCGTAAGCTTAAAATATATGAGTATCTTAAGTTTATTATAAATAGAATAATGATTTTTTAAAAAGACCCAAACAAAAAATCTTAATGTTAATAGGGCCTCCTGGATTAGGTAAGACAACATTAGCTCATATTACTGCTCGTCAGGCTGGATATAATATTATAGAAGTAAATGCAAGGTACTTATTATATGAAATTAATTATATTTTTAATATTAAAAGTGATGATCGGACTGGTGCAGTTGTAAAGAATCAAATTTCTGATGCCTTAGATATCCAATCTATTCATGCAAATCGTCCTACACTTATTATAATTGATGAGATTGACGGTGTTAATAATTCAGCAGGAGAACAAGTTAATATTATCATTAATGTTATAATGCCATTGTTAATTAAATTAGGGATTTATAAAATCACTTGTAGATATTCTTATTGAAGACGAACATGCAACAAAAGACATGCTTTCTAATAACTCTACAACATATTCAAAAAAAAAAAAAATAAAGTCCAAAAAAAAATTTCTTTTAAGACCTATAATTTGCATTTGTAATGATTTGTAAGACATATATATATTAATTTATTGCTAATATATAATTAGATATACAGCTGCTCTAAGACCAATCAGGCAATATGCAAAAATAATATATTTCAAGCAAGCATCAACTTCTTCACTAGTATCAAGAATGAATACAATTTGTAAAATTGAGGGTTTGTCTATTAATACACAAATATTAACTACCCTTTGTGAAATTTTCGAAAATGATTTTCGAAGTTGTTTAAATGCCCTTCAAGTATTTCTAAAAAATATTTTTAACTATGAATTTATTAATTTTTATAGTTTTATAAAACTAATGAAATTGATTTGACTATGAATTCTTTAGATATAGTTAAAGCTAAATTAAAAAAAGATTCATCGAAAAGTTTAAATCTTATATTAGATAAAATATTTTTCTTTTCAAATAATAAACAGTATAAAAAAAATACTTCAAGTTAATATTATTCATTATTAAAATCATTTCTAATATTTAAAGAAAACTACAATATATTTATGGAAATTTATGAAACAATACAAAATTATGGCGATTATGAAAAATTAATTAATAGTATTTTTTAAAAATCAATTTTGCCATTTTTAAGAATTTATAGATTGTTTCATGCGGTATCTTTTTCAAGATTACAAAGATGATAGGTTTTCTAAACCTATACTGATAGGAGATTGGCTTTTCTTTTTTGATATTTTAAATTCTTCTATATATGAAAGACAAAATATTGAATTATTATCATATTTAGCATTTCCGCTATTAATATTTCATATGCTATTTATTTCTGTTAAGTATGATTATAAACATAACTATCAGCAGAATTTAAAACAAAACTCAGATTGGGAACTTTATAATTTACAAAGAATTAATAATGAAATTTACGCTTCTTTATACTATGGGAGTGTTCCTTGTTTACAACAAATATTTTGTTTAAAATCTCTTTTAATTGATGTAGTACCATATTTAGTTTATATTTTATTACCCAAATTAAGACCTGTATTATTAACTTATATTTATATTTAACTAACTTCTTATAGATTAATCTACAATTGATAAAAAATACAGAAAAACAAGCTTTAAATCGAGTCATAAATAATATGATATATTTTAATATTAATTATTCCCAAACCAAAACAGATGACGGCACTTTTATTTATAAATTTGAACCGTAAGAATATTATAATTTTTTATTTATATCTTTATATTTTTAGTCCAATAGAAACTTTGATAACTTTTGCTTTTTTTAAAAAACATGAACCTATTTTTCCAAAATATTCTATTTGTCAGATCATAAATATGGAATTAGAAAATGAGAAACTCAGAATTCAAAAACAACGATATAATAAAGATTCAAACAAATCATTAAATGTTACTTCTGGATATAAAAGAAAGTCAGATAAATTATTTAATGTAGAGCAACAATTTACTAAGGATTTTTTTGGAAGAATCATACCTAAGTCTATAGATAATAAAAATCAAAAAAACTTTGATCGAAATAAAATATTTATCAAACCAAACTCAAAAGTATGGGTTAAGTTCCATGAAGGATACTCCAACGCTATTAAAAAGCCCATTCCAATAGAAGACATATTAAAATGATAACTATTGTATAAATACTTAGATATCTTAATAATTGTCATTTATTATAAAATACATAAAAGCTATCTCGTATCATTAAAATAATTAATACTACATATAATACATATATATTAAAAAAGGAAAATATTTAAATTATTTTTAACTTGATTTTATAGGTCTGATAAATGACTAAATTTTTTTCTAATGAAAAACAATTTTCCTATAAAATTATAATAATATGTAATTATCTTAAAGTTTATCATAAAACTCTTCATAAGAAGGTACTAATGAAATTAATAATTACTATTAATACCATAAATCTAATTACCAGTTTCCTTTAAACCTTTACGCTTCCTTATCTCTGTAACAACAGTACCAACTTTCGATGTTACATCAAAAGGAGAGCCACTCATAGTATCCCAGTGATCAAATACAGTTTGAGGAAATGCCTATAAACGCATTAAAAAAGAAAAACATCTTAAAATAGAATACTTGTCCCCCAGTAGCTTGACGTAATTCAGCAGTAAAACCAAAAGATTCAAGTACAGGCAAATAAGCTTTAATCTAGTATTTTATAAATAAAAAACTATAATATAAAATATCATACATTAAAAAGAGGTGTTCCTGGTCTTTGCTCTTCAGAAAAAACATGACCACGCCGTCTATTTAAAACTCCATAAATACCACCCATTGCTAAATATATAAGTTTTCATTTTTTTTAATATATATATACAATACCTTGTTCAGGACATTGAATTTCTGTTAAAAAAATAGGCTCTTGTAAACATGGATTAGCAAGTAACATAGACGCATAAACTACTCGTCTTGCAGTAGGAATAATTTGACCTCCACCACGATGAATTGCATCTGCATGCAAAGTTACATCTATTTAAAATAAGTATAATCTATATAAAAAAACTAGTCTAACCTAAAATATTAAATCGGCACGATCGCATATTTTCTTCTGCTATTGGTCCTTCTTTTGATGCCCATTGAAATGCCTATAATATTAAATTAAATAGAAAATAATATGTATAAAATCTATACCCCCACAACAGAGTCTTTAATTTCCTAAACAATAAATATATTTCTTTCGAGAAAAAGAAATACTTACATTCAAATAAGCAATAGCTTTAGTTTGATCAACAATAACATTCGGACCAACTGTCTAATAAAGTTAATAATATATATATATATATAATTCTATTTACATCAGGACCAAAACACCATATTTTCCGTGCATCAGCGATATCCCAACCAAACTCATCTGTTATCATCCTTGCACGAACTTTAAAGTCATCTCGTGAAGAAATCTTCCCTGATTCAATAGCTAATGAAAGTTCCTCATCCATAGGCTCCGCTGTCATAAATATACGGTTATGCTTATTAGGAGATTTAGATAAGGCAGTCATAGTTGATGTTGAAGTAACAGTCTCTCGATAAGAAACAACAGGAGGAGACTTTTTTAATGGAATACATGCATGATCTTCTTCCAAATCCTTTAGGCAAATCTCAAGATGCAATTCGCCTGCGCCGGCAACTATATGTTCACCTGATTCCGATGTATAACAAAGAACACACGGATCTGATTTAGATAACCGTTTAAGACCCTCAACAAGCTTAGGTAAGTCATTTGCATTCTTAACATCAACAGCCACCTTCACAACAGGAGAAACAGAAAACTTCATAACTTTCATATTATAAGCTATTTCGGAAGTAGTCAAAGTGCCACTTTTTAACAAAAATTGATCTACTCCTACAAGACCAACAATGTTTCCAGCTGGACAATCTTCAATAGCTTCAACATAACGCCCCATCATCAAAACAGTTCTTTGAACGTTTTTAATAAACAAATCATCTTTTTTTCCAGGAACATAATTTGGACCTTGAATACGAAGTTTGAGACCAGGACGCACTGTTCCAGAAAAGACACGCCCAAATGCATAAAATCGACCTTTGTCAGAAGTAGGAACCATTTTAGAAACATAAACCATAAGAGGCCCTTTAGGATCGCATGCTTTGATACCAACTGCACACTCATCATCTTGAGGCCCTTCATACAAAGTTTCACAACGATATTTCTGAGCTACTTCAGGAGAAGGCAAATGAATAACCATCATTTCTAAAAGTGCATCTGCTGCTGGTAAAAATTTACGCATAACTACTTTTAAAAGTGCTTTTCCTTCCAATTCACGTTCTTCAGATGTAAGAGTGATAGATAGTTTTTGGAGCAAAGTCATAATTTCATCTTTTTTAAAATTCATTACAGCGGAAAAAATTTTGAATATAGGATCTAATACAAATTGATTAAATGCTCTCTCAAGAGGCTTTCCATCTGAATCAGTAGAATTCTTTGTCCATTTCTTCGTTTTAGGATTAAAATAATTATCTCCCTAGAAATAAATAAAAATACTAACTACTAATAAATTTCAGTTACCCATAACCTTTCCATCATCTTTTGTTTATCTACTCCAAACTTTTTGGAATACCTAACAGCAAACTGTCTAATAGTAAATGCCCATCCATGCAAACCCGAACCAAAAGCAACAGTGCCTTTATCTGGATATACTTGAACGTCTCCGATAGCTTTATCTAAATATGTAGATATAATTACATTTACTGATTCAATTGTTCGTGAAAAAGATTGATATAAATCTTCTTTTGATATTTGTAACTCAAGTAATGCTCTATCAACTTTATTTATAATAACAACAGGTTTAATGCGTTCAGCCAAAGCTTGACGAAGCACTGTTTCTGTCTTAAAAAATAAGCTTTGAAAACATATAATATTCCCAATGCTTACCTGCACACAAACACCCTCTACACAGTCAACAACAACTAATGCACCATCTGTTACACGAAGTGCTGCTGTTACTTCAGATGAAAAATCAACGTGTCCAGGAGAATCAATTAAATTAATCAAGAACTCATTCGATTCAGTCTTATGAGGTATGTCTTTTACACTTTCTTTATCAAGCTCAGCATATAGCGATATTGCAGTAGACTTGATAGTTACACCCCGTTCCTAATTCAATGTTAATTAATTTGTAGTTTAAAAAAATACAAAAAACCTGTTCATCTGGCCGTGTATCTGTAAACCTTGCATTTCCTGCACTCGCTGCTGAAATAATACCTGCTTTTTGGACCAAAGAATCTGTTAACGTAGATTTTCCGTGATCTACATGAGCAATTACTGACATATTACGGATATTCTCCGGGCGGTCCATGAGTGCACCTGTTCACCATTAAATTAGTACTAAACTATATTTCCCTTAAATCCTACGAATCTGATCTATCTAACATTTATTAAAAACAAAAAATGTCAACTATAAAAAAATACCGTAAAATTAACCATTTTATTAAAACAAGCACGTTATCTTAAAAAGCAAAAGCAGCAATAAATCAATTTTATTTTTCTGCAGAAAAACTATTATTTCTTAAAATTTTCAAAAATTCAAAATTTGTTAAAAAATGAAACTTGACTGTCGAATTATCCCTAACCCATTTACATTTATAAGTTAAAAGTATAAAAAATAAAGATTAATAAATAAATTAAGTATAAATTAAAAACCTAGAATCTCCTATTGCTTTTAAATGAATTTTAGTCACTTTTTGAATATAAAGAAAAAAAGTCTATGTAACAAAATAAATGATACAAATATTAAAATACATAATATAGATTTATTGATATGTTCATGTGACTAATATGATGAATTAGTTTATTATTAAGATCCAAAAATGGCAAAAAATTAATTTTAGTCTTTTAAATTAGAATCATATATTCTAATTATTTATATGAAAATAAAATGACAAAAATTAAGATTATCGCCTCCACAGCGCCTCTCCTGTATCTTCATCATCTTCATAAAATCCACGTCCATTTGAGCCTCTATTTTCCATGGGCTCTAAAATATTATTATGATCCGAAGAATTTTCTGAATTCCTAATTGTATCGTATTTCCATTTTAACTTTATATTTCCCATATCAGGGATCGTAGAGGCAACACGTAAAAACTAAAAAGCAAGCTTTAATTTTAAGTTTTAATAATCAAGGAAAAAACCTTTTCAGCTGTACGCCTATCTTTAAAAACAATAATTTGAGCATCTGGATCATCAGGATCTTTTTCAATAATTTCATATTCTCCATTGTGCAACAAATGTTGTCTCAAAATTTCATCCTTATCTGAGTCTAAATTATATATTGCAATTTTTTTTGTACGATTATCCAATTGCATTGACCCATAATAAAATGAAGGTTTTTTTTTACTATATGGTTTAAAATTTTTAATAGATTTTCGATGAAAATTTGATTTGTTATTCCAACTTTTTTCATTAGTTTTTAAACTTTCAGTATCAATACTTATTCCCAAATTATCCGCCTAAAAACATTAGAAACATATTTTGCATAAATTGAGATATAACCTCTGCTTTTAATGCAGCTAATTGTATTTCCAACGCCTTTTTAGATAATGTTGATGATTTATCTGTATTATAAGCTTTTTCTTGAGATGATTCAGATATGTTTGTATTTTTAGACATTAGCGCTATTAAGTTTCGTTTTTCTTGCAATTGTTTTTGAATAAGTTCTTCTTTTTTCTGAAGCATTTCTCGTGCTTTAGCATTTTCTTTTTTCTTTTGTTCTCTTTCTTTATGTTCCTTTTGTTTTATTTCTATTTTCTCCATAAATTCATCTTTAGAAAAATTATCTACTACTGGTTTTTGAAATGTATTAGAGAAAAGTTGATTGTTTTCCTGAAGTTCTTTTTTATTATTAGTTTCTGACATTTTCCAAAATAATTTCACAAATCTGTTATTAAAAATTGGAGCAGAAGAAGACCATGCTTTATTTGCACTTTTCCAATCTTTAAACTTTAATATAGCCCGATAGTCATCTTTTTCTACTGTTATTTTAGAAATTTCTCCAAACTTTTTAAAAAATTGATGAATATTTTCTTCATTTAAATCATTACTTGGGATATTTTCTACTATCAATGTTGTTATTGTTTTATCATAATTTGGGCCTTGAATAGAACAAGAATAATTTCGTCTATAATTCTTAAAACGTTCTTTATTATTTCTGGTTAAGTTCTTATAGATAGGTTTTGACTGCATGGTTCCCATAGAATGGTTAGTAAGAATAGATTGTGTAGGATCGTAAGCATCTATTATCATATTTACCAAAAACTATAAAATTAAAAATTCAGAATTTATACCTGAATATTGACCATCCATTACAATATGATCGACACCGTGATCATACGGACACTAATCTAATTATTTTTTAAAACTTAAAAATAAAATAATACCATATCTCCTCTCATACAATAGCCTCTTTCTAATAAAATAATTAAAAAATACATATTTTTCCTTGTTCTATATACCTTCATAATCTTTGCACCTTCGTCTATTAGAATTCATAGGAAAATCAGATGAAAACGGAAACATATCAGAAAGCCATGCTTTTTGATGATATGATGATTTTGAATTCCCATAATAATTCATATGCGGTAATTTAAGAAATCTAGACCTTTTTCCATTATTTATCTGATGACGTCCTGTATCTAAAAATGTTTCATGAAAAGATCGTTTCTTTACAACTTCTTTTTCTTCAGCTGATAGATCTTTTACTTGTATAATTTCATCTAAATATGTTTTTTTCTTAAATTTTTCAATAATAAGACTTTAAAAATATAAGTATATACTTCCAATGCATTAAAAACATCATCTACAAATGAAAATGTGTCTAAAAAAGTAAGTTGTCTTTCTGTTTCAAAAAAAACTTACTTTCTCTCAAGAACTCCTCCAACTGAGACAAACAGAGCTTTTTAACATCTTCTGACGATTGATCATGCCTTAAAAGTGCCAAAATATAATCGCTAAGAACATCTAAATCTGCATTTGATCTTTTAAACTCAGTAATTTTATCAATTATAAAATAAATTTTACATAGGATCAAGGAGTTTTAAAAGATATGTTTTTAAAGCCTATTCTCCATTAAAAAAATACTAATAAAAGATGTAAAAACCTTAGAATCTTTTTCTTCAAAAAGCATTGCTTTAACGAGTCCGAAAGAATATTGCGGTTTTATTAGTTAAAAATGAAAGAGAAAAAAAAAGCAATTTGAAATAGAAAAATAGATTATAATGAAGATGGCCTTTAGAAGATTGTTCTATTTTTCTTGTTAAAAAATATTATTTAAACTAAAATATCAAAAAAAATAAAGATACGTTTAAATTTAGTTTATGATTTGAAAATTACAAATAAATTACAATATATAGAATAAATTATCATTTATTTAAATTTTATGTATTTCAATATTAGAACTAGTTTTTTCTTTCAAAGAACAAACTTTTGAATGTTGAAGTGAAAATGGAGGATAAATTGCCCAAAATGATTCATAAGTAGAAGGAATTATGGGATTTAACAATGATCTGAAAGTCCTTTTTGCAGTTACATTTGATTCTTTTCCAAGATCTATTTTGTTTTTAATTTGTTTTATGTTTACTGAATGATGACGATTAAAATACAAATTTTCAACTTGATCTAAAGAATTGGATATCCAGCCATTTTCGAGTTTAATTAAAGAATACCTAAGTCTTTTCCTTAACCTTGAAGATATCTAAAAGAATCAGCTTGTCTAAATGAAAGACTTTAGATATACAAGATTTATATTTTTCGATATTGCATTTTTGCATCCTAAAAGTTTTGTATTTGCTGTTGAAATACTACCTTTTTCAGATGTTGACTCTTTATATCTATTGAAAGATATAGGAACAAATAGATTCTCTGAACAATTTAATGCCATTACTTTATTATTAATTAAACCGGTCAATGTGTTTATTTGTTCTATAGAAATATTTGTTATATTCTCACGAAAAATATTAAGTATTTAAAAAGTATTAAAATATTTTTTATAAAGATTCTTTTTCTAATATTTAATACAAATTCTGAAAAATACTTAGATTATCGTTACAGATTCTTGATTTTTTGATTCGACTATAAATGATTTTTTTTAAATAAATATACAAGTTATGAATAAATTATTGCTTTGTTTTATTTTTTTGCTTCTTTGCCCCATGCATACGATTATTTTTTTCACTTGTTCGTCTTTTTTCTTCTTTTTGAAAGACCAATTTTCCACGAATTTTTTCTTTTTCTTTTTTAATAAGCTCTTCTTTTTCCATTTTCTTTCTAAAGGTCTTACGCCTTTCTTCTTGTTTTTCTTTTCTCTTCTTTATTTTTTCATTACGAAGTGTCATTAATTTTTGCATAAGATCTCTTATTCTTCTTTCTTCTGTACTCAAAACAACTGCTCTTTTTTGAAGATATGTCTTTTTGCGCTGCGGTTTCATAGTTCGTTGTTTTGATGCATAAGGAAGAGATTTTGCTAATGTTTTTGGGATATGTAAAGGATTAAAATGCCTAGTAGGTCTTTCTATTTTACGATATTGAGAATTAATATGTAAAGGTGTTTTTATATTTAATTTTCTCCTAATCTCTCCTGTAAGTCGCATTCCTTTCCATGAAGATTTATCTTCTATTAATAATGATGTAACTGGATTATAGTATTTTCTAGGTTTAACAGGATACCATGCTCTTAAAAAAACAATATCTTGAAAAAATTAATATTTGAAAATAAAAAATAAAAATAAAAATACCACTCATAAGAATTTTATCTTCAAACGTGCATCTGCAATGACCTTCATGCTTAGGCACTGCTTTTTTAATTTGTCCACGAATTCCTGATACAGTCCGTATACTGGCACCTTCGAATTTTGCAACTTCCAGAGAAGAATTAAACATATCTTTTATAAATGCCGTATTTTTAAAAATTTTATAAGGAATTCCAATAAGTTTAAGTTTTTTTACAATTTGAGTAGTTTGATCATTATCAAGCACAACACCACTTGCAGCAATTCTAAAGATACCAGATTTTATACTATCAGCACTAACTGATTGAACCGCCACAAATCCTGTGTTTGGATTCATGAATGGACCATAAAATGCAGCAAAACAATGCATATGTTCTGGAGTATATTTCAGCATTCTATTTCTTACTCTAGAGTCAGAAGTATAATATATAGGTAAAGACTGAAATCTTCTCCATCCTAAACTAAATATTAAAGGATCATTTGTCTTTAAAATCTTTTTATGCCAACGATGTTTTTTAATACGAGTTTTTAGAAATCCAAACTGCTCTTCAGCAGGCAATAAACCGCCAACAATAATAGGAAATTTTGGGTTAAAATTTTGAACGAATTCACATGGCATGTCAGATATAAGTAATCTTATATACAAACCTGCCCTATAGCCTTCAATTTTTATTCTACTTGATAATTCTAGTCCTTCATATTCTTCTTGATTAATTTTAAGTTGTTTTGAAATTTTTAGTTTTTGTTGTTCAAGCCAATTCATTTTTTCGTCAGAATCACTATCGCCTTCATTATCTTCTTCTTCAAAACGAAGTTCTAGTTCTTTTTTTTTAAAATTAATTTCCCTTTCTTTTTGAAGATCTATACTTGTATACTCATTAGATGATGCTATTTTATCCTCGTTTTCTTGGCGATTTTCTAAATCTATAAAATCTCCATAAAGATTCTCATCTTCTGTTAATTGTGATTCATTAATATTATCACTTATAAGACTTCCTGTAATAAAGCGCTGTTTTAATGATTCTAAATTTTCTTCATTTTCCCAATACTTAAGTGCAAATATATCAATTGGAACTTTAGATCTTTCTAAATATTCTTGGTTTTCATTTTCATCATATCTTAAAACTTTTAAAATATCCGAATTGTTCCCTAAATCCCCATTTTGAAGAATAGAGTTTAAATGATTACTATCATTTGATACATTTCTTCCTTCTAAAATATCTATTATCTGTTTTGGCGTATATTCTATTTTTGTATAAATTAATTTTCCTAAGTCTAAAAGGTTTCTTTTTGATTCAAACATATTTATAGCTTTTTTTTCTATATTTTCTTTCCATTTTGAAGACATTCCAAGATACTCATCATCAAAGTCTTCTATTAAATTATTTGAGTCTGAATACTCTGATAAATTATCATCATTAGTAATTTCTACAGAGTGATTCTCACTAATTTCAGCTTTTTCTGATTCAGAAACTATATCTTTTTGTAATATCTCGTCTTCTACTATCATATCATCACTAGAATCTAAATCTACTTTAGATCTAGAACTAACATCTGATTCTTGATATTCTTTTAAATTATATTTATCAATCTCTTTACTATCTTTATAGTTTTCAGAATCATAATAATCATTTATCATATTTGGAGATCTCATTTGCTTTCTTCCTGTATTATTATAACTAGAATTACACTTTATTTCTTTCCCATTATGGAAAATTTGAAAATCGTTTTTTAAATAATTTTCACCAAGATTATAATCCGGTTTTTGTAATTCCATAATCATCTTTTCACCTAAAGATTGTACTTCTGTGTTTTTTTTGGAAAAATCATCAGTAGGTATATCAATATAAACAGCATCTTTATCAAATATGACACCACTAATATCGGACATAGGTGCATATATTAATTTTTGTTTTTCACTTAGAGTACGAGTTTTTTGCTGAAGTGGACAAGGATCTGGAAGTGAATCAATTTCAGATGCAGTAAAATCACCTACACCTGGTATATGTATACGAGCATCCACAGCAGGAAGATTGGTTCCTTTTAAATAACCGTAAAGAACTATAATACGATTACACATTGGTTCTTCATGAACTTTTTGAGGATCTGTTATATCTTCCATCCTATCTACAAGAAAATAGGGGTGCGTATTTTTCCATATTAAAGGACGAAATTTAATAACAGAAATAAATCTTGCCAAATTTAAAATTTCTCTATCTGGATAACGCCCATTGATTATACCAGAAAGATAAAAAAGTTTTGCCCCTTGATATATTTCTGTCCAAAATCTCCGCTTAAGCCGCTTTTTTGCAGATCGAAGTGCTTCTGGTTTTTTAAAAAGATCAAGATGTGTAAGAACTCCCATAATTTTAGGAAATCCATGAGGTATCAAAATATTTAAAAATTCCATAGTTTCCATTTCAAACCCAAAATTCCCGTCAACAAGTAGAAGAACTAAATCAGATACTTTGGCTATATCAATCATACTATTAAGATCATTAGGACATTCGATAAATGTCAAACGACGCTTTTTTCCTTATATAAATTAGAGAATAAATATTAAAGGTTTATAAAAAACCGGAGACACATGTAATAGGCCCATTAATTTCATTAAGTGTATGTCTTGAGAATTTCCTAACTAATGACTTAATTAACGTAGTTTTACCCGTCTAATATTATCAATTCTTTTTAACAAAAAAAAAGCCATTTACACCAGGAGGTCCAACAACTGATACAATAATTGGAGGTAAAGCTTCAGGAGTACGATCTACCATAGGAACATGTAATCTCCTTTGAGCAACCTATCATATTTCTGTTAAAATATATAAATTTTAACGAAAAAAAGTATACATCTGCACTTCTTCTTGCAAGGCGATCAGATTTCTTCCAAGAAGTTGAAATAAAAGCCTTAAACATTAATAATAGTACATATATAAACAGTTCATTTACTTTAACATTATGTTGACTTAGTTTTCCATGTTTTTTAGCACTTTTTTTTGCAGCTTTTGAGCCTGATTGCCGAGGCCTGTGTTTTTTTTTATTTTCAGAATCCATTTAATTTTATAATAGTTCTTATTTAATATCTAACTTGGTTAACATTTTTTGATTTTTTCGATTAAATTTCGATTGAGTAATGAAAAAAGATGGAAAATAATAATTAAATTTCATCATTAATAATTTGTTATAAGTTAGAAAACGTTATATTTATAATAGTAGATTAAAAGCATTGATAGATAGGGTTAAAATTAAAAAATATAAATTGAATGTATAAATTCGATATATTATTGTAAATATAATTAAAAATATGTTCTAGTTATATCTTGTACATCTTTGAAACAACAATATTGCACTTGTGTAATTTTTCTATAATTAATTAATATATTTTTCGTTTTCTCAAGTTCTTTTTGCAAAACTTCCTGATTATCATTATGGTGATATGCTTCTTCTAAATGAGTGTATATCATCCCAAATATTTTAAAAGTTTCTTCATCAATAAATGTTTCCAAAACTTGTTTAATAAATTCTACTTCAACAATAACCTGGAGCATTCCTCCTATACCAAAACGATCAATTTTTTGAAATGATTCATATAAAGCTTGAGAAAGTGATTTTACTAAATTAGTTAAAATAGGAAAAATTAGGTTCATTGTAATATTGGAGATCTGAGAGTGAACTACGAGTAAAGATAATATAGAATTGAACACGTATGGTTGAATTGCTATAACATTACTAAAAACGCATTATAAAAAAAGGCTTACCATATGGAGGATCATCAGACAACCAAATACAAGAAGATCCATGTATTCCATTTCTCACAATCTGAGAAATAGATTCAGATTTCGTTTTAATATAATCATGAAATAAACGCTGATTAAGTTGAACTAGTGCACTGTATAAATTCTACAATATTAATCAAAAAAGTGTATAATTAGGAAAATAATAACTTTCCTTTGATTCATCTTCTAAAGATATCGAATACAGTGTTTCAAACTGTCTTAATAATATAGCAATAATATTATTTTGTAATTGAGAAAAATTGCTTAAAGTAAAAAGAATCCGGGTATCCTATATTTTTTAGTTATATTAACAATATATACAAAATTATACTATATCATTTGTATCTATTTCATTTATAAAATTTGACTCAAATTCATAAGTTGTATTTTTTAAACTCATTTGATCAATATTAAGATAAACTTTTTTTATTAGTCCTTCTAAAGCAATATATAATGATTTCAAAAATTGAGTTTTGATTGAAGATATGGTTTTAATAGAAGGTGGAATCTAAAACATTAACTAACATTAAAAAAATGAAAAACATACTATTAAATCCACGGTATTTAATTTAGAATTTCTTTCAATATATAAAAGTTCATTTATTTTTGAAATAATAGAAGATTCATAAGCATATAACGCTTTTGGATAACTCGTTATATTAGGGTTCTCACTTGATTTTACCCAATCTTCGAGTAAATAAAAATGAAAAGAATCTATTTTAAATAACAAATAAATTTAATATCGAATTTAATACCTGCATTCCATGCAACATTAATAGCTTCAACAAACATTTCTCGTGAACTGTTAATCATTTTCTGCAAGCTTTTATTAATTTCTTCTGAAATATTTAATTTAAGAATGCCCAATGAAGAGTTAATAATTATATTTAGTAGTTTATTTAGCCAAAAGCAGACAGTCAAACAATCGGAATATGGAGGCATAAATGAAAATGAAACATGTTCATTGTTGGAGTCTGAAGGATTATTTGATTTTAACGAATTATCATCAGTAGATAAAGAATGAGTATTTGATGGAGCCTCTTTTGATGGAAATGAAGTAAAAAATCCTATAACAAGGGATGAAAGTGTAAAAACTAGTTGCTCTGCGGATTTTTTTATAGAAAAAACTTCATCTGGTGAAAATATAAGATGATGTCTAGATTCATTGTTTCGACCTGAAGGAAAGTTCTGAAAAATTTAATATAAATAATTATTAAAAAATATTATCTACCTTTAATAAATTTCCCTGGGAAACTTTACATACAATTTCAAGATAACTTTTAAATTCATGAAATTTATGAATAAATATATGTTTAATCATTTTTTCGAGTAAATCCCACATTCCAGCATCTGGCGACACTTCCCATGCATCAGATAGTTGGTACTTTCTTAATGGCTTTTTCAGTAGATATATTATTTGTTTATCAGTTGGAGGAGATAATTTAGCTAATTGTTGACGAGCAGCTTCATACATCATCATTATAAATAATATAAATTTAAAAAAATACCTTCAACTTTAGCACGTTCCTCCTTAAATTCTTGTTCTAAACTTTCTATAAGCCGAGAATTTTGACATTTAAGAGCATAAAGAATCGGATTTTCAGTTGTACCTAATTCTAAGAGTATACTATAAATAGAAATTAGTACATATTTTTTTGAATAAATACTACCATATTAGCTTGTGCTGTTCCTCTATTGTTTTATATGTCGAAAACTGCTCAAAAATATTTTTTTTATAATCTTCAATAATTTTTTGTACTTCTTTCCAAATTCGTTCAAAAACTTTAGGTTTCTGAGATTCAATAATATCAGCTGAACCTTCAACAGCTTTTTGTTCTTCCTCAAATGCATCTTTGCATCTGTAATATTCACGTATTAGCATTGCATGATCATTCTTTTAAATTTTAGATTTTATAAAAAACAAAAAAAAAAAACCTTTTCAATATAATCCAGCATCATTGATGGAAGATTAAAATAGTATCTGTAGTTCTCTAAAATAGAAAGAGTAGATAGTAAACGATATCCTTTTGTTCGATTTTCTATAATTGGCTCGAATATTTGTGTTGCTTTTGTGGTTGCGTCTAATAATAATTTAGAAAAAAAAACATATGACTAATAATAATAACCATTAATGCTTGATTTTAGTTTTAGAATCCCATAATCTCCTTCTTGATTTAATGAATTTTGCTTCATTCCTCGACAAATAAAATCAATTGTCGTTTTTGCTTTTACAAATCTACTAAAATTGCTTTCAACAAGCATTTTTAATGCATCTGATCTTTTCTCAATTGATTGTTTTAACCATCTTAATCCAGATAACAATTCTGAGTACCGATCGTTTGAATGAATGTCTCTTAAAAATAAGGTTGGATTAAATGTTTTCGATGAAACGAGATATTTAGATCCTATCTTTTTAAGAATAAAACGTTTATTTTTTATGTATGTATACGTAATTCTATTGAATCAGGAACCGTTGTGCCATTTTGTTCAGCCAACCTATATTTAATTATTAATTCTTTTTTTATTTTTTTTTGAAAAAAAACGAACTTAAAAACAGAATCTCCCATTCCTAAAGGATCCGGGCAATCTTCATCTAGCAATTCTGAATCACATACAATTGATTCACTAAATTACTTAGAATCTTTTTTCTTTTTTCTTTTTCATCATACTTTGGTAAATCTACCCATTCTGATGGATACAAAGTCGATAAAGAATAATATTTAAGGATTTCTGTATCTGTTTTATCTACAAAACCCATTATAAAATGATTTAAAACTTAACATAAAAAACATATATTTTTTATGTATTTGAAAAAATGTTTTTTTAAAAACGAGTGTCGATACGTATAAAAAAGAAAGATTAAAGTTAAAGAAAGAAATATGTTATAATTATTATATAATACTTTTAAAATATTTATTTTGTTATTAATGTAATGGGTTTCCATTTTTTTTTTCAAAAAAAAGTATTAAAAAAAAGTATAATCAAATGATTAAAAATGCAATAATCTTATTTTTTGTTTAAATCAAACATTTCATCTATTTGTAATATATAGTTTTTTATTGTTTTTATACATTTTATAATATTTTTTTGATGACTGTTCTCAAGACACTAAAATATCAAATCAGATTTCGATAGACAATCTTTTAATAAAAGGCTTTTAACGTCTAAATCTTGAAAAATTCTATTTTAAAGTGTTTATAATTAGAAAATTAGTTAAAACATCATGAAAACTACGAAAATTATTAGAAACGTTTTATTTCAGAAATATCTTTTTCCATCTTTTTCAAAGGTAGTTATATTTTTTAAACAAAAAGATTATTGAATAAATTAGAAAATTCGATTTTATGGTACAAAAAATACAGTTATGGGGACATATTCTGGAAAACCAGATTGCTCTGGTATATATACTGTAACCTTAATACCAGGCGATGGGATTGGACCCGAAATCGCGTCTAGTGTTAAAGATATTTTTAAGGCAGCAAAGGTAGAGATGATTAATGTAAAATAATGTTATTGATCCTCGAAAAGGTTCCTATACAGTGGGAAGAAGTAGATGTAACACCAATTTTGGTTGATGGTGAAGAGAAAAATGTAATATTAGATTTTTTTAAACAACATTTTGATAGGTAAAACAATGATTCCTGAACGGGCAATTAAATCAATCAATAAGAATACAGTGGCATTGAAAGGTCCCCTTGCTACTCCAGTGAGTTATTTTCATTTAAATTGAAACGGAATTAAAGTCTTTTAGATAGGAAAAGGCCATGTATCTCTCAATCTCACACTTCGGCGTACTTTGTAACTAATAATTTAACCCTTTTTACATACTTATGCAAACTAGCTCACTTTTTGCGAATGTAAGGCCTTGTCGTTCCATTTCAGGATGCAAAACTGCATATGATGATGTTGATATTGTGTTAATTCGAGAAAATACAGAAGGTGAATATTCGGGTATTGAACACATGGTGGTCGATGGTGTTTTCCAGTCAATTAAGCTTATAACTAGAAGTGCATGTGAGAAGGTCTTACGATTTGCCTTTGAATATGCACGGAATATTGGAAGAAAAAAAGTAACTGCTGTTCATAAAGCTTCGATTATGTAAGAGATGCACATATAAAAACTATAGTCCTTATATTTAAAGGAAAATCTCAGATGGTCTTTTTGTTAAGACAGCACATGATATTTCAAAAGAATATCCTGATATTGTTTTTGAGACAGAGCTCCTTGATAATTCTTGTTTAAAAATTGTTTCAAATCCTAAACCATATAAGGACAGAGTTATGGTTATGCCTAATCTTTATGGAGGTCATATTCTTTATATTTTTGCCCAATTAATATTTATTTTTGCTAGATATTCTAAGCGACATGTGTTCTGGACTTGTCGGTGGTCTTGGCTTAACGCCAAGTGCAAATATTGGTATCAATGCAAGCATTTTCGAAGCGTATGTTTACTTTGTCGTTTTTTTTAACATTATTAATACACTAAGTGTCCATGGATCCGCTCCTGATATTGCTGGGCAGAACAAAGCGAATCCTACTGCTCTTCTTTTTTCTTCTATCATGATGCTACGTCATATGTCACTCTACAAACATGCTGAAAAAATAGAAAAGGCTATATTTGATGTTCTTGCAAATAAAAAGATTTCTACACAAGATCTTGGAGGACAGGTTCTCTTTCTTTACTTTTATTTATTTATTTATATTTCTAGGCCTCCACACAAAAATATACTCAAGCTATTATTGAGTCCCTTTAACTACTTAGTTAAAATGAAATAATGTTTTTTTTTCTTTTTTTTTTGTATTTTTTCATTTCTTTCCCTCTTGCGTTATATAATTATTTCGACAATCACGTATGATAAGCCACAGACAGAGAAATATCAATCATGACAGATATCGAGTTTTCGGGGTCGGAAAATGAGAAATCTGTGCTTTTTATATACCACAATCTCCTTATGTTTGAAGAATCATTACGACAAGAATATATTTCTTTATATCTTCGTCGACGGAAATATTCAAGTAAATTATTTTAGATTTTTGTGAATTTGATTAATAAAAGAAGTGTTTTTTTTATGGCTTTTATCATGGATTGTGTACTTTTTTTACGGAGTTTTTATTGTACCTTCTAATGTACGAATGTTATGATGGAATGGACATGTTTGATGGGTCGTTTAGTACTATTATGTTTCTTTGTTATATCGGCTTTGTCTTTTGGCAGGAGTAATCACACTTTTATTGTTTTATCTTTCAGGGTTATATAGCAAGACGTTAATGTTGCCGCTTAAATTTATTCCATATACAAACAAATGTTTACGTCCATATAATCTTAAAATTGTGCCAAATCGCACAATAAAGTCACGTTTACTTCGGCTTTTGCCACACAGGATGTTAGCAAGACCGGATTATGGTGAGGGTGGTGTTAGACTTGTTCTTCTAAGCAAGGGGTTTGACCGAAGCTTTTGTGAAGGTTGGGAAATGTTTCGACAGGAATATTGGGCAAGCGAGCAAAATCGTTTAATGCAGAAAAAAGACAAGAAACGAGTAGAATCAGCTTCTAAATATCCAGAAAAGCTTTCAAAAAAAAAGAAAAAGGAATAATTTTTTTTTGAAAAAGTTCATACATTAAAATATTTTTTTATATATTGGCATATTGTTTTGATGTGTTGGTATATTTTTTTATTTTGAGTTATCTTATATGTTTTCAATTGGGGACATGTTTATATGGTGAAATAATACATTGGATTAGAAAAGATATTTTTTATTATCGATGAAACCAATCGGACTTTTTTGTATCACTAATGTACTCAAGTAACGAAGATTGGTTGCTTCTTTTGGTTAATTATACACATATTTTTTTCATGAATTTGCATTTATTTATTGGTATATTAATGATTGTTTGTTTTGTTTATTATACATACATATCTAAAACATTTATGTCAACGAAAAAATTGCATGGAAAAATTGCAGTTGTTATAGGAGGTTTTAAATACGAAATCTATATTTTTAAGCCAACGGATAACATTATAGGAGCCTCTGGTCTTGGACATGAGTTATCTTCAATTTTAAGTCAACTTGGAGTAATCGTTATTATTATTGATGTCGTTGTTAAAAAAAAAATATCAAATTGTAAAAAAGTCTTTTTTATATAATTGATATTTATTTTTTAAGCCTTTTGTCACTATTACCAATGCGATATTACTTGTATTACAAATTTTGAAAAAATTTATTCAGAAATTAAAAAACATGTTTGCTACACTTTTAAAAATGATTTTACTAATATACTAAAGTATGGAACACCTACGATACTTATTAATAGTGCTGCTATACTTGATGCAGAACCAATTGAAACGATGTCTTTTGAAAAATTTAGAAGGTTTATATTATTTTTATTTGTTTTTATTATTAAATTTTAGGGTGATTGATGTTAATTTTATATCGCATTTTAATATGGTTAAAATGTTTTTACCTGGAATGAAACAAGAAAATGAAGGACATATTGTTACAATAGCATCATCACTTTCATTTATTGGAGTAACTAATCTTTGTATAAATATACTTTTTATTTATATATACTTATTAATTTTTAGCTGCTTATTGTGCTTCTAAGGCGGCATTAGTCTCTTTTCATGAATCTTTAAAATATGAACTTTTTTATTCAAATTTTAATATTCAAACAACACTTGTAGTACCAGGACAATTGAATACACCTTTGTTTCAAGATGTTGAAACTCCTTCTCGATTATTAGCTCCTATACTTGATCCTATATATGTTTCTGAAAAAATAATTAAAGCAATAATAAATAATTTGAGTACAGAGATATATACACCGTTATACTGTTCAGTGCTTCCAGTGTTGAGATGCATGCCTATAAAATTTCAAAAAATCTTTAGGCATCTTAGTGGAATAGATAAGGCTTCACGTGTATTTATAGATCATTAATTATACTATTAATTCACTTGTAATGTATTAGAAATATGTACTGATTAAGTATTATTAATATTATAATTGAGTTTATATGTAAATTTTATTAAATAATAATATTGATTCTAGGGAAATAGACTATTTTGATTATGGTCAAATATAGCTTTTTTATTGTTGAATATATTAATTAAACAGATAAAAAAAATATTTAGAATATATTCTTAGTTTAACATTTTATTTGTATTAATTTGAAATATAGATAAAAATATATTTATAAATAATTATATTTTAATATCAAACAGATTTATATTTTAAGGTATTTTAATATTAAAAACAATGTAAATTATTTATTTAAAATATTAGAAATAAAAACATCTTTAGATAAATTTAAATATTAAAAAAGTGTTGATTGAAATTTATTTTTGAATATGTTATAAACAAAATTTTTTATTTTAGAATAAAAATTGATAAGATTTAACTTTAAAATGTTAATATTCTTGTTTATATGAAGATAGTCTATAATTTAATAAGTATTTTCTTTTAAAATTCAAATAGGTTTTATTTATCAAAAATAAAAATAACTCCATTCTAAATTATTATATTATTATTATTATTGATTATTTATTTCTATTCATACACAGTAATATATTTCAATTTTAAAAATGCATGAATTGCATTAATTAACATTTTTTATATTAGAAATTTAATTTTTTTAAACAATATTATATATGAATATTTTTTTATTTATAATTAAATTAAAAACTAAAAGAATATAATATAAAAAGAATCAAATTTAAATAATTTAGAATATACTTATTTTTTTGTTTATGTTGTTTTGTTTATTTTTTGCTTAGTTTTTAACGTCGATAAATAACATAAAATTGTAATTATATGTATTTGAATAAATACTTTTCTTGCTAAATGTGTTTTTAGTCTATTATTTATAATAGTTATCAATTATATTTTCTATTTATTTTTTAAATATATTGTTAAATTATATCTTTATGCTATTAAAAATTTGCATAATTACTATAAATCATTTATGTGATAAAATGTTTAATGCATAAAAGAAATATAAGATGGTTGTTTATTATAACATTACTTAAAAAGTATTGGAATAAATAAACATGCGGATGGTGTATTTTACTTGGTTATTTGTTTTATATTTATATTCTAAACAAGTAGTATCTTTAGCTCTTATGGACATTTTAATTACGAATAAAACAGCCAAAAATAATTTAGAAAAAGTATGTTGTCTTTTTTATCAATGTTACAAATTCTAATATATTCATTTTTTTATAGAAGCAATCGTTTATAACAGCAAAAATTAAAGAAATTACTATAACTATGACCCGATGGGAAACACATCATCAATGCATTACATTGACAGCTATAGATCATTCAAAAATAAATATAAATACAGATGATGAAAAATCAAAATATGAAACAATTGTGGGCACTAGAGATATATAAAGCTTTTTTAAAAAAATATTTGATTATATATAATAATCGAACTATAACATAAAAATAACTTATTATAATACAAAACTAACTTTTAACCGCTATCAAATCTGCATTATCTGCTGAAATACTTGTTGACGGATATTTTACATGAATTAATCTTGACCATTTATTAAAAATAGAATTCCATATACTTTTATCCTTATTGTTAATCTTATTTTTCCATAATTTAATACTATGTTTCTTTTTTTTCGAATTATTAGTTAAAAAATGTTTATCAATAATAGTAGATTTTAAAAAAGAGTTTGTTAATATACTTCTTGTATTATTATTTAGGAAAATAGAAGATTCTGTAGGAACTGTTGTAAAAGTAGATATTATTGGACTAATGAATTGAGTAGGCAGAGAAAAATTTCTAAAAGATAACCAAAGCTTTTTTAAAAGAAAAGAATCATGAAAATCTGATGACTTTTTGATTTCATATAATAGTTTTTTGTTTATAGCATATTTAAAAAATGATTCACAAGTTATATCTGAATAAATAGGCGTTTTAGAATTAAGTTCATTATATTTTTTATAACATAAATTATCCTTGTAAAAATCTAAAGAACAAGAATGTCGTATTTTATTATTTATAAGAATTGAGTCTGAAGAGCTAAACATAATATTTTGAGCTATATACTGTGATTTTTCAGAAATATTATTCAAAACATTCTGAGACTGTAAAGAATTAGAAGATAATAATATACTTGGTGCTGATGATGATCTAATAATTTTTGAATCATTAAAATCTAATTTTTTAAATTTTATTTGTGCAAATGAAGTATTAATAGAGTAAGGTTCTGATCTTCCCTTTATTTTATTAAAAGGTTTCAATGAATATATTTGCTCATTTTCTTTAGTAAACTTTGAGAATATTTTTGTATTTTTATTTAAAAAATAGTTTGAAGTATTATTTTTTTTTAAAAATAAGTGATCACTGTTATATTCATGAGATAATTTATATACCATATCGTATAAATTGAACGAATTATTAACTAAAGAATCCGCATTATTAAATTGTTGGCATAAAATTTGTTGCAAATAAATTATTTTATCCTGAGTTGTAAATAGATCAGTACAATGTTCCATAAAAGCTTTTTTAAGTAATGAATTTTTTATAATTAATTCTTTAACAAATGATACTAAGTATGGTTTTTCTGTAGTAAGCAATGACATTATAGAATTGATACTTATCGTCTTAATTTCTGAACAATTTTTTAATTTGTCAACTAGAACTTGATCCTTTTCTTCTGTTATTCCTAATTTATCCTTATCTATATACATTTTTAATATTTTAATCAATTGTTCTGATTGTGTCCATTTTTCTTTAAAAAACATCCCTATTTTTAAAGATTGTTCTAATTCCTTTTCCAGTACACTTTTTTCTGCCTCTATTATGCTTATTTTTTTTTCATAAGTCTGCTTATGATAAATAGAAAAACGAATACGTTCTAGTTCTAATTTTGTTGTTTCCAATGCATCAGAAAGACTTTGAATGTAAGATTCAGAGGCAGATAATGACTTGTTTAAGCATTCCATATTCTTATAAATTAATTAAAATACTTCTAAAAAATAAAAATATTACACTCAGAATCTGTTTATTTTTTTCGTTAATCCTATATGTTTCCTCTTCTAATTCTTTATTCCTTTTCTCAAAAGATAATAATAATGCTTCTAATTGACTTTTTTTAACTTTCAAACGTAATATTTTTAGCTTAAGCAGCTTTTCTCTATATTCTGCATTCTCTGTATATGTTTTGCATTCTGATAACAAATATTGACTCAGTTCTATATTTAAATTACTAAAAAAATTACAAAAGAAACTTAGTACCTAATGAAGTTTGAATTTCTTTCTTAAGATTATTAAATAGAAGTTCATTTTCCTTAATATTATCACAATATGATGTTTTACAGCAACATTTTATCGAAGACATGTGATAGCTTTAGTTTTCTTCTAATAAACCTCAGAAATTTTCTTAAAAAACATATATAGACTTAAATACTCTTTCTACTCAGAAATTAATTAACCTCTGCGACAAATTTAACAATAAATATTGAGCAAATCTTTAATTTTAGTTTTTGATATTAATATTATTACGCATATATGATCAACGATCGAAATGCAGAAATAAGCAATATGTTGAATTAATGAGATAACAAAAAAACATAAATATATACTTATTTTAACGCCATTCTTTATTTATAAGACAAATACCTAGTTCTTCACAATAAAGTTCATCGAGACTTGAATAGTTTAAACCATCATTTTGATAGGAACTCATTAACTTATATTGATTATTAATACAATATTGACAACAATCATGTTTTTGATGCTTCTTTCCTAGAATGAATGAAAAACCTGCTTGAATAACTTTAATAGGTCTGTGTACAGGATTTTTCAATGTCCATATTTTTGTATGAAAAGGAATAACGCTTCTTTCCCATGGTATGATTTGAAGCTGCACTATGATTAGAACTGTTTTCCCAAGTCCTCCTGCCATAATAGTAACTCCTTCAAAACCTAATGTGGGGGAATTGTCTATTTTTCTTTTATAGGATGTTATAAATTCCGTATCAAAATAGTTAAGATATACTCCAGAAGTCCCTTGATTAGTATTTTCTAATAATTTCTCAATATAGAGATCTAATTCAAAAACAATAGGTGACGGTTCTTGAGCAGAATTGTTTGACCATATTTCAAGTTCGAATGATGATGGTAAAGGCCACATCCTGTCCTCTGATAATATCTTTTAAGATTAATTTTTGAGGAAAATGAATCGTTTATTCGATATATTACCTGATTATTCCAATTATTCATATAATATGGAAAAAAAATAAGCCGTGTATTGGTCAAAACAGGTATTAATCCATATTTTAAGTATGAAAAACATGCATTATTGTAAATGCTTTCTTCTCCTGCTGGAACAGCCATTGACTTCATATCTGTAACTTCATAAAAATCCCCAAAACGTACTTGTCTTACTTCTATCCATCCACCGCCCATCGACTCTACCTCTTCTGAAATCCATAAATGCTTTCTTAGGAGAACTTGTACTAGTGTTTGCTTTTTAACATCCCAGATGGTAGTTAGTGAGACAATAGGCATATCACTAATGGAAAGAGGACCAAATGTAATTTTAAACTTCAATTGGACTGGACGGTCGAGGGAAAGAGACCATAAATGAATATCTGATTCATTCCTAGCCTCTTCTGAGACTATATCTCTTGAATATTGGTTCTCATTTTCTATATTTTCAAAAAATATTTCATTTTCAAAAAGATGCGCAAAAGATGGTATATTCTGTCTGTTTTTTGGTACAGAAACAAGATAAAAAGGCCATGAAGAAATAGTTCCAAGCAATATTTCTCTTCTAAGAGCCTTGTTCGGTGTATCAATTGTATTCACATCTACCTTAAGATATGGAATTGTTGGATACTGATTGCCATGTACTCCTAAAGATCGTTGTAAAATATAGTTCACAAGAAAATAGCCTTTTAAAGACATTTCCTTTTGTTACATATACACAAGTAAGAACATATATATATATGTATATATATATATATAACCATATTAGTTTATTATTTAATCATTTAACGGATTGTATGGAAGTTAATAGTGTACGATAATGTTAAGACAAAGTCACGGACAGTACGTGTCCGTAATACATCTAAAAGTGTCATATGTAGTTTAATATTGGAAAAAATAGATTAAAAATGTTAACTGGAATATTAAAGACAAACGTTTTTCCTCAATCATTAAATATCAAATATGATTATGAAAACAATTAATAATAGTTATAAAAAATAAAAGTCAATAATGTATAAAATGTATATATCTTCTAATTGATTGCTATATCAGTATTTTTATATGTTATTTTCTATGGATTGATCTCGAAGTATTTCAGAATCTATGTTGGTATACATTTTTAAATCAACTGTCGTAAGCAGCTCAGTTATTCTGATTAAAAATTAATTAAAGAATAAAACAAAGAAAAATATACTTTTTTACCGTCTCTTCCTTAGCACTAGCAGCCTGTTGTCTAATTTTTTCTAATTTTTCTTCAACCATTTTATCAAAAATTTCTTCTTGCTTTATATTAGACCCAGTAAGCTATTAAATTAATCCATTAAAAATAAATCAAGTATTTAGTACTAGCTCCTACTTCTTTTTTGTATGTTTCAAATGCATCTTCTTTTTGTAATCTATATTCCTCTATCACCGCTTGAGCTTCTAAACGAGCATTTTTTAGCCCTTGAGCCCTGCCTTACAGAAGTTATTCATATTGAAAGAATACGTGAATATTTTATATACATTCTCTCGCTTTTTCAACGATTTTTTGTGATTCTTTTTCTACCTAAATAATTTAACTTTAAACTATATATAATTCTGAAAAAAACCTCCAATAATGTTTGGATACCAGACGAACTTTGAACTGACTTTAAAGAATTGTTAAATTTTATTTAAAAATCTTTGTATTTTTACCATTTTTCTCGTCAATTTATCAATATTTTATTATATTTTATTACGTTTTATTACGTTTTAATATTCATTTAGTTCCATCAAAACGACCGTTGCCATATCAACTACTGTCTGAATTTTATCAGTTAATCTTTTAAATAAACTTAATAGATTTTTATATAAGAATCCTTTGATAAGTTTATTAGGAATTATTTTCAAAATATCTATGTCTAAACTTGCAAAAATGATATTTTTTGCAACAACAACAGCAACACTTATTACTATTGGTACTGTTCATTATATTCAACAAGTGGAAAAAGATGTTTTTGAGTAAAATATTTATTTCAAAAATCTCATTTTAAGTAGAGAATGTATGCTGGTGTGCTTCGGGATGAGGCACGTCAAGCAGTTCGTAAACAGCGCGAAAAAGAGCGAGTAATTCAAGAACAACAGGTCCTTCACGAAAAAAATCAATCTGTAACTATTAGTTTGGAACCTGAAAATAGCAATGAAAGAAATACATAGTTTTTGTCTGATAATCTATTTGAGGAAGAGCAGAAGGGCTCGTAAGTGGTCTGCTTGCAGATTTATTTGGTTATATAACTAGATGTTATATGTTTTTAGATTTGCATAAAAAATCGACATATTATAGTGTATATGATTACATTTTCTGAAGTAGAACAGGCGATACAAGATCCTCCCAAGCCAGAATTAATTGGCCATTTTGTTCAATATCTGTATCTACCCCAAACTTTCCATAAATATATTCTCCTGTTTCTGGATCAATTTTTTTTTCTTTTCGGTCACGTTTAGCAAGCTCCAATTTTAAAATATTTGGTGGTGAATTATCTATTATTATTGCTGTTTTATAGTCTGATAAAATAGGTTCGTAATTGTTGTTCATGCTAAGATGTTTAAATGCAACAATAGATCCTATAGGTGGTGGCTCAGTAAGAAGAGTAAGTGTTTCTATATTTTCAGGCAAAGGCGGCATCCTATCTGGTGATGTTTTATTTAAAAGTTCTTTATGTGTGATTAAAATGATCAAAGACGTTAGATTAATTTACCTTTATTTTTATTTGGTGTTATAGAAATATCCTGAATAGGTACATTTGGAATTTCGCACTCTATTTCTTTTACAATGCATCTATCTTCCCAATTTTTTTCATTTATTTTGTTATTTAAAATTGTTTTTCCATCGTTATCAAATTTAATATGTATATTCTGAGTATTTCCTATTTTCGAAATAAATCCTTTACTTTTATTTTTTATGTATTTTTTTAGTGGTTTAATTTCAATATCCTTGTTTTGATTTTTGTTTATTCTTTCTTCTATTTGTAACAAATCTGCAAATGTAGCAGAGTCTGGAAGAATGCCTTGTTGTTTAAATCTTAGGAGTTTTTTAGTTCTCTTTTTCCTCATATTACGTGCTTTAGTAGATAGTGATCCTTGACCAGGTGGTGCTCTTTTTTGATTTTTATTATCTAAAGGTATCTGGTTTATTTTTGAGGTTGATCTGTATATAAATGAATATTTTTAAATTTCATACTAAGCCTACCTTGATGTTGTACTTGAATCAGAAGAATCTTTTTCAGAAATAGATGATGACTCAGATGTTGACGAGGCTAATGACAAAGACGATGACATGGCTGATGTTGATGAGACTGATAATAAAGAAGACAACGTGGCTGATGTTGATGATGTTGATAATGATGATGATTTTGTTGATGATTTTGTTGAACTACTTGAGGCAGAAGATTGTGAATTTAATTCAATTGGAGATATTTTTTTTTTAGAAATTTGTATTTTTTTCCCTGTATTCAAAGTAATTTCATTTTCTAATGTATCAAAATTAATCAAATTATTTTTTTTAATAGATTCGTTTTCATTTTCTAAATACTGTAGCTTTCTCTTAAGATTACAACCTTGTACAATCTTTTGTGCTAAATCATGATCACGTTTTACAGTATTGTTGATCGTGCTAACATATTCATTATTCTTTAGCAAATCTATATCATTTTTTGCTTCATTGTCGTTTTTATAATTTGTTTCTACTAAATGATCGTTAGGTATTGACAGATATTTTTCCGATACAAAGTGAACAATGCTTTTCTCATTAAACGAATCTCCAGTTTGTTTTAATCTATTAATGTAGTTAGCTTTTTTATAGAAAAAAAAACCAGATTTATACATAATTAAGTCATTTTCCCTCAATATTTTACAAATAGGAGCCTTTAAAGGCAAATAGAAACCGTCTAATTCAAGACTTAGTTGACATGGTTTTACCTCTAAAGAGAATGTCTCAATTACATCTTCAATCAAATGTTGAATTGTTATTGAATCTGATAAAGTTGGAATAAAATGCCAACATTTAAATGGAGGCAAAGGATGAATTGTTGCAAGGCGTATTCTCATAATATTTAAACAATTTTGATTGGATTAACTCCAGTTTAAAACTTTTTATGTTAAAAATTGAATTTTTGCATATTTTAATGTTTAATAAATCGAATAAAATATAGAAAATACGATTAACTATTCTTCGGATTCCAAAATTAAAGATAAATAATACTATATCTTTTATAAAAGTTTTAATAAGTGATATATATGTAGATGTTTTTAACTATTACCTAGAAATTACTTAACAGATATTTTTATTTCTTTACACAACTATATTTTGATTTAGAAGAACTTTTTTTTTTCAATTTATATTTCAATAAAAACAATAAATTCTTAATCCTTTTTTTAGTATATACATATAAATATGTTTTATTAGGTCTTAAACATCAAAAATATATGTTTATTATATTCAAAATTAAATCATTGTATTATATCGATAATTTTTCCTTAAGCTATTTTAATTAAATCATAATATTTTAAACATTATTTTTTATACCTGCTCTTTTATGATAATTTATATAATATAAATTTAACTTTTTTTTAATACGTTTTCATTATATAGCATTTTCTCTTTAAATAATACTTCTTTAATTTTTTCTTTAATTCTATCCTTTACAATAGATTTGTTAGCGTAACAAGAGTATTCCATGTTAAGAAGGTCTGTACTTTCATTAAGTAGTAATGTTGATAAATGGTTGATTTTTTTTGAACTTGTTAAAATATCTGGAACTTCTTTTCTCTTAAATAAAATTATTTCTATATTTGGCCATGATAATAAAAAAATTCTAATAAAAGTATGCGTAGCATCCAAAAATTCAAAAGGAAGTTTTCTCGGAAAAAGATAATTAAAAGGAAATGTAGGATTTGAGCGAACAAGACTCAAAATTTCTAATGTAAAACATACACCTAATCCATAGAAATGCCACTATTATATGTTATTTTTTTCCAATAGTATATATAAATATATGTATAAAACATACAAATTTTTTATATGGTTTAATTTTAAAAAGATTTGAAACCAAAAAAATAAGTATTATTCCTCCATAAAAATGGATGCTTGATTTAATGCTTTTAAAAAGAGTTTCAAACATAGAAACACCATCAGACCATTCAATTGATGATGGACCAAATCTAAAAAAGTTAATAACAGTATCTATCTTGTTTAATTTAACCTTTCATATGCAAATCTTTGACGTGCATTCAATAAAACATGATAAATCAACTGTAATTCTATAAATTCTGTTTTATTCCCAGAAACGATTTTGTCAGGATGAACTTTCAACACTCTAGAAAGTCATAAGAAATAGATAAAGTACATAATTAATACATTTTTCGGAATTGTGATTTTAATTTACGTTTAGAGTCGTATGGAGATACTTTTAAAATTTCATAAAAATTTTCTGAAAAATTTCTATAGATTCCATGTATTTTATAAATAAAATAAAAAAGAGTTAAGAAAAAAGATATTTTATGTTTATCTTTTAAAAAAACTGTTGAATGTGGTAATGGTTCATTAATACCAGTAAAGTGTTTACGTGCTTGATAAAAAAGTTTTTGAAAAATTAAAATAAAGTACTCTTGAAAAGAACACCAAATGATCCATGAAATTATATCTGACACGATTGACGAGTTAGTAAAGCTTTGGTTATCTATATTCATAATTTTAAGAATTACGTTAAGTGCTAAAGTTAATCATATTAATCGTACAGAATCTTATCAATTAATAAAAAAATTCTAAAAAATTAGAAAAAATGTCAAAAGAGCATAAAAAGTCTAAGAAACGAAAACATAATGAAATTGAAGAGAAAACTTTTTTACAGGAAATTAAAAAAAAGAGGAAGAAAGAAAGTTTAAAGAATAAATCTACAAAAAATGATATGGTACCAATAAATCCATTTTATTGCCTTAAAATCGAATCCTATATTTCAATTCCTCCTATTTATTCTAGTTCTCCAATGAAAGGCGTAGAATATTATCTTGATACGATGATTTTAAGTTATCTGCCAAATATACAAGGAATTATGCTTGCACATAGAAATTGTGAGTTTATTGATAAAACGGCGAAGATATATCATGAAAGCCCATTTGCTTTTGCATGGGTTCAATTTGAAATGCTTGTTTGGAAAACAAAGACAGGTGATTTTTTAGGTAAACAGATATTTTGAAATAATAATTATATTTAATATGTAAAATAAGAAGGAATAGTTAACTTACAATCACCTTCACATATAGGTCTTTTAGTAAGTGGATTTTTTAATGCTTCAATACCAAAAAGTGCCATTCCTAAAGCTTGGATGTATCAAGAAATCATGTCTCAAGAAGAGGTGGAACAAAATGAAAATGGATATTGGATAGATCAAAATAAAAAAGCAGTTAAAATTGGTGATAAAATATCTTTTTGGACGGTAAAGTACGTTATCCTATAACCCATCCTTTTTCATTAAACTTATCATTAAACTTATTTACTAATCTATAAGACTTGAAACGATTGGAGGAATCGTCAGCATAGAAGGAACTCTTTTATCAAAAAATTTACAAACAAATAATATACAATAAAAACATAATCTTTAAAAATATATATGCTTAAATAGTTCAAAAATGTTACTATATAGGAATAAAAAATGGCTCTACTCTAATAAAATATAAACCAATATAAAGAAATTGCAAAATTGTGACAAACCCTTTCTTAGAAACCTAGCCTCAAAAAATTTGATTAAATGTAGATCATTGTTGAAACTAAAATACCAACGATATATGTAAAAAATAAACAATACATTAAATTATACAACCGACGAATTGTCTTCTTGTAGGACCGGTGTAGGGCTTAAATCCTTTATAAAACAAAACATGCCATCCAAGGAAGGTACATCAATGGTATTATTCGGGAACAAATCCGTAATAGGACTTTGTGAATCCCAGGCAGAATCAGAAGATGCATCATATGAACTTGACAATACAGGAACTGAATCAAAAGATGTATCTTTGTTGTAGTCAGAAGTCCATGCAAATTGAGAAAGAGCATTATTTGACCAGAACTGCGACGTTTGTAAATCAAAGGATAATGGAATCTCTGAAAGAGACCCACTATGAGGCATTGTTAAATATTGGTCAGAAATACCTAATCCTAAATCAATATCATTTTCCACTACTGATGGAGATGGGTCATGCAATGGTGTGCACAAACTTTCCGATGCCCACATATCTATTGATGGATCTTTAGTTGTTAAATAAGAATGCAACCCCATCAACGGCGGTGCTGTACGGGAAAACGGAGATGAATATGGAGGACCAGGAGGACCATCTGATACTCCATATGCATCTTGAACATAAATCGATTGATTAACTGGATGTTTACCCGTAAGCGTCACTGATGATGGATCATTGCTTGACCAGGGGGTTTCATGTAACCCAAAATTAGATAAATTAGGTGAAACCATCCCAGGAAACTGCGACATCGTATTCATAAACGGTTGCGGCGATTCAACAGTATTTGGAGACTGTGGTGAAGCTGCAATCAAAATAGGCGGTATTTGGATCGGCGGATGGATTCGACTAACAAACTCACATGGATAATTTGCTTTAATACAATGAGTACATTTCCCATCCGGACGCCCCTGGTCGCCAGAACAACGTATTTTTCGTCGTCTACATCGTTGACATGCCACGTCAATCCGTTGGCGTGGAGAATCCGAGCCTTTAAGAGGAAGAGAACGCGATCGGTACGGAAATTTAAGCGAATCCAATGTTCGTGTCTTAAAAAGAGGATTCTCCATGCCTGTATTCTTCTTATTAATCGAGAGAAACCCCGGTGTAATATTTTGCGAGATAAGCGTCTCACAAGCTGAATAAAAAACCATAGTAATTTAATGATCTATTCGTACACAGTGTACCCCCACACACCCTTCTTTCTCTCAAAAATCTCGCCTTATCTACCAAAGTGCTTCTCAATCACAAGCTGACTTACAATCTTAATATATTAGACTTAATACTAAGTCTCTTTGACCTGCCCTAGAGTATAGACTCAAGAAACCGTGAGCTAACGCAAGTTTCTGACGACCCTATGATTTGCTAATATAGAGCCTGTGGTTTGCTGATGCAGGGCTGATATTTCCTACGTATATTTTGCGGACGTCTTGCCTTAATAATGGACGCTCGATCAAACTGATACGTACTGTCACTGGTGTTTACAAGGCCCCGTGGTATCGGCCTTTGAAATCTTCTGTGTTTTTAAATCTGATGCGCTTTGTTAAATTCCTTATTTAGCTTGGATAAAATAAGATCTCCCCTTCTATTAGGTCTTTATATATTTGGAAAAAATAATAAGATAGACTAGACACGTTTTAGTACACTTAGAGAGATATTTTAAAAATGCCCCGACAAAAAGAGTTGAGTGGCTTTAACTTGTTTAAAATATTTATAAAAGATTTACAAAAAAAAGTATATCCGTCTTATATTAATCATAAACTGAATAAAAATATCTTAAAATCTGTTTTTTCTGAAGATTAAACCATTATCTTTGCTTCTTAATACTTATATATCTCCTAAATTAAATTAATATTTAGTGGCTGTTCAAAGACAAAGCATGCGCCACCTGACCTTATTTGGGAGAGTATGTGTACGCTTGGCGCTGTTTATTAGCGTAGAACAAAGTCAGATTGGTATGAGCCAATATATTCCCTTAATTAAATAGTTATTAATAAGAAAATTATTTTAAAATTAATATATTTTTAATATAATTTTTATAAAAAAAAAAAGAAATAAATCATTTTTATAAAAAAAATAAGTAATATATACTAATATTTAAAAAAGAAAAATAAAAATACAAAAATTAGTAGGAAATAAAGAGTATAATTCATTATTATATACAAGAGAATACTATAGAAGACGTGGGTAAAAAAGATAAAAAGGCCGTATTAGGTATGGACATGTGCGCTTAGGATCGTGCGGGTGTTGAAAAATTTCACATCAAAATGAAGATGTGTTTCTTTTAGAGAAATGTAGCAATTATTTTCTATCATTCGATCTATTTGGATCTTTTTTCTTACTTATTAAACAACTTTTCATAATTTTTGTAATTAGCAAAAAACATGTTTTCAACACAGACTTGTATACAGAGATTTATATTTATATAGAAATTTTTAGTTTTATATAGAATATTTTAATAAAAATTAGTTTCAATTAGACTAATTTTAGGGGCTAAATGTCTAATCAAGGATATAACTTTAAAATAATTAAGGGAAAAAACTTTTAAGGCATATTGCCTAGGGTGACCTTAGTGCATAAGTTAGGTCAGCTAGCTAGGCTAATAATTAGGCTAAGCTAAGGAGAAATGCTCGATATGGGAAAAGATAACGTAATCGAGCGTAGAAGGGCTTTAATTATGAAGGCTTTTACTTAATTACTAGTTAATTTAGTAACCGCTAAATTTTGATATTGATCGAAACAAAAGTTAAATGTTCAATAGTATAAAGATGTATGAATATTTGAAAAAGGATTAACTGTATAATAAATATAAAGATGTTACAAATGTTTTTGATGTGTTTTAATATATTTTTTTGTACTTTTTTTATATTTTTGCTGCATTCTTACATACTGCGTTTAATAAAGAAATATGGATTAGTCTTTGTGTAAATGGATAATTGGAATATTTTGGAATCTATGAGAGAATCTAGTGTCATTATGCACAAAGACTCAGAAAGCTATTTTTAACAATGGAATAGTTTCTTTCATAGAAAGAGATTATCTTGCACTATATTACCGAGAAAAAACTAATAACCCCAATACTTCATTACTTTGAAGACATGTATTTGGTGCGGAAAGAAATTCCTTAGCACTGGTATTGATGAGAAGAGTTTATGCAATGCTATGTATCTAGTTGTGATATTTTAAGTATTATGTAGACATGTATGTTGATGAAACGGGAAATTGTAAGAGTTTAATTATGTATGTAAATATCTTATAATCTTACTGATTATATCTCTTTTTAACGTAAATGATTTTGAGTTGTCATTTTTTCATGATTAAAGAATATATATATTTAATATTTTTCTTAAAAACATAATTTTTATTTTTGTATTTATCCCAATAAATAGTTTTATATACTATTTTATTAGTTCAATATGTTATTATACATAATAAGATATAGGAATATTTCGTAACAATAAGATATTTATATATTCTTAATAATTATGTTATCTGGTTAAATTTTTATAATTTGTAGAACTTTGAAACATTTTCAAGATTCTTATAACCTAAAATTAAATCAAAATATTTTGTAATTTAACAATAAAATTACATATTTTATAAAATCTTTATAAGATTTATAAATCTTTCATCGCAATCATCTCCGCAATAGACTAATTGATAAAAGGTAAATTCTTTCTTTTATATGAAACTTACTAGGTAAAATGAAAGTGCATTAAATGTCGAGTCCTTCTTGTAAAATTTCTTTAATATATATTTATATGGAGATATCTTATATATAGTCAGTTTGAAAAAATAAATGTATATAATACCCAATTAATAAGATCAAGCTAATATCACGCGTAACTAAGAAATAAACATATATATATAACCAGAATACATACATGATTGACATTTTCAAGTGTTCCTATATTATCAATTAAAGAACTATATTATCCAAATGCAAAAACCCTTATAGTTCCCCCAAATCGAGCTTTTTACACTAACAAGTCCATCATTCATACCTTCTGCGTTGTTTATTTTATCTAAATACATAAGACAAGAAAACTGAACTTATATTTTCTTAACTCCAACTTAACCGAAATATATTAAAAAATGAAGGTACAAAAGAAGCACCATAACTAAAATATAAAACATTAGGATCATCAATTACATTTTTATTAAAAACATTCTCCATATATGTTGTCGTTAATTCTTCTATTACTTGAGTTTGTAGCCCCATTAAGGAAAATAAGTTGCACGTTTTTGAAATATTAAGTGCTTTTAATATATATATAATCCTAAACATGAATAAATATACATACCATTAATTAATTTAAGGCAATAATTTGCAAAATATGTTCCTTATTTTATCATAAAAAAATCCAAATCAAATTTCTGTACCTCTGTGAGGGGTTGCAATTGTAGTTAAGGACCCAACTTGATATTTTTTAGGGTTTATTTTAGATATCAGATATCGACAATCTAAACCACCCTTTAAATAATTTAATAAATTACAATGTCTAGGTATTTTACACACCATACTATGTGCTATCAAGTTTACTTTATATCCTTTATACTTGTCCTCAATTTGTTTATGGAGAAGATATGATCTTTCTTCTACTGTTCCTAGCATTGGAACTGATGTTATAAATACCTGTTTTATTTCAATTTTTTAAATATTATGAAATATAGATATCATATATAACCTCTACACCATTTGCTTCTAAAACTTCTTTTATTCCCCTCCAATAATATAAAACGATAAAAGGAAATGATTTGAAATACTTGTATTTCCCAATTTCTATTAAAAATAGTTACCTTTATATTTCTTCTTTTTTAATAACTCAGCACCTATTTTGTCAAACCCCATTAATCCATGACATAATACCAAAGGCTGGAAAAATATATGCTAAGTATTTATAGATAATATTATGAAATTTCTTACATTCTTTGGTAAAAAACGCTTATGTGTTTTTTTCACTGATTTATAATTCCATTGTTTTTCTTTTTGATCTTTTACATAATGACATGTATGAATTAATTGAGTATGAAGACATAAAAATCTAAATCCTGCAATAGTTGCGTGGTTGAAAATAATGATTTTTATTCTTTTAAAAGATAAATACGTCATCACTTAATTCTTTATTCATATAAATTTTTTATTTGTAAAAAATCTTTAAAATGACTATATCCATTAAAAACTGGAAAATACCATTCTATAAATATGATAAATTCTTTGCAATATTTGTATTTTTATTTTCTTTTATTTATTAATTTGAAGATTATAAAGAATAAATTCGATAGTAGCTTAAGAAAGTCATTTTATATCTTTTATAAATATATATATATAATTATAAATAATTGTGTTCATTAAACCTTTTTTTTCTGTTTTCATGTTTTATATATATTTTAAACAAAATTTACTTTTTTTTTATAAATTATAATATTATGAAATATAGTTAATAAATCACTAAAAATAAAAAGCGGAGATTTTAAGTTAATCAATATTTTATTTTCGTTTTATTGCACTTTTGAATTTTATTTATTTATTTATTTTTGATATTGTTATCTGGAATTTTGTGAGTTTAAACTTAAAAATAAAATGAAAAAAAAAGGAAAAATAAAAATTTTTAAAAGAAAAAATGCAATTAAATGAATTGTTTTGACTAAAAAAAACCTTATTTAGATGTTATTTCTAAAAACAAATGGAACAAAAAGATTATTTTTCAGATCAATTATTAGAACACCAAAAAATTCATCAAAATATTGAATTAGATAGTTTACATAGTGATAGGAATACAATAGAAGCTCAAAATGAAAAGAGTGGATTTAATAATAATATTTACAATGAATTACTTGAAATATCTGATGACGAGTTTGAAAAATTATCTCAAATAAGTGACTCAGATGATAGTTTAATTATCCTCACACAAGAACAAGCGTAATTTATTTTTCTTGATGAAATGCTATTGTCTAAGTATTTCAAGGAATCTTGAAATGGCTCAATATGCAAACAAGGCATTTAAAGATAGAGACTATGTTCAAGAGGTTAATCAACAAGAAAAAAAACAAGAACAAATAAAAACGTAAAGTTTAATTATTAATGCTTTTTTTTTGATAATGTATATAGAGGTAATGGACCAGACTCTCAAATACTGTCTAGAAATTATCAAAAGGAATCGATACCCGTGGTAAATACTGTATATAATCCGAATCCGTATTCAGTAGAAACCTATGATGCAAATAATTACATTCAAATACCACCCTTGCAATATAATGTAGGAAATAATCAGATTTCGAATGTTTATTCAAATATTAAAAATATCCCTATACAAAATAATATAAAATATTATCAAAATCCGTATAAGAATGTGATTCTTATAGACGATCAAACTATAACTAATCTTCCGGCAAAATATCCAGATCGACCTTTACCTTGGAAGAAACCAGATAATTTTGGTACGTCAAGCAATCCAATAGATCTTTCTGTAGATTCACTGGATCATTCATTTTCTTATAATCCTTATTATTCGATTATTGAATACCAGGATTCTGTACCTCAGAAATTGTATAATTCATCACCATATCCACAAGTATTTGATACAAGTCGTGAAATTATGGCTTTACTTGATAATATACAACCAGTGGATGAACTTAAAGTCAAAGAGGGGACACTAAAAAGATTATTGCCTACACTTATGGAACATCAAAAAATTGGCTTAACTTGGATGAAAGAAAGAGAAGAAGGAAGTAACAAAGGCGGTATTTTAGCAGATGATATGGTATATTTATTATTTTCAAAATATTGTTTTTAAACATTATTTTAAATTATTATAGGGTCTTGGGAAAACCATACAAGCATTAGCATTAATCGTTTCTCAGAAAGAAAATGGAGATGGTATAGGAACAACACTTATATGTACTCCTGTATCTCTTCTTCAACAATGGGCTAGAGAGATTCAAACTAAAACTAAACCACCACTTAAGTTTTATATTCACCATGGCAATTCTAAACGTGCAATCAAATCCTCTGAAATAAATAAATATGATATTGTCCTTACTACATATGGAACAATTGCACATGATTATAAAAATTCTGTAAAATATGAAAAAAACGCTACAGAGAATCCAAAATATATGTTTTATAAGTCACCATTTACTTTGTTAGATCATCAATGGCACCGGATAATTCTAGATGAAGCACAGGTAATTAAAAATAGACACACTTTGTCAGCTTTAAGTTGTTGTAAACTTGAAGCTACTTATCGTTGGTGTTTGAGTGGAACGCCAATGCAGGTATAATTTTCAAACATTTAGTTTTGGTTCTAAACATCTATAAGAATTCGATAGACGAGCTTTATTCTTTAATGCGTTTTTTACGCATTAGACCATATGATGATTGGTCTACATTTTCAGATCATTTTTCTAGACATTTTAATAGATATTCATCATCTTCAAGCATTAAAGAATGCATGAGAAAACTGCAAGTATTATTAAAAGCTACCCTTTTAAGAAGAACAAAATTTTCAACAATCAATGGTAAACCTCTTTTAAAATTACTTCCTAAAAACATGGAATTAGTTCATGTTGTATTCAGTAATGAAGAATTAGTATTTTATAAAAAGCTTGAAGAGCATTCACAATTACAAATGAGTCAATACGTAAATGAAAATGTTATTGGTTCTCATTATACAAATTTACTTGTTCTTCTATTACGTCTTCGTCAAGCATGTGATCATCGTTGGTTAGTTAGAATAGAAGAATCTATTGAAATGTCAGAGACTGATTTCTCAAATCAAAAAAGTCTTGCTCTTAAAATATTTCCACAGCAAGTTGAAAATATTCGGAGACTTAAGGATTTTGAATGTCACGTATGTTATGAAATTATTTTATCGCCAAATTTTATTGTACCATGTGGGCATTATTATTGTAGGGATTGTATTTTCAAAGTAATAGAGCAAAATCAAAAAATGGCTATTATGAATGGGGACATTACATCAGATGCACGGTGTCCAGAATGTAGATGTTTATTTAATTTAAAGAAAATTGTCGATTTTTCTGTATTTCGAAAAGTTTATAGTTGGAATTATGAATCTAGTTTTACTCAAGAACAGAAAGAAATTTCCGATGAAGAAACAGATGAAGATCTTACAGTTATAAAAGATAAAGGTAAACAAAAAGCCGTTCTCTGTGATAATAGAAGTGCTATTAATAACTTGGATACAAAATTAGCATGGAAGAAAATATTTGATCATAAAGTTACTAAACAAACAAGAAATAAATTTCAAGAAAAATTAAAAAATAAAAACTTTGAATCATCTGCAAAAATTAACAAATGTATTGAAATATTAGATAAAATAAAACATGAAAATAATTTAGAAAAAACAATTGTTTTTTCTCAGTTTGTGGAATTTTTAGATTTATTAGAAATTCCTCTTTTTTTAAAAGGATATAAAGTACTGCGCTATGATGGACGTATGAGTGCAACTCACAGAGATGAATCGCTTCTTAAATTTGATCAAGATCCAACACAAACAGTCATGTTAATATCTCTTAAAGCAGGAAATGCAGGGTTGAATTTAACATCAGCATCACAGTAAATATAGATAATCCATTTATTTCTAATAGTATTAATATATTATAGATGCATCTTGCTTGATCCATTTTGGAATCCATTTGTAGAGGAGCAAGCTATCAATAGAATCCATAGAATAGGACAAACAAGACCCGTTCAAGTATATAAATTAATAGTCGAAGGAACAGTAGAACAAAGAGTTTTGGATCTTCAAAAACGGAAACGAGATTTAGTATGTTTCTTCTTTTCTATTTCTATCACTTTAATTATAAAAAATAGATAGAAAATGCATTGGAAGAAAATGCAAGCATGCAAATTAGTAGATTAAATAAACAAGAACTATCTTTTCTATTTGGTCTTCAAAATAATTAATAATTAATCAATTTTTTCTTCAATTTCAAATTTAATATTGATATATAAACTAAAACAATCATGGTATTTTATACTATATAACATATAAAATATTTTTACTATAAATATCTATTTTATTAATTAAACAGCATTTATATCTTTTGCCGCATATTCATACATTATTAGGAAAAATCATATGAAAAGAAACATTTGCGTTTTTTGTAAGGTTTGTTTTTATTATTTTATATAAGATACAACACACAATATTAATTTTGTACATTTTAACTATCGAAAAACATACTCATTTATTTATATACTTTCTTAATAAATATTATCTAAGTTAAATACAAATACCTTTAAATCATAGTTTTTATAGATGTTGGACTCGATCGTACACGCGAGTTTTTCGACACAAGATTTGCCTATAAAATTTTTCATCGACGGGAACGTTCAACGACGCGATTTATTGCTTTAGAAATAAAAAAGATATTAAATAAGGAAGTCTGTTGTGGTTTTTAAGTATTTAAGTGTTTTCTGAACTGTGTTTTCTTTTTACGTTTTTTTTTTGGGAAAAATTGTCTGAATTTTGGGTCAAATCGCAATAAATTTAAGTAAGATTCAATTATTTATATAAAAACAAATTTTTAAGAAGAGATTAAGAGGATTTAGAGCATTGTTAGAGTAAATAATGTCTTTTAATTACGATTATGGCAAAGGGAGTGCATCTGCTGCCTCTGTATCAGCAGCACAAAATCAAAATAACCAGATCGTAGCTCCATCTGCAAATGCATCATCACCTACCTTCCAGACAACAAATACAACTGTACAGAATGTTAATAACAATCAAATTCCTTCCTCACAGTCTCCATTGCAAGGGGAAAATAAGACAGCACTTTGGTATGTTCTTTTACGCTCTATTTTGAATTTTAGATATTAATGGGTATAGGATGGGTGAGCTTGAGCCTTGGGTAGACGAGGCATTTATTCGTCAAGTATGGTTTAATCTTGGAGAGCAAGTTAATGTAAAAATGATCCGTGATAAGTTTTCTGGGTATGCATCGTTTTTATTTTGTACATGTTTAATCGTGTTAGTTCGAATGCTGGTTATTGTTTTGTTGATTTTTCAAGCACTGCAGCTGCTTCAAAAGCTCTTTCTTTAAATGGAACTATTATTCCGGGAACAACCCGGTTATTTAAGCTTAATTGGGCATCAGGTGGTGGCCTTACAGATAGGAAGTATGAAGTTGTTGATTTTGCTCTTAAAATATTTATATATTTCAGAGATGATCGAGAGCCTGAGTTTTCAATTTTTGTTGGTGATTTAGGTCCTGAAGTTAATGAATATTTGCTTGTTTCTCTTTTTCAAAGTCGTTATCCTTCGTGTAAATCGGCAAAAATTATGACAGATCTTGTGTCCGGAATGTCAAGAGGTCAGAAACAGGGTTTTATATGTATTTAAAATTAACTTTGTTTAGGTTATGGTTTTGTTCGATTTTCAGATGAAGTGGATCAACGGCGAGCTCTTACTGAAATGCAGGGTGTATATTGTGGGAGCCGTCCTATACGGATTTCTACAGCAACACCTAAAAATAAGCCAGGAATGAGTCATATTAATATGATGCATATGGGTATGTCTCCTTTAGGGTATTATGGAGCACCCCAACCTATGAATCAGTTTACTGATCCTAATAATACTACTGTTTTTGTTGGCGGTCTTTCAAGTTTTGTTACAGAAGATGAATTACGAAGTTTTTTTCAAGGTTTTGGTGAAATTACGTATGTAAAAATCCCTCCTGGTAAAGGTTGCGGTTTTGTGCAATTTGTTCAACGGCATGCAGCAGAAATGGCTATTAGTCAAATGCAAGGATATCCAATTGGAAATTCTAGAGTTCGGCTTTCATGGGGAAGAAGTCAAAATAATTCTGGCCCTATAGGTACTCCGTACAGGTATGTTTTCTTTTTATATACATGTTCTTATTTTGTTTAAATAGGCCTGCACCACCTCCACCCGTCCCTTATGCATCTATGGGACTTCCACCTCAACATGCTTATTCTAGTTTTGCACCTCTTAATCCTAACGCTGCACATATGCATCCACCACAACAATCAGGTCAGCCTTTACCCGCACAACCGGGGCAGTTGTCTGGATCACGAAATCCCATGGATCCTATCCCAGTAGCTTTATTAAATGAATTATATTCAGCAACACGAAATGCACGACTCGATAGACTGGAAGCTGACCGAAGTAGCTTCCATGGCGTCTATGCTCAGTAGTTTTGTTTATGATTTATTCACAAACAATAGACGTCTGGTTTTTGTTTACTATATGGTTTTCTTTGCTCTTGTTTTGATTAAGGATAAGGAAAATAAATATGACTTCGATATTTGTTATTATTCTTGGATATTTAGTTCAAATTCTTTTGTTTTTATATTATCTTAGAACTTGTATTTTGATTTCTTTGAAAGATTTATATACGATTTTCCTAAAATATGTATATATGACTTTATGTATACATATTCATACATTTTATTTGTGTATACGTATTTATATATTTTATTTATATCTATTAAAACTACTTTATTTCTTTTTTACCTATTTTTTATTTGTCTTAATATTCTAATTTTTTTGTTTGTCGATAAGCGCGTTTTCAAACCAAAATTACGACATTTAGAAAAATTATATTACAAAATACTGTAAAATTGAATCAATATTTACAAGAAATACGTTTAAAAACTCTTTTTTTCTTTTAATGATCAGTAATGCGTTATGCGGACTTTGATTGTTTGATTTTTCCTTTGAACCGAGGTGTTCCAATGCCAGAATTTCGAACATCTTTTTGTTTAACACATGATCCTGACCATATAACTGCTTTAAATCACCAGAAAAAAACTTTAAATTCTCATGGAAGTGGTAATACGTCAATGATTGAACCAAATATTAATATATTTGACACTTATACGACTTTAACACTTCCAACAGTGACAACGTATATTTCTTCTCTTCCACCAACTGATCCAATCAAAATATCTTTGCATTCATGGACGCTTCCACATATATCTAGAGCAATGGCGTCAATGCCACCAAAGCCTGAGGAAAATGTAGCATATATACCTATGTTTGAAGCTCGTGTCTATGTTGATGGAATACCTATTACATATCAGTTGATGTTGCCGCATTCAAAGTGGCCTGTTGTCATTGACAGTTATAATGGTATATAAAGATTGTGTTATTTTTTATTATTTATCTTTCTTAGATCATAACAATACATCTCAAAGATTTTATTTTCCAAATCATAAACTAGAAAATATTTCAAGTCTTACAAGCTATGCTGTACCGCCTGACTTTTCTTCTATAAAATTAATTTTGTCTGAAGGATGGCTGCAGACTCGTGAAAACATGCGTCCGTTGTTTAAACGTGTTCGTAATATTGTTTGTTTTATGTTTCAATATGCAGAACCTGGTACCCACATTAAAATCTCGAATATTTTTTAATTTCGTTTAGAACTATTAGAGGCATCAGGTATTTCATATCCTTCGTTTCGTCCTGTCAACAGTTATATGCTTTCTTGCTTTTCAGCCAATTCTTATGTGGGCTTTCAACCAAATGATATCCCTCTTCCGCTTTCCAACGACAATTCTCCACATAGTTCTCTTTCTGATACAAATATTCAGATGACAAATACTTTAGATGACCGAATTGAAGAAGTTGTTCAGCTAAATACCTTATCTACATCATTTGATCTTAACAAGTCTCAATTTACTATGCCGCTAAATACACAAGGATTTCCTGAATCATTTCAAGAGTCTTCGTTACCAATAATTCAAGTTGATTCTAGCTCATCTTATAATCTTTATCCATCATTCATTCATCCTCAAAAAGATACATTATTAGATACGGAGCCAGAAACTAATAAAGAGAATGTTTCTTCTCTACGGAGGTCTCCACGTAAAACTTTTGCTCCTCGTGATTCAGCAATTACAAAAAGTCCAAGTAAATCAAAAAAAGATTCTAAAACAAAACGCACAGAATTTCTCAAAGAAATACAAGTTCAAGATATGATTTCCAATTAATTCTTAATTAAAAAATCCAATAACTAAATGCATTGATTAACTATATAACTTATAACTTATATCTTTAATACTTTATTTATACATAATTTAAAATTGTTTTATGCTTGCTTTCTTATCATACTTTATTTTTTATCGACTCGCTAAAATTAAGCTCCACAACGAAGAAATCAATGATTCATGGAACATTGGTTAAGGAACAAACTAAATCAAAACGTTTAAATGGCATTGATAAGGAATCTTTACGTGAAATAGAAGCTCTTTTATTAGCTGTTCCTAATCTTGAAGAACAATATCATGTTCTCAAGTTGATTGGTTATGGTAAATTTTTTCTTTAAAAAAGCATTACTTAATAACAAAATAGGCACATTTAGCTGTGTTTTTAAAGCAATTGATCTCAGATATCATGAATATGATAATTCTTCATGGGAAAATAAACTAGGTGCATTACGTTATTGTACTAGATTATCGGTTCAACAAACTCGTTATGTGGCTATTAAGCGAATATATGTTACTCAATCAATGCATAGAATTATTAAAGAGCTTAAAATTCTTGAGCAGTTGAAGTATAAATGATTTAAAATATCTATAGTATTAATTTGAAATAGAGGTAAACCATCGGTAACATGTGTTATTACAGCTTTTAGACATCAAGGTACAAATTTTACATATTAGCGAAGTTTTTCAATCTTTTTATAGACCAGGTTCTGATTATTTTGCCGTACATTATGCATGCGGATTTTAAAGAGTTTTATCTCGGTTATACACTTAAAGATGTTTCTATTTACATTAAGGAATTATTTCGTGCATTAAATTCTATTCATGAACTATCAATTATTCATCGAGACATTAAACCAGCTAATTTTTGTTGGAATCCGTTTTCTAGAAAAGGATCACTTGTCGATTTTGGACTAGCACAAGTAATATATGGTTTCCTTTTATTAATTGAATGATTTAGATATTTTAGTGGGAAAAAGAATTTGATATGTCATGTACCTGTAGTAAAAAGTGTTTAGAAAATTCTAGTTTTTTTAATAAAGGAAGTATGGAGTCTTTTATGTTATTGGAACCAAATAATGCATATATTAAAAAAGATTTAAGGTATATAATTGTAATTGGATATTTTTAATAAGTATTAGACCATCTAAAAAGGGTGAAAGAGGAGGAACAAGAGGATTTAGAGCACCAGAGGTTCTTTTTCGCTGCAAAAGTCAGCGTTGTGGTAATATTTTGTTATATCGTTTTATGATTTAAATATTTATGACTGATAAGCAATTGATGTTTGGTCTGCTGGAATTATTCTTTTGGTTTTTTTTATTAAGAGATTTCCTCTTTTTCAGAGCGATAATGATATTAATGCTCTTGTTGAACTAACACATATCTTTGGACGAATAGAAATGAAGAAATGTGCACAATTACATAGTATGCTATATATATTAATCAAATAGTAATATTTAATATTAAAATGTTATAGATTGCTCTTTTCATGATAATATTCCTTCAATATCTGACTCAAGAATTTCATGGTGGCAGTTGATAAAAATATTTTCGATTAATGATAGTTATTCAATATTTGATGGCGAAGATGAATCTGTTATTAAATTTGCATTAGATTTTTTAGAAAAATGTTTAATGTTAAATCCTTCAGAAAGAATTCAGTCTAAAGCAGCATTAGAGCACCCTTTTTTGAACTTGGTTTAAAATTAATATATTTTTGGAGTTTTTAGCTTTACATTTATATACTAACATAAATTATACACAGATATATATTTATTCATAAAAATACATGATATTATCATTTATAAATTATATTGGAACAATATGCGCTCCTAAACTTCCACTTCCTCCCCAATTTTTTTGAGGAATTAAAGTAAGGTTAATATTTATTTCTTTTGACTCTTCTTTTCGTACAATCTGCAATGGTATTTCTTTCTAAGGTAAAAGTTAAAAATTATTCTTTATTAGAACAGTGGTTAACATTATCTGACATTTCTACAAGTTGCACTAATGATGATAATCCTTGATGATTCTCTGCGTGAATAGTACCAAATCGTTTAATCAAATCTCCTGTAATAAAATATATTAATTTATTTACATTAATAATAAAAATGTCTTACCTTCTTGAAGCCCTGCAAGAGCAGCTGGTGATTGGTGAATTATATAATTTACTCGTGCAAAAGGTCGCTCGATAGTATTTTCAATAGCAGTTTGAGTGGTATCTTGAGGATTATGTTTATGTAAAGTATGCAAAGCTACTTGTATATTGTTTGTTAATGCATGATAATCATTTTTAAGCCTGTTAATACGTGCTCTTGCAATACGTACTGAAAAATATTTAATGAAAAGAAGAATATTGCAAACTAGAAAGACCTGAAACAACGTCTATATCAGAACGTGGAAAGCCATCTTCATCAATTAATGGTGTTTCCATATTAACATTATGCTTTAATATATTAATATTTGGTCATTTGGCGAAAAAGATACCTGAAGTAACACATCACTAAGAGATTGTAACTCTTGTTTAATTTCATCTAGACGTTTAAAAATATCTTTAAGATGGCTATTAATACTTTCTGTGTCTTCAACACTCTGGTCAGATGCTTGTGAATTTACAGGAATACCCATGAAACAATATTGTGTAAAAATATTTTTTAATACGATAAAATGTATAAAAAATACAAGATTATATACAAGTAGGACATAATATTAGTTTATAATGAGTATGAATTACCATTCATCAGGGCATCCTTCATTAGTCAAAAAGTCTAGCATGTATTCGTCAATATGTCTAGGTTCAGGTGGTTCAGGTAATGAATAATTATAATGCTGCGTTGTATTTTCATGTGGTAATATATGTTGGTTCTGGCTTGTGTCAATAAGATCTTGATTTTGTATAATTTCTGATTTATTTTCAATAGAATTATAGTCGGAAATTGTTACAGAGCGTTCAGCAAAGTCAATAGCATCAATATCCATTTCATTTTTTGCAACTCTTGCAGCAGCAGCATCATTTTCTTCTTCTGCTGCCATTAACATAGATTCTAATTTTTTTTCGCTGAGTGAAGTGTCGTCTGACTTAATATTTGCATCAATAAGATCACGCCAATTAATTTTGCTCAAATGGTCAGTGGTAAAATATCCTTCTCCAATAACAACATTATTTAGCATTCGTTTTTGATTTGCTTTTAATAACATGTTTTCTTCAATTGTATATTCAGAAACGAAACGATAGATATGTACATCTTGTGTCTGCCCAATACGATGACATCTACACTAGTGAGTTAAATATTAATAAAAGTTAAATAAGGTTACCTGTCTTGACATTGTTTATCCATAGATGGGTTCCAATCAGAATCATAAAAAATTACAGTATCTGCACCTGTTAAATTAATACCTAAACCACCGCTTCTTGTGCTTAAAATAAAAACAAATATTCGAGGATCATTATTAAATCTTTCTGTTAAAATTTGACGCTGTTCAATCTTAGTAGCACCGTCTAATCTTAAATATTTATAACCATGAATATTCAAAAATTGCTCTAAAATATCTAATACGCGTGTCATTTGTGTAAAAATAAGTGCTCTATGATTTCCTGCTTGAAGTTCACGAAGAAGGACAACAAGTCTTTGCAATTTCCCACAATCGTATTGAAGAAGCCTTTTGTCAGGAAACGCAATAGATAGTCTAACTTGCATTGGATGAAGAATATTCGTATATGTTTGTTGAAGTAAATTTAACTGAGATTGTTGAATTTTGGAAAATAAGAATGAATTTAAATCAGTAGCAACAACTGTAGGAGTAACGCATGAATATTTTTGTAATAATGTTTCCATAGAATTTATCCTTCGTTCAAGATCGAGTATGGCATCTGATAAAAACGTATTAGTCTTCCAAAAAAGATTCATAATATCTTTAGGTTTAATTTTTTTTTTCATAGTTGATATTTTAGTAGTTGAAATAGAACAAAACTTAATCAAACCAATTCCATATATTGGATATGACTGACATCGCATATAATTAAGGTAGCTATAATGCTTAATTTTTTGGAGTTTTGAAATTCTTGTTCTTTGAATAGTATAATTTTTGTATTCTTTGAAATTATTATAATTTTCTGAAATTGAATAGTCAATAGTAGATTCTAAAAATTCTATGTCTTTTGATATTTCATTATTTGCGCAAAGCAGTTGTACCTCATCCATCATTATACGTGATTTATTTTCATTTTTAACAATAATAAGATTTAAAAAGTCCAGGTTTAGATTGTAAAATTGATTCTTATTTAAATGCTTTAAAATAAGAAAATTTTTAATTTCAAAATCAGCAACAACTGAGCGTGACATAGAAAACGATGTAACAATAGGACGAATTTCAAATAGATCAGGATGATTGCATACTTTTCTTAATTGCATTAAACAATTAATAATACTAAGAAAATTTCCTGATGCTAAAGTTTCTTTTGTTTTTGCTCTTGACATAAAATCATCATAAAGATAACGTTGCCGTTTAGATAAACGACAATAAATTATATGTTCATATTTTTTAGGCATTTGTTTTTCAACGTCTGCTTTTAATCGGCGTAAAAGATATGGCCGTAGAAGCTGATGAAGCTTGGATACTTGATTCTGAACATCACTATCGACAACTTTACTATTATTCTCAATCATTTTGTCAATTGGTTTTGAAAACCATTCCTGGAAATCTTTTAAATTAGCAAAATCAATAGGCATTGATTCTGACAGTCCATGTGGCATTAAAAAGTATAAAAGAGACCATAACTCAATAAGATTATTTTGTAAGGGAGTACCTGTTAATAAGAGTCTTCTTTCTGTATTAAAATTTAATAACACTTTCCATCTTTGAGAACGAAAATTTTTAATATTATGAGCTTCATCTAATATTAAATAATGCCACTTTTTTCTACGAAAAGGCTGTTGATCATGAATAACAAGCTGATATGATGTAATGCATACATGAAATGTATCTGGTTTATACCATCCTTTTCTTTTATTTTTACGCTGATTTAAATTACCATAATATGTCAAAATCTTGAATCCAGGTGCAAATTTACTAAATTCCATTTCCCAATTCAATATAACACTTGTTGGTACTACTATGAGATGTGGACCCCAAATACCTTTTTCACAAGCCAAATAAGATAATAATGCAATAGTTTGAATAGTTTTTCTAAAAAAAAATGTTAAAAGGTTGAATGAATTAAAAATAATTACCCTAATCCCATTTCATCTGCTAAAATTCCATTAACTGAATTTGAATAAAGTCCAACTAGCCATTCTAGTCCTGAATATTGATATTCACGAAGCGTTCCACGAAGTAAAAACGGAATAAGAATACTACGTTGAGATGTTTTATCATTAGAAATAGCTTCATTATCTAATTTGTTTTTATTTTCTATATGTAAATCTGTTACTTCTGTTTCAACTTGATCATTTAATTTTTCTTGATTATCATCATATTTTTCAATATCTGAGTTTTCACTATTAACTAAATTATCAACATAAGATTCTTCACTATCCATTGAGCTAGAAGGAATATTTGTTTGAATTTTTTCATCTCTATAAAGAAAAGCTAGACCAGGTCCATCATCTTCACTACTGTCATATTCGCTATCCTCATCATATTCTGAATCTATAGTACCATCTGTTTCACTACTTTCACCTACTTCTTGACTTTTATTAAAATCTTTTTCGCTAGAAATTTCATCACTTTTATCTTGAATATTTTTTGTAGGAGATATTGTATCTTCATCCATATCTAATGATCCTGTATCTGAATCTGTATGAGTTTCATCAAAATCATTATTTATAGAATTATATGAATAATCTTCCAATTGATTAGAAACAATAGAATAATCTTTTTCGCTACTATAATCCATCCCATTTTTATTATATTTATAACCATTTATATTGGAATTTTTTATTTCAATGTTTTTTGTTTTTAATTTTTTGAAATCAGGAATTTGTTTAATACCATCTTTTTGAGCTTCAAGAAGTTGAGCAGAATGTTCTAAAATTTTATTTAAATGAAGTTTTCCTACTTCCCTTTGTTCTTCTTGTAATTTTTCATTCCTTCTTCTTCGAACTTCCTATTATAAATTAATATAAAGTTAAAAATAAAATATAAGAAAACCTTTTCTATAAATTTCCATTTTTTCTTAATTTCTAACGATGTCTTTTTAGCTAATTGTCGTATTCTTTTTTCAGCTTCTTTCTTTTCTTTTTCATCTGCACCTGAAAGTTTTTTAAAGTACGATATTATCATTCCAGATATTTTTTTAGCTCTAGACATACTAGTCCTTCTTTCATTAGCAACAAGTTTAGAAAAATTAATAGCATGAGAAATAAGATGATCTAAATGATCAGATGTACGAATTGGCTCGATTGATTTTTTAATGATCAAAGATGGTAATTTAGACAAGGATCCATTTAATTTTGCTGATTCGATTTTATTAAGAAGCTCTGCTTCTAGCTTAGCCAATATAGGAGCTTTATCAATAGGAATTTCTTCGTTATTAAGAATCAAAAACGATGACATATAATCCGCAAGAGAATCGTATTTTTTTACTAATAAAACATGGAATGGATGTGTAATGATAGGAGAAGGTACTTTGATTTTAATTTTAAGAGTTGGTCGATGATAACAAGGGTCTGAGATTATTAGTTTTATCAACAAGAGAACATTAAAATAAACCCTCTATATCTATAGAATCTAAAATTATTTCACTTTTAGAATCCATTGATAAATCACTCCTTGATGATCCTTCTTTCAAGCTTTCTGAATCTTCGCCATTGTACTTATTAAGCTTTGAATAAATGTTGGATACAGGAGAAGAATGGTTATCTACAAGTTCTGTGTGTTTTAAGTGTGTATTAATTGAATTCCCTGTAAATAAAACAGGACAATCTATTTTATTTTTTTCAACAATAGACATAAGATCATATTGTTTGTAAAACTATAGAAATAATGAATTAAATACTTTACAATTAAATATTATAACCTGTATAAATTCGTTGCTTTTATCATGTTTAGCAACTTGAGGATCATAATCAAGAAGTGTTGTATAATTTTCTAAATGAAATAACTGACGAATTCTGTCATCTTGATTATTATAAATTCTTTTTAATTTTTCTTGACATTCCATAATTATACGTTCATGAAATCCTATAGTATGTGACCAACCAGCACATCTTTTTTTATTGTTGTTTTCATAGACATTTGTTCTCCGGCGCTTTGTTGTTGACATAATTAAAATATTGCTCAATAGCTATTGTCTATGTAGATTTATATAACATCTTTCGTTTTTACACTTTTTTTATTTTCTTATTATTTTTTTCTATTTCTTCATTTCTAATTTGTTTTTAAATATTTTTTAATAAAATTTCAAAACTATTCTTTTCAATTTCAATACTTAATAAATAAATTTATGATAAGCTTTTGTTAAATTATTTCATCATTTAAGTTTTTGAACGATTAACGTTTTGAAATTTAAACGTAAAAATAAAAGTTTTTAAAATAGTTAAAAAATATCCTACATTTTATAAAAAGAATATGCTTTTTAGACAAACATCTTTTCGATTATCTAGATTTTTTCCATTACAAAGGCATTTCAGTTTACATTACAATCAACTAGGACTAGCATTAATTCATTATAAAAAGGAAGATCCTATGATAGGTGATTATCCTTCAAATGTCCCATTCATAAATCGTCAAACTAGGACTCCTTATGATTCTAATTATTTTGATGTTACTGAAAGACGTAAATTTGGTGAACCTGTTAGTTTTTTTTTTGTTTTTTAATTAGTTCTAACTAAAAATAGCTACATGAACAAGATGAAATTCTTGGTATGTTTTCACCTGACGTGCATTCCTACACTACTCCATCTAAAGCATTACTTCACTTGTTTACTTTTGGATTTGTTGTTGCTACTTTTTGTTCAATTGCATATGCTTTACAACCTAAACCAGTCGCTGTACCTCGTGAAAGTCTTATAAAGAAGTTAGAAAGGCCTTCTAATGTCTTGGATGATTCAAATGCCTCTTAGTTATTTAATTTATATTTTTAGAGTCATGAGGGTTACTTAAAGTAAAACATTTTTTCTTGCTTATTATAAATATAAGGAATTACTGTTGTTTCATTTTTTCTTGTTTCAGGAAAACAGAGTATATAGTCTATTTGTGGTATTTATTAGGAGCATATGATTTGTTGAAAAAATCATACATTGTTGCTGTTGTTTAAATCTAGCGTTATCAATAAAAAAGAACAAATTATCGGTTTTTGTTAGATATTATGTTGGATATTATTAGAGTCAATCTATAGGATGTTTAATATATTTTTGACTAATATTTAATTTTTCACCAGATCTTTATTTATAATGAGTGTTGTTTCTTATTCTATATAATAATTATACATGTTATTTTTAAATAATGATATAACATATTTAGAATGTATTTTTAACTAGAGGGCTATTTTTATATTACTATTTATATAAAATGGTTGTCTTTATTTTGTATATTTTTTAAAAGTTGTTAATATTTACTATAAGAAATAAAAATTTCAAAAAAGCTTAAACTTTTTAAAAAAAAGTTTAATCTTAATAATTAATCATATTTATTTCGTTTAATTTTGACTTATTTGATACTTTTTAGCTCAAATTTAACGATAAAAAATCTATGAAAATAATTTAAAAAATATTATAAAATACTCTTAATTCTTATTATTAAATATCTATAATATGTAGTTAGGATTATGACAGATAATTCAGAGTTTTCTACAGATGTCTCAAACGAATGTTTTGATAACAATGACTCAATAGATATCAGTAAAATTAAAGAAATAGAGTTATATAAAGACTCAGGAAATTATGAAGATTTAATTAAGTGAGTTTTTATAAAACATGTATTCCCATTTAAAAAAAATAGAACTATTATAGAAAAGCAAAAAAAATTATCTGGTATTTATTAAAAATTAGAAAAAAATTATTAATATTAAATATAGTCATTCTCAATGAAATAGATGATGTAAAAAGTGAATATGAAAAATTATATAATGAGAAACAAACAACACAAGAATATATTGCAAATTTAATGAAAATTTATAATAAATCGGCCAAAAAATAGTAGATTCACTCTATTGTAGATTTAAATATAGACTATTATATTTAGGCTTTTAAGAATTATATATAAGTGATAGTTTTAGGTATAATTAAGCTTCTAAAGGAGGAAGCTCTTCATCAATTACTCGAATCTATTTTACAATGAATAACATAGTGATAAAAATATATAAAAATTATACTAAAATAACCCGCATTTCTGTATGATCATTTCCTCGCAATACATCACTAACAAAATGTGCTTCAACTTGGAGTTGTATCTATATAATTAAGTAAATATGGTTTATTTTTGAAAATATAAAAAACCATTTCTAATGCTCCTTTAAGTACACCACATAAAATGTTTGAATACCAGAGCTCATCTTGTGCTCTACCATCATCTGGGAGTTCTACAAAATCCGCAAGTGGATTTTCATCAAAAATTAAAGAAAATTGTTTATTATCAGGAGAAAAGTTTGCGACTGTTGGTGTGATATTAAGAAAAAGTTTAAATCCAATCTAATAAACAATTTAAAGTTTTTCTTAAATTGCAAATAAGTTGTTAATACTTTTGCAATTACTTCTGCTGTTTCACAAAAATCTTTACATCTGCCTATATTTGTTCGTGCTAAAAAATCTTCAATTAATCTCACACCAATATTATATCCCCTATAATTTTTTAATTTGATTAAGAATAATTAAAAGGAATACATTTTATCAAGTTCTTTATTTACTTGAGCATAATCATCATATTCTTTACATAATTGTGCAACAATTGATCCATACGTCAAAACAAATAGCTCAGCATTCTATATTAATAACTATTATTAGCTTATTGATTTGTTTTTTTAAAAAAAAGAATATACATACAACTTTCTCTGATTTTTTCCAGAATTCATCTCCTAGCTTTGTTTTTGACATATTTAAATACTTTTTTTATTTTTCTTACCGTTTTTTAGTTTCTTGAACGTATAATTCTAACATATTAATAAAATATTCTAAATAAAATATTATTTTAAAAAACAAAAAAATTGTAAGGAATCCATTAGATTATATATATACTTAGTATTCTTTTTTAGTTTTGCCTAAAATAAAGTTTATTTTGGAGACTTTTGATATTTAATTGAGTATTGATTTTAAGAAAATAGTGCAATGGATAAACGTAAAGAAGTCTCAGATGGCGAAAAAGAAGAAAAAATGCTTGTAAAAAGGATAAAAGGGGGATCAGAGATCATTCCAAAGGGTCAAGATAAGCAAAATGCACTTGTTGAAATGTTACCAAGAACATCTGGGTTAAAAGCACCAATTATGCAATTAACAGGTCATCAGGTAAATGATAAAAATATTCTACTATAAAATGAGAAATAACTATTCATAGGGAGAAATATTTGCAAGCAAGTTTGATTTAACTGGACAACATATTGCATCTGGTTCTTTTGATCAGTTAATTTGTGAGTTTTGGTGTTTAAATGTTGTTTCCTGTTGATTATTTTAATGCAATAGTATTATGGAATACGTATGGAGATTGTTCGAATTATGGGCAATTGAAAGGTCACAAGAAAGCTGTTTTAGATTTACAGTGGAGTCGTGATTCTCGAGTAATTTATTCTGCAAGCGCAGATTGTACTGTAGGAACGTGGGATTCGGAAACGGGTCAACGTATACGAAAACATACTGGGCATGAAGATATTGTTAATTGTGTTGCAACAATGCGACGGGGCACAGAGTTTTTGGCTACGGGTAGTGATGATGCAACAGTATCTGTAAGAAAAATCTTTTTTGATGCAGACTTGCTAATATCGGGAGCTTTGGGATGGAAGGCAGAAATTTGCAGTAGACTATTTTGACACAACGTATCCCGTAACTGCTGTTGCTTTAAATGAAGAAGGAAATCAGTTATTTTCAGGTGGACTCGATAACGATATCAAGGCAAATATTAACATAAATTTATATTAATTAATATAATCATAGGTCTGGGATCTTCGAAAAAAATCTATTCTTTATAAAATGATAGGTCATGCTGATACCATTACTTCATTAAATGTTTCTCCTGATGGTACTTTGCTTTTATCAAATTCAATGGATAATACAGGCAAAATTCTTATATAAAATTCGATATCTTTTAACTTTTTTGCAGTCAGAATTTTTGACATTCGTCCATACGTTTCTTCTAGCCGACAAATCAAATTATTGAAAGGTGCGCTTCATGGTATTGAAAAAAATTTGATTCGTGCTGCCTGGAGCAGCGATGGTTTGCGAGTTGCTGCTGGTTCTGCCGATCGAACCGTCATTGTATGGGATGTCCCTACCGGAAAACTTACTTACAAACTTCCTGGTCATAAAGCTTGCGTCAATGCTGTTGATTTTCATCGACTCGAACCCATTCTCATGTCTGCCTCTTCCGACCGTTCTATATTTCTCGGTGAACTTTCTCAATAACTCTTCCTCCTTTCTTCTTTACCTCAAAATCTTCTTTTTCTTTTTCTAACTTTCCTTTTTCTTGTATTTTTTTTCCCTTCTTATACACTACTTGTCTCCCAATTCATGAATTGACCGCTGTCGAGCAAGCACCGCACTCGTCTGCAGCGTGCAAATATTAATAAATTTTGCACTTTAAAAGAGCCTCTATCCGTCTTGATACCGCTAATATAGGTTGAGTAGTGACTGGGTAAGGCACTTCTATGAGCTAATAGTGTGTTTATGTGATTAGATATGAGTGAAAAATGGGGAGAGGCGCGCGGAGCACAAATCTTATTAAACAGCTATATCTATGATTATATGTTAAAAAATGCATGGGGAGCAGCAGCACGGGCATTTATTGAAGTAGCAGAAGTGCCTTTATCAGGAGAACATCGACCAGTAAACAAGGAAGAGTTCCGGCAATTAGATGGAATGGATGGTCTTAGTGGAGGCGATAAAGAGTTTTGTGTATCGAGTAATGAATCAAAAATAGATGGAACAGCACATATTGGAACAGGAATGCATAGTTCATTATCAGTTGTTAAGTCTGAGTCATCAATACATGGAACTGAGTCAGAAGCAAGCGGAACATATACCGAATTACTTCAGCCAGCAGTGATTCCAGTAGATACGCCGGGGGGATTTTTGTTGGAATGGTGGACCGTTTTTTGGGATATTTTTAATGCAAGGTCTGGAAAGGGGGGCTCAGATGCAGCTACGGCATATTTTGCACATGTACAGGTATGTCGTTATCTGTAGGAAGTAAGCGGTTAATGAGTTTTTTTGCAGAAGATGAAACATGAACAACAGAGAGCGATTGCATCTATGGGGCAACCACATATTGTTATGATTAATCAGCAGCCTAACGGGGCGGCTTTTAATCCAGCTTTGATGCGTACATTTGATATACCGAACGGAATGATGAATGTCTCGGGGCCTTCGGATGCAACGGCACAGGCCATGGATGCACAAATTATTGGAACTATTCCGCTAAATGAAAAAGTATATTACATTTTTTGTGGCATTTGTTTATTAATTGTTTTTTTGACAGACTCGACAAGCATTGATGCGGCAAGCAATGAATAATAATATTCGGCGATTTTCTCCGTATTATCACCTTGTATTGTTTTTCCACATCTAATCTTTTTACTACAGAACTGTTGCTCAAATTCAACAATTAAAGAATCAACAATTTTTGCAAAATCAGCAACAGTCACCTGTACCGCAATCACAAAGGAATCAGGTATTGTTTTAAAAAACTTTTACATGTATATAATTACTATGTGTCTAGCGTGACCTCGAAGCTGATTTGAATGGACAAACTCAGTCTTCTCGATCTCCTGCACTTTCTAATCAGGTTCTTTCGCCTTCGAAGCGCCAAAAATTATCTCCAGATGGATCATATGCTCCGCTTCAGGGTTTATAGACTATTTTGCATGTATTTATATATTGATGTTTTATAAAGGAGCGATTCAAGCACGTCCACAAATGATTCAAAATAATCTTGCAGCACCACCACCGACTCTTCAAACTCAACAAGCGAAACAAATGTTATTGAATTCCGGAATTAATCCATTGAGTCTTGCTCAACAGGTTATACCGGGTATTTTTATTTGGATTATTTGATATTTTATAGCAATTCGCTGCGTTTCAATCTCAGGTGCCTTCTATACAACAAAGACAATTACAAGAATACACTCAGAGTCTTACTAATCAACAACAAAGGGTTGTAAATATTGCTAAAGGACAAGTTTCGAATCAAAGCGGTTCAATGATAACAGGCGATGGAAACGAGATAGGTCCTAATGATTTTTACGAGAATATATTATCATCGCAACAAAATTGTACGACGAATCCGAACAATCATGTTCTTCAAGATTATCAAATGCAGCTTATGTTCCTCGAACAGCAGAATAAAAAACGCCTTATGATGACACATCAAGATCAAGAACGATTACAGTCACAGGACTCTTCTTTTCAAATTTTATCCCCTCAAGGACTCAGAAATGCAGTATCCCCCGAAAACGCTCATAATGATCCTAAACGCGTTATGCAGAAAATGACACATCAGAATGGATCTAGTTCGCCTGCCGATGGACAACTCACTCAACAAACTAATTCTTCCCGGAATGCTTCGCCTAATGTTACTGGATATAACGGTCAAATCCAATCCGATGCCCATCCTCAAATTATGTTTTTTAACCAGGCAAAAGCAATGGGAGACATACAGCCGGGCGGCATGATAATTGGGCCTAATGGACATATTATGAGGCCCCCAATGGCTGACCAGCCTATTTATGCAAATAATCCGCAGCTGCAAATATCGATGATGAATGATAGGCAAGATCATTTGATAAACCCAAGAATAGTGCGAACAAACCAATCGAATGCAATATGGCAGCAACAACAGCAAATAATGCAGCATTTAGTTAATGTAGGTTTCACGGCATATTTATACACTGGTGCTTATAAGGCGAAAGAATCAGAACCGTAGTATTCAAATGCAAAATATAAATCATTCACAAGGGCTTTCGAACCAGCATTCACCTCAAAATCAAATACCACCACAACCGCCACAATCACAGTCATCGCAGGCATCACAGCCATCACAATCATCGCAACAGTCGCAGCAATCGCAGCAACCGTCGCAATTGCAGCAACCAGAACACCCACAACAAATACAGTCACAAAACTTGCTACAGTCTGGATCTTGTACACAATCATCGCAAGGGCATATTCAATCCTCGTCTCCCGTTATACAAAACAGTGTCTCCCCTACCCCCTCACAAGTAAATAAGCCAAATTTTGTAAGAGATAAAAAGACAAAAGACACTAGAAAAGTAAGTCCTCTTTTTCTTTCCCCTCTAACTTTTGAAGCCCAAGAAGTCCCTTCCCGGCCCCCCCGTCACACCGATATCCGAGTCTTCTACTCCCAGCACACCCATCACCTCACACAACACCGGAAGCTTTGTACAGACGAATTCTTCTGTTTCCCAGGGTCCTTCTTTGTTACCGCCTTCCAACACTGTTACTTCCGCCTCCGAGCCAATACAGCCACAAATGGATCCCTCCTCTTCCTTTGCAAATATCGACACCGGAGATGTATTTCTTGGCCTTTTTTTTCCTTGCTAACTTGTCCAGCCATCCTCTCTTTTAAATGATTTTGGTGCTACAAACGACTTGGATCTCGGAATGATGAACGACTTTGATTTTGACAGCTTTCTCGAGGACATTAGGAGATGTTAGCTCGAGTTTCTTGTTTTTGAAATATCCCACTGATACCACTGCACCCTCTCTTTGGCGCTGTTTCTGTCTTGTTTATCTTGTACATTCATCTTCCGCTAAGACATGCGTGTTCTATACATACTCTACATCTTATGTATCTACATCCCACTTGTCTACACACTTGTCTACATTCGCTGCCCTAACTCTAACCCTAACCCTATTCAATCCACACTAGCCCTGGCTTTGTCCTAACCCTAACCCTTCAAACCCATCTACCCTAACCCTAGCTCCATCTAACCTCTAGCCTAACCCTAACCCTCCCCTACCTCCGGTTCGACCACCGAAAACGCCACATACTTCCTCCCCTCCACAAATTCCAGATCCTCCCCCGCATACGACACCAGCGGGCTCACCTCCACCCCTTCATACATGTCCCCCACCACCTCCCCCCCCGCCTGCTCCACCCACCGCCGCCCCTGGCTCAGGATGTCCCGCCGCGAGGTGTCCGCACTGTCCTCGCCCTCAGCGTTTTTCACTGCCGAGAACTCGTCGAACCGCGCCACCTCCAGACACCCAAACCGCTCCAGCTCGACCTCTGAGAACGCATCGAAGACGAACTTTTCCAGCTTTATCCCGATCCTCTCTTCCGTCTCCCCCTCTCCCTCCTGCACGTGCCCACACGGGACACCCGTGTGCTCTTCGTGAACACCCTCTGGTGTCTCAGGGACACACGTGTGCATGTCTGCGCAGTCGTACACGCATGATGCACCTGTGTGTCCATGTGGATATGGGACAGCCGGTTGTTCAGTGCTCACATAGCATTGCATCTTCTTCCTCGCGATGTGGTACGGCAGACGCCCTTCCCATTCGCCCATTGTCGCGAGAAACCGCATGCTGAAGTAGTGGTTTGCGATGTTTGCTGCGCTAAACCGCAGTTCCCCCGACGCATCCACTGCATCCCTCACCTCCTCGCCCATCTCGCTGTACTCGACCACTGCTGCCCGACCTCCCCTCTCCACGAGCAGCCCGACCTTCTCTGACGCCCTCCGTCTGCGTACTACCTTCGCGCACACGTCGACGCCCCTCTCGATAGAGAACCCAATAAAAACTGGGTCCGCAACGCGGACCATGCTGTTGTCCACACTGAAACAGTGCACGTGCTCAATCCCGCGGCAGAGCATGTCTGCCAGTACGCCTTCCTCCGCCATTGCTCGAAACACCCCGCCATTGCCACCCGGCGCAAGTGCCATGCGGTCACGTGACCGCATGAGGATCTTGCCGTCCTCTGACATGCAGGGCATGTCGGACTGCGTGAAGAAGACGACGTTGCTGGGTGGAAGGCCGAAGAACGCGTGGCGGCGGAAGAAGTGCTCAGTGGCAGCACGCGTCTTCCTGCTGGTCATGACGTACCAGCGGACACAGACGGGGCCAGTGCTGCAGCACTGCGTTTGTGCAAGGGTTTCTACACGGCGGAGGCGCTCTGCCTGCAGCTGGAAGAGCGACTTGTGTGAGGGAAGGCCGATGTCGTGGCAGCCCTTGGGGTGTCCGGCAGCAAGGCGTGTCCCGTCTCCGGCTGCCATGACGACGGCGGCGACGCGACTGTGGCAGATGTGTTCGAGGCCGATGCATGTCCAGCGGGCAAAGTCGTCGTGGGACGCTTCGAGCGTCGACGCACAGTGTTGCCGAGGCAGCGGCGAGTCGTTGCCGGGGCAACGCCGTTCCTCGGCCCGGAGCGCGCGTGAGAGGGTGCGGAGGGCGCGTGCAGGGTCAACGCGTGTAGCGTGCAGGATGAATGCGTGCTGGGCGTCGGGAGAGAGACGGTCAAACGCCGCCCAAACGTGGCCCTGGCCGGCCTCGCGGTATGCCCTGCGCAGCTCGTCGGCGCGGAGCCTGAGCGGCGGGGGGAGAGCCTCGTGTCTATGCATGTTGCGTGTATGCGCAGTCGGTGTGTTATATGCGTGCCAATGCAGCCGCTGGCCGCGGCAGCAGGGGTAGCCCTGTAGGCGGAGGGCGCAACAGGGCACCCCTGTCTAGCAGGGCGAGACAAGGGCCATGCTTGTCGCCCGCACGTTTTAGGAGCGGGAGCGAGGGACACCCTGGCATGAGGAGTCAGCACGTGACGGTCGTGGGCTAGGGCACGGAAACGCGCAGTGAGGTTGCCATGGCACCCCTTTTTTGCGGACAGGCCGGGGCGGCGGGCAGCGGCGCAAGCAAAGCAAGCAGGCAGCAGAGGAAACAGCATATAAAACACAGAGGTTGGAGAGAGTGGGGGGTTCGAAGACGGCTAACGGCACAGATCAGATGACAAGCAGAGAAGACTCGGTGTATCTTGCAAAGCTTGCGGAGCAGGCAGAGCGCTATGAAGGTGAGGACAGAGACTTACGGGACGTAAGCTTAGAGGCCAGAAATGGTCGAGAACATGAAGGTGGTGGCGTCGGCGGACCAGGAACTTACGGTGGAAGAAAGGAATCTGCTGTCAGTGGCGTACAAAAACGTGATTGGGGCGAGACGGGCCTCGTGGCGGATTGTGTCGTCGATTGAGCAGAAGGAGGAGAACAAGGGGAACACGGAGCAGGCAAAGTTGATCAAGGAGTACCGGGACAAGATTGAGACAGAGCTGACGAGGATTTGCGGGGACATTCTGGGGGTGCTCGACAAGCACCTGCTTCTCTCGGCGACGACGGGCGAGAGCAAGGTGTTTTACTACAAGATGTAAGTAGCAGGGTGTTGCGGGGCAACGGGCCGTACCGGTCACGTGGGTACTAAATGTCACGTGACATTGGTTATGTTCACGTGATCCTTATATGATATCACGTGACTTGTATGTATATCACGTGACTTGTATAATTGATCACGTGATGTGAGTGGGTGACACGTGATGCAGTGTGTCACGTGGGCTGGGTGCACGTGGTGCTGGGCGGTGCTGGGCAGTGCTGAGCGGTGTAGGAAGGGCGATTACTACCGGTACCTGGCAGAGTTTGCGACGGGCGAGAAGCGGAAGAGCTCATCGGACCTGTCGCTGAAGGCGTACAAGGATGCATCAGAGATAGCGGTCCAGGAGTTGCCGCCGACGCACCCGATCCGGCTGGGGCTGGCGCTGAATTTCTCGGTCTTCTACTACGAGATCGTGGGCAAGTCGGACTCGGCATGCCATCTAGCGAAGCAGGCGTTTGACGATGCGATTGCAGAGTTGGATACTCTATCGGAAGAGTCGTACAAAGACTCCACTCTGATTATGGTATATACGATGTATACACGGGGAGGGACTGACGAGGACAGCAACTGTTGAGGGATAATCTTACACTGTGGACGTCAGACATGCAGGACTCGAACGAGAAGTGTGACTCAAAAGAAAGAGTCTTGGAGACCCCGGACCAGGGAAAAGGCCCTGAGGGAGAAGGCTCAAAGACAGAGGATATGTAGTAGGAGTAGTGTATCCGGAGTAGAATGTTTTAACGCTGTTTTCTACATGTATTAGCTCTAAGAATCTTGTTTGCAGTGTATTTGCTGTATATTTGCCGTATATTGCCAGTGCCGGCATACGGGTGTCCGGGGTGTGTGCGGAGGGCCGGTGCAGCGTAACCGCTGCTCCGCAGCGGCAGAGCGGCAAAGCTGCACAGCGGAGTAGCCAACAGCAGTAAAGAGGTGTAACAGAGTGAATATCTGTATGCGTTTTCTGCAGAGATGGAGTGGCTTTGGGGGGCTGTGGGTGCAGCGGCGGGGAATGAGGAGAAGCTCGGGTAATAGGAAAAGGCGAAATACAGTGTCTGAATGTCTGACGGGATTTAGTATGTTTTGTAGACGAAACAGTGCTTCCAGGAGGCGCAGATGCGCTTCGGAAGCGTGAAAAGGCGTCTGAAGACATGGTATTTGTGTTTTTTAGGAGAAAAAAGCCAACCGGTTTTAGTATATTAGAAAAAAAGAGATCGAGCGGCTGAAGGGGCGTAAAAACGATGTAAACAAGAAAGAGAGTGAAGAAACGGGGAAAAGCGAGGAAAATAAATAAAGAGTATAGGAGAGGGTGTTTACAGCGTGTTTACACAGTATTTATAAAGTGTATACAGAGGAGTGATGTATATGTATTAAATATGTATAACTTGCCAGTCATGGATTTTGCATAGTGTGTTATTTAGTGTGTAGAGTGTTTTGCCTTGTACAGTATTTTGCTGTTTTAGTGTCCTGTACAGTGCTTTATACAGTACTTTGGTACTGGTATATGGTGTATACAGTGTTTACGGTGTTTTACACAGTATTTTGCATTATAGTGCGGGATACTGTACGTTGTGTTTTATATTATGCTGTATATAGTGCTTTACGATGCTTTATATTCTGCTTTAGCATGTTTGGTACTCTAGAAATAAATACATAGGCATAGTATATAAATCACCAAGCATACTAGAATGCTAGAGTATCTTTGCAGTATACTAGTATGTCCGTATAATTGTATATTTATATATATACAAGACATTTTTAGTGTTTTTGTAGATCTTATAAAGCATCTTTGCATATTGCATACGTTATATATACGAATTGCAGTATATTTCTGCACATTTTAGTCCAAATAAGCTGTTAATGAGCTATTGGTAGTGCTTTATGTATTTTATGTGTTTTCCATTGAAACCGGTATTGAATAAGCGGATTACGTTGATCGATCGTGCTGTTGCAACGTTGAATATTTTTGTAACTGAAAGACGCTGTTTTTGCTGCTAATTTGCACCAGAAAAAGCTATTTTTAGGCGTTTTTAAGCATGAGTTTTTATGATGAAATCGAAATTGAAGATTTCACATTTGATACAGAGCTTCAGATTTACCATTACCCGTGTCCATGTGGCGATCGGTTTGAAATATCACTTGTAAGTACTGAAATGATTTTTTCTTTGTTTTTTATATTTTTAAGAATGATTTAAGGAAAGGAGACGAGATTGCATATTGTCCAAGCTGCTCTTTAATGGTCCGTGTAATTTATGATCAGGTTAATTTGAAGATGTGATTAACGGGTCTAATACGAGTTCAGGATAAATTTCTTGAAAATGATGATGAAATTTCCCTCCAATCAGCACCTTTTATTGTTGTTTGAGTGAAGAAATGGTATTTTCTGTATAAAAATATTGGTTGGTTTTTTCTCGCTTTTTTATATCCTGGGTATTTGGATTCTCGGAAAAAGTCTTTATCTCGGAACATACAAGAACAGCGACGGTGGAATAGTCTATATGGCTATTAAAGTGTATATTGTTGTCTGTTTTGTTCAGAGAAAGGGCAGAGGACTGTGTTCATTGTAAATTTGTGTTGTATAGTTTATTCTTGGAAAAAGCAGTGAATGTTTGTTTTTTACTAAACTGTATGTTTTTATAAATTGATTATGATCTGTTTTACTTTGTTTTTCGGAATTTTTCGAAAATAATATATATTTCATACACACATATTTATCTTAAGTATTTTTACCTGAACGATCTCGTCGATTTACTTATTTATTAGGTGTATATTTAAAAGAGGATTGAAAAAGGATAAAATAATGATTGTTCGGAATACTTTTTATTTAGAATGCCGTAAATCTTTATCTACTTTTTGCTTGTTGAATCAACGGTTTAAAAATTCTGCGTTTTTCTACTCAAATGTGTTAAAAAATATACAAAATATACAAACATTAAGTATAAGATCATTTTGGAAATCTTATTTGCAGTGTAATACGGTCAAAGACAATCTGAATAATCTAAAAGCCCATTCAAATCAGTCATTATCTTTTTCAGAAAGACTAAAATATTTAATGAGACGTTATGGTGCGTTGAATGGTATTTTAAATGGAAAACATAATATATGAGAATAGGTGCTGCGGCTGCATCAGTTTATCTTGGAATTTCTATGCTTGATTTTGCTCTTTCATGGGCAATAGTAAAATCTCTGGGTTCTACGGCAATTAAGTCTTATGAAAAGATTCTTTTAGAAATTGAACACCGTACAGGCTGGCGACTTAAACGTAGTACGACTTCTTTACTAGAAAACAAAGATAATATGGAACACGAGTCACCAAGCATTTGGGCGGAAATTGCTATTGCATATGGTATTCATAAGCTATTAATTCTTGTCCGGGTTCCTTTGACTGCTGCATTCACACCTCCACTAGTTAGAATACTAAATCAGAGAGGATGGTTCATTGGAAAATTGAAAAATTGACGCTTTTCTTTACTAATAATGAATTCTTTGTACATATATCCTGTATAAATTTTATATCATGTTGGGTAAATATGTTCTAAAAAACATTTATCATACTACTCATTTTTGCCACTTATTTGTAATTATTTATCCTTTAATTATTCGTTTTTCTCATTCTTCCCCTATTTCATTTTATAATAAATGTTTATTTTACTAGTGTTTTTGATTCTCCTTGTTTTCCATTTACCCAACTTGAAACCTTCAAAAAAACATTTTCTCGCTTTTCTGCATCAAAGCGTTTCTCTTTTTTAAGACATTTTCTTACAGTATTTGCGCAAATAGAAGCATACCGGTTATATCTATACATTGATTATTTGTTTGAAGCAAATATTAGACAGAATTTACGTAAAAATGTTTTTCCTTAAAAATATGTTAGAAAAGAAATAATTTAAGGAATTAATATGAAAATAATATAAAAATACGTACCACCAAAACGCCATTTTTGCGTAGTTTAGAAAGTTCTTAATGCACTTGAATTATTTTACTGTTTTTTTCATAAATATCTGTCGTACGATGATTTTAAATAGATTAAAAATAAAATATATAAAATATATTTTGAATAATTGAGAATATATTAACATTAACACGTATTATTAATGCCTATTTAAATATAGATGTGTAGCCGCTAGAGCATAGTTATTAAAAGGCTATTAAAAGAAATATTTGTTGTTTGAATTTTTTCTTTGTTTTCTGAGATTTTGGTATGTTTTATAGTTTGTTTTTTCCATACATTTTGTTTTATTTTTTACTCTTTTTATTATTTTATCCTTTTTTACTTTAATTTTTTATTAAAAAATTATTACTAAATTTTTAATGCTTTATCGTTTAAGATTCTTTAACCGTTCCCCAAAATCATCATAGTATTCGCTTTTCGATTCTGTTATAGGCTGTGTTGTTTTTTGAGATTCCTTATTAATGGTGTGTGTAATAGACGGAAGGTTGTCAAAATTTTGCCGAAGATTAATACCAATCTCATCCAGTACTTGATTTACTATTATATCGTTTTCAGTCTCATCATCATCCATAATGCTATCAATCGCTTCATCCATCATTTCCTCTCGTTGTTCCATCATATCACTTTCTTTCTCGAAATCATGAGTAATTTTCATTAATGCTGGAAGACGTGTTGTTCGGTTTATACAGCCCAAGAGCTAGCAGATTAGCAAGACTTTGCACATTTTATCAAAAAACATTACTTTTGTTGCTTTCTTCATATTTTGTGAAATTTGTTCATGAGTTTGTACTGTCTATATTCTTTTGATAAATTTTTTGCAAAAAAACACTATTTTTTCTACCTGAATTCTTAATGCAATTGCTTGTAATTGTGTTTTTATTTGCACAAATCTACTGATTTGTTTACGTGTTCGCACAAGATCTTTTGCTTTAACTTTTGTCGTTTCTATTTGCCCTGCTATTGCACTTTTTCGAATATCCACAACCAACTGCTTTTCCTGTGCATCAAGCTTTGTTTTTTCACGTTCTATCTCTCTCTGTGCCCTTTCTAATGAGCGTTGATGTTGTCTAAATATCTTAAACTAATTGTTTACTTAAATTAACATACCGTAGACGTTCCTGAGGCGTTTTTCTCTCTCCAAAAAACCATTCAAGAATATTCATCTTTTAACTGTTTCAAAGAAGTTATATATTCTTAGAATTCCTATAATACATAGTTAATTGGCATCTTTTTTTTTATTCCTAAATTCTTATCGTTAATTGTGTATATTCAAAAACTGTCAGATATAATCGTGATTTATAACTAGTGACATTATTAAATTATTTTAAGAATTAAATGTCTTGATTAGAGTGTTTTTGCAGCAAAGTTTGCTTCAGAAGACAAATAACGTTTTTGAAAGAGATAGATAAGGAGAAGGTAAGTGGCTGGCTCGAAGAAACGGGAAAAATTGATGTACAGACAAACGGTGGATGAAAAAAAAATAATAAATTTGTTGAGTAAAGAAAATGAAGTCGTTTGAGAACATAGTATTTGCATTGCATGATTTTGATGCTTCGAATCCGGAGGATTTGCCATTGAGACGGGGTGAACAGATTTTGGTTTTGAAAAAAGACGAAGGATATAATGATGGCTGGTGGGAGGTACGTTAGCATTAAATAAGAAAAATTTCAAGCTATTTAAGGGAAATTGTGCTTTAAGAGGCCTGCATGTTTGATATAAACATGTTTGGATGTTATATAGACATGATTTTGGCAATTAGGAAACCTAGACGGATTGTTTTTAATTTTGTAATAGGGCCAGAACATGGAAGGACAGAAAGGTTTATTTCCTGTGATATACACAATATCGTATCAGGAGTTAGTTAAAATTCTTTCTACACAGCCGTTTTCGATAAAGAATTATGGGAAAACAGTCAAAGAGAATGATACCGTGAAAAATGATGTTTCAAATATTGATGATTTATTAAGTTACATTGATCATAATGAGTTTAAAAATATGAGTCTTGAAGACTCAAGCGCTGGAGTTTTAGCTTGGACGCCGCAAGATGTGGCTGCATGGATTGAATCCAAAGGATTTGGTTCATTTGCGAACAAATTTATTAGTATGTTGTGTTTTTTCTATTTTTGTTTTTGAATTATTTTAGTACATGAAATAACAGGTGATATTTTGATTCAAATGGATTATATGCATTTAAAAGAATTGGGTATTCTCAGTTTTGGAAAAAGATTTGAAATTGAACGTGAAATTAAATTGCTTCGTAATTCGTTATCTAGTGAAATAGAAAACTCAAGAGAGGTAAACTTTATAAAGGTTTTATTTTTTATATTTGTAATCTTATTATAAACTAGTCTAAAATTCTTCCACGTTCTTCTTCTCAATCTATGGCTATTTCTAAAAGTTTTCAGTTAGAAAAACCGGAATATGCTCAGTCTATTCGTAGTGTATGATTTGACGACATGATAATTTCTTGGTACTTTTGTTTCTAATTAATGATAGATTGATCAAATTTCGCTTAATCGGAAATCATATGAAGGTTCTCTGTCATATAAAAAAAATATATCATCCGATCAGTTTCACAGGAGCTCTTTGAATGGTGTACCAACAGATAGATTTAGTGCTATTGTTTCTAGATCATCTCTAGAGCATTCGGTTCCTACTTTGTATGAAAATAAAACAAATTATTCATATGCTCCTGATCGTTCTACATCTTTGAAGTCATGTTCTAGAAGCTCTGAAATTAGCGTTAATAATAATAATAATAATAATAAGAGTGCATGGAAAGCTACTAACAAGCTAGTTCGTGGATATAAAAAAAAACCTAAATCTTATGCTATAGTCGATTATTCACCAAGCAATAATAAAATATCTGATCATAAAAAAAGCGCTCGTCTTTCTAAACGTATTAACCAGGATACATTAAAGGCATGTCCTTATGGGGATTATAAACAAACAAATACACTCAGTACATTAAAGGAAATACATTCACTTAATACAGAATCTAGCGAAACATTTAAAGTAGAAAAAGAGTTTTTGAAAATGTCTTCAAAGGCGCCTTTGAAAAAACCAAGTAAATTATCTGTTAACAAAAAGTCTTTATTAAAGAAATACCAAAAACTACCAACTGGTATAAAAGAAGGAATTAGGAATATTTCAGTGCAGGACGCTATAAAAGAAGCTGATTATTATGGCTGGATGCGTAAAAAAACAGATAGATATGGGCAATGGAAACTTCGGTTTTTTTGTTTGACTGGTACAAGGCTTTCGTATTTTTATAGTGAAGATGTATTAAATCTTTTTTCTAATATTCTCTTTAACATAACTAGGATGTCGGGGAAAAAGGACTTATAGATATCAATTCTCATCGTGTAGTTTCAATGAATAATCGATTTTTTTATCGAGACGGTAAATTTTGTTTTAAGATTGTTCCTCCTGCTCCTGGTACAGCTAAAGGGATCACTTTTACTTCGCCTAAAGTTCATTATTTTTCTGCTGACACTTTGGAAGATATGAAAGGGTGGGTCAGGGCATTTATAAAGATTACAATCGGAAGAGACGAGTCTGGTACTTTGTATAATTTTTTGCACTCTTTTTAATTCAATTTAGTGCCAGTGTTATCTTCTTGTAAAGTTCCTACTATTTCTCTTAAAGCTGCCAGAGAGAAATTAAGCAATGATGCTTCAATTGATCCTAGTTTACACTCAGAGTGCTTAAGCAAGGACTTTTCTACAAATGTTTCTCATCAAGAACGGATTATATCTCCAACTAAGTCTTATATTAATGAAAAAAATATTCTCGACGATCTAAGTCATGTTGAAAATAGCAGTTTTATTAATGACATAAAATCTGCATGGGAAAACGTTGAAATTCTGGATAACAGTATTGATGAAAACTAGCATTTTCTTCCTTTTTCATAATTCATGTTCTCAAGTATATTATATGAATGTATTTTGAAACTCTTATCTTTCATTTTGAATGGATGTCTTTCTTATTAACGAATATATTTTTTTATTTTATCTCTCTTATTTTAAGCATAATTTCTCAAACACCATTCTCCCTTTTAAATCTTTATAAATCTCTCGCGCGAACGGTTCTGCAAAAATCTAAATAAACTTTCTGTACAATGAGGAAAATCACAGTCAATGTGAAGGCCTCTAATGATAAAAAATATGCTATTGAAGTTGATGTTGATGCAACTATTGAAGAATTTAAGCAGTTGATTTCAACTAAAGCGGATATTACGCCAGAACGACAGCGATTGATTTATAGTGGAAGAGTTTTAAAAGATGAAGAAAAGATTGAGACATACAAGGCATGTGTTTTATAGGGCTTTAAAGGCTCTAAATGGCCTTTATAACGCTGTGGCTAATACCATGTGCATAGATATCAGATGGACATACAGTACACCTTGTTCGAGGGGCGGGAACACAGCGACAAGATAGAGATATGGGATCATCTGCAGCACAAATATCTCAGCAGATTCCAAGGACGATATCTGCAGGAACAGGCATAAATAATCCATTCTCGGCGCTTATTAGTGCACAATATGCAGGACAAGTGCAGCTTCCGCCAGCATCTACCTTTGGACCAGATGGTGGAATGACAAGTTTTCCACCGACGCCAGAGCAGCTTTCTCAGATAATGAGTCAACAAGGAATGCAGGAGGTTATGCGTGAGATGCTCTCGAATTCTCAACTTATGGATTATATTATTAGTACCAATCCTCAACTTAGAAGTGTTCCTCCGGGAATCCAAGAAATGATGAGAAGTGAAGACTTCATTCGTATTATGTCAAACCCTGAAACAATACGACAGATTATGGAGATGCAGAGGGTATTTGGTAGTTTAGGAATGGGTGTAGGAAATATTTTTGCAGGGTCAAATGAGCCAAGAATGGAGACACCATCAGAACAGCAATTGTCAACGCAAATAGATACACCGGTTCAAACGAATACTACGGTGCCACTTTTGAATTTAGCTGATAATGGGTTACCGCCTCAGCAAAATCCTGGGTCAGTACCACCTAATAATCTTTTTGCAACGATGGCGACGTTATTGTCCAACATGGGAACTCAACAGCAAAATACGAATGCAAGTGGGTTTGATCCTGCTTTGTTTCAGTCGTTTCTTGCTAGTTTGGTTACACCACAACCTCAACAAACATTACCACCGGAGGAGCGATTTCAAGAACAATTAAGACAGTTAAATGAACTAGGTTTTACAAACTTTGACCGTAATATTCGAGCATTAGGACGAAGCGGAGGCTCTGTGCAGGGAGCTATCGAAGCAATGTTGGATGGTGATGTTTAAGTGTACATTAGGTTAGGTTCAGTTTACATATCCTATTATATCAGCTAGTCATTTTTTCTATTATTTTTTGTGCGGTTTTATAAACATATAATTGTTATATTTATAAAGTAGCATATGCTTAAAAATTTTTTTACTTTTTCTGATATCCTGATTTTTGCGTCTATAAAATTATTTATTTTGAGAATAAAATGATATTTTAAATTTTCTGAATTTGTAAATTCATTATTGTGGCATTTTTAATATAGAGTTTGTTTCTAAGTATAAAAACTTGTCTCGTAGATAGTGTTTATGATATGAAATTTAGTTAACAATTTTTAGCATTTATAAACGTTTTTTTTCGTTTTGTAGCGTTAATATTTATAACTTGTATTATTAATGTTTTAAAAAATTGTTTTTAAATTTAAAATTTTTCCTAAACTTTGCTTTTTTTGTATTTAAAATGTTAGAAACTTTTTAAAAACAGTATCAATTAAATGATTAAGTATTGAAAGTCCTATGATATAAGTATGTTATATGATCGTTTCTTCTGCATGAATCTCAAATTGTATGATGTTTTTTCCCGGAAGTACCACTAAACCAATTGATCGTTTTTTACCTATTTATTTAGAAATATTTACATAGAACATATATTGTATTTATTTATTACCTTTGTTGACTTCTTGTGTACCTGAAAGAATGACTGTGCCTTCATTATCTAAAATTCATTCTTAGTCGTAACATATTTTTTGATAATATTTAACATTACCTATACAAATAAGTTTTCCTGTAAAAACACGGAAATCTGACAGAGTGATACGGACAGTTTTTAAAAGCCATGACTCCAATATTTGTTTGCCTTTCATAAAAAAATAATATTTTTAAAAATAAAAAAAGTTTTTTTTAAAAAAAATGAAATATAGATTCTGACAATTTTAAATATATTTATAATATATTAAACACTACTGGAAATAATGATTTGTTCTAAATAAGAGAGAAAGCTTTATTGTAAAAAGAAATACTTGGATTTTGTATACGTTGAATTTTCAGAAATTAAAAAATAATTAAGAAATGTTTTAATTTAAACTACATTAAATAGACTTTGTTTTTCCGTATATTATTAACAAAATATATTTTTATATTATTTAAAATATTAATTGTCTCTCCATAGGGTAATGCAGATATATCTATTAGTATATTTAAGAAACCTGCGACCATATTGGAGAATTTGGTTCCCTTAAAATAGGGATTTTTTTCGGCAAGCTTTTTGACTCTAAAAAACATAGTTTATGGCCTTTAGAGCGTATAAAAGGCCGTGTTTATTAGAGCTTCGAGAGTGCCTAATATAGTTATAAAGTACAAAGTTAGTTTAATTGATTAGAAGAAATCTTAATGTTTTAATTTTTCATAATTTGAATCATGAAATATATGTTATAGGTTAATAAGATATTTATTAGTTGTAGTAAAAAATATAAGTAACAATATGATAAATAATTAAAATGGTAAGTTTTTTATATATTGTATAACGATGTTTTCTTTAAAAAAATTATCAGATAAAAATATACTTGATAAACGTTGAAATTTGTTAAAAAGTGAATTAAAATCTCATGGAATTAAAAGATGAAGAAGCTGTCATTGATGAGGCAAAATACAATATATAACTTAAATGAATATTAATAAAGGTTTAGACACTTTCTCATGAACAAATTTGGGATGATTCTACGTTAATTGCAGCATGGGAAGCAACAGTTAATGAATATAAGGTTTTTAGCTAAATTAAAATTTAAAATTAATAATAAGATTTCTAGACATACCATTCTCAAGTGTAAAAATTGTTTATGATTTTAAGAAGGCTGGTAATTTTATTTAGAAATGATGATAATAATATTTCAGAAATACACGAAGTAAAAGATAAATTTTTTTTTTTGGTTTCTTATATTAAATAGTTTTCGCATATTTCAGATTTGAATTTTCAAAATAGTATTAATATTGAATCATGTAATTAGGTTATCCTAAAATATCTGATTTTTAAATATGATAGTCAAAGAAAATCTCAATGAACTTGGTTCAGATCAGACATCTGAGGTGCAGAAAGAAGCAGAAGTAGAGGATGCTCATAAGAAACTATTAGATGAATTCATGAAATCACCTTCTGTTGCTTTACCTTTTCAGATTTTTAATAGTATATTAATAAGACTAATATTCAATCGCTAAATGAATCTATAGATGATCAGACTTTGAAAAATCTTTTAATGAGCTGGTATTATGCTGGTTGTTGGTTTCCTGGTTAATTTTTTTTGGTTACTTTTAATAGAATATAGATTATACTGGATATTACATGGGTCAGGATTCTATAAATAAAAAAAATCAAGAATAAGCTTAAAATTATGTTAATATGACTGATATTAGGAAATGCAAGTTTGATTTCCATGAATAATAATCAATAGAATATAAAACATTTTATTGATATTTATTGTATATTGAACTGAACAAATTCAGGGCTTAAAGAACTTTAGTATTGGAATATTAAATTATATTGCCATTTCTTCTTGTAGGGCCCTGATTTCAGCCCCTTCGTCATCTATTTGGTTATATTCTTCATATTTATTTGTATTAAAATTAGGTAGTTGAATAGGTGGCTTTTCTGCACCAAGCATTTTTTCGTCTAGTTCTTCTTGTTGTATTCTTTCAAGTTCTTCGTTTAGTTCATTTTCGTTAAATGTTTCTGATATTCCTATAGGTCGAGCAATTAATTCTCCTACTTCATTATGATGGTCTATTTGTTCCCTTATATCGTCCATTATAGAATCTACTTTGTCAGGTGTCCTATAATAAATAGATGAATGATAAATTAAGAAATATATATAGTAAACGCACATTCCTTTAGATATTTGTTTCATTGCGTCTGTGCCTTGTTTCATTGCTTTTGTTACTTCGTAATTTATATTTGCATTTTCAAGAGTAAATAATGTTTGTTCAAGGTTCATTCGTATTCCCATAAGTTTATTTATCTCGCTTTCAAGAAGTTTTTTTCGTCTAAGTGCCTGCATGGCAACTTTTACAATATAAATATTTACAATATAAATATAAAAAAATATAATAAAATAATACCTGGCTTGTTACTGGCCGCATTTAATTTAACTAGAAATAGTATAAGTTGCATAACATCAATATATATGTTTAAAAATAAAGAATACCTATATTATCTTGCTCAAGGACTTGTTTTCTCCAATGATTTTCTTTTTTATCTAAAGTTGCTATCATTTCTTTAGTATTAAGAATGGCATTTTTTGGAAGGTCTCTTTTTGATGATGATTTTCCTGTAAAATAGCTCCACCAAGACATTATCTATAAAATGTTAAACTGATTATTAAAATATTAAAAAATATTTAACTTTTTATTTTTTAAGAAAAAAAAACAAACACAATATTAGAAAAAAATAAATGAATTAAAAACAAATGTTTTTGTCTTTAAATGTTTTTTATATTTTAATTTGAAATATTCTATTGATTTACAGATCGTGAATTAATAATAAAATAATCTAATAATAATAATTGTTTGATAATGATTATATGATTATAAAATGATTATAGAATATAAACATGTTGTATTTTGAAGTAATTTTTTGGTATTTAAATTGAATTTTAAATTTATATGAAAAATTGTATTATAAATTTTTTCTGCTACAGAATAATTTTTTTAAAAAAGTTAGTAAAATTATTAAATAATATATATTTATTTAATTTTAGAAATAAATTGATTGAATGTTAAAAAATATAATTTTAGATGTTTTCAATAAAGAATATGAAATATAAAAAAAAAATAAATCTAAAATATTTAAAAAAGATATAAATATTAAAGTTTTAATAATAATTTAGAATAAATTTTTATCATTTGATTTATAATTACATAGGTTTTATTGTAGGTATTTTCAAAAATAATAAATATTTTATGATTTTAAAAAAATTAAATTTTGTTTAATATAAAAATTGATATTATAATTTAAAAAATTATATAAAGGTTTTGGAATATCAAAATATAAACGTTTTTATTAAGCTATAATGTATATTTTAGAAACTTAGCATTCTACATAAAAACAATTAAACAAGTATAAATAAATTAAAATGTTTATTTAAAAATAAATTTAATAATATTATGATAATAAGTAAAACTATAATAAGTGAAACTTATAATCAGGAAAAATTAATATTTCAAATTTAATATTCTATAAGATAAAATTATAAAAATTTAATCTCTAAATTATAAATTAGAGAGTAAAATTTTACTAGCTATTGTTATTACAAATCAATAATTTAAAACTAAATTAATTACTATGTCAATAAAACGTGGTTTTTCTAGATACAAAAGGGGTTTTATTTTTCTTTATTTTTTATCATACATTTTCGGTTTTAAATGTTGAATATTATAATTTTTAAATATTCTAGTTTCGAATTTAGAATTAAAAGGTTTACTTTTTATTAAAATGACGCGTATGTTTTACTTATGTTTTAGATCTTATGATTTGATTTAATTATTCTAGGCGGAAATCAAAGAGAAAATGATAGACTTAGGGCTCAAAAAAAACAAGAAACAAATAAAAAGAAAAAGAAAAGTGATTCAAATTTTAGGAATACTTTAGAAATGTTATTTTACACATTTAATATTTATTTTTTTTACTAATCTGTACCTTAGCCAAGCAAACATCATGAGACAGAAACAAAAGCTCGCTGATGAAAGAAAAGCTACACAGGCTATAAATAATACAACAAAAACTACCTAAACCTTTTATCTGTCATTTGGAGTATCACTTATTGTAGAAATACGTATTAGAGGAATTTTATTTTGAAATTTTTTTATTTTAAAAATATTTTGAAAGTTTTTTTTTTTTTTTTTGAATACCTTGAATTTTTTTGAAGTGTTAAGCATTATCTATATTGCATGTTTTTTGTTTTTGTATTTTTATATAAATTTATATTTTACAATATAAAAGTTGTCGACTTTAATTTTTTGTTTTTAAAGAAAAGATAGCCTTAAATATACTCTTTTTTTTAACATTATTTAATTATGTTGTTGCTTTTAGTATGTTTTATCATTGTTATAATGTCTAATTTTATATCGGCTTTGGGTACAAAAGTTATTTCATCTTTGGTATTTTTTATAAGGCAATGACTTGGAACTAATAGGGGATAGATATATACGATATTTTTTAGTTTTATTCCTTCTACACTATCATCTGTTATAAAAAAGCATAGATTACTTCAGCGTTCTGCTCTTGAAACAAAAAAAGAACTTTCTAATACCAGTAGTGTGGATGAATTTGCTAAATGGGCAAAATTAAAACGAAAATATGATAAAGAAGTTTCAGAAATAGAAAAAATATGTAATATTAGAACAATGCCATAGATGATACTATTATTAACATACTTTGCAGCAGCAGAAATAAATAGTCAACAGTATAATTTTAATATTAAAGTACATACAATGATCTGGTTATGTACGACAGGTCTGAAATATATTATCCAATGGTATTATCGTAAAGTACCTGTATTCTGGTTAATTAAGGGATGGTTCCCTTACTATATTGAACGCATTATGTGTTTCCCAATGGCACCTATTGGTATATTTATAAAGTAATAAATTTTTATTATTAACCCATAAGGATCTGTTAGCATAAGTATATGGTTTCTTATAGTTAATCAAATTGTTTCAAAAGTGTTTTATATTATAAACAAATGCTTTAAAAATCAAATAAAACATAATACAGATTCCTTAGCTCAATCAAATATATTAAAAAAGAACATATAAGAAGAATAGTAAAGTCATCACTATTTTTTGCATAACTCAAGCTGGTTTTATGCAAAAAAAACGCAAGTTTTTCTGAATTCCATTTTTGATATTATTTTGTTATCTATTTACTTTATCTTTTTGATATTCATAGTTAATTTCTAATTTTTTTAATAGAAGCATTTTTTTTCTAAGACGACTGTCATTTCTTTTTTGTAATTTTATCCATTGTTTTTTAGTTTTTGGTTCTTCGTAGCGTTTTTTTATTATTTTAGACCATGGTATTGGTCTAAATTGTTTATTCGAGCCAATAAACATGGACTTGTGAATTTTGTTTTGAGGAATCACTGAACATTTTAAAATATGACCAAAAAGTAAATAATTATTCATTGTTTTTGCAACAATTCTGGCTATTTTAGCTGATTCAAATTCAATAAATGCGTAATGTTTTGATTTTCCTGTCTACTAGAATCAGAGATATATTCAAAAAATTAATGTTATACTTTTTTATTACGTGATAGTTTAATCCGTGTTACTGTACCAAATTGTTTAAAATAGCTTTTCATTTCTGATTCATAGAAACCATGTGGTATTCTTCCTAAATATATTACATTGGACTCTTTCTGTACATTGTTAATTAATATAAATTATTTATTAATATTTATTACATCATCTGAATTTTGATTTTTTTGTTTCTTATTTTCTGTTAAAGAAACTTCTCGAATGTTGTTTCTATTATCAGGATTATTGTTACTCTCATATACTTTTAATATAGAATGACTTTCATCATTTGATATATCATTATCACTACTTGATGATAACTTATTTATGTCGAATATTTGATCTGTCTGAAAATCATTATAATTTCAATTCAATAAAAAATTCATGTATACTTTTTTAGAATTACTATTAAAATTGCAATGTCTTTTTGATTTGTTTTCTAATTCTTCTAATATTTTATCAAATTTTCTTTTTTTTTTTAGCCTCAATTCTGCTTTGTTATTTTTATTTAATAAAGATATTTTACTTTCACTCTGTTTTTTTGAAACTAAATCAGGAAAGTTAAATGCTTTTCTAGTTATTTCCTAATGTTACCTTTCCTTTTTTTTTCATACATTTTATGTTTTTTAAATATTTTTATAAAATTTTAACTTTCGTTATGTTTTATTAGTTTTTTTCGTAGAAAATTAATTATTTATGGTTCTTTCTAATTAAGTTTTTATGATATATTTCAAAGTTTTATAATCTATAACAAAATCAATAATTATAATTATTATTGTATTTTCTTTGTCGCAAATAATTATTTGTTTTATTATAATAAAGAAAATGTTTTATCAAATAACACAGCCTCTTTCTAAATCTGCTATCCGAGCTATTACTTTTCTTGTTTTTTTTTCACTATCTTTTCTTATTTTTAATTTTTGGCTTATATCAGAAAATATTATTTTAAAAACTTCATCTAAAATTTATACATCAGAAGCCACTCTAAAAACTCGACTTAATCATTTACGCCAAATAACAGAATATGATCAAAAATTATTAGAGAGGTTAAAATGTTTAAATGGAAGATTACTTTATGTACTTTATGGTCCTTCGGCTTTAGGATTATGTGAATGGTGTGAAATTGAAACACCTATAACATTTTTATATTATATTATACCACATATATTGTTACATTATTTAATTAATCTTGGAATAATTCTATTATCAACATCTGTTTTATTTGAAGGAACAGTAAAGTTATGGGAAAACTTAGCATCTACTATTACTTTCTTTTTTTTTATAGTAGAATTAATAGTGTTAAAAACATATGATTGGAAGTCAAATGAACATATTGATTCTACTTTGAATATTAATTGGATACATTGGAAATTAAATAAATATAGAACATTTTTTATAATAGCTTTGGATTTATTTGTCGCTCTTATTATTTGGTTTGCTGATACTAATCAGTTGCACCAAATGCCTACTAAAGAAAAACAATTACTTTTATCTATTAACAATTTAGAGGAATCAATTAATCGTATTCGTGCTTTAACTATTATAAACAGAGCAGTAATTATAGACGAATTCCTGCAAAAACAAAAGATGGAATTTTACCAACAAGAAAAAAAACGTTTAAAAGAATTAAATGATAGTATAAGTATAAAAAGTAATATGAAAAATACAACTTTTGAGAATAATGTCAAAAATTCTATAGAAGAGATTGAAAATTATGCGGAAAATCTCGTTGAATACTTAGATATGATGCATTAAATAAATATTTATTTTGTTATACTTAATCATTAACAAAACCATGTAATGGTTTATTATCTTGCAATTCTTCTTTTAATTTCCATTTATTTTGCTCCCATATAATCCAAGAAACACCTTGAAGAAAGCAATCTGCAAGATCGTCAATTTTAAGTATACTTTTATTTTTTTTTTGAGACATAAAATCTTTTGCAGTAATTTGTGTATTTTCGAAGTTAAAAATAGTGCCTATTTTTAACAATGAATCAACAATTTTTGTTTTTATTTTTTTAGATTTTAAAGCAGATGGTTTTAAGTAAATTAGATTTTCCCTTATGGAATTTATAAATATATTTTTAGGCAAATTATGTCCAATAAATAATTCTTCTTTTAAAATAATATTTTTTTTAGTCCATAATGATGTAATTTTGGTTGGATCTATGCTTAAAATATCTGCTTCTGGATCATCCCAAATTTTTTCTTCTTTAAAACATCTAAATACAGCGTGTAACATATGTTCAAACATATTTACTCTTATGATCCATTCATGTATAGTATTCATATTCAGAGTTCTATATCTTTGACGTTCTATTAATATAGTACGTGGTTTAAATTTTTCTAAAAAAGATTTTGCTAGTTGATATGCTAAAAAAGAGTAATCCACAGGCTTATATGTCTTTTTAATAACTTTATTATCTTCTATATTTTCTAATTCAACTGATAATTTATCCCACTCATTAATAATAATATTTTTATGACTAATTGAATTAAAATCTTGATTTATAGTTGAAGGTACAATCATTGAACATAATGCTAAATTACGGATACCTACATCAATACTAAGAATACGATGAGTTGTATAATGCTCATTAATTAATCGTATTTTAGAAATTTCTTTAAGAATCCTATTAATTAACTCATCTTTACTTCCATTATTTACTAAAAAAATTAGTTAACATTCTTTTTAAAAAATAAAATTTACAAATGCCACATTTTATTGCTAATGTACGTAATTGTAGTACTGTTAATTGTTGTAATCTATCTTAGGATTAAATATAAGTAAACTATAAAAAGATATTTATACCGAGATATTAATCTATTAGAAAACATATTTAATGTTGAAATATATTTGTTTTGTAAATTTTATATTAAATAATTTTATATTTTAAGTGTTTGATAAAAAAAATTATTAAATAATTTGATTTATAAATATTATATATCAAAAATATTTTAAAAAAATCTATATTCAAATAAATAAATTTTTATTTAATTTCAATATTTCATAATAAATTATTTTTGAATTTAAAAATGAAATTTATAGATATATATAAATATTTTAATTAAATATTAAAAAAATAATTATGATAAAAAAATAAAATTCATCTTAAAAATAATTAATAATTTGTATAAAATGAAAATTATTATTTAATATTTATAAAACTTTTATTGTTAATATTTTTATAAAATAATTCTATAAATTATAAAAAATATAATTTTTTAGAAATTAAAAAAAATTAATACTAAAATCTACTTTTAAATAAAAATACAACACTCTTTAAAATATTATGTTGGTTTTTTTTAAAATATTAACATATATAACTCTAACGATCAATTATCAATAATTTATTAAAAGTTAAATATTATTATATTAGATTAACATGAGTATAGAATTTTTACTTTTTATTCTATTAAGTATTTTCGTCATTTTTATAATAAGGATAATTTATATTTTAACAAAGCCTTTTAAACAATTTAGTCACAAATTTAAAAACAAACATAATCAAATAAAACTGTTCATATTTCTTGGTTCAGGTATAATTTTAAATGATTTAATCTATTTTTATTTAAAAAAAGGTGGCCATACAGCTGAAATGATTCGATTACTAAAAACAATTGATTTTTCAAAATATAATAAAAGAACATACATTATTTCCTCAGGCGATTTTTTAAGTAAAGAAAAAGTTAAAAAATTGGAAGCAGAAAAATTATCTACAATTAAACATACAGGAAAAGTATTATTAAAATTAAACTTTATAAAGGTTTAAACATTTAATAGTATAATATAAAAGTTATTCCACGAGCACGTCATGTGGGTCAATCATGGTGTACTACACCATTTTCTTCATTATTAAGTCTTATATTATGTTTAAAAATATTTTTCTGGAACAAATTAGGAAGACCTGATCTTGTATATAAAAACTATCTAATTTTTCTATTGTTAACTCAAGAAGCTCTTGTGCAATGGCCCAGGAAGTAGCGTGATAATATGTTTAAGTGCTATAATTATTGAAGTAAAGACAACAACAGTATACTAGTCTATTAATATAATGCAAATATAGGTATTTGGATTTAGACGTCCTGATATTATATTTATAGAATCATTTGCTCGTGTAAAATCGTTATCACTTTCTGGAAAACTATTACTATTTTTTGCTGACAGATTTATTGTTCAATGGCCAGATTTAATAAAAAAATACCCACAAACAGAATATTATGGTATTTTGATATGAGATTATAAAAAATAAAAACAAAAATATCATGGCTATGCTCCAAAAAATGTAAATCTATTTAGAAAAATGATTATTTAAATTTTCATAATTTTTAATGCTTAAAGAAATGGATTTAATAACTTTCTCTGAAATTGCTAGATATGATATGATTGATCTTTCTCTTAAAACTCCATTAAACATTCATACAAGACTAGAACTATTATGATTAAAATTAAATTGTTGAATTGATAGTTTTTCTATGTTCTTTTTGACTAGCCTATATTTGGAATATTTATTTCGAAGTTCATCTTCTATACTTAAAGGAATAGGCGGAGAATATAATGTAGGAGTAAATGTTTTTGTCCAAACATTAGCAGCTTTCGTATCATTTTTATACTCTAAGTTTAACTTAATTATTATCAAAAATATGCCTATGTTTTTCTACCTTTATATCTTTGTTCTCGTTCTTTTTCATCTTTAGGTAAATTAACAGGCCAAGGCAGAAACTTATTCTCGCCTACAACCCATCGTCTCCATGTTAATATTTTCCTATCTTTATTATAAAATAAATTTCCCCTATTAATGTGTTTAACAACAACCCTAACAATCTGTTAGGCATACAGTTTAAAACCCTAATAATATACAATTTCTTTGTCCCATATTTTTCTCCTGGAATTTCACCAATAAGTCGTACATTAGAATAATGTATAAACATCGGCATTTCAATTACATTGTTTGTCATATCTTTTGTTCGTAACACTTTTGGTATATATTTTTTACACTAACTTATCAGACTAATGCTACTTACAATCTTATAAATTTAATCACCATTTTTAATCCTTCTACTTTAAGTCTATTTGTCCATTTATCAATTTCAATCACTTTTCCTTGACGGCCTTTATCTTTACCTGAAATCACCTGGACCTACACAGTCTTAGAAATGTATATTTACTCTTTTATAATAATTCTACGTACTTCATCTCCTATTGCAATATTCCAAAACTTAATACGATCTTTAGGATGAACCCAACAAAGACTATGACTTATTGGAGAACCCATTTTTCCACCACCCGAATTTTTAAATTTTGACCAAACATTACGTTTAATATGTTCAATACCTTTTATTTTATTAGTCATAAAATATACATTACTTTTTATATTCTTTGTTATTTTTCTAATACAAAATATTAATATATTTACATAATATTTTTTAAATTCGGACACTACAAATTTTTTTACCTTATCCGTCTTTTAAAAGATTTACCAATAAAGAAATAACTAAAAAGTCATTAGAAAGCGAAGAAATAAATATTGGGAGTATTCTGGGTAGATTTTGAAAAGGCTCTGTGTGTAATATATTGATGTGGAATATTCTGCTGCTTTCTGCATTATCTTCGTTGTTTTTACATAAAAAAATATATGCGGCAGATGGCAGAACAAATCAAGCATTTTTACATTCCGATCATGCTCAAGTCAAACTTCTTTCTAGTTCATTTAAAAAATCAGATAAAGATACCTATAATTATAGAATGATTGAACTTCCCAATGGGCTTCAAGCTTTACTAATTAGTGATCCAACTGCCGGTAGTTCAGCAGCATCAGTAGATGTTGGAGTAGGTCATTTTAGTGACCCAGTAAGTTCTTAAAAAGATAATGTGTTCTTAGGACTTAATTATTATTTAGGATGAAGTTCCCGGTCTTGCTCATTTCTGTGAGCATTTATTGTTCATGGGTACTAAGAAGGTTAATATAAGAGGTTGTTTATAATATTGTTATTAATATTTAAAGTATCCTGGAGAGAACGACTTCTCCTCTTTTTTATCTGCACATTCTGGCTACTATAATGCATACACTTCAATGGAAAATACCAATTATTTCTTTCAAATAATACATGAGAATTTCGAAAAAGCACTTGACATGTTTTCTCACTTTTTTATTGATCCACTGTTTTCTAGAAGCGCAGTCGATCGCGAAGCGCGTGCTGTTGATTCTGGTATTTTTTGTTTTTTTTTTTTTTTTTAGAATTTTTGAACTTAAAAATTTTAGAAAATAAAAAAAATCTGCAAAGTGATTTATGGCGTCTTTTTCAATTGGAAAAGTCTCTTTCGAATCCCAAGTCTCCTTATTCAAAGTTTGGGACAGGGACTTATCAAACATTAATCACTGAGCCAAAAAAAAAAGGCTTGGATGTTATAGAAGTACTTCTCGATTTCCATGGAAAATATTATTCTTCAAGATTAATGAAACTCGTTGTGTTTTCAAAAGGTACAAGAATGCATTAAGTATAATATGTTTTCATTGTATACTAGAGACACTTGATGAGCTTCAGGATTTAGTCCTTAAATATTTTTCTGGTGTTCCTGATAATGGGTCTGAAAGGCCAGTTTTTATAGAGAAGCCACTTACAAAAAAAGAGCTTTCTGTAAGATTTTTTACTTTAGTTATGATGCTCATATATATTAGCAACAACGCTGGGCTAAACCAATAGCTGATATGTTGTTAATAGAACTTGTATTTCCCATTGATGGTCTTTCGACTTTGTATAAGACAGGAGCTTCAGATTATCTTGAATATTTGATAGGTTAGATTTTATAATTTTTATGTTTATTTTTTAATCAATAAATTAGAGCATAAGGCTTCTGGATCTATTTTTAGTTTATTACAAACAAAAGGATGGATAACTGATATTGGGTTAGTTTTTAGTAGAATTTCTGGATTTGTATTTATATCTTTTATAGTGTTTCTAAAGAATATATAGTTTCAGGCGTAGAGTTTTTTAGGATACAATTAGATCTCACTGATGATGGATTTGGTATTATTTTATTATTTTTTTGGAAAGTGATTTATTTTTTATAGATAATTATGAAGATGTAATTGTCACAGTATTCCAATATATAGAAATGATTAAACGTTTGTCTTATTTTAATTAAAATATAATATTAACAATAATAGAATCAGGTATTCCAAAATGGGTTTACACTGAATTAAAATCAATATACGATCTTGGATTTCGTTTTAAAGATCCTGAACCATTGCATCGTTATGTTTCATCATTGTCTTCTCTTATGCAAGAAAAACACATAGCTCATGAAGATTTATTATCTTATTTTATTCCTCAGGAATACAGTAAAAATGATATCTTGAAATTTCTTGGGTTTTTAACTCCAAAAAATTTTATACTCAATATTGTTAGTAAAACTCATCCTGGTAATTGGGATAAAACAGAAAAATGGTATGGTACGCAATATAAAGTTGAGCCTTTATCAGCAAACATTACACAGGTATAGTAAAAAATGCTACTGTTTTATTTTAAGATTATTAGAAACTTGCTAATTTATCCGAAAATGATTTATTGAAATTACCTATTGAAAATAAATTTATTCCAAAGACCTTTGTTATAAAACCGAAATTGGATAAAGTAACTTTTAGACTCCTCTTTATATTAATTTGACTTTACTTAGAAACTCGATAAACCTTATCTTGTATTTAATAACACGCTTCTTCGTTTATGGATGAAATGGGATGATACATTTTCTTCTCCTAAAACATATTTAACGTTGGCTTTTCAATCGTAATATTATTGGAAATAATGTTTAAACTATAATTTATTTTGTTTTAGTCCTAAATATTACCTTACTTCTCGTCATGCGGCAGAAACAGCGTATGTCTTTAAAATCTGTATAAATTGTACTAAAAGGTTATAGTGTTTATATCGATATGATTTATGATGATCTTGGGGATTTGCTTTATTATGCAGGTGTTGCGGGAAATGAGCTTTATATAGATGGTTATAATATGGGGTTTTACTTGACTATATATTGTTATACCGATAAAGTATATGATTTGTTGTCAGCTTTTATGGATGCCATGCTAGAATATTATCCCAATCCGAATAAATTTGAATTTTACAAGAATAAACTTATGTCAAGGTATAGTACTGATATTACTATGCCTTATAGATATTTGTTCTATTATGTTCGACATCTCTATAATGACAAGTCATGGGCAGATTACAACATCTTTTATTCATTGCAAAGTTTATTTTTTCTTCAAATCTATTTTTTATTAATTTTGTTGTAGCACTTACTTATTCGGATATGATATCATTTCGTATAATGCGCTTTTCTAGAGTTTTTGTAGAAGGGTTAGCACTTGGTGGTCTTTCTTTTGTAAAAAATATATTTATAATCAAACTGATTATCTAACTTTTTTAGGCTTTTCCAGGTTACGTTAAATTTTTACTAAATAGGCTTGGTCCTGTTCCAATATATCCATATCAGAATCTTCCATCGCGAATACAAATGCTTGATAAAGGTTAATAATTATTGGTTTTTCCATACACATTTAATATACTTTTAGGAAGCAACTACATTTATGAAGTAGATTTAGAGGATCCTAATGAATTAAATTCAGCTGTTCTTTATTCTCTTCAACTTGGTAGTGCGGAAGATTCAAAGTTATTAGCAGCATCTCAGTTTTTACTCCTTATTGCTAAAGATCCAGCCTTTACTCAATTAAGATCAATAGAACAATTAGGATATATTGTTAAAACTGCTCTTGGTGAACATTCACTTTACCTAGAGTATTTTTTTTTATATAATTTTTAATTTTTACTTATGCTTATAGTTATCGAATTATGATTCAAAGTTTAAGAGACCCTATGTATTTAGAACAACGAATTATTGCTTTTTTATATAAATTATCAGCAATGATAGATGCTATGACAGAAGAGGAATTTAAAGCGCATGTTAAAACTCTTATTTCTTTAAATCAGAGGAATTATCGAAGTTTAAGAAGTGAAGCACTTGATTATTGGACTTTTATTCTTACAGGAACATATGATTTTGAGCGGTGTAAGTTATATAGTTCATGGCTATTTATAATGATAACAATAATTTAGATTTAAGGGTTAACGAAGAACTAACCAAATTAAAGAAACAAGATTTAATTGATATGTTTCGAAAATATATTTATCCTATTTCTCCTGATAGGAAAAAACTTTCTGTTCATTTAAGGTCTAAAACTTTGGAAGAAGTTTCAGTTAGGGATTTGTCTCTTGAAAGGCTGTATTATTTTTTCGAATGTAAAATGTTGAAAATTCCATATAATGACCTAGTCGCTCTACTAGAATCAAGTAACAGGCTATCAGAATTTAAATTAAAATTACAGGTTTATCTTATTGAGAAATATCCAGAACAAAATATTCTCGAATTTATTGAATATGTTTTTGAATTCCTTAAGAACCAATACACGAGAATTAAACAAAGAATTAAAAAGAGTTATGATGCAATACATTTTTCAGACGTAACTGCGTTCAAGAGCAGTTTAAGATTGTCATCTCCTCCTTTCCCATTATCACCATGGGAAAAATTTTATTATAAGCGTCAGCCTACTGTTTTGGGAGCTGTATAAAATTATACGTGGAAATATATTATAGCTTTTAATTTACTTAATTTTGTTTCAAGTGTATTACATTAAATATATAATTAAACATTTAAAGTGTATTATTTATAAAGTTCTATTTTGAAAACGTACCCCACCTGTATAAATGTTAAATTTAATATTTTTAAAGTATGGCGCACAATAGCTACATGAAATATCTTCATTTTCATCTAAATTGATATATATTTTGGGATGGCCAAGTTTTCCACCACCTTTATAAATGTATTAACATTTTACAATAAATCTATAAAATTACCATCACATGAAACGACTCTTTGATTTGAAAATTTAATAGGTATATTTGCTATTAGTTCAATTGCTGATTCAGGTTGAGGCTATTAACTAAGTTAATATAGTAAAATGAATATTTAATTATTTTTATACTTGTAAGTTAAAATCAGTCTGCTCAAAGCGAGGTCCTCTCATTTTCTGGTTTTTTAATTCTTGCTTACATAATGACCTTGTTTTATAGTTTAGTTCTTTTGGAATATAAATAGGATTTTTTTTTTTAAAATTCAAATATATATTCTGTTTAAAATTTCTTTTAAAAAACAGAGATTTCACTTTAACTTTTTCTCCAAAAAAGAAATTATTCAATATTGTTTGTTGTAATTTTTTTAAATTATATCTATTCATTATTATTATTATTATACGTTTTTTTTTTAAAAAATATATTTATATTTTAATCGAATTGTTTTTTAGCATTTCCTAAAATTTAATTTTAAAATAAAAACTAAAACTCAAAAAATTAATATATATTTATAAGTATTATATATTTTTATTATATATTTTTTTATGTTTTAATATTCTGAAAAATATATTAAATAAATTATTGATTATTTCATTAGAATTGTTAAATATAAGAGTTATTATTATAATTTTTATAAATGATTATTTTGAATAAAATATTGGTTTATTAAGTAATTTTTATGATTTTAATACTAATAATAATAAATAAATATTTTATTATTGTAAATAGTACATTTTATTGAAATTTTATTAGACATTCTCATTTTTCTAAAAATTTAGAATATTTTCAATACTTTATTACTTTTATATATTATTCATTTTAAAGTTTTTTTAAGATATTTTAAAAAATAATTTTTTAAATATTCAATATTTTTTTATCCTTAAATATATAATATTAAATATACTAATATTAATTTATATAAAAATCTATAAATAAAATCAGTAACCTTAATATAAAGTAGTTAATATAAAAATTATTTAATATATTTTAAAATATTTTTTATTTTTTAAAATAATTAAATTTTACTAATTTTTAAAATAATAGTTTATTTATATTAAAAAAGTTGTATTTATATAACTTTTTATTATATTTTAATTTTTATATATTAAATAATACTTGTAATTAACAAAACGTTATTAAAAATATAAAATAAATCAAAATAACAAATATATCAGTGTTTTCAATAAAATAATACTAATAAAATTAAAAGTTTCAAACATATTTATAAACCAACAATTATCTAATTATAGCTAGTGCTTTATCTTTTCCTAATGATTTAATAAGTAATTTTTCAAAAACACTTTCTTTTTGAATATAGTATTTTTTACATTTATTTTGAGCTCTATGTAATCGTTTTTTTAATTTTTGATTTTCTTCCTTTATCCAAAGTAATTTTCGTTTTAAAAAGTTTGAAAGATCATAAAAAGACATTGCAACTTCGTCTTCTGACCATTCAATTAATTTATCATGATTATTCTGAACAAATTCCTTATCATCAAAATGCGTGTCTTCATTCTTTAAATAAAAATTCTCAATATTCTTATTCGTTATAAGTTGATTTTGTAAATAAGGATTTTGAATATATGAATTAAAAGTAGATGAACATAAAAAATTCAAGTTATGTATAATTTTCATATGTTTTTTAAGACTATTTAAATGAATAAATGACTTACCGCATTCTATATATTTAAATACATATGTTATTTTATTTTAAATATACCTGGTATTGTACAAGAAAAAGATTTTTCTTCTATATGAAATTTAAGATGAATAATAAAAGATGAACGAGACATATGCGTTATTCCTTTTAGAGGACAATTATCCCATTCACATATATATATGGATTTTATATTTCCTATGTGAACTATTATAATAAATTAAAATTCAATTATTAGATTAAATATTACTATTATATAAATGTTTTATAAGATTATCAAAACTTCCTTGGTCTTTATAACATCCATTCCATTTGCATGTTGTTACAATTGATAACTCTTCTTTTGGTGTACTAGGTAAAGATCCACTTGTATCAGATGAAATTGACGTAGTATCTTGATATGATCTTAAAAGAGATAAATTATGTATTTCTCTTTCAGTATAAGACGAATTCCAGTCATTTTTTGAAGACATAGCGTCAACTTCTAATTGAGTCTTTTCCTAATCGTTTTAATATTATGTTAAAAGTCAAACGTTTATCTTTTCATAAAATTTTGCATATCGAAAATTTTATATATTCTATTCAAAAGTTAAAGTCTTAATATTTCTATACATTTTTATTTAAATCATTTTTCTAATCATTAAAAAACCATGAAATTATGAATACAGAAACAATAAAAAATATTTTTTTATATTTTGCAAAGCTGATAATATTGAAAAAAGGATAAAATAATTTTAAAAAAAACCTTTATTTTATGAATCTATATTTAATTTTTATATTATTGAAATTTAAGTCTCTATAAAATTGCTTTTAAATGTATTTTATAATCTAATAAAATATAAAATTTATTAATCTATTCATTTTATTTAAAAATTTCGTTATTTAGTGTTAAATAATCATAAAAATTTATTGTTTTATCTGAATAAATATACATCAATATACACCTAATTTATATTTATTTCTAATAAAATTAATTATTAAAATTATTTTTCAAAAATATTTGCTTTATTTTTTAGATTTTCTTTTAATAGTAGTAAGAAAATGTTTTTTAAAATAATTTAAATTTTTAAAAAGGTGGGCCGACCGTGGATCGAACACGGGACCTTTGCATCTTCAGTGCAACGCTCATCCCAACTGAGCTATCAACCCACCTCAAACCTTTGCTTCCAAAATTAAATTTTATATGATATAGATTTTATTAAATTATTAAAAAATTATTAAAAAAGTTTAAAAAACTGAAAAATAGTAAAAATAATAAATAAACAATGATAAGAATTTTTAAAAATATTATTGCTTTTTATCTTTTACAAGTGTTGAAGAAATTCCGTATATTTTGCTCCAAAGATTATTAGTATTTTTTATAACGTCAATATTTTGTATCCATAAAGACGTAAATCGAAGACTATTATTCCATCTTTCTTTGATTAATTCTGTCCAAGACATTAATGGTACAACTGATGTCCATAATGGTTTTTTGGCATTATTTTGGTTTTTAAGTCGAAATAATTGACATTCTAATGACTCAGAAATCATATCTCTTGTTGAACGAATTTGTAAAAGTAACATGTATGTTATTGAAACAGATAACATTGTGCCGCTTAGAAAAAAATATATTTTTGACATAAATGATATATTTTTAAAGAATGTTTTTAATTCTTGAATAAATTTATTAATATTTGACGAATTTCATTAACTTTTTATTTAATTTTTAAAAATTCAATTGTCGATTTTCCTTAATTTCCATAATTATTTAAAAAAATCAAGAAAATATTAATTTAATAATCATAGAAATATGCCTATAAAACCGCGATGGCGGAAATTTAATCGATTACCGTCTCACAGGTATATTTCTTTTTTTAATAAACATTTAATCATATCTATATAGACAAAGTCTTCTTAGAAATATTGTATCTTCTTTAATTATATACGAATCAATTCAAACAACCTTTTCAAAGGCCAAAGAGTCCCAAAAAATAGCGGATAAGTTAATTACTTACGCTAAAAAAGGTCTTTATAATCAATCTGCATATAAACATGTTCAATCAATCGTTTATGGAAGCTAATGACTATTTTCTTAGAATTAATATTAATATGTTATAGAAACCAAAGATAACAATTCCGAAATTATATGGAATTCTTAAAAAGCGATTTTCTGAACGTCATGGTGGTTATACTCGTGTTTTAAAATTACCTTCACGAAAAAGTGATTCAGCACCTATGGCAGTTTTAGAATATGTCGATGGGCCCAAAGACATTCGATTTCTTATGAGTGCAAAAACTATTGCTTATAGTAAAGATTCAAATTTAGAAAAATCAAAAATTACTATAAAAAATATTCAAAAAACAACACGTTTTCAAAAAGAAAAATTAGCTATTTTAAAAAATACTAGTATTGAATTTCGAAACTTTTTAGTAAAAAAACACTAAATGCCAGATAAACATTTGATTTCATTTATTATTACATAAAAAATATCTACATACATATACTATTTTATAATTTTATCTAAAAATTTCATTCAGTAGCAGCTGCTCTATACCAACGAATAGCCTTATCAGCACCAACACTAATAAATCCTTCACATGTTCCCTTTCTAGTCCATTTTACACTCCAAATAGCACATTGACTATCGTTTTGAGTCCCTACACATTCTTTTTTTTCAATTTCCCATACTTTTGTTGTTCCATCAATCGCCCTATTTAAGATTATTTTAATCATGTTTTTAAATGACTTACCCACTAACAAGATATTCTCCTGTAACATTCCAGTCAACAGAAAAAATCCAGCCTTTATGTCCTGTTAAATTTGCAACCTGTTCTCCAGATTGTACATCATATAAAGTAATTACTTTTGAGTCACCAGCTGCAGCAAGAAGACTAGAATTGGGTGAAAAGGAAACAGATCTTATAGTTAATGCATGCCCTTATTATTTATTATTTGATGTGAATATTTTCAAATCATTTACCTTGTAAAGAATGCAGTAATTTTTTTTTTTCAACACTAAATACATATAAACCACCTTTTTCATGACCTGTTGCTATATATAGTCCATTTTTTGACTATCTATATTAAAAAAAAAAAAAAAAAGATTTAATATACATAATCAATACATATACCGAAATTGCCCCTAGTCTCAAGCTCAACAATATTTTCTTTAGTTGATATGTCCAAAATATTTAAAGATCCTTTATAAGAAGTAGATGCTAATATTTTCCCATCAGGCGATAATGCAACAGTCCATGCTTCCCCAGGCTTTGTCTCTCCATTTTTTCCACCTAAACGCACTATTTCTTTAAATTCCTTAAGATCCCATATTATAACATCACCTATGAATCCAGAACTTGCTGCTATAAAACCATGACAACTTTTTGAAATACTAATACTATGTCCACCAATTTTATGGCCTGCATTGAAACTATGAATAAGACGATGATCTTGTGAATTAGCATCCCAAACTCTCAAATAAGAGTCTCCAGAAATAGTTAAGGCAAATTCTGAAGTTACAGCAAGAGCATATATGTCTGCTACATGTGCTAATATAAATTGTAAATTTTATAAAAAAATACAATAAACTTCAAAAACCATTTTCCTCAGTGTGAGCTATTAAATATTGTACCTTCTATTATAAGTTATTATAAGTTAATATTTATTTCTGAACTTATAAAATCTTAATTACCATATAAATTTCAAGTTAACACTTAATTTTTAAATATCATAATTTTAACTTTTAAAAATTTATTATAAATTTTTAAAAGGTATAACCAAAATTTAATTAAAATTTAAAACCAAATTTGCAAAAAAATAAGAATTTAAGGAATCAAAAAATTATTTAGAAATCCCGATTCTCGAATATTTATATATTTTCATATCGTTACATAAATTTCTATTTTTTATAATTATAAAATTTTTTAAAATTATTATTAAATTTAATTAAATTTAATGACTGTTTTGAATTTATAATATTTTTCGTGTTTTCGATAATATTATGATTTTTCTGAAATAATTTGATAAATAACTCTTATAATTTTTACAAATTCTTTCAATTCAAATTGGCATATTTCATTTAGAATAGTATAATTAAAAAAACAAATTTAAAATATATAAAATAAAAATAATTTAAAATAAAAATAATTTAAAAAAGGTAATTAGAATTCAAATTTTCTATGAAAATAATGATTTGAGAGTTAAGTTACATAAAATCTTTAAATTCTTTATAATAGGTAAGATTGAAGAAAATATAAGAAAATATATTTATGAGCTTTTTTTGTAAAAAACAATAATAAATAAATAAATTAAAACAAAATTAGAACTTGGAATTTAAAAAAGAAAAAAAAAAAAAAGATTTTTTTAAATATATTTAAGATACTGTAAATTATATAAAAAGCTAATTAGCAAAAATATTCATAAATATGATTGAAATAATGAAAAAATAAAAGAAATAGAAAATAATAATAAAATAAAATAAATTTTACTATTAATTTTACTAATATTTAATACTATCCCATACTATATTGTATTAAAAGTAGATTAAAGTTTAATGGATTTAAACATTTAGTTATGAATTTAAACCTATGTAAGATACAGAAAACAATAGAAAGAACAAAAAATCTAGTAAAATTTAATAACTAGATAAAAAATAAGCCATTATTAAAAAAATCCATCATAATAATAATTTTAATATAAATAATTTTACAAACTATTTTTTAATCAATAAGAATAATTATTATTATCAAATACATTACTTTGAAACAATGTTTTAAACCTTTATGAAAAAATTAAAAATATAGAATATAAAATAATTTATGAAAAAAATATATGTTTGAAATATCAATTATTAATTATCAGAATAGCATTTATCTAAGAATATTTATAAATTCATAAAACCATAAATAATATTTCCAAATTAAATATTTAAAATCTTTAAATAAAATTTAAAATTTTTAAATATAAATCAAATTGAAATTTAAAATCAATTTTTATTTTCTGTTTTATTAATAACTTTAATAATATTAATTCAAATTTTAAATAAAAGCTTTGTATCAATTATATTTTTCAAAGCATATTTTTCTAACAATTTTTACTTCCAAGAAATATTTTAGCAATTTTTAAAACATTCACTAAACCTTTAATATATATATAATTATAATAAAAACCATCCTTATTAAGTTTATAAAATTAAAATTAGTCTTAAAAATGGAAATTAAAATCTAAATTAAATAATTTACTAGCAAATTATCAATATTGCGTTATATATAAAATACTAATTTATTTTAAATCTTGTAAACAAATAATCTAATATAATTTTCAGCTATTAATGTTTCTTATACATTTAAAGTTAGTGTTACGCGTAGTACGCGTAGTAACCCTAAATATCTAAAAACAAAAATCGACAAATCAACAAATCTTAAAAATTAATACATTCACGAAAAAAATTTTAAAAACAAATCCTTTTATTGTTATAATATTTTAGATAATATAAACTATTAAAAATTTTCTAAATAACCTTCTAGACTAGGCAACTTAAAAATTAATATTTTAAAATAGATTACTGAAAATAGAACAAAAGGCATATTGGAAACTATTGAAATAAATAATTAAGTTATAGATATATATGTATAAGAATAATATTTTTTATTTTTTAACTAATATATTAGTAAATAATTTTTTTGATATCGTAACTTTTTATCTATTTTCAAATCAATTGTATATTAGAAAATAAGATAAATTCATTTATTAATTTATTATTATTTATTTTTTTTTATGCAATTATTTTTAGGAACGTGTATTTTTTTAATCTTTATTAGTATAAAAAGAGTTTTTTCAGAGGGGGAGGGTTTTTTAAGTAACTTTTGTTTTTTTTTTTCTTAGTTTTAATTTTTTAGACCTTATCAATGATTATTCTCCATTATATGAAGATGATCCATTACTTTCCTCTATACTTAAAAGTGATGGATACCATGTTCAATTATATGAACAATTAAAATGGATAGAACACGAAAATTTAAGGCAGAATTACATAGATGATTACTATTATTTAGCTACTATATTAGATAACAATGATTTATATTATTATTGTGAAGTTAGATTAAAGGAAGCATGCATTAATATAGAAGACGTAAATAAAAGATTCCAAGAGATTTGTAAAAACCCTGAAGCATCATGCAAGGGTACATACAATAAAGTTATGAATAAAGTAAAAGAAGTAGCTACTAACTTTTCAAATAAAAAAACAAATGAACATGATCGATGTAATAAGTTACAAGTTAAATGCTTTTTCCTAGAACGTCATGGTCCAAAGCGTATTGGTGCTGAGTGTGCAGCATTAAAAGAATATTGTTACAATAAAGTCCGTATGGGAGTGACTGAAGTAATTGTTTATGATTTTCTGAGAGGGACTTCAAATGATTTAAAGACATGTACAAGGAAACTTCGAAATGAATGTCAATTAATTAATCAGCGAAGTCCCGAATTATTCGATTTGTGTGTCAATGTTGACACTGTTTGTAACAAATTTATTTTGAAATCTAAAGAGGAATGTCAAAGTTCTCAGGCTTTATTTTCATCGAATCAAATCTCAGAAAAAGAATGTAAGACTTTGCTAGCAAAATGCTATTCTATTCTTTCAGACTGCCCTGTTCTTCGTCCAAAATGTCGTTCATTAAAAATGGAATGTGCAGAAAAAGGCTTTTTTTATGATATTTCGGAAAATCATAATTTTAATCTTCTTGAAAACCCGTCTACTCATATGAACAGAAATGGTGTTGAATATGCGTATGGAAAACTATATAATTCAGGCATATATGTTGCTAAAATACAGAATCTTTCAGATTTATTAATTGCCGATTTTTTGATAAATAATACAAAAGCAGGAGACAGAGATTGTAAAAAAGTGTTAAATAAAAAATGTTCTTCGATAAATTATTTAAGCTACATCAAGCCTATATGCAATGTATCTTCAAATAATGAATATAAAATTTGTAGAAAGATATATTACAAAACTGGACATTATTGTTATTTACTTTTAGGAAAGTTCGAAAAAAGTAATCAATTTTGGTGGTATCCAGATCGTCCTCTTTCAAAAATCCAATGTGAAGAATATCTTTCAATATGTTATTTTATTGGTAAATATTTTCATTACTGGAGGGGTTACGATACTTGTAAATATGTACGAGTTATTTGTTATCAAGAAGATTTAGATGTAGCTACAAATCTGGTTTTAATAAAAAAGTTGAGTGGAAGGTTTAAATTAAAAAGAAATGATCAAGGAATCATAGCTTTACATCGAACTATGAGCGATTGTAAAAATGCTCTTTTAGAAGAATGTGGCAATTTTATGTATCATAGTTATCCTATACTATATAAATGTTTACGTCCAAAAGAAACATGCAAAAATTTAACAAATCTTCTTGATAAAAACTGCGAAAGATTAGAGAAAAATTTAAAAGCGGCAATCCCAAATCCTGAATATGCTACATGTAGACAACTAAAAGAAGAATGTAATGAATTAGGACCATATTCTGAATATACGTTGATATTATGCAAAATTTTCAAAAAAATGTGTGAAAATGTAGATAAGTTAATGGAATTCAAATTAAGTGCACTTAAGGAAAAAAATTCAGTTTTAAAAAATAACACTACTTGTTTGAATTATCTCGACAATTATTGTTCGGAAAATGTCTCAAGTCACATATGTACTAATAAAAATAAATCATGTACACAAATTTTAGATCAAATTCCAATACACTGCGAACAATTATCTTTTTATTTATCATATTATAAATCTTCTAATGGTCAAATAAATCATATAAATTATGGTCGTTGTTCTCAATTCCTCAGTTACTGTAAAATGCTCGAAGAAACCTGTCCTAATTTAACTAGTATATGTTCTCAAGTCGAACAATCATGTAACAAAGTTTCAACTCAAAAGAAAAACGTTATCGCTTTGATCAAAGTCGTTGGCAAAGAAATATTTAATCATAGTAAATGTGAAAAAAAATTACATGAAGTATGCAATGATACTATTATGAAAAAAACAATGAATGAGCTATGTACTGAAGTTAATAATACATGCAAAATTTTGAAATTACATTTAGAAGAAATATGTGATCAGCTTACATTAAAAATCTTTAAATTTTTGTTTACTAATTCTAAATCTGAAATAGAATGTCAGAAATTAATACCTTTATGTTCATCTATAGCATCTTCTTGCAATGAAACTAATGTTAAAATTCTTCCTTTATGTCATAATTTTACTAGTGTATGCAGCAAATTACTTGAACCGCCGAAACCACCAACACCACCAGCACCACCAGCACCATCAGAACCATCAGAACCATCAGAACCATCAGAGTCACCAGAAACACCAGAAACACCAGAAACACCATCAGAGCCAATACCAAAACCACCGGAACCAGAAACACCATCAGAACCAGAAACACCACCAGAACCACCAGCACCAGAGACGCCATCAGAACCAGCACCAAAACCACCAGAATCACCAGAATTGCCAGAGCCAAAACCAACACTGACAAATTCAACTACAATATTAACAAGTACACAATTGTTAACGATATGTTTACCAACTACATCAGCTACGCATTCATCAGCTACACGTTCATCAGTTACACGTTCATCAACTACACGTTCAACTACACGTTCAATTACACGTTCATTAAGGCCTAAACCAACGACATCCTCTGACGATAGACATACAATAGGCTTTGGAATTAGATCAAGAAAATTAAGGGGAACAGAGTTAATCTGGATGGTTGCAGGAACAATACTGGGAATGTGGATAATTGTTTAAAATTAGAACAATATTCATTTATTAGTATTTTCGTGAAATGTTTTTGATGATTGTATAACTAATACTCATTTATAAGAATGAAAAATTCATTTGAATATTTTTAGGAAATAAAAGAATTAAATTATGAATATTAAATAAAAAAATTATATTTTATAAAGTATTAATGTTTTGCAATTGATTATAATTTAAAGAATAAAGCCTTTTCATTTTTAATTGTATTATGAAAAATACAAATATAGTTAAATACATTCAATGCATTTATTTTACTATTTTTGAAAATTATTTTTTTTTTTCTAAAAAAAAATCAATTCTTTATAAATTGATCATATTTTTTACAATTAATTCAAATTCAAAAAAAAAAAAACAGTCTTTTATATATTAAAAAAATGCTTTGAACAATCAAAAAACATGCATAATAGTTCTATAAACATAATATAAAATGAAAAATTCCAAAAGTTCCGTAAATAAGAAAAATACATAAAAAGCCAAAAAGAACAATAAAAAACAAATGCATGGATTTTCAAAGCAAACTTAAGAATAAATTAATTTAAAAGCAAAATAACAAAAGATATTGAATCTTTCAAATGCTAAATATCTGAAAAATGAACAAAAACATCTAGTTTTAAGAATATTTAATATATCATAAATAAATTATTATAAAAAAACCTGAATAACGTAAAATTCTTAAAAAAAGACTGAAAAAAAATCTTAAACAAAATCAGATTTAAAAAACAAAACCAAAATGGATAAAATGAAAATTAATAACAAGAACCCAAGAAAAAATAATAAGAAATACAGAAATAGGAATTATAAAAAGTATTACTAATAAAATTATATCATTTAAAATATTTAATATATTTTAAGAATATTTTTTTATGAAAATTTATAAATTTAAAAACAAAAACTAAACACAAAAATAAGACATGTAAATACAATACAGAACAATGCCTATCTATCTATTTATCGCATATCAGTTATTAATATTATCGTTTATCACTATTTTTTAGTGAGAACGATATTTTTTCGACGTCAAATATGAAACATTTTTTATAAAAATTATTTGTTGTTATTATAGATGAAAGCATTCGTATTAGCCAGTTTTCTTGGTATAGCGTATGCTTTCTCGAAAAACATTGGTATTATATATATTATATATATTATATTTTATTTTTTCACGTTTTTAATTTTTTTTTAGAATTCATTCATAAAAGATCTGCATCAGATCCATCACAAGATCCGTCACAAGATCCGTCACAAGATCCATCATTAAACTTATTACTTGATTCATCATTAGATTCATTAAGGTATAGAAAATTTTAAGCAGCAACAAAACATACAAAATTAACATTTTTATGCAGCGAAGAAAAAGTTTTATCTTTGATTCTAGGAAAAAACCCAGAGACTCAATGTGAGGGAGAATTAGAAAAATATTGCAGCAATTTGAAAGGTCTGGCCTTGGAGCCAAAGAATGTACATCCTGTGTTAGAAGGGCTTTGTGAAAATGCAAAGCAGAAATGCAGTAATTTTAAAATTCAAATTACTACTCTCATAGATAGTACCAAAGATTTTCTTCTAGGTATTGCTACAAATATTTCAAATGGTATGCTTTTAGAAAAAAGCCACTGCAACTATGCTCACGTTCAATGCATGATTTTTCGAAAAATTTCTGGTTTTTCTTCTATATGCGATGAGATAGCTGAGCAATGTTCTCGTATAATAGGAGAAAATCTAGCTTATGAAATTCTTTTAAGGGCTCTTAACGGAAATTTAGAAACTAAAACTACTTGTGAAACAAAAATTAAAGAGTCTTGCTCAAAACTAAATAAAGATTATTATTTAATGTTACATTGCTACAAATATGATCATACATGCACTGTTCTCCTTAATAAAACAAAAAACAACTGCGATGTTCTTAAAAATTTCAAAAATATATTAAAAAATGCTAATGCATTGAAAAATCATTGTTATCCTTTGCTCAGGAAATGTTATTTTCACTCACTAGACTGTGGAAATGGAGAGGTGCAGGACTGTGTAGAGCTTAAAAAAGATTGCGAAAGAAAAAATATCACATACCCCCCCCCCCCCCCACACAGTCTTCCTTTTAACCCATTAAGCTTTCCACCTACATTACAGGAAAAAATAAATCTTCAGGAATTTCACACAGAAGCCTTAACTCTTGGTGTTTTTCTTGGAAAATCATTGTCAGCAAAGTTTTCTCATTTTTTGTTATTTTCAAGCTATTATACTGGAGACAATTCAAGTAAATTACGCAATACTCAGTCTTGCACTAAATCTCTGGAAAAATGTCCTTCTTTTAAATATCTAACAAAAGAACTAGCAGATGCATGCAACAGAACTGACCCAAATAAGGTCTGCGAAGAATTAGACAATGAACTAAAAACAGAATGCAAGTCTCTTAAATTAGCTCTCTATAACAAAAAGCTTTCCAGCGTAAGCGATACTGCTACTGACTCTAAATCGTACTCATGGAGCGAACTACCAGAAACAATTTCCAAGGAAGACTGTATAAATCTTAGCCTGAAATGTTATTATATAAGTTCATACTGTTCTAATAATGTTCTTTTCAATGCATGTCAGAATTTAAAACGAAGTTGTTCTAAATCGGCATTTTACAAATTAGCATACGAAATATTGGAAGAAGGATTATTTGGATTACTTCACAACTTAGATTCAAATAGGACTAGAAAATGTGTAACCAAACTAGTAGAAAGGTGCCAAATGGTCAGAAACAACAATATAGATACACTTTCAATGTGTTTGAAACCAAAAGAAACATGCCAGGCACTTGCAGAGGATGTAAAACGAAAGAGCTATCGTCTACGGCATGTTTTAGATAAAACAAGAGATTATCCCCGAGAAAAGGATTGTCTCGTTTTGGAGAAACAGTGCGAAGACCTGACAAAGGATTTTGAAGAACTTAATGGTCCTTGTGCCACGCTAAAGAGGAATTGTGCTCATTTGAGGAACACGAAAGAAGTAAAAGACAGTTTGTTGAGTAAAAATACAGATATTTTGGCAAACGTCGATAATTGTACAACATATTTAAATAAGAAATGTCCTCGGTGGTTTAGGAGGGAAATAAATCCATTCAATCTTACATGTGTGGTGCATCACAAATCATGCGTTATAATGACTGAAGAGGTGCAAAATCATTGTTTGGCATTTAAGGAAAATGTGGAAAGTCACAATATCATTGAGGAGTCAAAAGACAATAAAAAAAAGGATGATATTTGTTTTCTTTGGGAGGGATACTGCGATATGCTTACAGGGAATTGTCCTGATAAACTAGAACAGGGTAATAATGGCAAAGATGGTCTTTGCGTAAGTCTCAAGAAGAACTGTAAGACGTTTCGTGAAAAATTGCCTCTATTAAAAGCCCTTATGTACAATATAAAAGGTTCTTTAACAGAAAAAGATACTTGCATTAAGAAACTAGATGATTATTGTACGAAATCAGCACACACAAACAAGACTCTTGAAGATTCATGTAAAGAATATAATAAAGACGAAAACACAAGAAGTGAAACTTGTGAAAAACTTGTCAAATGGATAAAAATATTATGCAATACCTTACCAGTCAAACTGGATAAAGCAGCTAAAGATTTGGAAAATAGAGCAAATGAATTTAAGAAAACTAGACAAGAAGCTGAAAAAGCCGTTAATGATTCTGGTTTATTCTTGGCAATTTCTCAAACAGCAGATGAGAAGAAGAATCATCATCTTCACAGCAATAACACGGCTTATGTTAGACTTGTACGTCGCGAGGATATCCCAGATATAGAGCCATCAGTGCGTCAAGGGTTAGCATTTGATCTAGTGTCTTTACTTCTAGAGTTGTATTTGGAAGCCAAGGGCATCTGTGATCATTTTATCCAAGAGTGTGTCCTTGAAGATGACTGTCCTAAGTTTAAAGACTCATGTAAGAAAATACATGAATCATGTAAGGAATTTGTGTTGCCTGATGCCAAACCTCGTGTAACAACGTCTGTATCAACAACGACGCTTACAGAGTCAACAACTATAACGGATACTCAGTCAGAATCTACTGTAGCAACTACAGTGATGGAGGGAAAGTGTGTTGCGCTTCATTCAAAGACCACGTGGGTAACAAGCAAATCAACATCTACAAAAACAACTACAACTACATCAGTAACAACACTAACACAAAAATGCAAACCAGTACCATGTACAACGGAAGAAACACAAACAAGAAAGCCTGAAACTAGAAGTGAAACAGATCATACAGTGATGCCAAACGAGGGGATAAAAATATCTGGATTGGGAGCAACGAGTATTGTTATATGGGTAATAGGAGTTTTTATTGTGATTTAAAGGGAACATTTGCTATGATTTAAAAAAAGTTTTTGTTGTGATTTAAAGGGAATTTTTGCTACGATTTAAAAAAAGTTTTTGTTATGGTTTTAAAAAATAATAAACATTTGCATTGGGCTGTAAAACTCGAGAAATTCAGAAGATATTCTAAAAAGTGATCTGAAGGAGAATTTCCTAGAGAAAGATATGGGAGACTCAAGAAGAACTTTAGGAATATCCAATAAAAAAATGTTCAACATAAATATTAAACAGTGCATAAATATTTAGTGCAGCAACATGAAGATCAATCAGACCTAAAGATTCCAGTATCGAATTCAAATGCAAACCTCAATTTTTAAGTATTTCCAAATTATACTCATATTATTAATTGAAAAGACACTTTAAACATCGTCATTAATACAGAAATGACATAGTCTTGTTCTTTTTTTCTCAAAAAACTACCTTTAAAACTTTCAATATTCAACATCTTAATGAAGGCAATATAAAATAGAAACAGCTTTAAAAGTCTGCCCACACAGCCAGCAAGCACGCTTTCTCTCACATTAATGTCCTCTAGATTTTGGCGCGGGCGGTGGCGCGGGCGGTTAAGCGGCAGGTAACAGGAGCATCAGGAGTAGATGAGGAGGAAGTGCGTCTTTTGGCTTTAATACTAAAAGAAGATTCTAAGGATGATAAAAAATGCGAAGAAAAATTAGAAAAACATTGCAAAGAATTAAGTGAAGCAAATCTAACTCCAGAACAAGTACATGAAAAGTTAAAAGATTTCTGTGATAGCAAAAAACGTGATAAAAAATGTAAAGAACTAAAAAAAAATGTTGAAAAAAAATGCGGTGATTTTAAAACAGAATTAGAAGAATTGGTGAAAAAGGAAGCTTCAAATTTGAAAAATGATGAGTGTACAAAAAATGAACAACAGTGCTTGTTTTTAGAAGAAGCATGCTCTGATCTTACAAAGAATTGCAACGATTTAAGAAACAAATGTTATCAGAATAAGCGTGATAAGGTAGCAAAGGAAGTTCTTTTAAGAATAATAAAAGGAAAGAATTTTAAAGATAAAAATTCATGTGAAAATAAACTGGAAGTATACTGTCAAGAATTAAGTCAAATGAGTGACGAATTGATGAAATTATGTTTTGATCAAAAAAATACGTGTGATAATCTTGTAAAAGAAACGCAACAAAAGTGTGAATCTTTCAAAAATCTTAAAACGGAAATTAAAACAATAAAGGAAGATGAACAACTAAAAAAAAAATGCCCATTATTATATGAAGAATGCATTTTTTATGATGAAAGTTGTGGAAACGATTCACTGAAGTGTAGTGAATTGGAAAAAAAATGTCAAGAGAAAAATATTACTTACACATTATCATATTCAGGGTTTGATCCTATAGAACCAGAAATTACATTAGCAGAAGAAGTAGACTTAGAAGGAATTTATAGAAAGGCAGCAGAAGAAGGAACTCTTGTTGGGAAACCTTTACCAGCAGATGCTACTGCTTTGGTGGCATTTTTGATTCAAGATCCATCTCTTACAACTCAACGAACTAACAAAGAAAAATGTAAAAAAATTCTTGAAGATAAATGTAAAAATTTAAAAGAACATGATATTATAAAAGGTCTATGCGAGGATTATAATGCAAATAAAGATAAGGACAAAAAATGCGAAGAACTTAGTACAGATATTGAAGAAACATGTAAATTTTTCATTTCAAAAACCCTTATGATTCATTTTTTTGGCGATGGAAATAAAAATGATGGAATTATTAAATGGGGGAATTTATCAACGTTTCTAAGCAATAAAGATTGTACAAAATTAGAATCGTATTGTCTTTATTTTGAAAAAAGCTGTAGAAGCGAAACTGCATGCAAGAATATCAGAGCAGCATGCTACAAGAGAGGACTTGACACATTAGCAAATGAAGTATTACAAAAAGAAATGCGAGGAATGCTGCATGGTTCAAATAAAACATGGCTTAGTGGTTTCCAAAAAAAACTCATAGAAGTGTGCAAAAAAGTGAAAAAAGAGAATAAAGGAGTTTTTCCGAGTAATGAATTATTTGTCTTATGTGTACAACCATCAAAAGCAGCTCGATTGCTTTCGCATGATCTTCGGATGAAAACTATCTTTTTGCAAGACGATTTGAACAGAAAGCGAGATTTTCCAGTGAAAGAAGACTGCGAAGAATTATTAAAGAAATGTGAGGCTCTAAGAAAGGATTCTAAAAAAATTGAATGGCCATGTCATACATTAAGCCAAAATTGTGATCAATTGAGAAACGCTAAAGAATTGAAAGAACTTTTACTAAATGAACATAAGGATATATTGAAAAATCAAGAGAATTGTGGAATGTATTTGAAGGAGAAATGCAATGAATGGTCTAGAAGGAGAAATGAACGTTTCTCTCTTTTATGTGCTTTGCAAAATAGGACTTGCAGAATAATGGTAGAAGATGTGAAAAATCAATGCAAAATATTTGAAAAAAACATTAAAAAATACCAAGGTATTGATAGTAAAACTAAAATAGAAGAATTAGGGACATATTGTCCTATTTGGCACCCACACTGCCATAGATTTGGACCCAATTGCCCGGATCTTGAAAAAAATAAATGTGAAGACTTTGAAAAATATTGCAAACCTTATTATAAGCAAAGAGACCTTGAAAATGCACTTATATTTGAGTTTAGAGGACATCTTGATAAGAAAAAAAACTGCAAAACAAATCTTGATAAGTACTGTACACTATGGGATCAAACAGGAAATAAAACACTTAAAGGTTTTTGTAACAGTTCTACTGATAACAATGAAACATTTAGAGATAAACTTTGCGAAAAACTAGTTCAGCGTGTGAAAGAAAAATGCCAAGGATTATCAAAAGAACTTGAAAAAGCAAAAAATGATTTAGAAGAAAAACATAAAGATTATGAAAAAGTAAAAAAGGATACAAAAAATGCAATGGAAGAAACAAATCTCGTTTTTTCAACAACTAAATCAACAGATAATAAAACAGAAAAAGGAGTCAAGCCTAGTACGCCTAGTGTAGTTCAAGATATTGTACATTTTAAACTTGTAAAAAGAAATGAAAAAGTTCAAGTGACAGAAAAAGAAGCAAAAGCGTTTGATTTGGTAGCACTAGCATTCAGTCTTTATGTAGAGTTAAAAGAAACGTGTCACCATCTAAAGGATGATTGCGAATTTAGAAAAGAATGTAAATGTAAAGACCAGTGCAAAGAGATAGAAAAAATATGTTTAAAAATAGAACCACTGAAAGTAAAGCCACATGAAATAAAAACAGTAACGGAAACCAACATAACAACAGTCACAGAAACAGTCAAAGAAGCAGAAAAAACAGTAGGAGACGGAGAGAAATGCAAATCTCTCAGCACAACAGACACGTGGGTCACAAAGACGTCAACCCATACCAGCACCTCCACGACTACGTCCACAGTTACGTCAAGAATAACACTGACCTCGACGAGGCGGTGTAAGCCTACGAAGTGTACGACAGGAGAGGAAGATGAAGCAGGAGAGGTGAAGCCGAGTGAGGGGCTGAGGATGAGTGGGTGGAGTGTGATGAGAGGGGTGTTATTAGCAATGATGATTTCATTCATGATTTAGATGTAAAATGGGAATGGGATATAAGAGCAGCATGTATATTTACTAGATGAATGAGGATAGGACAGGAAAGAGTAGAGTATGATCTCTTCAGCATCAATTGAAAGTGCATTATACATAAAATAGCGTGTTCCCTATCTAATTGGCCACTATTCTTTGCCTAAATAGCCTTTATTTCTCATTTATGTCCTTTTACATTCTACTTTTTATTTATTCAAATTTTACTGTTACCCCACATTTACCCCGCATTTACCCCACACAAATTTAAATACGTGTATTAAACACATATCATAATAATTCTATGGACACACTAAAGATATACTTCAGCACACACAGTGCTTGTCTGACAAGTTTTGTCACTGAATTTACTTGAACACCCTTAAAATTAATTAAGAATAATTCAAATTTGAAGACATGGTTCTAACATCTCACATGCAACCAAAACACATTAGTGGAAACCCAAACTCAGCCACACAGCACAGCACAGCCCACCCCCGTCAGGCACAGCTTGGCGCGGGCGGTGGCGCGGGCGGTTAAGCGGCAGACACAAGCACAGGGAACACAAGATGATGAAGTAAATCTTTTAGCTTTCATCTTAAAAGAAGAAATGGATACCACTGATAAATGCGAAACAAAACTTAAAGAATATTGTGGAAACTTAAAAAAAATTGATCCAAAACTGAATAAAATAAGTTCAAAACTAGAAAAAATATGTGAAGATAGTGAAACAATAAAAGGAAAATGCAAAGATCTAAAAGATAAAATAACAAAGAAATGTCAGAATTCAAAACAAGAAATTGAAAAAACATTAACAAACCCATCAACTGTTAATTGCAAAAAAAATGAACAAGATTGTTTGTTTCTAGAAGAAGCATGCCTTAATGATCTTAAAAATAAATGTAACGAGTTAAGAAATACGTGCTATCAAAAGAAACGTGATGAAACAGCAGACGAAGTTCTTTTAAGGGCGCTTTCTGGAAACCTTAAGAATGATGCAGGATGCAAAAAGAAGCTTGAGGAGGTTTGTCAGGAATTGGACGATGAAAGTGATGAATTAATGAAACGGTGTCTTTATCAAGAAAAAACGTGTGAAGATCTCCTAAAGAAAGGGGAAAATAAATGTAATACTCTTAAAACAGAAATTAAAACATTAAATAATAAATTTCAAGAAAAATGCAGATCATTACTTGAACAATGCCACTTTTATGAACCAAGCTGCAAAGATGAATATAAACCAAACTGTAAAGAATTGACAACAAAATGCGAAAATGCAAAGATTACTTATATACCACCAGGTTTAGATTTTGATCCTACAAAACCAAAGACTACATTGGCAGAGAAAATAGACTTGAAGGAACTTTATACGGAAGCAATAAAAAAAGGTGTTTATATTGGAAGAACATATGCAAAAGATGCGATTACTCTTCTAGCTTTATCAACTTTGCATTTGAGTGATTCAGGTAAGGTTGGTGAAAGAAAGAAAAAATGTGAGGAAATCCTCAAAAATAACTGTAAAAATCCTCAAGAACATAAAATTCTAAGAGATTTATGTACAAATAATAGCGACATAACTGAAGAAGGGAAAAAAATTTGTAATAAATTAGATGAAAGATTAGCAGAACGCACTCTAATTGTTTCTGAAAAGATAAACAGACATCTTGGAAATAAGGCAAACGAAATAATTAGCTGGTATAAATTACTAACGTTTCTTACTGAAAAAGAGTGTACAAGACTACAGTCAGATTGTTTTTATTTGAAAGGCCAAAGTCAACTTGAAAAACTCTGTAATAACCTAAAAGCAGCGTGTTATAAAAAAGGACTTGAAGCAGTAGCAAATGAAGTATTACAAGATAAGTTACGAGGAAAGTTACATGGTTCAAATGAAACATGGCTTGAAACCCTTCAAAAAGACTTGGTAAAAGTCTGTGAAAAGATGAAAGGAGAAAGTGATGAGTTATTTGTACTATGTATAAACCCAATAAAAACGGCTCTTACAGTGTCAACAGATTTGCGAATGAGGGCAGTTGCTTTGCGAGAACAATTAAATGATAAACGAGATTATCCGACGAAAGAAGATTGTAAAGAGCTTGAAAAAAAGTGTAATGTTCTAGGTCAAGATTCAAGCGAAATTAAGTGGCCATGTTATACATTAAGTCAACATTGCAATCGACTGGAGAGTATAGAATATTTGGAGAATAAGTTATTGGAAAAAAAGCTAGAAGGCTTGAAAAATGAAACTATTTGCAGAGAAAAGACCAAGGAACTATGCAAACTATGGATTAGAAGAAGAAATGTTAAATTTTCTTATGCATGTTCTACTTTAGAAGTTACCTGTAAAAAGATTAATGAAAGTCTTAATTCTAAATGCAACGCATTAAAAGAACATATGGCAATTCATGACGTTGTAAAAGAAGCAGAAAAAAAAGAAGAATATTGTAGGTTTTGGACTCCATATTGTGAAAAATTCACTCCAAGTTGTAATGAGCTTGAGAAAAATAAAGGAAAAGGATGTAAAAAACTTAATGAGAAATGTAAATTGTTTTTTGAGAAGAAAAAATTAGAAGATAAAGCAATTGATGAATTCAAAGGTAGTTTGTCGACTAATACAGACTGTGAGGGAACTCTTGAAAAATACTGTGTAGCATTGAATAATGCGACTAATGGGCTTGAAACTCTGTGCAAGAGCAATAATTCTACTAAGGAAAAAGTAAGGAAAGAGACTTGTAAGAGGCTGGTTGAACGGGTACAAGAAAAATGTCCAGGATTGAAAAAGGAACTTGAAGAAACAAAAGAAGTGTTAGTTGAAAAAGAAAAAGAATACAAAGATGTTAAAGAGAAAGCAGAAGAAGCAATGAAAAAAGCAAGTCTTGTTTTATCAAAAGCAAAAATAGAAAACAATAAATCAGCAAACGAAGTTGTGCCTAATGCACCAGCCGTACCCAGCGGAGCAAAAGACACAAAGTCGTTTAGACTTATAAGAAGAGATGCAACAGTGAAAGTAACAGAAGACGAAGCAAAAGCATTTGATTTAGTAGCACAAGCGTTTGGACTCTATGTAGAATTAAGGGAGATATGCCATGATTTACTAAAAGGATGCGGATTTAAAAAAGAGTGTAAATGTGAAAGCCAATGCAAAGAGATAAAAAAAATATGTTCAAAAATAGAACCATTGGAAGTAAAACCATATAAAATAGAGACAGTAACTAAAAACATAACGACCACTACCACAACAACAACAACAAAGACAGAAGGAGAAGGAAAGACTGCAGAGTGCCAATCTCTGCAGACGACAGACACGTGGGTCACAAAGACGTCGACCCATACTAGCACTTCTACGACTACGTCCACAGTCACATCGAGAATAACACTCACCTCAACGAGGCGGTGTAAGCCTACGAAGTGTACGACAGGAGAGGAAGATGATGCAGGAGAGGTGAAGCCGAGTGAAGGGCTGAGGATGAGTGGGTGGAGTGTGATGAGGGGGGTGTTATTAGCAATGATGATTTCATTCATGATTTAGATGTAAAATGAGAATGGGATATAAGAACAGCATGTATATTTACTAGATAAGAAGGCAGGGTAAGAGAGGAAAGAGTAGAGTATGATCTCTTCAGCATCAATTGAAAGTGCATTATAACCAAAAGAATACGTGTCCCCTAGCCAGTTGTCCCATATTTTTCGCTTGCATAGCCTTTATTTTTCATTTATGTTCTTTTATATTCTACTTTTTATCTATTCAGATTTTACGATTACCCCACATTTACCCCACACAAATTTAAATACTACGATATTCAAACATCAGAATATTGTATGGACACACTAAAGATATACTTCAGCACACACTATACCTGTTTCATCACAGAATTTACTTGAAAACTCTATAATTAATTAGAAATAGTTTAATATTCAAATTTGAAGACATGGCACTAACACCTGACATGCAACCGAAACACGTTAATGGAAACTCAAACTCAGCCACACACCACAGCGCAGCCCACCCCCGTCAGGCACAGCTTGGCGCGGGCGGTGGCGCGGGCGGTCAAGCGGCGGGCTGCAGCACAGAATAGTGTTGAAGAAGAATATCTTTTGGCTTTGATTTTAGAAAATGAGTATGAAAATAATGATAAATGTAAAAAAAGGTTGAAAGAGTATTGTGAAGTTTTAAAAAATGTAACAAAAGAACCAAAAAAACTAGAAGAAAAGTTAGACGGAATCTGCAAAGATGATAAAACAATAGAAGCAAAATGCAAAGAATCAGAAACAAAGGTTAAAGCAAAGTGTACTAGTTTTCAAACAGAACTTGATAAAGCAGTCAAAAAGGGAGCTTCAACATTAGAAGATAATGATTGTAAGAAGAATGAACGACAATGCCTGTTTTTGGAGGGAGCATGTCCAACAGAACTTAAAGATAAATGTAATGAACTGAGGAATAAATGTTATCAAAAAAAACGAGACGACGTAGCAGAAAAAGCTCTTTTAAGAGTACTTAGAGGGAACCTTAAGGATAAAAACACATGCAAAAATAAGTTAAAGGGGGTTTGTCAAGAATTCAACAAAGAAAGTGATGAGCTAATAAAATTATGTCTTGACGAAGAAAAAACGTGTGGAGATCTTGTATCTAAGAAAGAATACAAATGCAAACCTCTCAAAGAAGGAATTGATCTAGTGCTTGGAAAGGAAGATTTATTAAAAGAAAAATGTTTATTATTTCTTGAAGAATGTTACTTTTATGGGTCAAACTGTGAAACAGATCAGCCAAAGTGTAAAGAGTTTGCAAGCAAATGTCAAAAGGAAAATCTCGTTTATGCAGCACCAGGTTCACACTTTGATCCTACGAAATTAAAGATTAGGTTAGCAGAAGAAATAGACCTAGAAAAATTGTACGTAGAAGCAGTGAAAAAGGGAATTCATATTGGAAGGCCATCAATAAAAGATGAAGTCGCTTTATTGGCATTATTAAGCAAGAGTGATGCTCAAAATACTTTTAAAGATCAATGTGAAGATGTTATTAAAAAAAAATGTGGAAACTTTAAAGAGCATATTATTTTAAAAGATTTATGTAGTAATAAGACTATCACTGATAATCCAAAAGAAAAATGCGAAGAACTAAATAAGGAGTTAACAACCCGTATTTTAACTGTTTCTAAAAGGATTGAGAAATATTTCGCTCCAGCTAATGTAAAGGAAATTATTGGTTGGCATATGTTGCATACATTTCTTGGTGAAAGAGAGTGTACGAAACTGTTGTCGGATTGTTTTTATTTGAAAAGCCAAGCTCCACTTGAAAAGCCCTGCAATAACTTAAAAGCAGCATGTTATAAAAAAGGGCTTGAAGCAGTAGCAAATGAAGCATTACAAGATAAGTTACGGGGAAAATTGCAAGGTTCAAATAGAACATGGCTTGAAACCCTTCAAAAAAACTTGGTAAAAGTTTGTGAAAAGACGAAAGGAGAAAGTGATGAATTATTTGTACTATGTATGAACCCAATAAAAACGGCTCTTACAGTGTCAACAGATTTGCGAATGAGGGCAGTTGCTTTGCAAGAGCATTTGAACGAAAAACGAGATTTTCCAACAGAAAAGGATTGTAAAGAATTAGAGAAAAAATGTGAGGTCTTAGGAAAAGATTCAAGAGAAATTAAATGGTCATGTTATACGTTAAAACAGCATTGCAATCGGCTGAAGAGCATAGAGCACTTAGAAGAGGAGTTGCTAAAAGAAAATAAAGGATATTTAAAAGATGAAAATAGCTGCAAAGAAGAAGCTAAGAAACGATGTGAAAAATGGTTTAGAAGAGAAAATAATAAATTTTTTTCGGCTTGTTCTGACTTGGAACTTGTTTGCAAAAAGATCACTAGAAATGTTGAATCTAAATGTAATATATTGAAAGGACATATGGAAACTATGAACGTTATAAGTGAAATAGCTAAAAAAGAGGAAAAAATATGTGAATTTTGGGCTCCATATTGTAAAAAGTACGAGCAAAATTGTGAAAAACTTAAAAACGGAGGAAAAGATGGGCAATGCAAAAAACTCAATAAAAAGTGCAAATCATTCCTTGAAAAAGAAGCTTTAGAAAATAAAGTTGTAGAAGAATTGAAAGGTAGTTTATCAAACGTAGGAGAATGTAACAATACACTTAATATATACTGTACACAATTGAAAAAGGCAGAGAATGGGTTGGAAACTTTGTGCAAAAGCAAAGAAAACACCAAGAGTGACATTAAAGTTAGAGAAGAACTCTGTGAAAAGCTAATAAAACGTATAAAAGAAAAATGCTCAAAATTGAAGGACGAGCTTGAAGAAGTAAAAGAGGTCTTAGAAAAGAAAGAAGAAAAGTATAAAAAAATTAAAGAAGAAGCAGAAAAAGCCATGGAAGATGCAAACCTTATTTTATCGAGAGCGAAAGGACCTGATAATAATAATAATAAGTCAGTAAATAAAGACTCATCTGATACACCTAAGGAAGGAAAAGGCACAACAGGATTTAAACTTGTAAGAAGAAATGCAAAAGTGCATGTAACAGAAAAAGAATTAGCAGCATTTGATTTGGTAGCAAGAGCATTTGATCTCTATCTAGAATTGAAAGAAATATGTAATCATTCACTGAAGAATTGTGGTTTCAAAAAAGAGTGTGACTGTGAGGATCCATGTAAAAAGATACAGGGAATATGTTCAACATTAGAGCCACTAAAAGTGAGACCACACGAAATAGTAACTAAAAACATAACAACTACAACCACAACCACCACCACAACTACCATTAAAGACGCAAAGGCAACAGACTGCCACTCTTTACAGACAACAGATACGTGGGTCACAAAGACGTCGACCCATACTAGCACATCCACAACCACATCTACAGTCACGTCAAGAATAACGTTGACCTCGACAAGACGGTGTAAGCCTACGAAGTGTACGACAGGAGAGGAAGATGAAGCAGGAGACGTGAAACCGAGTGAAGGGTTGAGGATGAGTGGATGGAGTGTGATGAGGGGGGTGTTATTAGCAATGACGATTTCATTCATGATTTAGATGTAAAATGGGAATGGGATATAAGAGCAGCATGTATATTTACTAGATGAATGAGGATAGGACAGGAAAGAGTAGATATGATCTCTTCAGCATCAATTGAAAGTGCATTATAACCAAAAGAATACGTGTCTCCTAGCCATTTGTCCCTATTATTTACCTGAATAATCTTTTTTATTATATACATTGCTTTTTTACAATCCATTTACTACAGATTAATTTTTACGTTTATCTCGCGTTTACCCCACATTTACCCCACACAAATTTAAAATATCGCGAAGTAGCCAACTACACGTTAAAGAAAGCGGGCACCTTTAAATGTATTTGGTACACACTGCTTCTCTGACAAGTTTTATCACTAAGTTTACTTGAACACCCTTAAAATTAATTAAAAATAATTTAATACTTAAATTTGAAGACATGGTTCTAACATCTCGCATGAAATCAAAACACATTAACGGAAACTCAAACTCAGCCACACACCACAACGCAAATCCACCCCCATCTGGCACGGCTTGGCGCGGGCGGTGGCGCGGGCGGTTAAGCGGAGGGCAGCAGGGACACAGAATAGCATTGATGAGGAACATGTTTTAGCTTTAATTCTAAAGGAAGATGGACTAAGTGAGCAGGAATGCAAAAAAAAACTAAAAAAATATTGCCAAGAATTGACTGAAGCAAAACTAAATATAGAACAAGTACACAAAAAACTTAAAGGTTTTTGCGAAGATGGAAAAGCAGATACAAAATGCAAAGAACTGAAAGCCAATATTGAGAAAAAATGTACTACAATCAAAGGAAAACTTAAAGAAGCAATTAAAAAAAAAAATTCAGATTTAACGGATAAGGATTGCAAAGAGAATGAACAACAATGCCTATTTTTGGAGGGAGTATGTTCAAAAGAACTTAAAGATGATTGCAATACTTTGAGAAATAAGTGCTATCAAAAGAAACGTGATAAAGTTGCGGAAGAAGTTCTTTTAAGAGCACTTCGTAGTGATCTTAATGGATCAGTCATATGTGAAAAAAAACTTAAAGAGATTTGCCCTGTCATGGGGAGGGAAAGTGATGAGTTAACAAACTTGTGTCTGAACCAGAAAGAGACATGTAAGAATATTTTAATTGAAAAAGATAAGAAATGCGGTACTCTTAAAACAGATGTTTCAGCAGCACTTGGAAGTTTTAAAAAAGAAACATGTCTTGAATTACTTGAACAATGCTATTTTTACATTGGAAATTGCGGAGACGACGATATAATTAAATGTATTGAATTGGGAGGAAAATGCCAAGAACAAAATATTGCTTATATGCCACCAGGACCCGATTTTGATCCAACTAGGCCAGAGGCTACAATAGCAGAGGATATAGGGCTGGAAGAGTTTTATAAGAAGGTAGAGGAGGATGGAGTTTTTATTGGAAAGAATCATCTAAGAGATGCGACAGCTTTGTTGGCATTGTTGATCCAAGATTCTAGTCTTAAAAAAAAAGACGACAAAGAGAAATGCGAAGAAGCCCTTCAAAAAAGCTGCAAAAATCCTCATGAACATGAGGCTTTAGAAAGTTTATGTAAGAAAAATGGTTTAAGTAATGATGGAACGAAAAAATGTGAAGAATTGCAAAATGATATTAACAAAACTTGCAAAATTTTCACTTCAAAAGTCACTAATAATCGTCTTTTTGATCCAACAAAAGGAAATAATGAAATTGTTGGATGGGAAGGGTTGCCAACATTTCTTAGCAACGAAGATTGTGCGAAATTAGAGTCCTATTGTTTCTATTTTGAAAAAAAATGTCCAGATGGAGAAAATGCATGTAAAAATATAAGAGCAACATGTTACAAAAGAGGACTTGATGCACGGGCAAATAAAGTGCTGCAAGAAAATATGCGAGGAATGTTACATGGTTCAAACAAAAGCTGGCTTGAAAAGTTTCAACAAGAATTAGTAAAAGTATGTGAGAAACTGAAAAAAGAAAACAAAGGAAGTTTCTCAAACGATGAATTATTTATTCTGTGTGTACAGCCAGCAAAAGCAGCCCGGTTGCTTACACATGATCTTCGAATGAAAACTATCTTTTTACGACAACAACTGGATCAAAAGCGAGATTTTCCGACAGATAAAAATTGCAAGGAATTGGGGAGAAAGTGCCAAGATTTAGGAGAGGATTCAAAAGAAATTACGTGGCCATGTCATACACTGGAGCAGCAATGCAATCGCTTGGGGACTACAGAAATTTTAAAGCAGGTTTTATTGGATGAACACAAGGATACTTTGAAAGATGAAGAAAGTTGTGTAAAATATCTAAAAGAAAAGTGTAATAAATGGTCTAGAAGAGGCGATGACCGTTTCTCTTTTGTATGTGTCTTCCAAAATGCTACGTGTGAGCTGATGGTAAAAGACGTACAAGATAGGTGCAAAGTATTCAAGAAAAATATAGAGGTTGCAGAGATCGTTGATTTTCTTAAAAATAACACGAATAACATAACAACACTGGAAAGAAACTGTCCCTCCTGGCATACGTATTGCAATAGATTTTCACTTAATTGTCCAGATCTTACTAAAGGAGATGCTCTTTGTACAAAGATCAAAGACCATTGCAAGCCATTTTATGAAAGAAAGGCCTTGGAAGAAGCTCTCAAAGTAGAGCTTCGAGGAAATTTAAACAAAAATAAATGCGAATCAGCATTAAAAGGATATTGTACACAATTAGGAAAATTAAATAATGAATCTATCAAAAGTTTATGCAAAGCTAACACCAAGGATAACCCTAAAAAGAGCAACAAAGATGCTAAAAAGGAACTCTGTGAGAAATTAGTGGAAGAAGTAAAAGAACAATGCAAAACATTACCAGCAGAACTAAAACAACCAGCAGACAATCTAAAAAAAGATGTTAAGACATATGAGGAACTTAAGGAAGAGGCAAAGAAAGCAATGAACAAGTCCAGCCTTGTTTTATCACTCGTTAAGAAAGACGGAAATAATACACCGAAAAATAATAGAAAAAGCGAAGATAAGAATGACGTTTCAAACGGACTTCAAGATACCACAAAACATGTGAAAATACTACGGAGAGGAGTTAAGGATGTATCCGTAACAGAATTAGAAGCTAAAGCATTTGATTTGGCAGCAGAAGTATTTGGAAGATATGTAGACTTGAAAGAAAGATGTAATAAATTGGAATCAGATTGCGGAATTAAGGAGGATTGCAAAGACTTAGAAGAAGTATGCAAAAAGATTAATAAGGCTTGTCGCAATCTGAAGCCTCTGGAGGTGAAGCCGCATGAAACAGTGACAGAAAGCACAACGACGACCACGACGACAACAACGACCGTTGCCGATCCGAAGGCAACGGAATGCAAATCCTTACAGACAACAGACACATGGGTTACACAGACATCGACACACACAAGCACGTCTACCATCACATCTACGATTACATCAAAAATAACACTCACATCAACGAGGCGGTGCAAACCAACCAAGTGTACGACAGGGGATGATGCAGAAGACGTGAAGCCAAGTGAAGGCTTGAGGGTGAGCGGGTGGAATGTGATGAGGGGGGTGATAGTAGCAATGGTTATTTCGTTCATGATTTAGAAAGCAAATGAGCAGGATTTAATGATGAGCATGTATATTTACTAGATGAGCAAGCAGGGTAGGAGAGGAAAGAGTAAGGTAGATTGAGTCATCTCTTCAGCATCAATTGAAAGTGCATTACACATGAAATCGCGTGTTCCTTATTTAATTGACCACTATTCTTTATCTAAATAACCTTTATTTCTCATTTATGTCCTTTTACATTCTACTTTTTATTTATTCAAATTTTACTATTACCCCACATTTACCCCGCATTTACCCCACACAAATTTAAATACGTGTAGTAAAGCATGTATCACAATAATTGTATGGACACACTAAAGATATACTTTGCACACACAGCTTCTTTGACAAGTTTTGTCACTGAATTTACTTGAACATCCTTAAAATTAATTAAGGATAATTTAATATTCAAATTTAATATGGAAACGAATCTCTTCAATTTTTGCAGTCAAAACACATTAACTCAAATTCAAACTCAAACCATACACCACAGCGCAGCCCACCCCCGTCAGGCACAGCTTGGCGCGGGCGGTGGCGCGGGCGGTTAAGCGGCAGGTACAAACACAGGGAGCAGGAGCAAATGATGAGGAAATTTATCTTTTGGCTTTAATTGCAAAAGAAGATGCTAAAGATGAGGGAAAATGCGAAGAAAAATTGAAAAAATATTGCAAAGAATTAAGTGAAACAAATCTAACACCAGAAAAAGTACACGAAAAATTAAAAGATTTCTGTGATAATGGAAAACGAAATAAAAAATGTAAAGAACTCAAAACAGCAGTCACTCAAAAGTGCAGTGAATTTAAAACAAAATTGGAAGGATTGGTGAAAAAAGATGCCTCAGGCTTGACAAATGATGATTGTAAAGAGAATGAACGACAATGCCTATTTTTGGAGAGAGCATGTCCTAGTGATCTTACAGAGAATTGCAACAAACTAAGGAATCTATGTTACCAGAGGAAACGTGACGGAGTAGCAGAAGAAGTCCTTTTGAGGGCGCTTCGCGGAGATTTGAATGACAAACCTGGATGTGAAAAGAAAATCAAAAATGTTTGCTTAAAAATAAGCCAAGAAAGTGATGAGTTGACAATGTTGTGTCTTGAACAGGAAAAAACATGCGCAAATCTTGTAACAAAAGGAAAAAGTAAATGTGATACTCTTAAAAAAGTTGAAGCACTTAAGAAAGATGAATTACGAGAAAAATGCCTACCATTACTTGAGAAATGCTATTTTTACAAAGAGAATTGCAAAGCAGACAAATCAAAGTGTGATGAATTGGAAAAGAAATGTCAAGAACAAAGTATTGTTTATATACCACCAGGACCCGATTTTGATCCAACTAAACCAGAGGCTACGCTAGCAGAAGATATAGGGCTGAAAGAGTTTTATAAGGGGGCAGAAGAGGATGGAGTTTTTATTGGAAAACAACAAGTAAGAGATGCGACAGCTTTGTTGGCGTTGTTAATTCAGGACCCAAGTGCAGCAGGTAATGATAATAAAGAAAAATGCAAAAAAGCTCTTGAAAAAAAATGCAAAACCCCTCAAGAACATGAGACCTTGAAAAGTTTATGTAAGGAAAGTGGTCTAAGTGATGATGGAACGAAAAAATGTGATGAACTAGAAAAAGATATCAAAAGAACATGTGATATTCTCACGCCAAAGCTTACAAATAATCGTCTTTTTGACCCAAAAAAAGGAAATAATGGAATTATTGGATGGGGAGGGTTGCCAACATTTCTTAGCAACGAAGAGTGTGCAAGATTAGAATCTTATTGTTTTTATTTTAAAGGAAGCTGTCCAGATGTCAAAGAAGCTTGTATGAATGTGAGGGCAGCGTGCTATAAGAGAGGGCTTGATGCACGGGCACATAAAGTGCTTCAAGAAAATATGCGTGGATTATTGCGTGGTTCAAATAAAACCTGGCTTAAGAAATTTCAACAAGAATTAGTAAAAGTATGTGAGAAATTGAAAAAAGAAAATAAAGGAAGTTTCTCAAACGATGAATTATTTGTTCTGTGTGTACAACCAGCAAAGGCAGCACGGTTACTTACACATGACCATCAAATGAGGACTGTTTTCTTACGTAAACAATTGGATCAAAAGCGAGATTTTCCAACAGATAAAGATTGCAAGGAATTAGGAAGAAAATGTGAAGCTTTGGGAGATGATTCAAATCAAATTCAGTGGCCATGTCATACACTAAAGCAGCAATGTGATCGCTTGGGGACTACAGAAATTTTGAAGCAGGTTTTACTAAATGAACACAAGGGTACTTTGAAGGAACAGAAAAAATGTGAAAAATATTTGAAAGAAAAGTGTAATAAATGGCTTAGAAGGGGAAACAATCATTTTTCTCTTGTGTGTGTTTTTCTGGAAAGTACGTGTAAGCTGATGGTAGATGATGTACAAGATAGATGCAAAGTATTTGAAGAAAATATAAAGAATTCAAAAATTATTGAATTTCTTGGAAATAATAAAAATAAAATAACAATACTGGAAAGAAATTGTTCTTCCTGGTATCCGTATTGCAATAGATTTTCACCTAATTGTCCAGATCTTACGAAAGGAGATACTTGTACAAAAATCAAGGAGCATTGTGAACCATTTTATGAAAGAAAAGCCTTGGAAGATGCTCTCAAGGTAGAGCTTCAAGGGAATTTAAGTGATAAATCCAAATGTAAACCTGCATTAAAAAGATATTGTGCAGTATTAAAAAATGTAACTAACACGTCAATTAGGGTTAGGGTTAGGGTTAGGGTTAGGGTTAGGGTTAGGGTTAGGGTTAGGGTTAGGGTTAGGGTTAGGGTTAGGGTTAGGGTTAGTGTT